TAGCCCCGTCTCTCTCTAACTCTCAGTCCTTTTGCAGCCTGTCCACACTGTGGGTACCATTAGCCAATGGGAATGACTGTTGGCCTGGTCTGAAGACTGCCACATCCCTGTAGCAATCTCCTCCGAAAAAGGGAGAACGTGGGCCCTAGGCCAGGAATCTAGCCCAAGTTCAAATCATGAGGCAGGCATGTATGTTTCACATGACAGTAGAGAAATACTATCGTGAGGTTGAGGAGGGGGAAAGAGATCGAAACGGCAGCAGCCTCTAGAGTTTCTGCAACAGATATGTTGCATTCGAAGCCACTTTCTTCTAGGAAGAGCTCTGCGCGGCTATAAATCACCTGAAATCCAATGCATGTTATAAATAACGTGAATGTCTTTAGCCTTCTGTGGTCTCCAAGACATACAATATGGCAAGGACCCCCACAACCGAGCCAATTATGGAGCAGGAAAAAGTAAGACATCGAGGTCAGAGAATACCTAGGCACAAACTTTAACAAGCGGTAGGAAAAATCACTACACACTCCTCATAACCCTGAGCAGTAAGAAGTCCAGCGGCAGCCTGGCAAGGTTTTATTCCCTTTTCCATTAAACTTACGGTGCCTTCTGAAGTACGGTACTTAATGGGTTGTCGTTTTATCAATGTAGACATTTGTAAAAAGTTTGTTTATGACATTGTGCTATTTTGCAAAGCATGTGCTTGTATTTTCATAAAAACAACTTTTTTAAAGCCCCACCTTCCCATTCTAAAACAGAAGCCTCAAAGCATTTCGCACGTTTAATCAAAGTAATAAAAATATATTATTACTTGTCAGGTTAATCATACTGTTATGAGTTTGGGTTGGGGGGAAATAGGCTGTATGCAGAGATTCTTCTAACCCCTGGATCAAGCAAGTGTTAAAAATAGCACAGTAATGTTATCAACAACTGTCTTAGCCCTATGCCTTATGCTTGCTTTTCTGTTAATGAATTTACAAAATAGTTCTTTTGAAACCCTTAATAAACAATAAAAACAATCTCAAAACAGTGAGCAATTAATAAAACCTCTAACTGCTTCCTGATTTCTTTTTCCAAAGTTTTGCTCTGGGAGGCAATAATGAAGTGTGTGTTGAGTAAACAGAGGAACTAGATTTCTGTTTGGTTTGTTGTTGTTCTAATATTTACTATGAGGGTTTCTGCTTGTAGAGTTGTTCGATTACAGTGTTACCTAAAGAGAACTGATGCACTGTAGTCCACGTTCGCTCCCTAGTGGCAAACTAAGGGAGCAATCCAAACCCAATATCTACCAGATCTAGCGAGTTGGAATCCAGCAGGACTCCAGCATAGCCGGCTGATTTCTGGCACAGCCGGGCTACACCAGTGTAAGCTCCACATCCCAGCTCAGCAGGAGAATATGCCGTAGCAACTGCCTCATCCCAGCTCAGCCAGGGCTGAGCCAAGACTAAGCTTTTGCCTGCACAAGCCCTGAAGGGGTGTTCCAGGTTGGGAGCACGACGAGGCAGGGGAAACTTACACTGGATTCTAACTCAGTTCTGCTCAGTCACATGAACTGACAACTCAGGGGAACATATGCCAGCAAAAAGGGTGATGTCAATCCAATCTGTTTTAAAGGCTTGTTTTCTTTCTGCCTAAGTTTGGAATGGGACGCGGGTGGCGCTGTGGGTTAAACCACAGAGCCTAGGACTTGCCGATCAGAAGGTCGGTGGTTCGAATCCCCACGACAGGGTGAGCTCCCGTTGCTCGGTCCCTGCTCCTGCCAACCTAGCAGTTCAAAAGCACGTCAAAGTGCAAGTAGATAAATAGGTACCGCTCCAGCTGGAAGGTAAACGGCGTTTCCGTGCGCTGCTCCAGTTCGCCAGAAGCAGCTTAGTCATGCTGGCCACATGACCCGGAAGTTGTATGCCGGCTCCCTCGGCCAATACAGTGAGATGAGTGCCGCAACCCCAGAGTGGGCCACGACCGGACCTAATGGTCAGGGGTCCCTTTACCTTTACTTTATATCAGTTTATATGCCTGTTGTCTTTGTCCATGGAGTTTTCTTGGCAGGGATACTGTAGTGGCTTGCCGGTTCCTGCTCCAGGTGGATCATGTTTGGTCAAAACTCTCCACTATGACCTGTTCATCTTGGGTGGCCCTGCACTGCATAGCTCATAGCTTCTCTGAGTTATTCAAGCACCTTCGCCACAGCAAGGCAGTGATCCATGAAGGGGAGGGACATCTCATTGCCAACAAAGGTCCGTATAGTTCAAGCTATGGTTTTCCCAGTAGTGATGTGTGGAAGTGAGAGCTGGACCATAAAGAAGGCTGATCACCGAAGAATTGATGCTTTTGAATTATGGTGCTGGAGGAGACTCTTGAGAGTCCCATGGACTGCAAGAAGATCAAACCTATCCATTCTGAAGGAAATCAGCCCTGAGTGCTCACTGGAAGGACAGATCCTGAAGCTGAGGCTCCAATACTTTGGCCACCTCATGAGAAGAGAAGACTCCCTGGAAAAGACCCTGATGTTGGGAAGGATTGAGGGCACAAGGAGAAGGGGACGGCAGAAGACAAGATGGCTGCACAGTGTTCTCGAAGCTACCAGCATGAGTTTGACCAAACTGCGGGAGGCAGTGGAAGACAGGAGTGCCTGGCGTGCTCTGGTCCATGGAGTCACAAAGAGTCGGACACGACTAAACGACTAAACAACAACATATCAGTTTAACATGAACAAGCATAAATTGCACAGGCTTTCTATGTTTAGGGTTGCTCTGCTGTCTCAAGTGTGTCCATTTTTTGTACATTTCCTACTGCAATTATGGTATGCTACCTTGTTGCAGGACTGTCCTTTAGCTACCTTGTTGCAAGGATTGGACACCCTATTGCACATCCCTGCGCTGAAAGTTTCAATTTTATAAACAACAGAGCATGTGCTTCCACAGTGCCTGTATTACAGAGACATTCGTACTAGCTTCATCTTACCATTACTGCATACTTATACCCAGGGCACACAGGGCAATTCTATACCTTGTAGCTGCTTTCAGATACCAACCCTGCTACAACTTACATGGTTGCCAGATTCTGCACAGCTGCACTCAAAATTCGTCGGACGATGACCTGTGTCACAAACTAGATTTAATGAGCACATATCAGAGTGCTCTGTAGACTGACAGCTATATATACTAACCGTTTATGCTCTGCCACTCCCGTCTAATGTTCCTAACTCTTCGCTTAGACTTTCCTTGCTTCCTTTAGATTTTTATAGACTTTAAATACTTTTTAGTTTTTCAAATCGTTTTTCAGATTTTAAATGACTGTACCCACCCCACCCCTTCCTTATGCTGGTCTATGACCATAACAAAGATTTGATTTGATGATTTCGATTTTATCAACTGAAGACCAGACATAAAAAGCATTAATCCCATTAACACTTCTGCAAATCCCTTTGTTCTGATTTTAGGTTGCAATCCTATGCATAGGTTCTTGGGTGCAATTCCTACTGAACTCAGTAGACTTTATGAGTAAAGCTCAACAACTTCACACACACTCCCCAAGGTCAACAACAACTTTGGCTCGGTTCGGGGGCAGCTCGGGGGCAGTTAAACGACCCCTGTGGGCCCCTTGTGGCCCATGGGCCTTAGGTTGCCAACCCCTGCTTTACATAGTCTAACATACATTGAGGACAGAACCAACCAAGCCCTCAGGGGCGGCCCTACCATTAGGCAGAGTGAGGCCACCACCCACAGGTGCTGGGGGACACCAGGGCTGCTCCTCTGGCACTCCTGCTTCTGCAGCAGGGAAGATCTGTGCATGTTCATAAGGAGCCTACTTTCCCACCCCCACCCCATGTGGTAAAGGACACTGTCCCATGGCCAGTACTGTGGGGGGTGGGGGGCGGGGAGAGAGAGATTCAACTTCTAGTCAGTTTCTGTACCAAGAAGAGTGAGGGCGCCATCTTTTTGTTATCATGCCTTACTCGTCATTTCATTTTTAGTTTTGTAAAATCCAGTTAAAATACTTTTTTAAAAAAATAAATATTTGTATCCTGCAATTTTATTTTATTTTTTAAAAAATAAATCAAGAGCAGAACAGGCAGATGGTAACAAGCGGTATGTGATATACAAATGACATGAGAAAACTTGGTATACTTTTTTGTATATAATTATTCTTGTTTATCAAACCCAATAATAATTTAAAATAACAAACAAAAAACAAGCGGTATGTTAAGACCGCTTGTGAAGGCGGATGAAGGCTGCAGCACATAAGAATCTACCAGTCATCGTGATACTCTGTTGTTGTTTAGTCGTTTAGTCGCGTCCGACTCTTCGTGACCCCATGGACCAGAGCACGCCAGGCCCTCCTGTCTTCCACTGCCTCCCACAGTTTGGCCAAACTCATGTTGGTAGCTTCGAGAACACTGTCCAACCATCTCGTCCTCTGTCGTCCCCTTCTCCTTGTGCCCTCCATCTTTCCCAACATGAGGGTCTTTTCCAGGGAGTCTTCTCTTCTCATGAGGTGGCCAAAGTATTGGAGCCTCAGCTTCAGGATCTGTCCTTCCAGTGAGCACTCAGGGCTGATTTCCTTCAGAATGGATAGGTTTGTTCTTCTTGCAGTCCATGGGACTCTCAAGAGTCTCCTCCAGCACCATAATTCAAAAGCATCAATTCTTCAGCGATCAGTCTTCTTGATGGTCCAGCTCTCACTTCCATACATCACTACTGGGAAAACGATACTCACGCCTTTCGAATAGAACCGTACTGCGAAGACTGTGCGTTGGACAGCGCGCACACATAAAACAAAACAAACCCCAAACCGTGTTTATGGAAGGCAATCTTACTCGTGATCGCCAAAGAAATAGAAGTTTGAGACTTCTGATCTCCGCTTCTGGAGGAGACAGGCGAGCTGGAAATCTGGAGAGAGAAAGGGAGCGTGAGCGCGCGCTCCCGTCTGGCTGGCTGGACCCGCCCCTCGTTTGGCAGGAGCCGGTCACTTTTTGCGCCGGTAACCAAGCGAGGCGCCTCAGTGCGCTCGGCGCGCCTGGGCAGAGAGGAGCGACGAGCTGGCGCCGGGGGTCGAGTCTCCCCAAGGCGCCGTCGAGACCATGTTCCCGGGCTTGTACACGGCGCTGGCGGGTCTGCTGCTGCTGCCTCTGCTGGTGAACCTGGCGTGCCCTTACCTCTTCCAGGATTTGGGCTTCTTCTTGCAGCTGGTGCGCGTGGCGCAAAGGTCTCGCCGCGCCGCCTCGCGCGTCCCTCCGCGGACGCTGCTGGAGGTGTTCAGGCAGCGGGCGCGCCAGGCTCCCCAAAAGCCCATGCTGCTCTTCCGAGACGAGGTGTACACCTACGAGCAGGTGGAGCGGCGGAGCAACCAGGTGGCGAGGGCGCTGAGGGAGCACGCAGGGCTGCGGCAGGGCGATACCGTGGCGCTCTTCCTGGGCAACCAGCCCGCCTACGTGTGGCTGTGGCTGGGCTGCGCCAAGCTGGGCTGCGCCATGGCCTGCCTCAACTGCAACATCAGGGCCAGGTCCTTGGTGCATTGCTTCCAGTGCAGCGGCGCCAAAGTGCTGCTGGCCGACCCAGGTGAGGACCTCCTCTTCTCCTTCCCACTCCCCGCAGCTGGTGGTAGCTTAGTTGCTCTGTCCCAGCTCCTGCCAACCTAGCAGTTCGAAAGCACTCCAGGTCATAGCTGTCAGTCAACCTTTCCTCTTTTTTTGCGGGAAATTCCCTTATTCCAGCGCTGTTTCCCGCTGCTAGATTGTTAGATATCCCATAGACTGTCCCCCGGGACAGGTGAGGATGCTGATCCCTTATTTTAGAGGCTGCTGATCCCTTATTTTCAAATCTGAAAGTTGACAGCTATGACTCCAGTGCAAGTAGATGAAAAGGTACTGCTGTGGCAGGAAGGTAAATGGCGTTTCCGTGCACTCTGGTTTCCGTCACGGTGTTCCGTTGCGCCAGAAGCTGTTCAGGCCTGCTGGCCACATGACCTGGAAAGCTGTCTGTGGATAAACACCGTCTCCCTTGGCCTGAAAGCGAGATGAGCGCCGCAACCCCATAGTCACCTTTGACCGGACTTAACCGTCCAGGGGTCCTTTACCGTTTTTTAACCTTTTTTTAACGGCCGCCCACCTAGCAGTACCCATGCCTTTAGGGCCCCCGCAACCAAGGATCAAAAGAAAATTACAACCAACCTTTTGTAGTTCAGCGTTACCCCACTAGAGCACTCCCACGAGACATCTTCAGATACGAAGCTTTCTGTGAGTTAGTGCGTTGTGCGTTCCCACCAAGCCCAGATCCTACTAGAATATTCGCAAGTAGCTGATTGGAAGCTTTATTAAAATGGTTGGTTGGTAAAATCAAGAATGTATTAGGAGATAATTTGTGAGGGCCCCTCCGGAGATCTCAACTGCCTAGAGTAGAGGCCTCCACAGGGTTTAATCTGGCACTGGTGGCTAGAGTGATGGGCAGGGGTGCTAACCTGAATAAAATATGGGAGGGGGGAGGTAAGCCCCACCCTGATATAATGGATTGCATGATGTGTCACTGTGTACATGATGCGGCAATGCTCATGAACTCTGGGGGAGCCTTGGCCCTCTCAAATACAGTGGTCCCTCAGATTAAGTACTTAATTCGTTCCGGAGGTCCGTACTTAACCTGAAACTGTTCTTAACCTGAAGCACCACTTTAGCTAATGGGGCCTCCTGCTGCTGCCGCGCTGCCGGAGCACGATTTCTGTTCTCATCCTGAAGCAAAGTTCTTAATCTGAAGCACTATTTCTAGGTTAGCGGTGTCTGTAACCTGAAGCGTCTGTAACCTGAGGTACCACTGTATTTTATGGGGGGGAGGTACCTCAGCCCCTAGGAGTTGGCTCCTATGGTGGTGTGAAACCCGCTCAGAATCCCACAGTGTGACCTTGGGTCATGTGCACAATCTCAGCTTTAGCCCACCTCGCAGGGGTGTTGTGAGTATGAGCTCCCAGAAGGATGGTGGAGCTGTGTGTGCTGAGCTCTTTGAAGGAAGAATGAGATGATGGCATGGTAACCTGGTGTTGCGCACCATCAAGTCAACAGAAAACAACTTTTTTCAAAACCAGGTTTGAGGGAGGGAGCCTTGAAGCACCAGTCTTCCACTTTTGTTGCCTCTGATTAACAGGTTTTGCAATAATAATAATAATAATTATAAGTATTGTTCATCAGAGGTAATAGAAGAACAAGAAGTGGTTGGGTGCACATTTGGGGAAAAAAATCCTCATGCTCACCATAAATGTGAGGTTCCACAAGATTATTCACTGTTTTGACAGTAATATTGTGCCTTATTAAAATGCAGATGACACTTTTAAACTGCTTCCTATTATTAAGCTTCATGCTAGGCAGCAGTTCCACAGGTGCAACCTTTTTTTTTACTTTGGGCATGGAGCGTGGTGTCCCCTGTTGCATTTCTCTCTCGTGTAGCTGTGAAAGGGATAGGAGACTTTCTGGAGAAAAGAGGTTAGGGTGACCTGAATAGCTGCCATTCCATATCTTTTATTAAGCTCTATCAGCAGTTTGACATTGGGTCAGTGTGAGTAGTGAGTGAGAGCAAAGGTACATTTACAATCATTGGTCGTAGATACAGGCTCATTACGAAGCAAGAATCAGTTATGACCAAGTATCAATATGACTTTCAGTGGCAAAGAGAGGACTGGTAAGTGACAATCCAATAATATATATGAGAAGAACCACGCAGAAATTTCTAAGCAGCCATCCAAACTGAGTGAATGGACAGTGAAATGTGAGGTACAATTCAATGTAAACAAGTGTAAAGTGATGCATTTTGGGACATTTCATTATTACAGTGGTACCTCGGGTTACATACGCTTCAGGTTACAAACTCCGCTAACCCGGAAATAGTGCTTCAGGTTAAGAACTTTGCTTCAGGATAAGAACAGAAATCGTGCTCCCGCGGTGCGGCAGCAGCAGGAGGCCCCATTAGCTAAAGTGGTGTTTCAGGTTAAGAACAGTTTCAGGTTAAGAACAGACCTCTGGAACAAATTAAGTACTTAACCTGATGTACCACTGTATTATTATTATTATTATTATTATTATTATTATTATTACTATTATTATTATTTTCATGTATATATGCCTGTGGGGTCTCACCTGGAGGTAACTGATAAGGAATGGGATCTGGGACTCATAGTCAATAATTTAATGAAGATGTTTGCTCAGTGTGCAGCAGCTGTGAAAAAAGGCAAATTCCATGCTAGGGATCAAATTCCTTGCTAGGAATCATTAAATTAGTTATACAAGTCTGTGATGGTTGCCTTGCCTCAAAAATGATACAGTGGTACCTTGGGTTAAGAACTTAATTCATTCCGCAGGTCTGTTCTTAACCTGAAACTGTTCTTAACCTGAAGCACCACTTTAGCTAATGGGGCCTCCCGCTGCCACCGCACCGCCGCCATGCAATTTCTGTTCTCATCCTGAAGCAAAGTTCTTAACCCGAGGTACTATTTCTGGGTTAGCAGAGTCTGTAACCTGAAGCTTCTGTAATCTGAAGAATCTGTAACCTGAGGTAGTACCTCTGTAGTATCTCGGGTTAAGAACTTTGCTTCAGGATAAGAACAGAAATTGTGCTCCGGCAGCGCGGCAGCAGCAGGAGGCCCCATTAGCTAAAGTGGTGCTTCAGGTTAAGAACAGTTTCAGGTTAAGAACGGACCTCCAGAACGAATTAAGTACTTAACCTGAGGTACCACTGTACTTTGATTAGGGTCAGAATGTTAAGCGACATTTTGGTTCTGAGATAAGAGTTTGGCTGAATATTTGTCATTGAGCTGGAAGTGTCAGTTCAACAAATAAAAGTGCAAATACGTGTGTCGCCTTGTATGCTGTGGCCTAGTGGTTAGAATGATGGTCTAGAGGGACGGGGGTGGTGCTGTGCTCTAAACCACTGAGCTTCTTGGGCTTGCTGATCAGAAGGTCAGCGGTTCAAATCCCCGCAACGGAGTGCGCTCCCATTGCTCTGTCCCAGCTCCTGCCAACCTAGCAGCTGAAAGCATGCCGGTACAAGTAGATAAATAGTTCTTCTGTGGCAGGAAGGTAAATGGCGTTTCCGTGCACTCTGGTTTCCATCACGGTGCCCTGTTGCGCCAGAAGTGGTTTAGTTATGCTGACCACATGACCCAGAAAGCTGTCTGTGGACAAACGCCGGCTCCCTCGGCCTGAAAGCAAGATGGGTGCCTTTGACTGGACTTAACCATCCAGGGGTCTTTTACCTTCACCTTTAGAGTGATGGTCTAGGGCAGCACTAGATTTAGGGCGGTGTGAGTGGTTTCCCCGCACAGGGTGCTGAGCTGAGGAGATGCAAACTTGAGAAGATCCACTTGGGGTCACCAATTTTTGGCCTTGCATAGGGCGCCATGTTATGAAAGATTACCAAAGACCACCCCTGGGCTAGGGCCTGAGAGACCAGTGTTCAAATCTCCACTCAGCCACACGAAGCCTGCTGGCTCACCTTGGACCAGTCACTATCTCTCAGCCTAACCTACCTCACAGGGCTGTTGTGAGGATAAAATGGAAAGCAAAACACCTTGAGCTCCTTGGAGGAAAAGTGGAATATAAATAATAACTAAGCTTTCTTTAAAAAAAAACCAAACAGACAGAATAGTGAGATTTGTAACAAGAATATATGCCTGGATACTATCATACAAGTTTAAACAAGTTTTGTTTGTTTTGAAAGTGCTCTGGAAATGTTAGAAGTAACCTGTTATTGGGTTAAAACAACTTGCAACCTCAGGTTTACACAGGTAATGGTAGTAACTTAAAAATAGGAGGCAGAAGGTGCCACTTGTTCCCTGTTAAATAGTTAGCAGAGATACCTTGTTTGAACATTAGCCTGCATTTTCTTGTAAACATGCCCACATTGCTGATATATCCGTATCTACATGAGATAATGGATAATTATCGTTGTTTCCTTGGCATAAAGTATGAGTTTTAAAATCCTACCTGTGGAAAATGAAGGATTAGACAATGACCTGAATTAAGAAAACAGAACTACAAACAAGTTACCGAACAAGTTCATCTGATACATTGATGGTCTAATATCAGCATCCCTGTGCCAATGATAGTTTCTGGAAGTGCAGTGAAATTCCTCCCTCCTTTCTCTTATCTGTCCTTGTAATTGCTGTGACCCGAGAAAGAGAAACAATAGTATGTATAAATTATTTACTTGAGAGCATCTTCTGCCAAGGCAGAATCATAGGCTGTAAGCTGGTTGGTTTTTGCAAAACTCCTCTCTCATATCCAGAAAGGAGGTAAACCTAAGGTTGCTGGTGGGGGCTTCGATGGCTGAATGTTCTTTATTACACCATTTTTATTTATCGTTTTCTTTATTAGACTTATATATCGTCCTTCTTCATGAGATTTCAGGGCGGTTCCGACCCCCAAATTCCTCTAACTTAGCTAGAACTCTCTCTTCGTACATGCTACAGAAATATTTTGAATGGGGAAATATTCAGTTAGATGGGCCTGCAGTGGTTACATCCAGACAGAGTTTTACCACCTCAGATTGCCAGCAATCAAATTAGAAGAACCAAGGATGCTATGCAGGGCCAGAGTCAACGACAGTGGTACCTCAGTTTTCGAGCATTTCAGAAGCCAAACATTTCGGTTTTTGAATGCCAAAAACCCGGAAGTAGTTGCTTCCATTTTCGAACGCGCCTCAGAAGTCGAACGGCTTCCGCTGCGTGTTTTTCCATTTTCTCCATTGACTTTGGAAACTGCCTTTTGTGCCTCGGTTGTCAAACGTTTCAGAAGTCAGACGGTCTTTCGGAATGGATTGCATTCAACAACCGAGATACCATTGTATATGCAGTATCTGCCCTTTAAGGTTTGGGGGGGCTTTTGCCTTTTACAAGATTTGGAAATTCTGCTTCTATTCTACTCTTCTGCTTCTATTCTGTTGTTACATTAATACTTTACATAACAGCAAAATGTCCCAGTACCTTGTTCTGAATAATGGTATTTCTCTTGTTGATACTGTCTGGCATTTGGGTTTAGAGCTGGGACGCGGGTGGCGCTGTAGTCTAAACCACAGAACCTAGAGCTTGCCGATCAGAAGGTCGGCAGTTCAAATTCCCGCGATGGGGTGAGCTCCCACTGTTTGCTCCCAGCTAAATAAACAGCAAAATAAACAGCAAAACCAAAGCGCCAAACTTAATCCATTCCGGAAGTCTGTTTGACTTCTGAAATGTTTGAAAACCAAGGTGCAGCTCCTGATTGGTGCAGGCACCCCAGAAACAATAACCAACGACCGTATCAGATGTTCAGCTTCCAAAAAACGTTCGAAAACTCGAACAATTACTTCCGGGTTTTCGGCATTTGGGAACCAAGGCGTTTGAGAACCAAGGTACCACTGTACTAAATGCACGGGCGAAAATGCTTAAGTGAACAATGCTGTGTTTAAGTGATGATCATGTAGGAGACAAAAGGGAAGAGTTCCCTAATAAGGGTGCTGCCACAGAGAAGGCCCTGCTGGAGGTCACAACCCAACCCCTGAGCCATACACATCTGTGTCACCACTTCCTGTTTGGGGAATGTCTTCCAAAAAGAGAACCATGCTCACAGTGGCTCACAGTCTCTCATGCAGGGTGGAACAGGAGCACACAGATAACCGCAGATACATTTTCCATGTCATTATGGGAGTCTTTCAGAAACGATTCATGAAAGAAGGAGGAAATTCCCTAGGATATTGCGTCACCCTCCCATTGGAAATAGCTGACATACGCAGGTGGGGCTGGAGAACCCTCACACTTGATAATGAACAATCTCCTGAGGGTCCTTATAGTGACACACAAATCCAGGCATCGTGCAATTTCAGATTGTTAGGAAACACGCCGGCTAGCCTTTTCCCAGATGTATCGTGAAAAGATGACACCAGTGTGTTCTGATACCTTGCAGTATTTTGCCTTCCTTTATATGGCACCACTAAATATTTGTGGAAATAAATTTGGCAAGATGTTTGCTGTGGACCCTGTTACAGTGGTACCTCGGGTTACAGACGCTTCCGGTTACAGATGCTTCTTCAGGTTACAGACTCCGCTAACCCAGAAATAGCACCTCGGGTTAAGAACTTTACCTCAGGATGAGAACAGAAATCGCACGGCGGCAGTGGGAGGCCCCATTAGCTAAAGTGGTACCTCAGGTTAAGAACAGTTTCAGGTTAAGAACGGACCTCCAGAACGAATTAAGTTCTTAACCCGAGGTACCACTGTATATGTGAGTGGCATTTAACTGTAACTTGATGACCTGCATTCTCCTTTTCACCAAAAGCTGATCTCCCACGTACCTTGCAAGTTTTGTTCCGTGCTACTTGTCCGCGGGTGGCGCTGTGGGTTAAACCACAGAGCCTAGGACTTGCCGATCAGAAGGTCGGCAGTTCGAATCCCCGCGACGGGGTGAGCTCCCGTTGCTTGGTCCCTGCTCCTGCCAACCTAGCAGTTCGAAAGCACGTCAAAGTGCAAGTAGATAAATAGGTACCGCTCCGGCGGGAAGGTAAACAGCATTTCCGTGCGCTGTTCTGGTTCGCCAGAAGTGGCTTAGCCATACTGGCCACATGACCCGGAAGCTGTACGCCGGCTCCCTCAGCCAATAAAGCTGAGCGCCGCAACCCCAGAGTCGGCCATGACTGGACCTAATGGTCAGGGGTCCCTTTACCTTTACCTTACTTGTTCCGCCATTGTGGAAATGAGCAACGGCACATGACTTTTCTGAGGTTTCGAAGCTACACCTCCTGAAATTCCCTCCTTCTACACAACTCTTTTCTTTTTCTTTTCCTTTCTTTCTTCCCCCCCCCCCCCCCAAATCTGGCCATGCTGTGAAGAGCACTGCAAAAACATTTCAGAGTAAAACACCACAGCACAAAACTTTATTGAATAATGGGCCTTTCCCCCCTTCAAGTAACCATTTCTTCTCTCCCCCTTAAAGAATTAGCATCAGCCATTGAAGAAGTGCTTCCAGCCCTGAAGGAAGAGAATGTGACTATCTATTACTTAAGCAGGACCTCCGAGACAGAGGGGATCGACAGTTTCATTGACAAAATGGACGCTGCTTCAGATGAACCTATTCCAGTGTCCTGGAGATCAAATGTCACTTTAAAAAGTCCTGCCCTGTACATATATACCTCTGGGACTACAGGTACAGTAATAAAAAAAAACCCCACAAATCAGGGGTTCCTTGGTCTACAGTCGACCCTGTGCAGAAATAAATCCTGTTTAGTTCAGCGGGACTGATTTCCAGGTAACTGGGTGCACAGAATTGCAGCTGGCTTATTTTATTCACTGGCTGGTTTTAAAATATCTTATGAGGAAATCTAATTGACACATTGCAAAACTTCACTGAAAGTGCCTGAGGAAAAGGACAGTGTCTCCAAAGTGTCTGAAACTTGGGAGACAAAACTGTAGCTGTGTATTAAGCAATGTGGTAGTTTGCAAACAAAAGCATATGTAAGGCATGGGCGTAGCTGAGTGGGGTCAGGAAGGGGCAGCTGCCCCCCCTCAAAATCAGTAAAAATACATAGCTAACTGAGGTTCTGCCCCCCACCCCAACAAAAGACCTGCCCTCCCCCCCCCCAACAAAAATCCTGGCTACGCCCATGGATGTGGGACTGCTCTACTAACAAAAGAGAGCATTGTTGTTTTTTGAATGGCTTCTGTTGGATGAAAAAAACAGTAGAAACCCAACTGGATCCAAGCTAAGTTGGCTACGTTTTAGTCCCACTGAAAACAACCGACAAATGTTAATTATGACTATCTCTTCAGTTCCCAAAGCTGTTTAACAATCAGTCTTCTCAGGGTATCCTGGAAGTGGAAGAGGAGCTGCCTAACAACTTGAGGCACCCTTAACAAACTTCAGCTCCCAGAATTCTTTGGGGGAAACCACAACTGTTTAAAGTGGCATTATGGTGCTTTAGGGACACGGGTGGTGCTGTGGGTTAAACCACAGAGCCTAGGACTTGCTGATCAGAAGGTCGGCGGTTCGAATCCCTACGACGGGGTGAGCTCCCATTGCTCGGTCCCAGCTCCTGCCCACCTAGGAGTAAAAGCACGTCAAAGTGCAAGTAGATAAATAGGTACTGCTCCGGCGGGAAGGTAAACGGCGATTCCGTGCACTGCTCTGGTTCGCCAGAAGTGGCTTAGTCATGCCGGCCACATGACCCGGAAGCTGTACTCCCTCAGCCAATAAAGTGAGATGAGCGCCACAACCCCAGAGTTGGCCACGACTGGACCTAATGGTCAGGGGTCCCTTTACCTTTACTATGGTGCTTTAAATGCATGTTACGAATGTGTCCCAACTTAGCCTTCTCCCTAACATGTAAGTTTTTTTGTTTGTTTGTTACACGAACAGAGATTTTAATAATGAGGATAAGGTGTAGGAGATGAATTGGCATATAAAGCCTTCTCTGGTTATTAGAGGTTTGGAAATCGTTATAGTAGGCTCATAGATGTCATTGCCCTGCACAGTGGTACCTCGGAAGTCGAACGGAATCCGTTCCGGAAGTCTGTTTGACTTCCAAAACGTTTGGAAACCAAGGCGCGGCTTCCAATTGGCTGCAGGAAGCTCCTGCAGCCAATCAGAAGCTGTGGAAGCCCCGTGGGATGTTCGAATTCCAAAGAACACTCACTTCCTTGTTTGCGGCATTCAGGAGTCAAAATGTTTGACTCGCAAGCTTAGCTGTCAACTTACAGATTTGAAAATAAGGGACTAGCAGCCTCGAAAATAAGGGATCAGCAGCCAAAATAAGGGATTTTCTGGGCACAGGTATGTTCAGCTTTTGAGCCCGTCCGAGCCAAAGGCAGAAAGCCCAGCCAGCAGCCAAACAAAGCCTCAAGCGGTGGTTCCCACAGCGCAGCAACCCAACAAAGGGGATGCAGCAAGGAAAACCACCGTCACCTCTCTGCTGAGAAGTCCTGAGCAAAGGCGAGTCCCCAGGCAATGCGGCTGATTTGATCGGCACAAGGCATGCAAGCTCCAACCCCCCAGTCGTTCTTAGACACCTTATTGGGTGAGCAACGCAGCCAAGCAACACAGTTGGAGCCTCCTTCCTCCCTGGCCGGCAGGGAGGGAGGGAGGGAGGGAGAGGAGCTGCTTCCTTTGAAATCCGGGAAATTTAAGGGACATCATCAAGCAGCGGGACACGGCGCTGGGATAAGGGAGTTTCCCGCCAAATAAGGGACGGTTGACAGCTATGCTCGCAAGGCGTTCGGGATCCAAGGTACGACTGTACTTGTTTCCCGTCTAATGAGAAACAAAACTTTTCTCTTCACACAGGTCTCCCGAAAGCTGCGTTGATTACCCATGAACGCACGTTATTGGCCTGTGGTCTGATCATTGCCAGCGGTGTTACTTCAGCAGATGTTATCTATACCGCTTTGCCGCTCTATCATAGCGCCGCCCTTTTAATTGGGGTGCACGGCTGCATCCTGCAAGGTAAGCGGGGCTTAGTTGGATTAATAACTTGACTTTGTTTTGGAAAGCGTGTTCTCCTTCATGGAGAGCATGTGTTGCGGTGGGGTCTTACAAGACATCCCACTGTTGCTGGGCGGGTAAACGTAGTTAGCCACCATTGCGATTGGGCTCCTCTTGTCGTTGGGGAGAATTTGATGTTGCCATTGAATGATTGACAGCCAAGAAGTTTTATATTCCCTGCGCGCAGCGTTGAGCTTCCTCTTTTCACTGCGCGCATCAGATTACCCGCCCACCCTTCCTATATTTAGGGTTGTTCCCACTGGCCTTGCTATGCCTGTCATGGGGCAGGGGCCTGATAGGAATTTTATCCATTTGGCTGATTGGCTGGTGCCATTTAGTTTTTGCCTACTGCATAGCAAATCGTCACAACTTGTAAGGTTGCGGTTAGGCATTGTTTTTTATGAATTGGTCGGTGGAGAAGCATGGATTGGCTGTGTCTGCCCCTCCAATGCTGTTGCTGCAAGGGTATTCCGTTAAAGAAATCCAGTGGCTCGCCATGCTTTTGTCCAAACCCCTGTCAAGGGGCTAGGGCCACGCAAGAGCCCCTGGGAGTATTTGGGGAGAGTTGAGGGCATGATTCCCAGCTCCATCTTTCTCCCCAAAATGTTTTCCTTTTCTGACTTTCACGGGCGTGCGAATGTCAGTCTGTCCCCGGGCCAGGACAGATAGTCGCAACCAATGCCTAAGCAACCACTCACATTTTCTGTACAGTGGTACCTCGAGTTACATACGCTTCAGGTTACATATGCTTCAGGTTACAGACTCCGCTGACCCAGAAATATTACCTCAGGTTGCTTCAGGATAAGATCAGAAATCATGCTCCGGCGGCGCGGCAGCAGCGGGAGGCCCCATTAGCTAAAGTGGTGCTTCAGGTTAAGAACAGTTTCAGGTTAACAACGGACCTCCGGAACAAATTAAGTACTTAACCCGAGGTACCACTGTAATTTAATGAAGTTGTGGTCAAAATTATGCCAAAAACCTTAAACAAAAAATTCTGTGTGAATTGTGTTTTATTGGGGTGGCATGGGGACCTCGACACACAATGAGCTTCCACTGTAGCATGTTTACTCAGCTTCTAGCCACCGAACTGAGCCAGGAGTGTAGAATCAGCATTTGTTGGCCCTTGCCCCCATCGTTCCTTTATATACATTTCCCCAAAGGTGCCTGGGATCTTGACGCAAGGAACAGCTCCCACACAACATGCCCTTGGAGGCACTTGGAAAGTAACCATGGGTGCAAACAGAGAGAAATACGTTTTGATGCTGCTAATTCAGGGACAATACCGTTTGAACTGAGTGGCAACAAATTAGGATTTGCCGCAGGCGTGGGAACTTCTTGCCTTCCCGGATACTGTTGGGAGTTCAGTTCCCATCATTCCTGCCTATTGGTAGTGCTGGCTAGCACTGGTGGGAGTCTTGACAACATCCAGAGGACCTGATTTCCCATCCCCAATTTAGTGAGTTGTCCTTTTAAAACCTTGATTGCGTTAGCTTTGACCATGCCGTAAGCCAGTTGCGCGTCGAGATCCCCAAGGCCACCCCAATAACTCACATTTCACACATCAATTTTTGTTTAAGGTTTTTGGCATGAATTCGGCCACAACTTTGTTTAAATATACACACCTGAGTGGTTGCTTAGGCATTGGTTACGACTATGTCCTTGCCCCAGGGACAGAACTGACTTCTGGATTCCAGGGGAAGCCAGTGAGGGAAACAACTTTTGGGGAGAAAATGAAGCTGGGCCTCAGTCCCTCACTTCTCACCCTCATGCTCCTGATGGCTGGCACGTCCCAAGTCCGATGCCAGCGACAAGGACGAAAAGAATGGCAAACCCCTGGATTCCTTTAACGGAATTCCCTTTCCGCACCACCATTGGAGGGGTAGGCACTTACCCCTCCACCAACCAATTTTAACCAATGCCTAACCGCCAACCTTACAAGTTGTGACGATTTGCTACGCAGTAGGCAAAAACCAAATGGCAACAGCCATTCAGCCAAATGGACAAAATTCCTACCAGGCCCCTGCCCCAAGGTAGACGACCCCATGACAGGCATAGCAAGGTCAGAGGACAACGAACCCCACCACCTTTTCAGGGAGGGTAGGCGGGTGATCCAGTGCACGCAGCCCAAGAGAAGGCTCCCGGCTGTGAGCCCTGTATTTAAGACCTCTGACTCCTCCCACACTTTAGCAACATAACATTCTCCCCAGCAACGCTCCTTGCCCAATCACAGCATGTGGCCAGTTTGCCCAACAACAGTGGGGTGGCCTTTTTGGCCCCGACCACAACACGTGCTCTCTATTATGGAGAACACGCTTTGTTTCTACCTTTTCCTTGCACTGCCGATTCACAGGGTTCTTAGAATTTCAGGACAGTGCAGTAGGACTGAGTTTATCTATAAGCACAATTTCCAGGGGGCGACTATGTGGGTGTGTCTACGATTACCCATCTCACAGGCTCAAAGATGGCACAATGAGTTTTTAGCAAAGTGTTTGCTCAATGGTTCTGCGTTACTACACACAACACTTTTACGCAGGGGAGCGTTCAGAAATGTGGGCTTGTATTCTGAACTGGTGCAGTCCAGAATTCTGCCACCCGGTCCTGTACATGGGCTCTCAGACAGGAATGTGCAGTCCTTCAGGATTGGTTGCAATTTTCCCACAGCAGCATCAGAAGATGATATATACCGTACTTTTCTGTGTATAAGACTAGGGATTTTTAATAAAAAATAATGTTTAAAAATGGGGCTCGTCTTATACACGGGCAGTGCATTGTGGGGCCGGTTGATTAGTTGCAGCCCCCAAAATAGGGGGCGTCTTATACACAGGGGGTGTTATACATGGGAAAATACGGTATATCCTTCAATAGGGGTGGGTGTGTTAGTGTCTAATTCCACTGTCTCGTTTGCTTGTAGGTGCTACTCTTGCATTACGTTCAAAATTTTCAGCTACTCAGTTTTGGGATGACTGCAGAAAATACAACGTAACTGTCATACAGTACATCGGAGAGGTGCTTCGTTATTTATGCAATGTGCCCAAGGTAAGTTATTCCTCTGACATCTGTGTGTGTGTGTGTGTGTGTGTGTGAGAGAGAGAGAGAGAGAGAGAGAGAGAGAGAGAGAGAGAGCTTCTACAGATATTGTTAGAACTGGTCTTGATTCAATGCCTTATTTATTTATTTAAAGTACAGTGGTATCTCGGGTTAAGTACTTAATTCATTCCGGAGGTCCGTTCTTAACCTGAAACTGTTCTTAACCTGAAGCACCACTTTAGCTAATGGGGCCTCCCGCTGCCGCTGCGCCGGGAGCACAATTTCTGTTCTCATCCTGAAGCAAAGTTCTTAACCTGAAGCACTATTTCTGGGTTAGCGGAGTCTGTAACCTGAAGCGTATGTAACCCGAGGTACCACTGTATTATATATATGGTTTGTTAGCACTTGTGGCTTCTGTAAAAAAAAAAAAATCTGTACCTTCACATGAACTCGAAATTAATTCTAAAGGAAGACTTGGGCCAAGTTCATTTGTTGGATCCACAGCCGTTCTGGATTAAAGCCGCTCTTGCACGACTTGTGACTCTCTAAGCCGGGGACGGGGGAGAATGCTTTTCATGCCAAGAGCCACATTCCCTTCTGGAAAACTCCTCCAGGGCCACATACTAATTTTACTGTTTACTATTAGACTCTGATGGATTGTTGAATGTTGCTTTGTCTGATATCAGTTGTTTATTTTAACATTATTGCGACTTTTATATTGGATCAGATTGTCACTATTAATGTTTGATGTTTTATTAGGTTTTTATGTCCTGGAAGCCACCCAACCCAGTCAGATGGGTGGGGTATAAATGAAACAGTAGTAGTAGTAGAGCCAAAGGCAAAAGTGGGCAGAACAATGCAAGCGAATTTTCCCTTTGTATGGTAGGCTGGTTGCTGTTAAGTTGTGGGTGAACATATCAGACGACACAGCGATTCTTCAAACAGCTCTTGTTTATTCACAGGCCAGGACAGAACTGAACTGAAGGGTTCAGTCAGCCTGCTTATATAGAGCTTCAGTACAACGTAACTGTAACAATTTTCTAAAACTATCCAATCACTGAACGTCACTTTCGATCCCTTATTTGCATAACTATCTACAGTATCCCCCTGCTGGCCCAGGGTGAGAACTTCAGTACATAACAGTTGCCACATGCTCTCATGCACCCCGCTCCTTCCATCCAGACAACAAGAGACATTATCAGAGGTCATGGACACATTCTAGCCAGACAAAAGCACTTCAGGAGGGAGTGAATCAGGGCCTATGTGGGTTGTGACCTGGGAAGAGTCCCAAAGGCCAGACAGAGAGGCAAGGAGGGATGCATTCAAGTCCCCGGACCTGAGGTTTCCCCCTCCTGCTCCAACCTGAATCTAATTCCACCAGCTATACATGACAGCCCATCAGAAGCTTCAGAAACCTACTGTTCCACTGCTTGCCTGTAGCTACAAAAACAAAAGGTTTGCCAGGCTGCAGTCCATAGCTGGTAGGCTGCAGTTGGCTTGGATCACAAGTTATGCAAGCTGGAGGTAAATTAAGGTACCGTGGACTTTGTACGTCAGAAACTTAAACGATTCTAAGAAATTTAATTTTTAGTTTCTCAGCTGCCCTTTGCACTGTAGGAGGGACTGGAATCCAGCAGGAATGTTCTGCATAAGAATACTTGCTGGTGCAATGCCAATTGATGTACCTCCAGCAACCCCACTCTGTGTTGTCCATTGCAAGTGGTGGGAGGTGGAGTTTATCGATTATGGCGGACTAAATTGTCTTCTGTATCTGGGTTGTCTTTCAGGACCTTAAAGCTCTGCAGCTCTGAATACAGGCACAATTGCATTGCTGAACTTGACTCTATAAACAGCACCCCTTAAAGCATCTTTGTGAAACCGTGGCCAAGCAATGCTTAGGTGGGCAGAATCAGTTTTTGAAAGAAAATAGACCGTTCTTCTAACGCAGCATACAAATTTATTAAACAAATAAGTCAAATGGTGGAGAGGGATCTAGAATCTCTGTGAGGAATAATAATAATAATAATAATAATAATAATAATAATAATAATAATTTATTATTTATACCCCGCCCATCTGGCTGGGCCTCCCCAGCCACTCTGGGCGGCTTCCATAGAAACCAAAAATACAGTAAAATATCACACATTAAAAACTTTCCTGAACAGGGCTGCCTTCAGATGTCTTCTGAATGTCAGGTAGTTGTTTATCGCTTTGACATCTGCTGGAAGGGCGTTCCACAGGGCGGGCGCCACTACCGAGAAGGCCCTCTGCCTGGTTCCATGTAGCTTTGCTTCTCGCAATGAGGGAACCGCCAGAAGGCCCTCGGCGCTGGACCTCAGCGTCCGGGCAGAACGATGGGGCTGGAGACGCTCCTTCAGGTATACTGGACCGAGGCCGTTTAGGGCTTTAAAGGTCAACACCAACACTTTGAATTGTGCTCGGAAACATACTGGGAAGGTGAACCCCCATAGGTATACCACGGTCAAGATCTTTCCCTCTGTTCACTTTGCATGCCAGTTGTAGAACAGTACAATGGTACCTTGGTTCTTAAACTTAATCCGTTCTGGAAGTCCCTTCCAAAACCAAAGCGTTCCAAAACCAAGGCACGCTTTCCCATAGAAAGTAATGCAAAATGGATTAATCCGTTCCAGACTTTTAAAAACAACCCGTAAAACAGCAATTTAACATAAATATTACTATCTAATGAGACCATTGATCCAGAAAATGAAAGCAATAAACAATGTACAGTGGTACCTTGGGTTAAGTACTTAATTCGTTCCGGAGGTCCGTTCTTAACCTGAAACTGTTCTTAACCTGAAGCACCACTTTAGCTAATGGGGCCGCCTGCTGCCGCCGCGCCGCCGGAGCCCGATTTCTGTACTTATTCTGAAGCAAAGTTCTTAACCTGAAGCACTATTTCTGGGTTAGCGGAGTGTGTAACCCGAAGCGTATGTAACCTGAAGCATATGCAACCCGAGATACCACTGTACTGCAGTCACACAATCATCAATCAGTAGCTGAAGTGGGTTCCACACAGTCACAAAAACAAAACAAAAAGAACCGCAAAAATAAAAATACAAAATAAATAGCAAAAACAGACAGACCTCCGTGTAACACTCCAAACGGAAATGTGGCGATCAAATCAGAAGTGTAACACGCAAAACGGAGCACACTCGACTTTTGAAAAAGTTCGCAAATCAGAACACTTATTTCCGGGTTTGCAGTGTTTGGGTTCCAAGTCGTTCGAGTCCCAAAGCGTTTGAGAACCAAGGTACCACTCTATTAGATTTGAGCTTTGTACTCACTATTTAAGCAAGAAAAATTGTGGCTTAAATGGCTGCATTTGGTTGCAATCAACTTTCGGCTCAATAAGCAGAGATATGCACGAGCGTAAAACACGAGCTGAACACTTTATTTATTTAATCTTCCTTAGGGGCGTAGCTAATTGAACACCAGGTTTTCCAGTTAATACGCAATTAAACTGAATAGTGGGAAGTTTACACCTGCCTCAGTCTGTTTGGCTGCAAACCAAACAGAATTAAATGGCTCCAGCAATCCTTTGGGATATCAAAGGAGCAGTCTTTAGAGCCCGGTTCAGGAAGCAAGACCTAGTGTCAGGTGACTCTAAGTATAGAGACACATGAATCTCACTGGAAGAAATGTTCAGGGATCTGTTCCAGAAGGAAAGAGAGCTAAGGTTGGGGGCTTAACTAACGGGTGCTAACTGAAAACTGAGTTCCTCTACCTATCTCTATCTTAAGACAGGTTCCTGTATTTGCTTGCAGTTAATATGTTTTGCATAAGGGACGCGGGTGGCGCTGTGGGTTAAACCACAGAGCCTAGGACTTGCCGATCAGAAGCTCGGCAGTTCGAATCCCCACGATGGGGTGAGCTCCCGTTGCTCGGTCCCTGCTCCTGCCCACCCAGCAGTTCGAAAGCACAAAAGTGCAAGTAGATAAATAGGTACCGCTCCGGCGGGAAGGTAAATGGCGTTTCCGTGCACTGCTCTGGTTTGCCAGAAGCGGCTTAGTCATGCTGGCCACATGACCCAGAAGCTGTCTGCGGACAACCGCCGGCTCCCCCAGCAAACAGGGCGAGATGAGCAAGCAACCCCAGAGTTGGCCACGACTGGACCTAATAGTCAGGGGTCCCTCTACCTTTAATATGTTTTGCAGTGTGAATATAGTGGTTGAGCAAGGATTTTCAGTCGTGTCTGGAAGAACACCCTGCACATTTCCACCAACAGAAAACTCTCCAGTGAAGAGTTACAAAAACCAGCTGACTTTTATGCCAGCCATTTTAAGGATTTAATTAAGCTCTCAGCAGCAGCAGCAGCATAGACTGTTGTCAAAGTTGGCATGCTCAGTTACCTGATCCAAGGAAATCACTTCAAAGCTGGGAATAAAGCCCACAGATGTATATTTGTGATAATGAGGGTGTAATACAAAACAAGGTGGCTTTTAGCGATGCGATTTGCTTTTCCTGCGGGTGTTATAAAACTCTTTAGCAGTACAGATCATTAAAGGGGAACCACGGAGCTTAATTTCCATGACGGAAACAGGAGGAGCGAGAACTGTTGGGGTTTTTTTACATAAATATAAAGATCACAATGTTAGGCAACACACACAAAAAAGTTATTTTTTCGATTGTCATCTTGTGTTTCCATCCAAAGGAGCCCAGGGAGGCAAACTGTTAAAACAATACAATTTTAAAACATTTTTGTTTAAACAACGATGACAACCACGTACCCTCACAACTGATGATTTCAGAATTGCCAGAAATATTATCATTTAGCCACTGAATGCTAAGGTGAAACAGTAATGTTGTGCCTAAATGTTAAGAATGAAGGGATCAGATACACATCACCAGGCAAGGCATTCCCTAAATTCGGGGTCTCTACCGAGAAGGCTCCGTCATGGGTTCAGCTGCACTCAGTAACAGCGTTTTCTCGTGTTCCACTCTCCCTGTTTACAGGTGCATTGGTTTTTTATTTTATCTTTAAAGGAATTTTATTAACTGAGACAAAATATATGTGGGACACCAAAAAATCACAATCCTTTCAGAGTTACATATATTTGAAATGTTAACTGGAAAAAAATAAACAAATATCAGTACATTGTAAGTGGTTCATAACCAGGCTTTTTAAAAAAGTGCCTTATTTTTGTGGTACGGTTCCTTTTGGATTTGATCATAGCTCAGATCTAACCTTTACCGCCTTCATTTTGCATCATCTCCTTTACTCAGGGGGAAAGGGATGAAAGGAAAACAGAGGGACGGATGGCGGGTTAATAATAGCTCGCCCCTGGAGAAGCTTTTCTAAGCGGAAAAATAAATCTCAGGACTCCCATGGTCAAAAAAGCAAGAGCGGGGGGGAAATGCATGGAAGGACCAAAGCTAGCTATTGTGGTGTCATGTGGATAGAACATAAGAAGAACCCGCAGGATCAGGCCAAAGACCATCTGGTCCAGCATCCTGTTCTCATAGTAAATTGAAATTGAAATAAATATGAAATACAGTGGTACCTTGAGTTATAGACGCATCAGGTTACAGACTCCACTAACCCAGAAATAGTACCTCAGGTTAGGAACTTTGCTTCAGGATGAGAACAGAAATTGCGTGGTGGAGCAATTAGCTAAAGTGGTACCTCAGGTTAAGAACAGTTTCAGGTTAAGAACAGACCTCCAGAACGAATTAAGTTCTTAACCCGAGGTACCACTGTACTTTATTATCACTTGTACAACTTGCATACAGTGAGATTAGACGAGCACCCCCCACTCAGCTCTCAGGTCTTAATTCCTCTTGTTTACTGACGCACACCCACCAAACCCAAAAGTCAGTTGCCCTGTTATTATCTTTTCATTCAGCAGCCTAACAGCCCACGGATAAAAGCAGTTCTTTACCCTGTTGGTGTGACTAATCATGCTTCTATGAGGGCAGAAGATCAAGAAAGTGCCGGCCAAGGTGTGAATCATCCCTGAGAATTTTCCTCACTCTCCTGAGGCAACATTCTTCCGCGATGTCATCCAGCGGATTCACAGGACAGCCCATAATATCTTGTGCTGTATTCACCGCCCTCTGTAGGCACTTCCTATCAGTTGATGTCAAACCAGCGTACCACACCGTGATGCACTATGAAAGGACACTTTCTATTGTGGACCGGTAGGAGATCATCAAATGTTGATTGACATCGTTCTTTCGCAATATTCTGAGGAGATGGAGTCTCTGTTGGGCTTTCTTAACCACCTGGGTTGTATTGATTTTCCAAGTAAGGTCTTCACTGAGATTAACTCCTAGGAATGTAAAGGAAGAGACTCTCTCCACACAGCCCTCCCCAATGTACAGCTGAGCTAGTTCTCCTCTCTTCCTCTGAAAGTCCAACCCCATCTCCTTTGTCTTGCTAATCTAGTAGCCAACTAGATTCGTGTGGGGAAAACTCTTGAGCAGGATTTGAGCACAAGACCCCTCTCTCCTCCTGTGTCTTCCAGTAGCTGTCATTCAGAAGCATCACTGCCCCCAACCTTGATTCCTAGAGTGTCCTTTTCATCTTTTCAATTCGTATACCGTCTTTCTATCTTACAATACTCAAGGCGGTTTACAAGCTGAAGAAACCAAAAATGTACATCTTATAACAATCTAATGCAATACAGAAATGTGACAATAAAACAAAATTTTAAAATACGCAACCTACATCAAAAAAGTAAAATTCAACAATCCTTTGTTGTTGTTGTTGTCGTGTCCGACTCTTCGTGACCCCCTGGACCAGAGCACGCCAGGCACTCCTGTCTTCCACTGCCTCCCGCAGTTTGGTCAAAGTCATGCTGGTAGCTTCGAGAACACTGTCCAACCATCTCGTCCTCTGTCGTCCCCTTCTCCTTGTGCCCTCCATCTTTCCCAACATCAGGGTCTTTTCCAGGGAGTCTTCTCTTCTCATGAGGTGGCCAGAGTATTGGAGCCTCAGCTTCACAATCTGTCCTTCCAGTGGGCACTCAGGGCTGATTTCCTTCAGAATGGAGAGGTTTGATCTTCTTGCAGTCCATGGGACTCTCAAGAGTCTCCTCCAGCACCATAATTCAAAAGCATCAATTCTTCGGCAATTAGCCTTCTTTATGGTCCAGCTCTCACAATCATTAGAACAGTATAAAATAATAATATTAACATATAAAAGTTAAACAGAAATCCACCCAACAGTTCCAATAAATAATTTCTAAACTATAATAAATAAAACGGCAAGCCACAGTGCATAAAATAATGCAATACAAATTGAGAAGCAGAGACTAGAGGGTCAAGGCAGGTGGAAGGAGGCCTTGCCTGATGAAGTCTCTCCCCTCACAGTCCGTGAACTCTGAATAATGACTCTTGCTTGTCTGGATGGAGGAAAGAGAGGGAAGTATGTAGAAACTCGCCTGTTGTACAACAGGATGCCGTAGCTCGGTGGTAGAGCAACTGGCTTGCATGTAGAAGGTCCCAAGTTCGATCCCCAGCATGTCCCCCTGGGAGAGACCCCCCCCTCCAAGTGCACCTGCCAGGCAGTGTAGACAGCACTGAGCTAGATGGACCTATGCTCTGACTCAGTATAAGGCAGCTAGCTCCCCAGTAAAGATTTACATTGGTTTCTCTGCCTACTTTTGCCCCTGGGTCCGGGCACCATTGTCTTTGATAAGACAATTCTGACTTTTGATGTATGTTTCTGAGCACAATTCCAAGTGTTGGTGCTGACCTTGAAAGCCCTAAACGGCCTCAGTCCTGTATACAGTGGTACCTCAGGTTACATACGCTTCAGGTTACAGACTCCGCTAACCCAGAAATAGTGCTTCAGGTTAAGAACTTTGCTTCAGGATGAGAACAGAAATTGTGCTCCGGTGGTGCGGCAGCAGGAGGCCCCATTAGCTAAAGTGGTGCTTCAGGTTAAGAATAGTTTCAGGTTAAGAACAGACCTCGGGAATGAATTAAGTACTTAACCAGAGGTACCACTGTACCTGAAAGAGCGTCTCCACCCCAGGGAACCAGGCAGAGGGCCTTCTCGGTGGTGGCACCTGCCCTGTGGAACACCCTCCCACCAGATGTCAATGAAATAAACAACTATCTGACTTTTAGACGACATCTGAATGCAGCCCTATTTAGGGAAGTTTTTAATGTTTGATGTTTTATCGTTTTTTTAATATTCTGTTGGGAGCAGCCCAGAGTGGCTGGGGAGACCCAGCCAGATGGGCAGAGTATAAATTATTACTATTATTATTATTATTATTATTATTATTATTATTATTTATCTGATCCTTTATAAGGCAGCTCCCTATGCTTTTCATAGAATCCTCCACCTTCTGCTGGCGTGTGTGGATTACTTTTTGCATGTATGAAATACTGCAATATTTTCTGGCTAGCTCATTCTCTACCGAACACTGTTAATGCCCTTATGGAATCATGACTTCTTCCTTTTATTTCCAGAAAGACAACGATCGCAACCATAGGGTAAGAATTGCCTTGGGTAATGGCTTGAGGGCTGACGTTTGGAGGGAATTCATCCGGAGGTTTGGAAACATACGCATTTTTGAGTTTTACGCAGCCACGGAAGGCAATGTAGGCTTTGTGAACTATACTGGGAAAATTGGAGCCGTGGGAAGATTAAATTATTTGCATAAGGTAAGTGAAAATGTGTTCCAGTGGTCCCTGTTTACCAAGATTAGGCATGAGATACTTCAGATTGATTATGTATATATAACAATATTTACAAAGCTTGTTTAATTTTGAAGATACAACGACGTCATCAGAAGCTCACACTAACAGAATCCATTCATCATGATCTGAACCTCTGTATTAATTAACAGGTGGGGGTTCCGTTCTAGGCCCCTGTGTTTTTGCGAAATCACATAAAATGGGGAGCGCCCTGGAGAGTCCTAGTGACTCGCAAGGAGACCTACCTCAGATCCCAAAGAGGACCTCTCCAGGCTCCAGGGAGGGTCTCCTCGCAAGCCGGAGGGGCAGTGGGGCTTTGTTGAGCTGCTTAGCCTCACCGCCTAACAGCTGATGTTCAAGGTAGCGCAGCAGCCGTCGCTGCTTCCAAGTGCACCAGCTGAAGAAGTCCACGGCACTTCCATGCATGTATATGATGCTTAAAGTGTTCTCTTTTTTTATATAAACAGTATTGGGGGTCTGTATGAAGAAAAATGCAATGTATATATGTAAATGTGATGGATATTAGACCTCCGGGTATAGGGCAGTATATAAATTTGATTAATAATAATAATCATTATCATCATCATCACCATTTTCATTAGAAAATAATGCGCTATGACCTGATTAAATATGATGTAGAGAAAGATGAACCTTTCCGAAATGAAGACGGCTACTGTATAAAAGTTCCTAAAGGTACATATGTTTTACTTCTTTATTTGCCGGTAAAATTCAGTGCTGCTGTTTCTTTGAGCTGCCATTTTAGTAGGCCTTGTTTGCACATCATTTTGAAGTGCGGAAAACAATAGGTCTTTTAAAGGTTGCTGGACTGCAGCTCCCATCATCCCTGAACCCTGGCCATGCTCACTGTAGCTGATGGGAATTGCAGTCTAGCAACATCTGGAAGGCCACAAATTCCCTACTTGTGAACGAAACAACTCCATCTGTGAAACATTATCCCCAAGGAAACATGCCTGACACCGTCACTAAGACCTTTATATTCACTCAAATATTTTGTAACTAAGAGAGCCTTCCTCTACGGTGGTGTTTATCTGGGGTGGCTAGGACTTGTCAATATTACATAATTAGATGAGCATTTTGGGTATTTTGTATGATACATTGTTTTAAATTTGTGGGTTTTGATTGGTTTTGTCTGTTTTATTTTACCTCATTAAAATAATAATAATAATAATAATAATAATAATAATAATAATAATAATTTATTTATACCCCGCCCATCTTGCAGGGTCCCCCCAGCCACTCTGGGGGGCTTCCAACAAAACACTAAAATACAATAACCTATTAAACATTAAAAGCTTCCCTAAACAGGGCTGCCTTTAGATGTCTTCTAAAAGTTATTTTTCTCTTTGACATCTGGTGGGAGGGCGTTCCACAGGGCGGGTGACACTACCAAGAAGGCCCTCTGCCTGGTTCCCTGTAACTAGTCTTCTCGCAGTGATGGAACCGCCAGAAGGCCCTTGGCGCTGGACCTCAGTGTCCGGGCAGAACAATGGAGGTGGAGACGCTCCTTCAGGTATACTGGACCGAGGCGTTTAGGGCTTTAAAGGTCAGCACCAACACTTGGAATTGTGCTCGGAAACATACTGGGAGCCAGTGTAGGTCTTTCAAGACCGGTGTTATATGGTCTCGGCGGCCGCTCCCAGTCACCAGTCTAGCTGCCACATTCTGGATTAATTGTAGTTTCCGGGTCACCTTCAAAGGTAGCCCCACATAGAGCGCATTGCAGTAGTCCAAGCGAGAGATAATTTATTTTTTAAAGCAACTAACAAATGTAATAATAGATAGATTGATACATAGATTGTACCCAGCCCATCTGACTGGGTTGTCCCAGCCATTCTGGGCGGCTTCCAACAGAATATAACAAAACAGAGTGAAACATCAGGCCTTAAAAACTTCCCAGTATGGGCCTGCCTTTTTATACTTGCTTGTTTGTTTTTTTGTTCCTTATAGGTGAAGTGGGACTGTTAGTTTGTAAAATAACACGGTTTGCACCATTTAGTGGATATGTGGGAGCCAAGAGCCAGACTGAAAAGAAAAAGCTCAGAGATGTGTTCCAGAAAGGGGATTTATATTTCAACAGTGGTGATCTTTTAATGATTGACCATAACAACTTCATTTATTTCCATGACCGAGTTGGAGACACATTCCGGTTTGTTGGCTTTTTATGTATATTTATGACCTTTAAAAGGCGAAAGCAAATAATTGTGGGTTCTTAATGTATGCAGCAAGGGACGCGGGTGGCGCTGTGGGTTAAACCACAGAGCCTAGGACTTGCCGATCAGAAGGTCGGTGGTTCGAATCCCCGCGACGGGGTGAGCTCCTGTTGCTCAGTCCCTGCTCCTGCCAACCTAGCAGTTCGAAAGCATGTCAAAGTGCAAGTAGATAAATAGGTACCACTAAGGTGGGAAGGTAAACAGCGTTTCCGTGTGCTGCTCTGGTTTGCCAGAAGTGGCTTAGTCATGCTGGCCACATGACCCGGAAGCTGTACGCCGACTCCCTTGGCCAATAAAGCGAGATGAGCGCCACAACCCCAGAGTTGGCCACGACTGGACCTAATGGTCAGGAGTCCCTTTACCTTTTAATGTATGCAGCTCATCAGAAAGATGATGTGCAGCAGAGAATTTGGGTGATCATGTCACTATGCAGTGCAGGTAGGGGGACAAACACACACACCTCTCTCTCTCTCTCTCCCTCCCTCTCTCTCTCTCTCTCTCTCTCTCACACACCCTCTTTTGTTGACCTCTTACTGAATATGTGAGCTTACAATGAAAAATATTCTGTCGGAAATGGGTAGCACCAACATGCAAGTCATCACTTAGTGATGCCAACAGTCAGCAGATGAATGTGTGGACTTATTCCAAGTCAGTCCACATACTGACTTGCAGAAATGGCAACATGAAATGGTCTTGAAGAGGGGGTTTCGTATTATTGTGTCAGGGCTGGAGCCACGAAAGCTGAACCCAGAAAACATTTCCATGGATGCCCTATGTGGTAGCTAGTCAGAAGTTCAGTTTGGGGCATCTTCCAGAGGTTTATATGGTCTCAGGCTCTGAACTAGCCCCACCCACCCAGGGTGGCCATTAGGCCCTGTGGTCTAAACCACTGAGCTCTTGGGTTTGCTGATCAGAAGGTCGGCGGTTCGAATCCCTGTGACGGGGTGAGCTCCCGTTGCTCGGTCCCAGCTCCTGCCAACCTAGCAATTCGAAAGCAAGTGCAAGTAAATAAATAGGTACCACTCCGGCGGGAAGGTAAACAGCGTTTCCGTGTGCTGCTCTGGTTCGCCAGAAGCGACTTAGTCCTGCTGGGCACATGACCCGGAAGCTGTACGCCGGCTCCTTCGGCCAATAAAGCGATATGAGCACCACAACCCCAGAGTCGTCTGCGACTGGACCTAATGGTCAGGGGTCCCTTTACCCTTTACCTATATTACTTGCAGGTTAGTTACTTAATTTGTATGGCTACATCTCTGCAAAGGAAAGTGGCGCAAGTGTCCATTATTTTGCAATGTTACTTGCTCTGAGTTTGTTTGCTTTAATGGGATTTTCTCCTCTGCTGCCCCCGCCCCCCATCTCAGATGGAAAGGAGAAAATGTTGCTACAACTGAAGTTGCAGATATTCTGGGACTGATCAACTTTATTCAGGAGGCAAATGTATATGGCGTGCCCATTCCAGGTATAGTATGAATGCTCTGGTGTCAAAGGTGATAGTTTTGTGGCTTCTTGAAAAGAGAGAGAAAAATGGCCTTCTTTCCATCATTGTGGCTGCTACACTCCCTCAACACTCATCCTAAGTGATCAGAAGATCTCTGTCCCACCTTCTGTATTTTCCTCATAACACATTTGAATTTTTTGTAACCATGATTGCAGAGTAATGTATCAACATTAAAAAAAGATAGCAGCAGAGAAGGGAGTCATTAACTTTCTAGACAAAACCAAATACTGTTTTTCAGCATTTGTAAACACATTTTGAGTTGCAAAGGAGAGAAGTTGGATTAGAATGAATGCAATCAATTTTTAAATATTGGGAAGTCCGTGACAGAAGTGGATATTTTGTATGAACCGAAATATTAACTTACAGTGGTACCTTGGTTTAAGAACAGCTTAGTTTATGAACAACTTGGATTAAGAACGCTGCAAAACCCAGAAGGAGGTGTTTTGGTTTGTGAACTTTGCCTTGGAATAAGAACATGTTTTGTTTCCTGTTGAGTGTGTTCCATTTGTAAATTGAGTCCCCCCCTGCTATGGGAAAGCACGCCTTGGTTTAAGAACGCTTTGGTTTAAGAACGGACTTCCAGAATGGATTAAGTTTGTAAACCAAGGTACCACTGCATACATGTCTACTCAAACATAAAGCTACACTAAGTTCTATAGGACTAAGTGCAAAGGATTGCAGTCTTATTTTACTATATGCTTTTCTTTTCTCTAAAAGAATAAAAGACAAATCAGTGACAAGTTCTATTTATACAATTATGCACATTTTTTAAAAAAATATGTATTTATTTATATACCCTTTATATGCTGAAATGGCAACTAACCAGTATACAATTATAAAATCAAGAAAATTGTAATTACAAATCATAAGATCAATACAAATTAAAATACACAATAACAATTCCATTGGGGCATTAAAACACCCCCAATTAAATATAGAAATGAATGCAATGAATACGAAATTTAAAAATACAATTATTATCATTATTATTAATAATAATAGTAATAATAATATCCTGCCCAACAGAATATTAAAAACACGATAAAACATCAAACATTAAAAACAATAAAACAAACCATTACAAAGCACAACAATCAGAAGAATTAAATGTGATTATGTGATTAAATGTGTTATGTTTTCAGGAAACGTCTTTTTTAAAAAAGAAAAAGGAAAAATAGCAAACAATAGGAGTCTTTTGCTGGGTGCTCCATTTCTGCCACCGACATTTAGAGCTTGATTACCAAGTGTGCTTGAAGCTGCTTTCCTTTGTTTTCACCTGCCTCTGTTGAAGAGGTAAACACCTAATTGCCATGGGAAAGATTTCGCCAACAAGAGAACTGAATAATAGTCCAGAGTTCCTTATCCTCTCCTCAGATTATGTTACAGCAGATGAAGGAAATATAGCTCAGCTCCCCTTGGGCCTAAAAAACCAAATAGAAGACTGAAATGCCTAATTGCAAACTGGTCTTGCAGCAAGGGGGAGAGTAGCAAGTCGTGGTAACCCTTCACATTTTTTTATTATCCCTAGGCTAAACCTTTTCCCCCCTTTTAGATAGATCCTATATATTTGCCACCTGACGTAAGTTCACAGGGACAGAATCTCTCCTAAACACTTAAGCCAATCTGGCAGATTCAGGTGTGAGCACCAAATATTCTATCCCAAACCACAAATCCTTTGAGTAAACAGTATTCAATGCCAGGTGTTCCTTTCCAAGTGACAAAAAGCACAGATTAGCTCAGAAGAAAGTATGCAACCATGTTCTCACAGCCCTGGCTAGGGGCTCCTGTGTCAATAACATTCAAGGTCATAGACCTTAGAAGCCCTGGGAGGAGGCTGATTCCATCAAGACTATTCCAGCCCCTTCCCCTTAGGTTTTGGCTTAAAAAACTGTAGTCCTTTCACCTATGTGTACAAGGAAGCTCTCTCATCCCACACATAGCATGACTACAGTGTCAAACAGCCGTGGTTCAGCTGAAACCTCCAGGTGCCCAAAGCACTTACCTAACTGGAGAGATGGGCTTGATAATTTGGCTGTTTTTAGTTCACGTTCTTGATGTAGGGCAGCGGTAGACTTCAGGCAGCTATGGTCTTCTTCTCCAACTCATTTGGACTTGCACAGAAAAGGTCTGAGGGTTAAGTTGTTGTTGTTGTTGTTGTTGTTGTTGTTACCCTGCCTATCTGGCTGGGTTTCCCCAGCCACTCTGGACGGCTCCCAACAGAATATTAAAAGCACGATAAAACATCAAAACGTTAAAAACTTCCCTAAACAAGGCTGCCTTCAGATATCTTCTAAAAGTCAGATTCAGTGGTACCTCAGGTTACATACGCTTCAGGTTACAGACTCCGCTAACCCAGAAATAGTACCTCAGGTTAAGAACTTTGCTTCAGGATGAGAACAGAAATCGTGCTCCGATGGTGCGGCGGCAGCGGGAGGCCCCATTAGCTAAAGTGGTGCTTCAGGTTAAGAACAGTATCAGGTTAAGAACGGACCTCCGGAACGAATTAAGTACTTAACCCAAGGTACTACTGTAGTTGTTTATTTCCTTGGCATCTGATGGGAGGGCCTTCCACAGGGCGGGCGCCACTACCAAGAAGGCCCTCTGCCTGGTTCCCTGCAACCTTACTTCTCGCAGTGAGGGAACTTTCAGAAGGCGCTCGGAGCTGGACCTCAGTGTCCGGGCAGAATGATGGGGGTGGAGACGCTCCTTCAGGTATACTGAGGTAGTCAAGTATACCTTGACTACTTGACAAGTTGTCAAGACAGTCTGTTTTTTATGATTTACACTGTTCGAAAAATTTTCTAGTAAGCTGTATCAGGAACTTCTTGAGATGCGGTTTAGAAACACAGGCAACAGATATAATGGGAAAAACTGGTTTTAATAAATGATTACAGAATATTTGTTACTTAAGAGAAGTGTTGAAGCCTCAAAGAGATACAGGGAAGTCAACTAATATAGCAGGGATTCAAACTAGTTTTTCCGGAACAGAAAGAAAGTGACTGTAAAGAAAGAAAGAAAATAAGGATTACAAATGTATTTCTTTCTGAGACCTGGTGTATAGAATATTCAAATTACTGTTTGTGCCCTTTGAACAATTTAGTGTACTTGACTAATTCTTTTTTGTTTTATATTATCTACCTTTTAATTTCTTTTTCTTCTTCTTTTTCCATTTTTGTATTTTTCCTTTTGATTTTTGAATATTTGGATGTAATGTTTAATTTATGCTTTCTTTGTAATTTTTAAAATGCAATAAAGATTTAAAAAGAAAAAAGAAACGCAAGCACCAATGATTGCTTTGCAGGTCACGAGGGCAGGATAGGCATGGCATCCATACGCCTAACAGACGGCTGTGAATTTGATGGGGGACAACTCTACAAACACGTCGTAGACTACCTGCCTGCTTATGCAAGGCCTTGTTTTGTGAGGCTCCAGGTAAGTCTGCCTTACTAAGGACCATTTTCACCATGGAACAGGTTCTAGTATTAGTGGAAGTTACAATACGGTAGGAATCTGCGCATCTATGATTCTACCGCTCCTGTAAGAAGACTGATTACAGCATTCAGGCTTTTTTTTTTTTAGAGAAAAGGCAAGCAAGAGTCAACAGGATGTTGTTGTTGTTGTTTAGTCATTTAGTCGTGTCCGACTCTTCGTGACCCCATGGACCAGAGCACGCCAGGCACTCCTGTCTTTCACGCAGTTTCTTTCTCCCGCAGTTTGGTCAAACTCATGCTGGTAGCTTCAAGAACAGTATCCAGCCATCTTGTCCTTTGTCGTCCCCTTCTCCTTGTGCCCTCAATCTTTCCCAGCATCAGGGTCTTTTCCAGGGAGTCTTCTCTTCTCATGAGGTGGCCACAGTATTGGTGCCTCAGCTTCACAATCTGTCCTTCCAGTGAGCACTCAGGGCTGATTTCCTTAAGAATGGATAGGTTTGATCTTCTTGCAGTCCATGGGACTCTCAAGAGTCTCCTCCAGCACCATAATTCAAAAGCATCAATTCTTCGGTGATCAGCCTTCTTGATGGTCCAGCTCTCACTTCCATACATCACTACTGGGAAAACCATAGCTTTAACTATACGGACCTTTGTTGGCAAGGTAATGTCTCTGCTTTTTAAGATGCTGTCTAGGTTTGTCATTGCTTTCCTCCCAAGAAGCAGGCATCTTTAGAAAGGTATAAAATGATGCATAAAATGGAGAAAAAGGACAGAGAAATGTTTTTCTCCCTATGCATCATGACACTAGAATTCTAAACGTTGGAAGAGGACGGACAAAAGAACATACTTTTTAACACAGTGCGTTTGAAATTGCTCCCACAAGGGGCAGTGATGGCCAGCAGCTTGGATGGCTTTAAAAGAGGAGCTCAGTCAGTAGAGCCTGAGACTCTTGATCTCGTGGGTTCGAGCCCTATGTTGGGCAAAAAGATTCCTGCCTGCCAGGGGGTTGGACTCGATGACCCTCATGGTCCCTTCAAATTCTACAATTCTATGGTTCTAAATTCATGAAGAATAATGTTATCAGTAGCAACTAGCCCTGATGGATGTGTTCTATGTCCACAGTCAGAGGCTGTATGACTCTGAATCCTGGACGCCACAGGAGGAGAGGGTGCTTTTTCTTTGGGCATAGTTGATTAAGGATACTTAATCCAGAGGGGTGCATACTCTAGTTATCTCCCGCTTGGACTACTGTAATGTGCTCTAAGTGGGGCTACCTTTTAAGGTGACCCGGAAACTGCAATTAACCCAGAATGTGGCAGCTAGACTGGTGACTGGGAGTGGCCGCCAGGACCACATAACACCGGTCCTGAGAGATCTGCATTGGCTCCCAGTACGTTTCCGAGCACAATTCAAAGTGTTGGTGCTGACCTTTAAAGCCCTAAACGGCCTCGGTCCTGTATACCTGAAGGAGCGTCTCCACCCCCATTGTTCTGCCCGGACACTGAGGTCCTGCGCCGAGGGCCTTCTGGCGGTTCCCTCATTGCGAGAAGTGAGGTTACAGGGAACCAGACAGAGGGCCTTCTCAGTAGTGGCGCCCGCCCTGTGGAACGCCCTCCCTTCAGATGTGAAGGAAATAAGCAGCTATCTTCTTTTTAAAAGACATCTGAAGGCAGCCCTGTTTAGGGAAGTTTTTAATATTTAATGCTGTATTGTTTTTAACACTTGATTGGAAGCCGCCCAAAGTGGCTGGGGAAACTCAGCCAGATGGGCAGGGTATAAATAATAAATTATTATTATTATTATTATTATTATTATTATTGGGAATTGTAGCTCTGTGAGGGGGAAACTACAATTCCCAGGATTCTCTGTGGGAAGCAATGTGCTTTAAATATGTGTGGGGTGTGCTTTGAATGTACAGTGCGATTCCGTCCTTAGTGTCAGAATCCTAGGTGTGTAACTTGAAACCCAACAGAGATGGACTCGACTTTAACCTACACCTTGGAGCTGAGCCTAAAAGCTGACTTCATAGCTACACCAGCCAGACTAATGTTTATACTTCCTTTTTTTATTTTTTGGCAAACTTTGTACTTTTCCTTTCCCCCCACTTCCTCATATTTTGTGTAACATCTTGCCTGAGAAAGAGTTCTTGAGAGCTCAGACACTTGTCATTATTTTTGGCATTTTTGTTGATTCCAGTAAATATATCGCCCAACTGATAATATTAAGGCTACAATCCTGTTTACCTGAGAGTAAGCTCCTCTGAATACTGTGCCTTACACTTGCATAAACATGCATAGGATTGCACTGTAATTTTGCCTTTTCCCTTGTTGTTGCAGGATGCCATTGAGGTCACCGGAACATTCAAGCACCGGAAGGTGCAGTTAGCCCAAGAAGGATTTGACCCAGCAGCTATCAAAGACACCCTGTATTTCTTGAATGACAAAGAAAAGACATACGTACCCCTAACGGAAGACATTTATAATTCAATATGTAGCAACCAACTGAAACTATAATGCACCCAAAGCTCCTGGCTGGTGGTGTTTGTAAGAGAAGCAAGAATCGGTTTTTATATAATGTTAGAAAGTTACCAAAATTGATTTGAAAGTGATTATGTGTTTGTATCTAGAATCTAGTGGGTGGTTCCCTAGACCAGAGGGCTGGGAGGTCTCCTGCTCTTGATGGGGTTACACTTCCCCTGAAGGAGCTGGTTCGCAGCTTGGGGGTGTTCCTGGATCATTTGTTGTCGCTCGAGGCCCAGGTGGCCTCAGTTGCCCAGAGTGCCTTCCCTCAGCTTCAGCCGGTAACCCAGCTACGCCCCTATCTGGACAGGGATAGCTTAACTTCTGTTGTCTATGCTCTGGTAACTTCAAGGCTAGATTACTGCAATGCGTTATACGTAAGGCTGCCTCTGAAGACGCTTCGGAAACTTCAGCTAGTGCAGAATTCAGCAGGGAGGTTGCTCACCGGGGCAAGACGGTTTGTGCATATTATACTGATCCTGGTCCGACTGCACTGGCTACCAATTAGTTTCTGGGCCCAATTCAAAGTGCTGGTTTTGACCTATAAAGCCTTAAACAGCTCAGGACCGCAATACCTCAAGGACTGCCTCTTTTTATATGAACCTACCCGTACCGTGAGATCACCTTCTGAGGCCCTCCTTGAGAGGTGCAAAGGGTGGCAACACGAGAACAGGGCCTTCTCTGCAGTGGCTCCCTATCTGTGGAATGCTCTCCCCAGTGAAGTTTGCCTGGCACTTTCATTTTATACCTTTAGGCACCAGGCAAAAACGTTCCTTTTAAGCCAGGCCTTTGGTTGACCTGATTGACATCCTATACCCCTTTAAAATATAGCTTGGGGGGGCATGTTATTGGGTTATTCTTATTTTGATTTTATATATTGTGATCTTTTCTGTGAACCACCCTGAGATCTGTGAGTATAGGGCGGTATATTAATTCAAATAAATAAATAGAATTTTAAATGCCATTACATTCTTTGTTTAACAGATATTTTAGTGGTGATGGTGAAGTTGTTTTACAACTCTGCCTTCACAGTTCTGGGCAGTATGCTTTCGAATGCCAGTTAATGGGAATCACAAGGCGAGAGAGTCCTGTTGCACTCAGATCCCATTTGTGGGTTTCTTATAAGTATCTGGTTGGTCACTGTGAGAGGACCTGAGGTTCTCCTTTCTGTCATAGGAGTTCCTGTATTCTTGTTTTACATATACATTCCTTTTATGATACGATACGATATCTTTATTGTCATTGTCCCATACAGAACAATTAAATTAGAAAATCTACATAAGACATTCAGAAACCCCCAAAAACTCTGAAACCCCATTTTAAAATACAATATACTCCTATAGAGACTCCTTATACTGTGTTTAAAACCAGAATTGCATTTGGGTAGAAACTGTTTCTCAGGCGGCTAGTCCTAGTCTTTATCACCCTGTACCTTCTTCCAGAAGGCAGAAGCTGAAAGAGATCATTTCTGGGGTGCGCACTATCCTGCGCTATCTCTGCAGCTTTCTTATGGCACCTGGCAGCATAGATTTGATCTAAGGTGGGAAGAGTGCACCCAATTATTCTCTCTGCAGTCTTTACAACCCTGGACAGCATTGGTTTTTCCCTGGCCATGCAGCTCCCAAACCACACACACAGACAGTAAGTTAATACACTCTCCACAGTACAATGGTAAAATGTCATCAACAGGTCCTTTGAGAGATTGTTTTTTCGGAGGATTCTCAAAAAATATAACCTCTGCTGTGCTCTCTTCATCAGGTCTTTGCTGTTTTCTAAATTTAGCACTAAAATCTGCATGATCTGCATACGAGTTCCTGCCATGTGGCTTATTGAGTACTGAATGAACGTCTCCATTATCGCTGGAAACCAAAATGGTCCTGGAGGAAGTGAATTAACCTTCAGACCACCTTGACCTATTCAACCCTTTTCTAGATTGCCCAATCATTGGGACAATGTCCCCACATTTCAGGATATCCTTGTTCTATAAAGTAGCTGCGCCTAACTCAGCAGCGATGTACTAACATGTGTAAAATATTTGTTCCACAAATTACCATTTTGCAAAACAGATCCCACGAGTTTCAAGTATAACTTATTTCTGGCTGTTGGTTTGTGGTGTTTTTCCAACAGAAAGAAGAACATGGTTTCCTTGACAGCATTTCTTGTTGCAACATTTGTTGGTGCTCTTCCTTCTTCTGAAACTAAAAAAGGCTGAGGACAGTTGACAACTTTTCATCCTAGCAAAGGTTTTTGTGCATCAAAAAGACAGAAATCCTACATATTCAGCATTTCCTGGCCTGAAAATACCATGAGGAAAATGACATCTGTTGACACTGTAAACAACTAAAAACTTTGGCAGCATTTGAGTAACGTTTGTAAAGTGCTAAAAACTAAGGTAAAAATGGATTATTTAAGAAAAATAGAGAAAATATGTGATGCAGTCGAAAAAGGTTGAATATGGAAACCATGGAAGGGTGGAAGGGATTCAGGAAATTCAGGAAATCCTAAATGCTGATGCTGATGTCTAATGTTTGAATTTAAATGCGTAGTGTAAAACTGAATAAAAAAGATTGTACAAAAAAACAAAACACCAAATCTCAAGGGGCCAGTTTTGAACTAATGGCCTCTAGTTGCTGACCCTCTTTTGTATGATAGCTTACCAACCCACAATGCAAAAACTCCATATGGAAGCAGAGAATCTGCAATGAAACATGAAACGCCAGGCACAATGCTAAATAGTTTTATTTCTCTTTTAAACTTATTAAATATACAGGCTTTAAAAAAAATAGCACAGAGTCTTCTGTAACTAATATAATTATTTTATATATTATTAGAGAGGGTCATAGATTATTGCGTTGCATGAGAATAAGCAGGCTTTGGTTCTCGCTGCCTCGAGGAGAGCAGGGGGACAGCCGTTGAGGGTGGAGGACTGACTACACGGTGGCCTGTAGAGGGCAGCAAGGCAGCTGGAGCCCACACTGAATCGTGCATTCCGGAAAACTGGGCACGCTGTAAAATTTCAGGTGTTTCTTCAGGGCGCTTTTCTTGAGCATCAGTATCTCTCTGGGCAATTGGGAAAGGAGTTTCTCGCTGGTGCAAGATCCTCTCTTCCCGGGGACCTCCAAGCCCATGGCCTTTGAGTGGCTCGCTTCCCAAAAGCCAGCTGTTGGCACACTGAGAGAGCGAGCTGTCTTCTTCTTGCTTTGAACAGAGAACGAGGGCACTTTGTGGTTAGTGGGGCTCAGGCTACCTTCTGTGAAGCAGTCGTCCGAATGAGGATCCTCAGGCACGGCGACATTTTCACCGAACGACCACGGAGAAGGACTCAGAGAGCCTCTTCGAGGCTGCACAGTTATTTTACATGGTGACCTTTTGCTTTCTTCTTCCTCTAAGTCAAAAAAGGGAGCAGCACCTATTGATTTTGAAATGGGGCTGGTTATCACGTTGGGAACTTGGACCCCTTCCTCTGAGATGGCGACAGGTTTGGGCGTATGATGCATGTTTAAGACTTGCACCGCAGCCTGTTGGATGAGGGCCCAGTCTCGTCGGATGTCTTCTCGGGTTGTAAACTGAGATGTCACAGTGAACCGAATGATGAACTTGTCGTGAACCGTTGCCGGAATAACAAAGAGCTTTCCCGATTTGTTCAGATCTTTTAAGACCTTTTCTGTCATCCAGTTAGGGCCCTGTTTTCAAAAGATATTGTGATAATCCACGTACAAATTGTTTTCAAAGTAATAATAATATAATAATAATTTATTATTTATGCCCTGCCCAACTGGCTGGGTTTCCCCAGCCACTCTGGGCAGCTCCTAACAGAATATTAAAAACACGATAAACCATCAAACATTAAAAACTTCCCCAAACAGGGCTGCCTTCAGATGTCTTCTAAAAGACAAATAGTTGTTTATTTCATAGACATCTGATGGGAGGGTGTTCCACAGGGCGGGCGCCACCACCGAGAAGGCCCTCTGCCTGGTTCCCTGTGACCTCACTTCTCGCAGGGAGGGAACCGCCAGAAGGTCCTTGGTGCTGGACCTCAGTGTCCGGGCTGGATGATGGTGGTGGAGATGCTCCTTCAGGTATACTGGGCCGAGGCCATTGAGGGCTTTAAAGGTCAGCACCAAAGAGAGAGGCCATGCAACTGAATGCACCAATTCCCATCATAGATTTTGATTAACCCAGGAATCTGGACCAACACCAGTGAAGTCAGGTCTGTGAACTTAAATTATGCTTTTTCCTATTAAAAGATGACTTGGTGGATGGTGTGGATGCTTGACAGAAGTTTATAAAGTTATACTTGAAGTGGATAAATTAGCGGATTTTTCTCCCTCACCCATAGCAACTAGGATGTGGAAAGAGCCAGTAACTTAGACTGTAACTGCACTGAGGGACATGAAGCAGCCCTGTTAATGGCCTGGCTATATTCCACCCCCCTTCAGCCTTTCATTGGAGATCTGATGCTAGAGATGCTCACAGTGATTCATTCTCTCCTACGCTCCTTCTTCATAGCTGTTTTTTGGGGGGGTGAAGTGGGTTGTTTTAAACTCTAGAGGGGGAACTTTTGCTCTTACCTTTAAACGAAACACAACCAGTCCAAGGTGTCTCTTAGCAGGGATTTCAAACAGGGGATCACTTCTAACCAGTGACTCAAAATATTTGGCCATCTCAGTGCCCTACAGTTTCCAAAAAAAGCATAAGCAATTATTGTTTTACAATGATTTTGATTAAATCTTCCAAATTATTACATAACTCCAAACTTAGGTATTGGTTTGTTTATTTTTTTACACATTTTCTTCTTGACTTCCTGCCCCTCCTTCCTTGATTTTTTAAATTCCCCCTTAATATCTGCATTAACACGCATCTTCATTTATTTTTTAAGCCCGCAAAATCCATTTTCTACATTCTTCCATTGCTCCTATCTCAAATCCTGCACGTGATTTCATATGAGAATTATAGTTTGATAGGTATAATCCACCAACGGCCTCCATCCTTCTATAAAAAAGATCACCATTTTGTCCTCTTATTTTAGCATAAGCAATTATCATTTCCAAGAGCAGTGCAAAAGTCATAGGATGCAGAATTAAAATGAAAACATAATCTTGCCCAGAACCAATGAGACATCCCTGACCACCCTCAAAGCTTTAAGTAATTAACATTTTAACATACAGAAAGGCTGGAGAAACTTTGAGGTACCTACTCACCATTGGCACTTAAAAACTGTGCCTGGCTGCTGGCTAGCAAGCTTTCCTATCCGACTCATTAGCCAAAGTTCTGCATATTACACAAAATTGCCAACCAAGATGTATATAGAATCATAGAGTTGTAGAGCTGGAAGGGATCACGAGGGTCATCTAGTCCAACCCCCTGCAACGCAGGAATCTTTTGCCCAATGTGGGGCTCGAACCTACAACCTTGAGATTAAGAGTCTCATGCTCTACCAACTGAGCTATCCCAGCTGGATATATTGTTAGGAGAAATTCATACAAAACTGCCAGCTCCACTTCCCAGTGGGGAGGAGTTGCAGTGGACCGTGTGATCACCCACTCCCCACCGGGGGGCGGGGGACTTTGTCCCCCGTTGCCTGGGGGATCCCGGCCACGTCAGAGCCCAGCCAGCCAATCGGCGGCGAGCCTTTGGGCTCTTGTGGCGGCTATGCATTGTTTGACCTTGTGTGGGGGAGGGGAGGTGTGGCCATCACCTGCCCCTCCATGCTTAAGGGTATTCCGTTAAGGGAACCCGGGGGTGTTGATCTAGTCTGAAGCTCGGCTGGGGGGCTAGGGCCTTGACACGACCCCGATGGGAACACCAGGGGGAGCTTGAGTTGGTTCGCATCGATGGGGCTCCCCCTACCGGTGGTTTACCCTTACTGGACTTCCTGCACAATGGGCAGGAGTCAGATATAGTCAGGTCCATTCAATGCCTAAGCCAATACTGCTCACATTCTGTAATTCAATAAAGTTGTGGCCAAAATTTGCCCAATAGCATAAACATAATATCCGTGTCCTTGTGTGAGTTATTTCCAACGAGGGAGTGGCTGTGGCGTCTCGACACGCAATGGATTTTCATTAGAACTGCACTTAAGAGTGGGGGAAATTAGAAACCAAAACTGACAGATTCGCCCTTGCCCAGTCACACATTTACACCTCCAGTTCACCTACATGTCTGACGTGGTCTTGAAGCTTCTTCACACCAAACGAGCGGATCACAAACCAGAGCTTCAGAGAACGAAACCTTCGGCTCAGTGGGATTTGCCAGTGCTGTAAATCAAACAACAGTCAGAGCTCAGCCAGGAGAAAAAGGTGGAGAAGGACACGAAAGCCACATATGTGGGATCTCATTCTACTTATTGTTGGGGAGCGACTGTACCTCGGCAGCAGAGAAAGCTCATGCATCTGTCTGCTTTTCCAATAATACACTCCTGCAGCCTTCCCAAACCTGCTGCCCTCCAGCTGTTTTGGACTATAGTTCCCATCAGCCACGGTCTGCATTTTGTGTGCATCCAAACAGAGACCAGATGCCCACAAGGCCTCATTTGAGTTAGAATTAAACAGAGACCGGGCGCAGGAATCTCTCCTAGTATCCCCCCAGTAAACAAAGAACGAATAAAAAGTGGTGCCTCCTTCTGAGATCTACAGATGAAGGGTGGTGTACATTTTTTTATAAGGTAAAGGTAAAGGGAACCCTGACCATTAGGTCCAGTCGTGACCGACTCCGGGGTTGCGGCGCTCATCTCGCTTTATTGGCCGAGGGAGCCGACGTTTGTCTGCAGACAGCTTCCAGGTCATGTGGCCAGCATGACGAAGCCGCTTCTGGCGAACCAGAGCAGCGCACGGAAACGCGGTTTACCTTCCCGCCAGAGCGGTCCCTATTTATCTACTTGCACTTTGACGTGCTTTCGAACTGCTAGGTTGGCAGGAGTAGGGACCGAGCAACAGGAGCTCACCCCGTCGCGGGGATTCGAACCGCCGACCCTCTGATCGGCATATCCTAAATCAGGCAAATAAGTAAATATCCCCCTCATGACTGAATAACTGGAGAATTCACCACTAGTTGTATTAGGGCAAAGGCCTTCCTAGCCACAGGGCATGCCCTCCAAACACATTTGAGCCCAGTCCATCTTGTTTCAGAAACCAAGTTCACATATGCACTATACATTTCAAGCACTAGGATACCATTTTAAACAGTTGTGGCTTCTCCATCCCAAAAGAAGAATCTAGGAAATGTGGTTTATTAAGGGTTTTTGTTAGGAGACCCCCTATTCCCCTCCCAGAGGTGCAGTGCTCAGAGCAGTTCAACAATCAATTCCTCTTCCCAAGAGTACAACTCTCTGAGGGGAATAAGGGTCTCCTAACAACTCTCAGCACCCTTAGGTAAAGGTAAAGGGACCCCTGACCATTAGGTCCAGTCATGGACGACTCTGGGGTTGTGGCGCTCATCTCGCTTTATTGGCCGAGGGAGCCGGCGTACAGCTTCCGGGTCATGTGGCCAGCATGACTAAGCCACTTCTGGTGAACCAGAGCAGCGCATGGAAACACTGTTTACCTTCCCGCCTGAGTGGTACCTATTTATCTACTTGCACTTTGAGGTGCTTTCAAACTGCTAGGTTGGCAGGAGCAGGGACGGGGATTCAAATCGCCGACCTTCTTATCGGCAAGCCCTAGGCTCTGTGGTTTAACCCACACCACCCACCCTCAGCACCCTCAACAAATGACAATTCCCAGGATAATTTGATGGGAGTCATATGTCACATACTAATATGTGACATATATGAGACTAATGTGAGACTAATATGTCTTCCAAAGCAACTACTCTACTCTGAACTTAAAAATGGAAAGCGTAATGCTGGGGGTCAACAAAAGAGGTTTAAAGACTCTCTCAGGGCAACAACAACAAAAAAGGAGTATAAACACTGACAACTGGGAAACACTGGCCTGCGAGCGCTCCAGTTGGAGAACAGCCTTTACCAAAGGTGTCATGGACTTTGAAGATGCTCAAACTCAGGACGAAAGGGAGAAACATTCTAAGAAGGAGGCACGTTTGGCAAACTCTCACCATGATCAACTCCCGCCTGGAACCCTATGTCCCTACTATGGAAGGATGTGTAGATCCAGAATTGGCTTCCACAGCCACCTATGGATTTATTGTTAAGACTGTGTTCATGGAAGACAATCTTACTCGACTAAGAGGGATCACCAAAGAAGAAGAAGACTAATATGTAAGAACTACTAATGATGGTGATGATGTATGTTTTGCCTAAGGAGGTAAATAATTTGGGGGATTTCTCATGGGAGAAAAGACAAAGGAGGAGAGAATCAGCCCCCCTACTGCTATTTTGAAAACAAACACAGAAATCTGGTGTCTGGTCTACAACAGCCTCCTTTTGCATTCAGTTTACTCACCATGAAGTCCGTGGCTGACCCCGTGTTGGGATGTCTGAGGTAGATGGGATTAACACTGAAGGTTTGCTGCAGCTTGTTTTTATCCTTGATCCTATACAAATGGGGACCGGGGGAAATAATTGGTCATTGGGGGCAATTGAGAGACTTAGAATTTCACGTGTGTGCAAGCTTTGAGCCTCACACTCACCAGAACGCTGTGCAGTCAAAGTGAACCATCATCCATTTGGAAGGGTTGAAGGTAAAAGAATCTGCGTATTCTATTCCAGTCAAAAATGTTCTGAATTCTGGGCAGAGAAACGCTGTCCCAGCATAGGCAGCATCGACATGAAGCCAGAGTCCCTCTTTAGAACCTAAAGAGTAATTGAAGGTGATGTTTGAGAAGGTATAGAGATGTACTGAATGTTCTCTGTCTGCCCTTGCACTGGCAGATGACCGAATTTAAAGGCTGCACAACAACGAGATCTAATGCAACAATTGCACTAGTGGAAGCTTGTTGCGCAACAGTTGGTTCCTGCGCAACAGTTGGTTTCTGTGCAATAGCTGACACTTGCACAAGCTGTTGTGTTGCCATAAAATCTAGAATCAGAGATTTGCTTGGGGAAAGGGTTGGTCACCATCTAAGACTTGTTATAACGGTCCCTTTTGAGAAGTATTGAGACTACTTACAAACGGGTCCCAGCTCTGAAAGGCTGTCAAAAGCACAGACTCCAGTTGTTCCGAGAGTTGCACAAACCTAGACAAAAACAGGGCGTTGTCAAGAAAGCACAGCAGAACATCCAAAAACAACCAGAGACACGAATTTATTGGTTAACAAAATGTCCGCTCGCAGGACGCAGATAAGTCGGCCATCAGTTTTCAGGGAATTGAAGGCAATACGGGAGAGACATCATTGCTCATGGGGTGACCCATGGCAGCTGCTGAGAAAACAGGTTGTGCAAGTGTTAGAAAAACCTGCACAACTCGTTTTAACCAGCGATGGAAAGAATGGCTGGACATGTTCTAAACAACGTCAGGGCTTCCACAACCTTCAGCTCTGAAAAGCAAGTGTCACCTGTCTTTCTTCAACCATAGTTTTATGCTCCTTAAAGAAGTTGCTGTTCTGACTGTCTGTCTGTCTGTCTGTCTGTCTGTCTGTCTATCTGGTCCAGTATCTTATTCTGGTCCAATATCTTATTCCCAGATGCCTCTGGGAAAACCTCATGCAGAAACCAAGCACAAGAGCACTCTCCTTTCCAGAAACTGGCCCTTAGAAGCAATACTTCAACCAAGGAAGTAGAGGAGAACCACCAAGGCCAATAGCCTTCCAAGTATATAGAGAACAAAACTTACAAAGATGGGCACCAGGCCACAGCTTCTGTCTTCTTCAATGGCTTTTTTCAAGGTTTCTCCTCTCAAGGAAAAATTTTCATCCACAGGAAGAAATCTCATCTTCACGAGGGAAATTAAACCCGCCTTTTCTACTGAGGAGTGAGCCTGAGAAGACAAGCAAGGAGATTCCAGGGACTCAAGTGCTGGTAATGTTGGTCAAGAGGAGGCCATACTACAACAAGATTTAGTCAATACAATTACAATTAAGTTTGGCTGAAGGCCTGAGCAGATTTGTCCTTGGTGCATATATTCAGCCCATATATCTTAAAGGATAGGTGTTCTTCAGTCCCAGCTCCTGCCAACCTAGCAGTTCGAAAGCACGCCAAAAAGTGCAAGTAGATAAACAGGTACCACCCCGGCAGGAAGGTAAATGGCGTTTCCGTGCACTGCTTAGTTATGCTGGCCACATGACCTGGAAAAACTGTCTGCGGACAAAGGTTGGCTCCCTCGGCCTATAGAGCGAGATGAGCACCTCAACCCCGAGTCGTTCACAACTCGACTTAACGATCAGGGGTCCTTTACCTTTACCTTTATGCATCCTTCTTTTTCCAAAACTGACACCCCTACACATGCAGGCCTTCATCAAAAACATGGGGCACTTCCAGACTGTTGATAATTTTGAGTGGCATCCAAACAGCTAAATTCATGTTGCACGATCAGAGTTGATTGGGAAGTCGTGCACAACAAACCCACTTCCCCAACAGATCAGACTTTTTAATGATGAGGAACATGTGAGTTAAGGCATGGATGAAAGGTAATTTAACCTCATTGCAAACAAATCAGAATGAGTGCCTACTGCTTTGAGTCCTACTTCTGGAGTAGCAGAAAACAATTTTGCTCCATCTTCTGTGCAGCAGCCCTGTAGATCTTTGAAGGTGGCTATCATAACATAAAAGTTTCCTTTTATCCAGGCTAATTAAACCCAACTCCTTCAACCATTCCTCATAAGGCTCGGTTTCCAGACCATTTATCATTTTGGTCGTCTTCTGCACTTATTACCAATACAGTGGTACCTCAGGTTACATATGCTTTAGGTTACATACGCTTCAGGTTACAGACTCCGCTAACCCAGAAATAGTACCTCAGGTTAAGAACTTTGCTTCAGGATGAGAACAGAAATTGTGCAGCAGTGGCGGGAGGCACCATTAGCTAAAGTGGTATCTCAGGTTAAGAACAGTTTCAGGTTAAGAACGGACCTCCAGAACGAATTAAGTACTTAACCCGAGGTACCACTGTATCCTTCTTAACCTGTGGTGGCTAGAACTGGGGTCAACAACTCTTAGCACCCTTAACAAACTACAGTTCCCAGGATGTTTGGGAGGAAACCATGACTGTTTAAAGCAGTACGATACTGTTTTAAATGTATAGTCCAGGTGGGGCCTAACTCATATACATGCAGACACACACTCTCATTTACCTGATCTGAGGCATAAGCAATGAGACGAGAGTTCAGAGCAGAATCGTCTGCACCTGGCTCAGACTCCTTCATTTCCAGAATTTTATTCTTCCTTGCAGCCAACAGAGCAACCAAGGTTGATTCACTAACTGTGCTCTGCAGAAAGAAAGAAACTCTCCTTATTATTAACAGCAACCTATATCACAAACACACACAGGTATATAGGAAGCTCTCTTAAATACCCAGGTCCCTTCTAGACTGTCACTATTTTATGAGTGCGATTCAGTCACAAACTGGTATATTCAGTCTATGCAATTAAAGTGGATTTGGCACCTTCGCCCCATTAACTCAAGTTTCGATGGAAACTGCATCAAATATTCAACACTGCATATTCAACACTGCAAAAGTGTTGAATAATAATTGTTTGACTTCAGAGGTGGGGAACCTTTTTCAGCCTGAGGGTCATGTTGACTTCTGGGTAGCCTTCCCAGGCCACATGGCAATGGCAACTGGGGCCAGAGGCCAAAGCAGATCATTTATCGCCTGTCCAGTTATTATTGAATAGGACATCCCTATTTTCACCAGAGAAATGTTGGAGGCTAGAAGGCCCCCCTTTCATGCTCCCTGGGCCACTCCTCCTCTGATCTGGGTGGCTGGGTGAAGCATAGAGGCTCCTCTGGGTGCTTCAGCAGAGCTCCTCGCCAAGGGTGCAAGCAGTGCCGGATTTACATATAAGCTAAACAAGCTATAGCTTAGGCCACACTCTCTTGGGGGCCCAAAAAAAAATTAAAGGAAAAAAACCTGGATGTACATTTCCAAAATATAAGATAAAAAACAAATAAAATAAAACCTACATGCAGCAACTGGGACGCGGGTGGCGCTGTGGGTTAAACCACAGAGCCTAGGACTTGCCGATCAGAAGGTCGGCGGTTTGAATCCCCGCGACAGGGTGAGCTCCCGTTGCTCGGTCCCTGCTCCTGCCAACCTAGCAGTTCGAAAGCACGTCAAAGTGCAAGTAGAGAAATAGGTACCGCTCTGGCGGGAAGGCAAACGGCGTTTCCGTGCGCTGCTCTGGTTCGCCAGAAGCAGCTTAGTCATGCTGGCCACATGACCCGGAAGTTGTACACCGGCTCCCTCGGCCAATAAAGTGAAATGAGCGCCACAACCCCAGACTCGGCCACGACTGGAACTAATGGTCAGGGATCCCTTTACCTTTATCTACATACAGCAACAGTGTTTTGTGTTGTGTAGGCTCCTATGATGTAAGTAATGGGCCCGGCCTGCTAGCCTGCTCCCTAAAATATCACTGGTTTGCTCATTTCTATGTATTTCGCATGGACTGGTTGCATGGCAACAAGTGCAAATGGCTTTAGATACCTATTAGGTCCATAAATTACCATACAGCATATATTCAACACAAGAAACAGCGACAATTTGCTGTTGACAAAGGACAGCTGGGGCCCCATTACCTTCAGTAGCTTAGGGTCTCATCCAACCTAAATCTGGCCCTAGGTGCAAGGGAGCCTAGGTTCGCTTCTGTCTGGAAGTGATACAGGTCAGGCTATTTAGCTCAGCTAAAGCTTTCTGAATAGCAGCTGGCTGAGGTTTTTCTTGGCATCTACATCCTAGCCATCTCCTTTTTTTAACTGGAAATTATCAGGGATTGAACCTGTGACTTTACACATGCAGAGCTTGTGCTGTGTCTCTGAACTACGGGCTCCTTCCGCTAGAAAACTGTACCTTGCTGTTTTAATCTACAAACTGCTAATTCATTTTGTCCCCGCTGCATGTTGCAATCTATGAATCATTTCATCATAGGCCAATGGTGACACCTACTGTTTGCTCTAAGAAATGATATTAATCTCTCTCATTTATAATCATGCTTCTTTTTAGAAAAGATTATTTATGTATGCGACCACGGCTGTGCGGATGTTGTTGGTCCAGAGATGGAAAGAAGATAAAGTCCCTACCAGAGAAGAATGGCAGATCAAGTTGATTGATTATGCTGAAATGGCTAAAATGACCAGGAGAATCAGAAATCAGGGAGACCAAAATTTGAATAAGGAATGGGGGAAATTTATAATTTATCTTAAAAACGATTGTAAACAGTTAAAACCATTAGTAGGATTGGAATAACAGTTGTAGTTTAATGGTGAATTTTGGACACAGTGGAGAGGTAAAAGATTTGGATTATTATAAAAGATGCAGGAGGAAATGACTAACAATAGGATCCACAAAGAGGAGGAGGGAAGCCCAAGAGATTCTTTAGAATCTTGTTTCTATGTTGTATGTTGGATATGTGACTGTAAAACTTTAATCTGAAAAACCAAATAAATATATGATAATGCTTCTTTTTTGTTTGAGGCGTGTCGCAAACTATTCCCCAGTAGAAGGATGTAAATCAATTTTGACATGTCCAGACAAGACGGTAGAACAAGAATAGGGAAATGATGTCTATAGCGATGCTGTTAGAATTCCTGCTCCATGGTTGCAGTCATGGGATTGTTGTCTTTCACATGATGGTGTATGTTTTGACTCCACAAAGTGGGAAGTGACGGAGACAGGATGTTTGTGTTACTGTGTTGGGTGAAGTGGGACTATTGTCCTTTGTTCATTCTCTTTGCTGTCTGATGCTAGAGAGAGGAGCCATGTTGCAGTGCTCCGGGTGTGTTTATATGTAAATAAAGTAGATTAGCCAAAATGCTGAGTTGCTGAGCTCTGTTACGCAAGTTGCGCAAACTCTGCGGATCCCTAAGTGTGCCGGTGTTGGTTGGCATCAGTCGCTGTGGTGTTCGGGCTGAAGAATGCTTTTGAAGCTCCCGAACGATCAGGAGGGAGAGAACATGCCAGTTGGGCATGTGTCTCTGCCAGGGTCCTACTTGAGTATAGGCCGAGCTCCTGACACATACTACCCTTAACATGCTCAATCTTGTCTGATCTCAGAAGCTAAGCAGGGTCAGGCCTAGTTAGTACTTGGATGGGAGACCACTGAGGAATACTGGATGCCGTAGGCTTAAAAAAAAAGAGAGTAGGGAAATGGTGGCCCTCCAGATGTTGATGAACTCGCATCATCACTGACCATTGGTCATGCTAGATGTGGCTGATGGGAGTTTTGGGGTTCCCCAGGCTCCCCATCTCTTGCACTAGAAGTTCTGAGCATGTTCAGACTAAATAAAACCAAGGAAAACACACAGCCCTCCTGAGCTACTTACCTGCAGGATACCTCCGCCCCTGCTGTCTGGATGATGATGCAAGAAGAAATTTGGGAGACCTAACATTTGAGCCAACCAGTCCATCACGTTCATTTCCAGTTCCGTGCAAGCTGGGCTAGATGCCTGCAAGTGTGAAAGAGATACAGGATGAGGAAAAGGATCTCTTTTTACTGGGTCAAAGCCTACCGATGAACGAATATGCTTTGTGTAGGGAAAGGGAAGCTGCTAAACCTGCAGCCTACTTGTGAGTAGGGATACTTGAATCTCTCAGTTTCAGCTTCTCATTTTTTCCACTCTTAAGTTCAGCCCTTAACATTCCCACAGCAGCTTGTGGCTTGTTTGAAATCCCTGTGAAAACTCATCATCATCATCATCATTTTAATGCAAATGCTCCTGGCATGCACATCTTTGTATGCAAGTTTTCCTCACATGCATATTTCTGCAAAGCAATTTCCCTTAAAAAGATGGGTTGTGGGGGGTTTTTTTTTGCATATTTGTGATTTTGTATGTGTTTTGTTTAGCTGGAAAATTGCATTGTCACATTTGGAGAAGTGCAAATTTTAAAACATACATCTATGATTTTTTCTTATCTTCATTAAGATTTAATTGTATTAGTTTATGTAATTTATTTCGATTTCTGCTTTTCTTCTTTCTATTCTTTTTCTTTTCTTCTTTTGTTCTTTGTAACCTTTCAAAATCTTTTTTCTTCCTTTCACGTTTAAAAGTTTTGATTTGTATGTATTTGCAATATAACTCAATAATTTAAAAAAAGCATCGCGGGCCTTTCAGTTTGCATATCAGAGCAAACTAGATAAGATTGCGTTAAAATGAAACCTACTGGATTTCTTCCCCAACCCTATCTTACAGACGTATTCTGTTAAAACACTTTGCATGACTTCCCTCTAGTGTTAACATCATGTACTAGTATGGTAGAGTAAATCTGTAAGAAGCTGTTTTGCCTAAGCAAATAAGCGCTTTAAAAATAATAATAATAATAATATGTTTTTAATAAGATTCCCCATAAGTAACAGGTATCACTGAAGGCTGGCTTTAATTGGGGGGAGGGGCTGCCAGTGAGTGGCAGAAATGCTACTTGTGTTCAGCCCAGGTAGGAACTGACCCTGAATCTTTTTCCCAAACTGCTTCTGCGAAGGTAATGAATTTGGGAGGACTTGTATTAGAGGGATGGCCTGGGTTGCGGAGGATAGTAATTTGGGGAAATAAATTAATTTAATATGACTTTACCTAGAGGTGATTTAGGGATAAGGAATGGGGGTAACAAAAATGGAACTGAAATGATTTTGAGCAGGGTCATGTTGAGAAATAATTTTTTAACACCGCAGCACAAACTTTTCTTTCAATATCCAACTCCCACAATATATTATTATTATTATTATTATTATTATTATTATTAAGATTTATATACCTTCCTTCATAATAAGATCTCAGGGCGGTTCACAGAATAAAATGCAGGATAAAAAGGTAAAGGTAAAGGACCCCTGACAGCTAAGTCCAGTCACAGATGACTTTGGGGTTGCAGCGTTCATCTCGCTTTACAGGCTGAGGGAGCCGGTGTTTGTCCGCAGACAGCTTTCCCAGGTCATGTGGCCAGCACGACTAAAGTAAACTGCTTCTGGCGCAACGAGACACCGTGACGGGAGCCAGAGCGCACGGAAACACCATTTACCTTCCCACCACAGTGGTACCTATTTATCTACATGCTTTTGAACTGCTAGGTTGGCAGGACCTGGGACAGAGCAACGGGAGCTCACCCTGTCGCGGGGATTCAAACCGCCAACCTTCTGATCAGCAAGCCCAAAAGGGACAGTGCCACCCACGACGCCACCCGCATCCCTTTTGCCGATGTTGCACAATGGTCTCAGCCGATAACACTGCTGATCTGAGCTGCCTTCCCTCGCACTGAGGGAGACCAGGACAGCTGATCGCTACCTTCCCCTGGCCCCGAGGTGGAACAACTTTGCTCAGTCAGCAGGAAAGAAGAAGAAGCCACAGTGGACATGCATTTTCGCTGGCTGCCCCCCTGACAGTGGCTTGAAGCACCCCCCAATCCCCATCCCTTCCCATTCAAACCATGTGGTGGAAGTGACTTCGCTTCCTCTCCTACCCCCACCCATCTGATCTCTGCAGCTGCTCCTTCCCTCATCCCCACACCTGATCTCCAATTCGCGGTATTTCACTGCTGATATATCACGATGTAGAAAACCAGATATCGCTCAGCCCTAGTGTCGTACCTTGGAAGTCAAACAGAATCCATTCCGGAAGTCTATTCGACTTTGGAAACCAAAGTGTGGCTTCTGATTGGCTGCAAGAAGCTCATGCAGCCAATCAGAAGCCGGGGAAGCGCCATCAGACATTTGGGTTCCAAAGAACGTTCGCAAACCGGAACACTCGCTTTTATGTTTCTGGTGTTCGGAAGCCAAAACGTCTGAGTACCAAGGCATTTGGGATCCAAGGTACGACTGTACACCTAAAATCCTTTGCTTATTAGGAGCTACTCCACATTTTGTTCAAAAAATTGCTTTGCAGAGGTAACTACCATAGAGTTATCCAAAATTTAAACAGTAGGGGGTCCGTGACTTGGCTTTTGATAAATAGGGGGTCCTCAGTAATTAGCTAATTGGGAACCACTGCTGTAGAATATCAATCAGCCAAAGGCCTGGTTGAAGAGAAAACAATATCTCAGAGAGGCAATGATATTATAATGCCAGCCATGTACACAGGTAGTTAAACATAACATACGTTGATATAATAAATGTATATTTGAAAGGTTAATCAGGTACAAAGTCTTTCAGCAGTCGACAACCATGATTTTGTTGAGCAGCAATCAATTCAGCATGAAAACTCCCAAGAAAAGCGGTGTCATTTACCCAGGTAAATCCCAAGCAATTAATGGCGTCTGCCAGCATGTCGCCCAGGAGTGAAGGCCAGGAGGTGAGAGCCGGAAAGTAGGCATGCATGTGTGGACTCTGCCAATGGACAACCTGGGTTAAAAACAAGAGTTGAGAAGCTGATGAGAGGGCGAGAAAGGGTTGATTACTGCAGAAAACAAGTGAAAAGGAGCAAAGGTTACCTTAACTTGCCCTCCTACATTTCTCACATGAAAATTATTATTATTAGTAGTAGTAGTAGTAGTAGTAGTAGTAGTAGTAGTATTTATTTCTACCCCACCAATATGGCTGGGTTTCCCCAGACACTCTGGGTGGCTCCCAACAGAATAATAATAATAATAATAATAATAATAATAATATAAAACATCAAACATTAAAAACTTCCCTAAACAGGGCTGCCTTCAGATGTCTTCTAAAAGTCAGATAGTTGTTTATTTCCTTGACATCTGCTGGGAGGGCGTTCCACAGGGCGGGTGCTACCACTGAGAAGGTCCTCTGCCTGGTTCCCTATAACCTCACCTCTCTCAGTGAGGGAACCACCAGAAGGCCCTTGGCGCTAGACCTCAGTGTCCGCGTTGAACAGTGGGGATGGAGACACTCCTTCAGGTATATCCTGAAGAAACATCCTATTATTTTTACTATTTCTACCCCGCCCATCTAACTGGGTAGCCCCAGACACTCTAGGCAGCTTCCAGGAAATACATGATACATGAGGACATTCCGGGATCAAATCAGAAACCAGGACGGCTTCTGTAAATCCAGGACTGTCCCTGGAAAATAGGGACACTTGGAGGGCCTAAAGCAGAGAGCCACACCTGCAAATGCCCTCTCTGTTGTTTCTAGTGATGTTCTATCTTCTGCACAATTAAAAGGATGCGTGTGGAACCTACAGCTTAATTCCATGTCGCTCTTGGATGCTTTTCAAAGCTCCCCGCCTACTCTGCAAACTCCACCCACTTTGGTTTTGGCCCTGCCCACTTTGGGCTGTGGCTCCACCCACCACTGTCATGCAGATTGCTCCCCTGCGGGAAATGCGGTGCTTGGCAGGTGATAGGGGAAGATGTCTACCCCGGAATTCTGGAATTAGAAGGCACAAGATCTTCAACTACCCTAGGTTGTTAGACCGCAAAGGGGGGAGGACTGCAGTCCTCGCCGAGTGCATCTCAGATCTGATGGAAGCATCTGTGCATTTTTTTATTAATGTCAAAGGAAATAGAAGAATGTGGGACTGATAGATAAATGTCTCACTAAAGCAAAACCATTTATCTCAACGAAACATGCCCGTTAAGAGGAAATGGAAACCCATCCATAAAGAGGAAGCGATACATATTTTCAAAGAAGAAAGCCATCACAGTACAGTTTTCTTCTTGTTTATATTCATTTTTTATCATATGTCGGCAGGAATATGCAGCTGACCCATATGGGGATCGACTCTGCAACCTTGCCATTATACAGAATGCATTTATTAATTTTGCAGCTATTGCTATCTTTCATCACAAAAATAGTAACTACTGAGCATTGATACCACACTTTTCAAATCTTCAAAATGCTTCATGTACATTACCAAAAAAACCCCTACAAGGTAGGACAGCATTATCTCCATATTGCAAATGCCAGAGTCTGACAGATTATTTAATAATAATAATAATAATAATAATAATAATACAGTGGTACCCCAGGTTAAGTACTTAATTTGTTCCAGAGGTCCATACTTAACCTGAAACTGTTCTTAACCTGAAGCACCACTTTAGCTAATGGGGCCTCCCACTGCTGCCACGCCGCCACCGCACGATTTCTGTTCTCATCCTGAAGCAAAGTTCTAAGTCTGAAGCAGTATTTCTGGGTTAGCAGAGTCTGTAACCTGAAGCGTATGTAACCTGAAGCGTATGTAACCTGAGGTACCACTGTAATAATAATAATAATAATAATAATAATAATAAAATAATAATAATAATAATTTAATTTGTATACCACCCTTCATCCACAGATCTCAGGGTGGTTCACTACATAAAAACCACAAAATACATAGTAAATATAAGAACCAATAACCCCTCCTCCCACAACTTATTTAAAAGGACATCGGATGTCAACCTGTGAAAGGCCTGGTAGCAGAGGAATGTTTTGCCTGGCACCTAAAGGTGAAAGCGCCAGACAAATCTCCATGGGGAGAGCATTCCACAAATGGGGAGCCACTGCAGAGAAGGCCCCGTTTACTTAAGAACCTCTGCTAAATTTGTAACCCAGGTTAGACTTCATTTAGAGAACTTCCAGCCCTGTCCCTCTGAAAACCGGGAGTTTAAAGAACCTACGCTCACATTGTAATACAAATTTAAAACCAAAGTACCTCATAAAAGTGCGAGCCAGCAAAGCAACCATAATAGTAAACATGATCAGCATACAGTTCATTGAGAACAGTAAGATATAATAAAAAGTATGGAGACTCCAGTAGCATCAGAAGTGCAGCAGCCCATGAAGATCTTCATTCAAGAAAAAGCAGCTGGAAGCACATAGGCAGGGCAATCTCTAAGGCGGGGGTCAACAAACTTTTTCAGCAGGGGGCCGGTCCACTGTCCCTCAGACCTTGTGGGGGGCCGGACTCTATTGGGGGGAGGGATGAACAAATTCCTATGCCCCACAAATAACCCAGAGATGCATTTTAAATAAAAGCACACATTCTACTCATGTAAAATCACACTGATTCCTGGACGATCTGTGCGCCGGATTTAGAAGGTGATTGGGCCTTAGTTTGCCTACCCATGCTCTAAGGGGTGTGTGGCTGGGGGGAATCATATTGTGAGTCTCTGTCTCCTCCTCTTTATGGCAATGGTGGTGGTATCCTCTCCTTTCCCTGACCCCCAATTACTTTTTGTTGGGGGTTTTGCTGCTGCTTTGGAACTGGTAGTTTAGATCTCCTCTGCTTCACATTTTATTTTTTTCTTTTGTCGCTGCTTCAGAGGTCCTCCACCTCCTCCCTCCCTAGCTTGCTCTAAAAAGGGAGGAGATGAGGAGTCTTACCAGGTGGGCAGGAGGGTTGGCGAAGCAGCCGGGTTGCCAGCCACGTTAGCCGGCAGCAGCTGAAGGCACCCCACCCTGCAACCCTTGGCCCAGGGCAAATGATGATGATGGTGATTTATACCCTGCCCTCCCCAGCCAAAACCAGGCTCAGAGCGGCTAACATCAAATGTATAACACATTATCATTAAATCAGGCAATCATTTAAAAGACTGTCTCGCCAGAGTGGTGCCTGCTCTAGTGATCTCCCGCTTGGACTACTGCAATGTGCTCTACGTGGGGCAACCTTTGAATGTGACCTGGAAACTGCAATTAATCCAGAATGCAGCAGCTAGACTGATGACTGGGAGTGGCCACCGGGACCATATAACACCGGTCCTGAGAGATCTGCATTGGCTCCCAGTACGTTTCCGAGCACAATTCAAAGTGTTGGTGCTGACCTTTAAAGCCCTAAACGGCCTCAGCCCAGTATACCTGAAGGAGCGTCTCCACCCCCATCACTCAGCCCGGACACTGACGTTCAGCGCCGAGGGTCTTCTGGCGGTTCCCTCATTGTGAGGTTACAGGGAACCAGGCAGAGGGCCTTCTCGGTAGTGGCACCCGCCCTGTGGAACGCCCCCCCCATCCGATATCAAGTAAATAAGCAGCTATCCTATTTTTAAAAGACATCTGAGGGCAGCCCTGTTTAGGGAAATTTTTCATATTTAATGCTGTATTGTTTTTAACACTCGATTGGGAGCCGCCCAGAATGGCTGGGGAAACTCAGCCAGATGGACAGGGTATGAATAACAAATTATTATAATATTATTATTATTAAATGCTCACCAGGCCCAACTGTTTGTGCTGAACTTACATGAGCCTGTGACAAAAAATGGGAGGCTGCTTTCATGCAAGTTGTTATGAAAGGGGAGAGATGCCCCGTTTGCCCTTCCTTTAGGGACATTCTTCCAAACAGGTCCTTAGAATTGGGTCTCAAGGAAGGACTTGTGTAGGGGATGAAAGCAGGCCACACCTGCTGTTGCATCTCACTAGAAGTCCTTACCCCAGGCATGATGATCTTCTCAATGTCTTTAAAGATGTTGTCCCAGCTTTCTGGCTCGAAAGGAGCGCTGTCTGGCAGCTGGTCTCTCATGTAACCGGGCTGCACATCAGGAGACACCCGTCTCTCCCTAAGGCTGGTCAGGTACTGGCAAATGTAGTCCACCATCTCTTTTCCTGGAAGAAGAAGGAGTTGTGAACTCTTGAGACAGCTTTTCCTATCGATTTCGGGGTCAGTTCACCCCAGATGCTCATCACCACGGTATCAAAACAATGACCTGCATGGGTGAATCAGCCACTACCAATTAATTGCCACAAACGGAGATTTCTTTCAATGTCGCCTGATGTCAACTTCACAGTTTTTGATGGAGCCAGAGCTCTCACAATGCTGTTCTAGAAGCCATGAAACCATGGAGGGTTTAAGCCTGCAATCCTTACACCTGCTTATTAGGGTGTAAGCTTACTTCTGAGGACTGCATTGCAATCTTACGTGTCCTTATCTATCAATAAAATTGATTGAACGAAAGGATTGTCAATTAAGGAGGAATGGAAACTGATGGAATATGCTGAAACGGCGAAAGTGACTGCCAAATTAATAAGAGGACATAACAATAAAGTGTTTAAGTAGGATTGGAAATCGCTGATGGAATATCTATCAAATTATCACCAATATATGAAGTCACAAGCAGGATTTGAAAAATGAGCAGTGGATTACTGAAAGATTTGATGCTAGTGGGGTTTAGATAATAAAAATATGTGTGTTATAAAACAGCTGATAAAAAAAGAATAAAAAACAAATATCAGGAAAGGAGGAGTGAGGGAAGTCAAGAAGAAACTGCATGTAAAAAAAAAAGGTTATATGATGACAAGTGCTCTGAAATATAGTTGGAGACTTAATAAAAATGAAATGGGGGGTTAAATTGGTTTAACGCAGTGGTGCTTCCAAAGAAACATACATGAGACAACCTTGTAAAGGAGGGATGAGGAACTGGTGGTCTTCCAGATGTTACTGAACTTCTGGTCCCATTGTCCCTGACCATTACCAGTGTTGGCTGGGGCTGATGAGAGTTGGAGTCCAAGGCTGCAGTCCTCTGCACATTTATCCGTAAGCCCTGTGGAACTCACTGGGACTTGCTTCTGAGTGGACCCGTCCCACAGCACTGCACCGCATGTCGTGTACTGGTAGTCCAACCGAATGGAGCACTTTTTCTTATTAGGAATAGCAGATTTTGTTTCACCTTTCTTTATTTTATAGCATGTATGTATGTATGTATGTATGCATGTATGTATAATTAGACAGATAGATGCAGATGGATGAATGGATAGATAATGTTTTCATAGCATTTTTGTCAAAATGATGCACAATGTAAAAACAAAAATACAATAAAAATCCAAGCATGTTCTAGAAATCATAATAATGGATTGTATCCAATGTTCTGCTAAGAGGAGACCACTGAAATTAATGGACGCAACCAACTTAAGTCACATGAAAATAATAATAATAATAATAATAATAATAATAATAATGTGACAAAACAACAACAACAGTAAACATAATCAACAACAGCAACGTAAGCACCATTTGAGTTTATAAAGTACTATTCTAACCCAGTGGGAATTCCAGCAAGACTTCATCCATTTACTCACCTCTCTGTCTGTATTCCTCTTGGTCCATGATTCTGCTTTCTTAAGGAATCTCTTCTTCCCAAGTGAGTTGTGGTGTGAGCGGATAAGTGGGTTGCAGACACCTCTGCCTTTTCTCAACTGATGCCCATCCGCTCTCCATCCCTTTTTATACCCTCCTTTATCTGCCAGCCATGGTAGATTGCACGTCAGCAAGTTATTAGGAAATGATGACTCCCTGCCTAACTGCTGCTCCCCTGCTTCTCTTCAAGAATACCTTTGATGTCTAGCATCCTTCTCTTGAGTAAATTAGGGACTCTATTAATATTTTCAATGCAACAGGAAACAAAGATGACTACGATAGGTTGCCCAACAAGGGTAGTACCAGCAACAGTGACGGAAGGAAGCGGTACACACACACACACACAGAGAGAGAGAGAGAGAGAGAGAGAGAGAGATTTAAGTTGCACCAAGCTAAATATTTGGAACTGAGTGAGTTCTTCACTGGGGAAATTCCTCAGACGCAATACAGTACTCTGTTGTTTTGAATTCAACCAAAGCTCATTGCAGAGGTCAAGCCAAAATAACATACAATAGATCAGGACATGGGTGGCACTGTGGTCTAAACCACTGAGCCTCTGGGGCTTGCCGATCAGAAGGTCAGCGGTTCGAATCCCTGCGACAGGGTGAGCTCCTGTTGCTCTGTACCAGCTCCTGCCAACCTAAAAGCATACCAGTGCAAGTAGATAAATAGGTACTGCTGCGGCGGAAAGGTAAACGGTGTTTCTGTGCACTCTGACTTCCATCACTAGCAGCGGTTTAGTCCTGCTGGCCACATGACCTGGAAAGCTGTCTGTGAACAAACGCCGGCTCCCTTGGCCTGAAAGCAAGATGAGCGCCACACCCGATAGTCGCCTTTGACTGGACTTAACTGTCCAGGGGTCCTTTACCTTTTTTACCATAGATCAGTAATAATAATAATAATAATAATAATAATAATAATAATAATAATAATTTATTTATATCCCACCCTCCCCAGCCGAAGCCGGGCTCAAAGCGACTAACAACAGTAAAATAATACAGCATTCTAAAATCAATTCATTATAAAATCAGTTCAAATCAAATTGATGGCAACCATTGGGCTAGAGTTCTGTGAAGAATTACCCTCTTCCCTCCCTGGATCACTTGAAAATGGCTAAGGGTAGCCTGGCCCTCCTACAGCTCAATACCTTAAGGACCGCCTCTCCTCATAGAAACCCACCAGGACCCTGCAGTTGTCATCTGAGGGCCTTTTCTGTGTCCCTGCTCACTCAGAGATTTGGAAGGTGGCAACACAAGAACAGGCCTTTTCTGTGGTGGCTCCCCATCTGTGGAATGCTCTCCCCAAAGAGGCTCACCTGGTGCCATCATTACATATCCTTAAGTTCTAGGCAAAAACATTCCTTTGGTCGTTAAATGATCTTCTATGGTCTGTTAAAGCTGGGGTAGGGACTGTTATTATGATCATTTCATTATTATGCATTTTACTATGTTTTTATTAGTATGCTCCATAAAATGTGCTCTTAATGTACACAGTAAATAATAATAATAATAATAATAATAATAATAATAATAATAATGGGGTCCAACCATGGTGCAACCATGTAGAAAACAAAAGTTATGATATAAAATGCAGAAAATAATAAACATTATATAGAATTTACCCCAGAAGGCCCCTCTGGAATATATCCTATGTGTTGAGTGTTGCCTCTCAGATAAATACAAAATAAAGCTAAGCCAGTGTTTCTAGAAGTTTTGACCTTTTTCTCTTTTTTGTTCTGTTTCTTTCCCACTAGGATCCCACTTGGATCAAAATAGTTTTGCAATTCAAGCAGTTCAAAGCCCTAAGCGACCTAAGCCCTGCCTCCTATTTTACGCTCCAGCATTTCTGCGATGAAAATATGATATTATTATTATTATTATTATTAGACCCCGCTTATCTGACTGGGTTGCCCCAGACACTCTGGGCAGCTTACGACATATGTAAAAACATAATAAAATGTTAAATGTTTAGAACTTCCCTATACATTTTCTGAAAACTTGAGCTGAATCACTGGGCATCCCTTCCCCTTTTCATTCTTATTTTATATTTTAGCTTCCTATGTATTATATAATTATGCTGCTCCTCTTCTAAGGAACACAGACCAGCTTCTACTGGATACTTCTGCTGAAATTTAACAAAACAAAGTGAAAAGGGCTATCACACCCTTTATATTTCCACAAAAACACTGGAAAGCATTATAGAGTTACAGTCATTGCCTTATCTCTGCTCCCCGATCTCTACACTGAGATTGGTGAGACTGAATTAACTTCAGGGTGGCTACTTATATAACACACACACACACACACACACACACGGGAACCCAGCCAGATGGGCTAGGTATAAATAATTTTTAACAATTATTAGTACAGTGGTACCTCGGGTTAAGTACTTAATTCGTTCCGGAGGTCCGTTCTTAACCTGAAACTGTTCTTAACCTGAAGCACCACTTTGGCTAATGGGGCCTCCCGCTGCCGCCGCGCTGCCGCTGCATGATTTCTGTTCCCATCCTGAAGCAAAGTTCTTAACCCAAGGTACTATTTCTGGGTTAGCGGAGTCTGTAACCTGAAGCGTCTGTAACCTGAAGTGTATGTAACCCGAGGTACCACTGTATATGCTAATATGTATGTAGAAATATAAATGTATGAATTATTACTATCATTTAAATACAATCCATCTCACAAGAGACCAAATGACCTGTGTCCAAGTGTTGCTTCCCTTAGGAGTATAAACAAACAAATAATAATAATAATAATAATAATAGACATTTTGCAGTGTAAGGTAAAGGGACCCCTGACCATTAGGTCCAGTCATGACTGACTCTGGAGTTGTGGCACTCATCTCACTTTATTGGCCAAGGGAGCCGGCGTACAGCTTCCAGGTCATGTGGCCAGCATGACGAAGCCGCTTCTGGCAAAGCAGAGCAGCGCACGGAAACGGCGTTTACCTTCCCATCGGAGTGGTACCTATTTATCTACTTGCACTTGACATGCTCTCGAACTGCTAGGTTGGCAGGAGCAGGGACCGAGCAACGGGAGCTCACCCCGTCGCGGGGATTCGAACCGCCAACCTTCTGATTGGCAAGTCCTAGGCTCTGTGGTTTAACCCAGAGCACCACCCGCATCCCTATTTTACAGTGTACAGGTCATCAAAAGGCTATTTGGGATTAAAAGCATGGCAAAGAGCTAGGATTTTTACATGTGTTGTGTGATGATCACACTAAACCACTGGTTCCCAACCTTTTTTTGGCCGTGCCCCACTTTAGCATCTCTAAAATCCTGACACCCCGGTAACATATAATACTTGTTATTCAAAAAGTGAAGGAAGCCTTCACTTTCACTCTTAATAACTCATTCTCCAATTGCCCCCCTTAAAAATCAAATTGCCCCCATGTGGGCCGTGTGCCCTACTTTGGAAACCATGGCACTAGACTGAATTATTGGTTGTTAAGTGTGGTTGGTAAGAAACTTTAGTCATCCAGTTCCCAGTAGTAGACCCTGATGCATAGAATTTTGCCACTTTGATGGTGATGTCATGAGTGGAGTGTGACAAAAGGAAGATGCCTGTCACGTCTTCCCTGCCACCAGTTCTGGAAAGACTCCAGGAACTTTGGAAGAGGAACCAGCTGCCAGCTGTTGCCAGCTTCTCGGTGGGACTCCTGTGGTTTCTTGCCTTCTTGCAGGACTGAAGCCATGAATCAGCAGCTCCCAGCAAAATCTGCCACTCCAGCCCCAGCTGAATTGCATCATCTAGCTGGGCTGGTTCATTGACTATGCAAAAGCCTTTGACTGTGTCAACCACAGCAAACTATGGCAAGTTCTTAAAGAAATGGGAGTGCCTGATCACCTCATCTGTTTCCTGAGAAATCTCTTTGTAGGACAAGAAACTACAATTAGAAATGAATATGGAACAACTGATTGGTTCAAAATTGGGAAAAGAGTATGACAAGGCTGTATATTGTCTCCCTGCTTATTTAACTTATATGCAGAATTCATCATGCGAAAGGCTGGGCTGGATGAATCCCTAGCCAGAATTAAGATTGCTGGAAGAAATATCAACAACCTCAGATATGCAGATGACACAAGCTTGATGGCAGAAAGTGAGGAGGAATTAAAGAACCTTTTAATGAGGGTGAAAGAGGAGAGTGCAAAATATGGTCTGAAGCTCAACATCAAAAAAAACGAAGATCATGGCCACTGGGCCCATCACCGCCTGGCAAATAGAATTGATGCTTTTGAATTATGGTGCTGGAGGAGACTCTTGAGAGTCCCATGGACTGCAAGAAGATCAAAGCTATCCATTCTTAAGGAAATCAGCCCTGAGTGCTCACTGGAAGGACAGATCCTGAAGCTGAGACTCCAATACTTTGGCCACCTCATGAGAAGAGAAGACTCCTTGGAAAAGACCCTGACGTTGGGAAAGATGGAGGGCACAAGGAGAAGGGGACGACAGAGGATGAGATGGTTGGACAGTGTTCTCGAAGCTACCAGCATGAGTTTGACCAAACTGCGGGAGGCAGTGGAAGACAGCAGTGCCTGGCATGCTCTGGTCCATGGGGTCACGAAGAGTCGGGCACGACTAAACGACTAAACAACAACAACAAAAGCTGGGCTGGTAGAGTAAAAGCTGGGTGTCTGCTGAAGCGAGGGTGACAGAAAAGGGGATGACTTCAAAGTAGTATTAGTTCAAGGAAAAATAAGTAGAAAAGATGCCAAATCCTAGTTGGGGGAAAGTACTCCATGGTGAGCAAACCCCGACAGTGATTTAACATCACGAAACATGCAGCAAAGTGTGAAAATATAGGTTATTAGATTTTAAAAAGATGTCTTTCCAAGTGGGTTCCAAAAATAGTCCCCTCTTCTCCCAGCATAGGAAAAGACCACACAATCTGTAGGTTAAAAATGGTTTACTTACAAACTCCCCAAAGGTCCAGTTCATGTGCTTTTCTATACATCAGCCAGAAAGGTTGCACATGCAGTAAAATTTGGTTTAGTTCCAAAGTGGTTAAAGTTCCTAAATTACTGTTATGGGAACTCAATAATGGCTTGTGAGAGCCAAGTGGCTAAGCAGAACAACTGGTTTAGCCTCATCACAGGCTGAGTTCATCTGGTAACCTGGGGAAGGAACAAAGACTTGATTAACTAATTCCTCCCAAGGTGAGGGGAAGTGAATTTACCTGGCAGGACAGCTCACTCTATGGTCTTAACCCCTTTGTGCATTAATTAGACTTAAGCATGTTGGTTATATGAGGCTGGTTACCCCACAAATATGCGCTCAACTGTTTTAGCAGCAGACTACAAAAGCAGATCACCAGCTGACTATTAACAGAAAATGTTCCTCCTGTCTGCATAAGGCTAGCAGCAAAAATAAGTTTGCAGCAAACATTTGAAAGTTAAGATTCTGATAGAAGGCACCTGCTGAATCCCTACTGGCAAAGCATTCACAGGCTCTGATTTGTGTTGATGTCAAATGAGCCTCCCCAATTCAGGGGACAACCAGCAACGCTCCTACAGATGATCTCAGTGACTGAGCTGACAATGAAGGGTTCAGGCTATCCCTAAGACATCCTGGACTCAAGTCATTCAGGGCTTTGTAAATTAATACAAGGACGTTGAACCTGGCTCAGTAGTGGATAAGCAACCTGTGCAGATGCTTTAACAATGGTGTCACATGTTGGCAGCTATGTGCCCCCATCAGAAGTCTAGCTGTTGCATTCTGCACAAGTTGGAGTGCTAGAGCAGAATCAAGGGCAGCCCACAGAACGTGCATTGCAGTAATCCAGTCTCAGTAACGCAAGTTGCTATGAGACACTTCGTTCTTTTCACAACAGCTGCTCCCTGAAAGGACTATCGTGCTTACAGTTTACAAAAGACAAAACAACATGTGAGGTTGCATGCAGACTCAAAACTTTTTATACCAGTAAGCTCTCTGTCTGTCTGTCTGTCTGTCTGTCTGTCTCTCTCTCTCTCTCTCTCTGTAAATATATATACAGTGGTACCTCAGGTTACATACGCTTCAGGTTGCATACACTTCAGTTTACAGACTCCGCTAACCCAGAAATAGTACCTCGGGTTAAGAACTTTGCTTCAGGATGAGAACAGAAATCATGGTCCAGCGGTGTGGCAGCAGCAGGAGGCCCCATTAGCTAAAGTGGTGCTTCAGGTTAAGAACAGTTTCAGGTTAAGAACGGACCTCCGGAATGAATTAAGTACTTAACTGTATATATCTAATGTGTTTGGTTGTAACTCTTCTCTTGGTTTCCTATAATATGTAAAATGGGTTAAGAATGTTGTAGGTAAAGGGTAAAGAGACCCCTGACCGTTAAGTCCAGTCGCAGACGACTCTGGGGTTGCAGTGCTCATCTCACTTTACTGACCAAGGGAGCCGGCGTTTGTCAGCAGACAACTTCCGGGTCATGTGGCCAGCATGACTAAGCTGCTTCTGGCGAACCAGAGCAGCGCACGGAAACACTGTTTACCTTCCCGCTGGAGTGGTACCTATTTATCTACTTGCACTTGATGTGCTTTCGAACTGCTAGATTGGCAGGAGCAGGGACCGAGCAACGGGAGCTCACCCTGTTGCGGGGATTCGAACCACCGACCTTCTGATCGGCAAGCCTTAGGCTCTGTGGTTTAGACCACAGCACCAAATCCTTCCAAATGTCTCTTCTCCTGCTGTGCAAATTGGTGACTGGCGTAGTAAACTAGCTTAATATCAGCTTTGTCATTGTCAGTTACAGGGCAAGATATGATCTTAAATGGTATTTGCATTTAACCTGCAGGTGGTTTTTTTTTTAATTTCAATAGTATCAGCTGGTAGAAGGAGGCTGGATAATTACAGAGACTGCAAAAGATGCAAAGGTGAAATGTAGCCGTTTCTCCCCTTATATTCCATTGCTGTCTAGCTCAGTTGGTTAGAGCATGGTGCTTATAAAACCAAGGTTGCAGGTTCGATCTCTGCTATGGGACAGCTGCATATAGGGGGTTGGACTGGATGATCCTCAAGGTCCCTCCCAACTCCATAATTCTGTGAATCCAGAGAAAAATCACTTCTCTAAAGCTCACATTTGTTTTTTGGGAGGAGATTGGAAGTCCTCAAACTTTCTCACTATATTTTGCTGATGGAGCTTTTTGCCTAGATTTTCTTTGTAAAGCAGATCACTTCTGCCTTCATAACTTCTTGCACGACTGCAATGAATTATGAAGTAACGGGGGCATTCTCTGGAAAAGTTTGCATCATTAATATGAGTGGCACATGGGCATCACAGCACATTTTTGTTTAAGAGAGATTTCCCACAATGCACACGTATTGGTGGCAGATTGCTTTGTCTCATTATAAGGCTTCATACCCAAACCTCAGGTAGGACTTTTGGGGAAAATTATCAAATAATATTCCAACTTCTTTATCAAATAGTATTCCAACCTCTCTCCTGCTATATGCCAATGATATGGTCCTTCTCCTTGCAAGTGGGTTTAAGGAGTGTGGGTAATAAGGGGGGGGGGTTGGCTCCCAGTACATTTCCGAGCACAATTCAAAGTGTTGGTGCTGACCTTTAAAGCCCTAAAGGGCCTCATCCCAGTATACCTGAAGGAGCATCTCCACCCTCATTGTTCAGCCCAGACACTGGGAGTTCCCTCACTGCAAGAAGTGAAGCTACAGGAAACCAGGCAGAGGGCCTTCTCGGTGGTGGCACCCCCCCTGTGGAACGCCCTCCCATCAGATGTCAAGGAAATAAACAACTATCTGACTTTTAGAAGACATCTGAAGGCAACCCGGTTTAGGAAAGTTTTTAATGTTTGATGTTTTATCGTGTTTTTAATAATCTGTTGGGAGCTGCCCAGAGTGGCTGGGGAAACCCAGACAGATGGGCGGGGTATAAATAATAAATTATTATTATTATTATTTCTGCAATAAGCTAGTTTCTGCACACACTCACTTATCTGGAGCTGAAATAAGTGGAAGACAACAGCTTCTGGAGGGACCTAGCTTAGGAAAGGCTGTTCTAAACCTAATACCCTTGGGGGGTGTTCTTTTTGGGACAGTATATCAAGAGTGAGTTAAAAGGGAGATTTCCAGGCAATAAAGATCTTCGTATCGCAACTCCCCTTATTATTTATACTTTCTGCATACCCTCCAACATGCCACAGCGAAAAACTGGGACATACATCTTCAGGGAAACACTCCCATGTGAGTCACATGACCCATGTTAAATTATGGCGCCCAAAAACAGGATGTCCTGATTCAATCAGAGCAGTTGAGAGGTATCCTTCTGTTTTCTTTAGATACTTGAAGAAGCACAGCTGATAGGCCATATCATATAGTTGTGATACTTTGATACAGGGAAGACGGAAGTATTGATAAGAAAGACACCAAGAACCAAAGAGTGAGGATAAAAGTACAAGGAGATACATTGTGATGTGTGTTTTATTTTCCATTTAGCTTTTTTCTTTTCTTTTGGTTTTACTCTGTGCTGTTTTTCTAGAAAAAGAGCTGCTGGAACTCACCATGAACGCCATTCTCTTAGAATGGCAATGGTGGCCACCGGAAAAGTGCCGGAACTGAGTTCTGTCAAGTTCCAGCTGAAAAAAAGTCCTGGTTTTACTTATTTGCTTTCATTTATTAACTTACAATGTTTGTTGAGCTTGTAAATAGAAACTTGCCTACAGTACAAAGGTGAAGTTCTCACTTGTTGCTCAGCTCATTTTTGCACCTGGCCCCAACCTCCAGGATGTGGCCTCCAGGAGGTTACTTAAAAGAGAATTTGGCCCTTGTTTTTCCAATTCCTGACATAGAAGCTAAATACCATTGGGAACAGGGCAGGTCCATACAGAAGACAGGAGACATTCAGATAACCCAGTTGTTTCCCAATAATCCCAAATTGTTTAGGGCAGCAATGGGGAGCCTGTGTCATTCCACATGTTGTGGGACTACAATTCCCATCATCCCCGAGCATTGGCCATGCTGACTGGGAGACTGATAGGAACTGGTGTCCAGCAACATCTGGAGGACCAAAGGTTCCCCACTTTTCTCGCCCTGATCTGGCCACAGTGATCCATGCGACGGTCACCTCCAGGTTTGATTATTGTAACTCGCTCTACCCTTGAAGCTGACCCAGAAACTCCAATGGGTGCAGAATGCTGCGGCGAGGCTCCTTACGGGGTCCTTGCCGCGGTATCACATTCATCCAGTGCTTTACCAACTGCCTTGGCTCCCGGTGGTGTACAGGGTCAGGTTTAAGGTGCTGGTTTTTGCCTTTAAATCTCTATGTGGCCTAGGACCCACGTACCTACGGGACCGCCTCTCCTGGTATGCCCAGCGGAGGACCTTAAGGTCCACAAATGACAACATTTTGGAGGTCCCAAGTCGCAAGGTGGTTAGATTGGTCTCAACTAGGGCCAGGGCCTTTTCAGTACTGGCCCCGACTTGGTGGAATGCTTTGTCACAAGAGACTAGGGCCCTGTGTGACTTGACATCTTTCCGCAGGGCCTGCAAGACAGAGCTGTTCCGCCTGGCCTTTGGTTTGGACTCAGTCTGACCCTTATGTTTCCCTCCCCTTATGGTTTTGATCTATGGGCTACTTTTAAAATGAGGCTGCATTTTAAATTGCATTTTAACCTGTATTTTAAATTGGGTCCCCCCCCTAATGTTTTTACTGTAATTTTACTGGTGTTAGCTGCCCTGAGTCCGGCTCTGGCCAGGGAGGGCGGGGTATAAATAAAAATTATTATTATTATTATTACTTCATAAATCAAGAACAGAACCTTAGGTTTGGCCTGGTAGTAAACAACCAGAGCAGTTGTTTTTACAATGGTGCCACAAGTTCACAGTAGCTTATTCTGCTCCACAACCTACCTGCTGCATCCTGCATAAGCCACAGTTTGTGGACCAACCTTGAAGGCAGATCTCCCTCAGTCCTGACATGATCCTGGCTGGTTTGGGAGCAACAAACCAGGATCCTGGCTCAGGTGTCATAACAACCTAACCCTTTCTAGAAAGATCGTCTCACTCACACAAAGGAAAGAAGAAACTACTATGTATTGTTTGCACCAGCACGTGGCTCATTTATAGCAAGTCAGGAATCCCAGTTTTTCGTGATGTAAGATCACAGAGTCTGCAAAAACTGGAGCTGGTCAGGCAGCCATGACGGATTCTGGTATGTCTCTATTTGTTTGTTGGTTTGTTTTATTTGAGGTTTATTAACTTTTATCATCATCATCATTATATATGGGGTAAATACATATACATATGCAGAATGCCACTATGAGAGCCAGTGTGGTGTAGTGGTTAAGAGCGGTAGTCTCGTAATCTGGGGAACCGGGTTCGCGTCTCCGCTCCTCCACATGCAGCTGCTGGGTGACCATGGGCTAGTCACACTTCTTTGAAGTCTCTCAGCCCCACTCACCTCACAGAGTGTTTGTTGTGGGGGAGAAAGGGAAAAGGAGATTGTTAGCCGCTTTGAGACTCCTGAAGGGGAGTGAAAGGCGGGATATCAAATCCAAACTCTTCTTCTTCTTCTATGCAAATATTGTTTCAGTAGTCTTCTGTATGGTTAACCAGTGTTCCTAACAGTACATATGGTTCAACGTTATTTTGTTTTGTTACAAGCAAACTCAATTTCTCAATCAATCTTACTCTGTCAGCTTTACTGCTTGAACCACTTCCCACATCCTTAAAATCCAGTCCTCCATTGTGGGTTGGTTTCTGTTCTCTTCAGTTATAGCTGACAGCCATCTGGGCAGCTGTTATTACTCTCGCTCTACCTCCTTCCAAGACAAAATCTTTAACGTAACCAAATAATATAACTTAATGATCTATATATCCAGTTATATATTGACATTCTCTTGTTGTACGCTATACTTTTAAGTATGTTTTTTAAAAAATTATAATAATAAGCCATTTCTCCACATTTTCACAGGTCCCTGAAGAGTCTTGACATGGTAACAAGGATGTGATCTTTGTCATACATTCCACATCGTTTCACTGATATTCCCCCATTTGAAGAGTTTGGTAAAATAGGCTCCCAGAAAGTGTACCATTGAGAAAAACATAAGCTATTTAAATAACTGTCAGATTGTATATAAACGGCGAGATTACAAAACCATGGAAAAGAGCGATTCCAATTCCAATTTGGAAGAATAAATAGGAAGCCACCGTTTATTCCACAATGTTTTCAGATCTCACGTCATAAACCCTGGACGTGACATTTATTTTGTATCTCTAGTCCCAAAACCATTTCACTGTGAGCCAAGAGCTTTTCATTCATTGGAGGAATGAACAAACAGAAGCAGAAAAGGGACAAAGGAAAAGCGGGGGCTCAGAATGCACCCCTGGCAAATATTACATGATGCAAGCAACAGTTTTGTTATAGTTACCCTGCCTCTGGGTGGAATGGGCCGCAAGCTACGGATTCGAGGCGTGTTTGCTCGAAGGCAGCTCCATGAATGGAAATGGACTTTTGGTTAATTGCTAAGAAACTCTGTGCACTCAAAGCCTTGGGAAGCTAGCATATGCTCTTGAATGGCTTCCGCTCTGCCTGTGAATCGATTGGCTTCCTGTTGTTAGCATAGACTGGTGGTTTTCAAGCAGCGTGCCATGGCACCCCAGGGTGCCTTGAATGATGGTCAAGGGTGCTGCGGGCAGCTGGCCTCTGTCCCTCTTTCCTTCCCTCCCTCCTCTGATGCCCTCACGTGTCTCTGCCTCCCAAAGGCTTGCACAGCTGTTTATTGCAGAGGCCCTGACTATAAGCTCCGCAGACGAATGGTGCCTCTCTATGGGGTGGGAGCCAGGAACAGCTCAGAGACCAGGGCGGCGGCAGCAGCTGCCCAGAGGAGAGGAGGCTGAGGGAGGATGTTTGAAAAAGGGTGAGGGGCTGCCAGCCCTGCAGGCAGGGAGTAATAATAATAATAATAATAATTATTATTATTATTATTATTATTTATTATTTATACCCCGCCCATCTGGCTGGGTTTCCCCAGCCACTCTGGGCGGCTTCCAACAAAGTATTAAAATACAGTAGTCTGTTAAACTTTAAAAGCTTCCCTAAAGACGGCTGCCTTCAGATGTCTTCTAAAAGTCTGGTAGTTGTTCTTCTCTTTGACATCTGCTGGGAGGGCGTTCCACAGGGCGGGTGCCACTACCGAGAAGGCCCTCTGCCTGGTTCCCTGTAACTTGGCTCCTGAGCCCCTCAGGGGTGCCGCAAAAAGAATGTGGTTGGTCTAGGGCAGGGGTCGGCAAGGTTTATCTTGCCTGGGCCAGATTGTGTGTGTGTGTGTGTGTGATTTTCGGCGTCTGTGAGTGCGCAGACGCGATTTTCAGCGCCACGGAAGCGAGTACCTGGGCCGTGCCAGTTTAGCGCAGCGCGTGAGCGGGCAACTCGGTTCGGGGCTGGCTTGTGGACCGGTCAAACAACCTCCATGGGCCACTTTTGGCCCATGTCCCTTAGGTTGCAGACCCCTGGTCTAGGGAGCCATGAACACAAAAAGGTTGAAAACCTCTGGCATAGACCGTCAGTGATCTAGTCCTTTCAACCCAACCACGCCGGATGCGATTTATGCCTTGTTTCAAAAAGGGTAGTGGCCGACCAGTCACACTGTTGGAGTCACTGTCAAATGGTTGCGATGTTGCAATCAGCCGGGGAAATTCTGTCTATGGTATTCTGCCCATAGGAATACAGTGGTACCTCAGGTTAAGTACTTAATTCGTTCCGGAGATCCGTTCTTAACCTGAAACTGTTCTTAACCTGAAGCACCACTTTAGCTAATGGGGCCTCCCACTGCCGCCGCGCCGCTGCTGCGCGATTTCTGTTCTCATCCTGAAGCAAAGTTCTTAACCCAAGGTACTATTTCTGAGTTAGCAGAGGCTGTAACCTGAAGCGTCTGTAACCTGAAGCGTATGTAACCCGAGGTACCACTGTATCAGAATGGACATTTTCCGCTTCTGCCGCCGTACCATGGAATGCCCTTCCTGCTGCCACACACATGTATCAGGAGAAACGGCCAGTGCTTCCTGGAGGGTGGCACTGTGGTCTAAACAACTGAGCCTCTTGGGCTTGCTGATCAGAAGGTTGCCGGTTCAAATTCCCACGATGGAGTGAGCTCCCTTTGCTCTGTCCCAGCTCCTCCCAAACTAGCCATTTGAAAGCACTCCAGTGCAAGTAGATAAATAGGTACTGCTGCGGTGGGAAGTTAAATGGCGTTTCCGTGCACTCTGGTTTCCGTCACAGTGTCCCGTTGCGCCCGAAGCGGTTTAGTCCTGCTGGCCACATGACCCGGAAAGCTGTCTGTGGACAAACGCCGGCTCCCTTGGCCTGAAAGCAAGATGAGTACAGCAACCCCATAGTCGCCTTTGACTGGACTTAACCGTCAAGGGGTCCTTTACCTTTACCTTATCAGCAACCATCACTTCCTTCTGACATCTTGTAAAGACAGATCTCTATGCCCAGGTTTTCTTCCCTCCATATGACTGAGCCCTGTTTTGTGATTCTGTATTCTCCACAAATTCCTTTTATTAATTTTTATATGATCTTATATGCTTTTAAAAACTGTTTCACTGGCTCTCTGTTGTATTTTTATGCAATATTGCAAATTGGTTTATATCATACATTGCTTAAGAGGTTTTAAAAACATTAAGTGGTTTATAAATGCTTTTAAATAAATAAACTGAAGGACCAAAAAAGTCACAACTGTCATTTGACATCAGTGATGGCCCAGTGGCGGTTGTAGGCCAGTTTTAACATGTATTGCAAATTTTATCTGTTCCCTCCATTCCTGATGTTTTGTCATGATCTGGTAAAAAAAAAAAACCAACCTCCATTTCATTTCTCAGAAAAAGCCATCAACAGAGATAAAGGTATTCCGCTGTTCATTGTTGCCTCTGTCTTTGGGTCTTGTGTGTACCGTATTTTTTGCTCTATAAGACTCATTTTTTCCCTCCTAAAAAGGAAGGGGAAATATGTGTGCGTCTTATGGAGCGAATGCAGGCTGCGCAGCTATCCCAGAAGCCAGAACAGCAAGAGGGATTGCTGCTTTCACTGCGCAGCGATCCCTCTTGCTGTTCTGGCTTCTGAGATTCAGAATAGTTTTTTTCTTGTTTTCCTACTCCAAAAACTAGGTGCGTCTTGTGGTCTGGTGCGTCTTATAGAGCGAAAAATACGGTAATTCATTGGGCTTTGCTGGGTTGTGATGATTTTACATTTACTTGGATTTTTGATAACCATATTAATTAAAGAGGATATGGGTTTAAAATTGTTTGCATATGGGAAACTAATAGGGACTTGCAAAAGAAGAACAATAGCCTGTGTAGGAAAAATTCCCAAACAACATTAGCACTCTTTAGAAAAACATCCTTAAAAATCAAGCAAAAAAATGTATTTTACACCTATTTACGTAGCACAAATGGACAAAAAGTACTTACTTACTTACTTACTTGCCAGATAGGGATGAAGAGGGAAAGGGTATTTTCCCCCACTTGGTAGGATTACATAGAAGTTTCGAAACACTGAGGTTCTGTTTTCATTGAAATTTCAAAGATAGTAGGCAAACAGGGAGGTGGGGACTATGAAAGCTAGCTCTATTGAACTTATTTAGTGGGAATAATTAAGATCTAGTATACAATGACTGGAGGAAGAACATGAACCGCCAGATTCTGGAAGGGCTTAAGGGGAATAAGCCTTCAAAAATGATATATGAAGGTTTGGGAAATTGCACTTTACACTGAAGCTCAAGCAACGTGTCTGGATTGGCAGAGAGAGAGAGAGAGAGAGAGAGAGAGAGAGAGAGAGAGAGAGACGTTTTAAGCATGTTGGAGGATGTTCATAACTTATACAAATAAGTCTATCAATGAAAGACCCATGCTAGTCGCCTTCAAAAGCATATGGCTACATAAGAATTGTGTGAATTATGTACCTCCCAAAGGATTTCCTCTGAGATGAAGCTGTGCACCTTTCTGCTGATTTTTATTTTATGTGGTTGGAGGCTTTCAGACCTCAACATATTATTTTATATTGCATATTAGCAAAATAAAAACAGAACACAGGACTTGAAGGCAATAGTTCTACTGCACTGTTGCCAACCAGCAACTGGGATTCAGAGGCAACAGGGGGCTTTGAGATTGCTATTTTTAGGTAGGATTCCATTTCATGCCACCACATTCAGGTTAAGCAAATACTAGTGATCTTGCACAGCAAGCCTGCTTCCACCCTTTTTCTTTTGTAGTGACAATAAAATGCATTGGAAAGTGTAGGGCAACAGTTGCTTGATGCATCATAAAACCTCCTTGCAAACTAATCAGCACGAATGCTTAAGAAATAGGTCACCTGGAAGCAACCACAGTGTCCTTGTCTGAAATCCTGAAGAGCAGTGTGGATAATATTTAGATGAGACATGGAGAAGTTTTGGCCCTTTAGATGTTGCTGAACTACAACTCCCATCATCCCTGGCCATTGGCCATGCTTGCTGGAGCTGATGGGAGTGGTAGTTCAGCAACACCTGGAGGACCAAAGGTTAGATGGACTTTGTGCAAGACCATTTCTTATGTTTTGGTAAGTGGCAGTAATCATCAAAAAATCCTCCAAGAATTTTGTCTAATTCTCATTTAAAAGCTATTGCCCATCACAACATCTTGTAGCAGCAGCAGAATCTTTATTTGCATCACCCACTAGCCATAGCAATAAAATAAAATAAAATGTACTGAAGATAGAGGTAAAAATTTAACTATAGAAAATACATTTTGGGGGTTTACATCAATAATCAAATAATAGATCTTATTCTAATTGCCCCCACTAAAAACCTTGGTTTTCACTGTCACCTGATACAACAACTTGTATCACTAGAATAACTTAATTGCACATTTTGCAGTGTCCATTGTAACTTCCCTAAGTCAATTCTAAATAACAGAAACTCTGCTTTCACTTGAGGCCAATGGGTCTAACAAAGACTAGCAGGACCCGAAGGGTGTTCAGTCAGTTCCCTTTTTTTTTTCAAGAGTCTTTCTCTGCCTTCTGTTGTTCTAATGAAGTATAGTTGCCTTAATCAATGTATACTATTTGATTGATTACAAGAAATGTTGTTTCCCCAAAGGTGGCAACCAGAGATTGTTCCTGCCACAAGGGAAAATAATTTCCCTTTCTCGTCTTACATTGCCAACAAATAAGACAGCTTTCCAGACTGTGTGTCGTGACACGTTAAGTGTGTTGGCTGCAGTGTGTAGGTGTGTCATGCGAATGCTCCCCACACTCCTCCCGGGGCTGGAAAGTGGCTAGTTTAACCTCCGGTTTGCTAGTAAAACTGAATTACTGTGTCGTGAAATGGTGCATGTCTAAAAAGTGTGTCACCAACATGAAAAGCTTGGGAAGCTCTGTTCTAGAGACATGGGGTGGTTGCAACAGAGTATAGTGCCATCAGTACACAATTATAAGCAAAACCTCATTTGTTCCTTGCAGAAATGACATGCACAAAGTGGTCATCTTAGAGCTTGTTCCAGCCACTGTAGCCAGTGACAAACGTTATGCTAAAAATCTGTCTCCCAACGTTTTCCCAGGCTTTGAAAGCTTACCTGTGTCATGGGTTGACAGCCACCTATATAATTCTAACACCAGACCTCTGATGAGTAGCTGAGGGGGCAATGCTTGCCTAACAAAGTGCAGCCATCAACACCACTGGATGTCATTTTAACGTTGTTGTCATCGTCTTCTTCTTTTTTAAAAAGTAAACTGACACTTCACTTGTGGAAAAGATATTTAATTGTAAATAGAAAAAGTAGGCCAGAGTACAGTTTTAAGGGCAATTATTTTGTATAGGTCATCTAGATGATTTTATAAAGTTATACATTTTCATAAAAGCACTGAAACAGACACAGCAAAGCACAAATCAAATACAAAGTATACTCTGAAATAAAGGAGCTGAACAGTAGTTTGAAGTGTAACGCAATGTAGACTCAGTAATCTTTAAGGCAGTATGGTCTAAGTGAAGGTCTAAAAGCCACAGGTATCTGAATGTTGCTCTTGGTTCTGAAGCACTCTGGCTGGGTCTACACTTGCAGCAGGGTGACGCGATAGAAAAGGCTGTACTGCCCGAGAAAGTCAGTCATGTTTCTGAACATTCCACTGTGTAAAAATAAATTTGAAAAAGCCTCCTGCAAGTAGAAAACTAGCACACAAGGCAGAAGGCTGGATCAGCACCATTCCCTCCAATGTGCTAGCTTTCTTCTTGCAAGTTTTCTTTACAAAAAAAAAAGCACGAGGGAACATTAAAAAATGACAGTCTCCACCTGCAACCGGAAGTGGTACAGTCTGTTCTACCTCTCATTCTTGCTGCATGTGTAAAGCAGACTTGAGTTGTGAGGTCCTTGGTATGTGAGATTACATCTCTTTCCCCTTCAATCCCAGTTCCTGGGACCAAGTGCTGACTCCTTCCCCAGGATGTGACAACACTCCGATATTCTCAAACGTAATAGTGATTTAGGGCTGCCACCTATTTCTTGATATTACAAAGCTTCAAAAAGATACAGTGTTGTACACTAGAAGTGCTATGTATCTTATCTTTGATGACTGCACAAATTCAAACATAATCCTAGCCATCAGAAAAAACTGTAGGCAACAACAGTATCAACTCATCGTATATATTTATGTTGTTGCTCAACTGTAGATCTTAAGTGAAGAAATCCGAATTCAAAAGTTTCCCTTTTGAAAAGCTCCACTGAAACAAGCAAGAGCAGAGATCGCAAGAGTGGTGGAGCAGAGGGAATGAAAGAATTTGCAGGCTTCACCTGTGTGGTTTCTACGGAAAGTGAATCCAAGCTGCTCAAATCTTCTGCATTCTTGCGTTAATTTGAAGGGGCTTGCAGAGGAGAAGAGCCCTGCTATTGCACCCAGCGTTCCAATATTTCTTTATACTGTTATTACAAGAAAGTCACGGTCCTGAAAGACGAGAGCGGAGCGAGGAGAGGTTGCAGTGTGGGCAGCAGCTCTCTCTATGGTTCCAGTTTAACCTTTTCTCCTCCACTGCGCAACCTCTATGCTCTTGCTGAACCAGATAGGCAATAGCTCGAGTTCAGCTTGAGCCAAGTTCCTTCTGTGCCCGTGTTACACACAAATAAGTGAATTGCTATATGCTGTTGTAAATCTGGACTCCTTCCTGTCAAATAACTCCACCCTCTTCGGAAATTTGTGCAGCTCATGCGATACCACCTTTTGCTATAGAGACAACTGCATGCATAGATATCGTCAAATGTTTTCAATGAGCTCAGCTCATTCGCGTTTGCTTTTGGTCGATAAGAATCATGTTATACCGTACAGCTCTGTGTCATTCACCTATAGGTTCTTTAAAGTGGACTCTGCAACCCCTCTCCACCCATCACAAAGAACAATCGCAGCCACTTTCTTTGTAATGCTTGGAAGTGAAGAAAAGTGAAGAGCCTGCAAAGTTAAGGTGGCAGCATAGGAGGAGAGGGAAAGTTAACTGGACTGCTTTGCAACTTGGTCTCCACCTGTGGATTTGTGGCCCAGATTTGCTAGACACGCTAGAAATGTGATTTCATGCTCCACGTAGAATACATTTCAAATAATCCATATATTACATCAGCCTTCGCGCCAACCTGGTGACCTCAGTATGTTTCTGAACTACAACTCCCATCAGCCCCAAGCAGCACAGTCAAGCTGGCTGGCAGTGATAGGAGTTGTGATCCAAAAACAATCCGAAGGCACCAGGTTGGCGCGAAGGCTGGTTTACATACAAACCTGTCTTGGTTTTCTTTCTCTTCTCTCAAGTTACATTTCATCAAGAAATGGGACTCGCATAAAACAACAACAAACCACCAGCTTGCTTCTGTCTCCCCACCCATGACCTATAGATTAGACATTTTTTCTCATAATTTTCACTCTTCTTTCCTGAAAAATACTTCTGTAAGTTGTATGTAGAAATTATATATCTATATACCTATATATAGATATATATATAGATATAAACATGCAGCATATGTACAAACTGAAAAGTTTAAAAAATATCAGCTTCATATACATGTCAATCTACTTGAATATAACAGTAATTAAATATAAAAAATTACACTTTTTCTAAATAAAAAAGGGAGGGGCAGGGTTCAGAGACTCTGGACGACTACTTAAAGCTGTACAAAGGATTTCCATGAGGAGATGTATGAACTCAGAAGTCTAAGTTGCTAGCCTTCGGGACTGGTTCCATCACATAATTCATTTTCACACCGTCAGTTCAAATCAACAGTTATCACCCTTAAAACTGTTCTGTATTTCAGCAGTTTTGTACTAAAATCAAAAAGGTCTCAAAAACATTGCCTTTGCATGTTTGTGGATCCCTTCAAAAAGATTCAGCAACTAATTTTGGAACTGTAAAAAAACAACTATTTACAGTATTTCTTTTTAAATATTTTTTTTCTTTTTTTGCACAAAATGTCTAAATTCTGAGTTTACTTATTATACAAGAAATTCACCAGAACTCATGGCTTAAGTCCAGTTTCAAACCTGTAGCATCTTCTCTAGCATATAATCCCGGGGCTGCGGCTGATGCGACACGCAGGTCCAGATTGTACTGCTGTTTTCTAAACTGGCTTGACAGAATGCTCGCTTCAACCATTCAGACAGCTTCTTTGTTAGTCTGGAGGCGGGTCATTGCCTCCAACTTCTGCCTATAGGCTTCTGCCTCCTGCTCCTTCTTCAGAAGCTGCTGGCGGTACTTCTGCGCTTCCCGGTTTGCCTCATCCAGCTGCTTCTGTAAAGTTTCTCTTTCCTGTTAAAACATAACACAGAAAGGTATAGGTAAATTGTGTGAAAAATGAATCAATGGCTGGTTTGCACTTGTTTAAAAGTGCCACTTCATTGTATCTGAAGAACAAATATACAGGAATTCTGGCATGTTCCTTGAGGTTATTCTTTGAAGTGGGGGGAGAGGGGAAATAGTTAATTTTAAAATATTCTAAATAAGGGAACATGATATCACAGAAAGTCAGACAATTTGACGTATGTGGCATAAAATATCGGAACAGGCTAGTTTTAAAAGATCCCTTCTATAACCAATTGGCTAGCTGTTAACAAGCATAGCCTTGCAATTAATTTTAGCAACAGAATAATTAAGTCTGGAGAAGAAGGAAGTTAATCTAGCTTTCCACTTAATAGTTTAACAGCTACTTTTAATTCTTCTGTTACAAATTCTGCCTATAAACAGCTCTCCTTTTTTGAAATAATTTTTATTTGATTTTACAAGTTATAACAATACAAAATACATGTCCATATTTGGATATTTCACTGAATCTCTAGACTTCCCACCTTCCCCCCATGTGTCCTATTATAAACCTTTTCAAATGCATATTATTTCATCATCCAAATATTATGCCTCTCCCCAAATTCTCTACTGAGTTAGTGACCTACACAATTATTTTGTTACATCTACAGTGGTACCTTGGTTTTTGAACGGCTTGGCTCCCAAACAAATCGGCTCCCAGGGTTTAAGTTAATTTTATGAGAAAAATGGTTTTGGAAAACTGTTAAAAGGATATACACTGAAACTCAATTAGGGGGATTTGAGGAAGTCATTTAACAATTCTACTAAGATTTGTCTAAATATGGTTAAGATCTATGTTTGTCAGTTTGTTTGTTTAAAATTTTTTGGAAAATCAATTAAAAAATTTGAAGAAAAAAACCCAGACAAATCGGCTCCCAAATGACGCAAACCCGGAAGTGAGTGTTGCGGTTTGTGAACGTTTTTCGGAAGCCAAATGTCCGACGCGGCTTCCAATTGAGTGCAGGAAGCTCCTGAAACCAATTGGAAGCTGCACCTTCGTTTTTGAACAGACTCCCAGAATGAATTAAATTCAAGAAACAAGGTACCACTGTATATAGTAATAATAATTTATTATTTATACCCCACCCATCTGGCTGGGTTTCCTCAGCCACTCTGGGCAGCTCCCAACAGAATATTAAACAGAATAAAACATCTTTATATGCCTATTCTCCAAGGAACTAAGGGCTGCATATGCCTGGTCCTATGTCCCTTCCCTTTTTATCCTCCAATAATGTTGTAACACGGCAAATGGAGATGGATGTTAGAAGGACGACAGAGTGGAGAAAAGTGTAATTGCCTTTGAATCCCAAATCCTTAAATTCTATTCTATTCTATTCCTGGAAATGTTGTGAAATCAATGGGATTAGCAAGCCCTATTCAGGCATTCTAACTCGTGTCTGTAGTCTCTAAGCTGTGTACAGAAAGGTTACAAAACATACAATAAAGTCAAGCCAGTCGAAATCAAGAAAGCTTACTTAAAATGCCTGCCAAAATTAAATGCCAGAAGCTCAACAGGGAGCGTGGCCTGCCTGATCTCAGCCAGGCAGGAGTTCCACAAAATAATAATAATAAATAATAATAATAATAATAATAATAATAATAATAATAATAATATATATTATTTATACCCCCGCCCATCTGGCTGGGCTTCCCCAGTCACTCTGGGCGGCTTCCAAAAAAATATTAAAATACTGTAATACATCAAACATTAAAAGCTTCCCTAAACTGGGCTGCCTTCAGATGTCTTCTAAAAGTCTGGCAGTTGTTGTTCTCTTTGATCCACAACAGTGAAAGCGTGACTGCTGGTGGATATAAGGCAAGGGTCTGAGCTAACTTGGGGATAACTTTAGCCATGAGACTTTCTTATGTGTATAGGCTTCATGTACAGTTGAGAAACCTGATCTTCTGGAGTCACAAGTCATGTGAGTCACAAGTCATGTAGAGGAAGCTCCCTGCTGCAGATGTTTGCCTCCGATCTCTGGGAGGCAACAAAGATGGTGATGGGAAAGGCGGCATGGAGCGATCATGAACATCCCCTCTGTCCATCACATGATTAGAATTGTGTGTGCTATCTCACCGTGTTTTGGATTAAGATAGATGTCTACAGTCTACAAACCAGAAGTCTGAATTCTTGCACTCACATCAGCTTGCTGACCCCAAAGACCGGTACCAGCACACTGAAATTTAGCGGCAAGTGCGTAAGAATGCTAAAATGTACCAGGAGAACTTAAACACAATCTTCCCCTCTTTATTCAAAGTTATACTTCTTTAGATTTCTTTCCACTCTATTGTATCACATGCCCTTTATCTGTAGCCAACAACCTTCCATTATTGGGCTCCAAAACCACCCAAACAACTTGCAGGAAAGAAGTCCATGGAGAACACACAATAAATTGTGGCATTTCATGTAGGAATGTTTGGAGAAGGAACTCAGAACCCTGGGTTACTATTATTATTAAATTTGTATACGGCACTATATCCACAGGTCTCAGGATGGTTATAACATAAAATCAGTACACATTCTATCCAACTAAGTCCTACTCAGATCTATTGATATTAATGACCACAACCATCTCAGATACATTGATTTCAATGGATTTACTCTGAGTAGAATTTAGTTGGCTAAATTTCTAAGGTCTCCCAAGTTCCCACTGCCTTGCACAAGGATGTTGTGCACTACTACCCTGCAATATCCGGCGACCAGAAAGGTCATGGCTCCTCTGCCTGCTGAGTCCCCATTATGACATCAGCTGGTTGCCCAATGATACCATCTAAGGGCTATTCTAACATGATAGTTAAAATATGCTGTTCTCTCACTGCGTTATCACAACCACTATGAAATAGGTAACTAGTGCCTGAATTTGATTTCTAAGGGTGCTATCTATTCAGGCCCTCGCCCCAAACCTCCTCTTTCCCTCCATTCTTTCCAGAGGAAAAGCAGTGGGAAGAGAGACTGAGACCAGGCATGAGACAAGTACTCCCAAGCCTTGTTCTCCAAGTTGCAAACTAAGGGTGACTGACTTGGAAGATGCTCTTCTTCCTTTCATACCTTGACTTCTCCAAAGTGGCCCACAAGTAAAACTAGTTGCTAGCCTTGGCGGACAGGCCTGGGGATTGTAGGATCAATTGTTTTTTGTATTAGAACCCCGATATCTGTCGAATGATGCAAAATACACACATTTGCAATTTAAGAATTTCGAGCTTAGGGATTTGTTCTGAGTACCAGAACTGCACTGAGCTCACTGCCATGTACCAGTCTGCCCACCCCATCCTCCAAGGAGCTCTCATCTGCCATTTCTCAGCAATTAGTGCTGGTATCCCTGTCTTCTCTATTACATGTGCAGGGTAAGGAAATGTTTTTGGTTTTTTTCCAGGCAATAATAACTTTTTATTAGCTTGAGGAAGAAAGCTTGAGGGAGTAAGTGTTTGACATATTTAGATGTTTTCCAGGCACAGACTACAAGACTGTCTGTTTTTATCAGGTGAACATTAGGAATACTGTGAAATAAATGCATGGTTTTTTAAAAAATATTCAAATTACAGGGCTGTTACATAGTTATTTTTGTGAAACAGCATTTTACATAGATTAAATGTTGCGCCTGGAAATTGATTGGCAGCAGCCACTGAGAACCAGAGAGACAGCCTTAGATGAAATTACACGGGGAGAAGCACGGCCAATATCTCAGAAGGCTAACTGCAGAGGTTCTATGGACCAAGTGGGCTGCCTCCTGAACCAGGGCACTATGCAAGGCATTTGAGAGACAGAAAACAGGGGCCAAACGGTAGGATTGTACTGCTGCAGGGGTTTGCACTAAAAAAAATTCAGGCTTGATTCTCTTCCCACCGATGGCAAAATTATTTTCCCATTTCAACATGAAGATACAGCATTCGCTTGTTACATCAGTCACACAAGGCAATTATTATGTGAGGGTTTCCTGTGCAGTTGGATAGCATAATGCTATTCCTTGCAAACATTCTTATTCTTTTGAAGAACACATCTGTCACGAATTTTTACTTTGGACTTTTATTCTAAGGCTGTTCCCCCTCCACACACACAAAGGGCACTGCTCTTTAAATAGTGACTGGATTGACTGACTCCCCACACCCTGCTTAATTTGACATGTAATTCAACAAAGTCAAGTGTTGAGCCAACCCACCTATTCCATTTTCATTTGATGACTGAGAACAGTTTCATGGTCAAGAAAAAGCACTTGAGTTCAAAAGCAAAAGACATTTTCTCCATCCTACAAAATAGCCAGCTTGGAATTTTGGTGAACCCAAATGACCAGCTCATGACATGCTGCGATCTTACATGATCCAAAAGGCAGCATTTCCACCTTATTAAGAATAATTGCCTAGGAAATAGCTTTGTTCTGATCCTTACACAAGCAAAAGCCTCCCCCCCCTTTAAAGGACTCCATTTTTTAAAAAAAACAAGTAAGCTAATTTCAGCCATGGTTTCCACTTCAATCACTAGGTAGTACAATATAAAAGGGACCAAGAAGGTCCATCTGTAAACACTGTTTTGTTGAAATGAAATAGCAGGGTAAAAAATAATAACCTTCCTCTTCTTCCTTCTGATGATATGCCTTTTTCCCTTACAGAATGATCCCAATCATACTTTCTGGGAATAAGCTTTATTAATCTTAACTTTATCTAGTCCCCGGTAAATATATTTGGGACTGAGGCACAAGTCCATCCTATCTATGGTTTGTGTTCTAAATTCTTTTCCTGTTACTGTCAATTTTTGCATCATCCAGTTGAATTGTGCTCCAGCACTCAAAAACTAGCAATTCAGGTACCTGATAACTGTTGGTCAGCCTATTATTCTGATTGCTCAAAGGTCTCTTGCTCTCCAACAATTCTGCCCATTTGTTCTTGCTTAGACGTTCCTCCTTGAGGACAAATATGTGGTGAAATCCTTCCTCGGTACTCACTTTCCCTGGCGAACCTTTGTCTGAATATGTTAATCTGCATCCCTTACTAAAATGAAACCTAAATGCACAGCTGCTCAGTGCCATCCCAAGTGGCCCTTGCTTTGCCATCCCTTCCCTCTACATGTTATCTTCACCACTGTCAAAATGTAGATTGCTTATAAAACTCTGTAAAGTACTCTGTACACTGATGGTAACTTATAACTCTAAAAATAATAGTATATCTAAAGTATACTATGTATACCTAAAAGCAGAATGCCATTTTTCCCATAGTGAAGTGGGACATATGATTTGAGTTGGAGAACAAGAAGAAAATCAATAACAATTTTCTAAAGCAGGCATCTTCTCCTGTAGCAATGCTGAGCACCACACAAACAGAGGCTTATTTTACTTATTTTGCTGAGTCTAGGAATGCTCTACCTCAATTTAACACTCAAACTGTACCGTATTGGCCCGAATATAAGCTGCATCCGCAAATAAGCTGCACCTTCAAAATTCAGGGGGGTGGGAGAAAAAAGACATTCCCCTGTTCTCCCGGACTGCTTGGGGGGGGGAGGCTGCCATCAAAGTAGCGCGGCTCCCCCACCCCCAGAACGGGGCAACGGCATGTAGCTCGCCCGCCACTCCCAAGCCTCCCCTGAGCCGCCGGGAAGAGGGAGGAAGGGGGGAGGTCGCTGGCAAAGGGGAGCGGTCCCCCCCCAAGAGCAGCCTGGGAGCCTGGGGCAATGGCGCCCAGCCTGCCCACTGCTCCCAAACCTCCTCCCGGGCTGCTCTCTGGGGGATGAGCCTCGCTGGTGGCATAAGGTCACAAATATAAGCCGCACTTTAACTTTTCACTGTCAGAATTTGGGGGGAAAGTGGCTTATATTCGGGCCAATACGGTACCTTTCAAATGAAATCTAAATGGACAGCTATATTTTTAATATCTAATTCATTCCTGTAGCATGACAACAGAGTCCATTCTACATTCTCACTGAGAAACCTTTTAATGAAAAGAAAATCAGGGTGATAATGTGTAAAAAGACTGTTGATGGGTTTTTATTGTAAGAATAAATTTTTGCCTGTATCACAAAGAACAAAGACAAGTAATAAAATTCTGCACTAAAACCCAAACCTTGGATGATGAAGGTATTTCATCCAACACCACATTAAGAGGAGAAATAATGGAACTGAGATGATAGCTAAACTTATTTACTGAATTTGCGTTAAGCAACTTTTCAGCCTGTATACAAGGAACAAAATCTTTATGATTCATAATTTTGAAAATACAATTACTTAACATTAACATCATCACAGTTATGATGTACGTAGGCTTTTGACCACAAACTGGTAAAGCTGCTAATATAAATGCACACATGGGTTCAACAGTGTCCTTATTTTATACAAAACGTAAACAAGAAGAACTTCAGGGAGAAAATCTATGACATTTTATACCAAAACTTTAGTATACTATGCATAATAGTATAAATATTTTAAGTTTGGTCGGATAATATCATCTTTGGGGGGAAATCTAAAGAAAATATTTATTCTTGGCTTCTCCATTTACACCAAATCTTTGTTTGTCATTGAAAAACGGATACTATATTTAAGGCCATCAAACCACATGCAATGGGACATTTATATTAAACATTTACAACAAATATATCAGAGACAAACATATAATGCAGTTATAAATATCTTATTTTGTGGTAATACAAAAAAACTATTAAGCAAGATGAAAATAAACACTCAGTTTAGAAAATTTGAATAAAACAACTCCGCTAACAAATTCCTTACTTCTATTTCTGCAGACTCCACCCGATTTTCAACTATCTCAATACACTGTCTCTTGACCGGAGGCTCTTCACTGATCACCGTTTCTTCAGCAATGTCAGTCGCTGGTACTGTAAGGACTTGAATTAAAATAATTTGCATCAGAAATATGAAGATTACACATGCTACATTCAAGTAAAAGAACCCCTGGAGGTTAAGTCCAGCCAAAGGCAACTATGGGATGAGGTGCTCATCTCGCTTTTCAGGCTGAGGGAGCCGGCGTTTGTCCACAGACAGCTTTCCAGGTCATGGGCCAGCATGACTAAACTGCTACTGGCGCACGGAGGACCATAACGAGTGCCAGAGCGCATGGAAATGCCGTTTACATTCAGATATTTTGCTAAACCATAATAGATTTGAGTGATTCCTTGAGCACTCCTTCATTCTGAGAAAGAGATAGAGAGAAGCATTGCAGGGCAGACTGAGCTAAAGAACCATCTTGTGGCCGCAAGAGCCTTGGGGGAAGCCAGCTGGGGAGATGGAGAGCTGTTTCTCAAAGTTCTGTTTGGCAATACGTGCTTGGCAATATTTGAGTCAGCCTGCTAGGCGATTTTTTAGTCAGCTTGCTGTAGCGACTTGTAGCTATCTGCTCCACTGCAGGAGACACTGATACTGAGTGCTAACTGGTGCTCTGAGCTCTGTTTCTCAGAGAGCTTGGAGATACAGTGGTACCTCGGGTTAAGAACTTAATTCGTTCCAGAGGTCCGTTCTCAACCTGACACAGTTCTTAACCTGCAGTGTGCTTTTGCTAAAGGGGCCTCCTGTTGCTGCTGCGCCGCTGGCACACGATTTCCATTCTTATTCTGGGGCAAAGTTCTTAACCTGGAGCAGCCACTTCCTGGTTAGCGGAGTTTGTAACCCGAAGCATCTGTAACCCGAGGTACCACTGTACCTCAATTTTCGAATGTCTCCATTGACCAGGGGTCAGCAAACTACGGCCCGCGGGCTGGATCCGGCCCAATTGCCCTCTGGATCCGGCCCGCAAACAGTTCTGCAATCGCCGCTTGGATCGGCGCGATCACCATTTTTTTCCATTTTTGAGGGGGGGGCGCCATTTTTTTTGCGACCCCTCCCCGAACTACAACTCCCAGCATACTCTAAGGTTGCTCAGACTTCCGCAACACTGGCCATTCTGAAGCCTTAGCAACCTCAGGCCTCCCCTCCATTGGCCAGTTTGACGCGAGACGGCGGCCAATGGCGACCCTTCCCGAGACTCGCTGCTCCAATCGGGGCGAGGCACAGGGCAGGGCGCCTTGTTGACGTCTAGCTCCAAGAAGGGAGAAGAAGCGAAGGGGCAGGAAGAAGCGAGAGCAGAGAGCCTGCGAGGAGAGAGGAGGAAGACTCTTCTGTGCTGCTCGGTAGTGGCACATTAGCAGCATGGTCAGGTGGCTGCAGCCCCTCTGCGCAAGTTGAGACCCAGCGCCGGCGGGGCGCCCCCTCCCCAGCCCAGCCCTCTCTGTCTGAACGCAGTGAGTGGAGGTATCTCAGCTGCACTGTCTCTAAGGGAGGGAGGCAAGGTGTGTACATGCCCGGTCCAGCCCGCCATAAGTTTTGAGGGACAGTGAACTGGCCTCCCCCTAGAAAAAGTTTGCTGACCCCTGCCGTTGATGAACATTTTGGTTTTCAAATGCTGTAAACCCGGAAGTAAATGTTTCTGTTTTCCAATGAGCCTCGGAAGTCAAACGGGAAACATGGCTTCCTTATTCAGTTTTCCATTTTGAGGCTTCCGTACTGAGTTTTCGAACATTTCGGAATACAAACGTTCTTCCGGAACGGATTACATTTGAAAACCAAGTCACTGTATTTGAATCAGCCTACTGTAGCGATTTCTTGCCCCTGCAAGAGGCAGCGAAGAACTGGCTGATGTACAGTTAGCAAGGGCTGCACACACAATATTGTGCTTTTTCAAATACCACACACACAATCTGTGATAAACTGCAAGGTCGTTTTTTAAAAAAAACGGTTATCATGATTTGCTCTATTATTTGTTATCAGGCTATATATTGATTTATAGCACACCCTAATGTTGCTCCCTTTTTATAGCACACTTGCTAGTTGCTCCCTTAAAAGCTACTGTTTTTCCTGAGCCATTTGTATTCCCATTTTGCCCCTTCAAAAATAAATAAATTGTGGCCTCGAGTGACTATTGAGTTGAATGCAAAAACTAAGCAAAAATATTTATATGCATTGTTCAGAAGAGGATTTGAAGTCCTCATTTTACATTTCCTTTCAGCTCACCTTGTTGCCCATCTGGCATGGTCACAATAATGGGCTGACCCATTCCACTAGTTGGAATGGAATGGAGGTTTCCAAGCTGAATCCCATCAGTTACTATGGTAATAACCTGCTGACCTCCGGAACTGACAACTTGCTGAATTGCACCATCCACAGATTCTGCAGTCACTACTTCTTCTGTAGCCACAACTGTTAAATAATAAAAAGGATAAGAGTAATCAGGATGTTTATTGACAAACTTGCTTTTAAAAAGTTAAATACCTACCGTTTGCAGAAACCATTCTGCTGGCCTTAATTTGTTAGATTTATTAAATCCTATTAGCTTTCTTACAAATACAACTTGCACTTTGGTTGTGTTGTTATGGGAAGGGGCTGTAGTTACTGACTCACAATTGCATGCATGAAAGGGTTAACCTGAGCTCAGGTTGCAAGTGGGTGTGGCTTAGCAGGTTTTCAGCTCCCTGCTCACAGTCATTTTTTCTTTGTGCTTCCTGGAATAAGCAAGGAGCCATGCGGCTATGGCTCCCAACTCCAAGAAAAACCAAGTGAACTGAATCTCTCAAAAATGAGATTTTATAGCCTGTATCTTTGCTAACCCAAAAATTCCACAATCCTTTTTGTAAGGAAACCAAGTGCTTTCCTTTATGGCATTTGGAAGCTTTTTTCCTCTTTATTTTACTTGTTTGTTGTAACTTCTGGAAACTGTGAATAAAATCTTCACTTATTTGGAAAGTCAAGTGTCTGTGGTTTATTCTAGCCTAAGTATTTTTGTGGGAAACATTTGTTTAAAGGTGGATAAGGGCAGATGCAAATCTAACCAAGGTTTAATGTGCTAGGAGCAAGTGTCATTGTGCTCAACTCAGTTAGGAGAGAGTAAGATCTCGCTCTTCCAAACCTCTCTCTCCAACACCTTTGTGTGAAGAAAGGGCTGAGAAAGGCTCTTTGGGGGACTTTCCCCCTTCATCACACTTTATACTTACAGCTAACTTCAGTGCAGGAGCAGCTAAAGCACTTTTTCATATACAATGCATGCCCAATTTTTGTAAACCCATCATGTCACTACCAAAAGATAATAAAAATGACCGCAATCTGGGGTAAGAGGGGGGCGAAGACGAAAGATGGAGATTACAGTTTTCTAAACCTGAATGCCTAGCACAATTGATACAAGGAAATACATTTATTTGCTGTTTCATATTAGTACCTGACATAAAGCAAACTGGATTTACTAGTATAAAAATGTTTTGGCATTTTCAGGTACTTTCTCAATGGGTAGAAAGTTGGAGTTTGATACATGGGTAACCTTATTATACTGAGAAATTCAAATTTTAATATTTAGAAATTATTTTAACACTCAGCAATAAACAAAATCCTGTTTCTGGGTACTTATTAGTCTCAAACTAACATTGGCCATACTACCTTTTTTAGGTTTTAACAGGAGAAAGATCATTAAAAGCCAATGCTGAACCATAAAAAGCAGCAATTTGAGCAGCGACATTTACATTCAAGCAGCTATATTAAAATCAGCTTTGAAGTTCACAAAAGACGGGATGTACACCAGAAGGCTTTCTATCAAAATCTGTAGAACATGATTTATGTCAGAAAGATCAGACATCAAATACAATGGAGACGCAAGTCAGAAGCTTTCATCTTTGCCATTAATTGCAATCCTATTTATAATGATTTTCCTGCTCAAATAGTGATTGCCATTATTGCCTTCATAGAAATGGCATTATTATAAGAAGAATGTTAATTTTTTTTCAGGATTTTGTGAAGATGAAATTTTGTCCGTTTTCTTTCTTTTTAATAAATGAATGAATGAATGAATAACAATGTGAATCCCTGTTTTAACATCCAAATATTTTTTCCTCACCTGGTGTTTCTGAAGAGTTGGACAATGGAGCTGAAGCTTCTGCTAAGGCAGCCAAAGTTGCTAGTACTGAAGTTGAGGAATTACCGAACTGGACAGCAGACACTCCTGTATCATCTACAAGGAGATAATACAAAAGTCAAACCACAAACGACGTCAGCAGGTTGCATAAATATTCCTTTCAAATGTAATGTGCAAAGACATAATCTTGTCTGCAAATCCAGAGTCTGACATGTGCTTGAATAACTCATACACAATCAAACGTCACATCTATTTTAGTAGCTGACTTAGTTTCCTGTACACATTCCACTGGAACAAATGGGGACAAGAAAGGAGGGTGATTCCAAAGACAAACTTTAAGCAATTAAAAAAGTCTGAACTGGGGGATGATGGAAAAAACTAAACGGCAAATGATGCACTTGCTGAAACCTTACCATCATTTTATTCCTAAGCATTTTGCTTAATATGGTGAACAAATCATTCCCAACCCCCTGTACACCTGAATACCTGAGGTATATGATGTATTTGCAGAAGATACCAGACCTGTTAGGTTCACTACCCCGCCAGGTCCAATGATGAACTGAGGCGTTGCTGCATGTATCGTCACAGTGTCGGGACTTTCTGGGTTTGTGTTGATTTGGTTCTGCATTGCAATCTATGACAGAACAGGCAACAAGAACATCTTATTTCCACCTTCATTAGGAGGGAAAAGCCATCACACTCAGATTTTGTATAGTTATTGTACTATTGTATTTTGACATTTTTTTCTTTTTTAAAGAAACTGTGAACTGCTTTTAAACTGCCCTGGGACCTTAGAATGAAAGGCAGATAATGAATTAAGAGGAAGAGGAGGAGTCAGTATAGTTCACAGCAAATAAAGGAGACATTTGAAAATGCAATTGATACCTATACTCAGGTAAATTCAAATAACTTTGTGGACGGGCACCAGACTAACGTTAGGTAGAATGAATATGGTGAGAACATCAGTAAAGGCAAGATGACCAAGTAGAAGGTAAAAAGTGGAAGCTAAAAAGGTAAAGGGACCCCTGACAATTAAGTCCAGTCGCAAACGACTCTGGGGTTGCGGCCCTCATCTCGCTTTATTGGCCGAGGGAGCCAGCGTACAGCTTCTGGGACATGTGGCCAGCATGACTAAGCTGCTTCTGGCGAAATCCAGAGCAGCGCACGAAACGCCGTTTACCTTCCCGCCGGAGCGGTCCCTATTTATCTACTTGCACTTTGACGTGCTTTCGAACTGCTAGGTTGGCAGGAGCTGGGACCGAACAACAGGAGCTCACCGCGTCACGGGGATTCGAACCGCTGACCATTTGATCAGCAAGCCGAAGCAGCACAGTGGTTTAACCCACAGCGTCACCTGCTGTGATAGAAGAAGTGGCTATCAATCAACAAACTGATTGGTTGGAGGGAGTAATGCTTCTGAATATCAGTTGCTGAAAACCACAGGGGGCGAGAAGAATACTCATTTGCTCAGCTCCTGCTTAAGGTTTCCCACAGGCATCTGGGGGCCACTGTGAGAATGCTGGACTAGATGGGCCATTGGCCTAATCTAGCAGGCTCTTACATTCTTACAGAGGTCCAGGAAATACTTTGTTGAAGATGGTTTTGAGTTACCTGTAATATTTCTGCCAGGTCTTCAAACCCATTGTCCACAGCGATGTCAAATGCTGTTTTGCAAAATTTACTTTGCGTATGGACATCTGCTCCATATTTTACTAAGAGTTCCACTACTTCTTGGTGATTATGTTCTGTAGCCCAATGGAGAGCAGTCATCTTCAGCATGTCCTTTGCATTTACGTCAGCGCCATGCTACAAATAAAACAAAAAACCCCAAACTACTTCAAATTCCCATCAAGAGTTCAAAAACTGAAAGACACAGCCCATTTAATAGTTATTTCCAGTCCTGCAGCCTTCTACAGTATTTGCCATTTCATGGTCAGTCACAATCAAGCAAAGCATACACAACATGGACTTTTTAAAAAATGACAATAAATAAATTGTTAACTAAAATGTACCATCTCTGTACAAACAATGTACCATTGTTGCTTATGGATGGGCACAATATGTGGAAAGCAGTGTGCATGCTTTCCACTGAAGTAGCTTAATGGCGCAGCACAGAATTTAAACGCAGCGTTAAATCCCCAGCTTTTCCAGATAGGGCAGGAAAAACTTACTGAAACTTTGGCCCAAGTCAGTGAGCTAGATGGACCAATGGGCTGATTTAGTGCAAGGCAGTTTGTTCTGCGTCTGTACACCACATCCTCCAACCCTATGGCTTTGGTGGGGGGTGGGGGAGAGGGGCTCCAAGGCGGAGGAACCAAAACCCCAGCTTGCACAAGAACAACCTTTGTGGCACGCTTTGAGCCCAAGCAATATTTTTAGAAGGCTTCTTTGCATGCCACTGATAATGAAAAGTCATATTCGCATCAACTAGCAAATGAGCATTTTTCAGCTTCTGAACAGTTATCACGAAATGTGCATATATCTATATATTTACCTTAAGTAACACTTCTACTATGCTTGCATGGCCTTCAGAAGCTGCCATATGTAATGGAGTTCTGTCCACTTTGGTCCTGGCATCCCGACTTACACCAGCTCGAAGCAACACTTCAGTGGTGGAATAGTGCCCATATTGTGCTGCTAGATGAAGAGGAGACGTTCCCAACTGCAACACAATATATAGCACAGTTAACAAACAAACAAACAAACAAACAAACAAACAAACAAACATCAGGCTAAGAATTAACTTCCATCTATCTTCTAGTTATGAACACACAGAATATTTATACTCTTCTAATTTAATGGCATCCCTTCCTTGACATATTTAATTTTGAGTGCCATGAATTATTATTTTTTTAAGTGCATAAATGATTTAGGGTGAGGTTTTCTTGTTTGTTTGTTTACTTTTAGGGGCGATGTTTTCTACAAGTTCCTGCAATCCTGTAGAAATACTGCTGGAAGGGGCTGCTTTCATTAAACTCACACAGATTGGTTAGCTCTTCTTAACTTTTGATGTTGAAGTGACTAATCTTTGCCCTGCTTACTCACATAGTTACTCCTACATTTCACGATTCATAAATATCCAGTCCAATACATAGACAATCAGTCAGAAGACTACATTTTCTAAATTACTATTTGTGCTTTTTTCTTGCTTTGAACAAATGTTTTTTTAATAATAATAATAATAATAATAATAAGGCTGTAGTATTGCAGTCAGACAATTAATACCACCATCATTACTGGCTGAGCTGGTCAAGATACCCTAGAGTGTTGAAGAACTCCAGGACAGTGGTCATGGAGAAGTTGAATATTCATACTGAAGCTACCCGTACTGGGCTGGTTTGGAACTTCATGGTCTTTAGGAGGAATTCAAGATTATGCTGTTGAACATTCTGCTAGCACAAGCATTCCAGCTTGTTCATTCCAGCTTGGAATGAACTGCCTCCCCCTGTGTGCTGTTCTCGGGATTCTCCTGATTCCCACCCCCCAAATCAATTTTAGGGGGCACAAGGAGGTGGGGAGAGAGGGCATAGCCCTGTTTCACAAACAGAAGTCCTTGCATGGGCTTCCACTGGTGGGACTCATTAGTTGAATCCCGCCCTTTAGGTGGGATTCAATGTCATACCAACATGAAATTGAGCAGGACCTGCTCTCGTCACACAATTTGGATCCAGATGTTATACACTTATTTCAAATGTCACTAATCCAGTGATTCTCTCAGAAATATAAACAAAAGACCAACAGAAAAGCAAAACATGCAATTCAAACAAACAAATAAAATATGTTTTTATTACCCAGTCTGTAGTAAAAGGTGCACCATTGGCCATCAAAATGCGAACTTCGTCATCTTGTCCTGCTCGTGCAGCTTCTAAAAGCTTCTTTCCCAAATCTACCAGGGACATCTGGTGAAAGATTTCAGATGAAAAAGAATTACCGTAAGGTTCATTCAACATGCCACAGTTATGAAATAAATGGACATATATCAAAAAATGTGGCATGTATCATTGAAAAATTCTTGAAAACAGAGATGCAGGCTGAATAGATGGTGGCTGCTGTGTTGGCACAAACAAATCCTGTCTTAAGAAGCTGAGACAAGCTTCATGCATTACAGTGGTACCTCAGGTTACAGACACTTCAGGTTAGACTCCGCTAACCCAGAAATAGTACCCTGGATTAAGAACTTTGCTTCAGGATGAGAACAGAAATCATGCTCCGGCGGCACAGCGGCAGCAGGAAGCCCCATTAGCTAAAGTGGTGCTTCAGGTTAAGAACAGTTTCAGGTTAAGAATGGACCTCCAGAACGAATCAAGTTCTTAATCCCAGGTACCACTGTAGCATGAAGCCCCTTGCTCCCCCACCCCTGTTCACCCCCTCCTTTGCAAGAGCAAGCAAAGAAACTAAGAAGCTGCAGTTCACTCTAGCTTCCACTTACCGTATTTTTCGCCCTATAGGGCGCACTGGCCCATAGGGCACACCTCGTTTTTTTGGGGGGGGGATAAATAAATAAATAAATAAATTATTCCCCCCCCCAGCCGCGGGCTGGGGCGGAGGAAGCCCGAGCTTCCCCCGACCCTAGCCCCCAGAACAGGCTGCTATCGGCAAGCCTTCAGAGCCCGGCGGGAACACCCGCCAAGCTCGCAGGGCTTGCGGACATCTGCCAGAAGCACGGGGCACGCTCCAGAGCGCGCCCTGTGCTTCGGGCTGCAGGCTGCTGCCCGCAAGCCTTGCGAGCCCAGCAGGAACTCCCGCCGGGCTCGCAAGGCTTGCGGATAGCTTCCTGAAGCCTGGAGAGCGAGAGGGGTCGGTGCGCACCGACCCCTCTCGCTCTCCAGGCTTCAGTGAAAGCCTGCATTTGCCCCATAGGACGCACACACATTTCCCCTTCATTTTTGGAGGGGAAAAAGTGTGTCCTATAGGGCGAAAAATACGGTACGTCTAAACTGAGAACTATGGTTAATGCCTTTCCACAAGCCAAGATCCGCAAACCAACATTAAACCATGGCTTTATATTCTGGAATATTTGGAAGCTCTTTAAACTGCTTGTCTTGATCTTTAAACCCCTTAACAGCATAGGGCACACATATCTATGGGGCCATATGACTGGCCTATGCAGCAGCTGCAGTCATGATATCAGGCTTTGCTCTGCATGCACTCTTCTACCTTACTGAGGTCAGATTAGAAAAATGACACCTAGGAGCAAGGCCTTTATCGCTGCAGTCTGGGAATCTTTTAGCTATAGAGGAAGGGGGTGGTCCTCTCTACCCGGGTTTTGTGGTGAGTTGATGGTGGCTTTTAATTGCTATTTTGGGAGGTGTTTATTCTAATTGCGATTTTTATCCCTTTGTTGGGTTTTAATATATTTTTACTCTAAATTGCTTTGAGTGGTTTTGGGGTGGGTTTTTTTGGAAAAAGTTTTTAAATGTTTAAAACATTTAATATACTTTTCTAAAAAAACCAAAAACCCATACACAGCAGCTTAGAATAAAAATATGATTTAAAACAAAATTGATCAGATCCAATGGGATAAAATTAACAAGTAAATATGCATTGTATTTGGCTTCATAAATGCTAAAAAAACAACAATAATAGCATGCCTACTCCAAACTCTCTCATATGCAAATTAAATGTAAGGACTTATAACTGTGAGCAAAATCATGGGAGGGGTGTTTCTAGGACTAAGGTGAAATGGTGAAGCTCCCTTGTTATTTTTTCCACTGGATGTTGCATGTTTAAGTAATCTTGTTCTATTTATAATACTGAAATGTGGTTTTTGGTATGTTATTATATTTGCTATTGTTTGGCTATGTTATTATGAAATTGTTTTTGTAGTGTTTGTTTGAAATGTATTCCTGTTGTAAGCTGCTTTGAGCAGGATTTTTTGTGGGAAAGCGGCATACAAATAAAATGAATGAATGGTTACACACTGTCCTAAAGAACAGGGGGGGAAATCTCCTAATGCAGGCATAGGTAAACTCAGCCCTCCAGATGTTTTGAGACTATAATTCCCATCATTCCTGACCACTGGTCCTGTTAGCTAAGGATGATGGGAGTTGTAGTCCCAAAACATCTGGAGGGCCGAGTTTGCCTATGCCTGTCCTAATGCAATACCAGAAATAAACCCAACTTCCACTAATCACTGACAAAATTATCATTATGCTGAGAGCATTCAACTTTTGTTTCTCCTTTCCATCAGATTCCAGCTACCGTCCAGCTACAATCAGGCACAAAATTAAATGACAATAAGGCCAATTGAACCAACTGAATCCACCTAAGTATTTAGGAACTTCCATTGCTCCCGATCATTCAGAGGCACCTCATCATTAAGGTTCATAGAAGCTTGGGATGCTCCTTAACTGCGCCAATCATGAGCCATGTGCACCCACCCAAGCCACTGCTTTTAGGGCCACCATCATCACCACTGCCATATCTCCATAGCCAACTGATGCAAAAAAATCAGCTGGTGAGGCATCTTCAGAGCCCCAAAAGCCTCAGATTGCCACTGCTGCTGCTAACATAGCATCAACATACCGTATTTTTTGCTCTATAAGACACACCAGACCATAAGACGCACCTAGTTTTTGGAGGAGGAAAACAAGAAAAAAAATATTCTGAATCTCAGGAGCCAGAAAAGCAAGCGGGATCACTGCGCAGCGAAAGCAGCAATCCCTCTTGCTGTTCTGGCTTCTGGGATAGCTGCGCAGCCTGCATTCGCTCCATAAGACGCACACACATTTCCCCTTACTTTTTAGTAGGGAAAAAGTGAGTCTTATAGAGCAAAAAATACGGTAATTTCAAAAGGCAAAATAGGAAGGAGGTGGGTTCCCATCTCAAGTGGAACAATGTCTTGTGCCGGTCCGGCTCCTGAATCTTGAGACAGTTGCAGTGACAAGGAGAGCCTTGCACCAATTTTACTGAATTTTGTACATCACCCTGAAACGTGTGTATGAAAGGAGGTTAAATAATGACGACCATGATAAATTATTATTCTAATGGGTGCAAAGTCTGAGGCCTTTTCTTTCCAATTCAGATCGATTGGGTGTTGTAAATTACTTAATACCTCAAACCTAGGCCACAATTAGTGAAACTGTGCTTGAAAACTGTCTGGACGTTTTAAGCTGAAACAAAATGCTGTGATGGAGCATGTTACAGTGGCCCTCCAACATCTACATTAGCCACTATAATAAGCCAAGCACAAAGGTGAATTTATTTACAAAGTCATGGTTTCAGCCCTACATACTTTAGAGGCTCCTGTCCTTGATCCCAGGGCAATCACTATTGCGTTCCATGAAACCTCATTCCCTTGCAGACTTCCCTGCATCCTTTCAAAACAGCCTAACTTTGAGAGCTGGATTTAGATAACCAGGGTAGCAGCTGTAAATGCAGTAGAGAGGTTGGCATGTTTTTGTGTATATATTTGCTTTGTTATTGTATGCATGCATTTCCGCCCTTAAATTGTGACCTACATCAACAGAGAGGAAGCAGACTAGAAATCCTAATAATCCTTAACCCTGATTCCTCTTCTCACAGTAGTCAATAGCTAATATCTGATTTTGCTAGTGAATAATCGGGGACTAAATTCTAATTGACTTTATTAGAATTAGTCTTTTGTTACAGATAATCAAAAGAAATGGTTTGGGGCCATCTAGTGGAGAACTACCACCTTACCAAATTATGTTATACCATATTATATTAACACCATAGCAACTGACAAGATTCTTCACCTCAATGACTGACCATTTTAAATGTACATGATTTTGTCTATGGAACTGGATTAGTAATTTTGTTTTAGTCAACAGCTTTTTTAGACATAACAGAATATGGTCCCTCTCTTTAATTTGTATACTGTATTAATTTATGTCAACTTTTAGTATCTACAGTTCTTATGAGTTCAAAAGTAGCCTTTAGTTTACATTCTTCAGAGCAGACTACACAGAACTGGAAGCATAACACACTGGAACAGACTTCTCTATGTACTTAAATGCTGTCAATGCACTTCTTACAAGGTAGTCTACAGAGTTCTTGCCTATAATTTGTGCATAATACAAGAACATATTCCCCCATGTGAAAGAATTCATAGGCTAAATTTGACAAAAGGAAGTCAGTACTGCCTGTCACTAAGAGTATATGAAACAGAACCTTTTATCTCATTGAAAATATTAAATCTAGGAGCGTAACATCAGCATCAAGAGCATATGAGAAACTACTTATTTTCCTGTTTGGCGATGTGCAGTTTATGAGCTACTTATAAGAAATCTGTAGCCATTCAAAGCAGCTTTCAAATAGCCACAGCCTATACATGAGATTTCTTAAGCTGTGGAACTGGATTTTCTATCACAGACATGGAACAAGAATATGATGGGGAAATTGCAAAAATGTAGTATGTGAATTTGGAGGGAGGGGCGGAAGGGGAGTCCAAACTCACGGTACACAGCATCTTCCCCAAACATGTGCCTGGAATTCTAAAAAGCATATGGAATCCGTTGCCTTGTTCCTTCAAAAAGCAAGGATTTTTCCATCCCCAAAATAAATGGGCATGAACTTGCATGCTAAGGCAAAGAGTTAAACCTAGGTCTGTTTGTATGCCAAGTTGTCTGGATCCCAACTCTGGTTGGTTGTTTGTTTGTTTGTTTGTTTATTTAAGATATGGTATATCTATGGCAATAGAACAATTATTTTGAGAATAGTTTGTGTTTTCATTAACAGCCATGTTACTTCGGCCTTGTAAGGAAGGGCACAAAAGCTACAAACCTGCAAGCAAGAAGGTCCTGGTTGGGGGCTGGCAGAAAAGAAATGGGGTGCTCCATGTCTCCAGCAACCTGCTGCATTTCTGTGCTAGGAGTGGAGGAGCTGGCTTTTCTCTTCTGGAAGCCCACTTGCTTTCTGTGCTGGGCAGAGGAGCAGTATTTCCTTTGCCGCCTCTGCCAGCCCACACATTCACTTGGGTGCAATTTCATGCACTCACCTGCATGCAGTACTTTGTCTCCCGTGGCGACCAGGCAGGCACTTAGATATAAGGCTGGTGTTGCTTAAGTGCTACAATCAGCACACATTTTAAAAGATTTTTTTTAGATGATACGTGTTTCTTGTTTTGGCAGTGTGATGGTGCCAACAGATGGAATTCATTACAACTACGGTACTCCCTGAGCTACAACTGTCCTAGTTATAACTCATCAGAAATTATCCATCAGGCTTGAACGGATTCACTTTGCTTTCCTGTTATCCTTAATAAAAGCAGACATCAGCTTCAATTCAGATTAAGAACTTTATTTTAAGGTTTCAAAGTACCGAGCAAACACTGGCCTTACTCCAGATGAATACATCAGGTTTAAAACATCATTGTTCGCTGTGTTTCATCGTAGCGATCAGCACAAATGGAGTGAATACGCAGCTCGGATACAAGATACGGAAACAAACATGTCACTTCAGAATGAGAGATTTCTACAAAATTACAGGAAAGATCCAACGGTAATTTTACATGCTTTTACACAGCGAAGCCTACCACTTCAGGGAGCGGTGGCATCTGTCAGGGCTCAATGGGAAGAGGAAGGCTACCCGTATTCTTATGCAGCAGTCACTGTATACAATGCTTTTTTTCTTTAAAAAAAATGTTTAGCGGTACTCTCATTTTCCTACTCATATTGAAATACTGACTCTCAAGGATGCCAAACATAGATTCACAAAATGTTTAGGGGTATGCGTACCCCCAGGAAAAAAACCACTGATTGTATCAAACACCATTTGCCCCATGGAACAGAGGCAAATTCATCCTAAGAGGCAGAACCAGGGAGATGTCCAAAAAATGAAACTCCAAGGCGACTAGATGTTATGTTTTGTTGGCCATTCCCCAAAAACAGCCACCCATTCGCCCTCGGGAGTGTTTGAATCCACTAAGGTGCAAAAGAGGACTTTTGTCACACAACGGGAAGCCCGCTTGCTCCAGAGAAGACCAAAGGCCGAGAGAGCACGTTGGAAAGTGGATCTTGAGCAGCCCGATCCCAACCGCATGTCTACTCAAACAGAGCCACCGGCTGTCTTCAATGGGGCTCACTCCCCAGGACTGCGGTCTTACTCCCGAGTAAGCGCGCGCCCCGACTTCACGCACGCTTACGCACAACCCAACGTTCCCTGGGGTGGGTGTGTTTAACGAGCCCGGGTTCCCAAGCAACAGGCGCACCGGCGGGCCCGAGGCCGCGACGGGGCCGTCCAGAGAGGCGCTCCCTTCTCAGCAGGAGCAAACCCTGCCTCAAAATGCAACCCGCGTCGGGCGGGAAGGGCAGGCCTCCCCGCTCGGAGTCAGCTCCCCGGGGCCGAGGCTTCTTTAGCCCAAACGCGCGGAACAGCGCATGCTCGAGAATAAACACGGGTCGGGATTCGAAGGAACGTGTGAACGGCGGCATAACGCGAGTGTGGGCGCGAAGGGCAGCCGCTCGCGCGCCTCAGCTTCGGCCAAGGCCTCGCTCGCCAGCTCGCCCCGTCTCCTGCCTCTGCCCTCACGCAGGGAGCCTCGGCTTCCCGCCGGCTCCATTTCCCTCAGGCGGAGCCCCCCTCAGCGCCAGATCCCCGGAAGGCCTCTCCCGTCCCCGCTTTTCCCCGACAGGAAATCCTGGCTGGGTTGGGCGCTTGAAGGGAGCGGAGGGAGCCGCGGTAAGCGCCGGGTTCCGGGGGAAGTGGAATTATTTTTTACCAGCGAAGAAGAGATCAACTTCCACATCCGGTAACAAGGGCCCTATACAAAAAGGCGCAGACTGACCTGGAAAAGCTTGGCCGGCCCGGCCATTGGAGGTGGGGGGAAAGGAAGGGAAGAGGAAGGGAGCAGGCCTCGCTTACCGTGCTGCCCGCGCCCGGCCGCCGCCGCCCACGAGCACGACGAGCAGGGGCGCCCAAGGCCGCCGCCGCTTCTCATAGGCGCCCAAAAGCCCCACAAAAAAGTCCCCGCGCGCGCTCGGCGGAAGGACACAGGCGGCCGCTCTGGTGAGGAGTGAGGCGAGCGAGGAAGGAGGAGAGGCCCGAGGGGGCGGGGGAGCCAGCGCGGAGGACCCACTTTGGCCGCGCTGAGGCGCCTCTCCTGAGGAATACCCTCCCCTTGTGGAAACGGGGAGGGGGCCGCGCCCCCGAGCTTGCGAACCGGAGGGGGCGCTTTCGCCCTCATCGGGGCGCGGGATTATTTTACCGCACAAACGGTCGGTGGACAAAAGAGGGGGGAAGCGGCGGAGGGATACGGCCGTCGGAGGAGGCGCACGGCGCACGCGCAGAGCCCGGAAGAAGGGAGGGGGAGACGAGGCGAGAAAGGGAGCCGCCATCTTCTGCCGTTGGGGGTTTTCTTTTCCCGCCTGAACGGCGGAGGGGGTGGGGACGGGTTCAGAAGGGGAGGCGTGTTTAGGCTCCTCAACAGGCGCTTCACTGAGGGTATTAGGTCTTTTTCAGCTCTAGGATAGTAAGTCAAGAGGTGCCAAAGAGGAGTATTAATGTTCAGGTTGCAGTCCCATGCCACCTACCTAGGAATAGCTTCGTAGGTGTTACTTCAGAGCAGACACGTGTAGGAGTGGGCCGTGAGTTCGCAGTGAGATCCTGTGCAAACCTCAATATGTTTCAGTGTGTTTCGTTTCCAGGGCAACGTATGAGAGAGTGCAAAAAAGCAAGCTTGTGTCTGTATGCTGCTCGGTGCAGTATGGCTTACTCGCAAGTAAGTCTGCATAGGATTGTAGGTGAAAGAAAGCCACTTCATAAACTTAAATTAGAAAATAAGTAGGGTAGCTCTGTTGGGCAGTGTGCGCAGCCATGCATTTCAAGCAAAGCACACACACACCCCAAAAAAATCATGGGAAAAGTTTGTACACACACACTGAAATTCCCAATACCTTTAATAACTTTCCAGAATTCTTCGACGGAGGCTGGAGTGTGCTTTGGATGTATGGTGTATGCACAGCCTTATTGTAATTAGGGAAAATTCAAAAAAGGAATAGTGGGGTAATACCATTACTAGGACCCCACAAAATGAGCAATCTTCATCAAGCCTGGTGAATGGGGTGGGGAGCATTCTGTGTGTGTTTTATGAAGAAACCATGCCCTGTCAATTCACTGCAATCACTGTACTCTGGGCAGCTCAGAACAAACCACGTTTCAAAATATATTGTAAATTTAATAAAATATAATTTGTATTTAGTAAGTTTCCCATAAGATTCAGAGTGCTTTATGTTGGCTACATGACAGCTTCCACTGTGCCTTGTAACAGCAGAATATTACTGCAGGGTCAGTAGTGAATGCAGGCTGCAAGCCAAGTGCAGACAGACTCCCAGAAATGAGGAGCCTTTCTACTCCTTTCTTATCTCAATGTATCTGCTGGTATCTTGATTCCAGGCCTATGAACATGTTTTTGTGAAGCGATTCTTGCAGTACCATCAGCAAAGCTGTGCTTTCATTGTTCATCCACTGTAACTAACCTGATGCTGTTCTGTGAGAAAAACAGGTGGTTACCGCACAAACTGTGCCCCCACATTTGTCCTGTTCTTCTAGTCCTCTCTTACCCTACATTTCCACTTGCAAACCACTTTCTTACTTGTGTCTGAAACCCTGCATTTTGATGAACAGGTTGCTGAATGGAATGGACTTTTAATCCAAATGGTATCTTCTGTTGCAGTAGCTAGTGCAGGTAAAAATAATGACTGCTTTCAGAGGTTTAGCTGTTCTCAGATAAGACCCAAACCATTATGTGATATGGCATGGTAATGTCAGTTTTAAGGATTCAGGCAGAGATCCAGAGATTGAAGGCTCTGTAGGGGATCTTGAATTCAACATCTTTATTAAGGCTGGCATGAGTGTATCCATGTGAGTTACAACAATGCAGATGCTTGTTTATCCCAACCCACTATAGTGGGTGATGTAGCAGCATTATTTGATGCAATTAATTAATAAGGCTGCACCAAGTATACGGGTTACATTACTGATTAGTACTCTCTTTTTCCCTTTATAGATAACAAAACAATGGAACAATTTGAAGATCACCTATCTCTTCAACAAAAAAAAAGGTGTATCATTCAGCATGGGCCATCAAGGACACAATCTGCAAACCAACTAACTAGTCAGCATACAAATCTATGAATTCTGAGTAACTGGATGAAGCTGCTGCTGTGCAAAAATGTACTTCATTGCTCAGTAGAAAAACACACATTAGAAATAATGGAAATACCTGATTTACTGTATCATAGAGGTTGTAGAGCCATGATCACTGGGGGAAAGTTACTGGAGTTGAAAGCAGAAGAGAGCTTGAGTGATGGGGATTGAAGCAGTGACTACAGAGGCTTACGAACCTGTCCCCGTTTTCTGTGATTATGAAAAATGAAACATAAAAAGTTATGTTTATCATGGCTGTACAGATAAGAGCCAATCCAAAAAATGAGTGTGCACTTAAAAAAGAGATTCTGACTACAGTCGTACCTTGGTTGCCGAACGCCTTGGTACTTGTACATTTTGGCTCCCAAACAATTGAAAACTGAAAGTGAGAGTTCTGGTTTTCGAATGATTTCAAAAACTGAACATCCAGCATGGCTTCTGATTAGCTGCAGGACTCTCCTGCAGCCAATTGGGAGTTGTGCCTTGGTTTTCGAACCATTCTGGGAGTTGAATGGACTCCCGGAACGCATTCTGTTCGAAAACCAAGGTACGACTATTGTGAGTTGGTAACTGGGACATAGTTGCAGCAGTGCAGTTTTATCATCAGTCTTCCCGCAAGAAATTAACAATTATCAACAAAAAACAAGAATGATGAATGTGCAGGATGGTCTGCACTCAGAAGCTGATGGATCCAGTTGAGTTCCAGACAGCTTGGGGAGATTTTCCAGCTGACAAGACAGCTGTTTCTTTTGAAGCCTTGGCCAACTTGTGAAATATCCAAAGGCTCTCCTGCTTCATAGAGCCTGCTTGGCTCCTTGGTATACTCCAGAGTTCAGAGCCATGAAACAAGTTGGAAGACTGCTTAAACGCAAGTGGAGGAAAACTCCAGTTGCATGCAGTTGAACACTGCTGAGGGCTTATTATCAAGCCTACTTGTCAGTGAAGGCAGCAAAGAAGCAATGCTTTACTGCCACCATTGCATCCTCACTATGCTGTCTTGACAAAGCTTTTCCAGATAGTACAGGGCCTTTTACAGTATGGCCTGAGAATCCAAGTTACTGTATTTTTAATGCTGTAAATTTAATAAATAATAGAAAAAGACAATAGATGGGTTAACAGCCAAAGGCCTGGTTGAAGAGGAATGTTTTTGCCTGGTGCCTAAAGATCTGTAACAAAGATGAGCCTCCCTGGGGAGAGCTTTCCACACACAAGGAGCCACCACATTATTGTCAATTGCAAAACCACTATAGGAAGATAATATTGTGAGTAAATCAGAACTGGCATGAGAAAAGGTATCTTACTGTGAAGATTTTTTCAGGGCAGGGGTAGGTAACCTGTGGCCCTCCAGATGTTACTAGATTACCATTTTAATCCCTGATCCTTGCTGACGGGGGCTAATGGGAGTTTGAATCCAACTATGGAGAACCACAAGTGTCTTATAGCTGCATCAGGGATTTGAGTTGTTAAATACTGTAAAGTAAGTAAGTAAGTAAATTGAGCTTGATGTTCATCAGTGTTTTAGAGACTGGCAGAAAATCTTAATTTGTGGAAAAGATTCACTTTAAATGGATTAGTATTCCAAGCTTTCCTAATGGTTCCTTTTCCTGAAAACTCCCTACAAGCATAAAATTTGCTGGTAGTCTAACTCTTTCCAATTCTGTCTTTGGGAACAAATGTTTTTGGGAAGTAGTGAAAAAAATCATTCTCAACTTCCTTACTTCAACTGTATCTCTCTTTTACTATTTAGTTTCTGTTTTTTGTTTTTTCTAAAGCAAGCAAAAAGCAATAGAAAGTACTTTCAGAGTACCATTGATATGATGGGTGCGGGTGGTGCTGTGGGTTAAACCACAGAGCCTAGGGCTTGCCGATCAGAAGGTTGGCGGTTTGAATCCCCGCTATGGGGTGAGCTCCCGTTGCTCGGTCCCTGCTCCTCCCAAACTAGCAGTTCGAAAGCACGTCATAGTGCAAGTAGATAAATAGGTACCATTCCGGCGGGAAGGTAAATGGCTTTTCTGTGCACTGCTCTGGTTCGCCAGAAGCGGCTTAGTCATGCTGGCCACATGACCAGGAAGCTGTACGCCAGCTCCCTCGACCTTTAAAGCGAGATGAGCGCCGCAACCCCAGAGTCGGTCACGACTGGACCTAACAGTCAGGGGTCCCTTTACCTGATACGATACCCTGTATGCCATTCTTTCTCCATGAGCTATCCTGTTAATGAGTTTTATTGCGGTTTTTGTCTTCCAAGGAGCTCAGGGTGTCACATGAGCTTTCTCTTCTCCACTTATCCTGTGAGGTAGGCTTGGCCCAAGGTAATCTAGTAAGCATCATGGTTAAGTAGGATTTGGGTTCAATCTAACACTATCCATTATATTAGCGGTGAAAGAACTGAGAGGGCAGGTCTGGAGAGGGAGGTGGAAAGAGATAGGTTCTACCCACACACTAATGGGTGTAAATTTCTCACCTGGTTTCATATACACATTAAATGTGAAATGACAAAACAACGTGCCATAAGTAAATTTGCAGGGGCTGTTCCATGGGACATCAGTGTCCAGGAAGAGATTTCATTGCCTAGATGAGATGGCTCTTTCAAATGCAGTGTAGATCTTGCAGACACCTGCCAAACATCGGACAGTTTAGTATTGTTTCTTCAACTTCATTGTTCCTACAGATATTTCTGCAAATGGAACAAGTGTTTCTGGTATTGGAAACTACCAGTAGTTGGGTGCAGGACAAAATGTTTGTTCGTAGAGTTTAAAGCTTTGTTCTCCAATTACTGGTGCTTCTCCTAACCTGGCCAAATGGAATGAATACTGTACAATAAGGGAGCTTCTGCTTGACAATAGAATTACTGATTCCTAAACAAGATTAGCTGTAAATTATAAAAGATTGATTACATTAAAAACTATGGGCTTGATAGTCTTGGGTAGCTTTTTTAAAAGTCAGGGAGGGATAAACAACATCTTTGCAGTCATTTATCTCATTTATTTATTTTTTCCTTTGAAGCACTTGATCCTATTATTTATTAGACTTCTTGGTCACTTGCTACAAAGATCTCCAAATGAATTACAACACATTTAAAAACAAAAATATATTTTTCCATTAACAGATCCATATAAATCTCATTCAGTTCATTACGTGCACAAACACAAAATCCCATAACAGCAATTTGAAGCTTTGGCAACACACTGTTAGCAAAATATCCCGTTTTTCAGGTTTTTATTGATGGTGTTTATTGGAATTGATTTTAGTCAGGCATAGGCCACTTTGGCCCTCCAGATGTTTTGGGACTACAGTTCCCATCATCCCTGACCACTGGTCCTATTAGCTAGGGATCATGGGAGTTGTGGTCCTAAAACGTCTGGAGGGCCGAGGTTGCCTATGCCTGGTTTTAGTACAGTGGTGCCTCGCAAGATGAAATTAATTCGTTCCGCGAGTTTTTTCGTCTTGCGAAGCACGGTGTCGGAAAAGTTTTGGAAAAGCTTCAAAAATCACCAAAGTCTTCAAAAACCTCAAAAAAGGCTACAACACCGCGTGCCATTATGAGTTGCTCCTCGAAGTCAAGTCGCAACTGTATTAACGGTTTTAAGAAAAAGGAAACAAACTTGCAAGACGTTTCCATCTTGCGAAGCAAGCCCATAGGGAAAATCGTCTTGCGAAGCAACTAAGAAAACCAAAAACCCTTTCGTTTTGTGAGTTTTCCGTCTTGCGAGGCATTCGTCTTGCAAGGTACCACTGTATTTCTGTTGTGTTTGTAAGTTGCTTTGAGTCATTTTTATTAGTAATGCGACTGGTAAACATTTCTCTAGTTGTTACACTTATTTTTATTTATTTCTATAGGTTTATATGTACAGAGCACTTTATGTTTGTTTTAACCTGCGATGTAGCTTGCCAAATCTAGATAATGCCATCTAGTTTTTTATACTGTGCTGCAGAGTGCAAATTATTTGAATAACACTATGCATGCCATAGGGACGCAGGTGGCGCAGTGGTCTAAACCACTGAGCCTCTTGGGCTTGCCAATCAGAAGGTTGGCGGTTCGAGTCCCAGCTCCTGCCAACCTAGCAGTTCGAAAACACGCCCCAAAGTGCAAGTAGATAAATAGGTACCACTCCGGCGGGAAGGTAAACGGCGTTTCCATGTGCTGCTCTGGTTTCGGTGTTCCGTTGCACCAGAAGCAGCTTAATCATGCCGGCCACATGACCCGGGAAAACTGTCTGCAGACAAACGCTGGCTCCCTCAGCCTGTAAAGCGAGATGAGCTCCGCAACCCCAGAGTCGTCAGCAACTGGACTGGACTTAACTGTCAGGGGTCCTTTACCTTTTTTATCTTTATGCATGCCATACCTATATTAGGCATGCTACAGATTGATCACTTGTTTTATAACTGCTATTTTATAATACCATGGAGCATACTGTGTGGTAACATTTCATAAGGAGAAAGGAATCCATAATGTGCTTTGCTGCTGCTTGTATAAGCAAGACTGGTGTGTTTTTATCTGATAAAACCTGAACATAGTTTCTCTCTAGTTCAGGTTTTACTTTTACAGTATGAATAATTATGGAAATATTTGAGAAGGCTTGTAAAGTGGTATTAATTTCTTAAATGAGAGGGATCATATGATGAACTCTAGGCCACTAACTGCTTCACCCTAATGATGTTTTAACGTTGCTGGGTGCAAATAAAATTTCAATGTGGGATGCCTTCTCCATTCCCAAACTGTTCCTAACACTTCTCTGCTATTTTTATTTGGGGTCAGATTATGGACTTTGCTTATGTAGCTTTGCAGCGAGGAGACAAAGAATATGAGTTTAGGACACCCTGCCATTGTACTGTAGTCCCAAAGATAAGACTGAAAGCAAATTCCTATAATCAAAATAGCACAAAGCTTGTGCCTCCACTTAAAAATTCCACTATATCCCTCTTGTTGACTCAACCTCTCCACCCAGTTCTCCTGTGGAGTTTGCAATTCAAAGTAACCCTTTTCACCCATTTTACAGAGCAATCCCGAGTGCAGAAGCCTACTGTGGAACCAAAGAGAATTAGTAAGCCTCCAATCTAAATACGTTTGCTCAACAACTAGTCCAACTAACTTCAGTAAGTATAAAGTATGCTGGGGCTTGCAAAATGTTTTATAAGTTTTATTTTGTCTGTTCTTCCCAACATCTATGAGATGGCGATTCACTAGCAAAATGACTGGGCAGACTTTCTGGAGTAGAAAAATTGCAATGTATTGGTTATTTCCAAGAAGCTCAGATCTTTGAGTTTGTTCAGTTATTTTGCAATAGGGGAAACAGAAAGTTTGCCATCTTAAAAGTTGCACAGCATGGATAGTTCAGCCATCTACACCAACGGGGCATTACCAAAAGCTTGTGGGTTCATTATTTCACAGGAATCCAGCAACTGCTTTAATTATTGGAGAACTGGAAAGCGAAAAGCAACATTTTAGAAGTTCTCAAAGAATTCATCTACCTTCCTCATAAAACATCAGGGTGCTTTACAACAACATAAAAAGCATAAAAACAAACAAACAAAAAAACCCTACAGTACATCACACTGTATCTGATGGTTGCCCTTTGCAGCTTGAAGCAGCTCCGTCTGCTTTTTAAATTTTATTTACGCTTTTCAGGTTTATACATTTCACTAATTTTACAATCATTTTAACATTTCAAAACTTGACTTCCTACCCCCTTTCTGTGGTTCCTTAAATGTATTTTTAATATCTTCTGCATACTCCAAATTACCTTAATTTGCTCCTTTATTCATCTTTAAAATATATGCTCTTCTGAAACTGCACATTATTACAACAATCCTGCCAGTGTTCTCATCTGTTTACAATTGATCTGTAAATATTCAATAAATCATTTCCATTCTTTTATAAAGAGTTGGTTATCTTTATTCCTTATTCTTCCTGCAAGTTTTGCCATTTCTGCATATTCCATAAGTTTTTGCATCCATTCTTCCTTTGCTGCTTCTTAAAATTTTGGGGCGAGTAACATTCTTGCCACTGTAATAGCGTACAAGAATAAGTTTCTATACATTTTTGGTAATTCTGTCCCTATAATTCCCCCCAAAAAGCTGTTGGCTTTGTTTTTTTTACAAATGTTATTTTGAACATCCTTTTCAATCCATTGTGTATCATTTCCCAGTAAGCTTTAACCTTACTCAGGGCTGGATTTAGGTTTGATGAGGCCCTAAGCTACTGAAGGTAATGGGGCCCTTTATATGTCCAGCTGTCCTTTGTCAACAACAAACTGCTGCTGTTTTTTTGTGTTGAATATGGTAATTTCTGGACCTAATAGGTATCTAAAACCATCTGCACATAACAAAATATGTATTTTATCAAACTAATTGTTGCAAAGTCCATGCAAAGTGTAGGCACCCTATAGATAGAAATGAGCAAACCAGTGATATTTTAGGGAGCAGGCGGGGCCTATTACTTACATAATAGGAGCCTACACAACACAAAACACTTGCTGTATGTAGGTTTTATTTTATTTTTTATCTTATATTTTTGAAATGCACATCTAGGGGTTTTTTTTTCCTTTAATTTTTTTTCGGCCCCCCAAGAAAGTGGGGCCCTAAGCTATAGCTTGTTTAGCTTATACGTAAATCCGGCACTTATCCTTAACTACAAGACCACCACATATGATAAAAACCGGTAGTTCTGTCCCTATAATCCACAAAAGAAAGCAGCTCTGCTTTCCCAGAGGACTTAAGTTTTTGGCAGGCGAGGAATCCTTCAGAGAAAAGACGGGCGAAACCCCGTCCATGAAAGTTCCCCACCTCATATATACACTCTTGAAACCCTGAACAAAAATCAAAAATAAAGATTTGGTGGCTGCTGTTTATCAGTCGGCTACCCCAACACACGCTTCCCTACGAGTAAGCAAGCCATTCCCGCAGCCCAGCCCCTTTGCCAGGGAGGCTGGGCCCGAGCCCCGCCGCTGAGGGAAGAGCCACCCCTATCCCCGCCCACGGGCCGCCTCTCCGCCGCCTCAGCCCAGTTCCGCCTCGGAAGCGAAGGCCGTCCTCCAGCCCATCTTCCCTCCGCCGTTTCGCCTCTGGGACATGGGCCTGGGCCGGGTCGAAGGGAGGAGGGAGAGGTGGTGGCGACGGCTGCTGCTGCTGCTGCTGCGAGACCCCCGAAGCTCAGGTGAGTGCGCTGGAGCCGAGAGGGCCGGGAAAGGCCTCTGTGAGGCGGAGAAGGGAGAGGCGGAGCGGCCTGCCCTCTTTTACCTCAGGAAGGACCCCGGGGTGGGCAAGCTGGTATGGAGCCTGGAGAACGAGGCTTACGGGGGGGGGGGGGGAAGGGTTCGGAGGGGAGACCTGACACGCGTCTGTGGGGCTCGGCTCACACGAGACGGCGGGGTCCGTGTTGGCCGTGGAGGGGCCCTTCTGTGGGCCCGCAAGGAGGAGCCCGGGGTGGCGGCGTTGGGGAGACTCGGGTTGTGAGGTGGGAATGGGCGGAGGCCGCGAGATGACGGGAGGCATAAGGAATAAGGAATTGAGAGAAAGTCCATACCGAGCAGAAAAAGGGGAAATGAAGGGGGGAACCGCGGGAGTCATCTCTCCCCCCCCCCAACGGTGTCCATTAAAATGTCACCTTGGTGAGTGACCTGGGAGGTTGCATTCACACGTTACTCGAGTTTAAAACATCCCCCCCCCCGGCGTGATCAGCAGGGAACCGCAGCCAATCCTGACGCTTTTCCTGGAGCCTTTATGTGACAGGCGTGTTTTCAAATGCTGGTTTGGCCCATCCACGCTGTATATATGCCCTTCTAAGCATATGCTTAAACAGAAATGGGTGTACACATAATAATAATAATAACAATAGTAGTAGTAATAGTAGTAGTAGTAATAATAATATTTATTTATACATACATACATACCTCTCCCCATCTGGCTGGGTTTCCCCAGCCACTCTGGGCGGCTCCCAACAAAATATTAAAAACACAATAAAACATCAAACAAGGCCAGTAGGAAGCTTGCAAAACATCATTGGGGTGACTTTACCCATGATGAAATTCACACATGGAGTATCTGACCTGTAGGTGAGTGTGTGTCACGTTCCAGTGTTTGGCTCCTCTTCCTCTTTACATGCATTTGTAGTGATGCAGAATTGTCTTACACGAGTAATGGAAATTCATGTGCGGAAGTAGTTCTGTGAAGTAAGCGTTGTGTGCTCACAGTTTTAACTTGCGTCTTTGTGGATTTACAGTGAGTAATGCCTCCCAAACCTTTCCATGCGTTGAGACTGAATTTAAGCAGAAGCCAACACCATTGAATGATCGCGCCAATAAGTTGTGCCAAGAGGGAGCGTTCTTGGGATGTCCGTACATGTTCTAGGAGCACGAGAACATACAGCAGATCTTTCCATACTTTATGTCACGACATGTTAAGTATGTCAGCTGCCATGTGTAGCTGTGTCGTGTGAATGCTTCCTGTGCTCCTCCTGGGCCTGGAAAAGGGGTAGTTTAACCTCTGATTTGCTAGTAAAATGGGATGGGGTGGCGCTGTGGTCTAAACCACAGAGCCTAGGGCTTGCCGATCAGAAGGTCAGCAGTTCGAATCCCCACAATGGGGTGAGCTCCCATTGCTCGGTCCCTGCTCCTGCCCACCTAGCAGTTCGAAAGGATGTCAAGTGCAAGTAGATAAATAGGTGCTCCGGCGGGAAGGTAAACGGCGTTTCCGTGCGCTGCTCTGGTTTGCCAGAAGCGGCTTAGTCATGCTGGCCACATGACCTGGAAGCTGTACGCCGGCTCCCTCGGCCAATAAAGCGAGATGAGCGCCGCAACCCCAGAGTCGGTCACGACTGGACCTAATGGTCAGGGGTCCCTTTACCTTGCTAGTAAAACTGAATTACTGTGTCACGAAATGATGTATTTCTAAAAAGTGTGTCACCAACATGAAAAGTTTGGAAAGCTCTGACATACAGGTTCTAGGAGCATGACTACATGGTGGTGTCTTCACATGGGAGACTCCAGGCAGTGAAGTTATAGGAATATCATGGACTTTAAAACATATATAGCAGCAACTGTGTAAATACCGAAGGATAAAGTAGCCAGGAGAAAGATGGATGTTGAATTCATAATATTTATACTCTGCCAGAGCCGATTGTTGACTGGTTGATACCCTACCTACCTTGTTTACTGTCTGATTATGTTCGTGGCTGGCTATAGTAGAGGTATTGGTTTTGCCAGCTGACTCTTCCTCAGTCTTATGACACAGTATATATGTGGGGAATGTAGGAAGTGTATCCTTGTTTCCTCTTCCTGCGCTTATGTGTTAATGACAGTTCATGTGTAAATGCAAGCAATAAAGGGTAAGAACATTGTAGTACTGCTTATTACTTTTAACACCAGCTTCTACACACTTGAAGGAAAGGGCATAATGAAGGAAGGCCAATTGAGAGTATATGGGTAAAAACTGTAGGAAAGGGAAGCAACAGTGACCTTACTGTGGCTGTTTGCTATAGACTTCCAAGCCAGACTGAAGATTTGGGTGATGCCTTCCTACAGCATATTACCAGACATTCAACTACCCCAATATCTATGGGAACTCAAACTCTGCCAAGAACGTAATGTCCAACAAATTCCTCAATTGCCTTGCTGACAATTCATTTACCAGAAGGTGGAAGAAGCAACAACTTGGACCTGGTCCTCACTAACAGGGAGGAACTGACTTAAAGTGGAAGTACTGGGAAACTTGGGAGGAAGTGATCATGGCCCCCTTCTATTTATGAAATAGAACCAAGGGAAAGCTGGGTGTAATTGTAAAAACACTCTGGATTTTAAGAAGACTGATTTCAAAATACTTAAGGAACTAAGTGATATCATGGTCAGAAATACTCAAAGGGAAGGGACTCCAAAATGGATGGGCGTTTCTCTAAGATGATACATTGAAGTCACATAGGCAGACAATTCCAACAAAAAAGAAAAGTTGGAGGCATCTAAGGAAACCGGTGTGGCTGCATAAGGAGCTTACAGATGACCTGAGATTTAAGAAGGGCATGTATAAGAAATGGAAGAAAGGGGAAATCACGAAGGAAGAGTATACCTGTGTAGCCAACAGTTGCAGGGCGAATGACAGGTGGACCAGGCTTACAAGAGAAGTTAAAAATGTTTTTTAAAGCTTTCTTTGGCTATGTTCAAAGCAGGAGGAAGAACAAGCAAGTAGTAGGTCCTGTGTGTGGAGAAGATGGAGAAATGCTGTTTGGGGACAGAGAAGGAAGAACTGCTCAACACCTACTTTGCCTCTTCACCCAAAAGGAAAGCAGTGCCCAACCTGGTGATAACAGAATAAATGATTTAAGGAGGGAGCTGCAGCTCAATGTAAGAAAAGAGGTGCTAAGGGAACACTTAGCTACTTTAAATGAATTCAGATCTCCAGGGCCTGGTATGCTGCACCCAAGGGTACTAAAGGAGCTTGTGGATATAATCCCAGAGCCTCTGTTTATAATGCTTTAGAATTTTTGGAGAACAGGTGGACTGGAGGCAAGCAAATGTCCCCATCTTCAAAAAAAGGGGGGGAAGAAGACCCAGGTAACTACTGACTGATCACCTGAGCTTTACATCAATACCAGGTAAGGTCCTAGAACAGATAATTCAACAGAGCACTTAGAAAAGGATGCTGTGATTACTAAAACCCAGCAAGGGTTTCTCAAAAATAAGTCATGCCAGACAAATCTCATTTCTTTTCCTTTTTTCCTTTTGGATAGAGTTACAAGCTTGGTGGATCAGGGGAATGCTGTAGACTTCATGTATGTTGGTTTCAATAAGGCTTTTGACAAAGTCCCATGATATTCTCGTGGAGAAGCTGGCAAAATGTGGGCTGGACAAGGTAACTATTAGGTGGATTTGTAGCTGGTTGACTGACCTAACCCAGACAGTGCTCACTACTACAGTAGTTCCTCATCATCCTGGAAAAAAGTGACAAGTGCTGTACCACACAGTTCTGTCCTGGGCCTGTTGTTGTTCAACATCTTTATAAATGACTTGGATGAAGGAATTGAGAGGATGCTCATCAAATTTGTGGAAGACACCAAGCTGGGAGGGGTAGCTAGTGCAGCAGAAGACAGAGCTGGGATTCAGTATAACAGATTGGAGAACTGGGCCAAAACGAATAAAATAGGGATAAATGTCTGGTTCTGCGCTTGGGCAGGAAGAACCTGCTACACCAATATAAGATGAGGGACGCTTGGATTGCCAGTAGTACATCTGAAAAGGATTTAGGGGATTTAGGCCATAAGGTTAGGATGAGTCAACAGTGTGATACGGCAGCAGAAAATCTAATGCTATTCTAGACTGCATCAACAGAAATATAGTGTCCTGATCAAGGGAAGCAACAGTCCCGCTTTATTCGTCCTTGGTCAGACCACACCCGGAATACCACATCCAGTTCTGGGTGCCACACTTTAAGAAGAATATTGACAAGCTGGAACATGTGCAGAGAGGGCAACCAAGATGATCAAGGAAAAACCAAGCCTTATGAGGAACAGTTGAGGGAATTGGGTATGCTTAGCCTGGAAAAGAGGGGACTGAGAGGACATATGATAGCCATCTTCAAAGATCTAAAGGACTGACAAATGGAAGATGGAGCAAGTTTTTTTTTCTCCTGCACCGGGGAGTAGCTCTCAAACTAATGGCTTGTAAGTTACAAGAAAGGAGAAGAAGAAGAAGAAGAAAAGTTTGGATTTGATATCCCGCCTTTCACTCCATTTAAGGAGTCTCAAAGCGGCTAACATTCTCCTTTCCCTTCCTCCCCCACAACAAACACTCTGTGAGCTGAGTGGGGCTGAGAGACTTCAAAGAAGTGTGACTGGCCCAAGGTCACCCAGCAGCTGCAGGTGGAGGAGCAGAGACGCGAATCCGGTTCCCCAGATTACGAGACTACCACTCTTAACCACTACACCACACTGGCTGAAGGACATTCTGACTGAACATCAGGAAGAACTTTCTGATGGTAAGAACAATTCAACAGCGGAATCAACTACCTCAGAAGGTTGTACTTTCTCCTTCCTTGGAGGTTTTTAAGCAGAGGTTGGATGGCCATCTGTCATGGATGCTTTAGTTGAGATTCCTGCATTGCAGAGAGTTGGACTAGATGACCCTTGGAATCCCTCCCAACTCCACAATTCTGTGATATGTGTTTTGCAAATACAGTGGTACTTCTGGTTACGAATGAAATCCATTCCGGAGGTCCGTTTGTAACCGGAAACTACCCATTACCTGAGGCGCCATTAGCGAAAGTGCGCCTCCCACTGCGCGTGCACCTCCGGCATGCAGTTTCCACTCGCATCCCGGGGCAAAGTTTGCAACCAGGAGCAGCTACTTCCGGGTTACTGGAGCTCATAACCCACAGCCTGCGCAACCAGAGGTGTGCGCAACTAGAGGTACCACTGTATGAACAATTACTGAGACCCAGTTCATGGTACTTGTGTGATGATAGTTACTTAAAACAGGCTATGATCAGGTTGCCACATAATATTGGTGTAGTCAGTGGAAGTAATCATATGGTCCAGATACTAAAACAACCTAAAACAAAAGTTACTGGAATACTAATGGAATGTAATTAGTATATACTTATTAAATCAAATGAAAACAAAAAGTTTATTTAAGTGCATGACTTCATCTTGCTCTCACATGAAGTAAATTGATAATTTAAAAGGGGGAAGTTAAACACAAAATATATGTTTCCCCAATTCAGCCATACGTGCAGATGTTCAAATGCAACTGTTGTCTATATTTTGGGGGGGGAAATATTTATGATATTACCAATGTCTTCATTTAAAGTCTTTTCCCATGACCACTGGGTGCACGGTCGCCATGGGAATTGTTTTCATATGCCTGTTATCTGCGCAACAGTGAGCAAGCTAAGCTAGCTGTATTTTGATGACTCTGCAGATGTTAATAGCCTTTAGTAATAGTAATGTTATAAGAGTTATTTCTCTCTGTTTGGATAATACCTACTGCAATACTGCATTTAATCTCAGCAAAACCTAATCACAATGTGCTGCTTAGGTGGTGGAGAAAAAATAATGACATGACGTGTTGAACCTTGAAGTTATATTTAGAAAAGGCTTCAAGTTTCCAGGATATGAAGTCTTTGTTATTGGTAATCCACAGTGTGGGAGAAAAAACAGCTAAGATTACCTGCTTGAGACTAATTGAACAAGGTACATATGTATACTACTGGATGGAGTGAAAATGGAATATGTCTTCATACTGAGGGTTGTAGAAAAGAGCTTGTTGCCAGTATTTTCTGCTATTCCTTTTTGTGTGTGTATCTGAGTACATTTTCTAACAGATAATTTTGCACCACATCAAATGCATGCCTGGAAGCTGAAACTGATAACCTGGTGGTTTTTGAGAAAGCAGTAGGGTTGAATAGAGTTCTATTCAGTGAGGTTTTTTTCAGGGGGTCTCAATTACCCTGGAGTACCAACACCTCTTTTTCTAGTGGAAAAAGCCCTAGTGTTTTACCTGAGCTGTTTCAAAAGTCGTTTCACGCTTGTGTTCCGTGTTTTTAAAGTTTCTGTAGGCAAACATTCATAAAATGGTCAAAGAATGTGTTTTTGTTTTTATTTTTTGTTTTTATTTTTATGTTTTATTTTGTGATTATTTTTTTCAGGAAACAGCCAGGGTTGCTGAGTAATTCAAAGACCTATAACATCCCTTTGAAGCCTTTAGCATCCTCCTGAGGAGACATATCTTTATACTAACATGCCTGCTGTGGCATCTGTACCTAAAGACCTATACCTCTGCACTTCATTGAAAGATCTTAACAAAAAGACAGAAGTAAAAGCTGATAAAACAAGTACTAAGAGGTATGGATATTTGCTTAGTTGACTTAGTCTTCATCTTGTTGCTTGGAATTAATGGAAAATATGTTCTAATAGATATTGTGCTCCATACACATAGCTAAAACAACATTCACACTTTAAAAGAGTGCTGTATCATTCACTTTCCTGGTTGTAAAGTTCCAGGAGGTGAGTTAATGTTTAAGGAAGCTGAGCACTTTTTGCAGAAAATAATTTAAAGGTAGATCATAAAATAACACTGACTTGTCTTTTGAGAAAGAAAATTGCTTGTTCATACATTTGTTCTTTAAAGCAGCTTATCATTGTAGGTAGAAGTTCTGCTTTTATGTAGTCTGCATTCATGACATTCCAGTAACTTTTGTGATTTTGAATTCTTTGCCTCCATTTCAAGTTATGTACAGAGTGCCCTCAAGATCTTCAAAGCAGCTGAGGAGTGCCGGTTGGACAGAGATGAAGAGAAAGCCTATGTACTTTACATGAAGTATGTGACTGTGTATAATCTTATTAAGAAGAGGACAGATTTCAAACAGCAACAAGTAGGTATCCAGTTATGAGTAGTTTTATGTATATTTTGATGTAAAGTTAAATATTGCATCTGAAAATTCAAGGTAATAAACCACTGATTGGAGAAAGTGAAACACTTCTATCAGGTTACAGATAGGTAGCCGTGTTGGTCTGCCATAGTCAAAATAAAAAAAATCCTTCCAGTAGCACCTTTAAGACCAACTAAGTTAGTTCTTGGTATGAGCTTTCGTGTGCAAGCACACTTCTTCAGATACACACACTTCTATCAGGGACACCATAGGCGAAAATTTGCATTGGGCACTAGGCACCAAAGCGCATGGCAGTAATCCACTATTGTGATGGACAGTGGAGGTGCAGTTGTCTCTGCTCCTTCGCTCTGTAAGATCTGTAAATTCAGAATAATGCCAGAAATGAGACAACTACTCATTTCCCGTAAGTTCAGAACTGGAAGCTCAAGAGGGAGAGCAACCGCTCATTGCAATCTCCATTTGAAACTGTCAATTATTCATCTATGACATAGTGCCAGAAAGATCATGACTAATGGATTTTTTCTGTATACATTGGGCAATGGTACACTGCTTGAAATGGTTTTATGCTTCTTGTAATTTCAGGATTACTTTCATTCAATGCTTGGACCTACAAACATAAAAAAGGCTATTGAAGAAGCTGAAAGACTTTCAGAAAGCCTTAAACTCAGGTATGCTTAAAGAGCATTAAATGTTAATACGTGTGCTTGGTTTTTTGTTATCCTCTACCGTATTTTTCCTTATTAAGCACAGAGAAGCATTCCTCCTGCAACATTTTCAATTAACTGAGAGTTCAGTAAGAGGCTAAAAATGTTTCGGCATAGAGTACCTATGTAAGTGAACGAGAGAACGATTGCAGTGGAACTTGAATCTCCTGTTATCTTTATAAATGACAGTGCTGCATTCATGGCTAGCTATAGTGTTAGCCCTTGGCTTTTAGACACGTAGCAGAAACTTGGAGTCCTAGACCACCTCATTCAGGATGATATTCCCAAACACTCTCTCTCTCTCTCTCTCTCTCTCTCTCTCTCTCTCTCTCTCCCCCTCTCCAATTGGGGAAGATTGGGGAAGTTAGAATAATCAGCAGCAGTTCATCACAATAATAATGAAAGCATGAGCAGCAGCAATTGATATAAAGCCATATCCAATATTAAACAAATCCAAAAGGACTCTGGAACATGACAGTCTTGGCCAGTTGCCTTAAAAATAACAGGAAGGAAGGGAGATGTGCATCCCTAGAGGAGTGGCTTAACAATGTTGCTGCTGCAGTTGAAAACATCCTGATCTGTGTGGCCAACCATTGTAATTCAGACATAGGGGGCACACAGAGGAAGACCTATGAGGAAGATCTTAAATGTGCAAATGAGAAGTATCCAGGCTCATATTATTTAGCACTTTTAGCAGGCTTGCCATAAAAACATAAGAAGCTGCCTTTACACAAGAATCAAACCATTACCCATCTCGCTAAGTATTTTTGACTGGCAGCAGCTCTCCAATCAAATCTTTCTCACCTAGATATGGCATAGATTGAATCTGGGGCCTTCTAGATGCAAAGCATGTGTTCTACCACTAAGCTGCAGCTCATATCAAACTATTGGCTACTTCTGTTTCATTTTGTCTCAATAATTCTATTATCCTTTAACACAACTATAACCTTGTAATAGTGCATTTTTCCTTATTTTTGTAAATATGATGAAAATGTGACCTGATATGTGTAGGAAAACACATGTAGCTTCTTATGTTCCCCACACAATTTTGTAGGAGAGCTATGGCATTTCATCTGGGCCTTTGATAGTGTGGTGCTTTTCCTTAAGAAATCTTTTAAATAATATTTCCTGTTTTCCAGACCCCCGAATGTAGTGGCATAACTACCATCCAGTGCACAGATATCAGTCAGGCGTCCTCCACTCCTCCAATGAAACAATGTGCCCTTGTTTTTCAAGGGCAACAGTACGATAAAGTATTTGGAATGCTCCCAAGATATTCATGAATTAAATACTTTGGGAATAATCCAGATTCTTTCTTCGACGCTTCTACAACAGTCTCCAAGTCAAGCTCTAGTAGTAGCATGTTTTGTTTTTTCTGTTCTCCTGTGGTACAAGAGCAGTTAATAACTGAATTTAGAAATTAATTAATGTGCAGGTGGTGATTAAATGGTATCTATAAGAAGGGGGAAGAGTGGTTGACTTCTGCCTTGATGAAACCAGATGAAATCTTTTATCTGACTTCCTTTAAATAAAAAAATTAGAATTTTCATCACTCAGACATCAGTTTCTGAAGTCTTCTTTTAGAATTTAGTATGCTATTCTTGTTCTGTAGCCAAGTGAGAATATTAGTTATATTTGTTTACTCACCACATTTGGAATGCTCACATACATACGCTGTTCTGACAAACCATCCTATAAACGGTGATTATGTGTTTGTTTAATATATTTAAAACAATAGAGATCTTACATTTTTGTCAACTTCGGAATAGTACTTGCTCTGCATTTCTAGTAAAATATTAAGGCTTCAAATCCATTCTTGCGTCCATCAGAGTAAGCAGCATTTAAAGGATGCATGATGTTTCAGGTCTATTGTCCAGAAAATCAAATGGCAATCAGAAGGTAAAGATTTAAGGATTATCAGGCTTTGGCTGATGTGTTTAGTGAGCACTTACAGTCTTCCCCACCTAGAGGCAGGCTCTGGTAGGTCTCAGCAGTGACTGGCTCCCAAGTCCTCCAGGAGAATGGTTCACTTTTCCTTCTTTGGTAGATGAAGAGAGCCAGTCACTGACCAGGATCTTCAAAGGCTTGGTCAAAAGCGTGACTGATGTCTCCTGGGAAAGAGGATGAAGAACACATGCAAGTTACGTAATGAGTTTCCTGCCTAGGCTCGTTGGAGGCATTAACCCAGCAATGACTGGCTTTCTTCATCCACCAGAGACTCGGGCATCTTAACAGTAAGTGCCAACAAAACAATCTCTTGCAATGAAAAAAGCAAATTGTAAATTGTAATTCTTTTTTAAACTAGATATGAAGAAGCCGAAGTGCGGAAGAAACTGGAAGAAAAGGAAAGGCAAGAGGAGCAACAGTTGAAAAAGCAGGAATTGAAAGATGATGCAAAAGTTTTAACCAAAACCTCTTCAGAAGATTCATCAGATCCCAAAGGAAAAAATCAAATGGTAACTGGGACACTTAATCCTTAAAATGTTATCTGTTGTAAACATTTAAAAAACTAGTCTAGAATATTGGAGGTGGGGGGAGTTGGCTTATATCTGGCAGCACCTAAAATCAGATTATTTAAGTGTGAAAACAAAACTTAGCAGTTACTTAGGGTTAAGTGTATTGTTCATTAAATACATTGTGCTTAATATTTCATATATTCAACAGGCTTATCCTGTTGAATAGTTCTGAAGGTTGTCTATTTTAAATCCTATTCAGGCCCTATAAGGTCATCACCATTCTAGCTTGTAACTGCTAAACTGAGCAATCTGATGTGTGGCTCTCTGTTCATATTGCAAGCATGTATATCATTGGTTCTACCTTGAGCTGTGAAGTTGAGATGGACCTTTAATAGTGAATTTCTTTAGATTGATGCTAAAGGCTGGAAAATACCATATGATCACCAAATCCTATCCCTGTTAAGGCACTTAATTCAGATAATGGATTTCTAGCAGCACGTATACATGCCTGGAGACCAGACGACTCCAGGCAACTAAAAAAGGGAGCTAGGTGAAAGCAAAAATCCCCAGTCTGAATTTCGGGGGGGAATTCTTACTAACTTCAACTCTGGCAGAAGGCTACCTTGTACTATGTTATGATTGGTCTGCATAAATCTATGCAGCCACTTCTGTTTTGCCATTTTGACAAGAGTGGTTGCTTCAGAAAGGCCTGGTTTAATCACAGGTGTAAATCCTGTTGAATTTAATAGGGCTTACATTCAGGTAAGTGGGAACAGGACTGCAGCCTTACTGACTTCAGAAAGTTGTGTATGTGTGAATTAAGAATATAAAAACAGCTGCTTTTAATGCATTTTTAATTGCTGAAAATCCTTTTTTTTTTAATGCTAACGTAATATAGATCAATGGTGAGAAGAAGAGTTCAACAGAAATAAAGAATCAACCTGAAACCGGTAAGTGACATCTCTCCATTATCCTCAGTTCTGCTCTCCATAGTAGAGACTACAAACAGAACAGGAATTTATCTGTAGATCACTCTTGTCTAAATGACTCAAATAAGTTAATTCATAGGGACTACAAGAAAGGCAGCTATTCCTCCTCACCAACTACTCCCATTCATGTGGGGCTGCCTAGATAGACCTAGGAGGGAATTCCTTTCTATCACTAAGTATGGAATTTGACCCAGAGGTGAGAGCAAAATATATCTGGTAAATGCTCCCCATGGTGAAGTGTCTGCCTGAATGCTCCTCCCTATCTGGATTCAAGTAATTTTCTAAGCATTTGCAACGGATACTTTACATAAGATCTGTATGTGCTATATTCACCCTGTTCGCATTTTGTGTTCTGGAGGGTAACGATAAGAAGATACTATGATTTGAAAATGGGGCTATAATGCATGGTTGTTCCTAACCAACCACCGAGATCAGACGGAATTGGTCATGTTCAAGGTGGTATGGCTGTAGGCAATCCTAAGCAACGAGCTTGAAAGTTGTAAGATACCACTCAGAAATCTGTGCACCTACATTCTGCAATTTCTTTATGGGCATCTTCACCCATTTTAACAACAGCTGTTCTCTGAAGGTGTGTGGGAGGCCACCAGTACAACCAGGAGTGAAGCCCTGCCCCCCTCATAGGGATAGGCAAGTCATGTGACAATAGGGATGTAAAAAGGCTCTGCCTGCAGCTCTTTTGACTGCCTTGCTGGGAATAGATTTTTCTCAGCTCCTTCTTGTCTGGATTTCCCTTGATATGAAATAAGTGGCTTCACTAAGTGCAGTAAGTGATTGCGGCCAACAGGGCAGCAATGGTGGGGCTGTGTTGCTCTCCTGGCTAACACAAGGCAGCTCATTGCTGTCACTTGCTAAGAGTGAGGGACAAGGCAGCGGAAAACCTGGCCTGGTGCAGGTGCATTGGGGAAACCAATCCATAGAATCAAAGAATTGCAGAGTTGGAAGGGACCCCAAGGGTCATCCAGTCCAACCCCCTGCAATGTAAGAATCTCAAGTAGATTCTCAGCATGACAGATGCTCCCAAAACCAATGCTTTTAAAGTTGCGCCCACATCATTATTATTATTGTTGTTGTTGTTGTTATTGCCAAGCTTCCTCATGCATTGCTTCCCTGGCAGCCCCTACTGGCATTATACTTGTTCACAAGCATATTTCAGTGAGAGCCATCTCTTTAAAACATTAAAGTTCTTTTTTTTAAATAACTCTATTAACAAGCGTTTGTATTCTGATCTATCAGCTTTTTTTAAAAAAAAGTAATTTCTCTCTCCCAAGGAACAATCACAGCAGAGGAATTGTTTAAAATGATGATGGACAAAAGCATTAAGTTGATGATAATGGATGCTCGGTGCTTGAAGGATTACCAGGAGTCCTGCATTGCAAACTCTGTCTGCGTTCCAGAAGAAGCTATCAGTCCTGGGTATGGAATAAACTTTCTTAGCAGAGTCTTAAGACTGTGTACCGATTAAGCGTTTACCATTTATCAGGAGTAGAATGGAGAAAATATGGAACACCTGTTTGTCCAGCTACAATAAAAGGCCTAAAGTACACACAGTAGTCTTGATGACTACTTCTTTTTTGTAAAGGTGCTTAGTTGGTCTACGGAACTTTAGGACATGGGATATGCTGATGGTCCCTAGTTTAATGGACCTTTAAAAGGGCTTAGCAATATTGACAGCACTTGTATAAAATGGTTGTGAGGCAATACTCAGGCTTGGTCTTGGAACCTTAGGAGTAGATAATCGAGAATGGTTGTATCCAGTACATATTCCTAACCGGAGTAGACGCATTGAGATTAATGGGCATGACTAACTGAGGTCCATTAATTTCAGTGGGCCTACTCTGAGTAGGACCTAGCTGGTTACAGCCCTCTGTAATATACGGTACTAAGCATGGTTGGAGCAATAATGCCGTGGTGACAGTGACTGTTGGCAATAAGCTTGTGAAGATAAGTAGGTGTTAGGGAAGGGAGTTTGGCATCAAGCAGTCCATGGGGAGGAAAGTATGTGCCAAGTCACTGCTTGGGCTCCCCTGTCTCCCCTTATTGTTTTCACTACTGTGCTTTTTGGTCCGTTTGAAAGGGCCTGCCTCAGCTCAGCTGAACCCTGCATTCAATCAAATATCCAACAGCTGGTCACCAGAGATCAATGTGAAATGGAAATGTGCATGTTTCTGGTTGCACACTTGGTTTATGTGAGAAGCCTACTAGACCAGGTGGCACTAAGTGTCACTTCCAGAATTGAAGTCTCCAGGCTTTACCAGGGCCATCCTAAGACATTTTGCTGCCTGAGGCAATAACAGCAAATATGCCCCCTGCCAAAAAAAATAAAAATCAAGGTACATAGTAACGTAAAATAGCCAACTTATTTTTGCATCTGTGACAGAAAATCCCACAAGTGCCTCTCCCTGGGAATAGAAATGCAATAAATCAGTATATAAACATTTAATGCCTCTTTATGACACCCCAAATTAGTGCCTGAGGTGGCTGCCTCACTCTGCCTAATGGGAGGGCCGGCCCTGCTTGTTAAGATGTAACAGAGTGATGTCAGGCTTGGCGACCTGGGCCTACTCTGCATTTTATTGTGTAGTCACCACTGTCCCCCTGGACGGCAGTTGATTGCTGCCACAGCTCCTCCTTCAGTTGAATGAAGATTGCACTTTGTGAATTATTTTTCCCCCCTCCCCCCCCTCTTATCTTTTATGTTACTGCTTCAAACTTTAGAGTCACTGCTAACAGGATTGAGGCTAAACTCCCAGATACATCTAAAGAGCCATGGAAGGAGAGAGGACAAGTTGATTATGTTGTTCTGCTTGACTGGTTTAGTTCAGCCAAAGACTTGCAATTAGGAACACCTCTGCGGAGCCTCAAAGATGCCCTTTTCAAGGTGAACATGCTCGGGTTTATTTTTTTCTAGTTACCTTGATAAATTAGATTCCCAGTAGATGTAATTCTGTATCTTAGAGGGCTGTGTTTTGGTAGCCCTGTCAACAGACACAATCTTTTACTATTTAACTAACTTAAGTCTGCATAAATTTCCATAGGTGATACTGTCCCATGTAGACATAGCATTTGCTGGTGGTTTGTTTTCCTTAACAATAGTCAAATGTTATCTCTGAATAGCTAAACAGTGATTAAAAATTGAGCACAAACCAGAATGTGAACCTGTAGTTTTAAGGCAATTAACTGTGGCTCAATAAAACATTGGTAAAGGAGCTTTCATGCCTTTTGGAGATAGGGCTCAGTTAAACGTTTAGTATTTATTTCATAGTTTTATATTGCTAAGAAAGAGTGGGATATATGTTTCTTTCAATAAATGTAGATGACCGTGGTTTTGCTTTGCATCTGGGATCATAACCCAAAGTTAAGGCAACCAATCACAGTTAAGTGTTACATTTCACTGGGCCATTAAATGAAGGGGCTGTGGTATTGTAGTATTCTCCTAAGTTTAAGTTAGTTGATTGTACTAACATAGTTTATTCTTTTTCTAAAGTGAAATACATACAGACAGGCATGACTTTAGCCTTCCTCAAATAGAAAACAAAATGTTATGGCAATAAATGTATATGGGTAAAAATGGCCTCAAGTATACAATTTCTAAACAGATACTGAGGTTTTTGAGGTGGTGTACTGAAATGTCTAAATATTTAGAATAAACTGCCCCATAATAAACAAATGTCAGAACAACTACATTGTTCTGTTCTATCCGCCATTTTTATATAAGCTATGTTACATGTATATTTGTTGTAAAAATAAGGAAAAAACAATCCATCTCTTTCCATTTCACAGAGTGCATTATCTAGCCACATGACCTGATTTTGAGAAATATGAGCTTCGCTTTGGAAGTTCTGTTGCTTATTGTAAAATGTTTTGTCTTTCACTTCCAGTGGGAAAGTAAAGCTGTACTGAAGAATGAGCCCTTGGTCTTGGAAGGGGGTTATGAGAACTGGCTCCTTTGCTATCCCCAGTATACAACAAATGCCAAAGTAACTCCACCGCAACATGACAGGAATGAAGCCGTTTCTGTCTCTTGTATGTATTAAAAACACCTTCTGATCTAAAGAAAAAGCTTTCCTAATACAGTGGTACCTCGGGTTAAGTACTTAATTCGTTCCGGATGTCCGTTCTTAACCTGAAACTGTTCTTAACCTGAAGCACCACTTTAGCTCATGGGGCCTCCTGCTGCTGCCGTGCGATTTCTGTTCTCATCCCAAAACAAAGTTCTTAACCGGAGGTACTATTTCTGGGTTAGTGGAGTCTGTAACCTGAAGCGTATGTAACCCGAGGTACCACTGTACTGCAGTTCTGTCCACAACTTACTCAGGAGTACATCCTACTGAAATCAGTGGGGCTTGCTTCCAAGTAAGCTCCTGTAAGATTGAGCTGCACAGGTTGTGTTCCTAAGCCTACTTATTTATTTGTAGATCCCCCCCAAAAATCTTCAGACAGTTGTGCAGAACTGTTAGTGTGGGTAAACTACCTTTTTAAATTCAGGGTGGGAATATATTTCATGACCTATGATCTTGCCACCTGCTTCAGAGACAAAAAGATTATACTTAGCATAATTTAGATATCAATAATCTGACTACAGCTCTGTTTCTTGGGGGCATGGCTTGTCATTGTTCATATGGATCACTTTCAGGTGATTGCTTGTAGGAGAGTGAATTGCTGCCTAAATGTCCTACCTACTTGGAGCTTTTGGAGGACATAATCCAAATTGAAATAAGACCAAACAGCCACGGTATTACACATTGAACACATGATAAATCTGCAACTGGTTTCACTCTGTTGTCAGTTGGTATTTCATTAAGTTTTAAATAGTAGATCCTAATGGTTGTTACACTGACATATCTTTAATCCTCTTTAAGGGGATTATTTATTGCACAGCTTTTCCTCCAGAAAACATACATAGCAGTTGACCAGATTAAAAAACAGGGAAAGCAATAAAGCATAGAGGTGCACAGTTACAAAAAAACAAAATGTAAAACAGCAGGCTATGACTGAAGCAATAGATTAAAAGCAAGCTGATAAAAATGGCATTAGACAGATATCTAAGAACTAAAAAGATCCTGGTGGATCTCCTTTGGAGGGTTTATAGCAATCTCATTGCCATCACCCCACAGGTCCTGCCTTGCGTACTTGTCTGTGTAATCTACGAGTGGGGAACCTTTTTGGCTTTAGGAGCCAGATCCTCATCAGGTCCTTGCAGGCCAAATTTGACAGGTGGGCGGGGCTGCTGACCTGACAGTCACGTGGTGTCATTGTGACGTCATGTAATTGACAGGTGGGCGAGGCTATCCACCTGCCAAAATGCCTCCCATGGGTTTCGCAAGCAAAGACAATGGGGAGAACTTCTCCAGCACTCTGCCTTTGCCATCCCCTCCAGTCATCCCTATTTTAACGGGATATTCCCAGACTCACAGAAACCATGGCTTCTGATTTGATCCCAGAATGTCCCGGGGATGAGCCAACACTTGCAGTAGTGCCATGCTCTTGCACAAGTCAGTTGACTTGGGAGAGAGCACAGCCCCCGAAGATGCACTTTTTTGGTTCTGTGCTCTTGCCTCCCAATTTTCATCGGGAATGTTGGAGGGTATGCTTTGCTTGTGAAATGTGGCTCTTTTTCTCCCTTCTCTATTGTTTGAGCAATACAGTACATTATTTCTCCTAACTCTCCTACAAAAATTTCTTAAAACAAAAACGTAACCTTCTTTGCATGTTTCAGTGGATTTTACTTACCCATCTTTGGAAGAACCAGCTCCACCTCCAGTACCTGTTGTCCATGTAAAACCTTCTGTGGTGGAAGTTACCGAAAGACCTAATATTGCAAATGATCAAGAGGAGAGAGTGGACACGTTTCAACCACCAGCTCCTTGTGGATCAACTGCTACTCCTGCTAAGTCTGAAAACCTACCTGCCATAGTCCAACCAGTGTCTGCAGTAAAGATTATTCCTCAGGTGAGTGATTCTTAGCAAGAAAAAAACTTTCTACTTGGACTGTGACATAACAGGGCCACCTTTTTGCCTTATTTTATAGAATTGCTACAGATAGGATGAGCCTGCTTTTTCTGAAATACTAAGAGAGAGGAAAGGCCTGCACTGTAATACAATAATTGCAAGGTCAAATAGCTATCCTGTAAATGTTTCCAGCTGCCTTGCTAAGAAATATGAAGGAAAGACCCTGGTAACTGGTTGGGGAAGAAAAGACCTTGTTCTGCATGGACAAAAGTCATAAACCTTAGGCCTGTGTAACCTGCTGGGTGATTCTCTTTAACTGGCAGAGCAAACCTACTTGAGTCGCACTACAAAAGACTTTGGAAGCATTCAAAATTGGCTTCTGTTTGGAAATTTCCAATCCTCTTTTCAGCATTATCGCTTCCAAGGCAGATAACAAGACCATTAAAACAGTAAAACACATACTCAGAAAAGCAATAATAATAAGCAGCAGAGCCATATGAGCATAAAAATCACACCAGTGACAGTTGAAGACAAGTTGTTTGAGTGGAGATTTTTGTCTCAGATTTTATCAGTGCTGGATTGAAATTTATGTGTGGGGATTTTTCCTACTGTTAAATTGCTTTGGGGAGTTATATGGGAAGTATTTAATAAATTTAATGAATAACATTTAGGGGAGGAGAATTGTTTATCTTAGAAATGCAAATGGTCCGCAAGTACAAATGCGTGTTCAGGTATTTCTGACCTAACCACCCCTGTAGGTTCTCCCTGGGAAGCGGATGGGGCTTTCTCACTTCTCTTACTACAGCAAGACCTGATTCTGGGCAACTGAGGATTTAATCTCCCAGGATGAGGAGAAAACCCATGTTCAAATAAAACTGGCTAGGCTATACAAGCATAATTCCTCCCCCCCCCCCAATTGGGTGCAGGTTTGCATTAGGGTTGTAGCATATTCTCCCTTATTACTAACTTTTAGGAAGGGTCTAGAAACATTCCTGTTTATCAATGCATTTTGTGGCTGAAAGATCTGTTTTTGGCAACCCTGAAATTCTTAGTTATGAAAGTAGTTGATTGTGTGAGTTTTTAAAGAAGTTTTTAACTGTTTTTATAAATTGTATATTATCATTGATGTGTTTGCTGCCCTGGGTTACTTCAGGAGAAAAGGCAGGATATGAATAAATAAATACTTTTGCCCAGACTAAAATACCTTTGTAAAACCATAAAAGTGAGTAGTAGAGAAAAATAATAATAATAATTTATTATTTGTACCCCGCCCATCTGGCTGGGTTTCCCCACCCACTCTGGGCGGCTTCCACAAAGACCAAAAATACACTAATATGTCATACATTAAAAACTTCCCTAAACTGGGCTGCCTTCAGATGTCCTCTAAAAGTCAGATAGTTGTTTATTTCCTTGACACCTGATGGGAGGGCGTTCAACAGGGCGGGTGCCACTACCGAGAAGGCCTTCTGCCTGGTTCCCTGTAACCTCACTTCTCGCAGGGAGGGAACCACCAGAAGGCCCTCGGAGCTGGACCTCAGTTTCCAGGCTGAACGATGGGGGTGGAGACGCTCCTTCAGGTATACTGGGCCGAGGCCGTTTAGGGCTTTAAAGGTCAACACCAACACTTTGAATTGTGCTCAGAAACGTACTGGGAGCCAATGTAGGTCTTTCAAGACCGGTGTTATGTGGTCTCGGCGGCCGCCCCCAGTCACCAGTCTAGCTGCCGCATTCTGGATTAGTTGTAGTTTCCGGGTCACCTTCAAAGGTAGCCTCACGTAGAGCGCATTGCAGTAGTCCAAGCGGGAGATAACTAGAGCATGCACCACTCTTGCGAGACAGTCTGCGGGCAGATAGGGTCTCAGCCTGCGTACCAGATGGAGCTGGTAGACAGCTGCCCTGGATACAGAATTGACCTGCGCCTCCATGGACAGCTGACAGAATGTTGGCACTAAGTGATCTTTGAGGGAACGTAGCTTGCAAATCTTACCAAAATATGTCTATTTAACTTTTTTGCCCTTTCAGATTGATCGTACAAAAAAGCCTTCAGCAAAAATACCAGACGCTGATAACAGGCCAAGAGCTGAAAGCCCAACCATTGGCAAGCAGCTCATTTCAAATGGCAGAGTGGTTCCAGATCGTTCCACAAAGCCTCCCTTGGATGCTAAGGCCAGTCTGCGAGAGGAGGAGAAAGGCCACCTACCAGCGGAAAAGGCTTCCCAGTTGGAAAAAAGCAAGCAAGAAAAAGAACTGCAGGAGAAGCAACAGGAAGAACAGAGGGAGAAGCTGAGGCAGGAGAAGCAAGAACAAGAGCAGAGAGCGAGAGAGGAGCAGAGGGAGAAGGAAGGCAGGGAGCACCTCCAGAAAGCAAAAGATAAAGAGAAGGGAGAAAAAGACCAGCCGGCCAACAAAGGGGCAGCTGAGAAGCAAGAGGTGGAGAATGCGCCCAAGGAGCTCACAGACATGAAAAAAGGAAGCAGAACCGAAAATGAATCCCCTGAAATCAGAAAACTGGACACTGACAAAATTGTTGTGGGTGAAAAAGACAAGGTTACCTGGACACCAGAAATGCAGAGGCGCAGATTTGCAGAGGAGTCCCGGGCGTCCATGAGGGTGGATTCTGGCTCAGGCAAGGTGAGCAATTCATGGGCATAAAAGGCAAGCATCCTGCTTTGTCTTCCCTTTCTCCCCTGGAAAATGAGTAATTCTATCAAAGTCAGAGAGGCACCTTTACTGTTTCAGCTCCAGCCCTATCAGGAGGCAAGTTCCCAACTTAGGTGAATCGTGGAGGGAGAAAGGCAGACTAGTGAATTTGCACATTCCTAATAGGGGAAGGGACATGGGACGCGGGTGGCGCTGTGGGTTAAACCACAGAGCCTAGGGCTTCCTGATCAGAAGGTTGGCAGTTCGAATCCCCGCGATGGGGTGAGCTCCCGTTGCTCGGTCCCTGCTCCTGCCAACCTAGCAGTTCGAAAGCACGTCAAAGTGCAAGTAGATAAATAGGTACCGCTCCGGCGGGAAGGTAAACGGCATTTCTGTGCACTGCTCTGGTTCGCCAGAAGCGGCTTAGTCATGCTGGCCACATGACCCGGAAGCTGCACGCTGGCTCCCTCGGCCAATAAAGCGAGATGAGCGCCGCAACCCCAGAGTCGGTCACGACTGGACCTAATGGTCAGGGGTCCCTTTACCTTTACCTTAATAGGGAAAGGGCTTGAGAGGTTTTAATGAAGCTCCCATAGATTCCCTTATCTCGCACAGGAAACCTTCCTGCAAACCTTTCACACAGCAGGAACATTGGGCTTTCCACACACCCATCCCCACTACTCTGCTACATGTGGTAGAGGGGTGAGTAGACCTATCATGTCACTCATGGCTCCTGAGAAGGCACTAAGCCACCCACCTTTCCACATTTTCAAGCATCTTCATAAGGTTAGAGTAGCACAGAAGTGATTGCTAGGTGTTTTGTAGAGTAGGAGACAGCAGATGCTGAAAACATAGCAGAGGGTTTTGTTTTTTTAAAAAAGGAAGACAGTGGTGATTCAGAGGGTTTTGTTTTTTAATCCTTGCCACAAGAAAATGGTGGTGGTCTCTACAGGCCACAAAAACCCTCCTGGAAGCTGTAAGGCCCACTGGCCACAGCTTTACCACCCTTTCTTAAACTATAACACGGGTGAAATGCCTATTCATTTACAGGATTTGCTGATTAAGGAGTTTTGCTCTTCCTCCCCACCCCCACAAAAGCAGATACGTAGAGAAATGGCTTGCCACTGTTGTTTTTACTGATCACTTTTACTGATCATGACTTGCTGCTTTCTTGGAAGAGAAAAAATCCCTGAGGAACTAAGAGGTGTTTCAGATGAGAAGATCTAAGATTGGCAAGCGTTGGCATATTCAAGGTTTTCCTTGGACATAATGTGCATTGGGGGGGGGCCCCCACAAATATCTGACTGAAACATGAGCTGCTCACTAGCAGCGATACCAAGCATGTTCAGCAGAGTTTTTCAAGGGCTGGAACTCCCTGCAGGTTTCCAGCTGAGAATCCAGATGTTTTGGAGCAATTTTCTTACAGGGCAGTTTTGGCTAGTTGCGTGTGAGTCTTAGAACGTTGTATTCCTTATATACAATTCACGCAGCTAGCAATTTTCACTTTGAAATACATCTTCAAATTCGTCAGTGTTTTGTTTTGGGTGTCTTTGTACTCCGTAGCAATTCATCCAGAGTAAAGTGCTATTTTATGTGATTCTGTTGTGTATTGCAGTCATGTTATACTAACACTGAGGCGTTTTGGAGCTTGATAAATTAATTAATGAAAACTGAAAGTTTCTCTTTCAAAATCTTTTACAGCAGACTGGGGTTACAGGACAACCAGAAAGAGACACCCAAAAGCCAGAAGCCATTAGAGATGATACTGAACAAGACTCTGAAAAAAATAAAGTAAATTCACTGTGAGGTGTCTGTGTCTAGCTGCTGAAACCTAGTGCCAATGTCATAACATGGCCTCAATTTACATTCGTTGTCATGTAACTGTTTGTGTTACATTTCATAAAATGCATTTCAATATTTTATTTTTCATAAATAATAATAATGGGTTGCAGCCAGTGGTAGTCCTTCTCAGAGTAGACCTATAGAAATTGATGGACATGTCTAACCTAGGTTTAGTAATTTCAGTCGGTCAGCTCTGAGTAGGACTTAGTGGAATACAACCCAACAGATACAGTGGCTTGTATCTAACGTAGTGTGAAGTAACCATCCTTCTGTGCTTGGATTTTTGAATGTGCAACAGGATGGTGTTTTGCACTAGCCCGAAACATTGATTGATAACTTGAACTTTTTGAATTTTTAAAACACATAATCTTCTTTATGCAGAAAGCCTGCAAAATGCTGAGGACAGCCAAAGTAGGTATGTATCTTTTAAGACCCACAATTTTGATCTGTGTTGTTCTTTTCAGTCTCAGCGGGAGCCACTAACAAGGGCACGGAGTGAGGAGATGGGGAGGATAATACCAGGACTGCCACTTGGTTGGGTCAAGGTGAGTGGAATGTCTTCTGATGTTCTGGGTTTTTTCTGCTTGTGAACACTCTTGCGCTGAACCCATTTTTATATTTGCTGTTTGGATGTTGAGAAAAATATGGTAATGGCCATATAATTGGACCCAGAAGTTAAACCTGTAAGACTGAGAAGAGTGGCGCAAGCCAATAATATGCCAATATTACGTCACTCTAGAGGCTATTATAATACTTTTCCATCTGGGTTATGCTGGGAAAGAAATACGAATTTCAAAAGTGACTGTGCAATCTTTGCAGTTGTCATATAACTTGCTCCCTTTTCTCTTTGTGCACATGTCACATGAAGTTTCTGGAGCCAGTCACGGGGACTTTTCGTTACTACCACACTCCAACGAATACAGTTCACATGTATCCACCAGAAATGACTCAGTCAGCCACTCCACCATCGACCCCGCCAACACATAAACCAAAGACTCAGGCTGTTGATCAGCGGGAAAGGGAACATTCCAAATTGAAGCGCTCTTACTCCTCGCCAGACATAACCCAGGCCATTCAAGAGGAAGAGACAAAGAAAATCACCGTCAAGCCTACTATCAACCGTGAGAACAAGTACGTCTGCTGGAAACTCACAAACGGTGTTATAAGACATGATTTTCTAGGGTACCTGCTAAAAATGTCTTTTACAGTTAGTGAAATATGTGAAGGATTAGAAATGTTTGCCATTTGTGTGATTACGTTCCACCATGTCTGGTGTGGGGGACTTTTGGCTGTCTAGATGTTACTGAACTACAACTCCCATCATCCTTAGCCATGGTTGCTGGAGCTGATGGGAGTTTCTCTTTATCTGGGGGGCCAAAGGTTCCCCCACACATGCACAGTGTAGATATTGCTGAGACGTGTTTATTCCCATAAAAGCTGGTTAGAACAAATCTGATGCAAGCCTTTTAAGTGTGTGTATGAACACACACATATACATGCCCACCCACATACGACTGGCTGTTGTTTCAATATATTGTCCAGAATAAGTTTGAAGTCCACATCGTGATATCGATTTCATAATATCTGACATGGCGATACATCGTAAATCACGATGTGTGTGTTCGCTATGTAAAAAATTGTGATGTTGGGAAAGCCAGTCATCTCTTCTCTCCTGATTCTTGCCACCCCTGTTGCTCTGTACTATAAAATAACAGTTGTAACAATATGTTAACAGTAAGTAAAAACGTATCAGTTTTTGACCCCTAAGTAGTAGCAGTTGCTACGTAGTTACATCCTTATTTCAGACATTGTGAAGCATATCAGTATATCATGATGTTTAGCTGATGATATCACTCGGCCCTAGCACACACACAAACTATTTGTTCAGCATTTCATTTCCATCCTTCGAAAGCCTCATGTTTCTATTTTAAAACTTACAGCTTGCTAGGGCAAGGATACCTTGTTATCTGAAAGGAGCAAGGTATCACAAAGACTCTCGAGTATCCTTTAGTATTTATAATCTGAATGAGTTTGGGCATGATCAAGACAAAGTTAAGCACTTTAAAGTCTCGTAAGAGAGTCAAGCAGACAGAGAAGGTTAAATCTGTATTAATCTGTATTAATATTCTACTCTACAAAGTAAAATTTTGCAGTGGCATATGTAACAAAAGCACTTGAACCTTTTTTTAAAAAAAGTCGTTGCCACCTCACTAAAATGAAAAAGGCTGCAGTTAATATTATATAGCACATACTTGTCTATTCCTACAGATTTCTGGAAACTCGCTTTTGTTCCATTGATTCATGAGAGACATGCTAGTGACACCTTAGAGACGGATTCGGCTCAGTTTTTTTTTAAAAAGCATGAAAATACATTTCAGTCTTTAATATTGCCTCTTTCCTTACAGACCAGTAAGCTATCCTAAAACGGAAATCTCAAGGCTCTCTGCGTCTCAGATTCGTAATCTCAACCCTGTATTTGGTGGAATGGGACCAGCTCTGACCGGCCTCCGTAATTTGGGAAACACTTGCTATATGAACTCTGTGTTACAGTGCCTGTGTAATGCACCGCACTTGGCTGATTATTTCAACAGAAACTTGTATCAAGATGATATCAACCGGTATTTATTTGCTTGTTTGTTTGACTGCTTCCATTAACACACAGCTGAGTGCGAAACTTGTTTCATCTATTTAGATATGCTGCTTTAGTGAAATCGTAGTGTCGTTTATTTTATATAGCACATTTATCTCAGAACTTAAGGCAGTAGGCATAGTCTTCCCAGGAACTGAATAGCCATAGATACAGTGGTGCCTCGCAAGACGAAATTAATCCGTTCCGCGAGTCTCTTCGTCTTGCGGTTTTTTCGTCTTGCGAAGCATGGCTATTAGCGGCTTAGCGGCTATTAACGGCTTAGCGACTTTAAGAAAAAGGAAACAAACTCACAAGACATTTCGTCTTGCGAAGCAAGCCCATAGGGAAATTCGTCTTGCAGAACGACTCAAAAAACGGAAAACTCTTTCGTCTTGCGAGGCATTCGTCTTGCGGGGCACCACTGTATGATTTATCTTTAAGCAAGGTTTGGTTTATTTACTCTTATATCTAAGGCCTTGCTCCTTTTATCTCAAAAGCGGCTAAGGCAAATACAGAACAAAATATGAAAACAGCAAAACATCAAACGGAATACAGCAGATTAACATGCATCAGCTCTAAAAAAGAAGTACCATCAGCCAAACAAGGCGAAGCCCTTTTCTGGACAGTGTGACCAAGTGATAGCTAAGCAAATCTCATGGGGCAGGTAGTTCCACATCTTGGGCCCTGTAGTGGAGAATGGCTGTGTTCTGCCTCCGCTGCCTGAGGCAATGTTGTGCGGATGCCTGATGATCGTCTTCCAAAGCAACTACTCTATTCCAAACTTAAAAATGGAAAGCGTAATGCTGGTGGTCAGCAAAAGAGCTTTAAAGACTGTCTCAAGGCAAATCTTAAAAAATGTAATATAAACACTGACAACTGGGAAACACTGGCCTGCAAGCGCTCCAGTTGGAGAACAGCCATTACCAAAGGTGTCATGGGCTTTGAAGACACTCGAACCCAGGACGCAAGGGAGAAACGTGCTAAGAGGAAGGCGCGCTTGGCAAATCCACACCATGATCAACTCCTGCCCGGAAACCAATGTCCCCACTGTGGAAGGATGTGTGGATCCAGAATTGGCCTCCGCAGTCACTTATGGACTCATAGGCAAAACTGTGTTTATGAAAGACAATCTTACTCAGCTACGAGTGATTGCCGAAGAAGAAGAAGAAGAAGAAGAAGTAGTCTCTGAATGCCAGTTTCTGGGAGTCGCAAGGGAGGAGAGAGCTTTCTGTAGTGGGCTTTCTGTAGGCATCCGGTTGACCAGTGTGAGCAGTGTTTGAAATTAGCCAGGCCCCAGGCACATTTTGAACCTGGCTTGCGACCACCAAGTGAAGATGCCTGGGCACCAGGATGGGACCTGACACCTCCACCATCTGGGGATCGTTGGATCTGGACTGTTTTTTGCACCCTAACACCCCATCCTGTAGAATTCTATCAGTCATATTTTATCTGCACAATCAGAATGAATTTCTGGAAGCCAAATTGCTTTTTCTGTGCAGCCTGAGCAGGAGCAGACACCATTAAGAAAAAGAGGTTGCAATAGGCCAATATATACCGTATTTTTTGCTCTATAAGATGCACCAGACCATAAGACGCACCTAGCTTTTTGAAGAGGAAAACAAGAAATAAAATATTCTGATTCCCAGAAGCCAAGACAACAAGTAGGATCGCTGTGCAGCGATCCCACTGGCTGTCCTGGCTTATGGGATAGCCACGCGCAGCCTCTCCCATAAGACACACACACACATTTCCCCTTACTTTTTAGGAGGGGGAAAGTGCGTCTTATAGAGTGAAAAATACGGTACGTCCCTGGATCAAGTGACTTCTCTTTAAGTTCTCAAAGCTCTGAACTAGCTGGATGTTGAACTGAACTGAACTGAACTGCTCTTCTTATATTCTTAATACCCTCTTCCATGTTCCAGCCAGCCTGGCCTCTTTGAAGGCGAGGGGCCATACCGCATTCTCCAAAGTAGGCAAAATATATTCACTTAGTCAGTGTTATACTATTGATGTATATATTGCTCCACTCGGGGAATAAGGATAAACATGCAAGTGACAGCATTCTGTTTGTTTCAGATAATTATGTCTCTAAAAACGGTGTCAGACATTAAACTCTCTCGTTATTTGCAGGTCAAATTTCTTAGGGCACAAAGGTGAAATTGCTGAGGAGTTTGGCATTATCGTGAAAGCTCTCTGGACTGGACAATACAGATATATCAGTCCAAAAGACTTTAAATTTACCATTGGGAAGATCAACGACCAATTTGCAGGGTACAGCCAGCAAGACTCTCAAGAATTGCTTCTGTTCTTAATGGATGGTCTACATGAAGATTTAAATAAAGTAAGTTTGATTTTTGGTGAAAATTAAGCATTTCATTTCAGAATTTAACACGCTAACCACCTGACCCCCACCAAAAGGTTTTGTATTTGCTATTTTGTTTGAACCATGAGGGGTTGCACTTCTGCCTTTACAAGCTGTTTGAAGTGTTTGGGTTTTGTTTTGCTTTTAAAATAGAATTTAAATCCTTTAGGTTTTTAATTCTGCATGTTTTATTGTTGTAAGTCACTTTGAGACCAATAATAATATTTGTATGCCACCCATCTGACGGGGTTGCCACAGCCACTCTGTGTATTAAAATTTAATACAGAGTATTAAAAACACAATAAAACATTAAAAACTTACCTAAGCAGGGCTGTCTTCAGGTGTGACGATGTCAAGATGGTGAAAAGTGGGATATATATTTTTAAAGAGAGTAAGGAAGTACTCAAGCACACCTGGGCAGACTACATGACAAACATCACCTCTAGTTTGACCAAAAATCTAAAGTGGGCAGTTGTTACTGCTTTGGCCATAGATTTTAAAAAAGTATTTCTTCACTCATTGCATAATTATATTTGCCATGGGAATTTTGATGTTTATTAACATAGACCAATGAGCAAGTGGGACCTCCAACGAGATGTCATAGTGTTGAGTGCTTTTCTTTAGCATGCCAACCAACCAGCTGCCTTTTAGATTGCTCCATTCTAGGGGGCCACTAGGGGGCGCATTGGAAGATGGCCGACAATACCATCTCTCCGATCCACACGGGGTAATTAAGAGGCTGTTATGGGAGTAGGCAGCCTCCCTTGTTGCCCCAAGGAAATGGGGAACACTGCCCTTGCCTGCTGTGCCCATAAGTCACCCCCTAATTTGAAAGAAGGGGGTGAGGGCCCTAGGCAGAATGCCCCCGTGTGGACCTCGGCTCTCCTGGACGCTGTCTCTGATCGCGCACTAGTTGCAGCAATTTGGAATAATTAATTACAAAAGAAGCAAATGCACATATTTCAAGTGAAGAAGGGGAGTGAAGTCTGCTAATTTAAGTGACCTCTGCGAAAGAAGACGACGGGCTGGAGAAACAGGAATATTTTACGATGAAGATACACCAAAGGCGGGGTATGTTGACAACGGGGCTGAATGGGGGAGGACCTTTTTACTTTCCTTCTATGTGATTTACAAGAACCCCTCCTCATTAGAACTGTCGGTTGAACTGACCCAAGCAGGATGATTAAGGTCTGTGTGGAGATAAACTTTAACCAAAAGTATGCTTTATGGAGACCGAGAAGCAATAAGAGCTTTGGGAATGGCGCAGCAATTAATTCGAGTCGCCATCTTGCCAAAGGATTTATAGCCGGGAGGAAGAACGGATTTGTTTTCAGACTGCATTCCTAGTGAATCTCCTCAGAGGTTTTGAGAAAGGAGGCAGATTGGTGAAGATTAATGACGCTAAGACTGTTTTGATGTATGGAAGTGATGTTATATGGAAAACGTCTGGATATGGCTACTGGATAAAAAATAATATCCACGCAAGATTACAAACTGTTCTAACCAGCTTACGGAGACTATCAGAGGTCACAAAGAGAAAGGAAAAATATATGAAAATAACAACAAGAGATGTGGAAAAATAATAAGAAAGGACTGGATAGTACTGTGAACATCATAAGGTTAGATTTGTGGACATTAAAACAGCAGTAAGAAGCAAGAAGTTGATTGGATCCCTTCGAACTTGAAATATGGGGACCCCCAACAAAAATTTAAAATTTGGCTGTGTAATTTGGAATTTATGTAATTTGGTTTTATTTGATGTGATTGGTCGGTTAATAAAAAATTATTCTTAAAAAATAATAATAGATTGCTCCATTCTATTCTACAAACACCCATTTTTCCATTTTTAATTCCAACAGACACTCAACATTCTGTTGTTGGTTCCCCCCCCCCCACCCCCACCCCATGCATTTTCAGTTTTAACAGCGCACCATATACATTTTATCTTACAGTGTTTTTTACAGACTTCCCAACCTAATCTTCAGTGACATTCTAACAGAGTCTTGTCTTGCTGCCTGTCCATAGTTTAACACACTCAACATTCTGTAGCCACTGAGCGTGCTCAGTCCTTGTTGGGCTGTTCTGGATTCTGCTTTTGTGTCTTTAACCCCCTTGGAGAGACACTTTGCCATATTGACTCCATATAGCTCTTTAGAACCAGGTGCTGTAAAGAAACAACGGAGGATGCTTTGCTTTTGAGCTTCACAGGGTTATCTAGTTGGGATACAGTTGGCAGGTGATATACTCAATTAGATGAGATTTTTTGACCTGAAGCAGCAGAACAGTGTCTATGTTCATTAAGCAGTTTCCTAAAAGCGGACACCTGGTGCAAAAATCACGAGATCGTTCATGCTTTTTATAGAGAATGTAGCCCTACTCCTATGTTGCATGTGCCAGGTAGCATGAAGACAAATACTAGGGGTATTTAAGCACCATTCTTTATGTACTGATGAGGACAACTTCTAGGAACTCCTGGTTGAGATGAGTGATTACCAGACAGCTTGCCTTTCTGTTTAATCAAACCGATACTAGCCCTAAGATCCGTAATTACAGCAAAATATTCACTCTTTTCCCCATCGAGTTCATCATTGTTTCTTTCTGCTAAAATGCCCACGTAAAGAATGAGAAACTCTAATTCAGAGGCAGATGTGTGCAGCTTAACTGATCTCTAATCAGAATTACTTTAGGAGAAAGCATCTATAAATATAGCCAAGATATTTAGTATAAAACTGCTTTGCAATATCCAGTTTGTAACGATCAAGGAATTGGGCACAATCTGTCAAGGACAACTATACTAGTTTGCTTTTGAATTTGAAGGATTTATTTTCTTATTAACTGAGCTCAGTTTTAAAAGGTTTGTCCATCATGTTATCCTCATCTAGCTTACCTTTTCTGAAATTAGCTGTTTAATAACTGGATATATATATTTTTTTGCAAGATCTGTTTTTCAGTCTTTTTTTTCCCTCCTATTTTTACAAAAACTATGATGTCCTCTTAGAGAGTAAGTAAACCAAAACTTTATTATCCATCTTCTGTCTAGTACATAGATTTATTGTTTGTTTTGCCATGTCATGAGTGTGATAGAAAAAAAAAACCTGTTCTTCATTTCACTCTTGGATGCCACTGTAACTATTCAGTGTTCTGTTCCTAAAACACAAAGCTCTGCAAAAAGGAGGTTATGGTTATAACCTTATTTGTGTCTCGTTTCTCCAATCCATTGCAACTGCCATTTCTTAGTTAGGTTACACAAACAGTAGAATTAAATTGCAGAATGGACTGTGCTACTTCAGACTGCAGATGGGGGAACACCATTCTGAAACGCTCCCTCACTTAACCCCCCCCCAAAAAAAACTCACTTCAAATAGAAAGTACTGTATAAATAAGAAAACCTTTATCCCATCCCTTTGCCTTTTGGGCTCATATTCTGCTTAAAATGTGTTAAAATAAAGGGGCATTCAAAAACATGATATCCCAGCAGCAATTAAGTGCTACGGTCCATTCTGCCATATTCTGCTGTATGCGTAGACTCTAATCAACATTTCGCAAGCTTTTGAGTTGGACCTCCCTGCGCAGGTAGACTAGAGAAGGCACGAGAATGTTGCCAACTGAATTCTCCATCTTCAGTTTTCCCCAACTTCAGTTAGGAAGCCTGTAGCTACCCAAGCTTGAGAACTTCCTTTAGATTACAAGCAGGGATGGCATGATTCAGTTGATCTTACACACACACACACACACACACACACACAGAGTCGTACCTTGGTTCTTGAACGGAATCCATTCCGGAAGTCCGTTGGACTTCCGAAAACATTTGGAAGCAGTGTCAGACGTTTGGGTTCCAAAGAACGTTCGCAAACCGGAACACTCACTTCCAGGTTTGCAGCATTGGGGAGCCAAAACGTTCAAGTCACAAGGCGTTCGACAACCAAGGTACGACTGTGTGTGTATGTGTGTATAAAATCAACTGTACAAACTGGTGTGGAATGTAGCTAAAAAGCTGAGCTACAGATTTGAATCACCAGTTTGAATCTTGCTTTTGCCATGCTCTCTCCAGATGGCCTTTAGCCCCAACCCCAATTGTTCAGCCCTAGCTTTCCATGCCATCTTCAGTACAGTGGTACCTCGGGTTACATACGCTTCAGGTTACAGACTCCGCTAACCCAGAAATAGTACCTCGGGTTAAGAACTTTGCTTCAGGATGAGAACAGAAATCGTGCTCCGGCGGCGGCAGCAGGAGGCCCCATTAGCTAAAGTGGTGCTTCAGGTTAAGAACAGTTTCAGGTTAAGAACGGACCTCCAGAATGAATTAAGTACGTAACCAGAGGTACCACTATATGGGGTTTGGTGAAACTCACCTGCTTTAAAAGCTCGTCGTAAGCCTTGGAGGCTTGTTGTAGCGGGCAGGGCAGTCGGAGGTAGAGGAGGAGGGCAAAGGGGGCAAGAACCAAAACAAGTGAAGAGAGAGAAAGTTAGGAGCATTTGCAAGCTATTTGTTCAGATCTCTATCAAGAGCAATCTTGTCACTTGACTGGCAGCTGCTCCCTTGGGGGTGGAGGGAGGAGAAAGGGGAAGCATGGCCCTATTCACTGCTGGTATGTAGCCCTTAAAGAAATGTGACTCTTTTTTTTAAAGATGCATTTGCTGGGGTTTTTTGTTTACATACACGTTAGGTAAAGCGTATATTTGTAACGATAAAACAACAGTAGCAAAATAAGCCAAACACATGAGAGAAAAGGAGAATAGTGGTAAGAAAATCAAACGAAAGGATTCAAAGAGAACTATCCATCTGTTCTCGCATGTACAAATAATTGCTTTCAATCTGTGACTCTTGGCAGAAGGTTTCCATGCTTCTGGCCAAGAAAAACAATGTAGCCAGGGTGCTCAAAGAATCTGTTTCAATGTTTGCATGTTTAGCATTATCACCTTCCTTCTGTCTTTCCATAGCTCCACCTGATGATGCTCCTGTCTGTAAAACTTACCTTCATGTGTTTTAGGTATTCTTTAAACTTTTTTTTTAACTTCCCAACTTTCCAGGCTGACAACAGAAAACGTTACAAAGAAGAAAATAATGATCATCTGGATGACTTCAAAGCGGCAGAACTTGCCTGGCACAAACACAAACTGCTCAATGAATCGATTATCGTTGCTCTCTTCCAAGGCCAGTTCAAATCCACAGTTCAGTGTCTTACGTGTCACAAAAAGTCTCGGACCTTTGAGGCTTTTATGCATTTGTCCTTGCCACTTGCATCTACCAGTAAATGCACCCTACAGGTTAGTCAAATGAGTGACTTTAGGTCACTAGTTAACAATGTTTAACTTTCCCAGTTTTTCTTTCAACAAAACTGTTCCTATAAATCCTCACCTCTGCTCTAAACCTTTGAATTCAGGTTGTGTTTTGTTTTTGCTCCCCCCCCTCCCCCCAGGAATGCCTTAGATTATTCTCCAAAGAAGAAAAACTGACAGATAACAATAGATTTCATTGTAGTCATTGCAAAACCCGAAGAGATTCTTTGAAAAAATTAGAAATCTGGAAGCTGCCTCCTGTTTTGTTAGTGCACTTGAAGCGGTAAGACTCAAAAGTAACTGTACAGATTATTTAGTCTTCCTAAAAGTGCTAAGGTGATTTTTTTGTTTAATATAACATAGGAAGCTCTTCATATTGTCCATTTGGTTCAGTTGCAGCTCTCTGGGATGTCAGAGACATTCCAGGCCTTACCTGGTGCTGCTGCAGAATTGAACCGGGGAACTTTTGCATGAAAAGAAGTACTCTAGCACTGAGTTGTGTTTCATGTTCAGAAATGTAGTCTCTGAAATATATATTTGCATGCGGGTAGTGTAGGAGGAAGGGACGCGGGTGGTGCTGTGGGTTAAACCACAGGGCCTAGGACTTGCCGTTCAGAAGGTTGGCGGTTCGAATCCCCATGACGGGGTGAGCTCCCGTTGCTCGGTCCCTGCTCCTGCCAACCTAGCAGTTTGAAAGCACGTCAAAGTGCAAGTAGATAAATAGATACCGCTCTGGCGGGAAGGTAAACGCCGTTTCCGTGCGCTGCTCTGGTTCGCCAGAAGCGGCTTAGTCATGCTGGCCGCATGACCCGGAAGCTGTACGCCGGCTCCCTCGGCCAATAAAGCGAGATGAGCGCCGTAACCCCAAAGTCGGGTCACAACTGGACCTAATGGTCAGGGGTCCCTTTACCTTTACTTAGTGTAGGAGGATGCATAACCATACGTACTTTGAGATGAGAAATGTAATGTGTTCAGAGTCTCTTATGGGCTTATACATTTTGGTAGATAACTGGTTCGCAGGCCAGTCTTGTCTGCCAGGGGGCCAAATTCAGCCCAGAATGCCATTTCTCAAAACCCACACCTAATCAGCTGACATCCCTCCTAAGGTGATGACAACTAATGGGCAGGGTTGAATTCTGTCTTGGCTGCTCTCCTGGGAACAGGCACATGCAGCCAAAGCACAGTGCAGGGCTATTTGAAAGCCCTTTTGCAAACAGTTTTGCATTGCTCTTTAAAACTCCCACAGGGCTTCTTGCAAAAGGACTTTCAACTAGTCTACACTTTAAAGTCCTGACAACTGGAGCCTCAGTGCACAGAATCATAGTGGTGTTGGGTGATTGACTGGTGGGCAGCTCCACCCATTTGTCAAATTTCGCCCAGCACGGGGGGAGATAAATATTTGGCCTGCCGGCCAGAAAACATTCCTTGCCCCTGCTTTGCATGTTACATTGGCAGTATGGCCTGGTTTCCTGCTCACCAAATTAATTAAACCAAGGAGTGGGTTTAATTATACCCAGGGAACTCCTTAAACAAAAGCAAGAGATTTTCAGGATGTGATATTCATCCTAAACCATCCTGCTATTTCGTCACATAAGCAACTAATTGGTCTGTGAGGTGACACTTTGGGAAATTTTACTTTATTTTAATTTTATTTACAAGATTTATATACCGCCCATCATCAGAAGATCTCAGAGCGGTTCACAAGATGAAAACACAAAACAGAAGCAATAAAACAGTATGGTGGCATAACATGTGCAATGAACAGCAGTGTGGAAATCCTTGCTTTAGTTTTTTCCATAATACCTTTTCAGCTTTCAATGTAATTCTTAATGCTTTTCATGCCTAGGTTTTCTTACGATGGACGGTGGAAGCAAAAGCTTCAGTCATCAGTGGACTTCCCATTGGAAAACCTTGACTTATCACAATATGTTATTGGCCCAAAGAGTAACTTGAAGAGATATAACCTGTTTGCAGTATCTGTAAGTAATTTTGTGTAGCTATGAATCTTACCTGCCAGTTAATCTGTATATAACATCACCAGTTAAGCAACCATGTGCAATGTAGTGTTGTTTATTAACATTTCCCCCTTGAAGGCTTTATTCTTTTCGGTTGCACTTGGGAGTAGTTTATGCCTTGATTTTTGAGTACTGGGAAGTATTCGGGCCAAATAACATTTTGTGGTCCCCTAATTTCATTCCTGTTCTGTCTAGAATCATTACGGAGGGCTGGATGGAGGACATTACACAGCCTACTGCAAAAATGCTGCCAAACAGCGATGGTTTAAGTTTGATGATCATGAAGTCTCGGACATCTCTGCATCCTCTGTGAAATCCTCAGCTGCTTATATCCTCCTTTACACTTCTTTTGAACAGCGAACCGCCGATATAGCCACATAAAGAAACATTTGAAGAATATTGGTGTCTTTTTTGTAAATGCATCCAATAATAAGCTGAGCTGTGATGAGTAAAAGGTCCATTGCTGAGGAAGAAGATGTTTGCAGCGGTTTCTCAGCTGAGGTGTCTGTTAGTGCTATTGCTTAGTCCAAAAATTGTTAACTCTGCTGTTTAATAATATGGAACAACTAGTTTTGAAACCACTTATTTTTAGTAATGCTCCAAAATGATAAATCTAGCTTAGCCCTTTTTAAAAGTCATTAATATATGGGTTTAAAATGCCCCTGAACCCAACAATATCTTTTTTGTCTCCCACATTTATGCCTTTTCACACTAACCTTAAGCTTGATTCTACTGTGAATATCTTAGAATGATGTAAACAGGTAGGAATGTATGTGTACATATTGATTGCAAACTTGCACATGCAAAGTATGTATATAATAAAGGTATGTGGTCCTTTGAGAACCACTAGAACAGAAAAGGGGTTGCTTTTGTTTTGTCTAGAATATCTTCATTCTTACAGATAAGAGCACAGCTGTATTTTTTTGTTTGAGCTACGGCATTGATATCTGCACACCCTAAAATGTATATATTACAGAATTGATATTTTCCTTTTTAATAACTTATTGAAGCAATTATTTGAAAATACAATGGCCTGTTAAAGAACTTCTTTGCCTGTTTTGGACACTTGACATGTTTGGATTTTCGGCTTTCCCTTATTCCTTGTGAAAATAATCCCATCTAGATCCCAAAGAGTGGTATTATGATGGGAGGGCAGGCAATGTTGCCCTGCGTGAGCCTTACTGGGTACAACTTGAGTGGATGAAGGCGGTCACTGCCTGCTGTCATTAGCTCTCCTCCTGACAGGGCCATAATTGGTCCAGCTTATTATTAATAACTTGTTTTGAGTGTCTGTCCCCCCTTTTAAGGCTTGTGGGTCTGTGTCCCTGGGTCTCAAAGGTCTGCTACATATATGCTACATATATGCATTATTCTGTAATAATAATAAAAAACAACACTCCTTTAGACTCTGGCTGCCCAGGAAGACTTTATTTATCTAGCGGTTTGTTGCTTTCTCCGAAAGCTTACTGAAAATGAGTTTGTGTCTGGCACCTGTCTTTTCGCTGAAGGGAGAAGCTGTTCACAATCCCATTTTTAAATACCACGTTACAGCCTGAACGCAGGCATTAGGAAATGTGGTTCCTCTTCCTTAAGGATGACTCGAAACCTGGCCGGCCCGGGTCAGGAAACGTTTGCTAACAGTACCACTGCATCCTATGTACGCGATGGTTTTCAGTGCGTTTCCTAGCCATTTTGGTTTTTTACCGGCACAGAGAAAGCTTGACTGCTGTAAAACAGCAGATAAGCTGCAGACGTTTGCACAGAAGGGTCTGGGATCTCGCTGATCTGAGAGTCGTCAAAGTTGTACCAGCTTTGGGTGGGAGGGTGTTTGCAGTAGGCAGTGTAGTGGCCCCCATCCAGATCTCCAAAATGGTTCTGCAACAATAATGGCAATAAATCAAAAGGTAACCAAAAGAGCATTTTGTTCATTCATTCCAAGGAGCTAAGCCTGGTAGGCATGGTTTCATGACTCCCACCCCTTTCCCCTGCAACCAGCACATTGAGAAATTGTAATCTGACTATGGTCACTTAGCCAGCAGACCGGTGGCAATTTCAACCTGTCTCCCTGATCATAGGCTAGAGAGATGTGTTTTGAAGAGCCCAAAGTACCCCCATTTCCCAGACAGTGTCATCACCTTCTGTGGCGTTTGCCTCCTAGGATGGGTCATAAGGAAAGGGTTAAAATAGGTGTGATGTGATTGGCCAGTGAGAATGCAAGGGGGGGATAAAAGTTAGAGTGGGAGGTTTTGAAAGTTAGTTGAGTTGAGAGTTGAGGTTTGGGAGTTGAAGAAGGAAGAGGGAGGTTTAGGTGTGGGTTGGTAGAGTTGTATTGTGAGAGAGTGAGAGGAATTGTTAGGTGGAGTCCGATAGATAGTTGGAATAATCAGTTTGGAGTTGTTAGGAACTAAGAATAAGAAACTGTCAAGAAAAACTAACTGAAACCATAAGCTTGTTCCTGCATTTAAAAATAAACTTGATTATTTGTTAATGTTAACTACTTACTGGACTCCGTGTGTCCCCATGAGATACGGGGTGGTGGCAGCGGAAAAAGCAATCGCAGTGGCGGCACAGGGTCAATTGACCGTCAAACGTCCGGGGGCCCTGTGTGTGACCTTCCTATCCCTCTCACCTTTTCTTACCATATCACTCTCCAGCTTTGATGTGATTCAGGAGGGTGTTGGACCAACAGACATATGCACTAGAATAAATAGTCTTCTATGTCACTTACCACCACAGCAAATAAGCTGTATTTTGGGTTTTTCCGAAAGAGTGGATATATGTAAGAGGACAAATCCAGGTTATTTAACGGATAGTAGATGTCGGTTTTCAGTTTCTTTTTATAACTGCCTTGACAGTCAAACCTGAAAATAAATGATCATAATCAGAAATCACTTTCAAATAGTTTACCCAATCTACTTGGCCAATTATTCCCCCTTTCCCATCTTAAGCAACCGTTTCTTTGTGACCTGCACCACAGCCACCTGGAGAGCACATGAGATGCTGTAAATAAGAACAACGGTACCTCTTTAGATGGAAGATAACTATTTTTGGCGCCTTTGCTATGCTGGCTCTCACAGCGGCATCTGTCTTTATCCCACAGCAGGAGCAGTTAATTTGGTTGTTCCAAGTCAATATGTCTTGCTGAAAGAAGCATTCGAGGCATTCCTGGGCCCCCCAAAAGTGGGGATTTTTTGGAGGGGGAAGAGGTGGAATTATTAGTCAACATGTCAAACCACTATAACTAACTTACCTGCAGACACTGCTCCGTAATTGCTGAAAAGCAGGAATCCTTCCACCAGCTCTGCCGAAAGACTAGCTCCATTAGGCTTTGTCACCTGGCAGCAGCCATTCCATCAGGCTGCTTCAATAGGAGGTGGGAAGCTGGGTTGCTTCCACCAACTTGCATCACAAGCCAAGCTCGATCAGGCACCTCCTTGCCCTGAGCTGTTCCTATGCCACCTGGTCATTATGAGATCTACCATTGGTACCTGAGTTCGCTTCTCCCCCACCGTCCCCTCCCTGTCCCTTTCCGCTTGTGCATCATGTTTTTCAGATTGCCGGTCAGGAGGCAGGGACTGTCTTGTGTTAACGGATTGATTGTGAGTCACTCTTGCTGAAGAGAGGCGTACAAATTATCTAACTTGTGAAGGTTAGCTACCCAAAGATTTGTCTTTGTGTAGCTGCGGAGCTATTTAACACTACAACCCATCACTGCAGTGAGAGAGACCTTCTACCTGCGATCAACATCTCAGGACAAGCATGACCCATAGTCATGTTCCCGTTTACCATGTAAGAACGCATAGGAAGAACACATAGGAACATAGCTGTCAAGTGTCCCTTATTTGAAGGGACAGTCCCTTATTCCAGGGCCATGTCCCGCTGCTGTCCCTTATTGATGGATGTCCCTTAAATGTCCCTTAAATTTCAAAGGAAGCAGCTCCTCTCCCTCCCTCCCTGCCAGCCAGGGAGGAGGGAGGCTCCAACTTTGTTGCTTGGCTGTGTTGCTCACCCAATAAGAAGTCTAAGAACGACTGGGGGGTGGAGCTTGAATGCCTTGTGTGTGGCTAGTTAATGCAAGCTGAGGGAGGTTTTGAATGCTGGATGCCATTTTGTTGCACGTGCTGCTGCAAACTTTGCAGTGCAAAGCCAGGCCGGGGAGCCATCTTAAGTTGAGGCTGCATAGGCCTTGTGGTGCATGTGATTCAGATTCTATTCAGTTGAACCTCTGGTTACAAAGTTGGTTGGACAGTGTTCTCGGAGCTACCAGCATGAGTTTGACCAGACTGCAGGAGGACAGGAAGACTGGAGTGCCTGGAACAGGTGAGGCTGCAGGTCCCTTGTTTTGGCTGCTGGTCCCTTATTTTCAAATCTGCAAGTTGACAGCTATGCATAGGAAACTGCCTTATACAGTCATACCTTGGGTTACAGACGCTTCAGGTTGCGTTTTTTTGGGTTACGGACGCAGCAAAACCCTGAAGTACCGGAATGGGTTACTTCCAAGTTTTGGTGGTCACACATGCGCACAAGCACTAAATCGCGCTTTGCGCAGAAGCATCGAATCGCAACCCGTGCGTGTGCAGACGCGGCGCGGCGGGTTGCGAACGTGCCTCCCGCATGGATCACGTTCGCAACCCAAACGTCCACTGTACTGAGTCAGACCATTGGTACATTGTCTACCCCAAAGTTTCCCAAGCTTGGGTCTCCCAACTGTTTTTTTGGTGTGTTTTTTTACTACAATTCCCATCATTCCTGACCACTCGTCATGCTAGCTAGGGATGATAGGAGTTGTAGTCCCCAAACAGCTGAAGACCCAAGTCTGGGAAACCCTGGTCTACACTAACCAACAGCATCTCTCCAGGATTTCAACCCTACCTGCAGATGCCTAGGATTAAATCTGGGACCTTCTGCTTGCAAGGCAGATAGATTCTCTACACTATGGGCTTGCATTCTGACAAGTGGAGGTTGGCTGTTTCCAGCCCTGCAGGCAAGTTGCCTAAAGAGGGTTAAAATCAACATTGCAGCAACAATTTAAGCTGGGCTTAAACTCGGGCAGCTTTGCTCAGCAAGGGAGAAACTAATACCTCTAGCGAGCATTCAGTTTCGTAAGGGATGGGAAGAGATAATACGGTGAAGATCTCGTTTTTGTAGGTTGTCGTTTGGCATTCCAAACACATGATGTCATAACTGAGATGTCCTTCAAAAAGCCGGGTGATTATGGAGGACTCGCCGACGCAGCCCCTGGATTCCCAAGCAGACGATGAGGTCCCCTGGTTTCTTCTCCTGCTTGTCTGCAAGGGAAGAGATGTGCCGTGTCACAGACGATATTTCCACCCTCCCGCTTGCTATTGTAACTAAAAGTCTTCTTCAAAATCATCCTCGGTCACAGCAAGAAATTGCCGTTAAAAGCATAACAATCCCGTTTGGATTCCGTATCAGAGTCTCAGGGCTAGGCCTCGATTCCTTTATTTCGGGGGTTTTTAATGATGGCTCAGATTTTTAAATTACATTTATTCCCATATGCATTAAAAACAAGTGCTTGGCTGCAGGTAGTTACTCCCTCCAATCTCCTCTACCATTTCCTGTATGCATAAAGTCTCCACTATAAATTTGCTCCTTGAATTCTCAGCTGGAACTGAATGATTTATTGCTAAGCTTCTGGCTGCATCACAAAATAATCTTGAGTATAGATTCCTGTATTGTTTTTCCTCTTTAAGGGAAGGAAATTATTTGGCATTACATAAGGAGGCCATAGGAGCCTGGGCTATGGGGTGGTCCCTCCCAACATTTAATTCCTGGCTCTTGACAGATTATGACTTTCTACTCTTTTTAATTGATTATAATTTATTTATTTATTTTGCAATTGTTGAGAGTGAAGAGCCAATGTGGCATAAATAAAATAAACTATTGACTATTGCTTTATTGAATAGTAGGTGCTTATTTTAAGTCTTTTTTTATTACGACTTATATTGGATCAGATTGTTATAAGATGTGTGATCTTCGTTGTCTTTCTGTTGTTTCTTCAGCATGTGTGTATAGGCAGTACGGGTTAACTCGCAAGTTACATGCATTCAACTTGTGTGCATTCAGCTTTATGCACTTGGCAAAAAAAAAATATTAAAAATGGGGTGGAGAAAAAAGACTTTGGCAATCCCACCCACCACTGAACCTAATGTGTTTTGACTATACACAATTTTGGCTTTACACACTATCCCCAAAATGCAACCCAACCGTAAGCCGAGAGTCACCCATATACAAATTAAAAGTGCAATGCAATGAAAAATTGTTATGTCCACAAACCAGGTTTGCAAGCCAAAGATTGAATGTGGATTTATAATCATATTCATCTAGTTCAGAGGAAACAGGCAAACTCTGGGTTGCAAAAAAACCCAAAAATCCCAACCCACTCAGGAAGTAAATATGGGAATTGTGGTGCATGAGGGGGAAAAGCTCAGGGCTCCTCAAACCTCATCCAAAGCATCCCAGATCATAGTTTACCCAGTGAAACATTCACACACCCTTATGTAACACTTGACTGAGAGCATTTAGCGTCTCATAGCTGTTACACTGAAAAGGATGGTATTGCGGGGGTGATTTGCAGACAAGCACACACAGAGCAGCATTTGTGAACCAGCTCTAAATGAAGTACAAGACAAACTGCTGAAATCAAAAATACTATTCCCACCGTCTTAATCTGACTGTGGAACTCATTGCCACAAGGTGTTGCAAAAGATGAGAATTCAGTAGACGGCTAGAGTGGCAAGTTATAAAGACAGAGAGGAATTGAACGTAGCACTCTGGCAATCGTTCTGTCGGTGCAAGCTTTTCACATTGCCAGGTGGAACGATCTCCTTTCCCCCAGGTGATGTTCTGGGGATTTTCCTGACCCGCCAGAGCCGATTTTAAGGGGTGCAGGTGGAGGGAAAGGGGGAAAGCCCTAGTCTGCTTGTGGAAGTCCTTGCACAGGCTTCGGTGCTAGTGGGGCTGGTTAATTGAATTTGACTCCATGACTCACCTTCTTGAGAGCTTCGTGCAGCTCATTCAAGACATAAATCAGAAACTCCTGGGCATCCTGCTGGGTCTTCTTGATGAAAGCTGGGTATCGCTCACCAATGACCAATCGGAAGACCTCTGGGGACACGCAGTCAAAGTCCCCCAGCCACATATCATTCATCAAATAAGCAAAAGCAGTCGCTATCTCTCCATCCTCCCTTAAGAGATTAACAGGGCAGTGCAGGATCATTTTGAACAAGATAATCATCCATCATGGTTAACACTGGAAAAAGTACGATCCCCAATGGCTCCTAGAATTCAGTAGGCAACCCAACGGCTCAAAGCATCTTAGCAAAACGTGTACATCTCACTTGCTACACTGAGTAAAGCTTGAAGTCTATGCAGCCTTTGCCTTTGGGTAGTAGCTCCCCATGATCAGCCTCCGTCTATTGTTTGCTAGATTGGGAAAATGTCTTTTTCATTATTGCTTTTAAGCTGTGCAAAGCCTTCATTTGCTCTGCCCCTTCCCTTTTTGACCTATTGAAGCCCAAGCTTAAAAGTAAACATAACCTACAATGAGAGATTTGCAGGGAGAAAACCAGCAAGGATACAGTCTCCAGTGCAGAATGTCATGGGTACAACTATCTGCCTGCTGGACAAAAGTTGTGGGTATGTGGTTGGAGCTTTTCCTGAGGGAAGCGGCGGGGCAAATGGAAGTATCGATGAGCCTTCAGAGAGGTATCAAAGACATTTGGAGGAGACACACCATGCGTACGAACGTGAGCAGAGGAGGGCAACCAAGATGATCAAGGGTCTGGAAACCAAGCCTTCTGAGGAATGGTTGAAGGAATTTGGTATGTTTAGCCTGGGAAAGAGGAGCCTGAGAGGAGATAGGATAGGATAGCTATCTTTAAATTGTGGGATGTAAGAATCAGGTGCAGTCAAACACAACATTGCTGGGGGCACTGTTATACAGTGGTTCCGCTCCTTCCTCCTGGGCCGTGTTCAGAAAGTGGTGGTGGGGGATGAGCGTTCAGACCCCTGGGCTCTCACTTGTGGGGTGCCTCAGGGTTCTGTCCTTCCCCCCATGCTTTTCAACATCTACATGCAGCCGCTGGGAGAGATCATCGGGGGTTTGGACTGGGTGTCCATCAATATGCAGATGATACCCAGCTCTACCTCTCTTTCAAATCAGAACCAGTGAAGGCCCTGTGTGAGTGCCTGGAGGCAGTTGGAGGATGGATGGCAGCTAATGGATTGAGGATGAATCCTGACAAGACAGAAATACTGTTTTTGGGGGACAGGGGGCGGGCTGGTGTGGAGGACTCCCTGGTCCTGAATGGGGTAACTGTGCCCCTGAAGGACCAGGTGCACAGCCTGGGAGTCATTTTGGACTCACAGCTGTCCATGGAGGCGCAGGTCAATTCTGTATCCAGGGCAGCTGTCTACCAGCTCTACCTGCTATGCAGGCTGAGACCCTACCTGCTCGCGGACTGTCTCGCAAGAGTGGTGCATGATCTAGTTATCTCCCGCTTGGACTATTGCAATGCACTCTACATGGGGCTACCTTTGAAGGTGACCCAGAAACTACAACTAATCCAGAATGCGGCAGCTAGACTGGTGACTGGGGTCAGCCGCCGAGACCACGTAACACCGGTCTTGAAAGACCTATATTGGCTCCCAGTACGTTTCTGAGCACAATTCAAAGTGTTGGTGTTGACCTTTAAAGCCCTAAACGGCCTCAGCCCAGTATACCTGAAGGAGCATCTCCACCCCCATTGTTCTGCCCGGACACTGAGGTCCAGCGCCGAGGGCCTTCTGGCGGTTCCCTCATTGCGAGAAGCAAAGCTACAGGGAACCAGGCAGAGGGCCTTCTCAGTAGTGGCGCCCGCCCTGTGGAACGCCCTCCCATCAGATGTCAAAGAGATAAACAACTACTTGACATTCAGAAGACATCTTAAGAAAAACTTCAGGAAAGTTTTTAATGTGTGACATCTTAGTGTATTTTTTGTCTTTGTGGAAGCCACCCAGAGTGGCTGGGGAAACCCAGCCAGATGGGCAGGGTACAGATAATAAATTATTATTATTATTATTATTATTGCTAGAGTAGACATGAAGGTTATCTCAGTCCTCCAGCCAGAACTTCCTGCTTTCCAAGACTGAGACAAAACTTCCTTTGTGTAACGTGAGATGGGCATGGCCTCTCCTGAAGTAGAAAGAACCAGAACCACAGGCTGGCTACCATCTTATCTCTCTTGCCTCTATTGATGCCATCTTAACAACAGCACTACTAAGATGCACCCTTGGCTCCAGGCCAAGAGAAGAAAAGGGTTGCTTTCACCCATAAGGAGATAGTCACCACTTTTAAACTATGTTCTAACCTTTTTAGTCTGCCTTCTGGGAACCTTTTGTGTGAACAGATGATTACTTGTGAATCAACATTTTATACTTTATAGAAGACTGTGTAGCGTCTTATTTTAGGAGGGATTAAACGGGGGAAATACCAGGAAATATTCACAGAGACTCTAACGAGTCTGAGCAAGCTATCTGCTGTGTGTATGTTTTTAAAAAAGGGGAATGTTAACTCTGCTGATTTTGTTGAACTTGTAAAGACAAGTTGGGATAGGATATCTTAGACAATATATCCTCCCCTGCATCCCTAAACATTCCCACACAAATATCTCAAGGGTTGTCACATGAAAGGGGGAACAAGCTTGTTTTCTCCTGCTCTGGAGGGTGGGGTTCGAACCAATGGATTCAAGTTACAAGAAAGGAGATTCTGATGAAACATCAGGAAGAGCTGTTTGAAAGTGGAACGAACTCCCTCCGAAGGTGGTGGACTCTCCTTCCTTGGAGGTTTTTAAGCAGGGGTTGGATGGCCGTCTGTCATAGATGCTTTAGCTGAGATTCCTGCATTGCAGGGGGTTGGGACTTGGTGAGCCTTGGGGTCCCTTCAAACTCTACAATTTTGTTATACCAACGGTAGAAGCTTCTGAGCCAAAATAGGTGAGCTGGGGTGCTTGTTCTTAGGAGGAGAGGGTAGGTCTAGAATGCATAACAGAAACCTGGTGAAATGGGAGGAGTCATTGGGGCACCGTTACTTTTGCACATAAACTCTACAGGACAGGTAAGGGTGGTGTCACTCTATATATCAGTGAGGACTTAGGACATGGGTAGGCAAACTAGGCCTGGAGGCCGGATCCAGCCCAATCACCTTCTAAATCTGGTCCGCATATGGTCCAGGAATCAGCGTGTTTTTACATGAGTAGAATGTGTGCTTTTATTTTAAATGCATCTCTGGGTTATTTGTGGGGCATAGGAATTTGTTCATATTTCCCCCCCAAAATATAGTTCGGCCCCCCCACAAGGTCTGAGGGACAGTGGACAAACCTGCCCCCTGCTGAAAAGGTTTGCTGACCCCTGACTTAGGATTCCAACAAGCTAGAAATCCTCCAAGGGCAAGGCTCCTCCACAGAACGGCCCCCAATACTACTTCAGTACTGGGGACATACGCTTCCCCCCCCCAACTAAAACGCCCAGGTCGATACTGAGATAAAGTAAGGCATCAATGAGGCATCTCTAGGAGGAAGTGCTGTAGAATCATAGAATCATAGAGTTGGAAGAGACCACAAGGGCCATCGAGTCCAACCCCCTGCCAAGCAGGAAACACCATCAGAGCACTCCTGACATATGGTTGTCAAGCCTCTGCTTAAAGACCTCCAAAGAAGGAGACTCCACCACACTCCTTGGCAGCAAATTCCACTGTCGAACAGCTCTTACTGTCAGGAAGTTCTTCCTAATGTTTAGGTGGAATCTTCTTTCTTGTAGTTTGGATCCATTGCTCCGTGTCCGCTTCTCTGGAGCAGCAGAAAACAACCTTTCTCCCTCCTCTATGTGACATCCTCTTATATATTTGAACATGGCTATCATATCACCCCTTAACCTCCTCTTCTCCAGGCTAAACATGCCCAGCTCCATGGAATGTAGCGATGAGCTTCCCCCTAATCCCCAGAGTGGAAGTGGGTCAGAAAAGAGGGTGCTATCCGGGGACACCTTGCCAACAAGCCCTTCAAATCCCAGAGCCAGTTCAGGCTCTGATCTTCGGACAACCAAAATTAAGCAGAGCAAGGCCATTAACTTACTTGTTTAGCGATGCTGTATACCTTCCAGAGAGGAAATATTCCACCAGCGGGGAAACACTGCAGAGGCACTGTATGACAGCATTCATGTAGCAGGTGTTGCCCAAGTTCCGTAGACCAGTTAGTCCTTGGTATTGGGGGTTTGTCTCGTCGTCGGATCTGTCCATTGCCTCGTCCGAACTCTCCAAGGGAAGGGCACCCTTGCTGTATTCCCAAAGCCAAACTATAGTCAAACAAGCCTCGTTCACATTGTGACGAAAGCAAAGACTTTACATTTATCAAGTGCATTCAAACATTGCTTTCCATATATACCCGACTATGTCTCTGTGCTGTATATTGTCTCCCTATTTGTTTAACTTACATGCAGAATTCATCATGCAAAAGGCTGGAGGGCAAAATATAGTCTGAAGCTCAACATCAAAAAAACTAAGATCATGGCCACTGGTCCCATCACCTCCTGGCAAACATGGGGGAAGAAATGGAGGCAGTGAGAGATTTTACTTTCTTGGGCTCCATGATCACTGCAGATGGTGACAGCAGTCACGAAATTAAAAGATGCCAGCTTCTTGGGAGAAAAGCAATGACAAACCTAGACAGCATCTTAAAAAGCAGAGACATCACCTTGCCGACAAAGGTCCATATAGTTAAAGCTATGGTTTTCCCAGTAGTGATGTATGGAAGAGAGAGCTGGACCATCAAGAAGGCTGATCGCTGAAGAATTGATGCTTTTGAATTATGGTGCTGGAGGAGACTCTTGAGAGTCCCATGGACTGCAAGAAGATCAAACCTATCCATTGTGAAGGAAATCAGCCCTGAGTGCTCACTGGAAGGACAGATCCTGAAGCTGAGGCTCCAATACTTTGGCCACCTCATGGGAAGAGAAGACTCCCTGGAAAAGACCCTGATGTTGGGAAAGATGGAGGGCACAAGGAGAAGGGGATGACAGAGGACGATGGTTGGACAGTGTTCTCAAAGCTACCAGCATGAGTTTGACCAAACTGCGGGAGGCAGTGGAAGATAGGAGTGCCTGGCGTGCTCTGGTCCATGGGGTCACGAAGAGTCCGACACGACTAAATGACTAAACAAATGTTTCTGTGCAGGGTAGGTAAGTTGAGTGTGAAGACTCAAATGGAAAGCCCTGGGGTAAGATAAATGCACTCTGCGCCTGCTCAGGGACATTTCCTTTTAACTCCTTATGTCCTCAATTATGCCTTTAATTGAGCTTTAATTAAAGCACTCATACTACTTTAATAAAAGTCAGAACTCTGGGAACTGTAGTTGAAGGGGAAGAGAGTTGATAGAAGACCCTTAAACTAGAGTTTCCAGGATTCTTTGGTGGAAGCAATGAATAGTTAAAATGTATGTTGTGGCTGCCTTAGCATTAAAAGCAAGTGAGTTTTTCTTCACAATAATTAAGTCCTGGTAACTGCTTGGTCCCCCTTCATGGATCACTGCCTTGCCGTGGCGAAGGGGATTGAGTAACTCAGAAGTTGTGAACTATGCTGTGCAGGACCACCCAAGACGGACAGGTCATATTGGAGAGTTTTGACCAAACGTGATCCACCTGGAGCAAGAACCGGCAAGCCACTCCATTTGAATTATGGCACTGGAGGAGACTCTTGAGAGTCCCATGGACTGCAAGAAGATCAAACCTATCCATTGTGAAGGAAATCAGCCCTGAGTGCTCACTGGAAGGACAGATCCTGAAGCTGAGGCTCCAATACTTTGGTCACCTCATGGGAAGAGAAGACTCCCTGGAAAAGACCCTCATGTTGGGAAAGATGGAGGGCACAAGGAGAAGGGGATGACAGAGGACAAGATGGTTGGACAGTGTTCTCAAAGCTACCAGCATGAGTTTGACCAAACTGCAGGAGGCAGTGGAAGACAGGAGTGCCTGGCGTGCTCTGGTCCATGGGGTCATGAAGAGTCGGACATGACTAAACGACTAAACAACAACAACAACTGTTTGGTCAGATTGTACACCCTCTGGAATGGTGTTAGTTGTCCGGACATCCCTGAGTATATGCCCAGCAAAACACAAGAACATGATCTTCACAGATGATGCTCTTTTTTGACGGACTGTTCAAGCAGTAAAGCACTGGGTGGGGAAATTAGTTGGAAATAGGCTTGGTCCACAACCCAAAGGTCAATTTTAGAGTCTTTCCAGCACCATGAGTAAATGTTTAATGTCCAAGCAAACTTTCTAGATAACAAACAGGGAAACAATTTTCCTGCCCTGATGCTTCTTTGCTGGTCGCAACACTCAATACTCCAAGGAATGGAGAAAATGCAGGGATTTCTCCCCAGTCATTAGATGGTAATTAATTAGCGATTGGTTTGTATAAAACAGAAACTCACAGTAGATGGTATATATTGAAGTTGTCAGGCATCTTTGTTGACCTAGAAGCCATTTGCAGGCTTGCAAGAAGACCAAGTGGGGCTCTCAGTGGAGTGGGGTTGACAGCCCGTTCACCACCCCTTTTTCATTTTGACACTTGGATGGTTTGCTTCCTTGTGCAATCACGTTGCTTCATCTTACGCCTGTTCAGAGGACCCAAAATTCATGGGCTTATCCTGATGACTCTTTGCACTGCTCCCCAGTGTTCCAAAACGGATTCTTCCAGCATCATAAATGCACGCTCCCTTGTTGCTAGGGGATGGTGTTAGGGACTTTCCTAACAAGATAGAAGGGCCAAGCGGTTCTAGAACCATAAACGTCTTCAGAGAGGACTCTAGTCAGTTGCCTACCAAGGATGAGTCAGCTCCTGCAGGACGCCTGGGCAACAGATTTTATTAATGAAGTTGTTTGGGGTTGTGAGATCCTTCTAATTCCTCATGATGCTCAGGTTTGACAGCACAGGACCGCAGCCAACCTCTCCCATAGCCAAGTTGGGTTTAGCTCAGGGTGCATAAAATTCAATTTTTTAAAAATAAAAATAATAAAATAATAAAAATAATAAAAATTCAATTTTTAAAAAATAATTTAAAAAACCCCAGATTTTTAAAATTTAAATCATTTATTTAAATTGGATTTTTAAAATAAAATGCTTTTGGAGGAAGAATCTTTTTAAAGATAGTTTTCTGTTTAAGTTACATTATAGTCCAAAGGCTATCCAACAGGAAATAAGGATTTGTTTTAAGTTTTTCATGTGTGTTAAAACTCAGTCTAAGTTAAAAAAAAAAAAAGTTTAACCACACCAGTTAAGAAGCATGGATACAAATGCTATAATGTGATTGTTTTAGTTAAATATATTGTTTAAATTGTTATTAAGGAAATGATTGTTTTTCTACTTCTAATAAAGTACAGCAGAAACGTTGTCCAAATATAAACAGTTAACTTATCAAACCTCACAATAACTTCATAATTATCTATGTATTTCTAACAGTATAACCAAATCAGTAATTTTTAATATAACTGTAAAAACTACTCTGAAAATTTATTATTCCAAAAATGAAATCTGCATCTGGTTGTAAATATTAAGATTATACCAGCAAGAATGAGTCTTTCTGTTAAAAAATTGATTGAAATCAAGTCTTACTTACTAGTGATTTAAATCGATTTGATTGAAATTATATCCACCCTGGTCTAGATTCCTGGCTTGGTGTAAGCTCTCTTCCTCGACAGTTATTTTCTTCCTTGAATTCACTTTTATGCAGGAATGCAGGCATCTAACAGACCTCAAGAGATACCTGCAAGCCACTCTCCCAAGTTCCTTGATGAGCAGAAACAGGTTTTTCCAACTGACCAGACAATTAACAGCCTACCTGTTCCTGTGCCTTTAATTGATCAACAATTATCAGGTGCAGTATAGAGGTCAGCAGGAGCAAATCTGAAGGCTGTTAAAGGCAGAGGCAAACAAAACAGGCAAACAAAAACTAGACACCCTTGAACTCATTATTCCCACCCTACAAAGAGATCCAATGGGTAATATTTGCAGATGTTCAAGGAAGACACAAGGACAAGAACCGGTTTAGTTGAAAACTCTAAATCGGCTGGTGAAATTTGTCACACCCAAGCTCAGTCTGTCTGCTTAGCACTTTTTACAGCTTGTTTCAGAAGCCTTGGCTTACTTAATGCAAGGATGGTCTTTCAGAATGTTGCTTGACTGAATACTACAAATCACTTCTGGCCATTGGCTATGCTGGCAGATGTTGATGGAAGTTGGGGAGTCCAAAATTGGGGTGAGGAGCTGCAAACCAGGACCCCTCACTGGTTTAAACGTTTACCTCTTTCTTTATTATATGCTGGAAGAGAAACTACCGTATTTTTCGCCCTATAGGATGCACTTTTTCCCCTCCAAAAATGAAGGGGAAATGTGTGTGCGTCCTATGGGGCCAATGCAGGCTTTCACTGAAGCCTGGAGAGCGAGAGGGGTCGGTGTGCACCGACCCCTCTCACTCTCCAGGCTTTGCGCAGCTCTCCACAAGCCATGGGAGCCCGGCTTGCGGAGAGCTGCCTGTTCTGGGGGCTGGGGTCGGGGGAAGCTCAGGCTTCCCCTGCCCCAGCCCCGCGCCTGGGGGGGAATAAAAATATTTTCCTTTATTTCCCCCACAAAAAACTAGGTGCGCCTTATGGGCTGGTGCGTCCTATGGGGCGAGAAATACGGTAATCTGGAATGGAAAACAAACAATAGAGCAGACTTCCTCAGCCCTCCAGATGTTTTTGGCCTACAACTCCAATAATCCCTAGCTAGCAGGACCAGTGGTCTGGGATGATGGAAATTGTAGTCTCAAAACATCTGGAGGGCTGAGGTTGAAGAAGTCTGCAATAGAGAAACAGAAGTATAACAGCTGAGGAGAGGAATCTCTTTAAAAATTGAAACGGGGATGAAAACCAAGAAAAAAAATAAGCTGAGATAACATTTATGGGAATATGGAACTGGTGTCTTTCTATCAAAATTACAATAAAACAAAATGACATCTACGCCATATTCTTTCTATCTTTCTGTAGGCATAGACTTCTTTGGCTAAACTATAGTAGTTGTGAATGGAATTGCAACCATATGCTCATTTAGGATTAAGCTCCACTGCAGATCAAGCAATTGGGCTAAGCCCAAGAACACAGGAGATGACAAAAATATAGGCAGAAAGATATTCCGTCTTTGAAAAGAAGTCCATGAAAGAAAGTTGAAAGCATCACAATAATAAATGATCGAGAAAAAGAACAGCACCAATATCTGGCATGGTCTCCTCCCAGGTCATAAATTCCAGAGTGCACTGAAGGTGCTTCGAAGAGAAGATTATTTTGGTAGAGTATTGGTTACATTATTAGAATCATAGTTTGAAGGGACCCCAAGGCTCACCAAGTCCCAACACTCCTGCAATGCAGGAAAGCATCCATGGCAGATGGCCATCCAACCTCTGCTTATAAATCTCCAAGGAAGGAGAGTCCACAACCTCCTGAGGGAGACCATTCCACTTTCAAACAGCTTTTACTGTCAGAACGTTCTTCCTGAAGTTTCGTCAGACTCTCCTTTCTTGTAACTTGAATCCATTGGTTTGAGCCCCACCCTCCAGAGCAGGAGAAAATAAGCTTGTTCCCTCTTCCATGTGACAGCCCTTGAGATACTTGAAGATAGCTAGCCTATCTCCTCTCAGTCTCCTCTTTCCCAGGCTAAACATACCGAATTCCTTCAACAAACCGTCATACAGCTTGGTTTCCAGAACCTTGATCATCATGGTTGCCCTCCTCTGCACACATTTTAGCTTCTGAAGCTCGGAAGATAGGTTGAGCTTCTGGTATGTCTGCAAGGCTAACCCAAGTCATTTTGCTGTCTAACAAAAGTTACACAGTAGTAATAAGACTTGATGACCCACTGACCTCCACCTGATTCTCAAAGTAGCCCCAGCTGGCTAGTCACACTACTTGCACATTACTTACTAAAATATACTTCTATTGGTGGGCCATTCTTGCAGTCCAAATTATTCTCAAATCAACAGATTAGTTTTTACCTGTTCCTTCCCTCCTTCTGAACCTCCCTCCCCAGATCAATCAAATCAAATAAAGGTAGAAGCTCACCAGTCTAAACAAGAATAAATTTATTTGGGATTGTTTAAAGATTTATTGATATACAAAATGTATACAGTTTTTTATCTTTAATACGCTATACCTTTCCTCCCCCAGCAACATAAACCACCATTTAAACAGCTATTGTGTTCGTGCCTTAATGTCTGTATCTATAAGATACACTACAGAATTTTAAAAAAGAATAATTACTGGGCGTTATGATGCTGTTCAATTAAAATTTACAATTAGTACCTATGTAACAAACAAACAAAAGTTGCAGCATGAAAATTCAGTTGGACGACAGGTTCTTCTTGTTGAATATTCAACAAATTTGGGACAGGAAAATGACATTTTATTGGCATAAAGTTTGCATTGCAATCTCCCACACATTACATAATGTAAATTCATCCTATTTCCTTTTCTTTTAAATAAGTACCATATATAATATTACATTAAAAGGTGTCTTCACACAATATTAAATACAACTAAGGGACTGCTCCTTACGTCCCTGCGGTGGTGTGGAGCCCACAACAGGCCTGGTCCTTACAGCACCGCAAAAGCTGAGGTTGGAAAGCACTGGTCCCAGGGGACAAGTCCACTCTGCAGCTCACTTCTACGCCCGCGTTGCTCCCACCGGAAACCGTGGCAGCGCTGGCAAGATGAGCAGCCCAACAAGGACTCTTGCCCCATGGCCCAGGGCTTCCAAAGTTACCCAAATGGTGTGAGAAAGTACCAGACTGTAGCAGCTCCAACACTGCTGTGATAACATCAGAAGAGGCCCCCATGGGCTCACGCATACATTCAGCTTTCTTTTACTGCTTTTAGGAGATCTTTGGAAGGCAACACATCTGAAGCGGCCATTATATGTAACAAGTAATAGCAACTTCCCTAACGCACCTGCTCATTTTACAAGGCAGCGTCTTACCCAAGACCAGCTGTTTTGTTCTGTTATACAAATGTGATCAGACTTGTCTTGCGACCTTACTACTATTGGACAGTGATTAGATAAAACTGAAATGTATCGTTAAAAAAAACAAAAAACGACACAGGAGGGGGAGGGATTTCACTATGTGCAATCCATCCCATCCATCCCAAGAGAACTGGCTCCACACTTGAGGATGAATCCTGATGCAGGAGACAAGCCATCACTTCTTGTTTGGAACCAGGCGTTCCCGCTCCCTGCAGCTCAGCTTACTGGCATTAACTAAATATGGACAGATCCTTAGGAGCAGCCTTGTTCCATTGAGCCACATAAAACATACATGGCACTGAGCAGAGAGAGCAATTATCTGAGACACCCTGAGAAGTGTCAAAAGAATCCTTCGGTGTCTGTGGGAAGGTGGGGGGGGTGTGCTCCCTCCTGTTTCTCTAGCCAGATGACAGAAACCAGCTGCCACAAAGCCCCCAAACCATCTGCCTTAAAAACCATCAGCAAAAAAAGAAAAACATCATTTGGTCAAGGGCATATTGCACTACAGGATGAAGGGGAGGAAAGGCCCCCTCTCATGGACCAAGGTAAAATGTTAAGTTATCCTTCTGCTAAAACGCCTCTTTAAAAAGCTATTTCATAAATACTTAATTTCATTCAACCTTTTTTAAAAAAAAAAAAAAAACAGCAGCTGCCAGCTACTCCTTCAGAGGTGATTCCCACATTATGCTAGGCCACTCAACGGTGGACAGTTAACTGTACCAGCGCCATCAAAACAGTTTGGTCCTTTTTCATGCGGCCTTTGTTTTGATGAAGGGCAAACGAACCCCATGACTTCTGCGAGGGTTTGGTTAGAGCCAGAGAGCTGTGCGTATCTTTACAGCATGAGGTGACTGGAACTGGCAGAGTCCGATTCTTTGGTGCAGCTCCCAGGCCGAATGGTCAGTTCTGGAGAATCATCTTGAGGCAGTAGGATTTTATCAGGTGTGTAGTCGTTTCTCTTCAAGTCTATGGGGAAACAACAACCACCCGAAATCCCACAGATACAGTTGGGTTGAAGAGGGGGAGAGGGAGAGGGAGAGAGAATATACAAATTAGCAGACCAACTTCTGATTCAAATTGGAGCTCCTCTCTAAAAGAAGGAGAGAAGGCGAATTTATGTCTTGCCAGAACTATGCAGGCAAGGTTCTTCCCAGTGCAAAACTCTGAGCTTTGAAGACTGGCCCACAGTTGTCCAGTGGGCATTATTGGGTGGTGGAGGCAAGGTGTCTGATATCAAAGGATGTGCGGGCAGGTTGTCTCACAGACAGATTTGGCCTTATGATGCTGGCCATCTTGTGCATGGCTGGGCCACAGTCAGATTTCCCAACAGGCAGAATCATAGTAAACTGTAAAGTTGGAAGGGACCCTGAGGATCATCTAGTCCATCGCTCTGCAATGCAGGAATTTGCAGCTGTCCCATACAGGGATCAAACCTGCAACTTTGGCATTATCAGCACCATCTCTGACCAGCTGAGCTATCCAGGCTGTAGAGAAGGTCAAGTGTCTACAGCAGCTTTCCCAATCTGGTGTACTCCAAATGTTTTAGACTCCAATTCCCATCAGTCCTGGCCAACACAGATATGCTGGTTGGGACTGATGAGAACTGCAGTCCAATGTAACAGGAGGGCACCAGGTTGGGGAACTGTTGCTCTAGCAGAGTTTATAGGCTTCAGCATTGCTGAAAGAAAAAGGGGAGAAGAACGGTCCCTTTGTAAACACACTTCCAAGGCAATCCCTCTTAATAAATATTAATAATAGTAATAATAATAATAATATAGTGGCAGAAAAGAAGCCCTTGCTGATGTGTGGTTTGTTCCTCTCTTCCTTCAAAAGACCTGTATTAGTCACTTTGCCAAGTACCAAAACTTTTTCAAGAAAATAAATATTTGAATTATAAATTGCTCTGCTCTGGTTCAGCCTGCACTATGGCCTCTGGGTGTGGCACAACTTGCATATGATATCTATCAAGTGACTTTAGGCCTAGGTTGGTAATTCAGGACAATTTGTGCCTGATTACCTATCACAATTTTTTAGGGCTCGTCAGATCCATGGAAAGGAAATTGGGTTCTTGGAGTTGATCATTCACACAATTTATAAAAGCCACTGAGATGCATACAGAGGCTTCTATCTGACAGGGCATTAGGGGTCCTTGTCCCCCCCCCCAAGGGTCAATAAAGCCATATTTTCTCTTCCTTGCAACAATATATTTAGGGCATTTGTTATAGGTATTGAGTTCAGGCCCGCTGAAAAGGTGAAAGAATTAGTTTTAGGGGCAGATTTTCTTTTGGGAGAGAAAAATAAGTGTTTCCTCGTGAGGTTCCAAGAGCAATCCAATGAGGTCCAACTGATCAATGAAGCTCAGCTTGGTTCCATCAATTCATCCATTTTGTGTGGAGAGAATGCCTGACCCCCATATCAATGTAAAATTCAATTTATCATAAGTAGAAGCTACAAGAGAGAAGTTCTCTTTCATAAATCGGGGGCTGCTATTTACCTGGAAGCTTAAGTTTCCTGCAGCATGAGTTGCAGTGGTGCTTAGCTCTGAAATTTTTGATGGCATCTTCTCCCAGATTTGCAGGACCAAATACCATATCATTTGACCTTTAAAAGAAAGCGCACATTAAGAAATACCTACAGCCAAACATGATTTTTTGTGTGTGTGGTCTTCACCCCCTGGCTAGATACGGGGGAGGTTTTGGGTTGTATCCACTGTTGGTCCTACTCAAAGTAGATCCACTGACATTGGTGAACATTGGCAAACCTTAGGTTCATTATTTCAATGGTTCTATTCTGAATAAGACTAGCACTGAATACAATCCTTTGTGTCGGTGATGGGAAAGAAATTATGCAGGTAAGATAGGAATGCTCTCCCAAAGTGTCACACTGGCAATTCCCACCAGAAAGTTTGCTGCTGATGGTGTCCTTAAAAATCACGGCAGTAAGCTAACTTAAAGTTTCATCATAAATCTGTCCTTAGGTTAATTGGTACACCTAAAGCAGAAGGGCAGCCCTCCACTCTTGCCACATGTGGCCCCCTCCTTCCTGCGCCAATGCCATAAGAAAAGGGAATTTTGTACTGCTTACCTTTTTTCTTCAGCTTTTATCACAGAAGGATCTGTCAAATTTTCTCCAACACCTTCACAAGAAGCAAAGGAAGTTAGCTAAGTAGCGCAAGTAACACAAGTACCACAAGAGTAATTTTAACGTAAAAAGAGAAATTATAGCAGATGAACAATCTGAACAGCTGAAATACAGGTGCCCCCCTACTTACACGGGGGTTACATTTTGCGCCCTGTGCATAAGTAAAAATTGTGTAAGTGGGGAGCACCCTCTAAAAAGCCATTTTTCCCTGCTGTCCAGCTCTCTCTGCAGACAACTCTCTCTTCAACTAGAGTTGAAGTTCTGGGGATAGCTGGAGGATGTGCAGAAACGCAGCTGGTGCTGCTGTTGTGCGACTGCATGCATCAGCTGTTAGGCGGGCAGGCTGGGCAGCCTAAACAAAGCATCGCTGAACCTCTAGTCTCTTTGGGGCTTTCTCCTCCCTCACTGAAGTCCTCTTCAGGCTCCGGGAAGGGTCTCCTCACGAGCCACAAGGACTTGCCACCTCTCTCCCAACATTTCCTGGTCTGAATCTATCTATCTATCTATCTATCTATCTATCTATCTATCTATCTATCTATTTCCAAACGCTGCATGCATACACAGTCACATGCAAATCAATTGTGCGTTAAGTGGGGGGATGCCTGTATCTGAAAGACTGCATCCATCCCGACAGACCCTCTTGCATCTTAAGAACAGCACAGGTGACCATCTGGGGGGGGGAGGGGTGATCCAGGAGATGGCATTCTCTGTGGCAGTCCCTAAGTCCCTCCCTACAGAGCTATGTCTGTACTTTCACTGTACAGTTTTTGGTGAATACTGAAGACATACCTCTTTACCCCGGCCTTTTACATCTGAGATGTGTGGTTTTAGTACTCATCCTACTTCTGTGATTGTAATTTGTTTTAATCTGCTTTTAATGTTGTATTTTAAAGTGCTGAAACCTATCCTTGGCCTTAGGGTGAAAGGTGAGTGAGTGAGTGAGTAAATTAATAATACATCATCATCATACTGTTTACAGAATGTCCCCCCCACCCCAAGAAGAACAAGGTATTCTAAATGCAGGAGAGAAAATGGTAAGTGGAGTCGGTTACAGGAGATTGAAGAGAGACATGCAATTATGAGTGTCTTTTCTTGTGGCAACAATGAAATTTGATGACGATCCATATTGTGCAAGTCACAAGCTTCCGGTGCAATTACTACAGCATACACCTCTGTGTCACATCCACACACACATCCATTTACCTTGCAGGTCAAGGACCAACAGCTCTCCTCGAGTATATTCGTATGTCCAGTGGCTGAAGGCTAACATGACCTCCTCTAGCATGTTGGTTGGAATTATTTCATCCCCATTGTTGTTGTTGTACTTTCTGAATTCTCCTGTCATGCACTCCTCAACTGCAAACCACTGGCCAGCTGAGTGACAATATAAGAGGAACGCTTCCAAGAACCTTGTAAGAAAACACATAGGAATGAGAGCACTGTGTGAACAACTGATTCATTAGCCTCGCACTCTGGTGTGGAAATTCCTTTTTGTTCACCTTACATTTGAAGATGTAATAATGCCTACCTGGGAGAATAGGGAATAGATTTTGGCTTCATCTGATTGAATGCAAACGTGAGTTTCTGAGCAGCCCTCTGTTGCTGAATTTCCTATGGATTTAAAAAACACACACACCAAAGACTTTACTCAAGATAAACTTCTAGCGTGGAGAAGAAACACAAGGAACTGTATTACGATTTTTTTCTTCTAATTTCCGTATTTTTCTGTCTATAAGACGCCCCCTGTTTTGGGGATCTCCAATTTAAGAAAAAATTGTGTATTTTGCTATCCATGTATAAGACACCCACCCCCTCAAATTTTTGACATGATTTTTAAGGGAAAAAACCTAGTCTTATACATGGAAAAATACGGTACATTTTTGTGTTGTTATATTCATACGAAGTAGTGAAGACAATAGGCAGAAAATTTCTACCTTTGTGGTCCATTATTGTTTTATACAGTACGATGAAAGTACACAGTGCTTTTCAAAGAATGAGAGCACAGGTCCCTTACATTTAGAAATCAATACAAAGGAGAAAGAAGGAGGCAAACGGAAGCAGGGAAAACCGTGAAGCAAATGTAATTTTTGCAGTTATTCATAGTCAGGCTTAGTGACATTGGGATATAGAGACTAGGGACAGTGTTAAAGACGTAACAGAAAAATGTGAATTTGGAGGAGGGTTTTGAAAGAAGAGAGGTGGCATCGTGGAAGTATTCTGGGATGCAGCCCCATGTATAAGGGGCAGACTGGGATAAAGGACAAAGCTGTTGGAGTGAGCAGAAAATCTCTGGACAGCAACCTTTGGACAGTGAAGGCCGTATGCAGGGATGCGTTGGAATATAAAAGCAAGAGATGAGGTGACAAGGCTATGGATGAGCGTAAGGATTTATGGAAGGGTGCCATATGGTTAGGAGTGATAAAAAGATGGGATGGTTTTGGCAGCAGAGTGCTGGGAAGAAGTGAGGTGATGAAGGCGTGAATGGAAAACTAGAGAGCAGATTGTTGTAGTGACAGATGACCAGAAGTTTTGCTGATGTGACCAATGTATTTTTCTAAATTTTTAAAGGGAGAAGCAACATAACTGGCAATGAACTGAATATGCAGAGTAAGAGAGATGGAGTGAGGAGTAAAAAAGAAAGCCAAAGACCAAAAGTTGCGCAAGAGGGTAGATGGCAGTGTTGTCAATGGAGGACAGTGAAGGAAAGAAGGGATATATCTTGTTTGTCCCAACAGTATCCAACTGCTAAACATGTTTAAGCTTCTGGTGGATACGTACTATATGAGCAAGAACAACAACTTACTCTTAAACAGAGATGTAACACTGTGTCTTCTTTGTAAATGCTTGACCAAGTATTGACAACTTCCGGAAGAAAAGATTTGATGATATAAAGGTGGCCTGATTTCAGAATATCGTACTCGGACCAGGTGCAGGCCACCTTGAGGGCTCGTCGCAAGCCTCCTCCCATCTCCTCCTTGCTTAGGAATTCTATTTTGGCACAGAGACCCAACTGAGACCAGGAAGACATGCTGTTGTTCAAGATGTTGGGAGAGCTTTCTTCAAGACGATACACAGTAACTGGTTCGCCTGAAACGTCATAGCACAAAGAAGTGAAATGCAGTTAAGCCTGGGGTAACGTTGACTTAATGTCTATTTATACTGTACTGGTGAACACCTTTTTCGGACGATGGAGAGAAGATATAGCCACACTTTTGCATAATCAATTATCTAACCAATTATTAAGCTTTTGATACAACAGAATCCTCTGTGTTGATTGGAGACCTTTCTCCATTTACTACTACTGCTAAAAACTAGCAACAAAGGCTTGGGACTCTAGCTTTTTAAGAGTCAGCTTCAGTATACGTTTCCCCAATCTATTCCCAGAATTTTGATGGTGAACTATTGTCTATTTTCCTGTGCTGTGAAAAACAGATTTATCACTCTTAAGCTTGACGATTAAGGAATAATATTATTAAAATCTGAAAATATTCCAGAGGCTACAATAAGTTTTCCTACCTCTTGGAGGTACAGGAGTGAACGGTATGCTTTGCGATAACCTCATCAAATTATTTCTTTCAACAGCTGAAAAGACAGAGAAATTCATTGAAGAAGATGATGCTTCTACTTTTTATTATTTTGCGACCTAGTTTTGGACACTTACCTGAATAGTAGTAGGTGGTATCCATGATGGGTTTAAAAGGAGAGGCAATTCCTTTGAAAAAAAGGAAGGCAGTGTTATATTTTTACATAAAACTCGTGATTTAATGCATCCTGTTTTTTTTTTAAAAAGGGTAATGACAAAGCACAAAAAGCACTCTAGGCTCACAGGCAAGACTTGATCATGTATGGTGATTCTTCCCACCAAGGGGTATTTTAGATTAGGAAAATTATGATGAGATGCTCAAAGACTGGAGAAGAGCACAAGCACCAAAGGGGTTTCCCTAAATGAGTCATGTAATGATTACAACCATAAATAAGGGCTGTTGGCACTAAAACCTCCATCAACATCATCTTTTGCAACCATGCATTAAATAGTTTCCCGCAACATGTTAAATTTATGGCAATACCGAAGTTATCAGCAGCTTACCATTCAGTGCATCTTCCTCAGAAGACCTGCAAGAGACAGAAATTGCACTCAACCCGAATTCTGTGTGTACTTCTTGGGGTTTTTTTACTACTAAACTTCATTGCTCTGGTCACTTTGCTCTGCTTGTAATACCCTAAGCCCAATCACCCATCAGACCAAATACTGCAACCTCTATGCCTTCCAAAACAAATGAACAGCAAACAGAGCAGGGGAAGAAGAAGAAGAAGAAGAAGAAGAAGAAGAAGAAGAAGAAGAAGAAGAAGAAGAAGAAGAAGAAGAAGAGTTTGGATTTGATATCCCGCTTTATCACTACCCAAAGGAGTCTCAAAGCGGCTAACATTCTCCTTTCCCTTCCTCCCCCACAACAAACACTCTGTGAGGTGAGTGGGGCTGAGAGACTTCAGAGACGTGTGACTGGCCCAAGGTCACCCAGCAGCTGCATGTGGAGGAGGGGGATGCGAACCGGGTTCACCAGATTACGAGTCCACCACTCTTAACCACTACACCACACTGGTGTAGGGGAGAGAAAACAACTCTGAAGACTTAAAACTACTGTGAAGGCGATGGGTGCTGCAGCGGTGCTCTTTAATGAGGCTACGAGCCAGGTGTTTCAAACTGGCTACATCAGGTTCAATTATCCCCCTTCAAGAACAACCACAACAAGATAAATGCCCAGGTCATCAGGGTTGCTTAGGAATGGGTGGGCAGATAGATTAGATGACTCCTCCTGTGGTCTAACTGCCCAGCAGCAATCAGATAGGCTTAAAAGTGAATGTGCAGTGTGTTGGCACACAGGGAGAAAACTGCAGCTCACTCAATGCGTCCCCAACTCCTGGGGAGTTTGGAGATACCTGGACAGTTCTGAGTATTGCCATTTAGACTTTACTTACATTTGATTGCTATACGACTGTCGACCTTGTAACCAATCCTGCAAGAAAAAAGAGAGAGATGCACCTATTTCGTACATAACTTAATTGATGGTTTTAGAAGCAATGTATCACACGTTTGTAAGAGCACTACAAGGCTCCCTCAAAAAAATTTAATTGTGAAGATGTTTTCAGCCTCAATATGCTTCTGAAGCATTGCTAAGTCTGCTGGTCAAAAGAAATTGTACAATCTGTTCAGCCAAAGTGCCTGGATGAAGAGACTAGGATTGCAGCTATGTAGCACATGCAGCCATAGCCTGACAGGTTACCTGCCTTACCTTGAGCTATTTTGGTGATGTAAATTGCTTACTTGAACAGGCTCTATTAGCTGTGCAGGCAGAAATGGCATGAACATTCCGCCAGCACTCAAAAAGGTGGTGTGAAGGTGCAAGCAAATGCCATATGGACATAGTCCATTCTTTTCTCCTTGAAGACCTATTACAATTCGCTCTTGTCGACCTCCAACCCCTACTCTTAAGCATGAGAGCTAGAGAGGACAAATTTGCCCAGCACATTTCAAGAGAAGAAAAAACTGCCGATTTGGAGGCTACAGGCAACTCTCAACTTACGTGGAGATTATAGGGTGTAAAGTCAAAATTGTGTATAGTCAAAACACATTGGGTTCAATGGCCGGTGCGGTTTCCAAAGACTCCTTTCCCTGAATGCCTGTCCCCTTCTATTTCTATTTTTTTTAGCTGCCCAGTATTTAAAGCTGAATGTGCACAAGTTAAATGCACATAAGTTGCGAGTTACGTGTACTACCATAGCAGGTCACACTAAATTGTGATGGACAGTGAACTGTGTTGCCTTGTAACTGCTTTCAATCAATTGTTACCATGATTCAATTTTTGTATTTCCTGGGTTCTTTCCATAGACACCCTGGGGAAACATTGTATGGATTGTTATTATGTTTTACTCACTGTGAGTAAGGCCGCCTTGGAATCTGCCTGATGAGGCTCCTCAACCGATGGTCTTCTGCTCTTGTGCACTGGAAAATGATTTTGCAATTAGAACGGCCACCTTTTGACATGTCAACAAATACTACCAATTCTTCAACATATGTGTCTTTAAGATCCTGCAGGCAAAGCAAGATACACTTGCTTCCATACACATACATGGGCTTGGATACAAAGAATCACAAAACTATGCTTCAGACACACATATTGGGCACACGGCAAAACTCATTTGAAACTAAGGTAAAGGGACCCCAACCATTAGGTCCAGTCATGACCGACTCTGGGGTTGTGGCACTCATCTTGCTTTACTGGTCGAGGGAGCCGGCGTACAGCTTCCGGGTCATGTGGCCAGCATGACTAAGCCGCTTCTGGCGAACCAGGGCAGCGCACGGAAACACCGTTTACCTTCCCGCCGGAGTGGTACCTATTTATCTACTTGCACGCTGACGTGCTTTCGAGCTGCTAGGTTGGCAGGAGCAGGGACCGAGCAACGGGAGCTCACCCTGTTGTGGGGATTCAAATCACCGACCTTCTGATCAGCAAGTCCTAGGCTCTGTGGTTTAACCCACAGCACCACCCACGCACATTAAAGGACCTTCAAAGGTTTGTTTGGGGCACAGAATCGTAAGTTTATGTGTTGCACAATTTAAAAAAAAAAAAATCTGCCATGGACATTAAAACCTTTAACATACTCAAAGAAGCTGTCTGGATATCAGTCAAAAGCTACTGTTAGAAGGAAGACAAGTTTTTTAAATAGCAAAGATGGGTGCCACTCTCACCTCTCAGTATTGCCAGTTCACATTGCTCCCCAATCAATCAAAGTTTAATTGACTGATGATGGAGCAACTATGCATTTATGTAATTCCACAATTATTTTTAGGAATGGCTTGTTTACAGAATGCAATCACTGAGGCTGCAATCTGAAGTAGGCACTGACGGCTGGGTAATAAGGCTTCAACCACTCACGCCTGTTCTTTTCCCCACCAAGACTCACTCTCACCAAGCTGCAGTCGCAGGAAAAGACATGAGCAGCGGCAGCTTTTAGCCAGCAGGGATAAAGTCAGTAGGAGGACAATTTTCAGTAGGGAAAGAAATGAGAAAGAAAGAACCAAGAAGCCCCTCTCTCTCCAATGCCAGTTCCCTCAGTCAATTTTAGCCACAATGGCTGCATTTTGTAAAATAAAGCAGTTTTTAAAATACTGAAAATGGCACAAAGGAGAAAAATGTTGTATATTAGTATTAGTTCAGAAAATTCAGAGATCAGAAACTAATGTGTTTACTTACTTTGCTCTGATAGTGCTGCTAATGAGCTTCTATGGTAGTCGGTAAAACCACCACATGAACTGACAGGCCTCAGGTTGCCTTCTGCATTACTACCACCCTGTGTATTCAACAAATAACAATGTTATAATTCACAACTCTACTCAAAGAATCTTATTTGTGTCACCACTTGAAAGTTGCTATACAGTACTTAAGAAGTGACACACTTGCTTTTTGAAGGAATATTCAGATGTTACTGGCTATTTGATGCAACAATGAAGAGATGGAATACAAATGAAAAAGTTATACCTGTTGCTTTGTTGTCTCGATGCCTTCCAAAATTGCTTTTTTGAAATCTTCCTGTTGCTCCTGTAGAAGGTATCAATAAATTACTTTTTAAACTTAGGTTAGTAGTGAAGTGGCTTTAATAAGTCTTAAACTTTTCATAAAATCTGGGCCAGAAACAAGAAATTGGGGTTTGGGGAGACCATTTTCCTACAAGTGTTATTTCAGAGCTCTTACTTCAAAGCTGAAACACTTCAAAGCTGGCACCTGCAGGTTTTAGTCCTGGTCTAAAATTTCATATTTGTGTTCTGATGTGCATGCATGCTCACACGAGTCAAAAATTCCTGCACACTGCCATGTTTGCTTGAGTTAACTTATATGCCACTTTCCCACAATGATCTGTGCCCAAAGCAGCTTACAGCAAACATTCAAGCTCATTGTGCTATAAGACTTCAGAGAACAGGGGAGGACAATAGGAGTTCTGGGTACACACTGTGATTGCACCATGCTGTCTGGGCCAGATCTATCATGAAGTTAAAACTGAGTACAGTGGATGCTCAGGTTGCGAACGTGATCAGTGTGGGAAGCATGTTCGCAACCCACAGCGCCCGCAGCGCCACGTCTGCGCGCACACAGGTTGCAGTTTGGCGCTTCTGCGCATGCGCAAAGCACGATTTAGTGCTTCTGCGCATGTGCTGAAACCTGAAAGTAACCTGTTCCAGTACTTCCAGGTTCGGCGCGGTGTGCAACCCGAAATCATGTAGCCCAAAGCGTCTGTAACCCGAGGTATCACTGATGCTCTCCAAAATGCTGTGCTTCCTAGCAACCTGAAGCATAGGAAGCTGCCTTTCCCCAGATCTAACCCATCCCTGACTACTCAGGGATATCCATTTAACCCAGCCCTAACTACTCAGGCAGTCTTGATTCCTTTAACTGGTGGTGACAGGATCAGACCCTGAGGCCTTCTCTGCACAGGATATATACACTACCTCTGAGATATAATTGCCCCACCACCTAAGTCTTTGAACCTGGGACTACTCAGCTAGCAGCTCAAACTTACAATGACAAAGTAGAACAGGCGCCTGCTGCTTAGTTAACACCACTGAAAACCATCCTGTAACATGAGTGAATGCACATGTATTTGAGATTTGAGTTTAAGTGAACTCCCTGTATCCGCTTAGGACTAGGACCTCAGGACACGGCCCAGATCATTCTCCCCTCCTCCCAAGCCATACAGCTCACTTAGCCCTGATCTGTGCCTCCCTCTAGTTATTTCACCAGGCTGGAATGTGCCCTTGGGATATGACAAGTACTTCTCGCTTGCCTGGATGCTGTGTGTCTAGCCAGACACACTTTTGCCACACCCACCACTGACATGTGGCCCTGATAAGGTTGCCTGTGAGGAAATGAGGCCCTTGGCTGAAAAAATGTTTCTCACCCTGGCTTGGGCTGTTGCTCAAGTCGCAATCTCCCTCTTACCTCAATATCATCACTTTTTTCTTTGCTCTTAGCCACAGTCTCTTTAAATCGTTGCAATTCCATGCTGTCCCTGTGACCTTTGGCGACACCATTATATGAAAAGAAATAAAACGGCAGATTTTAGAGGGGAAGCACCAAACAGATGCAAATTTGATTAAAGATACTGCTGAGATCAGAAAAGTACATAGAAGGACAGTTGACATTTTTAATGGTAGGTTGAGGAACTATTGCTTTTCCTACATAAAAGGGATGACATAAGAAACAATTTCAGAGGAAATATTTCATACCACTACCCTGGTTTCAAAGCCGTGAGCGTGTTACTTGCTTTTAGAACCATGCAGTGTGGATATCGGTATTTTTACAAAATGTAGCTATTAGTAGAAAAAGCACAGTTCAACACAATAGATTTTAAAAATATAAACTTCACCCTCAAAATGTAAGAAAACAACAATGACATGGCCTATACTGTTCTCTTTCCCACCCTTTATCACACCCATTCAAAATAATTAACCTATGCCAACATTCAGAATGCCTGTGTAGTGGGCAGAGCTTTCATCGCCTGCCATTTTTACACGAGATTATATTTGCATAGAAACATACATAAATGGGGGCCAAAGCATATAGGCCTGAATCATGGAATCTGTACATTACATGGAACTGAGATGCACAAATCATGATTTCAGGTTCATGCACATTGTCATTTCACATATAAAATGTTATGCAAAGATGAAACCAATGAGTGAGTGAGTGGCAGGTAGGAGCTTGGGGATCACAGAGATCATCCACTGCACATATATGCTGAATGTCTTCACAGGGCTATCACTCCTCTGTCTCCAAAATTCTACAGGACTGAACATTAAGGATGAAGATTATATTATAAATGAGAAGGCACCCCGGCACCAAACCTTTTGCCACAGTAAAAAAAAAAAAAAAAGTGCCATTATTCAGCTGTGTGGTTAGTGAAGTAAAAATAAACAGCCTGATCTTGAGCCTTTGTATCTAACTTCTCCCCACTCCCATTTTTTTAATTAAAAACATACATTTACAATTATTACAGCCATTTTCAAAACACGTGAATGGGGAATCAATATATCATGACTTTACACATATTTGCTTAAAGGAAAAAAAGTACTGGTAGCTTAAAAGCACTAGCAAAAGTTAGATAAAAATATTACAAGTAAAGTCCATTCAGAATAGATCTGGGCCTCAGGCAGATGTTACTCAAACTTGTAGTAAAAGATTTTAATCACATGCATATCCCATCCTCAGATCTTCCTGAAGCCTCTATTCATATTTGAATAGAGGCTTACACGCTTATTGTAATGGGGCATATCAGGAGTCTACATGCTTAAGATCCTATTTAAAGGCTTCCACTGCACAAACATCAGGGGTCCCAGAAATAAAGCAGGATGGCATGAACACAATCTACCAAATTAAATTGGCTTTACAAGCCTAAAGGCACTTTTGGAGTAGTCTGAAATGAATTTTCTGGTAACATTGACAAGTTTAAATTAAATGTAATCTTTAAAAAGTTATCATAACAAATCATGTTGCAAGATAAAAAAACATTCATGCTCACTTTGAGCCACTGAGGCAAAAAAACTCTTACCTTAGAAATGGTCTAGATCAAGGGTGCACAACCTGCAGCCCTCCAGATGTTGTTGGACTACACCTCCCATCATCCCTGATCAGTGGCTATGTTGGCTGGGGCTGATGGGAGTTGTAGTCCAGAAACATCTGAAGGGTCACAGGTTGTGCATGCCTGGTCTAGAATAAACTGAACTCAAAAGTATTTTGTTAGCACACCTCTCCTCCCATTTTTTTGACAAACAGAAAATCTGCCACCGTTTTGCAAATTTTTTTCCAGTTAAAACACCACTTGAATAAACAACAGAATCTACACCAAAATGGTTAAGTGCTGATTTACAAAGTAAAGAAACATTTTGATAGTTTGCAGAAGTGAAGAGGTTAAAAGCAAAGTGCACCACCTGCAACCAAATTCCGCTGAAGTTCCCATACAATTTTTGATAAATCAAACCTTGAGATTTAGATTTGATCCATAGTTTCTGAAGACGTACAGTGCTGTTGGAACTTAAATCATGACCCTTTTGTGCTGTTTCTGGAATGCTTCCAGCAGGTTCTTCAGTATCCAGTGTCCCATTCAGATCATTACTGGGGTCACGTCTGACCTCATCAGCAGATGCCAACTGTAATTTATTTTTGGCGTCATTCTTCTTCAGCTTCAAAGAGGACTGAGGATTCCATTTGTCTGTGTAGCTCTCAGCACTAGTATAACTTTCATCATAAATAAATCCATGATTAACACATCCTCCAGGTTCAATACAAGGTTGGGAGGTGGTAGCAAAGCTAACAGAGCAAGAAGCAGTAGAGTCATGGCAACCAATAGCAACTTTCGGAAGTACAGGTTTTGGTGTGTTATACTTACCCACAAATGCACCAAATTCAACAGCGTTCTCTCCATCAGCAGCCTTAAGGACTATAACCTGGTCGTCCTTTGTGGTACTTTCTAACTGGCTTTTACAGCTGGGCTGAGAAGGAGTGCTAACGAAAAATTTTGCTGTCGAAGATGTTAGATGTGGCATGCTGTTTAGCGAAGTGCCCGTCTTTTTATTCTTTTGAATGCATTTTGATGAGTCTGTACCCTGTATTCTTTGACGGAGTTCTGGTGGGGATAGAGCTCTTGGAATTAAGGCACTGCCCGAGGAACCTGCCTCTGGAAAGTTGAATTCATCCCTCTTGGGGGCCCCCGTCATCTTATGTCCAGAATCTCTTTCATCTTGCATAGAAATGTTGCACAGTAAAGCATTATTACTCTCAAGGCCTCCTTGAGGAAAAGAAGAACCAAAGACATTGCCAATGCTGTGCTTTCTCCACATGGAAGATCTTAAAGGACCGTCATCAATGGGGTTTTGTGCCAAATGCTTTGAGATACTCAGTTCTCGTGTAATTTCATTATGAACCTTGCTAGCTTCTGAAGCCTTCTGGGCAGTTAATGTTTTCAAAGTATCCACCGTAAGAGCAGAGAGGTCTTGCAAGTGGCCAATCTGTGTATCGAGAGAGTGCAATGAACGCTTGATATAGTTGACTCTGTCACTAACCTCCTTGATTTGGATGCACATTTGCTCAACACTGGAAGGGGAAGGGAAAAGATACCATTGGGAGAGAGAAAAAGGAGAATCAGACTTTTCACTGAACGCAAGGAATTCTCAAAACACACGAAGATCACAAGTATGCCATGTGAAATAATTACGGGTCTGTTAGCATAAAACAGGGGGTTGGACTAGACGACCCTCAGGGTCTCTTCCAACTCTGCAATTCTATGATTCTTTGGTAACAACCCACCCATACAGAAGGTTCTATACTGCGTTTCTGCCTTACTGGTCTGGTCTTCTGCTCTGGTCTTACATCCTTCCACATCAACTCCCACCAAGAAATTGTGTTGTGTCCCTGCATCAGGTATGATCAGATCACTGAATCAATCTTGAAGACAATTTGTATAATCAGCAAGGTTTGTCCAGTAGTTTGCCCAGAATAGTTAAACAACAAGCCCACGTCCAGACAATACACTAAGCCAGACTATGGGTTGGCTCAGGAGCAGAATGACCAGGGAAGAGCGAAGCGATTTCCTCTCCCTGAGCTCATGCATTCTATACCAACCCATGGTTTGGCTTAGAGCGACCTGTGAACCAGACCAGGGAGATTACTGTAAGTGTGCAACAGAGATCTGCTAAATGAGCATAATGCTTCATGTGCTGATGATGTATGCTCTAGTCCATGAAAGCTTGTGTTCAAATGTGGCCTCTGTGTTGCTTTTGATGCAAACAGACTAAAATGGCTACTGCTCTGGAATTAGATACTTTTATAATGGACCCTGCCAATCAAAAGTCCACATGTTAAAACTGGCTGCTGTACAGTTGGTCAACATCTGCTATGATAAATGTAAACCAGAGTTTGATTTAAAAGTAACTGAAAATGTGCTATTCAATTAGCTGTTCCAATCATTCCTTAAAAAACTGAAAAGAACAAGGTTGAAACGGTCATTCCTTATTATTTCATACCGTTCAGAAGTAACTCTAATTCTCTCTTCACTTCCAGAATGGAATTTATCATCTTTTTCATTGAAATACATCTCAACACACAACTCTTCAAAATCATGAAGCTTCTTTTGATCTTCTTCTGTTAGAAACAGTTCTAGAGAATGAAAGAAACAATCCATTTCATAAGCTTGCTAATGAACCGCTGCAGAAAAGAAGTAAAAACAGTGAAAAACCAAGGAAATGAGTATTCCCTTAGCCAAGGACCTCACATCATGAGTGTTGGAAGTAAGTATACAGTGGTACCTCTGGTTAAGAACATAATTCGTTCTGGAGGTCTGTTCTTAACCTGAAACTGTTCTTAACCTGAGGTACCACTTTAGCTAATGGGGCCTCCCGCTGCCGCTGCGCTGCAATTTCTGTTCTCATCCTGAGGTAAAGTTCTCAACCTGAGGTACTACTTCCAGGTTAGCGGAGTCTGTAACCTGAAGTGTCTGTAACCCGAGGTACCACTGTATCTGGGGTTTTTTCCATTTCCCCAAATTAGGTACACTAGAATATAATGCACCTCCAAAAATGGTTGTTTGTTGGGTTACTAACACATCTATTCATGTACTTTTAAAGTACAGTGGTACCTCGGTTTTTGAACAGCTTAGTTAACGAACAACTTGGAAATCGAACGCCGCAAACCCGGAAGTAGGTGTTCCGGTTTGTGAACTTTTTTCAGAATCCAAACTGTTCCGTTTTGAGTGTTACACTTCCTTTTTCAGGGCCACACTTCCGTTTTGAGTGTCCCCACTCCTGCTTGCATGGGCGTAGGAGCTGAATTGGGGCAGCTCAGCTGGGGAGCGCGAAGCCTCCATTTCCCAGCTGAGAGATCCCCGCCCCCATTCCTGCTTGCACAGGAGCAGGATTTCAGCTGGGGAGGTGCAGGCTCTGTCACACTTTCCATTGAGGGGTTCGTGGCTGGTGGCTCCTGGGATGGCTGTCTCCGCATTGCCACGCGATGCTCCTTTAAACTTCTCTATTCGAGGTGAACGCAGCCATGCACCACTCAATGGAAAAGTGTGACGGAGCCCTCACCTGTCCAGCTGAGCAGCCAACGAACTTGAAAATCTCATGAAAAAGCAGCAACACAACAAACTGAAAAAAGCAAATCAACTGCAAATGAATCAAAATCACAAGAAAACATAAAACAACACTGACCCTAACCCTAATTCTAATCCTTACCCTAACCTTAACCCAGAAATGGTCTTGTTAGATAATAAAATTCATGTTAAATTGCTGTTTTAGGGGTTCTTTTTAAAAGTCTGGAACGGATTAATCCATTTTGCATTACTTTCTATGGGAAAGTGTGCCTTGGTTTTAGAACGCTTTGGTTTTAGAATGGACTTCCAGAACAGATTTAGTTTGGAAACCAAGGTACCACTTCCAAACCCCCTTCCCCACATATCTATTACTTGCTCACAAAAGAAGCTCTTAATCAGGCTGGGGATCGTCTGGCCACAGGTGGTCTGGCCCAAGTCCCGATGTGATATCAGGTGTGTGACAAGTGGGAAAGCAGCTACCAGGAAACAATGGGGAATCTTTAAATTGTTCCTGATAGTTCTTGGCAAGGGAGCTTTGATGTTGGTGCTAAGAAGCAGACTGGTGCTGCCAGCAACTCTGCAGAAATCTGCTGCGCTACAGAGTTGCCCATCAGGAACTTGCAGTGCTGGGATCTGCACTTACAGCAAACCCAGAAGAAGGTCTTGCCATAAGTGCAAGTGTCCCTTCGCAATGCTGGCTTGAACTGAAAGTTGAAATGCAAAAGATCTTCCTCTGTAGGGGCAGCTGGTTTTGTTTTGGTATTGTCAGGCGATTGACATGGATGTGCAAGGTCCTTCACAACTATCAAAGAGGTCCGCAGTGATGGTGAGAGCAAGTCCTTGTTCAGCTTTTTAAGAATTCCACTTACAGTGGTACCTTGGGTTAAGTACTTAATTCGTTCTGAAGGTTCGTTCTTAACCTGAAACTGTTCTTAACCTGAAGCACCACTTTAGCTAATGGGGCCTCCTGCTGCTGCTGCCGCGCCGCCAGAGCACAATTTCTGTTCTCATCCTGAAGCGAAGTTCTTAACCTGAAGCACTATTTCTGGGTTACCGGAGTCTGTAACCTGAAGTGTATGTAACCTGAAGCGTCTGTAACCCGACGTACCACTGTATAATGAAAGCATTTTTGTAGCAGTGGTTGGGCAGAGATAAAAAAATGTGCTGTCACCCTAAGTTCTCTTAAGTATCCTGTTCGCCCCAATCCTGAAAACAAGGCAAAATGTTCTGTCCACACACCCACACCCAAATTGTTGAGCCTCCACTCCCACTTTGCCATCCACTAATGGGATAGTGAACTGAGGGGTGGGATTTTGCATAAGCCCTACACATAAACCAGGCTCCTATCAATCCCTGGATTTCACATAATGCAAAGAACAACCCAACGTTGCATATTTTTGTTTGTTCTTACTTGGCCCATCAGAAGTTTTGTCTTTCTTTCTCTGCTTGCATACACAGCAGAATAGGGAAGCCATATGACTAAGAATAATAAGAGGAGGGGGCAGGATAGGCTTCTCGTGATATGCCATAACAAAATGATAACGCTGGTATTTCCATACAATGTTGGAAATTGCTTTCACCTGTAAATATACATTGCTAAACAAAAAGAGAAGAGAATAAAGAAGGCAAACATTTTAGTTTGATCATCTTAGAAACTAGCAGCAATGATCTTACATTCTGCTCTGTACAAATATTAAAAGAGAGTACAAACAAAACAAACAAACAAACAAACAGCATAACTTCTATCACATTTATTTATTAAAAAATATACCACTATGTCATAAAATAATCAAAGCAGTTTACAATAATATATATATATATTTAATAAAAACATGGATTCTTAAAAAATCAGAGACCATCAACTAACTATTATGGGAATATGTTTTCTTAATTTCCTGCATAAGACTTTCAGCAAAGAAATTTTCTTCAGCAGGCATTTAAAGGTTCAAAAAAGAGGCATCTGCTAAATTTCTGCTGGTAGAACATTACATATTCTTCTGACACTGTGGCAAATGATCTCAGCTACTGTTTCTAAGGTAAAGGTAAAGGTAAAGATAAAGGGACCCCTGACCATTAGGTCCAGTCGAGGCAGACTCTGGGGTTGAGGCGCTCATCTCGCTTTAAAGGCCAAGGGAGCCGGCGTACAGCTTCCGGGTCATGTGGCCAGCATGACTAAGCTGCTTCTGGCGAACCAGAGCAGCGCACGCAAACACCATTTACCTTCCCGACGGAGCGGTACCTATTTATCTACTTGCACTTTGACGTGCTTTCAAACTGCTAGGTTGGCAGAAGCAGGGATCGAGCAACGGGATCTCACCCCGTTACAGGGATTCGAACCACCGACCTTCTGATCGGCAAGTCCTAGGTTCTGTGGTTTTACCCACAGCACCACCTGCATCCCTAAGGTACCGTAGACCAAATTTGTTCATGGCTTTGTAAATTAATACAAGGATCTTCAACAAGGCTTGGTCATAGATGGGCAGCTGGTGCGTATGTTTTAACGATGGTGTCACATGTTGTTGGTCATCAGCCATTTGACCTCCATATTTTGCACCAGCTGGAGCTTCCAAACCACAAAGAGCATATTGCTGTAATCCAACCTTGAGGTTACCAATGCATGTACTACAGTAGTCAGTTATCGCTGTACAGGAATGGCCATAGCTGGCAAACTAGACAAAGCTGGTAAAAGGTATTCCTAGCTACAGAGCCCATTTGGTCCTCTGGTGACGAAGACGCATGCAGGAATACCCCACGGCCGTGTAATCACCAAACTACTTTTTAAAGCACTGATTTAATATCAACTTAAAATGTGAAAAACATACTTGAAAAAGGCGATGAGAAGATTGACCATAATAATGTACTGCACGAAAAGGTAGACGGCCTGAAGGAAGGGTGTCAGCCATGCTCCAGTAACACATGGTATGATTGTTTGGGAATCATTTGCACATACTTTGCAGATTAAGAAAAGAAAAAGAATTTTTTGACAAGATTTAGTAGTTTACTTGTTACTTAGAAGCAAAGCTCTTTATAGTGCATCAACAAAATACTATCACCTATACTTTTTCAACACACAAGTAGCAGAAGCCGCTGCACAGCTTAGCCCTAAACAGAAAATTTATGAATAAAACAGGTCTGTGGGCATTAAATACCCAAACTTCCAACCTCAGCAACTGGAAAGTTTATTAAAATCAGTCTTTCAGTTCATGCCCTTCAAAATGAAAAACAAATAAAGCTTTTCAATAAAATAAAATCCCTTCATATTTATTGAATGTATATCCCACTTTTTCATAATATAATCATGTTTACCAAAACAGTTTTGTTTTCATATTCTGAACAAATACATGTATCACTGTAGATTTTAAAATTTAAAAATCAAGAGAGATTTGTGTAAACATGTTTTTTTTAAATTTTAGGTCCCCCCCCCCCCCGGTTTAAAATAATACCTTAATATTACATACATTAGAATATACATAAATAATCCCTTTGTTTTTATTTATTTAGAAAGGTTTATGAAACACTTCATCACACTCTGTGGGGTATAAAATACAACAATCTAGATAAAGCACAGTTAAACTCCAGAATTTTTTTAAAAAACAAATTATCAATAAAGCAATAAAATCATTATGAATTAAATATAGATTCTAGATTAGCCCTCCCATTTCTGTGCTCTTCAGACACAAGAAAAAGTGCCCCTCGCCTGGTAAAAAATAGAAGGAATAAAAATATCTTACCATCAATTTCATAGGCATAAACTTCACCAAAGATCATCCAATAGGGCCGAAAGACAATATCTCTTGCTAAAACCCAGGATGGCTTTTCATTAGGATAAAGTATTGCCTTCCTGGGGACTCCAAAACTGAGCAGCACAAGTGCCATAATCACTACAATGTAAAACATGTTGGCCACCTGTTTAAAACAGAGTTAAGAGACAGTTAAAACAGTGGAGACCCCTCACTTAAACCCTCCAAACTACAGCCCAACCCCTTCTTTGTTGTTTACATTTATATTCAACACTGCCTCACATTTAGAAGCACTCTAGACTTGTTTTTGTCCATCTCCACTGGTCAATCATCTTTGGACAGTAAGTAATTATTTTTTTTTATGGGACGCGGGTGGCGCTGTGGGTAAAACCTCAGTGCCTAGGACTTGCTGATCGTCAGGTCGGCGGTTCGAATCCCCGCGGCGGGGTGCGCTCCCATTGCTCAGTCCCAGCACCTGCCAACCTAGCAGTTTGAAAGCACCCCCGGGTGCAAGTAGATAAATAGGGACCGCTTACTAGCGGGAAGGTAAACGGCGTTTCAGTGTGCTGCGCTGGTGCCGGCTTGCCAGAGCAGCTTCGTCACACTGGCCACGTGACCCGGAAGTGTCTGCAGACAGCGCTGACTCCCGGCCTATAGAGTGAGATGAGCGCACAACCCTAGAGTCTGTCAAGGCTGGCCCGTACGGGCAGGGGTACCTTTACCTTTACCTTAAGTAAATTTTTATTTATACCCTGCCCTCCCAGGCCAATAACAGGCTCAGGGTGGCTAACATCAAATATCAAAAACATTAAAGCACTATCAAACAATTGATTAAAATACAGCTTAAAAATTAGAATCAGGATAAAATTAAAAGACTGCCCATGAATTACAACCATAGGGGTCGGGAACCTCCAGTATTCATCAGCACAGCCAATCACAATCATCTCTACATTCCACCCATCCCAAGGGGTAACTTTTATGTAATGTAATGTCATGTAATATAATAGTATTTCCAGGAAGAGTGGCTTAGGGAGGGCAAGTGGCCACTATGAACTTCCATTTTGACTTTATTTCCCTTCTGAGTTCCTCAGAAATGCATTGTAACTTCCATAAGAATTAGGGCAAGACTGTGAGGAGCATCCCACCCCAATCAGATGCATGCATTTCAATCTGAGCCAATCGGATGCATGCATCTGCAAGATCCCTGCTCTTCTCTGAGGCACAGCTAATTTCCCCCCTTTTGCAAGCACCTTGGGACAGCCAGTCTTTGAAACAGCAGTATGTATCTGTGACTTCAGTGTTCAACTGCTAAGTTCTGAATAAACTTAAAGAGACTTTTTGTGTAAATGTCTGAGTGCCTACAGTAGTGGAGTACTGGGGAACTTGTGGAACTTCCTGCTACAATATTTCAAATTGATCATATGGTGCGAAATACTCCACATGCCAACATTGTGGCTTCTTGTTTTTCTCCACCTGTCCCTCCTTCTACACATACAGCAAACTGCCTTACACAGCTGTCCATCTTTATTGGTGGAATACCTGTTTCAAATGACTGTAAAATACAACACTTCTGGAATGTTTGGAAATAAAATATATTTAAAATATAGCTCAAGGACCACCTCTTCTCATATGAACTTACCTGGACCCTGACGTCATCTTCTGAGGCCCTTCTTCATGTGCCTCCTCCTCAAGAGGTCTGGAGGGTGGCAACATGAGAACAGGACCTTCTCTGCAGTGGCTCCCCGTCTATGGAATGCTCTCCCCAGGGAAGTTCGCCTGGCACCTTCATTATATACCTTTAGGTGCCAGGCAAAAATGTTCATTTTTATCCAGGCCTTTGGTTTAACTGATTGACATCCTATGCCCTTTTAAAATACGGGTTTTTGGGGGAGAGGGGTTTTATTGGGTTGTTTTTATTCTGATTATGTATTTTGTGGTTTTATATTTTTATTTTATTCTGTGAGCCACCCTGAGACCTCTGAGTATCAGGTGGAATATTAATAATAATCATCATCATAATCCCACACAACACACTTTTAATTTTGGTAGGAAAAAAGCTTACCATTTTCCCAATCATCATGACGTAAGGTCCAGCATGTTGGTTTACAGCCAAAAAATCCAGTAATCTCACATACCAAAAGATTATATTCAGGCAGTAAGTTAGCCTTCCAGCAACGAAAACGTAATTTGAATTGTAAGTATCTTCACTGAAGTTTCCCTGTGCTCCAAATCTTAGTCCAAAACCAATGAAGAATGTGATAATGGCTACAGTATCACTGACATTGAAGTAATCATTAAACCACACTTTAGTCTTTTGACTGATCTTGCCCGCCTCTGACATAAAGATCTGTTGTAAAAATAATGAGAAATTGGGCACAGTTCATTTCGTCTTACATCAAAAGGCATTAAAAGGCAGGTAGCAGTTATGTACATACATCGATACAAAACAAGTTTAATGTAAATCAAAGACTGAAGCCATGGTAGGAAGTGGTTCCATGAACTACAGCAGGCATAGGCAAACTCCGGCCCGCCAGATGTTTGGGACTACAATTCCCATCATTCCTAGCTAACAGGACCCAGTGATCAGGGATGATGGGAACTGTAGTCCCAAACATCTGGCAGGCCAGAGTTTGCCTATGCCTGAACTACAGTAATGAGGGACTCTGGCTTGCATTCATCATGCTAAAAGCTAATAAACGGAGAAAGGAATTTGAATCCAACAAAATGGAAGAGGAAGGAGCATGCTTCTGTGGCAAGCCCCCAATTTACAACATATGACTTGCAGAAAACGAGTACTGCATCAATACCCTACCACAGGCTTCCTCAACCTCAGCCCTCCAGATGTTTTGAGACTACAATTCCCAGCATCCCTGACCACTGGTCCTGCTAGCTAGGGATCCTGGGAGTTGTAGGCCAAGTACATCTGGAAGGCAACAAGTTTTGCACAGCGTACTTATGCTGACTCTTGAAAGTATATTTAAATCCTCTTCTGCATTAAAGAGCACGTTACAAATGCAAATATACCTCACGAATCTTCTCAACAGCCAACGTGAAAATATATGCAATGACAATCCATTCTTGAATTGAGGGCAGCTCTTCCATTTTCACAAGAATCACAAATGTATAAAGCATCAGAAATCCTAAGTAGGCCAACTATAAAAAGTAAAATGTTGAAAATAAATATTAAGAAAAGTAGTTTTTTTCAAAAAAAAAAAAAAGAGTTCTTTTTCCAAAACAAAACATAGAAACAAAAAACTCACCGTGTTAAACCAGAATTTCACTATTGGTGCATGATAGAAGGCATAAAACTTTCGCGTAATGGGAAGCCTCTTGGGTTTTACTGTTGCCTCCATGTCATGCTTTCCTTCTGTACTGTCCAAGACCCTTACTTCTTTAAACACTTCCTAACATTAAAATAACACATTTTAAAATCATGTATGAGAGTAAAGTTAGTCTTCGTTGCTAAAAATGTGTTAGTGTTTGTGTGTAGAATTACCATTGGTATCTCTTCTGCTATGTTTTGAAAGTTGTTCTCACTGTCTTCCATAGTCATTTGATGTGCATCTTGAGACTGTGGAATATGGGACATTTCTGCCTTGGTTTTGTATTCTAGCATTAGTATGGTAGGGGGAAGTAAGATGCTCAATATTACCTGTAAGATGTGAACATCAAGTTATTAAGACAAAATACTTCCCGTTATTCTAATAAAAAAAAAATCAGAACTATCCAGCACACAGAAGTCCCCTCTTCCCCTCTCTCCCACATTTCAGCAAAATCTGTCAGGTAGCAAGTAAAAGATGTAGAAGAATGATTAGGTTTTAATTTTTTTTAACTACTACAGATACACATAGAACATTCCATAATATTCTTGAGGGAAAAATATCTGCAATTTCTAAAAAGTTGTTAGACAAAATGTGCTCAAATAGATTTCTACCCCTCATCCTAATGCTTTTATCAGTATTAGAAGGCATATCTCCCTAATGCCGTTGAAGAATCATAGATTCTGAAGCACACCCACCCACCCATCTTCATAAAATGAGTGTTACTCTTAGTTGACTAGCAAAGCAAGTTAGAGATGACAAATTGGAACACAAGACAGACAACAGCACATCATACTTTAAAATGATGCTTGAGGATGGTCTGTATCAACACTGTACTTTTACATAATAATTTTCTTATTATATTCTAACGTAGTGGGGCAAATTTTCAGTGCAGTATACAAAGAGAAACACACCTCTTATTGTTAATCCAGACTATATGGCTTACTTGACATATGCCATTCTGAAAACCTACACCCACTCACATCCTGCTGATTTGTCTGAATTCTGTTAAGCCTTCTCACTTGCTCAGCTTCAGCTACTAAAATATAAATATGAAGTTTCTACATCAAATTTTACTTTACTACCCGTAGAAAGCATAATGACATTTCAATTTTACAAGGGGGTTTCAGTCTGTTAATGTTTCACCACTACATTTTTAGTAGTAGATTAGTTCTCATGATGATCTAAGTATCCACCTCTGGTTAAGGGCTACTTGCCTGGTTTCTGCCTTCTACATTTCTGTACCTTTTTTAAAAAAGATAATAAAGCATCAAAAAAAAGTTATTGTTCATTCCAGTATCACCTCTCACTTTGATTATGTTAAAGAGCTGTTTTGCTTAGCCTACATAGATTACAGTGAAGAAAACTTTGCATGACTATGCTTTCAACATATCCCTTTCACTTAAGCATTACTAAAATAACAGCAAAAATGGATTCCAAGGAAGGTATTATCTATAGACTAGTTACCTTGTACCATGAATTCTTCCTCATGTTCAGCCTTCCCATCCACATATCAGACAACAACATTTGTGTACAAGTATGAGCTACGAAAGGGCGAAGCCGTGAAGACACTGCTAGCTTAAGGCAGGTGGCATTACTCCAGTTTTTTAGCTCGTAAGTTAGCAACTTCATAGCCATAGTTTCATCTTGTCGGAATGACTGTTCTAATAGCTCAACTGCCAGCTGCCCAAACTCACTGTGGGGGGCAAAAATCACAAGACATACAATGTTAAAGATGCACAAACATATTAAATATGCCAATTCTTTCACCCATAATAGACTTCAAACACTGAACTTCCTGAACTGAATGGAAGCACCTGCTTAGTACTGCTGTAAGAGAGACACCCGTGGATACAACTCTGTATGGCCGAAAAGAAAATTGGTTTCATCTCAGCACTTCCCTGTTACTCTGAGTGAGTTAAAAGGCGTACCTGATGCATTCTTCTGCATCTATACCCATGATTTCCCTGGACCAGTTATCTGTTGCTGGATTTCAGGAAGTGACATCTAACCAGAACAAAAATAATTCAGGCTTTTAAAAAGGATTTGCAATTTTAGAAAAGCTAGTACGAGATTGTAATTAACCAGCCAGAACAGACAAAAAGGGCGAGTGGATAACAGCTATGGGAAATGAACAGAAAAAAATGCATATGGCACTGTGGTTAAACTCCATCATCTACAAAAGCCCAACCTGACATTCTCCATTTTCTGCATCTTCAGCATTAGCTTCTAGCAACTACTAGGAAACAAGAAGCTGAAATTTGTCTTAAGGATTTTAACAAAATGGAATGTTTACTTTGAATACTGTTTCAGTTCTTCCGAGGTATCGTCAACAAGGTCACTTTGTTTTGATTCATAGGCCATTGAACGATATAGCTTGCAGGCCACTAAGGCTTTCGCCATGGATTCTTCACCATGTTGCCAGAAAAAAAGAGCCATTTTTTGCCTCTTCATTAGTACTGCCCACAGTAACAACTCATTCAGAGGGTAAGGAAAGCGTCTTGTTTCTGGATCATCAATATCTACTATGTCATCTTTGGTTTGCTTCTTTTTTCCTTCTTCTGAAGTGTTATCGGCCTTTAAAAAAAAGGTAGTAATTTAAAGGTTTTACAAGGGCAGCTAGAATTATAAAGTTTAAAGAGAAAATACAACAGTGAAATGCGGTACTCAGACATCAGATATTTGTTAAAAATTCACCAGAAAGATATTATTTCAGGTAAGAATCATTCAAAGAAAGGCACCAAAATAACCGAAGTAAACATATCATAAAGTATCAAAATTAGCAGCTCCACCCACAAATAAGATAATGTTAGCCTGTGATAGAACCTTGCTACAAAGAAATGCCATGTGAACATCTCCGAAGCAAAAGGGGAAAATACAAGCAAGGTTCCACGGCCACAAAATCAGAGATAAGGAACTTTCATTTAGCTTTCGAAATTTCTCAGCTCATTTGCATGTGTCAGAAAAGGAATTGCTACAATTATAGTGATTATCTGTATCACTTCTGCAACTCCAATTTCAATTATGGCATGTGTGCTTTAAAGGCTGTTACAAGAAGTACAGTACAATGCACTATTTATATACACCTCCGTACATGCCAAGATCACATCACGAAAACAAGAGCCCTGTTCCAACTTCATCTCCTTCAAGGGCAGCTGTGTGCCTCATACCTTTGGTTTGTAAGGCTGGGCAGTTTTGATGAAGTGATTATGCCGCATTTTCTCTTTCTTATCCACCCTGTTACCAAAAGGTTCGTGGCTTTTACGCAATTGAGGGGTGCTGCCTGAAGCATTTCGTCCAGACCGCTGGTGGTGGGGAAACAGAAAAACATGATTATAATGTAGCACAGTGCCTGAATTATGTGAAATCATTGAGATACACAGTAACTCATTATCTGAAGGACAAAACCATAAATATTTGTATATAGCCAAGACAAAGTAGTTTATTTTTGCGTAGTGGTGAGAATATAAGCTGTGAAGAGTCTCAGTTCAACTCTCATGTCGATTACAAGCTTCCTAGAAGCCTCTAGGGCAGTTCAAGGTCTCTCAGACTCAATCCCCATCTACAATGTTGGAATGATAGTGGCCCACCCTGCAATATTCTTTTAATATTTGTTGAGATAACAATCCAAAATGCTTTGGGCACAATCCAGCAAAAATCGAAGCACTTAAGTGCAGCTGGATCATGTCCAGTATATTACTATTGATACTGTCACAGAGAAAGCAGACCAGTAAATTGCACAGTTCAAAGTCAGAGCTAATTATTTATTAGAAAAAAAAATTATCTCCACAGACTTGGCTGAGTGACAGGCCTAAGGAGCAGAGCAGCTCATTCCCTGTAGGTCTTATTCCATGAAATCAGTTACCAAGACTAAAGGTCCCTGCCGTCTATGTCTCCTCCTCTCCAGGGTTCCTCCCATTTCATGTCTCTCCTGGTTCTAGGAGTCATGGTGGGGGGTGGGGGTGGGGAGCTTGTCGCAGCAGGAGAAGAAACCCGTAACTCTTAACAAGCGTGACTCATCTCTGCTTCTTGACCTCCCTTCTTCCACTCATCTGCTTCAGCTTCAGCCTCTGATTCCTGACTTCTCTGTTTCACAGACTCTCCTACCTCACCAAGCCCTGTTACATCTTCAGCTTCCGACACCTCCTCTTCACTGTCTTCTCTCTCTGACCACTCATCGTCGTCCCATCACCACTCCCTGTATTCTGAGCCTTCTTCCCTTGGTGGTTCTCAAGCTGGTTCCTACCACCATTCCTGTGTCTAACCAATTCATGACAACTACTATGCAGTTTAGTACACCCAGGCAGCGTACTCCATTGTCTCGAGACAGATGCAAACATACATACATTGGTACAGTTCCAAGTACACAAAACAATCTAGAGATCTTAGGAGAAACACCTTTCTAAGAAATGAGATGCTGTTATTTTACATTAACTGAATTGTTTAAAGAGGTTAAATACTACCTTATATGCATTACTTCAAAAAGAAAAAAAGAAACCATATACCCGATTGCTGCCACTGAGACTGTTGTATATCACTCTGAAACGTTTTCGCGTGTAGGTGCATCTGTAGGTTCCTCCCATCAAATATTCCACAACAAGCCCCACATCAATCAAAGTGAGTTTATATCCGGGAGGAAGGTTTCCCTGAGGACAAGACAGTATTAACTTAGCACTAATACGTGCTGCAATCTCTGTATCACATGATGTCATTCTGCAAAAAGTGGTTCTGTGTTCAGCCCCAAGCACTCCCCAGGGAAAGACACCTTGGCATATAATGCAAGGTCACTGCTAGTTGGGCAACATGGACTAACAAAGAGACTCCACATCTCAATTTAGGTGCAACAATAAACTATGGTTTGAGTATCTGGAGCAGCCCAGATACCGTTCCTCCTTCTGTGCATGAGGTCCTTGGTTTCCTTCAAACACAGAAAGGACATGAAGCAATATGTAGCTACGGACAAGCATCCATTTGAACATGAAGCAAAGTGCACCCATTTTTTAGTGAATGATGTTCTAAAATTCTTAAATTACCCGAAAGAAAGTTCTCCACTAGACACACCACAGTAAGTGCTTAAAATGTTATTAGTAAAATGATTATATGAGAAGGGGAATGAAAACGTAGTTTCTTGTTTGTGTGCATCTAGAGATGTTGAAGTATTTTAACAAGAGCCCTACCTGTTTGACATCTCGAACAAGATGAAGCAGTGCTGGATTTGTTGGGCCTTGTTTCTTGATGTAGAAGAGAAGAATGCAGACTTTTAGATACACTGAGGCATGTGACAAAACAAAGTAGTAGAATGACAGATTGCAAAATTGTGTTGTTGTTTTTTCAATTATCCAGGTTCTACAAAACTCAGTATTTTTTAAAATTAAAACAGAAGCACTATCTTCTGCATGATTAAATAATTTGACTGCTGCTTTAGAAAAACCAAGAGAAGAACTATAACGATTTAATTTGCTATACTTCTAGAACAGCTCTACCTAACCAAAGCTTTCACCAGGCATAAAGACTATGCTTCCCTGCAAACATGAAAATAAAAACTGATCTTTTGATAATTAACAGCTTTTTTGTATTTTTCACTCAGAAGAATCCTGTGAGTCAGTAAGAGATGTCCATCCTTCCCTAAGGGTTTAATCCGTAACCCAAAATAAGGCAGTAACTGGCAGGGGAAAGCTCCAGTAGCAGCTGTAATTTCCCTCCTAGCCTTTCTCCTCAATAATTTTGGGGCTAATCATCTAAAGTATAAGGAGGGTTTGCATGTACTGGCTCCCTTCCTTAATTTGTCTAGCATCGCTTGAATCTAATTTCTCAGTCCTCTGCTGTTTCAAAACACACTCATTTCTCTTGAGCTAGATTTTATCACTTTTTCGCCTTGTGAAAGAAATGTCAACTATTTGGCGCTTCCAAAAGATGCAATCAATAAATCTTTATTGTGGTCAAAGACCAGACAGCAAAATTAGCAACAGCAGCATACGCTTCAACAGCATCAAGAGGCGGACGTAATTAAAAATTCCCTATAAACTTATTTATATCCAAAAGATGCAATCAGCATTTCAATTTCCACTGGTAAATTCAATGCCATCATCACAAGCTGGTTGAGATCAGCTCTTGAATGCAGGATAATAATATTATTTTCTTCAGTGCGAGCTCCAAAAGCTTGCAATCAGAATGAAGGCTCATGCTTTACACCTAAAATTCTGTACCATTACTGATATAAAAATGACAACCTTCCATTAAACACCTCCCTCAATTGTTACCCAAATCAATCTCAAACAGTATTTCACTTTGAATGCATGTTTTTATATGAAAATTATAAATGAAATAGAAATACAACTTGGGAATCTTAAGAGAATTGTTGTTGCTAAATTTATTCTACATATGAACCGACCTGAACCCTGTGATCATCATCTTTGTGTGCCCTCTCCATGGAGATCTGGAGGGTGGCAACATGAAAACAGGTGGCTGCCTGCTTGTGGAATGCCCTTCCCAGAAAGGCTCATCTGGTGCCATCATTAAATATCTTTAGGTGCCAGGCAAAACCAATTCCTTTTTAATTGGGCACTTGGCTTTTAATTATCTATTGCCTTTTCATGTAGATGGGATATTTCATTGTAGTTTTTTTAAAATGTTGGTTTTAATGTATGTATATGGGGTTTCTTCCTTTTAAAATACTGCAAATCACTCTGTTGACATGGCAAAAAAGTAACTAATGGGTGTAATTAATAACAATAATAAAAATAAGAATAAACATCCACTTACAGTGTTGTAAAGTTCTTCCAGTCTGGGAATTGTAAGGAATTTGTGCATGCTCACTCCATTTTCAATAAGAAGTTTCACAAAGGCAACTCTATCCATCACAAGGGCATCTAACATAGCTTGTTCCAAAGACCCAACCTGAAGAAATAAAGACAATCCTTAAATTGAAATAATGTGAGAATTGAGAAAACTAGTATGCCAAAGTCTACTATACCATATTTTTCGCTCCATTGGACGCACCGGACCATAGGACGCACCGGATCATAGGAGGGGGAGAACAGGGAAAAAATTTTTTTTCTTGTTCTCTCCCTCTAAAACAAGGTGCGTTCAAGGTACCTAATTTTTTTTTGGGGGGGGGGAAATAAAGGGAAAAAAAATTCCCTCCCCAGGCACGGGGCAGGCGCGGGGGAAGCCCGAGCTTCCCCTGACCCCAGCCCCCAGAACAGCCTGCTATCCGCAAGCCTAGGGAACCGAGCCGGTCTCCCCAGGCTTGTGGAGAGGTGCGCGAAGCCCGGGCGCGCTCTTCAGTGCGCACCAGGCTTCGGAATGCAGGCAGCTCTGCGCTACTCTCCGGAGCCCCGCGCGGCTTCGCGCCGGGATCGGGAGGGTGGCGCGGAGCTGCAGGAAGCCCTGGAGCGCAGGCAGCTCCGCGCCACCCTCCGGAGCCCCACGTGGCTTCGCGCCGGGATCGGGAGGGTGGCGCAGATCTGCAGGAAACCCTGGAGTGCAGGCAGCTCCGTGCTACCCTCCAGAGCCCCGCGCGGCTTCGCGCCGGGATCCGGAGGGTGGCGCGGAGCTGCAGGAAGCCCTGGAGCGCAGGCAGCTCTGCGCTACCCTCCGGAGCCCCGTGCGGCTCGCGCCGGGATCCGGAGGGTGGCGCGGAGCTGCAAGAAGCCCTGGAGCACAGGCAGCTCCGCGCCACCCTCCGGAGCCCCGCACGGCTTCGCGCTGGGGTCCGGAGGGTGGCGCGGAGCTGCAGGAAGCCCTGGAGCGCAGGCAGCTCTGCTCCACCCTCCAGAGCCCCGCGTGGCTTCGCGCCGGGATCCGGAGGGTGGCGCGGAGCTGCAAGAAGCCCTGGAGCGCAGGCAGCTCCGCGCCACCCTCCGGAGCCCTGCGGCCGCGCGGGATCCGGAGGATGGCGCGGAGCTGCAAGAAGCCCTGGAGCTCAGGCAGCTCTGCGCTACCCTCCGGAGCCCCGTGCGACTTCGCGCCGGGATCCGGAGGGTGGCGCGGAGCTGCAAGAAGCCCTGGAGCACAGGCAGCTCCGCGCCACCCTCTGGAGCCTCGCGCCGGGATCCGGAGGGTGGCGCGGAGCTGCAGGAAGCCCGGGAAAGCCTGCATTCGCTCCATAGGACGCACACACATTTCCCCTTCATTTTTGGAGGGGAAAAAGTGCGTCCTATAGAGCGAAAAATACGGTACATTTTGGAAAGTTGTTTTGTTCCTTATGCATCTGGGCACCTCTTAAGAGATTGAATTCTGCATCAAGGAACTTTATTTTGTGCCAACTGAAGTCTGAAAGTTGTATCTGCAGTGAAATTCTCATGATCCCCACCACAGACACTTAGTTTAAATGGATACCACTATTAATCATAACGAACAGCACAGAGAAATCCAGAAAAGCTAACAGGGTTGCACTTCCTTGTTCTTCTCCCCAACGATCTCCAGATCAGAAACCAGACTGAAATGGGCCTAAATTACTAGTGATTTCCAAGAGTGTCTGAAGTTGCATGGCAACCACACCTGCTCAATCACCTTGCAACGTGATTGTTGAGCACCTTGCTGGTTCACATTATGCTCTTAGTACTCATCTTCGCACTAAGTACAGTTGTCTGAAAAATATAATTTGCTCCAAACAGGGAAAGGGGGCAATTTGCACAGGAGAGGGAAAGGCAAAGAGTGTCTGAGACTGTATGATTAGGTGATCAGGAAGCTTTCTGTCTACACCAGAGCATTATGGTTTTGACAGACGATTCTTTAACAATAATTCAACATCTTATTAATAAGTCACCGCTATGAACAACCATGTCTACATACCAGCCACTGCTGTCCATAAACAAAAACATGATTTTTGGCAATGTCAACTCTGTCCCACGCAAGTGTAAGGACAAGCTGGTCAAACGCAGAAGCATTTGTGCCTAGAAAACAAACACAGAAATCAGATTCAAACCTGTTCACCATAAAATTCTTATTTTCAGCTGATTTCATGCCTTACCTTATGCTAGGGAAATAATGCATAGCCTATACAATTCATGGTAAAATAGAACATATCTGCTGGAAAAAAGATATGCCCTCTTTTGGAGCGCTACAGATTGTGGCTTATTACTAAAGCTGAGCTGGAAAGGGCAGAATTTGTGAAAGCTTATGTCAATTGTTAGTGGGTAGTTCCCTAGACTGGATGGAGGGGAGACTGCCTGTTCTTGAAGGAGTTACACTCCCTCTTAAGGAGAAGGAAGTAACACCCGGTGGCATGGAGTACCTTCTGTCAACTTTGGCTGGTGGCCAGATATGCCTCTATCTGAACAGGGACAGTCTAACTTCTCTGGCCAAAGCTCTGGTAACCACTAGGTTGGATTACTGCAATGAGTAATACATGGGGCTGCCTCTGAAGACAGTTTGGAAACTTCAGGTGGTGCAAAATTCCGTGGCCAGACTGCTCACCAGAACAAGATGTTCTGGGCATATAACACTGATCCTGGCCCAACTGTAATGGCTGCCAGTCAGTTTCTGGGCCCAATTCAAAGTGCTGGTGTTGACCCATAAAGCCTTAAATCGCTCAGGACCTCAATACTTAAGAACCACCTTTCACCATGCTACTTGACCTGGGCCCTGCTTGTCAACCAAGGCCTTTCTCTATGTCCTCCTCTTCCCGAGAGATTCAGAGGGTGGCAAGACAAGAACAGGCCTTTTCTGTGGTGGCTTCCCATCTGTGGAATACTCTCCCCAGAGAGGCTCACCGGCAACCATCATTACATGTCTTTAGGTGCCAGGCAAAAACATTCCTTCAGCTATTAAATAATCTACGGCCTGTTAAATGTGTGTGTGAGGCAGGACTGATCATGCTGTCTATTATTATGGTTTGTATTGTGTTTCTATTATTATGCTTCATTAAAACATGTTCTTTATGTTGCACACCGCCCTGAGATCTTCTGATAAATGGTGGTATATAAATCAAATAAATAATAATAATAAATGAATAATAATAATAAAATAACCACAACAATGTCCCCCAGTAATATTTTGGATGGTACTGTGAAAAGGAGAGAAATTGTTTGCCTATTCAGATCCAGAAAGCAGTGCACTCACTTTGGAAGAGTTTTATGAAGTTATCACAAAGCTATATTGAATGGCTATGTAGGATGAGACGACACTATGCAAACCAGCGGTAGGCAACCTGGTGCTCCAAGGATGCTAAGTGACTACAACTCCCATCAGTCCAATCAGAAAGCCCATTGTCCCCACCCCAAAAACAATCAGTGCATGCTTAATTATGAGACGTTTTTAAGGTCAAAAACTCACCTTTTAGCAGCGCTGTAAGGATTGCAACATCAATATCTTGATGCTCATCAGATCCAATATGGAACACAGTGATCTGTTTTGAAAATTATATTGGGAGGGGGGGAGTTTTCAATCTCATAATAGTTCCTTTACATATGGTTGATTTGTAACAGTTCATTTGTCTAGCCATAAACCATAACAAAACTAAAGAAAATGCATTAAAATAATCTGCTGTTGTATATACAGAATTCTGAAACCATATAAGGAAACTGCAGAATAATTAACTGCAGTTATTAACCAGTAGTACTATTCTACAGTTATCAACTGCAGAATAGTACTACTAATATAGTACTATTACACATGTAATTCGAGACCACCACTTAAAGCTTAGCAAATTCCAATGAAAAGAAAAGTTAATGCCATGTGCCTTACAACGCATCAATATAATTAAAATTTACACACATTGACAAGCATTTAAGGTAAAGATAAGGTAAATGACCCCTGGATGGTTAAGTCCAGTCAAAGACATCTATGGGTTGCGGTGTTCATCTTGCAGTGGAGTGGTTCAAATATAACCAAAGCTTTATATGCATCAGCCTGCAGTTAGGTCTGAATTTTTATATAACAATTCCCTCCATCCTTTCTTTGTTTGAAACAAGAAAACACGATACTTTGCTGTTTCAAATGAATCACAGGACATGGTTTGTGTTTGCCTTGCAAGCCAGTGCTAGAAATCAGAATCACAGAATCAAATAGCAATTGCACAGCAATCACAAAATTTAATTTGCTAATTCAGATGTATCAGCAAATGACAGCTTGTCATAAACCAAGAAGAGAGGGAATTGTAACACATGAGACAAGTAGGGAGTCTGAAAGCCGAAACCTACTCCAGGGTTCACAATATGTTCATCACACAATGGACTGGCATTATGTTTGGTTTTTGAAAACCTTCATTGGTTTTGATAATACACTTATTCAAGATCTGCAGGTACAACACAGATCTTTGGATCTTGACTGAAAGTCAAAAAACAAATATAAACCCTATGGAAAAAAGGAAAGCGTAAACATATTTTTTAGAAAGAAACGAGGCTCAGCTCAGACATAGCATCAACTTGTGGGGTTGCATCCAACTAAGTTATTGTCATTGCTCCCTTGGGGCTTGGCCCTAGGATGGCAGACTCTGGAGGAAGGTGTGGAGGAATGGGGGAAGGCTGGTCTATTTTAATTTTTCATAGCTAGTGTGATTAATCAAACATTTATTTAGAAAAGTACAATACTAAAGAGTGTTACTACACAACCCTATTGTCGTGGTATAGTATGCAGAGATTTACTCACAAGTTCTCTTTTTTTCATGCACTCCAGTAAGGTCTGGAACAAATGAACTGCCTCGCTCTGACCAAAATTAAATGTCTTTTTGATGGTTGAAATGACTTCAGGCTCTGCTCCATCAGGAATATTCCTGAGATGAAACAAGAATCAATTGAAACACGCAACCATGTGTATTCTTCCCATCAAGGGGAGGGGGTGTGACTCAGGAGTTAGAGGGCAAGGTTTCAGGTTTAATCCCCAGCAACTCCAGTTGAAAAGATCTCAAGTAGCAAGAGGGGGGCGGAGAAAAAGCCTTGGACACATGCTACTTTGAGAAGACAATACTGGGCTACATGGACCAATGTTCTGACTCAGCAGAAGGCAGCTTCCTATACTTACCCTCCCTCTTCTGTTTGTTTATATACATAAGCTAGGATGTCTGCAGCTCTGCCAGTCCCCTCACAAACCACCACTGGCACAGGTGGGTTTTCCTGAAGGTATTCCAAAACTGTGAGGATAACATTGGGGCCACCTTCAAATATGAGTGCAACCACAGGGACACCCTGGCCAATTCCTAGACAAAAGAGGTAAAAAAAAATGCAGTTCTTTTTTCATTATGTCTTTTTCAGAATAAGCACAGCACAGTTCATTAAAACTCAACTCGGAAAGAATGACTTATACTCAAAAAATGTTTATAAAGAACTGGAGCTACTCACAGGGCTTTGTATATCTAGAACCGAAGTGTTATTCTTTAAAAATGCTAAGCTAAGCCCTGCAACGAAAAGCTCAATTATGCAGTCTGTATAAATTAAGCAAGATTGCAGGATTTGTTATTTTATACAATTTATTTCATGGTTTTGACTGTTTTGCACAGTTTTTCTACTCGTCATGGGAAGGGGCAATGGACTATACAAAGCACTGAAGCTCCTCACTCTGTTCACGTGAAAATCTTATTCAGCAACTCTCCATGAGTCCAAGAACTCATCGAACATTTGACCAGACTTTATCAAACATTTGTTCAGCATCTGCCTAGGGTGATGGTTTGAAGGCACACACAGTCACACTGCAGAAACTAAATGCTTCAGGTCTGGCAGCCCTACCAAAGTAAAGGAATTGGAAAGGTCTTTTGGGGAACTAAAAATGTGAATACAAAATACACAAAAAAATCATTCTCTGCAGTTCAAGGGCAATGCATTTTAACTATGCATACAAATCTTCACCAAAAACTAATCTTCCTCAGCAGCGCTAAGCATAAATACTGCTCAAAATTTATAATATAATATTAAAAAGGTAAAGGGACCCCTGACCATTAGGTCCAGTCATCTCGCTTTATTGGCCAAGGGAGCCGGCATACAGCTTCCGGGTCATGTGGCCAGCATGACTAAGCCGCTTCTGGAGAACCAGAGCAGTGCACGGAAACGACGTTTACCTTCCCGCCAGAGCAGTACCTATTTATCTACTTGCACTCTGACGTGCTTTCGAACTGCTAGGTTGGCAGGAGCAGGGACCGAGCAACGGGAGCTCACCCCGTTGCGGGGATTTGAATCACCAACCTTCTGATCGGCAAGTCCTAGGCTCTGTGGTTTAACCCACAGCGCCACCCACGTCCCTCTAACATAATATTAGACTCACCTTATTCCTTCTATTGCACAAACAACTTAAGAGGCTGAGTAGCACACATTTTAATACTGTTAATCATACACAAGGGCTAAAGTGTGGTTTACACATTTCAAAGGCCTAATTAAACTGCAGCCAACTGTGTCAGCATAAACACAAATGGAAGAGAAACTGTAAACACATAATAACTGTACACAGTAAAAATGTAGCCCATAGTTACAACAAATACAGAATACGGAAGCACTACAAAGCTTCTCTTTACCAACTCCTAGTCAAAACAGGATCATTGGTTTTAAAAACATTTTGGGAGTAGATGTACTATATTCCCCAGAAGCCAGCTTGTACAAATGATACTTAACAGCTAATCTGTGACTGACGCAACACAGATTAGTACAAAAAGGTCAGGGTTTCCTTATGTTATTCACACACAGATCTAAGGGTTGCATGCTCACAATAACTTTTGCCCCCAAAGAGAGAAGAATTTCTGTTGTTATAGAGTGCAAGTAAGACTAGAAGTGCAAATCACTCACACTTATTATTTGCTGTGCACCTTTATTATGTCTGAAACCGATTAGAGAATTCAATCTCAAAAGGAATGAAATACAGTTTAAGCAGAGATATTGGTGTGTGATGCATTGGATGGGGGGGGGCGGTATTCCTGACAAGACTGCACCCTAAAGGATCAGACTCACAGCCTGTGGGTATTGTTACATCTGGCCCCATCTCTCGATGTTGATGGCATCTGTGGCATGAAGCCCCTTTCAATAGTTAAGGCTGGACAACCAGCTGTGACTCCTCTTAGGCAAAGACAGATTGAGAACCTGCGGCTCTCCAGATGTTGCTGGACTAAACTGCCACCAGTCTTGACCATTGGCCTTGCTGACTGGGGCTGATGGGATCTGGAAGGTCACAGATTTCCCTACCCCTGGGCCTAAGCAATTATGCATTTCCAAGTCATATCCAGCTTAAGACTACTGAAACATATTGTTCAGGGACCTGCCTCTGAGAATTTCTGAAAAAAATCTACTGGCCAAAAATACCACTGACAGACCACTGACCAGAACAAGCCAGAGGGAACATATCTTATCTTAAAACTCAGATTTCTAAAAGATCACCTACTCCCCTTCAATGTTTACCCCCAATTCCTGAATTCTTCTCAGGAGTCCCATCTGGTGCTATTATGCCTTTTTCAGCACTAGGCAAATATATATTTTTATTTACCCAAGTCTAAACATTGGTTGAAATTATTTTCTTACTACTATATGCTTACATTATTCTACTGTTTTTAACTGGTTTTTAACCATTGGTTATATTGGGATTACTCTAGATTTCATTAAACTACCATGATAGTGGCAATGCAGAATGATGGGAAGTCAATCATAATAATAAAAAAATGCATCCAGGAGAATCAAATGAAGTAGTAAAGCTTTTCCTGGAAGGTACTACTTCTAGTGGCAGGGTGGAGAGTGCATCTTTCAATTATCCTTAATAATCCAAGCCCCGGTAAAGAGAAAATCAGCACTCCTTGACTTGCTATTTTTCTAGCGGCAGTTAAATTTCTATATGGGGAAGCAGTGAAACCTGCAATCCCAGCTCCCTTCCTAAATAATGCAAGTCAAGACAACTTTTTACAAGCTTAAGTTCCAACCCCCACACTGCACATAGAACAAAAAGGGCCAACACCACATAATTAGTTAATCATGGTCCACACATACGTGCATGGATCCTTTGCAGGTTAATTGTTTTTTCCAGTTCTCTTCGTAGTTTCACTTCTGCTCCATATTTTCCAACTGTCCCATCATCCACCAGTATGAAATGGGAATGAAGATTATTCAAGACGTTAAGTTTGCTCAAAGGATTCAGCAGGGTTTGATATGGAGCAACAACCTAAACATAAAACAAAACAAAAAGACCTTCGCATGGATATAAACCTGATTCCCTCCCCCCCCCCAAATGTAGCAGGCTTCAAAATTCCCTTTTCATTTGCCAATTGCCAACGATCTGTTTATCCATCAGCTGCAGATTTCTGCTTCATTCCCATATAAAGCAAGTTGTAATACCAGGAAGTATCAACACATTAATCTTATTCATAATTGGGATTCTTTATTCTTTAAAATCACAATGAGGTAAGCACACGGCAAGGAAAAAGCAACCAAAGATCATTGCTAGGATGGTTTTTACTCTAAAATATCTCATTGAAAGACTGAGGTTTTCGAAGTTTCCAGACAGGGTTGTTTTTAAGTAGACTGGATTGATTCTGACATGCCTATGTATGCAGGTCCCATCTGCTCCCCAGAATTGGTTCATTAGGTGAGCATTTACGTAGCAAACCACTGATTTCAATTGTTCCTAAAAGGAAAACCCCAGTGTTTTCCTGACCAAGAAGAAATGACAAAAAAATCCATGGCTCATAACCGCCCCCTCACCTCTGAGAGAATTACTTTCCTTAATGATCTCAGCAAAAATAAAATACAGTAACAGCTTTAAAGAAAGTCATTTAGTCATCTTCTTGTTTTTTGCTGGTTGTGTACAGTCATTCTGGCTCCTTTCCTCAGCCCAGCATTTTCGCCACCCCACACCCCAGCTCTCCCCTTCTCCTTTCTTTTCTTTTCTTTTTTCCCTGCCTCACAGTGTGTAGGACCAGATCTTCCCCTTAACTTGTGTGCATATAAGCTGCTCATGAAGCAGCAGCACAGTAAGAACTACACCAGGGTAGGAAGGCACAGGCAGAAAAACTTAAGAGGTGAGGCAGAGAGCTGGTATGGCTGACGGGGAGATCACAGTTCTCTGCACACAAGGGAAGCTGCTCGTGAAGGAGCACCATGCAGGATCCGATCCTTCCACTTAACAGCTGTTAAGCCTTGAGATATGATGCTGAATGGTGCTGCTCCCTCACAAGAAGCTTCTCTGAAGACAAGTTTAAGGGGAGGCTCTGAGAAGGGAAGGGAAGAGATGGCGTGGCTGGCAGGGAGATGCAGCTGGAACTGAACTGAGGAGACAGGGAACAGGGAACATGGCACCCAAAATAGCTGTCCCCAACCAGCAAAAAACAAAGAGGACTAAATGAGTTTCTTTAAAGCTGTTATTTTAATTTCACTGAGATTCTTTCAGAACACACCCAACTGTTTGTATATGTTTGTACAGTTATATAGCTAGGTTTGGGCACAATTTCCTCATGTTTAGGTAGTTGAGTTTTCACATAACATGTGTTCACAAAGCGGGACCTGCGTGTACATGGTTCTGGGATGGCTAAGTGACATCCATTTTACAAAAAGAGTTTCCTATTCACATCACAACCTTACTTCATGAATTGAATAATTCTCTTCAAAGCCTTAATGTACTTAGGAATTTTCTTCTTTTCATAAACAGTTGAGAGCACAACAATAATAAATGGGCAAACTTACATCTCTCCCAACGAGGTCATTTCTGTTTTCAATTACTCCCCAAGGAGCTATTCCAATAGTGCAAATCTTTCGAGATGATCGAGAGGCATGTTCCTTGAGGGCATCACCAACGTGCTTTGCAACTCCTGTTCAGGATCAAACAATATTGTAGTGTTACTAAATGTATGTTCTACTGGTGGCAAATATCTACAGAACCCAATGGCTCAGTTCACATCATGCTTTAGCAAAAAAACAAAAACCACTTTGCTCAATTTAGAAGGCAAAGTAATGCTATAACACTAGCACTGAAATACATTTAAGACCGATGTTTATTGTATTATAGGGACGCGGGTGGCGCTGTGGGTTAAACCACAGAGCCTAGGACTTGCCGATCAGAAGGTCAGCGGTTCGAATCCCCACGACGGGGTGAGCTTCCATTGCTTGGTCCCTGCTCCTGCCAACCTAGCAGTTCGAAAGCACATCAAAGTGCAAGTAGATAAATAGGTACCACTCTGGCGGGAAGGTAAACGGCATTTCCGTGCGCTGCTCTGGTTCGCCAGAAGCGGCTTAGTCATGCTGGCCACATGATCCGGAAGCTGTATGCCGGCTCCCTCGGCCAATAAAGCGAGATGAGTGCCGCAACCCGAGTCGGCCACATCTGGACCTAAAGGTCAGGGGTCCTTTTACCTTTACCTTACTGTATTATAGAAAGACTTGTAAAAATGTGTAAACACTAAAGTTAAGTTTTGAGCCTTCCTAATTACAAACAAATCCTGGTGACATGAACGGGCTCTCCAAAAGAAACCGAGCCTAAAATGCGTATCTGTCAATGTGTGCAAGTGCTTCTATAACCCACACTCTTAAAGTAAGCATTTTACACCCTCAACAATGCCCGAGTTCAAAAGCTTGCAGGATTGAAACAAGACATGTCTTATGAAACAGTTCCAATGTGTCACATCATAGCTTGCTTATCCAAAATTCAATTATCAATCAGATCGTCATGAAGGGCACCTTCTCAGCTCCTACATTTTTGAGCTGGAGCACAAGTTTCCAAGCCAATTATGGGTACCACCTTCAGTAGTTTCATTCTGTGTGAATCTGTAGCATAAGCAGCTCTACTTTAGTTGGTAGAAAATATGGGGTAGTTTCTTGGCAATGTGGATGTATGGCATTTCCAACATGACACCTGATGATTCCAAGCCTGCTGTCCCCATGGCCGTGCAGACTGCAATCATATTGATGCCAATTTGACATCAAAATAGTCATACGGACTCAAAATAGTCATACGGAGATGATATCCAGGTGTCTCAAGTGCATGTGAAGTGGAAAGTATATTTAGAGTCAAGACTTCACCTGTATTCACTCCTCCAGTTATAATCCAGGCTCCTGTTGTCACTGCAGCTTTAATAAGGCCTTTACCAAGCAACTGTTTGATGCGTGGATGAAGCTCAAATTTTTGCATCCCTCCATGAACAGAAACAACAAGCTTGGGCAGTTCCATCTGCCATTCTTTAAGCATAAGCTGTAGGATGGCTTCAGGTCTGGTGTCATATGACAGCCGCACATACTAACAAAAAAGAGTTGGGAAGGGTTAACCTTTTTTTAATAATGCAATCAGGAAATTATAGCCATACTTATGCAAGGGTAAACAGGCATTTCACAGGTCATTCCAAATGCATGAAAATTTCTAATGGGAATTAGAGAACTGCCAGAGGATTCTGAATATGCCACAATAATGATATTTAAAAACCTAATCACAACACGATTTGTTTTATTTGTAAACACTGCAAAAGCATTGAACATTTTGTCAAAAGGGTGATTCCATAGCCTCTTTGTTAATATTTTGTGTCTTAGTCAATATTATTTAACTCCAATTAACATAAGCTATTTGTGTGTTAATTGGTTTGATCTTCCCATAAAAAATAATCAAGCAGTATAGCACAGGTAGCTCAAATGTTCTCTTTTTATTGTGTTTTAAAAGATGTGACCAATATAACAACTTTGCAACCTCAATAATCTATCTGTAACTTGTTTTCTGTAACTTATTAATTTAAAAATTATGTTATGTATTTTTGTTTGGATGAAAGGCGGTGTGAAAATTGTAATAATAATATTAATAATAACAATAACAATAATAGAATGTAGTAATTACTTCAATTTGGGGTGGGGGACACAAACATAAATTTAAAATGTAAAGTGCAAATAAGTCATATGGAACCTTGACTTCACTCATCTCTTTACATGGTACTACCTTCATGTTTAGATAAATGTTTTCATATTCACTTGTAAATTCATTTCAATATTATTCCACTCTACCATTAAGCAATATATGGAACATTTGATACTGACCTTAGCTCGATACGAATGAGAGCCTCCTTGAAAGTTTATGATACCATAAGCATCTGTGGAACTCTGCTCAGTATGTTTTTCTACAGACCACTCTTCTACCTCCTGATTAAAATTTTCACCCAGTTTCACATCTGAATATTTCATGGCAAGGCTGGCAGTAAAGCAAGCATGTTGGCGGACCAAGCGACCACAACAGCACCTGCAGATAATCATCACAATTTGCAGAATTGGGGAAACACACAAGAGGTAAATGCATAATCTGTTATCCATTCTCATAGTACTGGATATGCATCAATTTAGGATGAAAATACCTATTAATAGTTTTGTGCACTTGTTGTTTTTTAAGCAACTATCCAGGCTGATTTGCACGATTCTGGCAAAATTTCTGAACCAGTTGTCTTTAAATCCTTTAAATATTGCCAGAGCATAGAAAAATAGAAAATCAACTCAATTTACTTTACAAGGAACTCATCACTTTTCACATGCTTTCACACAATGGAAACAGTAACAGAACGTATGGACAAATGTCTTATCTGAAAAACTGACAAAAAGTGTGCATGCCTTGAACAGCACATTTGATGTGGACAATTTTATCAAAATATGGTATTCAAAAGAAGACTCTGATTACTGGCACCCACTGACTTTGCACATAGGCTTGTGGCAAATCTTATACATTAATCTTCTGTTTCAGGGGGAGAGGGGCAGAACGGGGAAACTTAATGTTTGGTCATATTTTTGTGTGTGTTTCTTAGTTGCTGGAAGGCTTTGACATTATCTGATAAGCAGTTCACATAAGAAAAGTCAGAGCAAAGGTATATAGGATGACTTATAATAGTAATGTAGAAAATATAAAACACCCAAGAACTAGAATGCCATGACTAAGGGTCAACATACCTTTCACTACCAGCACTGGTGAAAGGCCTACCTATATCCAGTTTCCCTTGTCTACCCATATCCTTCCATGTTTTAATTAAATCTTCTTTACATTTTTACTTGTCTTTTGCTTCCCGTCATTTCTAAAAAAATTACAGAACCATCAGCTTTCTGATGTTTTACTTAAGTCAAATAATTAAAACAGTATTTTCAAAAGAGATACATAATTGCTTCATCTTACATAATCATACCTGACAAGTTGCTGACAAATCTGACATCCTGGAAGGCATCTATGATTAAGAATACAATAAAGTAAGTTAGAATTTTTCTTGTATTTTTTATTAAATCCAATTTATGACTAAATATGACCGAGATTATTCTTAATATATTTGTCATTACAGTACTTTCTGAAATTCACACCACAAATTATTTCCTGTCCTATCATGTATTCTGGGATATGCCTCTTAAGAAGAAAGCACTGTAACTGTTTATGAGGGCAATTTTGTTTGCACGAAGGTGGTCTAGAGAATAATAGAAAAATGACTGCTCATAGTTGTACGCAAGATATATCATTGTAATGTTACACAGAACGGAATACATATATGATGCACATATAATAAAGTGCAAGATTTTACTGTCTACAGAAATTCACTGTTGGGACAAATCCCTCAATACTTTAGATCTTTTGACAGCTATGAAAAAATTAAAAATAATTTCTAAAATATGTTTAATACCTTTTTTAGTTATAATTATTCATTATTTTTAATTTATAACCTGCCCTTCTTCCCCAAAGGGAGTTCAGGGCAGCTCACAATAATGTAAGTGAATAAACCACAATTTAAAGCAGCACAATAACTTATTGCAGAAAAGTTACAAACAACAGCATAAAATCTTCATAAAACTATTAGCCAAAAGCCTGTTTTGTTTTGTTTTTCAAAAAAGTATTTATGCATTTCCAAAATGCAGGTAAAGAGAGGGACAGCCTGATTTCCCTTGGAAGGGACTGCTGCCACTAAGAATGCCCAGAGATAATTATAAACCCTGGGAAAAGAATAACTAGATTCCAGTTGTTTGAAGCTGCAATCCAGTGCTCAGTGTTAAAAATATCAATGGAACTTTCAGAAGATACATCAAATTGCACTGTGTTGAAATGCATTTTTGAAAAAATTATGTTTAACCCCAGGTCTGCTTAACACAGAGATCAGCCACAGCAGTAAAATATATGTGAGGCAGCAGACAACTGAGCATAATCATGCCAGATGGGATATGTGCTACAAATGAACAAAACAAAATGGTTTGTTATTTGGGAAATGTCCCAAATTAACAAGGGTGGGTCGGAAGTATTGTTATTGTTGTTTTCTTAGTTTTGTTATATTTGTATATCAATTAAAAAAAAAAAAAACAGCTCCCCGGTTTATGTTCTTGATATCAACACATTTTTCATGTGTTTCAGTTTGATCAAAGCAAAACTTGTGCAGGGTCCTTTGGCTTCAAAGAATGCAAAATATATATTTCAACATATTTCACAATCAAAAACAAATGTTAGCTATCTCCTGTTCAATTATAACAAAACTTTAAAAGCTAAATTTTACTTTTACTCAGAAGTTGTACTGAATTCAGAACAAACTGAAGGTCAAGTCCTCCAGTCCTCTTTCCACTGCAGTCCCTTACACCTCCCAAAAATTATCTGCAGATTCCTCTGCTCAAGATTTCACCAATTCCTCAGGAGAAACTTGAGGCAGGTGCAGAGGGCTGCACTGGAGAAAAGAGAGTAGAACATTCATTTTCTGAGCACGGTCCTTATGGTCACAGCACATAATTTATACTTCATAGTTAAACCTTCTGCTTCCATCATTTTTAGTTTACCTGTGAGGATCCTTTGAACTTGGTATAATGTAGACACATTCCCGTTTGTTGAAAGTATTTTCTATCCAAGATTTCTGGGACTGTAAAACAAGCGATTTTCAGGATCATGCAAAAACAATGTCAGATATTATACAGTACTGCAGAGAGCTATTTCTCATGGGATCTACCATCCATGTTTAACAGTAAACAACGCCTCCCTGACTCCCTTTCCCCCATCCAATATATTTTCAAACATACATAGATTCTATCCATTATGCAGGCCTGTCTTTGGGATAACAGAAATCAAGCCCCATCAAACCACCTTTTCATGTTTTTTATGGCAATACCTGTACAGTCAAAATGTTAATTAACTCATTGCTCTCTTATAGAGTTATATTGCTATAAGGTTTTGAAGCCGGGTTTATTCATAAGAAGTGTGAGAGGAGAGCTCTGCTTGCTTTGATTACAGAACTCACCAACTTTACAACTACAGCTGTGAGATATAAGGGACTCCTCCATGAAAAATACGATAAAAGGACAATCTCATTGTAGAGGAGAGGCAAAGAACTGAGATATGAGTTTATCAAAGATTCTCCCAGCCTAGTGATAAAGTAATTGAACCTCCAGGTGTGAGTGCTTTCACGAGGAAGCTGGCGTGATTTCTTTATTTTGGAAGAAGTCTACTGAATTGTTTGGGACACTGCCTGCAAGGAAAGGATTTATAATATACATAAATGGCTAAGCTTTACTTCAGAAAAGAAAAGTGCAATTGCACAGCTTTCCAATAAATATTTAGTAAGTATTCTTGAAAATATTATTCATTTTGAATTTTCAGACTAAATCTTTTCAGTGATAATACATAATATGAATACTAGGACAACAGACATAAGAGGGCAGTACACATCCCACTGGTATACTGTGAACAACCTAGTGCTAAAGTTGCTAAGGACAACACTTCAAAATTATTCCACATTTATACATTTGTCTAAAGAAAGAAAGAAATTATTTGCTTTCAAATCCTCTATGAAATGCATGTTCCATTAATCTCTTTCAATATCCTATGTGAGTGAGTACAAGATTACAGCATTAACTCTAGACAACACCCCCATAAAATGTATAAACAAATAGTTTTGATTAAGCTGTTTATGAGTTGGAATAAACAAAAGGACAACAAACACACACTGTTTAGCTGCTATGACCATGCGAAAAAACAGTTTTTGGAATATCTATCAAAGAATAAGGTCCATAAATATCTATTTTAGAGTTGCCACCAATCCTTGAACAGAGAAACATGTGGACGCCAACCCACATATAAAATCTCCTGAGCTTTCTCTAAGTTTTGAACTGCAATTTAAAATTAATAATAATAATAATAATAATAATCTGCATCATTGAATTTATCAACTTTACATCAGGGTAGATAAAAGCTGCCCTGAAAGTCTTGCGCTGAAGAGTGTATAATGAACAGCTGCACAACCAAATGAATTCTAAGAGTTTGTCCAATATTATAATAAGCAAGCTCTAGAACAGTTCTCATTATTCTGCTTCTATAAGCTCTTGCACATGCAAAGGAAAATCTGTGGATTTAGTTTCATGCCCCTCCATACTCCAACACAAGATGTAAAACAAGTCTTCCATGAGATGTTTTTGGACCCAAGTAATGCTACAATTGGTTTCAAGCCAGTAACACTGCAGTTTTATTCAATAACCTTATTCTTCATATCTATGCTTTTCTTTTTGATCTATGCTTTGGATAGGTTCCTTTCTCTTCTGCCAAACTTTCAAAGCAAGATATTGTTAATTAGGTAATACAAGACAAGTAATAAGTATATACCATAGTGTTAATGGTAAGAAAGACTTTTCAAACTATCTTTATAGATACATGCCTGCTGACTTCAAGCATTCAAAGGTGGCAAACAAAAGTATAAGCATTAAATGGACTTCAGTGCCTTCAATTCATTTAAAGTAAGAGGTAATGTAATACAATAGTAGAGAACATCTGGTAGATCAGCAATTGAAGATTAGTCCTTAAAACAATTACAGTAGTTAATTTTCCTCAAGAAAATTATTTAGAATAGTAGATTTAAATACTGAGCATAATTTCTGATATTTCAAACTAAGCTAACAAAGATCTATAAAACTGTAAAACTGCATCCCTTATTATTATTATTTTGTTCTATGTAAAGGCACCTTATTTGTTTAAACTGTATTAAGCTTAAATGTTAAAATTTTAAAAACCAGTTAGCGATTTTTTTAAAAAAGTACCTGCTCAAGATACAAGGTCCATCTTATTTTTTCTTTGCAGAAATTCATGGTGAACAACTACTAGCAGTCTCCTTTGAGAAGCAATCTTATACCGCTCAGTTCACTTTAATTTAAGGTTTTGCAGATGACAGGTTATATGCTGCTAAAGTGCCGGATGAGATCAGCCCTTAAAATAATTCAACATAGCATTACAGGTACCATCCTATTATCACATATGAATAAAGTGAATGTTTTCAGGTGTTTTCCCTCTAAGCAAGTATTCTATTCTCCTCCAAAACTTTTAGAAATTTAAAAGCCTTCTGTAAGAGAAAATGGGATTCTTCAGAATCAATCAAAATTAATATGCACATTCTGCCATATTTAACCAAAGTACTATGTTCTGGTGATCCGTGTTTGAATATTTAATATACAGTGGTACCTCGGGTTACATACGCTTCAGGTTACAAACTCTGCTAACCCAGAAATAGTGCTTCAGGTTAAGAACTTTGCTTCAGGATGAGAACAGAAATCGTGCTCCGGCGGCGCGGCAGCAGCAGGAGGCCCCATTAGCTAAAATTGGTGCTTCAGGTTAAGAAAACAGTTTAAGTACGGACCTCCGAAACGAATTAAGTACTTAACCCGAGGTACAACTGTACAACCATTCCAAAATATTCACTATTCATGAATCATGGTAGACACTTAATGAGTCTATAAAGTGGCTGCCAAGAATAGCAACTGAAGATTTGTCATAGCTGGCTAGCCAGCTAGAGCCCACCCATGCTGTAGGACAATAATTGAATCGTGCACTCTGAGTAGATGTTTGATCCAGAAGCATTTAGGTGAAGCTATTCCCATAAGACTATTGCCCTTTCCACTTTCTGTAACAAAGTCCACCTAATTTGAGTGGCACATTTTAAGCACTGTTGTATGATGGCACACTGCTTTTGTGTGTTAGAAGAGCAGCAATGACTACATGTAGCGAAACAGTGGGCAATTCAGTAACAGAAGCAGAAGTAACTGCAAGAGGTTTCCAGTAGCCAGATTATGCTTAAGAGAAAGACCCAAAAGGGCATCACTGGGCAAAGTAGTTTCTCTCTCCTCCTGCAGTCAGTGAAATCCTATTATGTTTATGCAGAAATAAATCCCACTGAGTAAGTAAATCTTTGATGTACTTACTTGGTAAGTGCCATTGAAGACTGTGGCCAGCATTACTGATCCCCATACTACCCTTCATCAAGCGCAAAAGAGAACTTATTACTCCCCTGAACCCATGAATAGAAGCTGTGATTGCAGGAAAACAAGGGCCCAAAGTATTGCAAAAGAAACAAAACACTATCTGGACTTCCTTTTCTCACCACGGATTCAAAGCAGGGGTGAGGCACTAATTTCCATCCACACAGAGCCCCACCCAAACCTTTACACATGACAAGACAGGATCAGGCCTCAAGCTCATACTGCCTTCCCAATACTTCTCCTCCCAATGGGGAGGAGACTGTGAGTTCACTGAGGGAATATCATGTTTATGTGAATTTAGGTTTCCTTGACCCTGCAATCAAGAATCTACAAGGCACTGTAGTACAACATCTGTATTCACCAGTTCCTCTGAATGCAACAGCTCCTTCCAATTTCTCCCCACACACCCCTGGTTTCTGGTGCCAATTAACAGGATTGTGACCTCAGAGGTTGTTGTTCAGAAACCCAGAGGGAAAAGGGTTTAGGGGTGCATTGTGGGATAAAAATTGGGCTTGCATAAAGAGACAGACTGAGCAGACACTTTGCAGCTGAATCTAAATCATATACTGTATTTCAGACACACAACAGTAAATTACTCCAGTTCCACACCAACTTGCACCTTAAAAAATATGATGTGAATGTACAGATCCCAAACATGCTAGAAAATATTCCCAGTATATTAAAGCTATTTACTCATTTATTGGAGGGAAAGCACACACATAAATATGATATGCACATAAAAATTATGTTTTAACTTTTTTCCTATGTGTAAAGGTAAAGGTAAAGGGACCCCTGACCATTAGGTCCAGTCATGACCGACTCTGGGGTTGCGGTACTCATCTCGCTTTATTGGCTGAGGGAGCCGGCATACAGCTTCCGGGTCATGTGGCCAGCATGACTAAGCCACTTCTGGTGAACCAGAGCAGCGCACGGAAACGCCGTTTACCTTCCCACTGGAGCGGTCCCTATTTATCTACTTGCACTTTGACGGTCTTTCGAACTGCTAGGTTGGCAGAAGCAGGGACCGAGCAACGGGAGCTCACCCCGTCATGGGGATTCGAACAGCCGACCTTCTGATCGGCAAGTCCTAGGCTCTGTGGTTTAACTCACAGCACCACCCGCGTCCCGTACTATAGCCAAAAAACATATATCCCAAACCCAACCAGTAAGTACATCTAAAACAGAAATTTAAAATACAAAGCACTGCAACACAAGTGTGACACAATCTTTTGTTAATTTTCTTAATTTAAAGCTTACTATGGCATGACAATATGTAACAGCTCTGCCTGCAGTGTTTTAAAACAAACTACAAAAGTTATCGTGATATACAGATCTCTACAACAGACTGTTACTAAGCGTTTACTATAAAGCCACAAATTTCCACTATTTATAATAAATTGCTCACTTGAAAGAAATACTTTTATTAACCAAGCACATGGTGATCATGGGACTAAGCTGTGACCCATGCCTAGTTGACTGTAACACCTCACAGTACAAGAGCAATAGCTGGAAGGCCAAAATTCCAAGCATAGCTCTCCTTATCTTCCTATCATCACTTCCAGCCAATGAATCTCATTTTAGAAATTGTGCACCTGGGGTAGACATTATAGCACACCAAGTTCACACATACAAATTAGTCCGCCAGCTTTCCTGTCCATACATAAATTTACAACACTGATTGCAAGTTACTTTTGTTCTCCACTAGATCTGAATAATATATAAAAAGGCACACCTAAAACACCTATGAGGATGCCTCAAGAATGCATTATGTTTATCAGGCATATTTCTCCCGGTGTGTTGTGCTCCTGATTCAAAGTGCACCTTTCTCCAGAAAGCTATTCTTCTGAAAATAGAATGTATGTATCATATATCAGTGTAAAAACTACTGTAGCAACTGACTTGGTTATGTCAGGGCACATGAACTGCTTTTAACCAGAGTTCTGGAACCAGCTTTCTGGTTAATAGGGAACTCCAATCCACATTAAGCCTAGCTAACCATAAAGCTAAGGTTTGGCTTAGAATTACATGTGAACTAAACTTATGCCTTATTGGCTTGGGTCCCAATGGTCATGAGAAGAGTTCTGCTCACAGAATGGAGTTCTTCTACCTCATTGTGCATCCTCCCCAAAAAGCAACATAGAAAGGTTTGGGGCTGGGACCATATAGAACAGCATAACATATGGTGGTGGCTGCTACAGCAAGGATTAGGAATTGGCAAACTTTTGAGATACCAGTCTTGGTGCAAGTGGATATTTCCTTCATTTATGCACCTCCATTTCTGAATTCAAATCACTACTTCTAAACTCCTATTCTGCAATGGCAAACGGAATGAAGGAATGAATGAATGAATGCTGCTTCATAATTCAAATTCAGCTGCAAAAGAACTCTCTAATATAAAATCTACTTCTCTTTTTGAGATACTCCTTAATGCAGGAGATCTTATTTGAGAGGTTATCTTATGAAAAATTGCATGTACAAGCTTCCCATGAATAACTTACGTTTTTAGAAGTATGTTTCCTAAGAAAATCCCAGTTTTATTTAAAAACGAAAACTAAAATGGACACCTTTAGAAGGAGTATTGAAGATTGGTCCTGTTTTCAAAACAGCTTCATTTTGTAATACAAAAAATGATGGAAGGATAAAGGTACGTTATATTTTTTCCTAGAATTGTTTAAACATTTAGACTCCAACAAACCCCAACAGACGTCTCACTCCCTTGCTCATTGCAATTTTAAAGTTACCTATTTCTATAATTACTAAGTCTTAAACAGGACAAAGAAGGACTAGCTAGCCAGCTCATGCAGCATGCTATATTTAAAGCTCTTCTCCAAACAGTAAGATCTAAGACGTTCCGAAGCACAATAAGAGGCAGGGGGAATGTCAGTTAAACTTTTTTCACAAAATTGACAATAATAAGTTTATTTTTATAACTATACCCGCCCCCCTGAAAATTTTCATTGGCCCGTCCCATTATTTCCTGTGGTTAGCTGAAACAGCAGGTCTGGCAAGTTTACTCCAGAACCATTACCCATAAAGAGCTAGCTAAAAGTACACAATGAATTAATAATCCAAAACTGATACAGTATCAATTAAGCATTCCATCCTGACAGTAAGCTTTTTATTTACACACAAGGACCTGTTTGGGTATTCTTCTCACCCCTCACATCTATGTCTGGCCAGATTGGAAATGGGTGTACTTCTCCCTCACTGTTCAAACAAGGGAATTCCTATTTTTATTAGTATGTATGTCAGGCATGGGCAAACTCGGCCCTCCAGATGTTTTGAGACTACAGTTCCCATCACCCCTGGCCACTGGTCCTGTTAGCTAGGGATGATGGGAGTTGTAGTCCCAAAACATCTGGAGGGCCGAGTTTGCCTATGCCTGATGTATGTTCTCCCTCACCCTACCATAAAGAACCAACAATGGGGGCGGAGGGGAAGACTCCTCTTAACCACAACTCCTCTGTGCAGTACTTTATATTTTTTTCATTTTATGAATGGAAATTGGATGAGAAAAATATGACACAACATATAAGCAAAACATATTACTATGAGTTCATAACAAAGCTGGACTTTGAGCTTAAATATGTCAGGTTCAAGGACATTCCTAGGGCTACTATACTGTACTTGTTTTCACTGAATAAAAAATCGGAGTTAATAACTATGCTTCTTTAGTTACTTGAATTGCTGTCAGACACATGAGAATAAATACTAATTGAACTACTAGACACAATGTCTCCACTGTTAACTTGCGCTTCTTTTTTTCTACCAGCTGTACAAAATAATTTATATATTAGGCTTTATAATGCATCCTTTCATTTATAAACAAACTGCTGATTAGTATATAGTATACCATATTTGTATAGTATTCTTAATTCCTAAAGAGTCCCATATCTTTATTAATACTGCTTGCATCTGATGCCTTACCACATTTTTCTGGAATTCTTTTCTTTCTTTCTTTTAATTTCCATGAAATAAAACATGAACTAACTCCATACCAAGTACTAACAGAAATGGTGGAAAGTTATCATGGTTTTCTGTGTAGAACTCCTTTTATTTGGAAGTAACATTTGATAGAATAACGATAATTCAACACCGTTTGTTGCATTATTCTGCATTACATTGTCTTTCTAATTATATTGTTTTTTATGGTCTTATTCTTAAAAAGGCTGATGTTATGAGCCCTCAAACCTCAGAAATACAACTTTTCCTAAAGATTTTCACAATCTTTTTGGCCGCTAGTGAATCAGCACCCCTTCATTCAATCAGTCTGGTAAATAAAATATGGGTCTTGCTTACTTTCTACCACAGACCTTAGGTATTATGAAGAGCAGTGAAGGGCAAAAGAGCCTCGCCTCCCACACCCTCAATTTGAACCTTTTACATGTTTTTGTACGCACTGTGGAATTTTATGCATTGTGACCTGATGTTATTTTTATTGATAATAGTTTAGTAATTATTTATTTTTGTTTGTTTGTTAAGAGTCCATTTCTGTTTAATTATTTTGAGTTATATTTTGGGCTAATTTTATTGTGTACTATCATATTCTAATGGATATATTATACTCTATATAAGTTGTTTATTTTAAAGTTATGTTTTTATTACAACTTTTTTGTATTGGATCCCAAGGTTCTAAGGTGTGTGATCTTGGCTGTATCTTTTGTTCTTTCTTCAACTTGTAAACCACCTTGTATATTGTAATATAGAAAGGTGGTGTACAAATTAAAAATGGAAAAAAACACATTTAACAATAGTATCTGAGATATAGCAATTAAAAACTCTAACTTCCCAAAACCCAAGAGCCAAAAATCAACTTTGCAAACTGCTGGAAACCTGAAAACTATTACCATTCAAGAACTCTTTTGATTAACATTACAGCAAAAACTTCTGAGACATTTTGGTTGGCCTAACAAAAGTGGGTGCGATCCAACTGTGGCAGACCTCTAGTACAATGGCGATTCTTCTGATGGGAACCACATTTTTAACACAGAGAAGCAGTCAAATCCATTGAGCAGCTTTGGGCCGCAGAACATACTGTTTAGTGCTGTTCAGATTGTACTAACTGCCTGTGCAGCAAAAATATCCTGCACAACAATGACAACATTAAACTGAATCTCAACCATTGTCCTACTATGAATTTTGGAATTTTTCTTATGGGCCAGCATGGCTATCTTTACTTCTTTAGCATAAAAAGGTCATCGGCATTAATCCTGTTTATTTAATTCTAGACTTGACCAGCTGTAATTTACTCTCAAGTAAAATAATCCTCATTAGTGTCAGTTTTAGAAATACTACTACTCCTGCTTACTCTTGCTCACTGCTATGGCAACTGTAAAAATTCCTATGCCAAGTAGTGAATTCCCATCTCAAAGAATACAAATCCTCTTTCAAAGGCCTAAAGGGGTTTTAAAATCTTCCTGATTCACTGAATGAGCCATGACCAGCTTTAAAAGCCTGAGTCATACCTTTGCTTCCTACTCACCTCTGAATCATTTTGTCTGACACAGGAATTAAAATGAATATGCAACCAACAAAAAGCATGCATTTTTAAAGTAGCATATTCATTTTAGTGAACTCTTGTTTATCTGAAACAAATCAGCTTCACACAAAGCTATATGTTCATTTGCTGAAGACACAAGGCAGCAGAAGTAACTCTGTTTGGGCAAATACCTTTTTAACTATCATTCTATATCACCTGTACCAAGACAGACTTATCATCCAGCTAAATGGACAGCAAAAGAAACTTCAAACATTTCTGCACATTTCCCAGATTACCATACCCTACCATACCACACCATATATCTTGGCAGGTATCAAATTTGAAAGCAAGGGTCACTACATTTCTTTCCCATCTCCAGACAGCTTCAACTGTTGTCTGCTAAGCTCTTACATACAACAAACAGGAGAGTGGCTAGACGCATATAAAAAAAGTTGTGAAAATGCTTTTTAAAAAAACATTTTGGAATATATATTGAATTTGCCATAGTTCACCATCACCATCTAGTATCACATTTGTAAAACGCACTTTTCAACACAACATTAGTCCTACTCAGAGAAGATCCACTGAAATTGATGAACATGACTAACTTCGGTTTATTCCAATAAGCTTACTCTCTATAGTACTTAGCTGGATGCAACCCACTGCTAGTGGGGAGCCCAAAAGGCTTGAGCCCCAAGAGCCCGGATCTCCTGCCCTTTATTAAGAAACATCTTAATTTTCCCAGCAGCGCCATCTGCTCTGTAAGTGAAGTGGGGGGGGGCCCTCTCAGCCCATACTTGTTAAGCCATGGGGATGTGTGAGGAAGTTGAGTGACTGTAGAGATGGGGAGGGCAGCACAGTGGTGATGGTGAAGCTTACTGTGGGGCCATGAAACTTAGTGAGCGATCATGGGTCAGGTAGTTTCACCCCTTGGGTTTTAACAAAGTTGACAAAATGAGCATGGGGGTGGAGGGGGGGACATGAACACTACCCTGAACTCATTTGAGAAATGGGCCAGATAAAAGAGCATCCAGCTGCCCTATATGGGAAATTTACATGTGTGATACAAAGATAATAGCATTACCCTGATGTTTGTCACCACCATATGGAATTCAAAAAGTGAGGTGTGGATTTTTTAATTTTTACATTACTCATCTCTCAGGCTTAAGTGTTATGTTCCCATCTCCGAAATGGTAGGATTTTTCTGGGAAGCTTTTTGCATGTTTGATTGCTCAGTTATATAATATGCATGTGTAACTTGTCTAACTTGCTTGAATTATCAACTCTGCACATAGGGCATTTTCCTGCTTTCCAGTTCTGTTGATCTGTAGTTGCCGCATATCAAGCGTGGATAACAGAGGACTTTAAGTACACACAACAGACAGCTTGGGCAAGAAAGGACTGTGTCGGAAAGAGTTAAGAGTTACTTTTAATATGTACTTAAGCATCAGTTCTTGCAAACAGATTGGGGGGCTACAATCCACATACAGCACACCGGGTCCAGAAAATCCTGCTAGTACCATACCTCAAAACTCTCAGAAAAACTGTTTTCTCCCTCTGAAAGTTTGCCTAAATTTGAATCCAGGCCCACAAATTAGCATATTCAAATAGATGCAAATTAGGGTGATGGGCCTGTGACCTGAGGTTTTTTATTCCTGGCAATGCCTCGTTTAGAAAATATCATGGATACGGAACTGACAGCCTGATATGGCCCATGGGGGTCTCCCATTCAAGCCTAAAGTCTCTCCTCCTTGTCCCGTGCCCCTGAGCTGTAATTAGCTCTGGAAAAGCTTCCTATGGGCTTTTCCAAGCCTGATTGCAATGAGTGAGTGGTTACAGTGAGAGAATGTGTGTCTACATTAGAGACAGAACGAAACAGTTGGTGCAAATGACTGAATATGTATGTATAGATATATGCATATGTATGTTTTTAAGTTCAGTTTTTGTGGGACATGCCTAGGAAGAGGAGAAATGGGGAGAGCAGTTGGCGGGGGCAAACACAGTGGTTCAGAGTAGGGGGAGGTGTGAGGTGGGGCAGGCCAAGTAAGGGGCACATGGCACAAGCAGTTGGTGACTGTGCTGTGTGCCAACCCCTCCTCCAACCTGGGGAATTGAGGTTGGCCTATCAGCCAGCTCTCCTGTCTGTGGATGTTGCTGCTGAATACCCAGCTGGCTCGGAGTAAGACCTCGCTCAACCATGACTTGATTGTGGATGAGGAGGCAGATCTGACCTGTATTACTAAGACCTGACAATGACTTTCTCAAATTGAGTGTAATTCACGTATATATTCATAGATAGATAGATAGATAGAGAGATATCCTGTTCTGCTGCCACAACCAATACAAAATGTATATGATATTTTTATTCTGGCTTTGTTTTTATTGTTAGCTTCACAGTGCCAGAATAAAAACAGGCAATGAGGATGATAAAATACCATGAAACTCTACCCTTAGGCTACAAGGTAGGTGAAAAGTATGTGATATTTTTCCTAGTAAATTACCAGCCAGACTAAAATAGCTTGACTAACTGCACTGGCTCTTTTGAAAGTCCTCCAAAGTGTTTTTAAAAGTTGTTTTCACATTAGCACACATTTGTAATTATAGTCTCTCTGTGGTCACACCCACCCACATATATATCATGTTATATAGTATTGTATGATATACAGTGTGCATATTATACAATTTTCAGCCTTATTCTTTGCGTATTTACTCAGAAGAAAACTGCATACAATTCAACAGAACTTACTTCCAGATAAACATGCTTAGGATTACAGTCTAGTAGTACAATATGAAGCATGTTTACTTTGAAGTCAATTACTACAAAACTGCACATTTCCCAATATAAACATGTTAGATAAGAAAAGTACTTTCTTGGTTGGAATAGTACAAAATGTGAACTAAACATGAATTCAGCCACCTACTGGACAATCATCATGTGTCAGTTTCTTGAAGTAGAAAAGCACAGCTGACTTTCCAAGAGGATACGTGAAGACTTTATGGACTGCTATTTAGATTCCTCCACCCCCCCAAACTTTGGAAGATGTCATTACAAAAATAGTGGGGTAAACACAGGTGATTAAAGCTAAAAGGGGTGAAGTTACTAGGCAAGAATAAACTTTTGAGCAGCAATATGATGAGATTAGCATAGGACAATAGAGACAACAGACCTTTAACTTTAGGCGCTGGTGGGAATATTTGGAATGTTGAGGGTCTGTCATGGGTGCCACACAGGCTTCCCACACCACTGTGTAAACCCGGATAGTGGACCGTCAGCCTGATCTAGCAGGGCTCTTCAAAAATCCCAATGATTTCAACTGAGATGTCATTAGTTTGCACTTGAGGAAATGCAAATTGTGAGCTCACTAGAAAGATTCACTAGGAAAAGAAAATTGGGAAATTCCAGAACTGATGTGAAATGAAAAATCAATCCCAGCAGATGCTTTTTAGAAATGAGAGGGAAGAGTGTTGCATACAATGAAGCAACAGCAAAGGCTACAATACTCAAATATGAAATTTTCCATGTTAGGACAGGAGTTTAGTAATACAGTGGTACGTCGGGTTACATACGCTTCAGGTTACAGACTCCGCTAACCCAGAAATAGTGCTTCAGGTTAAGAACTTTGCTTCAGGATAAGAACAGAACTGTGCGGCGGCAGCAGGAGGCCCCATTAGCTAAAGTGGTACTTCAGGTTAAGAACGGACCTCCGGAACGAATTAAGTACTTAACCTGAGGTACCACTGTAGTCACTTTAAGGAAATACATGAGATTACACCAAAGACTGGTTTCACAAGGCAACCAGTGAACACAAAGTCATGACCAATTTAAAGGGACCATATAATATTAATGTTTGCTTGGGGGTGGAGTGGGCAGGAGCATTCAATTGTGAATTGGGAGGACATACAGAATAATTAAATGCAGAAGAACATGACCTATTCAATATAGGCCTAAGTAGAGATACTAAAGTTGTGACAGAAACAGAGGCATCCACACTCAAACTCTGGGCTATAGGTTACTTACAAAGTGTAGGATTAGATAAACCAAGTATAAGCCAAACTCTATTCTGTAGTATTTCACAACTACTAGCCCCTAATGTTAAAGCCAGGAAGGGATGCACAAACCTTCCTGACACATAGTGCCATGTACCTCAGGTTACATATGCTTTAGGATACAGACTCCGCTAACCCAGAAATAGTACCTCGGGTCAAGAACTTTGCTTCAGGATGAGAAGAGATATCGTGCTCCGGTGGCGCGGCAGCAGTAGGAGGCCCCATTAGCTAAAGTGGTGCTTCAGGTTAAGAACAGTTTCAGGTTATGAATGGACCTCCGGAACGAATTAAGTACTTAACCCGAGGTACCACTTTAAGACTTAGAAGGGCTTTGTTCCAGGCTAAAATCAGATTATTAACTAAATTATTTTATTAACAACAGAAATATAGCACAGGATTAGATGCCAAAGGCAAACACCAAAAACAAATGCAAAGTAAACTAAATAGTTCACAAAAGCACTTTTTAAAGCCAAAGTACAAAGCTTGAATAAAGGAGTATGCATGATCACTTCAAATAGGACTCCTCAGCAAAAGTCAACTGGCTTGCAAAACTGCTATCAGGCACTTGGCCTGTTGGCAGACTAACTCTGTCTTACAAAGATGTCTGCAAATGTAGCAGTAAAACCAGACACCTTCATCTGACCCACCTGCAATTAACTATCTCTCCCATATCAGTCTCTACAGCCACAGCAGGTGCTGTAACTGTCCAACAGATTGCCTTTACCCCCAAAGGTGAACTCTTCCATTGTCTCCTGTGACAGACAGATGCCAGCATCAACAATTACCGTATTTTTCCATGCACAAGATGCCCCCTTTTTTTTTTAACCCAAAATTAAGAAATTAAGTTGTCTAGCTTGGGGGACGGAGGTCACTTCTGCCAATCACTCACCTGCCTGCTTGCTACTGCTGATCACATGCCACAGCCACTGCCGATCACACACCTCGACGCAGCTGCCAATTGTCTGCCCACTCACCACCACCAACAGCCCACCCGTCCACTTGCCACAGCCCGCCTCATCACAGCCACCAATTGCCAGCAGGCCTTGCCACAGCCACCAATCACCTGCCCAATCACTGCTGCCAATTAATCGCACGTCCCCCCTCTGCATTCACTATCCGTGTATAAGTCGACACTCAATTTTTGCCTAATTTTTTTTTAGCAAAAAGCATCGTCTTATACATAGAAAAATACGGTAGTCCATGGCAAATCAGTCCAATCAAGTGAATGACATGAGCCAGCCATCCCCCCCCCATATTTTTATGACAACAAATGCAAGGGGAGTGAAAGGCGACATTTCCAAGCAATCCCAGAAGATATCAAGTCATCAGTAAGATCCACTGCCAGTTGAGTTGGCTTTTGTATGTGTAATGAGGAAGGGGGCGCCAATTTTATGCTTCTAGTAGCAGAATGTCTTGAGTCAAGACTGGGCCTTGTCCTGACACAAAGTATGCATGGGTATACATGAACTCAGGAAAAAAGTCCAGAAGCTCCCTATGACAGGATAATGCTAGTGTGACCGGATGGACTGTCTGTTTTGTACAATATATCAACATATAGAAGAGGTAAAACAGTAATCACCATTAAAATGATATCCTATTCATTCATAAATCAACTAATTTACCATGAAGTTAAATATTATTAGAGTTACCTATAACAGGTATGGAGATCATCGTGAAAAAAGGAAAGCATGAACAAAGGAAGATAGATCAGCGCATCCAGCATAACTGATACCGGCATGTCTTCATGCCGGAGCTCACCCACATCCTCTAGAATTTGCATACATTCTAGGCACAACACATTATTCCTTAAAAGAGAGCAATTTGTGTGACTCAAAGAAAAGAAACACTTATTTTAGTCAAAATTTACTGCTTGAAGAAATAAATTAGAAACTGCTATCACGGAGCACTTTTAAGTGAAAAACTAATGACACAAAGCACTGACAGACACTGATAGTGTAGGCAGCAGTCCAGTAATATTCCTGTTAGAAATTGCCCAACTGCATGGAAGAGGGAATGCAGCCAAAAATATGTATGATTTTTGTATTATTTATGAATTATGATAAAACGAAACCTAATATTAAACTTTGGGTTAAAAATTACTCTGGGTTAAACTTATTTTGGGTATGAAAGTTGTTGCAGGAAGTGCCTAGGTCAAATTCTTTGGGTATAATCTTACCTAGTTAAGGTGTGGTGCTGAGTCAATTACAGAAACCTTCCGAATAAGTTCTGAGAAACAGTGGAGTGAACTTGATAACCCAGCTTGAGAAGAAAGGAAGAAATAATTAGTTCATCTCCTTTTAAGGGCAAGTTCAAGGACTTCTGACAACCTTGGAATTTATTTTTTTTAATAAATTTCTGAAAAAATTGGTAATTTGTGCAATTATAAATAGGTAACACAGTTGAAGCAGTTTATGTGGGAAACAAATAGTGTGAACTTCCACTAGCGCAGACACATCCTGGCACAGGGGGAAATTAGGGAGGGTGGAAGGGGGTTTGGCTTCCTAAAGAATGCTTATAGAAGAGAAGACTCCCTGGAAAAGACCTGATGTTGGGAACGATTGAGGGCACAAGGAGAAGGGGACTACAGAGGACGAGATGGTTGGACAGTGTTCTCGAAGCTACCAGCATGAGTCTGACCAAACTGCGGCAGGCAGTGGAAGACAGGAGTGCCTGGCGTGCTCTGGTCCATGGGGTCACAAAGAGTCGGACACGACTAAATGACTAAACAACAGCAACAAGTCTATGAAAAAATAAACTAGAAATGCTGCACTTCTTGCCCCCAACACTGTGATATACAAGTATGGGGGAGGGAGAAGTATGGAAGGAGGGAGAAGACAGTGTACAGTAGCTCAGCAATTGTAAAGGAAGGAGGAGAGCAACAAATATTAGTTTCTACTCACATCATTCAAAACATTTTGCTGGGGCCAATTCTTTTTCCTGGTATACAGCTATCCATGAGCACGTAGTGTTCTTTGTTTTGTAATGCAGAGCATTTCAACATTTCAACATTCAGTACCCCACCCAATGAACAACACACTAGTAAGTGATACAATTCAGGAACCGTTTGCCATTTCTACATTTGAATCTGTTTGGTTATTCCAAAGTGGATTGTTACGCTCTGCAGTTAAGCTCTTAGTGAATTTACTAAGGTGACATAGCTCAATTTTTATAGCTTGATTCCCTACACCCCACAAAGAGGGCTAAGTAAAAGGACTTTAGGAAACCTGCAGAGACTTGTTTTCAGAATAAGAAAGCAGTTTCAAATCCAAACAGTGACAGACAAAACTGTTCAAATGCAATACTAAAGTTTAATTGTTCTAGACTAGAAACATGCAACAGGTTTCTTAAAATGTGCTACCCACAACTTTACTTTTAACCTAACATCTACTCCTTAGCTCAAGCCTCTTTCAAGAAGAAGTTGTTAAGTGATGATTGTTACTTAATCTGCAATGAGTCAATTTCACTGCCTGCTTTCATTATTAAATGTCTTCATCAGGCCAAATATTAGTTCCATTAAGCCAAAGCAAAATGCATATGCTAAAGCCAAAGTAGTTAGAAATGACTCCCCCCCACCAAAAAACAACAACAAGCAGATATAGTTTGGTAGATCAAATACAGACAGCAAGTATGATCTAATGGACAGAATAACACATGCAGACCAGGAGGTAGGTTCTAATCTCTGTTGAATCAAAACCACCGAAGGGTGACTGTGAACATAGCACCATCTCACTGCCCCTATCTGAGGGACAAAGGAAATAATACTGCCCTACCCACAGAACTGTTGTTTGGAAGGAAAAGTTTGCAAAACAGCACTTCACACTAGCTAATCAATACCACTCACTCTGTTTCACATAAACAAAATATTTAAACTTCCTTAACTCTTGCCACTGCATACAACTGCTCTTGAAAAAGAATTCTGATTAACATTCAGCATCTCCCTGATAAAAAGAAGGTATCTACATTGGTCCATGGAGGGAGGGGGAGAATCAAAGGGAGTGAAAAATACCAGTTTTATTAAGATCAAACAAAGTTCGCAGTGTTATATAGGAGAATTTGAGTTGGAAGGGGCCCTAAAGACCATCTGGTGGTCAATAAAGGATCTACAATGCAGTATACAATTACAGCATCCCTAAGAGACAGTGTTCAAAATTCCTCAGGCACCAGGAAAATTTTGCAACTGGCATGGGTCCAATTTCAACCACGTGGAAAACTCTGGATGCCAGGTTGGCAAGCGATATCTCCATCTGGATGGCTCATCCAGCTTTCTTAAGCAGGTAAGCAGGAGAGCTCATTTACTGCATTGATGCCCCACCTTTTTTTCCAAAGAGTACATGGTTCTCCCCCCTCTTCAAGGAATTCCTACAACAACCATGTGAGGTAAGTTAAGAGGCTGTGACTGGCCCAAAGTCACCCAGTGAACAGTGATAGAAACTGGGATAGAAAAGCTAGGAGCCAAATGGCTTCTGGGACCTGGGTTGTGGGCACCAAAACAAAATGTCTAGTTGCCTCTGGGGAGGGTCAGCAACACTTTTTATATATTATTTTGAGAAGCATGAATTAGTAGGCAATTCATGTAAGTGACACATTTTTAGCAGAAACTGTTAATACATGTTTAATTTGGTGTTTACAATAAAAATATATTAATGTATTACAAACCACTTTTGAATTTTTTTTCTGTAAAATATAAAGTGGTATAGAAATTAAACCAACAACAAATCATCACTGGGGGTGTGTGGCACCTAGATATTCTGTTATGGCAACTGTAACCAAGGTTTAAGGTGCCATTTGGCTATTAGCTCATACAGTATATCTGAGTTCCTAACACTGATGAAAGATGGCCATTCAACCTCTGCTACTGCCCTCCGAAAAAGGAGAACCCACCACCTCCCAAGCCAGAAATATCCACTGCCAAGTAGCTCTTATCATTTGGAAGCTTCCATGTTTAATTGAAATCTTCCTTGTAATTTCAACCTACTAATTCTAGTCCTGACCTATAGAACAGAGTTCTTCAACCTTAGGTCCCTATTTGTTGTCCGACTACAACTCCCATTATCCACAACCAACTTAGACAAATATAAGGGATAATGAGAGTTGGTCCAACAATATATGGGACCCAATAATTAAGAAGGCTGCTTGAGCAACACAGACCAAGCCAGCTTCAACTTCTGAATGGCAACCCTTCAGACAACCCTCTCTCCTCCAGGCTAAGCATATCCAACTCTTTCAACAGTTGCTCATAGGACTTGGTTTCCAGACCCTTCAGTATCCAGGTCATCCTCCTCTTGACACATTCTGATTTGCCAGTGTCATTCTTAAAAGATGGCTCCCAGAAGCATAGACTTCAGATGCAGCTTGACCAGCACATAAAATGGTAAAAGTTGAAAATATTACTTCTTGTGATCTGGACACAATGCTTCTAATAATGTAACCGAAACCACAGAGCCTAGGGCTTGCCAATCAGAAGGTCGGTGGTTCGAATCCCCGCAATGAGATGAGCTCCCGTTGCTCAGTCCCAGCTCCTGCCAACCTAGCAGTTCGAAAGCACGTCAAAGTGCAAGTAGATAAATAGGTACCGTTCTGGTGGCAAGGTAAACAGCGTTTCCGTGCGCTACTCTGGTTCGCCAGAAGCAGCTTAGTCATACTGGCCACATGTCCCAGAAGCTGTCTGCAGACAAACACTGGCTCCCTCGGCCAGTAAAGCAAGATGAGCACCACAACCCCAGAGTCATTCACGACTGGACTTAACAGTCAGGGGTCCCTTTACCCTTTACCTTCAAGACTGCATTCGCTCTTTTTGCAGTCATATAACTCTACTGGCTAATGGTTAGTTTGTGATCAGCTAAGAGACCTAGATCCTATTCACATGTACTGTTATGAAGCAGGCGTCTCTCATCCTGTACTTTTCCCTTTAATTAACTTATTGATTTGTTTGGTACCAAAATGCAATATTTAACATTTATTCCTGTTGAATTTCATCATGTTGGTTTTTGGCCCAGTGTTTCAGTATGTCAAAATGGTTTTTCATCTAGATTCTGTTTTCAATAGTGTTAGCCATCGCTCCCAAAGTCAAGTCATCTGAAAATTTTATAAGAAACATTTGAACTGCATAAAACTCTTCTTCAGGTTGTATCTATTGTCATGGGAAAAAGAAAGCACACCCTCTTTGAATTCTATAGTTTTACATATGAGGGCATAATAGTAATTTGTTCCCTAGCAGGTCTTAAAAGGTAAAGGTAAAGGGACCCCTAACCAATTAGGTCCAGTCGTGACCGACTCTGGGGTTGTGGCGCTCATCTCGCATTATTGGCCGAGGGAGCCAGCGTACAGTTTCTGGGTCCTGCGGCCAGCATGACTAAGCCGCTTCTGGCAAACCAGAGCAGTGCACGGAAACACCTATATGACCTCAGATGAATAACAATGCATGACTTATTACACCGTGTCATGATTTATTTAACAAAAATAAAACCAAAATGGGGAAGCCATGGGTGAAAAACTAAGTACACCCCCTTACTGCTTCCATAAGAATTAAGTGACTAAGTAGCAGACAGGTACAGCTAATCAAATGCCCTTGCTTAATTGATCATCAGCAAGTGTGTCCACCTCTATAAAAGCTGAAATTTTACCAGTTTGCTGGTCTGGAGCTTTCAGGTGTGTTTTAACACAATGCCAAGGAGGAAAGACAGCAGCAATGCTCTTAGATAAGCAAGTGTTGCTATCCATGAAACCATGGGAAGGGTTATAAGGTCATCTCCAACCAATTTAAAGTTCATCATTCTACAGTAAGGAAGATTATTCAAAATGGAAAGCATTCAAGACAGTTGCCAATCTTCCCGGGAGTGGACATCCCAGCAAATTCACCCCAAGGTCAGACCGTGCAATGTTCAGAGAAATTGCAAGAAACCCAAGAGCTACATCTCAGTTAGGATGTGGAATGTTAAAGTTCATGACAGTACAATTAGAAAAAGATGGAACAAGTGTAGTTTGTTTGGAAGGGTTGCCAGGAGAAAGCCTCTTCTCTCTAAAAAGAACATGGCAGCATGACTTAGGTTTGCAAAACTGCATTTGAACAAACCACAATACTTCTGTCCTTTGAACAGACAAGACCAAAGTGGAGATGCTGGCCATAATGCACATTACCATGTTTGGTGAAAACCAAACACAGCTTATCAGCACAAACAAACACCTCATACCAACTATTAAGCATGATGGTGATTATTTGGGCTTGTTTTGCAGCCACAGGACCTAGGAACCTTTCAGTCATTGGGTCGACCATTAACTCTTCTGTATACCAAAGTATTCTAGGGGCAAATGTGGGGCCATCCACCTGACAGCTAAAGCTTGGCTGAAATTGGATTATGCAACAGGACAATGATCCCAAGCACAGCAGCAAATCTATGACAGAGTTGCTAAAAAAGAAAATAGTCAAGGTGTTGCAATGGCTTAGTCAAAGTCCAAACCTCAACCCAATTGAAATGCTGTAGCGGGACCTTAAGAGAGCTGTGCATAAACAGCCAGCAAACTTCAACGAACTGAAGCAACTCTATAAAGAAGAGTAGGCCACAATTCCTCCACAACTATGTGAGAGACTGAAAATCATACGGGAAATGATTACTTCAAGTTATTGCTGCTAAAGGTGGTTCTACAAGCTACTGAATCACAAGGTGTAGTTGCTTTTTCACACATGCCTTCTCCATTTCAGCTTTATTTCTGTTAAATAAATCATGACACGGTGTCATATGTCAGGTTGTATTTACCTAATTTTAAGACCTGTTAAGGAACAGGTGATTGTTATTATGTTCTCATATGTAAAATCACAGAATTCAAAGAATTTCTTTTCCCCATGACTGTATTTAGGGGGGGCCCGTCAGGTGTTGTCTCTCTCTCTCTCTTTTGCATTGTCCCCAATACTATTAAGGAAACAGGGGAACATGTTATTTGCCAAGTATAGCAACTTATAAACAAACTGTAAAAAGTGGCTTCAGTCCAATTCTCACTTACAAGTTAAACACTTGTAATCACACTGAAGAAACGTGCATGCTCTTAAGATAGTCGCGGACTGCTTACTATGGGTTTTGCAGCTCCCTGGATTGACGTCTACTCAGTGCAAACACAACCCATTCATGCAATACAAACTTAATAGAAACATAGATATTTTATGCAAACTGCAATCATCAAGTCTGCTGATGCCTTTTAAAACAAACAAAGAAACTACAGTATCAGCTTAGTTATAACTTAAAAGTGTAACTACTCCAAGGAACACCGTTTGGTTTGCTTTAAACCAAACAACCATTTATGTTTGTTTTAGGAATCTGCACTTTTCTCATAACTTATTTCTTTCCACAACATGAAATAGGCCTAGCAGAGTGCAGTATATCTGATGTAAACTAGGAAGAGCTGAAATGAGTTACAGTTAAAGCTGTCTGCTGCGCAGTCTTTATCAGACTGTACCAGCAGCAATTGTCTACACAGAGCACAAACAGGTTATTTTTTAAATTGTTTCCAATAACATGAGAACAGAGAACAAAAAATCAACTACAGGCAGTGACTGATTTGCACGGGGGTTACGTTCCAGACCCCCACGTATCTTGGGGGGACCCCCATAAGGCCGCCCCACCCCGTTTTGGGGTCACTTCCAGATTTGGCGCAATGTGTGTGCGTGCAGTTGCGCACATATTGAATGCACTTAAAACAGTTGCTGCCTATACTAGAGACTGTAAAACTCTAAAAATAGAACAGTAAGTTTGTAACTGTTTTGAGAATCAGAACAAGATATGCATCAAAAACTTAAAGAAGCATTATGTAACAGTTGTACTGACTCTGACAGATAGTTGACACAATACAAGTAACTAATCTTAGTATCTGCACAGTAAAAACCAAGATTCATTTTTCTGAAATTCTTAAAGAAACACACCCAAGAAATTCAATTTCCACAGATAAATAAATAAATGTAAATAAAATGTAACATTTTAAAGTCACCTCAAACAATATTTTCAATTTGCCAGTTTTATTACTGAAGTACCTAATTAAAATTAAACAATCCACTACCTACTACAGGTCACATATGACTGCAGCAGACATCTATAAGAATATGATTTCTAGTTCTAGGATTGTTGTTTTCTTGAGCTACTGGCAATAGAAAGACATAATTAATATTTACATAGCTTAAAGGTACGTTTTGTATCACATGTCTTAGCATACATTTAAATAAACTCACCTAAATAGAATGAAAACAAACCGTTTTCAAAATGCTTCTTGATTATCATAGAATCATAGAATTGTTGAAAGGGATCACAGGGATCATCTAGTCCAACCACCTGTAATGCAGGAATCTTTTTGTCCAACATGGGGCTCAATCCCACGACCCTGAGATTAAGAGTCTCATTCTTTACCAACAGAGCTATCCAAGTTAACACATGATCATTTAACATAACCAGAAATCTGAATTAAGGAGAGTAATAATTTGCAACTCCTATTTGCATGGTCACTTAATCTGGAGAAACCTCCCTTACTTAAAATTATTCATTTATTCCAGGCTGCAGTGCAATCGCCATGATTTGGGAGTAAGGCCTATTGAATTAAGTTTCCCATAAACATGTATAAACATTTACACTCAAGGGGTAAATCAGAGACTGAAGAGAGTAAACCACCCCTGGCAACATCAAGGACTCTTCATTTCATTTCTCTTTCCTCTTAGGGTTAGTGATCATGAAAGCAACAGACAGATTGTTTTTTTCTAGTGGGGGAGTGATAGCTTCAGAGAGAAGCACAATGACCTATGAATGACCTGACAGAAAGGTTACTCGGCTGAAATGCCCTTTCTGCTGACAATCCTGAGGCAGTCCAACTACCTCTAAACCTTAACTGTGTAAACAAGTCCTAGGAAAGTATAAAAAGAGGCCTGAACTTACCAAGGAGTGAACGAACCCTCCAAATTTCCTTTCAAGCTCAACTGAGAATAGGTATTTACAAAATATTGCTAGTAATTGCTTAAATGTTTTGCTTAAAGCATGAAGCATTATATTCACAGCCAATCTGCCTGGACAGAAACACCACTTCAGCATAAGCTTGGAGCTGTTGTCACAGATATCCAATCCAAATTTTTATTATGGTCATAGACCAGCATAAGATAAAAGCACCTCCATACATAAACAAAACATGCTAGATAGGCAATAGGGCAGCACGTACTCATACTCTCAGTTACAGTAGACCAGCATAAGATAAAAACATGTAAAACATGTAAATCAAACCTTCAGTTTTAGACCTGCTGCCTGACGTATGTCAATCATAGCAGAACAATATCTGGCAACTGAATATGTTATATCAGGATTTATATCTTGGGAGCAGTAAGGAGATATGGAATTGTCCTATGTGTCCTGGAAATTTGTGTATTATCGGCAGGATAAACCTAGCACGTATGTTTGTGTAATACTGGATAAAAACATGTTCAATTGTTTCTATGTGCTCAGAGCTGCAGGGGCATTTTCTCACCTCATAAGGCGTCTTCCTAAAATGGCCTTCCTGGATGGCTGAAGGGAGAGCCTGGCAATGAGCCAGAGTGAACGCTCTTCACTGTTTTGGTATTTCAAATTAGTTAAATATGCCATTGAGGTGGTGAGATACCTACTGGTTTCACTAATGATGAAATCTGGGAATCAGGCTAGATCTGACTGATGTTCAATCTCAACCACACACTGTTTAATGGGGTTTTTTTTGCCTGTTTAAAGCCCATGCCTAGTAAAAGCTGTGGGGTAAGACCTAGAGTTAGCATTTAGTCTACCACTGCTCGTTTCCATGTTGTTTGAAAGTCATCCTTTAATGTTAGGGAAGCAAGGCCACATGAGTAAAATGATAGTCTAAGCCAGAGGTTGTGTGGCCATTCACACCCTAGCCTCTGCTCTTACAAAACTTGTTTCAAGACATAGCGTAGCATTTGAAACATATTTTGGCACATGAAGAGCTGATCTTAGGACCTTAAGACTGTACTAGCTCCAGTGATGGGATGATAAGTGAAGGGGCCTAGTTAGGCACCCTACAAAAGCTGGGTGATCAATTTTTATGAATCTCCAAGAGCTGTCCAGTATCCACAGATGCTATTCAAGACTATTCCAAATGCACAATTTTGTGGTGCATTAAGATTTGCAAGAAATCCCAATTTGAGCTGTGATGTACAACTAGGTGTGTGTTCGAATCTGGGTGGCCTTGTTTTTCAAAACGTGCCTGTTCCCCCCCCCCAAACTGTTGTGGATACAGCCATCACAGGCGCCAGGAAAAAGGGATGCCAAAGAATCCACCCAACTCCCACACTCCCACTTTATGCACACCTGCTGAAGCCCAGCTGCAGACATGTGAAAGGGAGCGGAAGTGGCAGAAGAGATGTTTTTAATGACTCTCTGTACATGGTAGGAAGTTGTGGGGGTAAGAGGATCAGTATGTCACTGCTGTCTGGAGTAATATGGAAGCCAGGGAGATAGAGAACACTTCGTTGAGGAAATAATGGGTATCGTGTCTACAGGTTTGACTTCTGCAGAACTAAGAGTGTGTCTATGGGCAGCTGTAAGATGCTGCTTATCATTCTCCCCATCCCTTATGTCAAGGGTGGGGAACCTTCAGATTTTGGCAACGCTGGCTATTGTTAATGGGTGTTGGGTTCCAACAATATCTCATTCCACACCCCTGCTTTATATGGTACCTTAAATTGTTATCTTGATATATCAAAGAGCATTACATGCAAACAGCAAAGGTGGTCTACTGTCTGCGAGGGGGGAGGGGGCTGCAGTACACAATATTTAAGAAGTCCTGCCCAGTGGCCTCCTTTCCCCTTCCCCATATCAAATTAGCTACCTTACATTGCTAGAGGCATCTGAATGGGTAGACTGTGGGATTGGCAGGCATAGTGATGGTGAAGTGAGATAAAGCTTATCTGCTTTGCATAGTTTTGTGATAGTTATCTATGGGCATTACAAAAAAGGCTGCATGCTAGCCTCTTTCTGATTTATTAAGACACCATAGGAGTCACATCCTATGGAAATACTGTAGTAAGGTGTCACTTCCAGGAACTGCTTACCGGTAACTAAAAAACAAACGAAAACCCCAGGAGTAACAATAGCCTGGATGTTGCAAGGATTTATGTTAGGGGGGTGGGACATCCACCTGTCAACACCCTCTGTCTAGCTCTGTCTAGCATATTCAGAATGAAATGTCTGAACAACAGCTGTTTTAAATTACTTTCTTTTGACCCTAAGTGCTCAGAAAAATCTGTTAAAATCTTTCTACAATTTCTACTTTTAGTCAAATATTTTTATTTATTTACTTGAGGGGGGACAGCTGCCCCTCCTGCCCACGCCCATGGCTCAATATGCTATGCAGATCTTCTTCATGTGGGAAGCGTTCAGTTTGAAAATCAAATGTTTTTTTAAGAGGGGAGGGACTTGTTAACATAAGAGACTCTCTGTCAGGTCAGACCAAAGGTCCTTCTTGTCCAGCATCTCATTCCAAGCGACAAGCCAAAGAAGTCTAACTCTCCTGCCCTTGCCTCTCAGTAACCAACTTTTTTTTTAACACAATGTTTTTCTTCTTCCTCCTCCTCCTCCCCATTTTAACTTCACAACAACCCTGTGAGGTAGGTTTGGCTGAGAGTGGTCAGTAACTGGCATTTAATGGCATTCTGCCTCTGAACCCAACCAAGGCTATCATGCCTAATGGGCACGATAGACCAACCTATCCTTTTGCACTATTTGGGGGGGGGGGGAGAAGAATCCCCAGCCTTGTTACCTTTTGTTATGTCCCTTTGCTACTGTTTTCTGAAGCCTTGGGGTGCAGGATTTGTCTGAGATTGTGGTAGGATTGGGGAGGCATTTGTGGATTTCCTTAAGGGCCCTAAGTGCCTTCCATTCATAAACTCTGCCACCAGCCAGCCAACGAAAATAATATTCTAAACTACAATTCCCATCATTGCGGTAGGATCAGGGAGGTGTTTGAGGATTTCCTTAAGGGCCCTAAGTGCTTTCCATTCACACCCTTTGGCACCATCCAGCCAACGAAAATAATATTCTAAACTACAATTCCCACCATCACCTCGATCACTAGCCATGGAGGCAGGGGCTGACGTCCAAGAACATCTGGAGAGCACCACGCTACCCCTGCTTTCTTCTGTATGCTCCTCGGGGCAGGAACCCATAATTTCTTCTCTCTCTCTCTGCTACCGTTACTCATGTTAAAAGTGCCGTGAGCGCCACGGATCGTCCGCTTTCTAAGAGGAGGAACGTGGCGCAGGGGCCCTGAAGCCTTTTGCCCCGGCCCCAAGCCACCTGCTTGCGCGGCGACCCCCATCTCGCTCCTTCCAAGGGCTCCCGGCAGATTTATTGGAGCCACGAAGGGGCAGGTTCCAGGGCTAAGCCCGACTCCCAGCCACAAGCCGCCTCGCATGGCCGGGAAGGACGGCTATGGCGCCCTCCTCGGGGGAAACTCTCCTCAGCTCCAGGCAAGAGACAGAGAGAGACCCAGCCCCCCCCCCCTGCGGCCCCCATTTCGCTTCCCTTTCTTCTCCCCCACCCTCACCATTCTCCTCAGGGTCGGGCAACGGGGTCTCGGCGCCGGCGGCTCTGGCTCTCCTCACGCCGGGCGGCGTCGGCTCCTGCTCCTGCTCGTGGTTCGGCTTCGGCGGTGGCGGGGCCTGTCTCCATCTATCGGCGCTGAGCTCGGCGGCGGCTGCTGCGCGGGGCCGGGCGGGAAGAAGAAGAAGGAGAAGGAGAGAAGGCCGCCGCCGCGCGAGGTGGGCGCTCCGAACTGGGCCCGCGGGGAGTCGCGCCTGAGGGGGCGGCCGGAGCAGCGGCGAAGGCTCGGGGTAGGAGGCTCCGGCTGGGGATCCAGAGCGGAGGGCGGCGGCAGCGGCAGCGGCGGCGAAGGCAGCAACAGCGGCGGCGGCGGCAGCGGCAGGAGCGGCCTGGCGGCTCTTTCTCATAATTGTGCGACTGGCCCGGCTCGAGCGCAGCGGCGTGGCCGCGTCAGCTTGCGCAGCCCCGCCCGGCCTTTCTCCCGCCTTTTCCTGGCTCGGCCTGCGTTTCCCTCACGAGCTGCGCGTCGGTCGCGCTCGCCTCAGAGGGAGCAGGAGGGGTCGGGCGCTGAGGGGAGTATTTTTGGCGGAGGGGTGTCCAAAGCGAAGCTAGAAGGGCCCTTCGTAGTAGTAGTAGTGATGATGATGATGATAATAATAATAATAGATAAATAAACTGAGGGGATTTTGGGGGTGGGGTGGCAGGAGCGAAGCTAGAAGGGCCTTTCAATAATCATAATGTTACTAACGGGATTTTTGGGGGTGGCAGGAGCGAAGCTAGAAGGGCCCTTCGTAAATAATAATAATAATAATGGGAATTTTTTTTGGGGGGTGGCAGGAGCGAAGCTAGAAGGGCCCTTCGTAAATAATAATAATAATAATGGGAATTTTTTTTGGGGGGTGGCAGGAGCAAAGCTAGAAGGGCCCTTCGTAAATAATAATAATAATAATGGGAATTTTTTGGGGGGGGTGGCAGGAGCAAAGCTAGAAGCACCCTTCGTAAATAATAATAATAATGTTAAATATAATAACTGAAGGGATTTGGGGGGAGTGGTGTGGCAGGAGTGAAGCTAGAAGTAAATAGTAATAGTAGTAATTTGCTTAACAATATATTATTATTATTATTATTATTATTATTATCTTGCATTTCAACTTACTATTATCCCATTCACCTTAAGGTCCCAGGACCTTAATTAACAGTCAATGTAACGAATAATAATAATGGGGAAAGTATATAATTTACCTGAAAAACTACTTTAAACAACTAAATTCATTAGCAGGAGTGATGTAAAACTTATAGCTAAAAAAAAATGAAATAAGGATTAGTAAAAATTGGAATGATAGAAGAGATGCAGGGGGAATAATTATAACTCAAGGATCCACAAATGGGGAAGGAGGGAAGCCAAAGGGATATGTGTTTTATTTTTTTCTTACTTGACACTTCTAAACTTTGAAAAAATAATTTTTTAAAAATATGATGGTGATGGTGATATTTATACCCCACCCCTCTGGCGGGTCTCCCCAGCTACTCTGGGTGGCTTCCAGCACATATAAAAACATAATAAAACATCAAACATTTAAAACTTCCCGATACAAGGCTGCCTTCAGATGTCTTCTAAAAGTTGTGTAGAATAATACCTTTATTAAAACACAGTGTTAAACAAAACAGTTCAAAGCAACTTCACAGTCACATTTTAAAAATGCATTGTGCGGAATACGTTTGAAATGGTACACGCTCGTTCATAGACATGCCAGGAAAAGTTTCACCTGCTAAATGCCTGCCTGTTAGGCAGAGGATAAAGTTACAGAAGTCTCTGGTGTTTAACAACATGTACAGAGCAACACCCCGCCCCACCCCCTTAGAGCCTTTAAAATGTGATGCTTCACTTTCTCCTGTTGTTTGTCCCGGTACAAAACAATCCTGTTTAGCCTGCTTCATGCATTATACACTAAAAATGCTTGATTGTAATGAAACCTCACAGTGTTTTACAAAAAGAATGAAACAGTAAAATTATCAGTAAAGAAACTTAAAACCAACTATTTAAAACCTAAGTAAAATCAATTGTAAGCTAAAAACCAGATTAAAACATGTTCCACACGAACATGTTTTTAGCCGGTGCCGAAAAAGTATAGTGAAGGCACCTGCCTGGTGTCAATATGCAGGGAGTGCCAATGCGTGGGTACAGCCACATAAAAAAATCAATTTCTTAAAAATGTGGAACAGGAATTAAGTGACACCTGCAACAGGACCAGTTCCGCAGATCAAAGCAGTTGAGTGGGAATAAATTGGGTAAGGTAATATCACAAGCAAGCTGGTCCCAAGCTGTTATGGGCTTCAAATACTAATAGTAACACCTTGAACTTGGCTCTGTAGCACATCTGCCACCAGTGCAGGTCCCTAAGTACTTGGTGTACTCAGCGAGCAATGTAAATATAAGTCAGCATGAAATAGCAGGTTATTATTATTATTACTCTTATAATTACTATTTATTTTGTGCCCGATGTCTTGTGAGAGAATTTTTAACCGCTGGCTTTAATGTCTTCTTCAATGCTGAGTTTGTACAATGTTTATGGATTTATTGTATGCTTCTACGTTTTGTTACGGTGTTTGGTTTTTGCAAACCACCTTGTCAATATTTTTGAGAAAAGGCAGCTTCAGAATTCTGAAAATAGAAGATTGGTATGATGCCAGCATTGATTAAAAGTTTCCAAAATTTGTTTGAAACAATACACTTAAAAAGAACTAAAGTTAATGTGTCCCTGGACTCCAAAGTAAATTTATGTGACCCTGAAACTCAAAATAAATGGGATACCCTATATCATATGTATTTATGATATATCATATCGTATCATATACAGTTGTACCTTGGTTCTTGAATGCCTTGGTACTCGTATGTTTTGGCTCCCAAACGCCGAAAACCCAGAAGTGTCCTGGTTCTTGAACATTTTTTGGAAGCCGAAAGTCCGAAGCTCCTGCAGCCCATTGGAAGCTGCACCTTGGTTTTCAAACAGTTTTGGCAGTCAAACGGACTTCCAGAACAGATTATGTCCAAGAACCAAGGTACAACTGTATATGATATGATACGAAGTATTAGTGCAAGTAGATAAATAGGTACCACTGCAGCGGGAAGGTAAATGACATTTCCGTGTGCTCTGGCACTTGTCACAGTGTCCCGTTGCACCAGAAGCGGTTTAGACATGCTGGCCACATGACCCAGAAAGTTGCCTGTGGACAAACTCCGGCTTCCTTGGCCTGAAAGTGAGATGAATGCCGCACCCCATAGACGCCAGTCATTTACCGTTTATCTGTGATGGGGGAGCTCCCCCTTCAATCCTAACAATAAATATCCAAACCAAAATTGCCATGCTTCAAATGAATGATGATATTTTAACAGCGCAACAAAATAAGGAAATATGTGTCCCTCAAACGGGAGTGTATGCCATTTGGCTTGTAGACATAAGAATCACATTGCATGAGAGAGAACTGTAGACTAGAAATCAAACCTGCACACTTACTTAGGAGTAACCCCCCACTGAACTCAGTGGAGTATTTCAGTGTATAGGATTCATTCACCTTATTTATAAAAAATTGCTCATAAACCCAGATTATTAACCACCAGTGCTCAAAACAAATGCTCAGAACAGTGACTGTTGAAGCTCACTAAGCCCAACTCTTCCAGACTTTCTTGTTCAGAAACAATAAAGTCCGCAAGGTTTTTACCTTTTCTTTTTTACACTGCCAATAGAGAGATCAGATTTCAGATTCCATGTCCATGAACAAAAATAAATTAAGAGTACTATAAAAGTCACACATTCGGCCCCTCAGGGCAGGAAATATTTTGCATCAATATTTAGCAACTTGCTTCTGCAGAACATGACAGGAGTTCAAATAAATGTTTAAAATTACTGTATAAGGAAGCTTTTGATGGGCAGAAGGATTTGCCATCTTATAAACTTGCTTAACTGGAATAATGTTTTTTCAGTTCATCCATTAAACTTAATTGGAATAGGAAATGAAGAATGGTATACATAGGGCTGGATCCAAAGATCAATGAAGCTCGTTTTATTAGTCCAAATAGGCTTTAGACACATTTTAAGCAAATCCCCCCCCCCCATTGCATGTCAAGCTGGATTTTGAAACATAGGAGTTTTAAAAGCATTTTGCAACACTACTAGAGGGTCAGTTGTTCAAGGTCATAATTCCATTAGTTTAACTACAAGCTCCTCATGGAAAACTAGTTCTTTGAATTCCAACCATGGTGGGATACTTTAAAAAAGAAAAAAATAAATCTGAATGACATTTCCAAAATTTTGCCCATGGTGAAGCAATCCTTGCAGCTTCCCCCATTGGCTTACATCCTAGTTTACTGCCTTGTTTCTCAACCTACTTTAAAGATTTGCAAATGCATGTTCAGTAATGATCAGGCCTTTTGGCAGAAGCCTCGCATGTACATTTACCATAGGCTAAAAGTGGTCGTACTTAAAAGCTGAAAAAATTGGCACCTCAACACTGGCCAAGTGGTTACAAGGTCAAAGTTATGAGATTATTGCCATTGTTCACAAGCTATGAACATGGTTGTAAAGAAGCTTATAAACCTGCAAATAATAATAATAATAAATCACATCCTTCAGGTGTATCCATACATTCCAAATGTGAATTAAACTATAGCATTAATTCTATTCAAAAGTGAGTTTAAAATAGTATGCATTGAAAACCAGTTCATTATTTCTAGCACATTATACCTCTGTGCTGGGCAATGGGTAATGATTATTTTCACTGCCTTCGTTGTGAGCTTACTCAACCAGAACAAAAAATACATTATAGAGTAGCTAATTTGTTCTCATCCCTGTTTTGTTATTTTAAACTTATCAGGATCAGAACATTCTCTTCTCTCATGTTTGGAAAATAGCTGGAACACTATTAATCTAGAGCCATAGATAAAAGTAATAACCCAGTGCCATCTCTGTTGTCCCAAATCTCAGCCTGGAATATTGGGTCACCAGCTTCTTTCAAGGAGACAAGGAGAGAGAGCATTTTCAGTCAAATTATAACATGATCCCACAGCAACAGACAAATCAATGAATCAGTTGCATTTGGTTTATATTCTAAGTCAGAATAACTCATCTAAAAAATAAAAAGTAGGTTACTCAAATCCACTTGTAACTCTTCACAGTTCAACGGATAGAATAAATTTGTGCAGTAAAGGCCAGTCACTGATATTTAAAATAAATCAAACACATTTCTACCACCAAATTCATAGAAGACAGAAAGACCTAAAATATTTTTTAAGATTTGGGGGACTAATTATTATATGTATAGACCAGTTCCTGGCATGAAGCCATTAAAGCAGATTACAGGGTAAATATGGTGGGTGGGGACAAAAACTCAAACTCTAAGAACAATAAAATAAATTCAACAAACTCTAAAGCAATAAAACCATCCATTCAAACTATTTAAAAAATCATATATAAAATTGATCTTCCATATATGACTGGGTTACACCTCAGGGAAAAACTTCCTGAATGAAAATGTCTTCATTGGGCACCTAAACATCATGTTCTTTAAATGTATGGCCTTAGTTATGAGATTTCTAAAGCCAGTACTGTATCTGTACTTGGCTGGAGGAAAGTTGAACAGTGTACGTCCAGGCAACAAGGAAATTGCTGTAGCAAAAAAATATGCCATTTCAAAATAAGATTTCGATACTGGATATCAAGAGGATGTCAACAATTGCCCGCTAATTATGCGAAATTAGCCTCCATCTACTCCCTTTGGTGGCTGGTTCCAGGCTGGCTCCATATTCTCATTGGTAGATCTCAGTAATTTTCAGCCCTGGGGATAAAACGTTTAAGAAACCCTGACTGACAGTCTGTTGCTGCTTTTTGCTTTTTATTTGTTTCCACCTTTCAGTGAACTTACATACTTGATATTCTGTTTTATTTGTAGTCTGTGTGGGCTGTGTTTGAAAACTATATTTGATCCAACTGCACCATAGCATGCTCTCCAGTGGAGGCTGATTGGAAGCAGGCAAGACCAGGATTTTAATTTATTTATTTCTCACAGCATGTTCGCAGCTAGCAAGCAGCTTGGGGATGATTAGTTTAATAAGCAGAATATTTCCATTTTAATATCCTTGAATAATGCAGACTATACACTTAAGATCATACACTATGTGGGGGACTGGGGGATCCACACATTTCAGCCACTCCTCTTGAAAACAAATTTAATGGTTGTCCTCTAGTCTGCCAGCATAGCAGGAAATCTACCTGCATATCAATGATACCAAAAGCGTCATTGACTTTTACCCAGCCCATACAATTTGTGCCTTTGAAAATAAATTATGCATCATTATACATCATTATGCATACCTACTAAATTGTGTTGTATCAGTTCCTAGTGATTAATACTTCCAAACCAACAGACATTTCCCTTCCATAATAATTAGATACAGTGTAAGTATGGGAACGTAAAAGTGGAGGTAGCTGTGAAAGGAAAGGGAATCACATGCCCTATACAGCACAAACACCTTTCCTGGAATTTTCCCAGGAGATAAGCCATCAGGTACACTGTAACTGATCTGCTGATTTGAGGAAATTTAAGGCTGTGTGCACATTGCCAGCTTAAAACGCAACTAGGTCATTCTGTTTCTCAGTTTGAATATGAATTGTGGCTGTCGCATACAAAAAAAAAAAAGGTAAAGGACCCCTGGACGGTTAAGTCCAGTCAAAGGCAACTATGGGCTTATGGCGCTCATCTCACTTTCAGGCCAAGGGAGCCGGTGTTTGTCCACAGACAGCTTTCCGGGTCATGTAGCCAGCAGGACTAAACCACTTCTGGTGCAATGGGACACTGTGACGGAAGCCAGGGCACACGGGACAGAGCAATGGGGACTCACTCCGTTGCAGGAATTTGAACCGCCGACCTTCAATTGGCAAGCCCAAGAAACTCAGTGGAAGGGCACTGGGTGCGGAGTAAATGGGAGTATGTACAAAGCACAGTTAGTAAAATAGTAATGTTCCCCCTCCCTCAGCAGCAAGTTATTCTAATAAATGATAGCACTGCTGTGACTAATCCCCATGATGGAGACAATGGATTGTGTTAGAATTAGAATCACATTATTTTTGCTAGGCTAGGAACTAAGAGAACTAACCATACCTGGAGCAGATCCTGCATCCTGTCCATGGAGCCACTTTAGAAATTACATGTCAGCATACCGCATTATGCTGCATTAATTATCAGACACTTTAAAGAACAGTTGTGAATATAGCAAAAGTGTATGCTCTGCTCTGTTTTGCAGAAGTAGAGTCACCTGCTACTGATGCCACTGGATTAGACTGAGGCATTCCCCACCGCACATACACAATTTACAGCTTCAGATAAAACACCATATGATAAAGTAAAGCCACAGAGGTTTCTGGTAGATCATTTAATTGCTGTTTGCATGCTTGAGACCAGGCTGAGACATAGCTGGTAAGGTAGGGGCCCTAACAAAGCAAAACAAGGGTCCGGTGAGGAGGGGTTGAATTCCATATGCACATAGCTTCATACCTGTCATGTTTTAAGCACCTGGTAGCAATCCAACAGGAAGGAGCTTGAAAGGAAACAGAATAGTTGAATTATGAACACTACATCGTTTATTTGCAGCTAATGTGTTTAAAAATTAGCTGTCCTTCACAACAAAACCTGCGGCCCTCTGGATGTTATTGGACGCTAACTCTCATCAGCTCTAGCCAGAATGGCCAACAGCCAAGGATGATGGGAGTTGTAGCCTTACAACATCTCAAGGACCATAGGTTCCCCACAGGGTTGGCCCACCCACGAGGCTGCCTTGGGCAGCAGGATCCATAAGGGCAGCAGATCCCAATGTAGATCTTTATTCCCCGTCTTCGCTCACCCATTCTTCCCTGGTGGGGAGGTGTGTGCCATTTTGTGATTTGCTCCAGGGGCCCAAATGTCTCAGGCTGGGCCTGGTTCCCCACCCCACATCACCTAAACTAATGGTGTGTGGTTTCTGTGTCCCTCATAGAGGTTACCTCCCTGTTTCAAACAGAATCGTACTCGGGCACTGAAGTGCAATCAGGGCCGGCCCGTCCATGAGGTGGACTGAGGCAGCTGCCTCTGGTGGGGAAATCCAAGGTGCGGCACCCGCTCAGAACCTCATGAGCTCACTCCCGTTGCCACTGGAGAAGTGAGAAGTGGCAGCAACTCCCTGGTTCTGATGAGATCTCACAAGAGCTCCACAAGATCTCACGGGGCTATTGCAAGACCAGAAGCCACTGCTGCCGCCGCAACTCCTCACTTCTCCAGTGCCGCCACAAGCAATACACCACCACTGGGGATCTTCCTGAAACCAGCACCACTTCTCACTTCTCCAGCACTGCCACGGGCTCCCCCATCCCAATAGAAGCGAGGAGAAGCAGCTTTGGCTTCTGGCAAGATCTCACAGGACTCTTGTGAGATTTTACTGGAAGCCACCATGGCCGCCACAGCCTCTTCTCACTTCTCCCATGGTTGTGGTGGTGGGCACCCTTCTTGCCCTAACACTGCCAGAGAAATGAGAAGAAGCAGCGGCAGTGGCTTCCACATCCCAGCGAGATCTTGTGGACCTCTCAAGATCCCACCAGAAGCCACCACCACAGTCACACAATCACTGACAGTGAGGCTTCAAGGGCGGGGTGTGTGTGGAAGCAGCAGGGGAACAACACCTTCCCATTTTGCCTCTGGCTGCAAAACAGGGTGGGCTGCCCCTGGGTGTAATAGGCAAAGCGTTGTGTGGCTGTAAGAACTTGGTAGCAAGTCTTCCCTTCATCTACAAAATTCCCTGAATAACCTTAGGGCAATCTAATGTCCTTTGCAGGTTGCTGTAAGGATAACACTAGACAACGTGGTATAGATTTCCATTACTGAACTTAAATTCATACTTGGCAGGGAATCTCCTGTAGAGGCATTCGACAAACCATTATCACTCAACCCACTTTAATTCACAAGTCTTGTTATGAGACTAGTAGCTGTTCTGCGTCTTGGAGTTTATGGCAATACTAGTAGTAGTTTAGTCTTAACACACTGTTGCAATTTTATCTCAGAAACCATCCTGTGACTTGCAGTAACTTTCTAACAGCTGGAATAGGTTTTCTCAGCAGCATATTGAGGCTTTTGTTTTATGGAAAGAATATTAATGACAGACAAACTTCCCTGAAAGACACTTTGCTGACCATGATCACCAATCTTCCCATGTTTCATGAAATCATTGGATATGTTTTAGAGCAGTAGTCTTCCACCTTTTCAGACCCAGACTTAGCTTGAACCCAAGCATGCATTTGGACCCATATCATATATTTGTGGTGCTGCTGCTGCAGCTATCCCCATTAGCTATCAGGCTGTGACCTGGTAGTGGTTTCTGACCCATCTGTTGAAGACCAGTGTTGAGATCCCATGCTCAGTTGAAATGGGGCAGCTGTGAGCTCAGAGAGGCCTGGCCAGTGACATATGGATGCCACATATTTTCTACCTCCATTGTTGGAACTCCCAGTTCCTGAAAATCACATAAGAGGAGAGTGTTTTGTCACTCAGGTTTGAAAACGACTTTTATCCAGAGATTTCCCACCCTCTTCTTCATACATACATACATACATACACATAGTTTTATTTGTATGCTACCCTTCCATAGTTCAAACAAATGTAGTCATATACAATAAATAAAATATTAAAAAACACAACCAAATTGAACAATTTCAACATATATCACTAAGATCTAAAATAAAGATACAAAAAAATATCAATAATGGCAACAACCCCCCCCCCAAAAAAACCCCTAAGCAACACCCCAGTGCAAGAGTATATTCAGGTGATCTGCAAGAAATGTCAATGTGACCTCTTGAACATATAATAACCCAAACCAGTATTATCCTTGCTCTCATAAATGTCATAATTACTGTCAACTTGGCATAGTGCTTTTGTAAATACATTTGTCATAAAGTGTCACCATTCCAGCTCCTCCTCCCTTTTTTACGCTGTGTGTGTGTCTGAAGATTAACATTTGCAATCGCCAAACCATTCAGCAAGATGTGATTATAACAAAAACAGGGTCGAACTGTCCTTTACACACTGTCACCTGGGAATAGTTTGTTTTTCCTCTGAACTTCTGTTATTGATTTGTGTGCAGTTTGCTCTTCAGAGGGTCCATATGCTCCTGAGGCTGAAATTCCTGCACGTCTATGAGTTAGACCCATTGAACCCACTGGAACAGATGAATAAAAACATGTACAAGCAAGTACAGAGAATATTAAGAAGCTGCCTTATACCGAGTCAGACTAATGTCCGTTGAGCTCAATATTGTCTACACTGACTGGCAGCAGGTCTCCGAGGTTTCCCAGCCCTACCCGGAGATGCCAGTGTTTGAACCTAGGACCTTCTGCATTCAAAAGCAGATGCTCTACCGTAGATCTGCAGCCCTTGCCCCAAAGCCTCAAGTGCTCTAAAAACACATTTGCACTCTTCTTTTCCTTATGTTCTTACAAAGACTCCTGTTTCTTCAACATTACAGAAAGCAGTTGTTTTGTACAGAGATGAGATGCTTGGAATTGAAGTTCTCAATTTGAAGTAACTGGATCCAATCACTCACAACAACAAAACGTTTTCGTTATCCCCCACCACCTTTTGTAGTCATACCAGCAGAGATAATTCAGGTGCTGAATAAGTTCAGAACTCCCTTATAGGTCTCTGTTACATATTTTCCTGCTATTGTTTGTGTTAATGGTAGCCTAACTCTAGACATCTGTCTTTTGTTTCCAGATGTTTCTTGTTCCAGATCTATCAGCTGTGAATGAGGAGGAAGGAAACAAGTTTTATTTTAGATAGCTCAGCTATATGGACAACCTGAAGGAATATATTATTAGCATGTAATCTTAAAGTTACATGAGTTTGGACTAAATGTTTTTTTGGAGTCCTTCCACCACCATGCCCAACCCTAACATTCTGGGGCTATGGACACATTACCGTTTATTCTGCTGTTTGATGTGTTTCCCCTCAAAGCAATTTCCACCCACTTTCAAAACAAGCCACAATTGAGCTGATGTGTGTGCATTTGAGACAGCCATTGTGCATGCACAGATAACAGCTTCATTAATAGGAGTTTGGGGAGCAAGGTTGCAGATTTAACGTTAATGCACAACGGACAAAGACATCCCCACTCTGCTATCTGGTGTGTACAGCAATGTGCAAATGCGACTTGATATACATTGTAGGCTGCTAATGTGTACATGGCCTATTTGTAAAAAGAGATGACTAAAGAGCTAAAAGCAGGGGAACAAACCTGAATAGGAAGGATGAAAGAATCCAGTGCTTTTTTTCTGAGGAGGGGACGCAGGGGTATACAAACCCCTAAACCAGGGGTCAGCAAACATTTTCAGCAGGGGGCTGGTCCCCTGTCCCTCAGACCTTGTGGAGGGCTGGACTATATATATTTTTTGGGGTGGGGGTGAATGAACAAATTCCTATGCCTCACAAATAACCCAGAGATGCATTTTAAATAAAAGCACACATTCTGCTCATGTAAAAACACCAGGCAGGCCCCACAAATAACCCAGAGATGCATTTTAAATAAAAGGACACATTCTACTCATGTAAAAAACATGCTGATTCCCAGACCGTCCACGGGCCAGATTTAGAAGGCGATTGGGCCGGATCCAGCCCTTGGGCCTTATTTTGCCTATCCATGCCCTAAACATTTTGTGAATCTAAGTTTGGCCTCAGTGAGGGACAGTATTTCAATATGAGTAGGAAAATGAGAGTACCCCTAAACATTTTTTTTTGGGGGGGGAGCACTGGAAGACTCCATTTAGTGCATCCATTGCACTGAATATTAATATGAATTGTATTTTATTCCTTCTTTTATTTATTACATTGCATTTTATTGTATTGGAAATTTAATTCTATAAAATTCCAATTGCTGTAACGTGTAGAAAAATAACTGTGGTCTGCAATATTCCAGTGGTCCATGGTCCAGGAGGTGGGGTGAGTATGGGAACCAAGGAATCAGCAGCTTTCATACTGTCATCAGAGGAACCCTATGGTTCAATGAGAACATCAGTAGAAGTGAGCAAGCCTTCCTACAAGACCTCTTATCCCACTGTGACCTAATCATCCCCTGCAATGCGCAGCCAGAAGGGTGTGGTGGGCGAACAACTGTGAGGCTCAGAGAACAAAGAGGATGCTACCTTTCTGTCCCAAGATAAGCGTGAAAGGAATGACCGCTTCAAGAAAGCTAGCTCCCCAGGGAAGATTTCTAGAATTCCTTGAGGAACTTGGGAGATTTGAAACACAAAACACTTTACACGGTACTTAAGGGATGTTCTCTCTCTATCAAAGAATAGGCATCACAAAGGATTCTGGGGCAAAAGGTTTTTCTGTGGGAGAGGCCTGGAGGTTCTCAGCAGAAAAGTCAATAGAGGGTTGATTCCCCGGAGATAGAAAATTTGAAAAACGTGCTGATTAGGACATAATCTCGGGCAATTGTGTGCACTGCTCTATTCCTGTTACTCGTGAAGGTGATATGCGGTATCAGTTTGATCTCAACCAAATTGGCCTGGGTACCTCTTATCTCATGGGCTGATAGCTCACTGAACCGGTTGTAACTTGATCTCGCTGCAATAAAACTACTGCAGGCGGTGAAAAGCCTCTAAAATAAATGTGTTACAGGGACAAGGGGCAATCTTACCAGAAACACAGAAGGGTTTTCTTTTTTTACATTGGGAAAAGGGGGCTTTATTTTCAGAATAATTCTTATAAAGCATCTGAGCACTTTAGACGCTGAAGTTCAGAGTCATAAAAGTTAAAAACTATCTCGTGTGACGAAAGTAATGCCTTTATTTGTCACTTTTTGTTCCCAGGGGTTGATGGAGCGGCCAAGTCATCAAAATGAGGATGGAGATGTACTTGGTTCCTGCCATGTGGATTCTGTCAAGGTGTGGAGCAAGAGCACTCTTGAGATCATGTCACAGCCCTAGTTTTACACCCAAATCACAGGGAATATAAAACAAGGACAGTGGCTTTGTTATTGCAGCAAATTTCTCGCACTGAAGAAATAATGGAACAAATCCACTATGCCTCTTAAAAAGCTTGTTCCTATAGGCCTGGCATGTCCAAAGTCTGTTTCGGGACCTAATCTGGCCTGCTGGTCAGTTTAATCTGTCCCCTGTGGCAGTTTATTTAAATCCCCCCCAAAAGCTCAACAACTTCAATCCTAAAAAACCTCAACAACTTTGGGGTAAAATTGTAAAAAAAGCTCAACAACTTCACTCCTAAAAAAAAGCTCAAAAGTTCGCTTCATCAAATCTGGACCTCTTTGAGAAAAGTTTGGGCACCCCTGCTATAGGCCAAACCCTTTTAAGCTCAAGCCTCAAACAAGAATTCACAGGGTGTGCGCTTATGAAGTGTAAATCAGACAGTAATCAGGAAGATAGTATGGGCAATTGCAATCACGTAAATTCCTCTCTCGACGTCTGCGTTTATGGCTTTTCAGCCTCACCTTTTCCAAAACTGGTTTGCACTTTGCAGTGAACCAGATCTTACAAACATATCGCAGGACTTGGGAACCTTCAGCCCTCCAGAAGTGGTGGAACTAGAACTCCTATCATCCCCTCCCAGTGGGATTGTAGTTCAGCAATATCTGATGGGCCAAAGGTTCCCCTTCTTGACATATTGTAAGATGCCGTCCCACAATTCTGTCCAGCTAAGTCCCCCTTCAACATTTACACTCCTAATTTGTCTTTTTGTTTGGTCTTCTCTAAGTACTTTTTGTAGGAGTGGAATGTTTGCATTGCCTGATACTTTAAATGTTCTACCCATCAGTAAAATCCATAGTTCACATCTATTAACGACCGTCCAATTAGGCCTTAAAACATCCTATGCCTACTGAAACATTCTGTAAAACTTGCAGTAATCCTCATTTATTATATTTTGGAAACTTTTTTTTTTTAAGCTACACTAATCTTGTCAAGTGTTTCATTTTTCAATCTTTACAACACTGTTGGCGAAAGAAATACTGGGTTCCTTAATGTAGCCTGCTGGGAGTGTGGGAAAATAACCTTTACGTTGTGTAGCTCTCCAATTTTACTGCCTATTTATGCTTCCATCTTTAAAGCTAATGGGCATCTTTAAAGGAGAACATTTTCAAATTGCAAATTAATTGTGTTTGAGAGATGGTAAAGCATGAATTTCTTGTTTCTTAGTTGACCTTATTGTCCTTAAATTACAGCCCTCAAGACACTATTCCCACTGAAGGCAGACCACTCAAGCATAAATAGCACCTGAATTTTAATCACAAATTCTTGTTACTGTTAAGTCAGTGCATGTACGAAACCCTGTCTTAATAGCAACATGAAATGTGGTGCACAGGATAACAAGGTCATTGAAACCAATTTGTGTTTTTTTCCATTTTAACTTGTTCCACATTGTCGCTAAAAGCTGGAATGTTTGAAGTCCTGGGTGGAGACAAATAATGAAATGTTCCAAGTTGAACGTTCCTGCCACAGCTTCACCTTGTGGAGTTGTTTCATAGCTCAAGATTAAAGAAAGTACTAGAATTACTATGCTGGCTGAAGAAAATGATGGCAAGCCAGACAACCTTGCAGAACATTCAGAACTCGAGGTGTGGGGTTTTCTGGTCATTTAACTGACATACTTTTTTCCACCTGTGCAGTTAGGCAAGGATGTGTCCTTGCTGATTTTATTTATACTTGGCCGATCTTCCCACATATTTGGGCTCAACATCTTCACACCCTCCTAAACTCACCGCTACCAAAGTTTACATTTTCTTATGCACAGGTGATGCTGTCTTAATCTCACAAGGCTGGCTAGGGCTCTGCTCACTGGAGATGACTGCATAAAAGAATTTATAACTATTAACTTTGTGAAGTCAAAGGTAATGGTGTTTTCAAAAAGGAAGGCCAAGTATTCCTGGGCCATGGATAGCCACAGATTAGAACAAGTTGATTTCTGCAGCTATTTCAGGATCTGGTTTCATGACTGTCAACAATTGGACTGTGCTTGACAAATTAGCAGAGGCAAAAGCAGGGCATACGGTAAGAGCATGTTTTGATTTTGTTTTCCCTTCACAAAAGGAGGTGAATCTGTTCCAGCAGCAATATGAGTGAACACAGCAAAAGCTGTGAAGCAGATTTTATACGGTGCCTCAATCTGGTTACTCTCAGAATATGTGTGCGGAGTCAACCCATAACTTGGAAGCTGAAATGGAAATGGAGGTGATCTGAGTGCGACAGAGAGGTGAGTGTGGATCCTGTCTGAAGCCTGGTCGTGGGCTAGGGCCATGCCAGGACCCACTGGGGACGTATATCATAGGGCTCCCCCTGCTGGTGGTTTACCCTTAGTGTGACTCCCTGCAGACAGGCAGGAGTTAGGATATAGTCTGGTTCCACCCAATGTCAAACCGCTCACATCTGTAACCAGTAAAGTTGTGGCCTATTTTTGCCCATTAACCTAAATTATCATGTCCATGTGTGTTTATTATGTATTAGGGAGCAATGGGGCCCGGGGCCTTGTCACCAAACAGGGTTGGGAAGGTGAAAAGTGAGCCGAGTAGTTGCATGGAGCGGGAAAGGGAAGCTCTAGAGGGTTAATGTGGGGGGAATGGCAGGGCCCTGTGCAAGCAGTGGCACAGCCCTTAGTATAAAATAAATCTGTGAAACTGTTCCAGAGAAGGAATTTGTATTTTTGTTGTCACCGGCACTAACCAATTGGTACCCACCGCAGACTGATCTTCTCCGTTCAAGTCTGCAGAACAATTTTTAAAAGAGCATATTGTCGCAGAGCAGATGTAGTACATATGTTTATAGAGCAGTTAAAGTGTTTCTGCTGCTTTCAGAATGGTACGTTTGTATGCACCTTCTCCAAGGCTTCAGTCTTCCTGGCTGCATGCGCACCATACATTCAAAGCACATACAGTAGTACCTCGGATTAAGTACTTAATTCTTTCCCAAGGTCTGTTCTTAACCTGAAGCACCACTTTAGCTAATGGGGCCTCCTGCTGCTGCTGCACCGCCGGAGCACGATTTCCGTTTTCATCCTGAAGCAAAGTTCTTAACCTGAGGTATTATTTCTTCGTTAGCGGAGCCTGTAACCTGAAGCGTATGTAACCTGAAGTGTATGTAACCCGAGGTACCACTGTATAGAGCACTTGGCTTCCCTCCCAAAAAATGCTGGGAAGTGTAATGTACCTCTCACAGAGCTACAACTCCCAGCACCCATAACAAACTACAGTTCTTAGGATTCTCTGGAGGGAAGCTATGCAGGGTGTATACACAGTCATGCATATACTCCTTGACTGCTGCTGGAATATTAGGCTTGGCTCACACAAACAGGAAATGAAAGGGTATCTCTCACATCTGTTCTGCATTTCAGTAACTCCCAGGCTTTGTACATGCACTGATATTTCTTCCCATATAGGATGCATCTAGCCATGTAATTCCGTATTTGCAGTCTGCATAGTTTTATATCCAATTCTGTTTAGTAGATTATTTTTAACCATGCTTCTTGGAAGCTGTTTATGAAACACAAGAAAATGCATCGCAACAAAATTAAAACAAATCAATAGTGACAGAATATGTAGTTAGGCATTAAAAAAAGGAAAACTTTTTTTTAAAGTAAACATTCAAAGCCAGCAGCATATTAAAACATAACCATATTTTAAAAGTTGACTGGAAAAGTCCTCAACAACAGCCCAAAAAGAAACTACAGTGGTGCCCCGCAAGACGAATGCCTCGCGAGACGGAAAACCCGCTAGACGAAAGGGTTTTCCATTTCTGAGTTGCTTCGCAGGACGAATTTCCCTATGGGCTTGCTTCGCAAGACGAAAATGTCTTGCGAGTCTTGAGATTTTTTTTCCGCTCCCCCCCCCCTTTATCTAAGCCGCTAAGCCTTTAATAGCCTTTTAGCAGCTAATCTGCTAAGCCGATAAGCCTTTACTAGCCGCTAAACCGCTAATAGTGCTAATCCGTTAAGCCGCTAATAGGGTTGCTTCGGAAGACGAAAAAACCGCTAGACGAAGACACTCGCGGAACGGGTTAATTTCGTCTTGCGAGGCACCACTGTAAATAGGGAGCATGGTACCGCTTTATTTGTGTGCTTTATGTGAACCAGGCCTTAATTTAATGTTTAATCAAGGAAAGAAATACAAGAATGGTATGGTACTCAACCTGTTTGAAAAGTTTATTAAATACCAAATATTCTAAATTATAACATTCTTAAAAACATTAATGTACAATGTTTCAGAGGTAAAGCAAGAAAGAAGGTTGTTATCAGAAATGATCGTTATCGTAAATGGCATTATGATTTAAGCAATATGTCATTGTTATTAAGGCTCATAAAGTGTAGAAAATCAACCAATTTTTTAAACATTTAATGTTCTAGTCAAAGCTTCCAACACCAGTCCTGTTTACCTAGATTAATAGCATCCTATTCAGTAGATGATAGCTAAACTATCCTTTTTTAAAAATAATCCAAGCAAATATTGTTAACACCCTGAAATCAATTCCAGCACATGAGAACCCCCTGAATATTAATCATGACTTGAGCAAACAGATCCCTTAAAAAAAGCAAAAGTATATGTTGATGATAAGCATCCTGCCCAAAAATTCATTGCAGAATATAATCCAAGAAATGTTTAGAAATGATTAAATGAGATATTCCTCTACAGATAAGATTCTCAATCTTAATTTTACATCTACACAGCATCAAAGTAATGTAAAAAGACAGATTCTTATATTCCCAATTTTTTAAGGCAGGTTAAGAAAATTCTCATATTCACTGCATGCATTCATGACTCAAAATAAAACTAGTTAGTTTTAACTACGATTTGGGCTCGGCCCCTCCAAGTCAGAGACCATTTTAAGGGAGAAATGCCTTCTGTGGCCACAATGTAGCTGGATGTTTCAGGCTAATTCTGTTGTTCACTACAATCAGCGCAAGATCTTAAATCTGCCGGTGTTCAAATTAGTTGACTAAACAATAACTTAAAATTGACGGCTCATATTTTGGGATGGGATGAGACAGCTCAGCGGCTATCACTTCAAGTTTCCCAGGCTTGTAAACCTGATTGGTAAATCACCAATCCGAGAGCCACTTTGTGGCCATGGTTACTTCAAATGCATCTCCTGTATCAATTAGTCCTTTTGTGGGTGAGCTTCGGATAATGAAAAATGTCCATCATTAAAGATCTCTCTCTACTGGGAATGCCCCGGAGGTAAAGGAGGAATATTACAAAGGTAGTTCTTGTCAAGCTTCCGTTCATTGCTGTGGAGCTTATGTAGGAGAAAGGTATTGGTAGATTGTGCCCGCAGTTAAGAAAATGAGATTCTTTAATTCTGTAGAGGAGGAACGCAGGGCCATGGCCCTTATCCTGCAGCTCCACTGGCCACACATAGCAGGCCAAGGCTACAAAAGTGAGGCTAGCTGGTAAGGCCCCATTTTCTTCCTCCATTTGATTACTACGACATGGAGGAAAACACCTGAGAGGGAGGCCTTCTAAGTACTGAATCATTTTGAAAAGGGGTAGACGGGACATTTAAACTGCTTTGCAGAATAAGGCCTTCAAATGTAAGACGAAGCCACGGAATTCTGCTGCAGTAACAAGCCACAGCGAGTCTTGGTCCTGAAGACAATTCCTCCCCTTCTCCTCCTCTTGAACGCTCCTGCTTCCGATTTTAGCCAAATCTATTTCCTTAGACATCAGAATAGAGGAACTGCGCCTTCTTTAAACTATGATTAGTGAAAAGAAGCCAGAATCAAACCCTGCTTTCAGATCCTGGCTTGTTCTCACCACAGTTTAAACAAACCACGGTTCCTCAAGTTCAGATATCAAAGGAATCCGCGGTTAGTTTAAAATCACAACATCCCCATCTCCTTTTCTGGTTCATAAAAGAGGGTGAGTTCCTCATTAGGTTCATGATTTCTGGCTACTTCTTAACTGTGGCTAAGGCATTGCCAACAGTCTGCTGCAGAATCCTCCAAGTATCTTTGGTTTCAAAATGTGTGCCTGTTCAAACTTGGAGCTTTTTCTTCATTACAGCTTTCAAAAAGAAAGATTTTGAAGATGCTGTCATAGTTGTGAAATATTTTCCAAATCCAAAGTGACAATAAGGATGAACACTACATTTGCTTTTCATATATTTTCTTCCTCTAAAGCAGGATAGCTATTTATGAATAATAGCCGATGAACAATCATTATTGGTGACCTACTTCCTTACTGAAACAAGGGGTTAATGGCATTTTCAAAAAGAATCCTGAATCCCTGGCATGGGAAGTAAGCTTTTTAAACATTACTTTAGGTTCTAAAATAAAAGGAGAGCATTTCTGTTTTCTTGGTTCTATGTTTATTATTTTAAACTGTTTTGCTGTTCACACAACTATGCAGAGAAAATAAACCCGCTTGAAAAGATAGAATATAAACCGAGTCAAAACTCAGTTGTGATAGAAGTGGAAGAACTGCCCATCTTCAACAAGAACTAAGTTAAAAGGCTATGATGAAACCATCTCATTTTAACCCTCAACCATTCATATTTCACACTGTGTTTGTGGCAATCCATGCCTTATTACAATTGCACTGTTACCTATGGTCCAACCAAATTATAATTCTTTATTCACTGCTACCGAAAGAATCTGTGCAAGATGCTTCTAGATTCTGCCACTCCGCAGCTAGACACCTTTAAAGAAGTATTAAGTCAGAGAGTCTTATACACAGCAGCAAGTTGGACAATATGTAAAAAATACTATCTGTTTCATAGGCAATTACCTTTTGAAGTAAACAAGGCACAGGGTTTATTGAATCTAGTTTGGCACTTGAAAAAATAAGAGCTTTATGTGATAGCATCATCAACAGTAAACGTTTCACAAAAATATATGTGCAAGTGTAAAAAAAGGCAATTCTTTTCATAATAAATTGTAAGAAATATTCCAATTTAAAAATTAGACCAGTCTCTTCTTATATTTGACTAGAAAATCTTAATACATTATTTTAGGTGCCCTGTTACTGTCTTTCACGTTGTTCGTTGGCTCTCGTCGAGTTTTCTTCATTTGTAGTGAAATCCATGGGATCCATCACCTGATAATAGACCAATAAAATAAAATAAAATAAAAATCTTTGCGCACTCTTTCGAAGCAACTGTTACAATGATTATGTAATAGATACAAGGGCATTTAACTGAACCAAGCTTGGGCAGCAAACAAAGAAATTAAAAAAACCTAGCTAAAGAATGTATCCTATGTCCTGGGCTGCAATCTAATGTACCCACAAGTGCACATTAGAAATTTTCCTATAGGTTTTTGAAAACCTGTTCTGTAGGAGGGTGCTGATGGAAGGTTCTTCAGTAAAGATGGAAACTGGCTACTCCCTTGCTCCAAGAAGTACATTTCTGTGTGAGAGTGACTGAGTTGATGAAAATCTTCAGCAGAAAATTTTTAGCTCCTTCATCAGACTACAGTATTCTAAAAGATTGTGCCAGTGTGGTGTAGTGGTTAAGAGCGGTAGTCTCGTAATCTGGGGAACCGGGTTCGCGTCTCTGCTCCTCCACATACAGCTGCTGGGTGACCTTGGGCCAGTCACACTTCTCTGAAATCTCTCAGCCCCACTCACCTCACAGAGTGTTTGTTGTGGGGGAGGAAAGGAAAGGAGAATGTTAGCTGCTTTGAGACTCCTTCGGGTAGTGATAAAGCGGGATATCAAATCCAAACTCTTCTTCAATAAAGGCTGAATGAATAAATGAATATTCTAAAAGAGTGGACTATAGAAGTTAAGATAGTGCAGATAAACCCCTAAAGTTGGAAGTGTTTGAAAAACCAACTTGGCTAGGCAGCAGAAAGGAAAAGGACATATTACTCACATGCCTAAAGCCACTGGGTATATAGAAAATTCGCAGATAACTGCATAAATTAGAAAAAGTGTGATGCAAATCTTCATACTTCCCTACAACTACTAAACATCACACAATGGATTCCTAATATATCATCTAAGCTATGAGATATGCATCCTTGTTGTGATGCTGACCCCTGACTGTTCCACACTGAATACGAAAGGAGGGAAAGCTGTCCAGTTTAAAAAGTTAGCAAATGATTTAGAGTTTTGGGTTGGAAGGGCAGGGGGTGGAAACAGGAATTGAAAACCCACGACTCCCCAGAAAGTAAATAGTTAGCATGGGTCATTATTTTCCTTGCAGTGGGCAAATGTCTGTCTACTGCTAATGGAAAAACAAGAACTAAGAATGATTTCATCAAAAAGGGCTTTTACACTATCTATTAATATATCTGCCAGGAAGTCTGCAATCAAAAGAGGCAAAAACCCCCACATTTGGGCCAACTTGGTAGCTGGGTGTTAATATAAAATAAAAGCCATTTAGGTTAGCTATGCTTGTGTGATATGAGTGACATAGGTTGCCATTCACATTGCAAATAAAGAACAGAGAAGAGCTTAAGGCAATATTGCCTTGTATCAATTACTTCGGCAAGCAAAGCATGTGTTTTTAATGAGTCAAGTATTTTCCTATGTGCAGTAATTCATAACACTTTTTTTAAAGGTACGGAAGTAGAGTGGACTTGAGTCATGTTGCCCGTTCAGAGCCAGGATTTGCTATTTATTGTACGCTGGGTCAGAGCCAAGTGTGAAGCAGTTTCAGTCTGCAGTTGACCTGCAGGAGAATCGTCTCAGAATCCAGACATGTGCCAGGAGGGATTTGAATATTCAGTCCAGTTCATACTTTTGCCTCTTAACAACATATCATGGGGAAACAAGCATCTGAGCAGCTGCTGGTCCAAAACTAGCTAAGAGGCAACCACAGTTTGTCCTCTTTTCATTTTCTTGTTCCCGCCAGAAAAAAAAAGGGAGAGTGAAAAACAACACAGCCATGAGGGTGTGTAAACAACATCTCTCCTTGTCCAAAGCATGGCGAATGCTGGAAAGCAGGTAACAGAGGTACAGCTCCTTAGAAACAGAGACACTACTACAACTGGGAGGCTTCTTTCTACATGATGCCTTCTTAGGAAGCAAAAGTATGAACTATGCCAGTAATTGTGTGGCTTCTCTTTGTCACATATGGAGCAAGTTGGCTTACCTTTAGTTTTAAGGCTAAACTAAACTAAAAACTAAAACCTTTAGTTTTTAAAAACTAAAATCAATCACATTTCCCACATGAAGTAAGACCCACTCATGAACTCGCTTGGTTGCTACTAATTAAAATTTTGTTATTTTTTTGCAAGCGAGAGACCACACTGGTGTCCCAATCATTGCTGTCATAAAGACTTATCGATTCATCCATTGTCTCCAATGGGCAAGCTGGAGAAAGAAATAAAAATGGCATCGAAAGTACCAGTAACCAGAAAACCCCATTTCCATAACACAAAAATATAATTCTATCCCAATTCTTGTGACTTCCCCATGCGGAAGCTAACCATTCAACACGGAACAAAAACTCAATGGGCTTGTCAAAATGAAATTCAAAAGCAAGTGGTTCATGGATTTCGTTCTACCTTTCGAAATTATGCCAATCTGCAAAATTCCTTTCTACAATCAAGCTAGGATCGACAGTGGCAATTTTAAGGAACGCTACCAAATGGAGGGCCAAGGAGTGTTGTTCAGAAGGAAAACATTTGCTTGCATACCTCAGGGAACAGTGCAGAAAGATCATGCTTGAGAAGCCTGGGTACATGCAGCCCTCTGAACTAATACCATACATATTTGGAAGACAGTACAAACAGGCCTATGGAGATAAGCACTTCACTGGTCTTATTTGAAGAGCAGATTTTGGCTACACAATGACATCTAATCTAATGTCATTGGACTCTCGTACTGGCAGGACTGAAACACAAAGCAGACTGAGAAGTCACGCTGCCAACTCCAGCCAAAAATAAACATAGGTAGGCTGGAGGATGATCAGATGATGGCTAAAACTTAAACACATCAACAAAACACACCCAAGTAGTTTGGGCGGGTGGGGGGAGGTGTTTTGTTTAATTGAGCTCCGGATGTGTATGGATTGCCCAGTTCTGCAGAACCACAGAATGCAGAACTGTACTGAGAACTGAAATCGGCACCCCATGAACCAGCTTTCATGTTGAGTTACAAAATTCCTTCTAGGAATTTCAACACAGGCTTGAAAAAAATGGGTAATTGGTGACTTTTCTCAAAGATACCACATACATTGTGGGTAGCATTTCTAGAGGTCATAGTTTCATGGTCTTTTTTTCATGCCAAGCAGAAGTAAATTATATAAAATAAGGACATGTTAAAGCTGCATAATTTATACATGCTGCAGAACCGAGTTCAAGTCTAGCCGAGAGACTGGATGTGGCCAACACCTCCACTTCCATTTCAGGATTTTAACCCATTAAGAATATAGATCATTCCCACAAGGCTTTCTGAACAGTTCTATGCTTTCTTGGGCTGATTCACATGATGGTGTCATTGTGAAGGCAGGGCTGAATAGGAGGCAGAACAAAGCAGCAACCTAACCAGTCCACATCTTGAATAGGTTCTGATTTACATCACTGAAACTGTTCAGAATAGCTATTTTATGCTGTCGAGGCGAGTAACGGGGCACTCTTAACAACTATAGGTGTGCATTCAATCCAAATAAATAAATACAAAAAAAACAGTGCAGATTAAATACAAGCCTCAAAATGCGGTCCTCAACTAGTCCCTTCACTGGCACTTAGGCTGACTTATCAGGCTGCCCTCTCGCCTGGAGGCGTTGTTATTAATGCCGGCTCAGTCTAGAATAAAACATAAATCACGCACAATTTAATCTCTTGATTCTCTGTACCGCACTAGTCAGAAGAAGCTTTGCAGGTCCTAGACCGGTGCCTGAACACAGAGGTGGGCTGGATAAGGGTCCGTAAGCTAAGGCTGAGTTCCAACAAAATGGAAGGAAATTTGGACAGGCGGGAACTGAAGACATTACCTGTTCTGGATGGGACCACATTCCGCTACAGGAAGAGGTTCCTGGTATCCTTAAGACCAGACGGTTGCAAAATATGGCACCTAGGCTGTGGGAGCATGCCGGTCAACTAACTCTAATTGTGACCATATCTGCACCATACTTTTTAACAGTCATGGCTTCCCCAAAGAGTCCTGGAGAATGCAATTTGAGAAGGACGGTGAGAGTTATTAGGAGACACCTCCTGTTCCCCTCACAGAGCTGCAATTCCCAGAGTTCCCTGGGAAGAGGAAGTGCTGGTGAAGACACTCTGGGAATTGTAACTTTGTAAGGGAAACAGGGGTCTCCTAACAGCGCTCAGCACTCAAACTACGGTTCCCAGGATTCTTGGGGGAGAGGGAGCCGTGTCTGTTAAAGTGGTATAATAGTGCTTTAGATATGACCTTGAAAGGTTTGAATAACATTGATTTGGAGAAACCCGACAAAAGTCAAGGTCAGCAGGCAACTAAGGCCCTGGGCCAGACGTTCATTTCTGTACCCTGTCAGAAAGGAAAGGAAGTCTCAGGCCTCCATACACCTCTGCCCTGATGGAAAAAATGAAGTATGCAATGTTTCAGAAGCAACAATATACTTATTTGAACAAGGTCTTCCTGACACAAACCTTTCTACCAAGGTTTCAGGAGAGTATGTGCTAACTACCTCTCTTTATGAACAGGGCTGATGTGGGGGGAAAATGGAGTTTTACTCAGGTACAATACTACTGCTTATTATGCCTTGTGACAAGCATATTCTTGAGGAGTTCATTGCCTTGGCGAGAGCCACTTGTTTTTAATACACAAGAAGAACAGTGCAAAACAAGTAAAAAGCTCTCTAGGGAGAGCTGACTCTAGAAAGCTTGTGTCATGTGAGTATTAACTCAAGCACAGTCACATTTTACACTGCACATTTGGGACCTGATCCAACCCTGCAGGGAACTTGCAGAGGAACCTTAAATGAGCCTCAGCTGTGCCACCGCTGGGAGCGTGAATGGCACAGAATGTTTGCCGTGCAGCAGTTCGAGATCGGGGAACTGTTTCCATTCTGTTATTATTTCCATCTGTATTCTACTTTTCAACCAAAAAAAAATATATCTATCACACAACAATAATAAATCAATTCACTTCGCTCAGGATCTTCGTTTAGAATGGGGTGGAGAATCTGCTTTGCACCCGGAAGGCCCCAGGTTCAATGCGAGCCAGTGTGGTGTAGTGGTTAAGAGCAGTGGCCTCGTAATCTGGTGAACCGGGTTTGCTTCCCCGCTCCTCCACATGCAGCTGCTGGGTGACCTTGGGCTTGTCACACTTCTCTGAAGTCTCTTAGCCTCCCTCACCTCACAGTGTTTGTTGTGGGAGAGGAAGGGAAAAGGAGATTGTTAGCTGCTTTGAAACTCCTTAGGGTAGTGATAAAGCGGGATATCAAATTCAAACCCTTCTTCATCATCTCCAAGTAGGATGAAGAAAGACCCCGTCTGAAAACCTTGAGAGCTGCTGCCAGGCAGCATACACTGTCAGTTGTGAACAAATTTGGCCTGCCAGATTCTTCATTTGACCTGCAAGGCCTTTCTGATGTCAGGCATGGTGCAGGTAAGAGCAGTCCTTGGCAGCATCTGCAAAGCCCCTTTCAGCCAATAGGCAGCACCCGTCACATCCCCTTGTGCAGCTTCCAAAGTGCCCAATGGCCAGCTGTTTGCCGGGAGCTTCTGAAATTTTGTGCAAAGCAGGACTGTACTCCCATGCATCGGCAGAGATGCGGTAGGCCACTCTTACTCAGTCCAGATGCACAAGAGAGCTGAATGCGGCAGCTAGACTGGTTACTGGGAGTGGCCGCCGGGACCACATAACACCGGTCCTGAGAGATCTGCATTGGCTCCCAGTACGTTTCCAAGCACAATTCAAAGTGTTGGTGCTGACCTTTAAAGCCCTAAACGGCCTCAGTCCTGTATACCTGAAGGAGCGTCTCCACCCCCATCGTTCAGCCTGGACACTGAGATCCAGCGCCGAGGACCTTCTGGCGGTTCCCTCACTGCAAGAAGTGAAGCTACAGGGAACCAGGCAGAGGGCCTTCCTGGTAGTGGTGCCCACCCTGTGGAACACCCTCCCTTCATATGTGAAGGAAATAAGCAGCTATCTTCTCTTTAAAAGACATCTGAAGGCAGCCCTGTTTAGGGAAGTTTTTAATATTTGATGCTGTATTGTTTTTAACACTTGACTGAAAGCCGCCCAGAGTGACTGGGGAAGCTCAGCCAGATGGGCGGGGTATAAATAATAAATTATTATTATATTATTATATAATCAAGCAGCATTGAGCTTCCCTCGCATCAGCCAATAGGCAGAGAAGTCAGCCCTGCTTAGTGCTGGGTTAGTGCAATCAGCTGGTGCGAGGTTTGGATTTGGATACACATAACAGCTCCTTGCTGAGAGCTCGCTTGTGCACCCAGACCTTGTGCTGAGCAGGAGTGACATCCCTGTGTTAACAGCTGATGTGAGCAGAAGTCCATCCAGTTTGATTTGGGTGTGCAAAACAGATCCCCGTAGGGAAGTCTCTCAAACCTGTTCAGTTTTGCTGCACTCTGAAGTCAGGACTTCACAGCACCTTGCAGGTGACTGAGGTTTTTCCTCTTCGTTTTATCAACTGGTTCAATGCAAAGTGGTTTTCAAAGCACCAAGCCACCTGACGTTATTTGAGCTGCCAGGTGAATAGCAACAAATTAGAGCCGGGAGGCAGATCCTGATATGGATCTGGCCTGTGGAGCCAAAAAAGTCTCCCACTCCTGGTGAGTGAGTGAGATAAACCAGTGGTCAGATTCAGTATAACACTTCCTATATGCCTAATAAAAAAAATGGACTAAGTATCTTTACAATCCATCTGGAGAGAGCACAAACAATATTGAAGTGCTGTCCCTCTTCCCCTTTAAAAAAATGTACATGAATGCCTTTAAGTCTCATGACATAATGAAAGCATGTTGAAGCTTGCTGAGCCACACAATCAATGTATATACCTCATCACTTTTTTTGAAGGTCAAGATAGATGGGAGTACAATATAATGAGAACAATTCTTCAAGCTGCGTGCATCAAGACCGGAGCAACGGTCTCATTAATCTGTGCACAATATTTGAACTGCACTCAGATTCCCAAATTTTAAGTCTGCGTTTTTCATTCCAAGGGAAGTCAAGCTGACACAAAGGTCCAAAGTTCAGAGCAATTTTAATCCTTCAAAAAGGAGCTAGCCGAGAAAAGCATATGAAACAATCTCTATGGCAACATAATACTTCTAAATAATGAAGCTTCTTATTGAGGTATGAGTGGTCTTTTGTTAGCTAGGAACTAGGGCTGAAGTATTTAGAGCAAACTTCGGTAGCGAACAAAGGCAAAAACATCATTCAAATCCAAAGAATTTTATGCTTGAGTACTCTCTGAAAAGACAGTAACCAGAGCTTCCTTGACGCACACAGACTCTGGGAATCAGAACTCATACGGGATGTCATAAAAGCTGTATTTAAAAAGGTCTACAAAGCACACACTGGATGAAGCTGAACCTCTTTGGTTGACGTTCTAAATATGGAAAGAAGGATCAGTCTTCACTAGATAGTTTGCAATTTTTCTGCTTCATCAGCCGATTAACCAATAACCAAACAGATATTCATTCATTCAGAGGCATATTGCCTTTGAACATGGCAGCTGCATAGCCATCATGATTAGTAGCATGTTGTGGTCTTATATTTTAGTACTATGCGTTCCTAGAACATGGCAGCCACTAGTACTGCAACCAAGCCATTAAAAGCAGCAGTGAGAGGTGTAGGACGAGGCTTCTGGATTTAATATCCCCTAGCAAAAAGATCTGTATCAGGAAAAACCTTCCGGCAGTAAGCTGTTCAACAGTGGAACAGACTCCCTTGAAAGGTGGCAGATTCTCCTTCATTTGAGGTTTTAAAACAGAGGTTGGATGGCTACCTGTCATGGATGCTTCAATTGAGATTCCTGCATTGCAGGGGGTTGGACTAGATGTCTCCCGGGATCCCTTCCAATTCTACAATTCTATGATTCATTGGCTGCGTTTGGACACCACAATAAACTATAGTTTATTGGGATAGGAATTTGCCAAGGTGGGCCTTGGGCTTGAGGTCAAGCAGCAGGAAGGAGTTTGCAAGCTTTTACTCCCAATGTGAATTATCCACAGCTTAGCATGACAACTAGCTCCTAAATTGCATTTTGACGTATTCTTTGTTGAAATAAGGCAGCTCCACAATCCATGGTTTGTAGTTGGATGGTTTCAAACAAATCATAGTTAAGATTAATCGCACAGCTCAGCTTGGGGTTCAGACTAACTTCACTAGCTACCTATTTGCTTCGAAGCCCACCAAGTTCTGATGCCCACCTAAAGGTAAAGGTAAAGGTAAAGGTACCCCTGACCGTTAAGTCCAGTCGCAAATGACTCTGGGGTTGCAGCGCTCATCTCGCTTTACAGGCCGAGGGAGCCGACGTTTGTCCACTTCCGCAGACAGTTTTTCCGGGTCATGTGGCCAGCATGACTAAGCCGCTTCTTGCAAAACCAGAGCAGCGCACGGAAATGCCGTTTACCTTCCCGCCGGAGTGGTACCTATTTATCTACTTGCATTGTGTGCTTTCAAACTGCTAGGCTGGCAGGAGCTGGGACCGAACGGGAGCTCACCCCGTCGCGGGGCCTCGAACCGCCGACCTTCTGATCGGCAAGTCCAAGCGGCGCAGTGGTTTATACCACCGCGCCACCCGCGTCCCTGGTGCTTACCTTCACACTCATAAATGGCTTGGAACCAAAATACTTAAGGGAACACCTCTTTCCACACCAACCTGCCTGCACATTATGGTCATCAGCCAACACCCTGCTGCAACTACACTTCAAAACAGAAGGGAGCGATGTTGCAGCCAGAGAAAGGACGTTTGCAACAATCGCGACCCAACTGTGAAATGCCTTTCTTAGCAAAGCTGGTGCTGGGTAAAACTCCATGGGTTGAATAGGGTTCATTAATTTTCATGGATCTGCTCTGAGTAGGACTAGCGTTGGATACAGACACACCTTCTAGACAACAGGCAAAAAATCTCTTTATTCAAACCAGTCGTTTTAAACATCCCGGCTCCTTTAAACCCTTGACTTTTGACTGTCATTTTATTTTTATTTGCCACTCTATGGCTGTTTTATTTTATGGATTTTGCATTTCAAATTGGCTAGAATCTTTTCAATCTGAGGCAGTACAGAACGGAACAAATAAAGAAAAGAAAAAGAAAGTCCTCCGCGAAGAAAACTATATAAACCTGAACCCTAACACATTACCTTTCTATCTGGAGGGAATATTTCTGAATGAAGGAGCACTCAAGCCATGTGAGCCCCCACCTGCAGTCTGCAATGGTACGGACCAGACACAGATCTCAATAAGAACTAGGCCTTTGTCAATTTCACTATAGGGAAGGAAAATGCCTCCTATTTTTCTTTACACCTGGCTATATTACGCCTAAAGAAAGAGACACAAAAGCAAGCTGGTATTGTTACTAAACAATTATTAGTCTAGGGAAGGGCCAGGTGTTCAAATAAATGCAAATTCAAAACGTGAACAAAAAAAGACTGTCTCAGTTCCCTATTTTGTATCATGTAACATGCAAGAGCTACGTCTTCCAAAAGCATCCATCTGTTAAAAACGTATGAACCAGAAGTATTTGTGTGATGCCAGCATCTGTGTGCCATCTGTATGGTTTTTTTTAATGGACAAAGTAAACACATAATGACCAAAATGCACTGTGCCTACCTGGTAGCTGTTGCCATTCCAGAACTTTTTCATCTCTTTGCGATACAAAGCAACTAACGTGGCCATAATTAGTGTGCACGGCACTAAATAGAGAAGGGCTGGTTGTGCCATCTGCATTAGCGCCAGGCCCGCAAATGTGACCAACATGCCAATAGCATAAGCTGTAGAAAGAGAGGAACAAGAGAGCTGTTGAGTAACATACACCTAGTATGTTCATGGCTTCACTGTAAATATAGTCCCATTAAGAGTTAGAGTTGTTTACCTATCGTGGAAGTAATGAAATACACAGAGGAAGAGCTTGTCTGAACATCAAACCTGTGACAATAGGCCACCAGGAGACCTAAAAAAACACAAAATTATAGGTCAGAAATATTTGTCCGGAAGTAAACGAAGCCAGCAAAATCACTATCTCCTCTTCTTATACTAATGAATAGGAAATCATAGAACTGGCATCCCCAAACTCGGCCCTCCAGATGTTCTGGGACTACAATTCCCATCATCCCTGACCACTGGTCCTGTTAGCTAGGGATGGTGGGAGTTGTAGTCCCAAAACATCTGGAGGGTCGAGTTTGGGTTGCCTGTCCTAGGATTACAAAAGGGGCTGGGGGCCTTGCTCCCCTCCCCTCTGTGAAGGCACCCTTAGCTACTGTTTTAGAAGGCTAAAAGAGGGCATGATTTGCTCCATCTACCTTTATTCAAGCATCCACCATGGAGCTAGCTACCAGCAATATGGATTGATTTTAATCACTGATTTAAATAACGATTATATATATATTGAATTTATATACCACCCTATTTTAAAAGCCCAACTTAAATCACAAATTTAAATCAAGTTTCCGACTGATATTTCAGAAAATTCCTAAAAATGTGACCACTGAGCAACTAAATAGAGTACTGTATTTATTATTATCATTATTATTATTATTATTATCATCATCATTATCATCATCCATTCAGAAGGGATACCATGTACTGGTTTTTTTGGCTGACTTGATTTTTTAAAATTAATTTTAGAAGATGAACAACTTTTTAACCTACAGTGGGAATTTATTTACAATATGCTCATTAAGGGTCTTTCAGCAACCAGCACTACGGTAGTTTTGTGGAATATAGGAACCTGCATTTTGAACCATTTTTCTCCTTTTCATTTCACTGCTCCTTACTACTTCAGCTCTCCACCTTAGCCCAAGCCTATCCTCACAAAAAGAAAAGTAGCAAACAAGAATGAAATCCCTACCATCTGTTGCTTTCGAACTGCTAGGCTGGCAGTAAATTACATTATATATGTTTATTTAAACCCTGCCAAAGAATCCATACTTTTACATTGTTTCTGGGAATAAGTTACAAAAGGTTCCCATTCTTTTCCAAAGTCACTATTATCTTTTTCACGCAGTTTATTATTTATTTGTTTACTTTTCATTCATCAAGCTATTTGGGTTTTAAAAAATTCTTTTGCGGTTATAAAAAAATGGTACATTCAGTTCTACGGTATTTGAGAAGTCTTTTTTTACGTAATTATTTCTTAACTCTCTATTTTTCCATTTGGTCATCATGCTGAGTTACTCTTAAAGGTAAAGGTACCCCTGACTATTAGGTCCAGTCGTGGCCGACTCTGGGGTTGCGGCACTCATCTTGCTTTATTGGCCGAGGGAGCCGGTGTACAGCTTCCGGGTCATGTGGCCAGCATGACTAAGCCGCTTCTGGCGAACCAGAGCAGCGCACGGAAACGCTGTTTACCTTCCCACCGGAGCGGTACCTATTTATCTACTTGCACTTGATGTGCTTTCGAACTGCTAGGTTGGCAGGAGCTGGGACCGAGCAACAGGAGCTCACCCCACTGCGGGGATTTGAACCGCCGACCTTCTGATCGGCAAGTCCTAGGCTCTGTGGTTTAACCCACAGCGCCACCGCGTCCCTTCAAGTTAATCTTAGTTGATGAAAAAAAGACACTTACCTGGTAAAGCAATGTCACCGTACCCAAGTAATGAAAATGGTCTTGAACATAACGTCATTGCAGAGAATGCCAGCCTTGGCACCCTGATTACCACTGGCAACTGCAAAAGAGTGTTTTCAAAATCCCACATAAGTCAACGCCAAAAGGCACTGAAGAAAGGAAGCATTAAAATTCAGCAGAACTATTTACTCATCTAGTTTACACAGAACTTCAGATCATAAAGGACTTGATCTAAGAAACCAGCAACCAAGATACTGAGTGTGTAAAAGATGACCAAGCACCTAAACCAAAAGGACAATGCATATGGATGACAAACAGACAAACTACGCACAAGAATGTTAAGAAAATGCACCATGTGAAATGAGAAAAACAGTGCTGAATTTAAGGGTGGTTGGGGAACATTGATATCCAGGCCCTGGATAAATAAATTTGGAGAGGGAGAGACAGAGAGTCGAGATTCCCACCAATCCCAAATGCTATTCTTTTTCAGAGGATCTTAAATACAATCCTTACTTTCTCATGAGGAGCTGACCGCCCAGCAGAGGCTTCCACCAAGCTTCCATCATTCTAGGATCAAACCCAAGTCAACAAGCATTTAATACTTTAAAAGAAAGTAGGAAAAAATGGCTATATTCTGTGAACATGTTGCACGTAAATATTTAGGGCAAAATTCAGGCCAAGTGCAGCACTTTATATTCCCTTTGGTTTGAAAGAGTTAAGGACATCTTTCATTATCCCACGTAACCAAAGTCAAAAGGATAGCAAAGTGCTAAACTTTAACCGGATTGTGCGTTAGTGCAAACTCAATTCAGTAGCAGCTATGAAAACACAATATGATAATTCCTTACATAGCATGAGTATAAATTATGTATTTATCAGATGATTATATGCTTACCTTTTCACCACTATCCGAAGGACCTGCTGCCACTTCAACCATGATACTTTCTCCACTCTGAAATTTTAAATGGAGCATTGTGATACTGAATCCTTCACCTAGCAAGTACATGGGTTTAATTGTTTATATTCTTAAACATTCAGAATCTAATGTAATCCTCTTACAATGTATTTTGGCAGTACATTCCTCAGCAACTCTGTGTGAAACAGAATGCACGAAAAGAAAACAGAATCGGTTCATGAACCCAAGTGTACAGATCAGTATGAAAGAGATCTAATTTTTTCGAAAAGCAGAATTAACCGAAGTTGACTTCTGCAGCAGTATTGGGTATAAATCCTGCTGCAGGTTTAATTTCCAAATAAGCTTGAAACCGTGCAAATTTAATAAAATTTCACCAGATACAGAAGAATCAAAAACAGACGCCAACAATGGAAAAGGCAATTTGAACTCAGTGTGTTAAAAGAAGTAGTTTCAAACGTGGATATTAACTCTGTTTTCTTTTCAAACATTACTCTCTGTGTTTCGGCAATAAGGCCACTAAGGCCCTGGTTGTTGCTTTAAGGCAATCAGAATTAGGGGTCCTGTAGCCTATCTTGCAGGAGTTACGCAGAACACAACATTGGGAAGTTATTCTAAGTTTGTGGTATCACAGTGCCACTCAAAGGCTCTAGACTGTATTCTGCAAGAGCCAAGGCTTCATGGCTTACTTTAGAACTGCTCAGAATAATCTTAGGATTCACTCTTATTAGAATCCAGTTTTTTTAATTTCTAAAATATTAAAATGCAAGTGATTCACAGTACTTGTCTCCTATTTTGTCAGGTCTTTCTTCAGGTGCATTTAACTACCAAGTGATGCTCAGTTATCCCCCATGTTGGTCTCATTTAGGCACAAGGTAAAAACAATTCTCTTTACCCAGATCTTTGAAATGGAACAAACCTTCTATGCACACTCTATACTGCTTCTGGTTCTGGTATATATTTAAAGTAGATAATTAAATGAGCAAATTAAATGAATTTGGATATGCAAGAGATATTTTAAAAAACACATTTAAGGAACCACAGAAAGAGGGGGAAGGAAGTCAAACTTTGAAATGTTAAATTGATTGTAAAACTAATGAAATGTATAAACCTGAGAAGTATAAATAAAAACTAAAAATAAATAAAAAATACATTTTAATACGTACAATACTGGTGTGCTTTAATGAAAAAAATAGTTATAAACCTGCATACTTACTTTTGTAAGGTATGGTGTGATGAAGACAAAAAATACATCGTATACAAGAAGGAGACCAAGGAGAATAACACATGACTAGAGAACGAAAAAAAAGAGTTATTTTTATAAAGCTCATGAGCAGTCATTAACACTTACAAAAATAGCACAATCACATCATACTATTTAAATAAATTGGCAACATTTGCCCGTAACACTAAACCATCGTTTAAAGCAGTGTATATCAACCAGAACAAACCTGAGTGAAAGCTGGCTTAGTATTATGTATGAACTGTATGGCTAGAACAAACTCATGGCTAGTTGCCAAGAAAGCTCAATAACCCACCATTTCGAAAGTGAAAGATTATTTTAAATCATGTTTGGTTGGTACCTAACAATAGTCAGGATCCCATGAAAGTAAGATTAAAACACTCGAGAAGTCGTTTCCCTTCCTTCACTCAGGCACGTTAAACTTGTGCCCATAACGCTGAGACTTTGGCTTAGTTTGGACACAGTGCTAAACAATGGTTTAGGAAGTGTTAAGAGAATGCATCAAGCATCTCCCTCTTCTCTAGCATGGCCACAAGGAGGAAATTGGAAGCTTCCACTGATATCTGAATTAACCACCATTTAGTGTGGTTTAGTGTGGTTAACAAAGAAAGTTTAAGTATAAAGGATAAATACAATTCAATACAAGAAACAATATTCAGCTTACACTAGCAATTTATTTTGAAAACAGAATTATTTTATCCATAAAATAAAAATCTAAAGTAATTTCAAAACATTTTTTTATTTCACTTCCCAAACTTATGTTTAGGACTAGAACTTAGAACCAGATATTTTTGTAATGGTAGTTGGTTTTCCCATTATTTGAATTACATCCACACATACTGTACATTGTGTAGCCTGCCACTAGATTTTTAATCTAGCGTATGTCTTTAACATATATTGTCCAGAGGATTGAAAACTAACTGCAAGCTCGTTCATTCTCTTTTGCTTCCCTCTTCACTTTTGATTTCTTGGTTAGTGCTAACCACAGTTTGTCGTTATGGTCTGGATGGAAACACAAATCATTCTTGGCCAATCTGAACATCATGGCAAACTATGGTTAGGACTAAACAAGAAACTGAAAGTGATGGCGCCTGAGGAACAGGATAAACACATGAGCCTACAAGGTCATTTCCAGCCCTCCAAACCACAATTTGAAAAATTGAGCGAGTAGCACTTTAAAAAGAAATTGATGTGGTATGGGAGCTGTATTTGACACAGTCTACTTCCATCAGATGCTCTAGCCAACCATAGCTTAAGCTACAAAAATTGACTCAACCTTTTCTGCAGTCCAACACAGCACACACTCTCTGAAATTGGTGTTCTTTTGTGTTTTTTTAGCTAGACGGAAAGCTTACTGTACCTTAAAGTTGGGCAATTTGAGTGTTTTAATAAAGTTCACGCAGAAAGCAATTCCCAGGATATCTTGCAAAATCCATACCCAGCTAGAACAAAAAAATAAATCAACTGTTGCAGTAAAACACAGGGACAAAATATTGCACATAAAGCTGCAATCCTCAACTCACTTATTACAGGTTAAAGCCCCTTGAAAACAGTGCAATTAATTTTGATGCAAAAATGTATAGGATTGAGCTGCAAGGCCAGGATTCAAAGAGGCTCATGCAATAGCATCATATGCTTGTGGACAGGGGAGAGCAGAAGGGGAAAATGGAAAGAGAGACTGGAAAAGCCTTCCTGACTATGCAGGATTTGGACCCTGAGCTAAATATTTTGAAGGCAACACAGATTTAGAAAGCAACAAAGCCAGCATTTCTCATCATTTCAATTCTGAATCTGAGAACTATTCACATACCTATTTTCATTCCGAAACACTGCCCAAACAATAGATGTCGTTATGCATATTAGAGCGAGAAAAAAGAGTCTCACTTCGAGGCATCTGTCCCAGCATGGAAACCTAAAAATAAAGCGGGACAATAATATGTTATAAATACAGCAAATAATACATCTAGTTCTCCAACAGATACCAACAAGGGCAGCTTGCCAGCTATAGGCATCATCCAGAGCAATTTTCTATGGGGGTTTTGCATTCCAGTCAAAGTATATTTTTTGTATGGGTAAGGGCCGTAGCTCTGAGGCAGGGCAACTGTTTTCCACGCAGAAAGTCCCAGGTTTGGTCCTCAGCATCTCTAAGTAGGAATGGGAGAGATTATTGTCCGAAACCCTGGACAATCAGTGAGCTGGCAATACTGACCAATGGACTCAGTCACTACCGTATTTTTCACTCTGTAAGACGCACCTTTTCCCTCCTAAAAAGTAAGGGGAAATGTGTGCGCGTCTTATGGAGCGAATGCAGGCTGCGCAGCTATCCCAGAAGCCAAAACAGCAAGAGGGATTGCTGCTTTCGCTGCACAGCGATCCCTCTTGCTGCTCTGACTTCACTTTGCTGGAGAGGTGCTGCGCAGAGAGGGAAAGCTACGCAGCGCCCCTTCCACAGCTGTCAACTTTCAGATTTGAAAATAAGGGATCAGCAGCCTCACCCGTCCCGGGGACAGTCTACGGGATATCTAACAATCCGGGATAGCAGCAGGAAACGGCGCTGGAATAAGGGAATTTCCCGCAAAAAAAGGGAAGGTTGAGAACTATGGCCCCTTCAGCGAAGCAGGAGGAGAAACAGAGCCCCTTCCGTTTCTCCTCCCGCTTTGCTGGAGAGGTGCTGCACAGAGAGGGAGAGAATTTTTTTTTCTTGTTCTCCTCCTCTAAAACTAGGTGCGTCTTATGGTCAGGTGCGTCTTATAGAGCGAAAGAGTGAAAACTACGGGTATATTGCAGCTTCCTCTAGTAATAACTTCTAATACTTGCAGAGTGTTCAAAGCACTTCCTGTGTATTATCAAGCTGCAACCCTCACAGCAACCCGATATATATTGTTATCCCGCCCCCAGGTTGCAGATTTGGGTGGGAGGTGGAGGGGAGGAAGAGAAGCAGCTGACGGAATGACTTGCCTAAGGTCACCTAGTGAACTCATGGCAGAGGTGAAACAGGAACTTCCTGATTCGTAGCTCAGTCTATAGCCATACCGAGAAGGAATTGGAAGAAGAAAGAGGTGGCATTATGTAGGTGTTCTGGCAGGCAGATCCAAACACATAAGATAAGAGGGTGGAGGACTCTGACAGCAAGGGCAAGGAACTCATGTTGGATTTGGGAATTGAAAGGAAGCCAATGATGGGGTTTAAAGGAGAAGCATCATGTGATCAAAGTGACATGAAAGGTGGTTTGGCAGTTGTTGTTGTTTAGTCGTTTAGTCGTGTCCGACTCTTCGTGACCCCCTGGACCAGAGCACGCCAGGCACTCCTGTCTTCCACTGCCTCCCGCAGTTTGGTCAAACTCATGCTGGTAGCTTCGAGAATACTGTCCAGCCATCTTGTCTTCTGTCGTCCCCTTCTCCTTGTGCCCTCCATCTTTCCCAACATCAGGGTCTTTTCCAGGCAGTCTTCTCTTCTCATGATGTGGCCAAAGTATTGGAGCCTCAGCTTCAGGATCTGTCCTTCCAGTGAGTACTCAGAGCTGATTTCCTTCAGAATGGATAGGTTTGATCTCCTTGCAGTCCATGGGACTCTCAAGAGTCTCCTCCAGCACCATAATTCAAAAGCATCAATTCTTCGGCGATCAGCCTTCTTTATGGTCCAGCTCTCACTTCCATACATCACTACTGGGAAAACCATAGCTTTAACTATACGGACCTTTGTTGGCAAGGTGATGTCTCTGCTTTTTAAGATGCTGTCTAGGTTTGTCATTGTTTTTCTCCCAAGAAGCTGGCGTCTTTTAATTTCATGACTGCTGTCACCATCTGCAGTTATCATGGAGCCTAAGAAAGTAAAATCTCTCACTGCCTCCATTTCTTCCCCTTCTATTTGGCAGGAGGTGATGGGCCCAGTGGCAGTAGAGTAACATAAAGCAGGCTTCCTCAACCTCGGCCCTCAAGATGCTTTTGACCTACAACTCCCATGATCCCTAGCTAGCAGGACCAGTGGTCAGGGATGATGGGAAATGTAGTCTCAAAACATCTGGAGGGCCAAGGTTGAGGAAGCCTGGCATAAAGGGACTAAGACGAGTCCACAGAAGAAAGAGAAGGTTGCAGTTGTCTAGAAACAGACAGCCAGAAGATGAAGCAGAGTTTCTGCTGACGGGATAAAGAGAGAAGTGATGAACCTTGGTAATGGAGTGAACAGGGAGAGCAAATGAGAGGAATAGAATATAAAGCCTAGGCTGAATACCTGATCAACAAGGCATATGGTAACACTGGCAATGGATAAGGAGAGAAGGGCTTGGGACGAAAGATGAGAAATCCAGTCTTTGGCATATTGAGTTATGGGCAATGACACACAAGCAGAAATCTGGTAAGACTGAGGTGTAGGATTGGAGTGAGGAAGTAGAGAGAGAAAGCTGGGTGTCATGTGCATATAGGAACTACTGATGAGGATTTTGAGCAAAAAGAGCAAAAAGCCAAGAACAGTTCTCTGAGTCACAGCAAAGAGAAGGAAAACAGGAAATGAGCTTCCACCTACATAAACACTGAAATAATGATTAGACAGATAGGAAGAGAACATGGTGAGGACAACATCACAGAGACTTCTGGCTTAAAGGAGTCAAGCAGGAGGGGGGGTGTGGAAACAGACCATCTGTATCAAAGGCAGAGGAAAGGACAAGAAGAATGAGAACTGAACAGAGACTATTAGATTTTGCAGCAAGGAGTGATTTTTCTGGGGGCAATTTCAATGGATTGAAAAGGGTGTTGAGGCAAAGGGGAGAAGAGTGGCAGCTGGAGAGGAAAGGTGGGTTAAGGGGTGGATTTCTGAGGAATAGGGAAGACAGGGGCACATTTGCATGCAGGATGAAAGGAGGAAGAGGTGTTGGAGAGGGAGATATAGAGATTAATTGTGTGAAAAAGAGGGGAATAACAGCAGTTTGGGAAACAGAAGGATATGGAATCAGGGGAACAAGTGGAGATGTGAGAGGATGACAACTGAGTAGTCAACTCATCAAGTGAGACACAAGAGGAAAGCATTCATTTTACAAGCCAAAAGCCTGACCATATAACATAATTTTTCTTAGCCGCAAAGCTATTTAGGAAAGTCATATGGAGTTATGGACTGTACCTGCATTGCCCATAAGGTATTTTTCTAACTATGGCATGAAGACAGTTGAACAGGCTTGATGCAGATGCGAGGCAGAAAACTGTGATGACGGCATACACTGGACAAAAAAGGAAATAAGGATACATTGGATACAAGCATGCCATTACAAATTATTCAAAGGGGAAAAAAAGATTGTTCATGCCAAACTGGATGGAATTATTGATGATGCACAATGGAAGACTATGTGGACCACTAGACCAGCAAAGTCTGTATCATGCTTGGAAACATATCCTAAAATAAATATAATGAAGGTGCAGCGCACCTGTTCAGATCTCACAAATATCACCCAACTTTACTCCCATGTGCTGGTCAGGTTGCAATAGCAGGGGTGCATACTGCCCCCGATTGTGGGAGTGTCCATTGGCTAATGCTTTTTGGAACGAAGTGTAAAGAAATTACGGACATTGTGACCGAACCACTGCAAATTATGTCTGAAGAAATAAATATGGACACCAGAGCTAAGGCACTTCTAATCTTTTTACCAATGGCTGTGCAGTTTCGATTGCTCAAAATGCAAAACCTAGAAATTTTGGACCTTGCATTGCGGTAACACTGCAAGGGCAAAGCCCTCCTTATGTGGCTTGGTGGAATTTCATTAATTATATTAACAATACCAGTCCACAACACCGGTTTTCAGCAGTTATCTATGAAAATCTGGAATTCACGCCTGTGCTCTTTCAAATGTTACTTTCCTTTTACAGATACCTTTGCCTCATTTTCTTCACCTCACTCGTATCACTTACAATTTTGTTTTTTTATTCTTAGCAATATGGAATGTAGCGTATGAAATGTAACCTTGCCTCCTCCGGGATGTTATTACATTTTTATGTCCGTCTATTTTGATTTATGCTTCTGCCATACACAAACACTCTCTAGCTAATATCCTGAGCATGTTCACTCAGAAGTAAACGCTGCCACTGGGGTCAACAGGGTTCAGTTCCTAGTAAGTATATCTAGGATTGCAGCCACTGTTGTGTTCATGAATTTTCCTGAGGAAATATGCTTTGCCCTGAAGCCAGTCCTGGTTTGGTGTTGCTTTGGGCTGACAGTTGCTTTTCCCCTTCTCTCTCGTACTGCTATCTCCCTTCCTGTTGTCAGTTTGCATTTCTTAGTGCAGAAAGTACAGTGGTACCTCGGGTTAAGAACTTAATTTGTTCCAGAGGTCCTTTCTTAACCTCAAACTGTTCTTAACCTGAAGCACCACTTTAGCTAATGGGGCTTCCCGCTGGCGCCGCGCCACTGGAGCATGATTTCTGTTCTCATCCTGAAGCAAAATTCTTAACCCGAGGTACTATTTCTGGCTTAGCAGAGTCTGTAACCTGAAGTGTATGTAACCTGAAGCGTATATAACCTGAGGTACCACTGTATTGATCTGATGTGTAGAGATCTTTCCTATTCTACTTAGTTCAAGAGGGTTCTGGAAGCTTCTCTGTGTGAAAGAAACAAGCAGAAGCTTTGTGACGTTTGGGTTATGCCTTCAGAGAAGCTGAGTACAGCTGGTTTAAATTGGGTCTGTTATCTCTTCTGTCAAGGTCATGCTAACTATAAAAGAAAGGCTAGAAGGAGACTGGGTACCACTTTCTCTTTCTGTCTCTCTTCCTTCTGTTGTGATGTTCTGTATATAGCATGCTTAGTGTTAAGGTTCAGACTTACTATATGTTATTGTAAGTTTAAGTTAAATCTGCTGCAACTGGATTTCTTATGGACAGTGCCATTCCGGGATGTATTGGATTTGTGACCATTGTGCTCATTTGCCTTCAGTAGCAGTAAAGCTCTGCTGGATGAAATACAATTGCCTCTGGTTTATTTTGGGGGAATTCTGCAACATTTTTTTTCTCTGCTAACTATACACTGGAATCTAAAAGGTAAAGGTAAAGGGACCCCTGACCATTAGGTCCAGTCGTGGCCGACTCTGGGGTTGTGGCGCTCATCTCGCTTTATTGGCCAAGGGAGCCGGCGTACAGCTTCCAGGTTATGTGGCCAGCATGACTAAGCCACTTCTGGCAAACCAGAGCAGCGCACGGAAACGCCGTTTACCTTCCCGCCGGAGCGGTACCTATTTATCTACTTGCACTTCCTGCTTTCGAACTGCTAGGTTGGCAGGAGCAGGGACCGAGCAACGGGAGCTCAACCCGTCACGGGGATTCGAACCGCCGACCTTCTGATCGGCAAGTCCTAGGCTCTGTGGTTTAACCCACAGCGCCACCGCGTCCCACATTGGAATCTACTCTGGATCAATATTGAGTAGATTCAACATGACACCCATTGGCTTGGCTTTCACTTATGTCATGCACTCAATTGATAGTCTTAGGTAAGCCACACTCTCACAGCATAAGTTCCCACCTCAGTCTCTAAACACAGGAATAATAATAAACGATCTATCTCACAGGTCTGTACTACAACATGCAAGATGCACGTGAATAAAATTTGGACACTTTAGCTATGTACACGTAATGCTATTACTGCTATGCTCAAATGATGGGATTTTTCTTCATTAGAAGCAGAAGCCAAGTCCCAATTAATTTTGGATTTGGGCCTCTCCCCGGTTTTTGCACCTGAATTTCAAAAGCCCATTGACTCAGAGAGATGACCAGAGGCTCGTCAGCAGATTCATACATATGAACATGACCAAAACAATTCCCATTTTCCCAAGGTGGTCTCAGCTCACCATGGAGAGAAAAAACTGAATATTGCTCAGGAAAAATATGGAGTATCACCATATATCTGGGTAACTGGGTGACCTTGGGCCTGTCATCATCTCTCAGACTATTTTATTTTATCTAACATTTTATTTTTTCTGCTTCACCATAAAAGCCTCTATGCAATCTACATAAAATAGACATTAAAATTATCAATGAAATTTGTAAGTTAAAACCAAGTTGGCCTTAAATAAAATTCAAAATATAAATAAAACCAGCAGCTTTAAAAAGTGTGTTATCAAAGAATATTACAGATTAGCAGGTGCTGAAAACAGTACAGCTAAGATGTATGGCTAACCTACTTGTTAGGATTGCTGTGAGGATAAGATATGGAGGAAAGGGAGGGTGGAGAATTATTATTATTATTATTATTATTATTATTCCTTTTTACCCCGACAGCCCTCAAGGCAACTTAAAAAGTTGCCATGCATCTTGAACTCTTTAGAGGAAAGGTGGGGAGATAGCTAGATTCTCTATTTATCTATCTATCTATCTATCTATCTATCTATCGATCTAATCTATCTATTTATTTATTTATTTCATCTCTCTCTCTCTCTCTCTCTCTCTCTCCCTCTCTCTCTCTCTCTCCCCACCCCAGGAGGCTGTAGCTCAGTGGATATTTATTATAAAAATATCCACTGAGCTACAGCCTCCTTGTGGGCAAAAGTAGAGAATATGCTTGCATATATAAAATCAAACAGAATGAGAACAGAAGGCGCATCCTACGTAGAACTAAATAAAGCTATATAAATTCAGTGTTGAATTCAGGCAGGGCCCCAGTTTTCACTGAGTCTGTAAGCTTGAAATTGGGGCTGAACCACTGCAGACTCCTCCAGAAACACTAAGAAATAATAATAATAAATCCCTCACTATAAGAAACGAAGCGTATCAGGAAAAAGTCTCGCTAGAATGTTTTCTTTCTTTTTTTATGGGGCATTCAATCATCAAGCCCCCACTTGCAACCCGGACCCAAGCCTACCACCTCAGCAGGAAGCAGGCATGGCAAGTTCAGAAAGTCAGACCAGAATAAATCCAAATGTCTCCTTACCTAGATATTTGTAGAAGTAGTACATCAAGACCAGCATAATACAACAGATGGCAACAAAGAAAACAGCAGTCATAGGAGTTAAAACCACGTTTTCTTCACTTTCTGACGAGTCGCTGTTTCCATCATTTGAAGACCGCTTCAGACTCTCACTGTGAGGGTAAACAGAAGCAGTTATATTATTTTTTTAAAAATATTTTTTATTGGTTTTTAGCATACAAAAAAAAATTTTTTAGAAACATACCACACAAATTATTACACACATATTCTAGTTTGACTTCCGTCAGCACCTCTGATAATCCTCCGTCGTAATCACTTCATCTGCAGTTCTTAACTTAATATTGCCTTTACCTTTCTTAACATATCATTTCTCCTGTCAGGGAACTGCCATCAGTGCTGGAGGGAGAGAGCAAGATCCAGAGGGATTCCAGAGAGAGTCCCGGGATTAGGAGAGGCAGCCCATCTTCTGGGGAAGAGAATCAGCGTAGCACCAGTGGAGAAGGGGGGCAGATGGGGGAAGCGGCGAGGCGGTCCCATGACTCCTTGCCGGGGACCAGCGGGGAGAGTAGGGGTCCTCCGCTGCCTATGCCCTCCTTGCGCAGAAGGCTTTTGCGCAGAGAGAGTAGGAGGAGACTGGGTGTCAAAGAGCTTCTTTGCTGGAAGAAGTTTAAGAAACACCCACTGACGGATTCTGCCAGCGATTGAGACAGCCACGGGTGAGTGGCTGTCCGGACAGAAAAGGTTCACTCAGGCAACCCAGCCAGGTGTTTGCACCGGCTTACGCACGAGCAACCCCTAGAACCACTACATCTCCCTTTCCATTTTTACAATATTTCTTAAATTATTCCTCACAGAGCTTTTTGTAAACCTACAAATGTCATCTGATTATCACAAATACTTTTCAATTACTCCATAAATTTATTCCAGTCTTCGGTGAATCTCTGGTCCCGCCGGTTTCGTATCCTTCCTGTTAGCTTGTCCAATTCTGCATAGTCCATTAACTTCATCCTCCATTCTTCCAGTGTTGGTAATTCTTCTTGCTTCCAACAGAAGCAGCTATAGGCTCTCACTGCATCTTGTTACCATTTTCAACATAGATCAATATGTGGATGTTTCTTTCTGCTTTAGTAATGGATTGGCTTTTCTCAACTAAGCAACATTCAGCAAGATTACATCATGGTTCACAGAATGAATATATATTTATCTTATGGAATATGCGGAGCTTAATATTTATTAGTCCAGTCATTAGTATTAATATGAACTTAATACGTTTCAGTCACAAAAGACACCTGCTCTTAGGACTTCCCTATAGGAATGCTTTTTCTAGTTGTTCTGGTGGAGAAATGCCCATAAAAAGCATCAGACTTGAAATTCTGCACAGATTTTCCAGGAAACCTATTCCTTAACAGTCCATGTGGCTTTTCAATGCCAACAGTATTTTCCAGGCATTGTGCCAAAAGTGTCCCCATGGAGAAAACACTACAAAATTAAAAATCAAGTAATTATCAGTTATAGATTTGATGCATATTTATATTGAATAAACATCACCTTTAGTGAGATACTGAGATTCCTTTCTGTATTCAACTCATCTCTAAGCAGTGCACTTGGCAGGGTCACTAATTTGGTCCAATCAGACTTTGTGGACCATAATGCTTTTTGGAGGCCCTTAACAAAGCCACACAAGTCTACCATCAAACTGGGCCTTCTCCATGGGAATGCTTCTGGCACAATGAGTTGTATCCAGCTGGTTGTCCTGCTCAGATGGAATGATCCATGAACAGGATACAGTGGTACCTCAGGTTAAGTACTTAATTCGTTGCGGAGGTCTGTACTTAACCTGAAACTGTTCTTAACCTGAAGGACCACTTTAGCTAATGGGGCCTCCTGCTGCAGCCGCGCCGCTGGAGCCCGATTTCTGTTCTCATCCTGAGGCAAAGTTCTTAACCTGAAGCACTATTTCTGGGTTAGCGGAGTCTGAACTGAAGCGTATGTAACCTGAAGCGTATGTAACCTGAGGTACCACTGTACTGGATTTATTGGGAAATCTGTGTGGTCCATCTTGTTCATTGGATGGCAGCAGCTCTCCAGGGTTTCAGACGGAGGTCTCCCTGAGATCTACCTGCAAGCGGATGCTCTAAATATTGTCTATTTCCCAGTAGCAAATCAATGGATTTTTCACCATCTTTTGCTCTTCCCATACAACTTATAGACCAGGACCTTGATCCCCACATATTTATTGATTGAGAGAAAGAACGATCCCCAGTGGAACTGTTTGAGAGAAAGAGAGAACAAACACACAAAGCAAAATTGTCCCTGTAGCAGCAAATGTGTTGTCCAGTAACAGGAACTTTTCATATATTAAGGTTAAACCAAGGAAACTTACAGCTCTGCCATTCCACTCCAGTAGCCTCCCAATGCTACAGAGACCACAGCAATTAGAAAGATAGCCACCATGCTGAAGTCAAATTTTGGGTGAGGTGGTGAATATAATGTCACGTTGACGTTCTTTCCAAGATCCTGGAAATTATAAAAGCATCGATTAGAGATGTCTGTTGAAAGGAGATGCTTTACATTTCAATATCTGACCAGGATTCTGGGATATTCCGAAACATAGCCTTGCAAGGAAGTCCACTTTCCTTTACCAACCCACGTGCTTACACATGCATATTTTAGTCATTTGTAGCACATCAAATGGCCAGAACAAGGAAAGATCTAGGGTGGTTTTAGTTTTGAATGAGGAGATGCAGATTCAAAACCCCATGAAGATCACTGGATGACTTTGAGCCCTGCTAGCCTAACCTACCTCACAAGGTTGTAGAAAGGACATAGTGGAGAAGCAGGAAGAACATGGGGGGGGGGGGAATCAGGAAAGAGAATAAACTCTTCTCCAATGAACGAAAACACTGGCCACCAAGAAGCAATTCTCACTCATGATGTGAATGTAGAAGACTGCAGCAACAAAACTATTCATACCTGTTAAGGTTCCAAGGGGTTGCTCGAGAGCAAGCAGGCAAATACCTCCCTGCTCAGCTGTGAAGCCTTGTTTTTGATGCCAAAATAAACTTTATCTGTCCAGAGCGCCACTCTCCCGTGGCTGGCTCATTCACTGGCAGAATCCATGAGTGGGCGGTCCTTAACCCTTCCCCAGCAGAGTAGTTTCTTGACGCCCAGTCTGCGCCTCCCCTCTCTGCGCGGAAGCTTACTGTGCAAGGAGGGCGTGGGTAACGGAGGACCTCTCTCCTCCCCGCTTTGCCCAGGCAAGGTGTCCTGGCACCGCCTCGCCTCCTCCGAGCCCTGAAGCTCCTCTCCACTGGAGGCGTGGTTACTCTCCTCCGCTGAGGAGGAGCTTCTTCCCATAATCTTTGGGGGCTCTCTGTAATCCATCCGGCTTTTCCCCTCTCCCCCCTGAGCCGATGGCAGTTCCCTGACAATACCTCAATCTTCACCTGGTTTGCATGTCGGGCTAAGCCAAACCATGGCTTAACACTGGCATGGAAGCATGCAGCACCAGCACCATCTCTGGGTGGCCGTGGGCACCCACACAAATTTTAATGCGAGGGCCAGCCCCCCTCAACATTCCACAGCTAGGTGGGCTCCATCGGGCCCTCCCCATCATAGCAGCAGGAGGGCCCAATGGAGTCTGCCACAGCCTCAGCAGGCCCCACCAGACCTTTCGGAGGGCGTACCTAGCACTCATCCCCAATCATTTTGCTGCTGTGCTACATTGAGCTAAGCCACGCTTTGGTTTAGTGTGTTGTCTGAACCCAGGTTCATGGTTCAGCTCTCCTGGACAAATCTGTCAGTTTGCATTTCTTAGTACAGAAAGTATTGATCTGATGTGTAGAGATCTTTACTGTTCTGCTCAATTCAAGAGGGTTCTTGAAGCTTGTCTATGTGAAAGCAGGAGGCTTCTGACGTTTGGGTTATTCCTTCTGGGAAGCTGAGTACAGTTGGTTTAAACTGGTTCTGTTATCCTTTCTGTCAAGGTTATGCTGACTATAATGGTAAGGCCAGAAGGAGCCTGAACTCACTTTCTTTTTCTATGTCTTAGTTCTGATGTGGTGTTCTGTTCTGTATGCCATAGTGTTAAGGTTTAGTCTTATAAGTTGTTGTTAAGTTTAAAATAAGTCTGTTGCAACTGGATTTCTTATGGACTGTGCCAATCGTGAATGTATTGGATTTGTGACCATTACGCTCATTTGCCTTCAGTAGCAGTAAAGCTCTGCTGGATGAAATTGCCTCTGGTCTATTTTTTGGGAACTCTGCAACGTGTTTAAGTTTTTTCCTTCACACACAGACGACAAAATCATGAGACATAAATCATAGGAGAAAGCTTGGTTGCAGTTTGTGGTTAGTGTGAAGAGAACTAACTGATGAACCAGGGTTCGGACAACATGCTAAACATGGCTTACCATACTTTATCATTATTGTTTGAAAAACTAAGCCATGCTTAGTTTAGCATGGCTTAGTTTAGCATAAATGTAGCTCAGTGCAGCACAACAGCAAAATGACTGGGAAGGTGTAGCCACAATCTCCTTTCCAGGGGTCTGTGCTAAGCCATGTGTCACTTAGTGCAATGTGCAAACCAAGCCACTGTATTCTTCTAAGAAACTGCCTCCCACCTTCATCACCACTGTATGAAAAGCAGCAACACAAAATGAATAAAATAAGATGCAAAAAAGAGGATTTTAGCTGCAAGCATAATCTACCATGGCCATTTAATAAACCAAGTACATCATACTCCTTCATTCTGATTGCAAGTGTTCTAATGAAAAATGAATACACAGTGGTAAAAATTAATGCTGACAAAGACAAACAAAAAAGAGGAAATTGGTCAAGTAACTGTCAGAGAAGAAAATAATGCACAAATATTGTCACTGTATCCAACTAAGTCCTAGACTCATTGAAAGAAATGAGTGAGTCATGACCTCTGATTTAACTCTGCATAGAAATGAGTTGAATACAGCCCTTGATTAAGGTGCTTTGTTTTGGGGAAACATGTTTCATCCAGCATCTCTCTTCCTTTTTAGGAACATATCAGAGCAGATAAAAAACAAGGCAAGACAACATAGCAAAGTATTTTCAGAGACTTCAAAGTATCTATGAAATTTCCATTCTAGTAATCAGAAACTGAAAAATGAGCAAAGGAGATACAACAAGATGCTGCAAAAAGTGATTGGATTTCACCTGACCAAGTACTGAAAGAGGGGAGAAGAGGTAAGAAAGAGTATGTGGCGTTTGCCTCCTAGGTGGGTCATAAGGAAAGGGTTAAAATGAGTGTGATGTGATTGGCCAGTGGAAACTGATAGGAGGAGTTAGGGTTAGAGGGGGAGTTGTGTGAAAGTCAGTTGAGAGTTGGGAGTTGGAGAAGGAAGAGGGAGTCTGTGGGTTGGTAGAGTTGTGTTGTGAGAGAGTGAGAGGAATTGTTAGGTGGAGTCAGATAGTTAGTTGGGATAATCAGTTTGAAGTTGTTAGGAATATTGGGTCAGTAAAGAAACTAAGATTAAGAAACTGCCAAGAAAAATTAACTGAAACCATAAGCTTTTTCATGCTTATAAAAATAAACTTGATTATTTGTTAATGTTAACAACTGTCTGGACTCCGTGTGTCCCCATGAGAAACGGGTTGGTGGCAGCGAAGAAAGCAATCACAGTGGTGGCACAGGGTCAATAGACCGTCAAACGTCCAGGGACCCTGTGTGATCGCCACAGAGGCCCAGAAGTGAAATCAAAATCTCTCATTTCCAAACCCGTTTCAACTCCCATTTTCCGAAGCAATCCAGAAAAGTACTTACCTCTTTCAAATTGATTATATCTTCACTGCTTACAAGTGTAATTGGGATGGTGATGTTTGCAGTCTTGTTACCATAAGGAGTATCCTAGAAAAAGGACACTCATAATGCATCTGCTTTACTGAACGAATCTCTACTTAATAATAATAATTTATTATTTATACCCAGCCCATCTGGCTGGGCCTCCCCAGCCACTCTGGGCGGCTTCCATAGAAACCAAAAATACAGTAAAATATCACACGTTAAAAACTTCCCTGAACAGGGCTGCCTTAAGATGTCTTCTGAATGTCAGGTAGTTGTTTATTGCTTTGACATCTGCTGGAAGGGCGTTCCACAGGGCAGGCGCCACTACCGAGAAGGCCCTCTGCCTGGTTCCCTGTAGCTTTGCTTCTCGCAATGAGGGAACCGCCAGAAGGCCCTCGGCGCTGGACCTCAGCGTCCGGGCAGAACAATGGGGGTGGAGACGCTCCTTCAGGTATACTGAATAGTCTATCAAAACATTCTGTCTTATTCCTAGGCCCATACTACATATTTCTGCAGATTAATATGGCAGATCTGGATCATGGTATGCAACCAGAGCTGTAGCTAGGTGATCTTGCGCCCCTGGCAGAACAGTCCAGATTGTGCCCCCTAGCCACAGAAAAATTAGCTCATCTTTCTGCCTCTCCTCTAACCCCCCACCCCACCCCATCTAATTCACTCTCTATTTAAAACCATTTCTTATGAGGCAATAGTCAATATCTAAATTTATGGAGATATTTTTAAGCCGATTTTGCACCCTACCATCACCTGTGTCCCTGGTGGGGGCCCACCTCGCCACCCCCTAGCTACGGCCCTGTATGCAACCAGTCCAGGATGGCACTCACCTGAAAAATCAGGTGTGCAGCTTGGGGTCAGTCCTGGACTCATTGCTGTCTGGAGAGGTACAAGTGCCTGGCAGTGCCCAGGAGTGCTTTTTATGAGTGTCATTTTGTACACCAGCTTTTTATCTGTCGCCATCACCCATATAATATTTTCCCTCTTCAGTTCTCACCATCAATATCAGCAAGAAGGAAAGGGTATTTATGATGATGGCCACCAAAATATAGAACTGCTTTGCAACTGACCGAAGCTTTGCCCCTTCAGTCCTAACCCTAGATTAAGATTTGGTAGGGCCCTCAGGAGCCAAATAAAATCGGACAAGTTCTAGATTACTGTGAGATGGCCATCTCGGATTTAGAAAGGGGGAAAATACCGCCACCTTAACGAAACCCACAATAATGCGACAAAAACAACCACCACAATTTAAGCAAAACATTTTTCATGCAAAAGCAGCCATGTCTATTAGAACTTACTATGCCAGTGTCACTGGCGATGAGCAGCATTTTAGCACCGAGTTTCTGAGCGATCTCTGCCTTTTCTACAAAAGTGCAGTTTCCTCTCGACACAACGATTGCTTTGTCCTTGACAGTTTCATGAGTGGCATCCGAGGGACTGCAAAGCAATTTGGGGGTCAAGATCTCCAGTCTTGTATACGTCTAAGATGCAAAAGGAAAAGATTGGAAGTGCAAGAGAATTCTGTAATATGGCTGAAGCAGTTAATCTAACAGCCTTATTATTTACTGAAAACAGATGGAATAAAGATCATGACACTATGAAGCTGAAAAGTCATTAGCAAAGAAACTGTACTTCCAGACACCTTAGTGGTTTAGTTTAATATTGTATTTACTGTACCACTCAGACTGCTGACATGGGATACTGTTTCTATGTGTTTTCCCCACGTTAACACTCCTTGCAAGTAGAACTCTAGTCCAGCATCCAGACTAGTCATCTGTTTGCAGCAAGTTTCTTTTACCAGGGGAATATTTGCAACTATTATCTGAAACCATTCTACTTTTTCAGACCTCAAAACCACTTCATTCTCACTACATTTTGTTGCACACATAGATCTAGCCTTACTTCAAGGGCCTTTTCTGGCACACCCATACCATACATGGCATAGTCTAGATGGAAAGATTGTGCCATTAGGATGTGAATGATTGTGACATATTTTCCCAAGGAAAAGTCACTTGATTCATAGGAAATACAAGAGTATAATTACTTACAACGTTATTTAAGGCACTAGGAAGGGAGGTCCACTCAGAGTTATAATATATGCAGTAGTTCTTTGTTAACAGAGGATTATCGATCTGAATTGCATGCAAGATTCCTTGACCGCCGCTGACCTATAATTGAAAAATATTGTTTCCATTAACCACTTTAAAATACGAATGAAAATGTTGACTAGCATCATTTTGAAAGGGTTTTAGATTATGCAATGCCAAATCATTTCTTATAAAAACATACTACTAGGAACACAGCAGGGCCTTTCAGAGCATTTTCATACAGCTCAGATTTCCCCCCCAAAACTGAAAGATTAGTATGTTAAGAACATGAGGGAAAGGGACTCTAACATTGGCATGTGCTTGATCTACAACATATTAAAAACTATGAAATTTGCATAAGCCTAACACATATTTACTGATACAGTGGTACCTTGGTTTACGAACTTAATCCGTTCTGGAAGTCCAATCTTAAACCAAGCAGCGGGGGACTCAATTTACAAAGGGAACACACTCAACAGGAAGAGGAACGTGTTCTGCTTCCAAGGCAAAGTTCACAAACCATAACACCTACTTCCGGGTTTGCAGTGTTCTTAATCCAACTGGTAGCCCAGCGCATTTGTTCCAGAATCAGTGTTACATGTTGGCAGCCCAACATATAGTAGTGCATTGCAGTAGTTCCTTGTTGGGACCATAAAATCCTGGATTATTAAGCATGATCCTCATGCACCTATGCTCCTGCCTTGGTGTGAGATGGGAAACCAACCAGCAAGACAAGGATAACCAGAGCTTCCCATTACGCGTAAACCAGGAACTACTGTTAAGGGCTTCCAAACAAAGATAACTTTAAACTATGCTTTGAAATCCTGGCTTGTTTAGAAGCCATTAACCATAGTTTCCTGGTCCAAACATAACAGGAAACTATGGTCAACTGCAGCTTCCAGGCTTGTGCAAAGGTGCACAGAACTTGAACTAACCCTCGTTTAAGAAGCAAGGATTTGATAGGCCAAACACAGTTTGCACAAAAGATGAAATGAAAACAGTACCAACAGTATTAGTCATGGGTAGGCAAACTAAGGCCCAGGGGCCAGATCTGGCCCAATCGCCTTCTAAATCCAGCCTGTGGATGGTCCGGGAATCAGTGTGTTTTTACATGAATAGAATGTGTTTTTATTTAAAATGCATCTCTGGGTTATTTGTGGAGCATAGGAATTCGTTCCTTCCCCCCCCCAAAAAAATATAGTTTGGCCGCCCACAGTGGACAGGCCCCTTGCTGAAAAAGTTTGCTGATCCCTGGTATTAGTGGATGTTCAGATTTCTCAGATTGTAACAGTATAGTAACAATACTTATCAAGGATCAATTGCCTCATACAGATTTGCACGGTGTTTAAAAAGCTTCAGCAAACACTTATTTAATACTTCAGAATCAAGTCCTATTTCTAACACGCATCCAAGGACAGAATTTCATGTTACAACAAAGAATGTGTGTAATAAAAAGCAACAACTGCTGCTTCTCAGAGAATGTATTCCTCCCAGTTGTACTTTTCACTAGAAGCAGCAGCTGCAGCTCAGAAACAGAAGAGTAAAAAGGTAAAGGTAAAGGTACCCCTGCCCGTACGGGCCAGTCGTGACCGACTCTGGGGTTGCGCGGCCATCTCGCTTAAGAGGCCGGGGGCCAGCGCTGTCTGAGGACACTTCCGGGTCACGTGGCCAGCGTGACTAAGCTGCTCTGGCGAGCCTGCACCAGCGCAGCACACGGAAACGCCGTTTACCTTCCCGCTAGAAAGCGGTACCTATTTATCTACTTGCACTTAAGGGTGCTTTCAAACTGCTAGGTGGGCAGGAGCTGGGACCGAAAGGCGGGAGCTCACCCTGCCGCGGGGATTCGAACCGCCGACCATGCAATCGGCAAGTCCTAGGCGCTGAGGTTTTACCCACAGCGCCACCCGCATCCCAAACAGAAGAGTAGTACTCCTGAAACTTTTCACCTGCAACTCCCCCCTAACCTCTCACTCCCAAACAAGATTCCAGACATGCATTTGTGAGGATACATCTAACTTTACAACCCTATAGTGGGGAGAGGTTGTGGGGAAATGAAGGTTGGGGAAAGGGTTAAGCTTCTCCTCCCACCTCTTCTCCGAATTGTCCCTTTGCAGTTATCAAAGCTTTTTAACATAGAAATCTGATGTAACACAATTCTTCCTCAATCCCACTCATGGAAGAATGCTAACAGAATTCACTGTGCAGGTCTCTTTACCTCAAACGGAGTCTACATATCTGAGCAGGAAGCACTTAGGTTCATCTGGACAAGTAGATATTTTTAGCAAGCTGCTACTGATGTCTGCACAAGAACTTTTGTTGATTGATTGATTGATTGATTGAATGTATGTACAGAAAAGATCACAATATATAAAATCAAAATAAGAACAATAACCCAATAACACCCCTCCAAAAAGAGCCATATTTTAAAAGGGCATAGGATGTCAATCAGGTCAACCAAAGGCCTAGTTAAAAAGGAACGTTTTTGCATGGTGCCTAAAGGTGTATAATGAAGGCGCCAGGTGAACTTTTCTGGGGAGGGCATTCCATAGACAGGGAGCCACTGCAGAGAAGGCCTGTTCTCTTGTTGTCAGCCTCTGAACCTCTCAAGGAGGCGGCACATGAAGAAGGGCCTCAGAAGATCCAGGCAGGTTCATATGGAAAGAGACGGAACACTGTGATGGAAACCAGAGTGCATGGAAACGCCATTTACCTTCCTGCACGGCACTGGCGTGCTTTCGAAATGCTAGGTTGGCAGGAGCTGGGACAGAGCAATGGGAGCTTACTGCGTTGCAGGGATTCGAACTGCCAACCTTCTGATCGGCAAGCCCCAAAGGCTCAGTGGTTTAGACATAACACAGGAATAGAGGAACCTTCCTTATATAGTCAGACCACTAGTAAAAAGGTAAAGGACCCCTGGACGGTTAAGTCCAGTCAAAGGCGACTATGGGGTTGCGGTGCTCATCTTGCTTTCTTCCTCAGGACAACCTGGTAAGTAGGCTAGGCTAAGGGATAGTCTCCACATTCCTAGTCCAGCTCTCAAACCATTATACTATGCTGGTCCCAGCATGCCTCCTTTAACTATTATACTATACTCAAAATCTGAGTTGTTAAAACATGTTACCCAAAATATCTATTTTTCAATGAGCAATTCAGCAATGAGTGGAATCATCTGAGTTTCGGAATGCATTGTCAGTAGTATGCTGATGACACACAGTGCTACTTAGGATAAAAGAATCTTAGAATTTTAGAGTTTGAAGGGACCCCAAGGCTAATCTAGTCCAACCCATCTGCAATGCAGGAATCACAACTAGAACATACATGACAGATAGCCATCCAACCTCTTCTCAAAAACCTCCATGGAAGGAGAATCTACCACCTCTCATGGAAGGCTGTTCCACTGTCAAACAACTCTTACTAACAGAAAGCTCTTCCTGATGTTTTACTTCTCCTTTACATCTGTAGGTGTAGCATGGTATGTGCTGGACTGTTTTCTTGCCTGGACTGGATGAGAGCCAACAAACTGAAGCTCAATCCAGATAAGACAGAGGCAGTGTTAGTAGGGGGTTCCCTAGACCATTTGAATGGGATGTGGCTTGCTCTTGATTGGTTTGCACTCCCTCTGCAGGAGCAACTCCATAGCTTGGGGTTATTTCAGGATCCCTTGAGGATCAGGTGACCTCGATGGCATGGAGTGCTTTCCATCAGCTTTGGCTGGTAGCCCAAGCTGCACTACCCAGAGAGGGATAACCAAACTTCTGTTGTCTATACTCTAGTAATGTCTAGGTTAGATGTCTGTAACTTGTTATATGTGGGGCTGCCTCTGAAGATGGTTCTGAAACTTCAGTGGCCAGGTTGCTCTCTGGGACAAAATAGTTTGAGCCTAGAACACCAATCCTGGCCCAACTGCAATTTCTGGGCCCAAATCAAAGTGCAACTTTTGACCAAGAAAGCCTTAAATGACTCAGGACACAATACATCAAGGACCACTTCTCCCCATATGAACCAACCTGGACCCTACAATCATCAACTGAGGTCCTTCTTTGTGTGTTGTACAAGAAGTCCGGCTGGTGGTAACATGAGAATGGGTCTTTTCTGCGTTGGCTCCTGACTTGTAGAATGCTCTCCCCAGGGAGGCTTGCCTGACACCTTCATTACGTATCTTTAGATGCCAGGTGAATACGTTCTTCTTCCCCAGGTCTTTGGCTAAGTAAACAATCTTAAAGTATGTGTGGTGTTATTGTTATTACCTTATGTGTTTTTGTGTTTTTACACTGTAAACCACAGTGCGGTCCTCAGTTGAAGGGTGCTGCAGAAATCTAACTAACTAACAAATAAATCATTTATTTAAAACCGCATTAGTGAATGCAAATACAAATCTAGGCCTGGTAAAAATCTAAGAGCCATTGCATCACATTAATAGCACAACCTCGGTTGGGGTGATGCAGATAAAGTCTCAGGCATAATTCTCAATGCCTGCAGTTACCAAAGGCAGGGAGCAAGTTTAGCTCCCAAACCTAATGGTGTGAATTGCACCCTTTGACTTTCCCTCACAAAATTTGGGGGCGGGAGGCAAGGATAAAACTTGACCTGCATCCTGGACTTGCGGTTATCCTGACAGCCGCTGAATGAGATCATGCCAGGGTGTGTGTACATACACACACATATACAGTGGACGCTTGGGTTGCAAATGTGATCCGTGCGGGAGGCATGTTCGCAACCCGCAGTATTCGCAACCGGCAGCATCGCGTCTGCACACATGCAGGTTGCAATTTGGCGCTTCTGCACATGCGCAAAGTGCAATTTAGCGCTTCTGCGCATGCACGAGCACAAAACCCGGAAGTAATCTGTTCCAGTACTTTCGGGTTCGGTGCAGTGCGCAACCTGAAAACGCACAACCTGAAGCGTCTGTAACCCGAGGTATGACTGCACACACCTACAGCAAACGTCTACACAGAGACCCATCATTACCTCCTGGAATCTTTGACATAACCAAGCCCTACCTACTAGAACTGGAGGCATTTTGTGAATTCATAGGAGCAGCCAGGTAAAAAAATAAATAAATCCACACCATCTCACATCAGATCTCCATGGTTCCCAACATGGGGCACAGGCCCCGCAGGGGGGCAATTTGATTTTTAAGGGGGGGCAATTCAAGAATGAGTTATTAACAGTGAATGGCCTTCTAGGCGTCCTCCACGCGAATAGGAGCTCGCTTTTTGAATAATAAGAATAATATGTCACGGGAGGGGGAGCTATCAGGATTTTAGAGGTGCTGAGGTGAGGCATGGCCAAAAAAAAGGTTGGGAGCCACTGATCCTAATTCCACATTCAGTTCCTAATCCGGTGCCCCTGGAGGAGGGAGGCAAGCCGGGAGCGCCGGCAATGGCCACGGTACCGGTTTGCTCCTCGTCCCGACCTACCAATAGCCATGGAGGTTTCTTTTTTCTTCCCACCCCCCAGATCTACCCACAGCCATAGTTTCGTTAGTCCCGGGCTGTGATTCTGTTTACGTGGCAAAGCATTTGAGAAGAACCCGGTATCACAAACACAAACACACGGGACCGAGCCCCTTGCCCCTCAGAAACGCCCCTCGCTAGGAAAGCTTCCCCATCTTTCCCTCAGGAAGCCGCCCCGACCGCCACCCCGGGGCACGCCGGAGTAGCGCGACGGGCGCCCGGTGCTTCGGAGGCCCGCTTCCGGGCCCAGGCAAACCCCTTACCAGCGGGAGGAGCAGGCCCCAAAGGGCGGCCCGGAGCAGCCGGGCGGCCCCCATCCTCCTTCCTCGACTCCTCGCCGCCGCCGGGTCTGGAAACGGGTCTTCTTCCCTCGCAGCACCTTGCGGCCCTTCTCCTCCGCGCCTCTCTTTCTCTTAACTCACAAACAGACCCAGACGAAATCACGCCCCGGTTTCTCTCGTCGTATCCGCGAGGCCGGCCGCCCTCCTCCGCTTCTCCTTTCGTTTCGCCCGGCCGTCTTGAAGCGTCGAGTCCCAAACGGGTCGCCTTTTTCTGGGCGGGATTTCGCCGCGGAGAGAGGCGGCCCGCCTGAGGGGAAGCCCAAGATGTCTCAAAGGTCTCTCTCCGGCAGCCCTCGAGGCCTTTGGGCAGCGGGGGGAAAGAGACGGCGGCTTATTTTTGAGGCCCCGGGGCTCGGCGGTTGTCGGGTAGGGAAATGTGGCGAGTTTGAGCGGCCGACGGTTCTCTGAGCATATTCAGAATTCCTCGCCGGGTTCCTGCGCCTGTTCAGAGTTGCCCAAAAGCCAAAACAACACACGCCTCATACCGACGTCTCTCTTCCCTTTCGCTTTGTAAAGGAAACAAGGCGGCACTAGGTGTATGAAACCTCTCCAGAACAATTTCACCATTTAAAAACACTTGAAATTCTCTCCCCCCCCACCTCCCCGTATTTTCTTACCTTGCAAGCCCAGCTGAGCTCCCTTTTGGGAGGATGAGTGGGGCATAAGATTTTTAAAATTTTAAGAGTTTTTTTTATTATTGAGAAGGCCCAAGGACAAGTCTTTTGGTCTTTGTTTTAATAGTGTAACATTCCCCGCCCCCTGCCAAATATTTATATTGGACAGAAAGAATGCATGTTCTGCTGAGGCTAGTAAAATATTTGGTAATCATGAGCTCAAATGTCACCCTTTTTGGATGCAATGCATGTGACATTCCAGGTTGCCTGTCATTTGCCCCAGGTGTGGGCCTGCCCTACTGGAATCTACTAATATCCAGTGGATTTATATGGTATTCAGGTTACACAGTCAAATGTTACATTTGAAATCATTGCTCCAAGCATGAGTTTAGAGTCAGGAAGGAGAAGAAATGTTATGATTTACCATGTTTGTGTAGGTGATTCTGGGTGTAAAGGTAAAGGACCCCTGGACAGTGAAGTCCAGTCAAAGGTAAAGGACCCCTGGACAGTTAAGTCCAGTCAAAGGTGACTATGGGGTTGTGGCGCTCATCTCCGCTTTCAGGCCGAGGGAGCCGGTGTTTGTCCACAGACAGCTTTCCAGGTCATGTGGCCAGCATGACAACTGCTTCTGGCGCAACGGGACATAGTGACGGAGTGAGCTCCCGTGCTCAGTCCCAGCTCCTGACAGCCTAGCAGTCCCGAAAGCACACCAGTGCCAGTAGATAAATAGGTACCGCTCCAGCAGGAAGGTAAGCAGCGTTTCCGTGCGCTCTGATTTCCGCCACGGTGTTCCATTGCACCAGAAGCAGTTTAGTCATGCTGGCCACATGACCTGGAAAGTTGTCTGTGGACAAGTGCCGGCTCTCTTGGCCTGAAAGCAAGATGAGCACCACAAGCCCATAGTTGCCTTTGACTGGACTTAACCGTCCAGGGGTCCTTTACTTTTTACCTTTACCTGTAGTAATAATCATGGATATATCTACCGTAAAATTGATGGGACACCATGTTCATTCTGAGGCAGCCTTAACATTTAAGACAAAAATGAATTTTCAAAAATGTTTTAGTATATGTGTGTCATGTTTGATCTAAATTGGTACAATTTCCTTTGTGCTGTGTTTGCCATTTAATGATCTACAACACTACCCAGTCAGTAATGCAGCCATTAGGAACAACATAAGAAGCTGCCATAAAAGTCAGACCATTGATCTATCTAGCTCAGTATTGCCTACACTGACTGGCAGCAGCTCTCTAGGATTTCAGGCAGGAATCTCTCCCTACCTGATGCCGCCAGTGAATGAAACCTGGGACATTCTGCTTGCAAGCCAGACACTCTGCCACTGAAGTATGGTCCTTTTAATTTAAGTATTTAAGACTACTGCACTGGATAATTAATGAACATCAGCACTGTGGCAGCACCTGTACTCAAGAACTGTGATTTTAACAGTATTACCAGTATTTCCTTTTCTCACAACTCTGCAGATGTCTTTGAGCAGTACATTTACATATATGCACAAACATTTCAATAAAAAAAATTATGTTTAAAACATGAGGCATTTGATATCAATAGTTAAATGAATGGTACCATTTTCTTAAAGGAAATTGAGGTGAGATTGGCATATTTATTAAAACCGGGACTTCAGCGCTACGCTTTCACTTCATGAAACTGAAAGTATGTTGCAATTACTCTCATTTTTGAAGGTCATAGTGGCATGCTTCAGTTCTGTTCTAAAAGTATCTTTTGACCATTGTGTATTCAACTTACTCCCATCAAAACAATTTTGAACAGAAGTACTTGCATACTTAGCCCAGACTACAAGAAGTCAAGTGCCAATAGCAGGTTTTTCCTGATGATTCAGATAATGTTGCTAGATTTGCAGAATATGTACACAGTTTTTCCACTACTAGTGGTTTACTTGTAAGAGACAACAGAATTCAGCAGCGAAAAGGTTAATTGTATAGCAATGCAATTGTAATTATGAGTCTGAGTTTAGGACATGGGTAATAACTTTGACTGGTAATAACCACGCAACATCTAAAATTGAATCCTTTCTAGAGTTTTAATATTACAAATTACAACAAAAATCCCTTACCTGTTCCTATTTGAATGAGACATGATCTCAGCTATTTTTACATGAGCATTCTTCACCAAACCCATTACTTTGCATGCTTCACAAAGTCTTCCAGGGAATATGATATGGCTGTCGTGGTGAAAAAAGCTGTTTTAAATAAACTTTTTGCCAGTGCCTGATTATTATTCAAGGCATAGGATCATGTTGTTGTTGTTGTTTAGTCGTTTAGTCGTGTCCGACTCTTCGTGACCCCATGGACCAGAGCACGCCAGGCACTCCTGTCTTCCACTGCCTCCCACAGTTTCGTCAAACTCATGCTGGTAGCTTCGAGAACACTGTCCAACCATCTCGTCCTCTGTCGTCCCCTTCTCCTTGTGCCCTCCATCTTTCCCAACATCAGGGTCTTTTCCAGGGAGTCTTGTCTTCTCATGAGGTGGCCAAAGTATTGGAGCCTCAACTTCACGATCTGTCCTTCCAGTGAGCACTCAGGGGTGATTTCCTTAAGAATGGGTGCGTTTGATCTTCTTGCAGTCCATGGGACTCTCAAGAGTCTCCTCCAGCACCATAATTCAAAAGCATCAATTCTTCGGCGATCAGCCTTCTTGATGGTCCAGCTCTCACTTCCATACATCACTACTGGCAAAACCATGGCTTTAACTATACGGACCTTTGTTGGCAAGGGGATGTCTCTGCTTTTTAAGATGCTGTCTAGATAGGATCATACTACACTCCCATTCTCTATGACAAGAAGCATATTAGCAAAAAACAAACTAGCCTTTAGTGAGATCAGCCTCCACAATATCTGTTCAGAAAGACAGGCAATATTGTTTGTAGAATTTCACGCCCAGAAGAAGTTCTATAGTATTTAATATACTGAATGCTTAATATAGTGACACGTGTCTGCTCAAGCAGGATTTCCAAAGATCAGGGACACCAAGACCAAGCAATTCATGCCTGTTTCCCTGCGCAAGATTCTTACTGGAGGCTCAAACATGAGCCTAACCAAACTGCGGGAGGCAGTGGGAGCCAAAGTTTGTGAATCACTCTGCAATTTTCTAAATTTAAAGCAGTGTAACCTAGTTTCTCCCATCCCCCAGCAGAACTACAAAACCTGAGGCATCTTTAGTGGAGTTGTTCATTAAAATGTAGCTACCATCTTAAATACTGCTTTTAGACAACAAATTGTGGTCATGATGCTTTATCTAAATGGTTATGTCAAGATTCAGTCTCCAGCATGAACAGGCTTCGACAGAAACAAGAGTTGGCATTAAATTTAGCATTTCACAGCTTTACCAGCAGATTAGTAGTCTAAATATAACAACGTATAAAATAAAATTGGTCAGTTCTTCGCCTTACAGCCAGCTGCTTCCAAAGCATCACATCCCCAAATTGGTATTTCATTCTCTCATTCAGACATCTTACATCTTTGCAGTTGAAGAATTATTGTTGTTGTAGCCTCCTTTGGAATTCATTTGTTCCTGAATTTGCCCGACCTAGAAGAAGTATAACTGTATCAGTCCATAATTCTTGCATTCACTATACTTTCCTGACTGGACATTGTTATTAAGGTTGCAATCCAATATACACCTGAGAATATGTGCTACTGAGGTCAGTTTGGCTTGTGAGAATTGTGTGAGCATGCACAAGATTGTGTCAAAGTACTGCATTAAAACTAAGTCCCAATGCAGAAAGCCTGGCTTAAGTATTATTAATGGAATAAATTCCATAATACATTAGGGCAATACCTATATTTGACTAACCGTTATTCGTGAAATTGCATACAAACTTAAGTTTCCTAAGATTTCATCAGGCTAGATGGTAAAACAAAACAAAAAATGCAAGAGAAAAAATACTATCCAAGCTACTATCCTTGTCAGCATCTGACAATACTGTAGTCTAAAGTGTGGAAGGTAGTGTCAGATGTTCAGATAAGATGTCTACAGGTGTATTGCAGGTTTCAGGTTGCACCCAACTCTTGTGGGGAAAAGAAAACAATGATTTGAGTCTTCATGTCTGCACACATTAAAAACTAGCTCCATTCTGCCTCTATTTTCAGGCAGAACACATAGGTTCCTTTGATATGTGAACAGGTATAAATAAGCAGTTCCCATATAGTCAGAGGTAAAGATCAACTCTACTAAAGTCGGCTGTGTTTCACCTATGGACGCAGAATGCAGTTAACAGATGGTTGCTAAGTTTGCAGACAGGCTCAACTATTATGTGTTCTTCCAAAAGAGCTGGGTACAACAAACCTGTACCTGAACGGGCCTCATTTGATTGTCTGATACCTCCTCTCAGATTGCTTGAAAAGTCTTCTCCCCCCCCCCCCATTGTGCTTTCAGCCATCTAGCCCATGGGTAGGCAAACTAAGGCCTGGAGGCCGGATCCGGCCCAATCGCCTTCTAAATCTGGCCCGCGGATGGTCCGGGAATCGGTCTGTTTTTACATGAGTAGAATGTAAAATCTTATTTAAAGTGCATCTCTGGGTTATTTGTGGGGCATAGGAATTCGTTCATTCCCCCCCCTTCAAAATATAGTCTGGCCCCCCACAAGTTCTGAGGGACAGTTTGCTGACCCCTGATCTAGCCTGATAAATTCTGGTGAACTCAAAAATTTGAACATTGTTTTGTTTGAAATCTTGCTTGGCCCAATAAAGCGATTGCCCTCATTGGTGTAGCCCCCTAGAGCAAGTAAATCCTAATTCCTACTTGCCTCTGCCCTAGAGCAATTAAATCAATAAAAATACTTAACTGACATTCTGCCCCCTAACAAATCCTGCCTACGCCCATGGTTGTCCTAATATGTATTCAAAAATAAAATAATGTCACTAATTTGTGTACATTTATTAAACCTTTGGTTAGCTTCTACATAAAAATATGGAGCTGCTGTATGCTTGACATTTAGACAAGCAAAGAAGTTTAGGTTACACACTTTACTCAATAATACTAAAGATTCTTTTTTGCAACAACCATGCCTTCCATTATACGCATGTTTACCCAGAAGCATGCCTCACTGTATTCATTGGGATTTACTCACAAGTTGATATGCAGACGACTGCAGTTCAAACTGTGAGCCAGCTGAGGTCTTCAAGAAGTAATAATCATACCAATATTAGATAATCCAGTTATGGATTATCGTTCTGAGGAAAATACCTTGTAGTACAGACGACACCTATATCAGACACCTCTTAGCTGACAAAGACCCCGAAATCAACAGGCCTGTGGCGAAGTACTGTTACATTGCAACAAGAATAAGACGAGCAATGATGACAGCAACGGAGTTCAAACTGCAAACATCGAAGGAATGAATAAACAGTAGTGACATTTGAATTGAATCCTTAAAACCTTAAAAGTCGAAACCTGGTCATAAACATAAGTACCAATTTTGTGATTTGGCCATATCTCCACTGTTATCTGTAGTACAATAGTACTTATATTGCCATATTTTATTTTATAAATTGCTTGCTGGTCATTGACCGTATTAAAGATATTTGATTTTGATAAGACATATTAAAGCACATACTTACTGATGGAAGGGCACTAGCCATCTCTTTTGTTCCAATGTGGGCAATGGGTACAAAGTTCATTGGTTCTCCTATAATGTTTCGGTCAAGTCTTGGAGGCTTCTTATTTGGAGTACCATGAGAAAGAAAAACACGTATCATTCAAAAAGATGGTTTGGATTTATAAAACTGGGAAAGTCATAGTTGTTAGCCATTCTAAATATTACACACAAATGCTGAATTATTAGAACCTCACTTTGCTTCTCAAGTTGATATTGTTTATAATCCACCTATAATGAATATCCACTATTTAACCAGGCTCACTTTCCATTTCCTCATAATGAAAACTTTCATGTGCTGTTCTGTACAATTTCCGCGGAAGTCAATTTCCTAAATATTTTTTCTTAATGTCACTAAGCAAGCTTTAATAATTATTCCCCCAGTTCTGCTTGTGCTTATAATACAATTGCTGACAATGCTAAATGGATTTGTTTAATTTACAGATGATCTTGTGATCCTGGAATAATAAAATAAAAGTCATTGTATTACTGAAGGGAAACAGCTGGAACTTAATTCGCAGGTCAACTCACCACTTTGAGCTGGTCACCAATGCAACAATTAAAACAAACCCAGAACTCCGTCATTGTAGCACTCAGTGGCCTCAAGAGTGAGATATTAAAGCAATGGTTTAGGCTTGTCATAGATAAGCACCATGCTACTGAAAAATCAACACACTGTTTACTTCAAGCTTTTAGCAACCTACCTAGGACTGCAATCCTAAATGCACTTACCTGGAAGAAATCTCCACTTAATTCAATAGGACTTAATTCTAAGTAGGCATGATTAGGACTGCATGGTTAGAATACATGGTCAGTTTGTTTCCTATCCAGCTGCCTAAATGGAAAAAATATTCCTGGTTTTGTTTAAAATATCTGAGATTCTATCAAGCAACTTTTCTCTTCTTGCTATGCCATTCAACAGTACTAAAAGAATAGGGCTGCTGTAGGGATTGTGGTGTTGCCAAGAAAAAATGTTGAGTTTATATAGTAGGAATACATGTTTTAACATGACGGTAGTTCCTGCCGCAGTTAGCTTTACAGGGAGAAAGTCATTCTTTAAGAGACATTCTTATAAAATTTCAGAAGCTTTTGCTGATCTTGCAGTGCTGTGTCACCAGAAAGGTCTTAGATAAAGACGTTTACAGGAGTATAAACTGTTAACTCCTGTAAGATATTTCATTAGACTACCTCAGAAGTTATAACACAAAAGCAGCTTCTGAGCAAGGAATAGCCAGATTCTATAGTATATGAGGATATTTTGCTTTATCATTCAATACCAAATAGAGTTGATTTAATGCAAGCTCTTGAGTAAAATCTATCAGCTGTATTTGAGACAGACAGCATATTTTACCAAATCCATTTTTACTTAGCCCAGTTAAATAAATTTGAGGGACTACAAAGCAAGGAACCACGGTTAGGAACAAACTCACAGCCAAGTCTTCTAAACCAGCCACTCCTCTAAATACTGTAGTTTTCCTAAAATGAAGGTTAAAATATGGTATGCACTCCTTATAAAGGCACAAAAATTATCCTGTTTTCACCTGTATTTGCTCTGGTTTATCACCACTGCATTCTGTTTTGTGTTCCTCTGGGTGGAGCCCTTCTCACATATACTCCTGTTAGGGCTCATTTGCTGAGGCATATTTACTTGGAAGTAAGTACTGTATACGGTAAGTGAATTCAGTTGTATATAATCCCAAGTAAACATGCATGGGTTTGTGGACTTAATTGTGCCTTCATATTTTTCATTAAGCTTTCAAACCTACACGATTCAGTCACTGAGATGTCTATAATTATTTTGAGCACCAATATAAATTAGTGTTTTCAAGCTTGCATAGTTGCAATATGCCCCCAGTCTTGCGAGGGACTACAAGAGATCCAGTTTTTTGTTCATGAGGAATATATAGGGACTATTTGTGTTCCCATAACCATTCAAGATTATGACCTGTGAAAGGAATAAACTCATCACAATTAAACAGTCCACATCTGGGTTTGAATTGCAACATTTCATGGTGAGGTAGATTATATGTGTGTATGAGGATTGCCATTTGTTCCTTTTAACAGAAATTTAATAAAAAAGAATTTAAATAAAAATAAAATTAATAAATATAAAACAGCTATATGACAGGTCAAGCTGTTCTTTGAACCTTGATGTCCATCAGTGCGGCCGCCCGCCCTACAGATAATAACGTAAAAGGAGTTCTTCAACAAGGAATTCCAATTAGAAGCAAGCAGCCTAATGTCACTAAAAGTCAGGCAGAGCATAAAATAAGACAAAGTAATGCCTGTCTACAGTCACTGCTTCATGTAGAATTGCTAGAGCTCCATAGGGGGAAAGGGGGAGAAATATAGGCTGGTGTTTTGATGACGACAATCTCATGTAATTGCTACCAAAATCACATTCATGAGGAATAGGGGGGTCTTACATTAGTCACTGGATTTCTGCCTTTTCACTACAGTACAGTGGTACCTCGGGTTACATACGCTTCAAGTTACAGCCTCCGCTAACCCAGAAATAGTGCTTCAGGTTAAGAACTTTGCTTCAGGATGAGAACAGAAATCGTGCTCCGGCGGCGTGGCAGCAGCAGCAGGCCCCATTTGCTAAAGTAGTGCTTCAGGTTAAGAACAGTTTCAGGTTAAGTACAGACCTCCGGAACGAATTAAGTACTTAACCTGAGGTACCACTGTATTTCCACACAAACTGACCAAGTAAAAACAGGGCTTGCTCTTTATGAAGCAAGATATATACACAGTAATATCCAACAGATATAGACAGCAGCACCAGTTTTGAATCTGCAGACATCTGTTTTAACTTCTGTAGCGATGGACATGCTAGCCTGCGGCAGCAAAAGCAATGAACCATAATGTGGCATCTGAAAAACACTAGTCCACAAAACTGTTACGCCCTTTTAAGAGTGCAATCCTATACAACGCCTACTCGAAAGTAAGTCCAATGAGTTCAATAGGACTTACTCCCAGGTAAGTGTATTGTTGCTTGGCAATACGCTCATCCTAAGTCAGCTGCACTAACCACATTGAGACTTAAACCAAGTAAGTGTATACAGGATTGCCGGGCTCGTTTGTTAACGTTTGAGACAATGTGTGATTCTTGTATGAACGTCCGTTTTTATCATTTTTGAAATTTCCACAAATCCTTTTAATTCCATCTGTGAAATGCTCTCCCCAGGGAAGTTCGCCTGGTGCCTTCATTATACACCTTTAGGCGCCAGGCAAAAATAATTCCTTTTTAACTAGGCCTTTGGCTGACCTGATAGACATTTTAAAAATGTGGCTCTTCTTTGGGTTATTGTTTTTATTTTGATTTTATATATTGTGATCTTTTCTGTGAACTGCCATGAGACCTCTGGGTATAGGGCAGCATATAAATTCATCAATTAAAATAAATAAAATAAAACTTACCACATATGATCGAATGAGCCTACAAGATAAATGTTATTATAAGCAGTGCTCTTTTTTTTCTGGGGTTACCACTAAACATTTTGTGAATCTAACGGGAGAAGAAACTATTTTTTTTGAATTTTTTAGGTTCTTCTCTAGCATGGTGAATCGTCAGTTCTATCGCTACCCCCAATGTCCTTTTACTGTGTTTGTTTTCCCCGATTTGAACTACAAAATTATGATTTTCTTGAGTCAAAATGAGAGTACTGTACATAGCTGTCAACCGTCCCTTATTTGGTGGGAAACTCCCTTATCCCAGCGCCGTGTCCTGCTCCTGTCCCTTATTGATGATGTCCCTTAAATTTCCCAGGTTTCAAAGGAAGCAGCTCCTCTCCCTCCCTCCCTGCCAGCCAGGGAGGAGGGAGGCTCCAACTGTGTTGCTTGGCTGCCTCCTCTCAACAGCCTCGGCCCATGGGAGCCCCTCCCCGCAGGGAATGGTGGGAGCCTCGGACCCTTCCACTGCCATCCTCCTCTCTGCCTGCCGCTGCCGCCGCTCCCGCTAGGCTGTACTGCGGCTGCGCTGCCGAAGGACCCGGATGAGATGGGCAGCCTGGCGCGGCCTATGAATTGCTGAGGAGCCTTGAGAGGATAGCAAGGGCAACCATAGAGAAAGCAGTTCAGAGAGAGGAGGAAGAGGAGGAGGCGCGGGGAGGTGTTCCAAGGGCTACAAGGGAAGGACCGCAAGCGCTTCTCCCATAGATTTGTAGTGGTAGACTAGCACAGATGGTCTGATCTGCGGGTTTACTACGGGCGCTATTTCCCCCCCCCTTCCTCCCACCCCGCCTGATGGAACTGAGAGCTGCAGATGGAGCACGAGAGAAAAGATACAGAACTGCAGCAGCATCTTCGTAGCTTGGACTTTGTTTTGCGTGAAAAGTGGTTGCTGCTTGTAGTTATTTAATTGCAGTGTTTCATCAGCTGGTGTCTTGAGCAGCAACCTCTGGAAGTGAAGGGCTAAAAACCGGCGCTGCTCTCCCAAATTATCTGGTCCCTTTTAACTTCGTATTTCAGCTGGTTGACTAAAATCCCTTATTTTGGCTGCTGATCCCTTATTTTCGAGGCTGCTGGTCCCTTATTTTCAAATCTGTAAGTTGACAGCTATGGTACTGTACCCCTAAACATTTTTTTTAGAAATAAGCACTGATCATAAGCTACCGTTCATGGTTCCATCGACCCTCCTCAGTGAAAAATAAAATAAAAACAAACACCGCTTGGCGCTGCCAATAAACCTTCCCCACCCAAATCTGCTGCCTCCACCCTTTCCGGAAGCTGTAAAGAAAAGGAAAACGTGCGCTGGGCAAAGAGTCATTGCAAGGTTGCACGAGGGGGGCGTGTCTAGCGCTGCCGGGGGGCGGGGACGGAGGGCCAGCCAGCGATTGGCCAATGGGAATCGAACCCGCCTTCATTTCTGCCCCCGGGTTGGACAGCGCGGACATTCCGCCGGCGCTCCGGGCCCGTTGGTTGGCTGCGGCGCCCCTTCCCGCCCAATGAGCGCGCGCGTCGCCCCGGCGGAGAGGCGAGAGGCGCGCGCAGCCGTTAGCTGGCTCTTCTTTTCGGCGAGCGCTTCGCCGCGGCGCGGACGGCTCTCGCTCTTGCCGCCGTTTCCCGGAGATAATGGCGCCCCTCGGGAGCTGACGTTCGTGGTTCCTCTCTTCCCCCTTCTCTGTCCTCCTCCTCCTCCTCCTCCTCTAGCTTCGGAAGGGACCGACTGTGAGGGAAGCCGACGCCGCCGACGCCTCCGGGCCTCGCGCGCAGCAGCAGCATCACCAGCATGAAAGTCATCGTCGGCATTGGCGGGTGAGGGGGATTTTGGCGCGTGGGACGCGGGCGCGAGCGAGGAAGGCGCGCGCGGGAGCCGAGCGGGCGGGCGGGGGGGGGGCGCGGGGGCGCATGGCTCTGGACCGCCATATATTTGCCATGCTGCTGCTGCTGCTCTTTTTATTTTATTTTCACTTGCTTTTATTTTTTATTTTATTACAATTATCACTTTATTATAATTATTACTGTTATTATCAAGCGGAGACAGGACTCATGGCTTTGGACCGACATATATTCGCCATGCTGCTGCTACAGCTGCTGCTCATTTTATTTTATATTCACTTGCTCTTATTTTTATTATAATTATTACTTTATTGTAATTATTAGTATCAAGCGGGGACGGGGGCTCATGGCTTTGGACCGACATATATTCGCCATGCTGCTGCTGCTCTATTTTATTTTCACTTGCTTTTATTTTTAATTTTATTATAATTATTACTATTACTGTCAAGCGGGGACGGGGGCTCATGGCTTTGGACCGACATATATTCGCCATGCTGCTGCTGCTATTTTATTTTCACATGCTTTTATTTTTATTATAATTATTACTTTATTATAATTATTACTATTACTATCAAGTGGGGACGGGGGCTCATGGCTTTGGACCGACATATATTCGCTATGCTGCTGCTGCTGCTATTTTAATTTTTTTCATTTGTTTTTGTTTTATTATAATTATTACTTTGTTATAATTATTACTGTTTTTATCAAGAGGGGACAGGGGCGCATAGCTTTGGATCGACATATATTCGCCATGCTGCTTCTATTATTATTATTATTAATTATCTCCTCTATTCAGATGGCTTGTTTCTCCCAGAGCGGTTCAGTTTTGAACGTTTGTTTCTAGGGGATTGGGGAGAGAAAGAAGAGGGGGCTGAATTTTTATTTTTTAACTTATTCAATGCTTGCTCTCGTTTGTATTATGATTGACCCCAACAAATAAATTTCGTTTACATAACTGGCTGATTTAAAAACAAGCAGCAGCAATGGGTTACATAAAATAATATAAAATGTTATAATAGTGAAACACTTTTTTTGAAAACTAAGGCGGCCTTTAAAACAGATTTTCGGGGTGGGGCTTGCGATGCCATCAGGTTGGCAGAAAAGGCGCGCCAAGGGCAAAAGGGGAAGGTGGAGAGATGGGAGGGAAAGAGCCAGAACAAAGTGGCGAATTGCACAGGCGCTTATTTGGAGAATCCAGGCTAGGCTTCCCTCCCTGTTGTTTTTTTATTATTATTATTTGAGTAGCAGTTGGCTTAGAGGGCACCTTCCCCCTCCAGGCCTCCACAGTTGCAGGGCAAGTGGAGCTGAGCATTGTTTCCGGTAGGAGAAGTGATGCGGGGGAACCGAGAGAGGAGCTGAGTCCGCTGCAGTTGTTGTGGCTGCTGCTTGTGCTGGATGAATGCCCCCCCCCCCCATGGTTTTCTAGCCGCACACACCCTCCTCCAGGGATGGCCTTCTGCCCATGTGCAAGATCTGGCAGCCGCTGCAGCAGGAGGCTTGCTTCCACATGCTTCGTTTCCATTCTGTGCCGCAGCAGCTGTTGAGGTTATGGTGTAGGATGTTAAAAGTGTGAGGCGGGGCTGGTTGCTGGCCTCATGGAACTGTTTCATTTTCTCTCTTTTTTTGAAAAAAATAATTTTATACTTTTTTATTCTTTTTATTTTCACAAATTAATAATCATAAAAAAGAATAAAAATGTGCACCCCACCACTAAGACCATTCCATTTTAACTATACAAACTCCCAAAATTTCAACACCTCTTGCAATGGCTTGACCCCTTTCCGTTTTAACAGTACAAATTCTACAAACACCCTCCATATCTCCTCAGAATAATTTCAACATCTCTTGCGATGGCTTGACCCCTTTCCATTTTAACAAATGGAAATTCTACAAACACACTCCATATCTCCTCAGAATAATTTCTCCTGCATATCTCCCCATCTTACCTTAATGGCTCATATTAATTTATCATTAATAGCTATATCCCACACTTCTTTGTATCATTCTTTTTATATTCTGCTTCCCCCTTTCACTTCCTCGCTATAATAATTCGTGCAGCTGTCAATAAATTTGTGAGCAAGTCCTTCCTAGCCTGCGAACCTTCCACCCCATCGTAAATTGATAATAATGCTACCTCTGGGCTTTCAGTCAGCTTTAACCCAGTGATTTCTGTTATTTGATTTTTATGGGGATCTTGAATCATAGAATCATTGAGTTGGAAGAGACCACAAGGGCCATCGAGTCCAACCCCCTGCCAAGCGGGAAACACCATCAGAGCACTCCTGACATATGGTTGTCAAGCCTCTGCTTGCATTGTATGGTATTGATTGTTTAATAAACGTGTGCGTTAAAACTAGTTGGGTGGTCAGAAGCTAGATTCTGTGTCTGGTTGGGGAGGCTGCTTAAGAACCCATGCTGATGATGACGACGACAGCACAGCTTTTTAAAAATTACCGTATTTTTTGCACCATAGGGCGCACCAGACCATAGGGCACACCCAGTTTTTAGGGGGGGAAATCAAGAAAAAAAATATCCCCCCCCAGCCCCAAAGAGCAGCGTACAGGCTGCGCACAACCTCTCCCTGCCGGAGGGGTTGAGCGGGGCTATGGCACAAGCCAAGGCAGCAAGCAGGATGGATCCCGCTCGCTGTTTTGGCTTCCTCTTTAGCCCCGTGCAGCCTCTCCTTGCCAGGAGACGCTGCCCAGGGCTAAAGAATCCATAGCCCCGTGCAGCCTCTCCTTGCCGGAGGGGTTGTGCGCAGCTATGGAGGAAGCCAAGGCAGCGAGCGGGATGGATCCCGCTCGCTGTTTTGGCTTCCCCTTTAGCCCCGTGCAACCTCTCCTTGCCAGGAGACGCTGCGCAGGGCTTTCCTGGCTTTACTGGGAGGTGGGGGGATTCCCTCACCTCTCCCAAAAGCCCGCAGAAGCCGCACAACCCCTTTAAAGAGATTGCGGCTTCTCCTGGCTTTCCTGGGAAGTGGGGGAATTCCCCCACCTCCCGCAAAACCGGCAGAAGCCGCGCGCACTTTAAAAGGGCTGCATGGCTTCTCCTGGCTTTTCTGGGAGGTGGGAGAAGGGACTGATGCGGCCAGTCAGTCCCTTCTCCCTCCTGTGGAAAAGCCCGCAAGAGCGCACAGAGCTTGTGTGCGGTTCTTGGGGGCTTTTCCCGCCTGCCTCCCCCCTGCATTCGCTCCATAGGACGCACACACATTTTCCCTTGCTTTTTAGGAGGGAAAAAGTGCATCCTATGGTGCGAAAAATACGGTATATTTTTATCTTGCCCTTTCTTTCTTCAAGGAAAGGGCTTAAGACAGCTTCGCAGAAGATTAAGTTAACAGTGGCTCCTATGCCTGCTACCCCCAGGAACAGAAGCAGCATAGCACTGAATACCAGTTTTGGGAGAACAACAGTGGGAGAGGACTATTGTCCTTATGTCCTGCTTGTGGGCTACCCATAGGTATCTGGTTGGCCACTGTGGGAGACTGGATGCTGGCCTAGATGGGACTGTGATTTGCGCCATCAGAACTCTTGAGTGCCGAATGGTGCATGTGGTTCTCCCCATGCACAAACGTGGTTCTACTTTGCATTGACAACTCTGTGAGCTAGGCTGAAAGGGTGTGATAGTTATCCTATGAACTTTACGGCTGGTTGGGCTGCCCTAAAACCTTTAACTAGTACTTTACTTTGGCTTGTCTATGAATAAAAGCAGTGATAAAACAAGGACTTAATGCATCTGACTAAGCAGATGTGTGTCTCCAAAGCTACAATAAATGGTGCCTTGCTGTTTAGCTGCAGTAAGCTGACATGGCTACGCCTTTGAGTCTTAAGTTTTTGTTCTTACTGGGGATGTTTTAAAATGGTAGACACTGTGTGTGTGTGTGTGTGTGTGTGTGAGAGAGAGAGAGAGAGAGAGAGGGAGAGGGAGAGGGAAGGGAAGCTTATGGGTGGTAGTCAGGACATAGTTTGCAGCCACTATAAGCAGAATCAGGAAGTACAGCTGTCTTTTCTAGCAGCTGGTTTCATATTTCCCCTTCTTTACCTCTTTGGTTCACTCATCTCCTAGTAACGTTTTCCCACACAGAGATGTTTCTTGCTTCCCACAGATGTGTTTGGAGTCTGCATGTTTTCTAATTTAATTCACACCTTTCATCTTCCATTCTTCCTCCCACATTCTTATTTCAGGATCACCAATGGTGGGAAGACCACCCTGACCAACAAACTTATGCAGGCACTCCCTAATTGCAGTGTTGTGCACCAAGACGACTTCTTTAAGGTGAGGCAGAATTCTGTTTGTATACCCTTTTACGATCCCCACTTTCCTTGCATCACCTCCTACCACATCCTGTTTTGAATACAAGAAATCCTGCAACCTGCATCTGTTGTAAGTAGACTACTTATTATAGACTTGCTGTCTGTAAGGGGTACTTCACTTGACCCTTTCTATATAAGGTGGCTTTGGGAAATGGGTTGAATTCTTAAGATGAGGGTTGTACTGTGTGGCAGTGCTAGGGCCATCAGCACCCAGTGTTCTGAATGCCGAGTCCAAAATACATCCTATTTCTGTCTGAGATGTCTGTGGAAGGAGCGATGGCTGGAATCTCCCATACAGTCCCACAACAGTAATAGAATGCTGCAGAGTTTCTGCTGCAGCAAGTAAACCACAAAGGATGTTTTAGTATCTAATATCCATAATTGTGTATTTCTGTCAATACAGTGGAACCTCGGGTTGCGAACATGATCCATGTGGGAGGCACATTCGCAACCCACAGCGCCGAATCTGCGCATGTGCGGGTTGCGATTCAGCGCTTATGCACAATTTAGTGGTTCTGCGCGAACGCCGAAACCCGGAAGTAACCCGTTCCTGTACTTTGGATTTGACGCGGTGCGCAACCCGAAATCACGTAACCTGAAGCACCTGTAACCCGAGGTACCACTGTATCTACATGAGAAATAATTGAGAAATTTCTGTTGTGCCGTTACCTGTGCACAAACACAACTGAACTTCCACATAACATGGGCAGAACTGCTGTTGTGACCTTCTAGGGCAGCCATCTGACTACCTCTGTGTGTGCTGAATAATGGCCACTGTATGCAGAAGTTAATACTAGTTGATCATATGTTGTCCAGTAAGCTGTTAAAACAGCGTTATTTATTTAAAGTACTTTTAACTCTACTTCTTAGTCAAGAAGGCTCCCAAAGTGGCTTAACGAAATCAAGTAGTAAGACGGTCCCTGCCCCACCAGCTTCAATCTAAAATAGGTGACTCACAAAGAAAAAAGAATGATGTAAAAAGGCACCAGTTATTAACCTTATGACTCATTTGTGTAAGTAATGCCTATTGAAGTTGCTCATCTCTTATAAAAGTGGTATTTCCCCCTTTTGTCCCACAGCCATAGTAATGTTTTGAAGGGCAGGGAAGGGAGGTCATCTTGCAAATGCTAGAATACAAATAGTCCTGCTAAAATGGATTTTTGTACTGGCCACACCTTGGTGAGGCAGATTTCTAGCTGTTATAACTGAGGAGAGTTTTGCAGATGTGTTAGAAAATAACCTGCTATTTGCAGAGGTTAGTGAGTGGGGCTTCGGTGATGAGTATAGCTTGTTTTTCTCACGACTAACATGATAAAATATGCAGAAACATGTTGGTTTTCTGGTGTTACCGTACCTAATTGCAAATGTTGGCTGCTTTTAGCACAGAATGTTCACCTTGGTGCTGAATTCTTAATTTTACAATAAGACTAGATAGCATCAGCAACAGATCCATACATTTAAAATGGAGGACAAGGTATTCACTTCTAACAGCTGAATGGGATGGTGAGTGAGGGCCCTGTGTCCATTGTTTACTTCCCCATAGCCTTTCTTAATCCTACAGCTTAGCTCATGTCTAGTATTGGAACTTAGCTGAGAAGCACACACCTGGAGGGAGAGATGGAGGGCTGGCACACCACCTCTTTTTGCTGTAAAAATTAGATACTCTAAATATTAAGAGAAATTTGGTTTCAAATATGCAGGTCTCCTATAGTTGTATCTAATTACCTCTACTTTAAACAGATGTAATATTGGACATATTTAGCCCACCTAGTCCATTTCCCTCACACTGTGTGCAAATTCCTCCCCTTCTTTCTCTTTTCCCTGCCTCCGGCATTGACCATTCAGTTGGTAACTTTGATCCCAGGAGTATAGAATCATCCCACTCTTAGTGAAACTGCTCCATATCCAGCAACATTTGTTTTCTCCAACTTGCTAACCTAATGGGGTTTCATACTGTTCCTACCTCGTGTTTTAAGCCTTCTTTGTCCTCTTGGCCTTGTTTTTGTTTTGACATATCAATTTACTTTGGGAGGAGGGTTGATGCCTGTGAGTTGTTCTGCAGTCAGTCGATAAGACCTCTAGTGTGGCCTCTGGATGACATTTCTGTTTTTGAAAGTAGGTTAGGTGTGCTTGTGGTAGTGATTAGATAAAGGGTGAAGTGTCTTGTTTCTGCCTTGTAGATCTGCACTACTTAAATTTATTGAAGGTGCAGCTGTAATACATTTTTAAGGGCAGTGAATTACCAGAAATCAGTTTCAACGGGCTCTTTTACCCATCATGCTCTTCTTAAAATGGATGTTGAATTTGTCAGCAGTTCTGTAGACAGTTCTTATTCTGTTTCAGCCCCAGGATGAGATAAAGGTTGAAGATGGATTTAAACAGTATGATGGTAAGTTCTGTTTATATCCATGCAATTACTAAAAATAAAAATTCTAGTCCTAGAACTGAACAATAGGGCATGAGTTGGTAGAGTCCCTTGGAATTCATAACTTTAATAACATGTGTTTTTCTTGAATCTAATGAATTTACTGCTTTTTTTGTCTTAGTTATTAGTGCTTTGGACATGGATGCCATGATGAGTACCATCAACGCTTGGAAGAAAAACCCAATTAAGTTTGAACGATCTCATGGCATTAACACACTTGATACTAGAGCAATAGAGGATTCAGAGGAGAATGATACCATCCATATTCTTATCGTGGAAGGATTCTTGCTTTATACTTACAGGTAACTGAAGCACACAGTTAATGAGCTCTAACTAGGTGATTACTTTATAGAGTCATGACATTTTAATGATCCCTTCTGTTTGTAAGTAAAACTTAATATTCCTAAAGCTGTTCCAGCCATCTGTATCTAATCACATAACTGCTAGCAGCTGCTTGGCAGGTCTTTGATAATGAAATGAGTGTTGTGTGATTATTTTTGATTGTATGAGCACATAACAGCAGACTGTGATAACATAACCATTACTTGTTCTGGTGCATGATAGATAATTGCTGTTCTGATGGGCAGTTCTTTCAAAATGTCATTACCTTTTGGTGGGGCTGACCAGGGCAGAATAGCAGAAATGAAGGACTAGGTTGGCATATTTTCAATGAGGAAACTCAAATCTTAGCAAGCATTTTTAAAATTTATATTCCTGGTTGCAGCTTGAATATGAGCCAGCCCTATAGTAAGGGACTTGGACTTCCAAACAGCTTTGGATCATCTCCCTCACCAAAATCTCCTGAGTGAACTTAATGATCATGGGTTAGAATTACCAGTTCTTTTATTGGGTCATTTGAGTTCAAGAGCAGAAAACAGCAAGAACAGAGAGTTACGTTGTGCTGTCTGCCAAGGATACGTATTGGGACTAGTACTATTTAATCTATTCTTAACTATCCGGGTGAGCTGTGAAATAGTTAGAAATGTGAATGTGACACCAAAATGTCTGAGATGGTGAAAATCCAAGCTGATTACAGAGAACTCTAAAGCAGGTCTCTTCCACCTTTTTCAGACCCAGACCCACTTTTAACCCAAACATGCATTTGGGGCCCCATTTCTTAATTTTTTAAGTCATATATTGTACAGTTGTACCTTGGATCCTGAACACCTTGCATGTCTAACATTTTGGCTCCCAAAAGCCGCCAGCCCGGAAGTGAGTGTTCCAGTTTGCGAACGTTCTTTGGAAACCGAACGTTTGACGTGGCTTCTGATTGGCTGCAGGAGCTTCCTGCAGCCAATTGGAAGCTGCGCCTTGGTTTCCGAACGTTTTGGAAGTCGAATGGACCCACCAATTGAAGTCCAGTTCTCTCAAGGACTTGTTCAAGTTTAGTGAACAGGCAACAAAATGGCAAATGGGTTTCAATGGTAATAAATGTAAAATGATTCACATTGTGGCAGTGACATTCACAGGCATGCTGCAAGGATATGAACTGGCACTGACTCTTCAGGAAAGATGTTTTGTTATAGTGTGTAGTAATATCAAATCATCAAGCCTCTTTGTGGCAGCCTTGAAAATAAAGGTCCATGCTAGGAATTGAAAGTAAAATGACACATTGTTGCCCTGATGGAAATTTAATGTGACCACATTCAGAGTACAGGTAATTTGCAACTTACAAGGGTTTAACTTGTGAGCATTCAGCTTTATGCACTTGGCAGTTTAAAAAATAATTAGAAGAGGAGGCAGGTATATGGGGAAACCCCTGGCAATCCTACCTGCCGTTGATCCTAGCGAGTTTTGACTATATGCACTGTTGGGTATAGGTGCTATCCTCTGAACATAAACCCCCCGGGGTAAGTTGAGAGTCACTGTATTGTGTATACTTCTCGTTGCTCAGTCTTTAATAAAAGTATGATAGAGCTGTAAAGGGGTAGCAAAGGGAAATATAAAATATCAAAGGGTTGAAAGACCAAGCATGTGGGCTTTTCAGTTTATAACAACCAGTGCAGGAGAGGGCATGACATATTATTCATGGTTATGGATTTCACATAATGAATTTGATGAGCAGACCATTCGGGACAGAAAAGGAAATATTCTTTCAAAGGAGCTTAATGTATTACATTCACTGCTGCAGAACATGGTTGCAGCTTAAATGGCTCTAATGGGGGATTAGACAATTCATGGGGAATACGCCTGTCAATAGTTCTTGGCTATGAGCCACATAAGAGGCAGTGTCCTGGTTGCTGGATGTAACTATTGTGTTGATGCCCATTGTTGGATAAAGGACGCTAGACCATTTGGTATTATTCATGAGGGGTTTTCCTTTGTTTTGTTGTATTAAAAAAAACACCCAGGTCACCTTTTCTTTTCTTTTTAGGCCCTTGATTGATGTATTTGACTACCGGTATTTTCTTTCTATTCCCTATGAAGAATGCAAGAGGAGGAGAAGGTAAGCCAAACACACATACCCTACAAAAAGCACAAGTTGTTTGATAATCTGAAAAGTCATGTTGAGGTGACCGAATAAGTAAATGGGGTTTGCATGAGCAAAGGACTCCTAATTTGCTCGATAGTAATCACATTCAAGCTGAAACATATGGTGTGTTTTTCTCCCTCCTCCCCAAATATTTAGTTCAAGGAATTACACTGTACCTGATCCACCGGGTTTGTTTGACGGTCACGTCTGGCCCATGTATGTCAAGCATAAGATGCTAATGGAAGACCTTAATGTTGATGTGGGTAAGTTTAAATTGGGACATGGGGTCAGTTTTAAAGATGATTGTATTCTGTGAGGTAGGTAAGTTTATTTTAAGATTTTATAAGGCAATGTTCCCACAGTGATTTTACCGGTGTGAAATATTAGTGTTATTGAAATGATTGATTTGCTTAAGCTGCAATTGTTGCTCATTAAATAACTCTTCATAATGAATTGACCTTCAGTATATGACTGTTTGAGTAGGGCAGTGTTGAATTGATAACATCTGTGTATCTGCCCATTCTTCACTTCAAAGTAGTCCTTTTCTAGCAGCCCAGATTGTCTCCTTTACACAGCTTCAAATGGCTGGGGCTGCAAAGGATGCTTCCATGCCATATGGAGACTAAACGTTCTTCCCCAAGATTCAGAACAAGTTTTCAAATTGAAAATGGGTAGGATATAGTGTACTCAAAGCTCACAAATCTGTCTTTGGGCTAGGACACTTTTGGCCCTCCAGATGTTGCTAAACTACTACTCCCATATCCCTTGCTGGGGCTGAAGAGAGTTACAGTTCAGCAATATCTGGAGGGCTAAAAGGGTAGGTGGTTTGGATGGGCTTGCTTAGTTGTCTGGGGACCATTTTACTCAACTGCAGGCACATAACTTTACAGTAATCTGTAATCAGTATTCTAGCTCAGAGGTTTTCAACCCTTTGGGGTCCACGGCTCCCTTGATCAACAACCGTATTTTTTGCTCTATAAGATTCACTTTTTCCCTCCTAAAAAGTAAGGGGAAATGTGTGTACGTCTTATGGAGCGAATGCAGGCTGCGCAGCTATCCCAGAAGCCAGAAAAGCAAGAGGGATTGCTGCTTTCACTGCACAGCGATCCTTCTTGCTGTTCTGGCTTCTGAGATTCAGAATATTTTTTTTCTTGTTTTCCTCCTCCAAAAACTACGTGCGTCTTGTGGTCAAACCGAAAAATACGGTACATTCTTTCTGTTGCACCCCTGTGGGGCTCAGGAGCCCAGTTATGTCACCCCTTGCCTGCAGAGCTGGCAGTCCCTCACCCCTCCTTTGTGGCGGGTTCCCTCAGCCTCCTCTCTTCTCCCCTCTCATTGGGAGTCCTCTGGGCAGCTGCTGCCCCTGATCTCTGAGTTGCCCACCTTGCCCCAAAGAGAGGTGCCTCCTCATACTGCCCCACATGTGCCTGGGAAGCAACCCTTGGCCATCCCCAGAGGCAGCATTTGCTTAGGGAGCTCAGCAAACAGCTGTGCAAGCCTTTGGGAGGCAGAGATGTGTTGAGGGCATCAGAGGAGGGAAGGAAAGAGAGGCAGAGGCCAGGGTTGCCCATGGCAACCCAACCATCATTCAAGGCACCACAGAGTGCCACGGCACACTGGCTGAAAACACTGTCCTAGCTTGTTAACAAACTGTACTTTGAACTCTCCTTTATTTCCTGTTTGCTGAATTGCCATGGTTTGTCGCTAGGATCAGAAACATTGTAACAACAAACCAGTATTTTGTTACATCTGAATCAGGCCTGTAAATGGTCTGAAAACTTTGAATAATCCAGTATATATTCGTGAAAATGAAATGGCATTTCTTCAGGAAGATCTTTGTGAATCTTAAACATCTGCTTTCCTCCTCCCCCTAACTCTTGTTGGCCAGATTTAAAAATGCATTACATATGCAGATCTGTGTGCCTGGCATACACAGAAATAGCAATACTTAAAATAACTGGCTTATTTCAGCTTGCTTGCTTCCTTCTTCAAATGGTGGTGTTTTATATTTCAGTTCAGTTGGATGGAAGAAAATCAAGAGAGGAGCTCTTTAATGAAGTCTATGAACACATTCAGAACAGCTTAGAAGAACTGCTGGTAGGAATTGTTCTTAAGTAGGGGGGCAAAATGAGTTGCAGATTGTTCCATGTAAGATGATTAACTCTCATTACAGTTCCAAAAAAGTACATCTGTGTGCATGTGCATCAATGTTCTGTCTTTTAATTTGGGCTACCCGCTAGGGTTGCTAACAGGTACTTGATGGTGAGAAATCTCTCAAATATTGATTTTGTTTTCAGATGATTGCAACTATATAAGGGCTACATCCCATGTCATACAGCTGTTATAAGCATATAATTACCTCTACTGTATTGGAAAATGTGTTTATGTAGAGTATGTGCAGCAGTCACTCCCTTAATGTTTCTTTTCTTTTCTTTTTTTTTAGAGATAGACAAGTGGTTGGAGGATTCTTTTGATGTAGAAGACACTTGTTCAGTAACTTATTTTTTTCTCTCCTACATATGCCTGGCTTGGCAGTAAAGTTCCAACTTCTATGAAGATTTTTTTCCCTTTGCTGTTAATAAATACATTTTTCTTGCTGACATACGTCTCTAAAATGTGGCCTTGATTAAAAAGCATTTACCACCTTCAAAGCTTTTGAGATTTATTTTGTGTTTTTTTAAATTAATGCTAATCTATATTTGCATAGGAATCCTAGAGGTTGTATTGTGCAAATTATATTGTCAATAGTACAGGATGCTTCCTAATACCTGGTCAGACTGCCTTGTCTATTATTATTTATAACCCACCTTTTTCTCAATGTGGCTTACAGCTAAAAATAAGAACCACTAAAATAATAAGCAATAATTAAAGAACAATTAAACACTGATATAATTAAAACTGTAATCTGTTAAAACCATGCAAATAATTACAATAGAAACAGCACAGCACCAGTCCTTTCATTAAAAGCAGTCAGTTCCCAAAAGCTTGTTGGAACACAAAAGTCTTCATGCCAGCAGGACAACAAAGGGAGCCAGTCTAGTTTCTCTAGGGAGGGAGTTCCAAAATCTGGGAATGAACTCTCCTGAAGAGTTCAAAACCCAGGCAGATTCACATGAGGGAATACCGTCTTTCAGATAGTTTGGATCTAAGCCATATAGGGCTTAATAAGGTTAACCAGCACTTTGAATTGCACCTGGAAAGAAGGTAGCTAGTGGAGCAATTGTGGAATGCCCTCTCATCAGATGTCAAACAACTACCGTATTTTTTGCTCTATAGGGCATACTTTTTCCCCTCCAAAAATTAAGGGGAAATGTGTGTGCGTCCTATGGAGCGAATGCAGGCTCCTTGGCTTCAGCGATAGCAATGCGAAGCCTCCGAAGCGCAGAGGGAGCGCTCCCTCCGTGCTCCGGAGGCTTCACGTTCCTTTCGCTGAAGCCAGGACAGCAAGACACTCCTGGCTTCAGCAGAGAGGGAGAGCTGTGCAGCGCCCCTTCAGCCAAGCAGGAGGAGAAATGGAAGGGGCTCCGTTTCTCCTGCCGCTTCGCTGAAGGGGCGCTGAGCAGAGAGAGAGAGAAAACAAGGTGCGTCCTATAGAGCGAAAAATACGGTATTTGACTTTTGGAAGACATCTGAAGGCAGTTCTGTTGAGGGAAGTTTTTAATGGTTGATGTTTTATTGTGTGTTTAGTATTTTGTTGGGAGCTGCCCAGTGTGGCTGGGGCAACCCAGTCAGATGGGCAGCATACAAATAATAAAACTTAATTATTAACAAGGGAGTTGTATGCGCCCTATAACCAGCCCTAGTCAACAATCTGGCTGCAATTATTTGAACCCGTTGAAGTTTCTGAGCACTTTTCAAAGGCAGCTGCGCATATATCCTGTTTAGATTATTGTAACATGCTGATGGCCACTGGTCCCATCACCTCCTGGCAAATAGAAGGGGAAGAAATGGAGGCAGTGAGAGATTTTACTTTCTTGGGCTCCATGATCACTGCAGATGGTGACAGCAGTCACGAAATTAAAAGACGCCTGCTCCTTGGGAGAAAGGCGATGGCAAACCTAGACAGCATCTTAAAAAGCAGAGACATCACCTTACCAACAAAGGTCCGTATAGTTAAAGCCATGGTTTTTTCCCAGTAGTGATGTATGAAAGTGAGAGCTGGACCATCAAGAAGGCTGATCGCCGAAGAAATGATGCTTTTGAATTATGGTGCTGGAGGAGACTCTTGAGAGTCCCATGGACTGCAAGAAGATCAAACCTCTCCATTCTGAAGGAAATCAGCCCTGAGTGCTCACTGGAAGGACAGATCCTGAAGCTGAGGCTCCAATACTTTGGCCACCTCATGGGAAGAGAAGACTCCCTGGAAAAGACCCTGATGTTGGGAAAGATTGAGGGCACAAGGAGAAGGGGACGACAGAGGATGAGATGGTTGGACAGTGTTCTCGAAGCTACAAACATGAGTCTGACCAAACTGCGGGAGGCAGTGGAAGACAGGAGTGCCTGGCGTGCTCTGGTCCATGGGGTCACGAAGAGTCGGACACGACTAAACGACTAAACAACAACAACAACATGCTGTAACTATAGCGTGTGTCACTGATCAAATTGGGCATCTCAAGGAAATGGGTGCTCCTGGCAAACAGCAAATGTGCTCCTTGCTGGCAAATGTGCTCCTGGCCACCCCAGAGCTCCTCTAGCTTAGCTTACTGGCAACTGCTTTTCAGGCAAAAAGGTGTTTACACCACCCATCTCATTCTTTGAATTAGCAATTGTACCTGGGACACTGCCTACAAAACATAGGATCAATCCCACTGAGCCATGACTCCTCCCCAACAGAAGAAAATTCTGCAATTGCTGACAAATCGTAGGAAACAGGCAGTTGAGATAGTTCCCACTTACTTGGCTGCTATCTAGGGAATATTGACTTAAGCAGTGTGGTACAATACGCTTAACAATGCAGATATTGGCAGTACTGATAGAAAAGGCCACAAAATAAAGCCTGGTTTTCATTGAACAAGTGCAGAACGTTCCATATTTGTTACAAATATAAGTTCTATGTAAGGAGACACTTGCTGATAAGGAGTTGGTACAATTGTAACGACGATATGACATTTTATAGAACGCTTTCTGAATTTTCCCTGTAGCCCTTCTGACGGATTTGTAAGGTAGTCCATTACAGTATCTCTGTATTACAGACTTGTAACACTTCTTGAACTGGGATCATTCAAGGTCAACGGTTAGCCACCACACCAGCTGTTAAAGCTGGGAAGAGAGCACATATATGAGCTAACACAACTCCGTATATTATCTCATGGGTAGACTCAAAATAGAAAGTCAACAGCTAAAAATGCAGCTGTTGCTACACTATGCTGGATAGTTCATTTACTAGCTGGATAAAGTTTTCTTTAAAATGTAGATTCAGGACCTACAAAGACATTGAAAAGTACCAAGTGTATTTGCTTTAAAAAAATAATACATAAAATCCAAGTACTTATGAGTCTGAAGCTCTTGTCTCTGCTCAGAAATGTTTATTGATATACTGCACAGGACATCGGTTTATATCTTGCTGTATACCTTTTAAAGCTGTGGTCGTACTGTTGTGGTTCGTAGCAGGTACAAAAGGACTGGCGGCTACTTCAACCCTAGGTGTAACAGCTTTCGTATCGGAGCTGGACCTCCCCAGTATCCCCTAGAAGAATTTTTTCAAGGGTTAGAACTGGGATAAAGACCACTTCAACATCCTATTCACCAAAAAAACTTTTTGTATTTAATGTTGGTGCTTTCCTTACAATCAAGATTCCCTTCTCATATTTGCGTAAGCTATGTAACTGGCATTACAGAATATAAATTGAAATGGTTGCTATTTGCTGCAGTGATGACTTGTTCATATGGTAAAGGTAAAGGGACCCCTGACCATTCGGTCCAGTCGTGACCGACTCTGGGGTTGCGGCGCTCATCTCACTTTATTGGCCGAGGGAGCCGGTATACAACTTCCGGGTCATGTGGCCAGCATGACTAAGCCGCTTCTGGCGAACCAGAGCAGCGCACGGAAACACCGTTGACCTTCCCACCAGAGCGGTACCTATTTATCTACTTGCACTTTGACGTGCTTTCGAACTGCTAGGTTGGCAGGAGCAGGGACCGAGCAACGGGAGCTCACCCCGTCGCAGGGATTCGAACCGCCAACCTTCTGATACGCAATTCCTAGGCTCTGTGGTTTAACCCACAGTGCCACCCGCATCCACTTGTTCATATAGCTTGTGTTTAATCTGAGATGTAAAATTTGGAAACCAAGGGGAAAATTGTTCTTTCAAAAATGTGGGGGGACAATACAATACTTGTGTTTGTTTTTAAATACACATTACCTACCAAAAACACTTTTTTCTTTAGGACAATGAAATGAAATAGTCGTATCTTGGATCCCAAATGCCTAGGTAATTGGACGTTTTGCCTCCCAAACGCTGCAAACACGGAAGTGAGAGTTCCAGTTTGCAAGCATTCTTTGGAACCCCGACATCCGACACGTCTTCTGATTGGCTGCAGGAGCTGCCTGCAGCCAATCAAAAGCCACACTTTGGTTTCCAAAGGTTTTGGAAATTGAGTGGACTTCGGAACAGATTCCGTTCGACTTCCAAGGTACGACTGTACGTATAACTTTGTTTACTATAGAGTTATCCTGTCTGGTATATTAAAAGTACAGTTGACCCCAATAATAATTGCAAGTCAAATTTAGTTACAAATGGAGCTACAAGCTGCTGAACTGTAACAGAGCAATCCAAACCCCTGAATCGCAGTGCGGAAGGAGTTTTGGATAGAGTGGAGTTGTCTCTCAGCTCAATCCTGCCTGGTACTGTCAACAGTTGAGCTCCACTGTCAGGGAGTGCCCTTGGGTGTACCCACCCAAACAGGCAGGCAGAAGCCCATGAAATCGGGGTTTTCTGGGGCTGGCACGAGAGTTGTCCTTTGACAGTAATGGGCATCTTTGCTGCACCAGCCTGAGAGATGGCTCAGTAAAGGGCCATTCTTCCCTGCTCCCCTGCCTTGACGGCCTCCAACTTGGATCTCTTTCAAAGAGGATAAAACAAATTGATGGAGGACATGAATACTTAACTGCTGGAAATTGCAGCTTCTCCTAGGAGGTGGTTCTGCTTGTGGGCTTGCCATGGGCAGCAAGTTGTCCAGATTCTGGACAAGATGGGGGTACTGGTGTGATCCAGCAGACTCTTATGACCCTAAATTGGGGCGATGGCTGTGTCCAGCCTCACTATGGCCAACCCAGGCATTAGGACTGTAGTTAAAGCTATCCCTCTGAAAAATGAACTTGGCAAGTCAAATTTCCCTCTCTGCAGCTATGTAAGTCGAAAGCTGCATCAAACCATTTGGAACGGCAGATTGCTAAACTTTTTTTAATTTAAAGTGCTTGTTTGGTGTAAAGTAAAGGTAAAGGGACCCCTGACCATTAGGTCCAGTCGTGGATGACTCTGGGGTTGCGGCACTCATCTCGCTTTATTGGCCGAGGGAGCCGGCGTACAGCTTCTGGGTCATGTGGCCAGCATGACTAAGCCGCTTCTGCCAAACCAGAGCAGCGCACAAAAGCGCCATTTACCTTCCCACCGGAGTGGTACCTATTTATCTACTTGCAATTTGACGTGCTTTCGAACGGCTAGGTTGGCAGGAGCAGGAACCGAGCAACGGGAGCTCACCCCGTCGCGGGGATTCGAACCGCCGACCTTCTGATTGGCAAGTCCTAGGCTCTGTGGTTTAACCCACAGCGCCACCCACCTCCCTTTTGCTTGTTTTGTGTACTTCGGCATTAAACTGATAGGACATATAGAACTTCCCTCTATAAAAGCATCTTTGAAACACATAACTGCATCTTTAATTCCTCCCCCAATATAAGATGTTAAATTTTCTCTATGACGGTCCAAATGGCTTTTATTTTAGACATTCACCGTTCAAACGAAAACCTACCTCTGCAGTTAAGAAATGTGCAGCTTGTTTGCGGCATTGCAGAAACCTGTGCCGCAAAAAGTGCCCTTGGATTTTGCGTCGGTCGGTTTTTCCAAAACCCGCTCAAGTTAGTTTGGCATATGTACACAAGGGATACTTACTTCAATAGCCCATGCCAGTAAAGGAATGGCATGAGATCAGCTTTCATGTGAAAACTTGTCAGCCGCTCCTTGCTCTGGTCAAAAGGAAATGTTTCTAAAGGCTGCGCGCTGTAATCAAATTCTGCCAGGATCGCGCGGTTGTAGTTGGTTACCAGGGGACAGGATGTGTATCCATCGTACTACAAAAGATTTTGTGGTGTACATTTTACACAATGGAACCAAAAAAACTTCACTTGAATATTGCAAAACAATTTCTCAGGTTCCCCGCCCCCCAAGGATCCCTCTAGTCTGCTTATGTCCAAACTTTTTTCAAAGAGGACCAGATTTGATGAAGTGAAGGGTCGTGAGGGCCGACCTAAGTTTTTAACCTTTTTTTTAGGATTGAAGCTATTGCACTTTTTAAAGGATTTTACCCCAGGAAATAAACTGCCACAGGGGCCGGATTAGCCCCCAAAACAGACTTTGGACATGCCTGGCTTATGTAAAATACAGTGGTACCTTGGAAGTCGAATGGAATCCGTTCCAGAAGTCCGTTCAACTTCCGAAATGTTCGAAAACCAAACAAGGCGTTTTGAATTTGGGCGACAACCTTTCTGATCTTAAATAATTTAAAGAATACTGCCTCAAAATATGTTACAAAAATTAAGTTATTGCCCATGGGATCTTTATTAAAAATATAATTCTTGATTCGAAGTTATAATACTACCCACTTAATGACCAATTAATTGAATTAACCAGCTTACCTTTTTAGCTGGAGGCTTGCCCTTCATTACACAAGAAATGGTTTTATCAAGCACACCAGACTGGCCAGCTACAAAAGAGATAATGGTTTGTTTACATTAGTGCTGCAACGTTTTTCTTCCTGAAATAGGAACACTAGAGTCTAAAAATAAAATTCTATTTTTAAGCGCTACCCCTTGAAACATTTCTCTGTGTATTCCTCTTATTGTTTTTATTTATTATTATTTAAGCTACTCATAGACCACTTAATTGCCAAAGTTTCTAATTGGTGCTGGGTTGCAATTTCTTTTTCTGTTTCTAAACGGACCAACACAGCTTCTTCTGTTAGAATATCCACTAATTTGTACCATAATTTAGTCAGTGATAAAATAGATGGACCCTGGTCTAGCTAAAATTGGTTGTAAATAAGTCCTATTAATTCGTTCTAAGGCATGACTAACTAAAGACCAATGCTTGCTTATAATAGGGCAGATTAGAGAGAGCAGTTGTGTAGCTCAGGAGCAGAGCAGAGAAGACCTGAAGAAGAAATAATAATAATAATAATAATAATAATAATAATAATAAAATTTTTATACCCTGCCCAGGGCAGCAAACAACAAATTTAAAACACTTTTAAAACACTTAATTATAAAAGCATAAAATACAGTGTAAAAACATGAATAACAATAAAAATAAAAAATCAATTAGATAATCCCCAGGGCTAGCTGGCTGAATTGGTCTGAGATCTAATCCCTGGTATCTCCAGTTTAACAAAACTGGAGCTTCAGATACAAAGACTGGAAAGGCTGATATCTGAGGCCTTGAAAAAATTGGGCTGGAGTAGAACAAGTATGGGAAACCTCAGGCTCAGGGACTAAATCTATTCTAACTCAGCTACATTAGTCAAAAAACAGTATTTTGAATGCGTTATGAACATGCAACACCAGATGGTGCCAGAGAGCAAAAGAATTTCTGTGTGATTTTTCCATAGCGTTTTCCCCCCTTTGTTATAATGATTTAATTTTAATAGGCTTTCCCCCCCTGTGTGTAGATGCACCCTTGGTCAGTCAAATAAACTTTTTTTAAAAAAAATCCTATTTCTGAACTTTCTGACATCAGACCCATAAAAGGCTTCTTTCACTATAGGAAACTTAAGACTCAGTGTTTAAAGCCAGATTTGCAGCAAGCATTTATTATTATTTATTTCCGGTATTTGTATACTGCTTTTCTTCAGATATCAAAAGGGTTTGCAAAGAGAGCGAAAAAGGCTACATTAAATAAGAATTAAATGTAGTATTTATGTTAACACAGAATTTTTTTAAAAAGGTAAAAGACCTCTGAGCCAGTGTGGTGTAGTGGTTAAGAGCGGTAGACTCGTAATCTGATGAACCGGGTTCGCGTCTCCGCTCCTCCACATGCAGCTGCTGGGTGACCTTGGGCTAGTTACACTTCTTTGAAGTCTCTCAGCCCCACTCACCTCACAGAGTGTTTGTTGTGAGGAAGGAAGGAAAAGGAGAATGTTAGCCGCTTTGGGACTCCTTCAGGTAGTGATAAAGCGGGATATCAAATCCAAACTCTTCTTCTTCTTCTGACAGTTAAGTCCACTCGCGAACGACTCTAGGGCTGTGGCGCTCATCTCGCTTTACTGGCTGAGGGAGCCGGAGTTTATCCGCAGGCAGCTTCCGGGTCATATGGCCAGCATGACTAAGCCGCTTCTGGCGAAACCAGAGCAGCGCACAGAAACTCCGTTTACCTTCCCGCCGGAGCAGTACCTATTTATCTACTTGCACTGGCGTGCTTTCAAATTGCTAGGCTGGCAGGAGCAGGGACCGAGCAACGGGAGCTCACCCCGTCACAGGTATTTGAACCGCCGACCTTCCGATCGGCAAGCCCTAGGCTCAATGGTTTAGACCACAGTGCCACCCGCGTCCCTAAGATTGAATTAACATTGAATTAGTTAACGGCAAAAGCCACTCTTACCTACAGCTGCAGCCGTCTTTGAAGTGGGGAGGTTAGTGCAGTCTCCGATCCCAAAGACATTTGGGTATTTCTTGTGTTGCAATGTCTCCTTGTCTACATCGACCCAGCCCCCAGCATCTGAAACCGGACTGTTCAGAAGTACGTTTTGGGGTCCCATGGGGGGTGTGACATGAAGCATTTCGTACTGCACCCAGAGAAAGAGAAAAGAGTTCAAGCAGTGTCAGATTTACGTATAAGCTAAACAAGCTATAGCTTAGGGCCCCACTCTCTTGGGGGCCCCCAAAAAATTTAAAGGAAAAAAACTACCGGATGTACATTTCCAAAATATAAGATAAGATAAAAAACAAATAAAATAAAAACTTCATACAGCAACAGTGTTTTGTGTTGTGTAGGCTCCTAGCATGTAAGTAATGGGCCCTGCCTGCTAGTCTGCTCCATAAAATATCACTGGTTTGCTCATTTCTATATATAGGGTGCCTACATTCTGCATGGACTGGTTGCATGACAACATGTGCAAATGGCTTGAGATACCTATTATTTCCATAAATCACCATATAGCATATATTCAACACAAAAAACAGTGACTATTTGTTGTTTGTCAAAGGACAGCTCAACATTTAAAGGACCCCATTACCTTCAGTAGCTTAGGGCCTCATCAAACCTAAATGCAGCCCTGAGTTCAAGCACAACTGTATATTAAACAGCACAAGATATTATGGGCTGTCCAGTGAATCCACTGGATGACATCGCGGAAGAACGTTGCCTCAGGAGAGTGAGGAAAATTCTCAGGGATGATTCACACTCTGGCCGCCACTTTCTTGATCTCCTGCCCTCAGGCAGAAGATATAGAAGCAGGATTAGTCGCACCAACAGGGTAAAGAACAGCTTCTATCTGTGGGCTGTTAGGCTGCTGAATAAAAAGATAATAACAGGGCAACTGACTTTAGGGTTTGGTGGGTGTGCGTCAGTGAATGAGGGGAATTAAGAGAGCTGAGTTGGGGGTGCTCGTGTAATCTCACTGTATACAAGTTGTACAAGTGACAATAAAGTATTTCAATTTCAATATCTGATACTATAGATTAGCATGAGAGAGAATTTTCCCTGGCTAAGATGCATTTATGCGACTACAGCTGCAAGGATGTTGCTTGCCCAGCGACAGAAAGAGAGTAAGATGCCAACAAAAGCAGACTGGCCGATGAAATTATTGGAGTAGATTGACTTTGAAAATCAGAAATAAGGTGGATCAAAACTTCAACAGAGAATGGGACAGATATAGATCATATTTAAAAGAGCACTGGAAACACTTGAACTCTTTGGCAGGCTTTGAACAACTCTTGCAGTGTTATAAAGACTTTGGATATTTTGGAGAACAGTAATTTGAAGGAAATATTAATATGCGGTGGATTAAGATACATAAAGGACCTGTGGAGGGGAGGAGGGAAATTTCAGGATTCGGAGGAATCTTGTTTTAGTTTAAGATGGTTTTTTAAAAAAAGATTAATTGTGTGATTTATTTTGTCATATCAATAAAAATTACTTCAAAAAAGAAAAAGAAAAAAGGAATTCCCAGAGATGATTGTCGTGTTTTTAATATTCTGTTGGGAGCCACCCAGAGTGGCTGGGGAACCCGACCAGATGGGTGGGGAATGAATAATATTTGTTGTTGTTGCAATTATTATCAGTAGTAGTATTAAGATAATGTCCTTATAAAGTTTTTCCCCCACTTCTTCACTGTATCAACCATTTTCACCTTCTCACATCACATACTTCGATCAACATTTTGATTTACTATTTCCTGCCTTTTCTAACAAACAGGAAACCAATCCAGGTCACAAACAGGAAAATCAGAATAGTCCTAATAATTCGCTTTGTACATAGATGCACCTGAAAAAATCTCATTTTGCTGACCTGATAGACCTCCGTCTCCCCACTTTTGTCCAAGTTCTCAAAGACCGCTTCCTGTTTATCAGCTCGAACTTCAACGAGGTTGTATTTGTAGTTGACTGTAATGTCCCTCGATTTGATAATCTCTAGCAGAGCATCGGCATACTTCTGAACACCAAAAATCACTCCAAGGGCAGTATTGAAGATTATTTTGGCTTTCGGTCGTTTCCCAGTCTACCAAGAGGATAATTCAAAAGTAATGGTTCAAACTAGTGGCAAACTAGAAGCAGGAGACAGAATGGTATTTTTACAACATCCATCAAATTAATTCAACATAATTTAGTACAACTTTTTGGGGGAAAGGGTGGAATTCAACATCGCACTATTGCGCACACACCATCTGCAAAGCAAAGTGCACGTCTATCTTCAAAACACTTGCTTTAGTCCTTTGCAAATATATGCAGACACAGCTGGAAAAAAATGTGATTAATGAATCAACGTAATTGTTATAAGAATTCTAAGGTCTAAACTATAAAATAAATGTACAAGGCAAACGCATACGTAAGTATATAAACCACCTGTCTGAAATAGTACAGGAGAACAATCCTGAAACCATTTTAACTCTCCCAAATTGACCTCAAATATTTCTCTGCAAGGAGGAAGGAAATGGGAAAAAGCTTTCCAATGGTCTTTTGACTGTAGGGGCTTAACCCTCCCTTTTCAAATACAGTTTGGCAAGTATCTGTTAATAATAATAATAATAATAATAATAATAATAATAATAATAATATATTTATACCCCGCCCATCTGGCTGAGTTTCCCCAGCCACTCTGGACAGCTTCCAATCAAGTGTTAAAAACAATACAGCATTGAAAACTCCCCTAAACAGGGCTGCCTTCAGATGTCTCTTAAAGATAAGATAGCTGCTTATGTGGTGTAGTGGTTAAGAGCAGTAGACTTGTAATCTGGTGAACCGGGTTCGCGTCTCCGCTCCTCCACATGCAGCTGCTGGGTGACCTTGGACCAGTCACACTTCTCTGAAGTCTCTCAGCCCCACTCACCTCACAGAGTGTTTGTTGTGGGGGAGGAAGGGAAAAGAGAATGTTAGCCACTTTGAGACTCCTTAGGGTAGTGATAAAGCGGGATATCAAATCCAAACTCCTCCTCCTCTTCTTCTTCTTCTTCTTCTTCTTCTTCTTCTTCTTCTTCTTCTTCTTTCCTTCACATCTGAAGGGAGGGCGTTCCACAGGGCGGGCGCCACTACCGAGAAGGCCCTCTGTCTGGTTCCCTGTAACCTCACTTCTCACAATGAGGAAACCGCCAGAAGGCCCTTGGCGCTGGACCTCAGTGTCTGGGCAGAATGATGGTGATGGAGACGCTCCTTCAGGTATACAGGACCGAGGCCATTTAAGGCTATTAAGCTGAGCGCACTATCAATATGCGTAAGAGATTCAGGAACTAAGTATTTACCATCCCAAAGGAATGGCCAGGCTACCCAGATAATGCAACCAAGTAGGGAATTATCAGGTATCTTGGCAGACAGGAGAGAAGCAACACTCAAATTTCTGCCACCCTCTGTGATGCATGTATGATGTTTTAGGGGGTGGTCTTGGGCTAGAGGGTGGGCAATTTCAAAAGTCTATATAAGGGCTTGCGCACCATTGTTTGGGGTTCTCCCTCCAGCGTGCGGTGAGTGAGGACCCTGTTGCAACAGTTCCTTGAATAAAAATCAAGCTTACTAGCTGCTTTGCTTCTCAATATACTCTGGTTGGCCTCTGTTATTTCCTCCTACCGATAGGCATAGCTGTCAACCGTCCCTTATTTGGCGGGAAACTCCCTTATCCCAGCGCCGTGTCCCGCTGCTGTCCCTTATTGATGATGTCCCTTAAATTTCCCGGGTTTCAAAGGAAGCAGCTCCTCTCCCTCCCTCCCTGCCGGCCAGGGAGGAGGGAGGCTCCAACTGTGTTGCTTGGCTGCATTGCTCATCCAATAAGGAATCTAAGAATGACTGGGGGGTGGAGCTTGCATGCCTTGTGCCGATCAAATTGGCCGCGTTGCCTGGGGACTCGCCTTTGCTCAGTGCTTCCCAGTGGAGAGGTGGTTTTCCTTGCTGCATCCCCTTTGCCGGGTTGCTGCTCTGTGGGAACCACCGCTTGAGGCTTCGTTTGGCTGCTGGCTGGGCTTTTTGCCTTTGGCTCGGAGGGGCTCAGAAGTTGAACATACCTGTGCCCAGAAAATCCCTTATTTTGGCTGCTGATCCCTTATTTTTGAGGCTGCTGCTCCCTTATTTTCAAATCTGTAAGTTGACAGCTATGCCGATAGGGAAACCACTTAAGGACTCTATATGGGCTTTGGAATACCCCATAAGGGAAAAGGATTAGTTTTTTCTTATAATATAATCAAGGGACAGCCTCCCTGCCACCATCTTTCTCAGGAGAGAAGAGAGAAGTCCACCCTAATAGCTAAAAAGTTTTTGTGAACAGAGGCTGAGAGTCCCAGCTGTTTAAAAGAGCATAATATCTGTGCACATGAAGATCTGGCCCTTTTGCATTGCAAAGATCTTGCCATCTGCTCAAGCCACAACACAGATCTATCAAGTCTGCCCAGCCTCCAGTAGCAGACAGCGCATACCTTTCTCATGTACGCCTCTGACAAGTACATGATCTTTTGCGGCGCTCCGGCACATTTCACGGGTGTGTTTGGAAAGGTGAAGATGGCATTTCCTCCCTGGAAATCTTGCAGAGCCTTCCAGGTTTTCTCCACGGTGTGAACGGAATAATTGGAGCCTATTTTAGGAGCGCTGAAAGCTTCGGGCAAGCCCTTGATCTACAACAAAACAAAATTAGCTGTGTAATATTTAATTCTGCCAGGCGCGTGGGAAATGCAAATTGAGAGTGGCTTCTTTCCAGCTACGTTGAGTATGGGAGGAAAGTGCCAACCTCAGTAACATAGTAACGCAATTCCTATAGATTTTCTTGGGACCAAGATCATGATCAGAGCTATTACATCAGCATTTATCTTGATTCAGTACAGTGGTACCTTGGTTGGAGAACAGCTTAGTTTATGAACGACTTGGATTAAGATCGCTGCAAACCCGGAAGGAGGTGTTTTGCTTTGTGAACTTTGCCTTGGAATAAGAACACGTTTCACTTCCTGTTGAGTGTGTTCCATTTGTAAATTGAGTCCCCCATTGCTATGGGAAAGTACACCTTGGTTTAAGAACGCTTTGGTTTAAGAATGGACTTCTGGAACAGATTAAGTTCGTAAACCAAGGTACCACTGTAACTGGTAAAATATTCAGATCAAGTCTTTGCATAAACAACAAGGCATATTATTGTGTAATACATCACATGGAGTCTCCTGGTTGGTATAGGCAAGCATTGAGTAACCTGCAGCTCTGTAGATGTTGCTAAACCACAACTCCCATCATCCATTGGGGCGTTGGGCATCTTTTAACTAGAGGCAATAGGAGTTGCAATCCAATAACATCTGGAGGGTCGCAGGCTCCTGTCTTGGATATTAACTGTTCCTCAAATTACTGATGCCTCCCTGAATGTATGAAAGGCTATGGGGTCATAATTTGGTAAAAACTGCACATGCGTTGGAGATGCAATAGGGATAATGCTTCTCTAAAACATGTTTTTTCACTGTCCTATATTGATAGATTTTTGGCAGGAGGTAACTGAAACCATCAACAGAACTGAATGGAACAACCTTACATGTACAGAGCAAAATATCCTCTTGAATTATATACCCAGCACAGGGAACCTTACAAAAGGACAACATGGGTGGACTCTCGGTGCCCTTACCACAGCAAAATGACTGATCCTGATGAACTGGGAAAATAAAAATGCGGCTCCCTTCTACGATTGGATTGAAGACTTATACAAACTTGCAACATATGAATAACTTGCATATAAACACAGACTTGCCATGGACAAATTCAATGATATTTGGAATCTGTTCTTACAAATACTGTAATAGGTTAAGATCTGGTGAAGTACAATAGCAACCTCGTAAAATATACAATTTTGGGCGTCCCCCCCCCTTTGTTTTCCCTCCTCATGGGTTCTGTTTCTCTTTTTCCTTTTCTCTTTTTTGTTTGTGTCTCACCATGTTTGGTGCCCATATAGTCATGTACTTTTTGACCTTTCAATAAAGATTTTTTAAAACCTGCACATGCGTAAGTTAAAGAAGCCTTCCTCCACGTAACATGAGCAGTCTGAAACAGAGAGCAATTGACTTGTTTCTAATTTTTAAATAAAAGAGGTTGTATTGTTGATGAGGGAAATGAAATTTGATTCTGGATGTACTTCTAAACATGTCCAAAATTCCACCATTAACTGTCATATTTTAACATGAACTGCGAGTATTCTCCGATTTGAAGCAAAGCTCATTCACTCTCACACTGATCCCATGCATGAAGCGAGTGCTAGACTTTCGGATACATTCAGCTTCTTAAGATAGACCACAAGAGGGCCCCTGCAGGCCTTCTCTGTTAGCCTTCAGGAAATACAGTGGTATCTCGGGTTACATACGCTTCAGGTTACAGACTCCGCTAACCCAGAAATAGTGCTTCAGGTTAAGAACTTTGCATCAGGATAAGAACAGAAATCGTGCTCCAGCGGTGCGGCGGCAGCAGGAGGCCCCATTAGCTAAAGTGGTGCTTCAGGTTAAGAACAGTTTCAGGTTAAGAATGGACCTCTGGAACGAATTAAGTACTTTAACCCCAGGTACCACTGTACATGCAACTTGTCTTGTCATGATCACCATCTGGAACAAACAGTCTGCATGCACACACTCCCAATTAAAAAATAGTGCCCTCACAGCACCCAGACCCTGAACATCCTGGCCCCAGCTCATCACAGATTCTAGTACACTTAAAACCATTGAAATCGGTGGTATTCAAAGTGCATTAAACTCTGTGTTGGATTGTGGATACCATAGTTTTCCGTGTATAAGATGATGTTTTTCTATTATAAAATAATGTTAAAAATTGGGGGTCGTCTTATACACGGATAGTGCAGAGTGGGGACGGGCGATTGGTTTCAGCCACTGTGGCAATTGGGTGGGTGATTGGCGGCTTCTTGCGGCGAACGGTCAGGCGATTTGTGGCTTTGGTGATGCATGTGATTGTCAGCATTGGTCAGGCGGGTGAGCGATTTATGGCAACCCCCCCCCAAAAAAGCTCAAAAAATCTGGGAACCCCCTGCCCCATTTTCTTAATTTGGAATCCCCCAAAATAGGGGTTGTCTTATACACGGGGGCGAGTTTTACACGGAAAAACACGGTGTTCTAAATGCACACTGGCCCCACACCTGCATGCAAATAACTGCAATGTTTTCAGGACTGAAATACCTTCCGGGGATGAATTTTTTGTCCACCCCCCCCCCCCCGGCCAGTTTTGGGAAACAATATAATGTCTCAAGGAAAAACCAAAACATGAATTTTCATTGGTGTTAGTTTTTCCAGCAGAAACATTTAGAATCCAGCCAGCGGGGAAGGCCCGGCCTTCTTTTAAGGCAATTTGACTCTCCAGAATCAGAAAGTGAATTTTCAGAGCACCGGAGTGCATTTCAGTGGGGCTTACTCCCCACTGAAGTGGGCACTGGGCAGCAGCAGCTTACTCCAACCTGGTGGACTGTTGATGTTTTGGAATATAACTGCCACAGATTATCGCTTTTTTATTTTTATTATTAATATTCTGTTGGCAGACGCCCAGAGTGGTTGGGGAAACCCAGCCAGATGGGCAGGGAATGAATTATTATTATTATTATTATTAACAAAACGACAATGTAATGACATAATTTTGGGACCACTTGCAAACATTACATAAGCTATGTCATCTCACCACAGCGGACAGCTCACTGCGAGAAGCCAAGTTACAGGGAACCAGGCAGAGGGCCTTCTCGGTAGTGGCGCCCTCCCTGTGGAACGCCCTCCCACCAGATGTCAAAGAGAACAACAACTACCAGACTTTTAGAAGACACCTGAAGGGAGCCCTGTTTAGGGAAGCTTTTAATGTTTGATGTATTACAGTGTTTTAATATTTTTTTGGAAGCTGCCCAGAGTGGCTGGGAAAGCCCAGCCAGATGGGCGGGGTATAAATAATATATTATATTATTATTATTATTATTATTATTAAGTTGAATAATGCAATTTACGGCAAGATTGCAGCAGAACAGAAGCGGCGCTGCATAAGACAAATGCAGAATGGGCAGTAAAATGATGCCCAAAGTAACTCTTTGTATCCTGCTTCACACCAGAGTTTTTACCAACAGAGACTTTTTTAAAATAAAAAAAAATACCTTTTCAAAATGTAGCTGGAGCCCAAGGGCGATGATCAAATACTTGTAAGATATCTGTAATATAAGAAAGTCATTCATTACATTGAGCATCTTTGCCAATCTATGCTACAAAGCTGTCTTTTCACGAGCTTCATTGACCATTAACCCTATAGATGTCTACTCACATGTAAGCCTTATTAAGTTGAATGGGACTTGCTCCCAGGTCAATGTATGTATAGTATTGCAGCTTCAAAACAATCACACAAGGTGATTGTAGAATCTCCTATGACACTCCATCTGGAAGCAATGGGTTGTACCCAACTCCTGTTCAGAGCAGGTCCATTGAAATAAATGGATCTAAGTTAGCCATGTTCATCAGTTTCTTTCTTTTACTTTTTCTTTGTGACAAAGTAATAATAATAAATAAATAAGAATAAAATGTGCACCCCACCCCCGAGACCATTCCATTGTAACTAAGCAACTTCCCAAAATTTCTACACCTCTTGCGATGGTTTGACCCCTTTCCCTTTTAATAGTATAAATTCTATAAATTATCCTCAAAATCATTTCTCCTGCATCTTCCACGTCTTACCTTAATGGCACATGTTAATTTATCGTTAATAGCTATATCCCACACCTCTTTATACCATTCTTCCATTTTATATTCTGCTTGCCCCTTCCACTTCCTAGCTATAATAATTTGTGCAGCTGTCAATAATTTGTGAGCAGGTCCTTCCTAGCCTGCGAACCTTCCACCCCATCGTAAATCAATAATAATGCTACCTCTGGACTTTTGGTCAGCTTTAACCCAGTGGTTTCTGTTATATCCTTAAACACCCTTTACCAAAAATAATTGTACGTCTTTACACCTCCACCACACGTGAACACAATTCCCTGTTTCCTGGCATCCCCTCCAACATAACACCGAATATTCCTTGTTTATTTGATTTAATCTGACTGCTGTTAAATAGCATCTCCAAATTAATTTGTGATGTTCATCCGTTTCAATGAGTCTACTGTGAGCAGGGCTAATATTGGATGCAACTGCTTGTCTCTAGCCCAAGTTTCCAATATTCTCCATCAAGGTGACAAGTTTCCATAAAGTACAGAGCTTCAGTTTTTGTAGTTAAGAGGATTAAATGAAGAGGCAGCTGAGAGCTTACCTTTTGGTTGTTCTCCAGATGGACACAGTTCTTGTCTGGATCCAGCTTCTGAACTCTGGATTGGATCCACTTTACACCGGAAGGAATCACACTTGCTGTTGGACGGGAACAAGGTGCCAGTGGTTTTGCTCCCGCCCCGACCAAAGTCCAGAGTGGCTGATAATAGTGCTTCTGAAAATATACATTTTTTAAAAAACCAGAAGCATTTTTACTTGGTATTATAGGTCAGGACATTAATAGGCATGATGTTAAATTGTTTTTATATGCAACAACTGCGATAAGGGTGTTAGCCCAGAAATAGAAACAAGAAGAAATTCCGATGAAAGAAGAATGGCAGATGAAATTAATGGACTATGCAGAATTGGACAAAATGACAGGAAGGATTCGAAACCTGCGGAACCAGAGATTTACAGAAGATAGGAAGAAGTATCTGAATTATTTGAGGAGCAACTGTAATCAACAAATTACGCAAGAAGTTTTGTAAGGAGAAATATACGAAGTGTTACAAAGTAGAAAAAGATAGAGATATTGGTTATGAGTTTGAAATGTAATAGGGAAGATAAGAAATACATACTGAGAAATTAGACTGGAAAATTTTCAGACAGGATTGATGGAAGTCAAAAATTTGAATAAGATGTAAAAGTATGTTTAATTACTGTTGAAAATGATATGTTAAATAAACTAATAAAAATTATAATAAAAGAAATAAAAAATAAAATAGTGCTTCTGAAAAACAGGAGCAGAAGTCACATAGCCTGAGCACTGGAGGGACTTCTTTCAAAAGTCAGTTAAGCAGGTGTGATAAGAAAGGAGCATCTGTACCTCAGTCCTTAAATTGTAACATCTCCAATTAATAATCTTTAGTATGGGGGCTAGTGAACACCTGTCTTTAGCAGCCCACAGCTCAGAATAAACAATACGGGGTTACAGTAGGAATGCGGAAATCTGTCAATTTTTGTTTCTCTCTATTTCTCATTTTTCCACATTTCTACACTGCAAATTATGTTTCTTAGGTCCTTATAAAAATTCAGCAGTATTCAATGTGAATTTATCCTAAGATATACATTTGTATGCAACTTTGCCCATTATAAACTTTTGCAAAGCAAATTCCCCTCATGTTATTTTCACTAATACAGTCATACCTCGGGTTACAGACACTTTGGGTTGCGCGATTTCGGGTTGCGCACCACGATGAACCTGGAAGTACCAGAACAGGTTACTTCTGGGTTTCGGTGCTTGTGCATAAGTGCTAAATTGTGCTTTGTGCATGCGCAGAAGCGCCGAATCGCAACCCGCACGTGCACAGACACGGCGCTGCGGGTTGTGAACCTGCTTCCTACATGGACCACGTTCGCAACCCAAACGTCCACTGTATGGGCATTTTTCATACATGCTTTATTCTAATGTACGGTGGTACCTCGGGTTAAGTACTTAATTCGTTCCGGAGGTCCGTTCTTAACCTGAAACTGTTCTTAACCTGAAGCACCACTTTAGCTAATGGGGCCTCCCACTGCCGCTGCACCGCCGGAGCACGATTTCTGTTCTCATCCTGAAGCAAAGTTCTTAAGCCGAGGTACTATTTCTGGCTTAGCGGAGTCTGTAACCTGAAGCGTATGTAACCTGAAGCATATGTAACCCGAGGTACCACTGTATGTAGTTTTGTACACAATAGATGGCTGGAGAACAGCAGAGCAAAATTCAGAGAACTGCAAATTCTGATGGATTGCTGCGTTTTGGTTCTCACATGGTGCGAGTTACAATGATTTGTCTTTAAAAGTGTACTGAATCAAATGTCTCCCTTCTCCCTAGCCTACAGCTGAATGCGCGCTCCGACTCCATATAGGGAAGCTGCAGATTATGTTCACCACCTGGCGACAAATTTTAATATTTCAAAATGCGTAAACTCAGCCCAAGTCCTGGATGTTCTATTTCTAGATTAGAAGAGCAACCCACACCCCGCCCGGTGAGTGATCTCTCCAGGTCAAAAAGCATTTGTTGTTCTAGATGCAATGCAAAAAGACAGGAATGTTGCAGCCCCCTAAGTATCAAAAATGAAGGCCAAAACTGAGACAATTTATACGTGGCTGAGCAGCATACAATCCTACCCTGTTTAACAGGAGAACATCTTGTCTCAGGCAAAAATGATCTGAGGGTGACTCTCTCTGATTGCTTGCTTAAAGTCCTGCCATGGAGTGTTGTTCTTTAAAAATTTTAAATCATTTTTATTTGATTTTACAAATGAAAAGTTATAACAATACCAAATACATATCCGTATATAGAGATTTCTCTGAATCTTGAGACTCCCCCCCCCCCCCCATCCCAGGCATGGGTCCTCTTGTCAACATTTCCAACTGTATTTTATTTCATTGTCTATATTTTATATCTGTCCATATTGTCCATCGTATTTGTTACACTACAAGTGTTATTAGAATCCTGCTAATGTTCTCATCTGCTTACAGTGGTCTCCTAAATAAATTATAGTGTTCTTCTTTTAATTTAAACGAGGCTTACAAACTTCGAACAGTAAATTTCTCCCCCAGCAGACCTAAAGGGTAAAGGTAAAGGGACCCCTGACCATTAGGTCCAGTCGTGACCGACTCTGGGGTTGCACGCTCATCTCGCTTTATTGGCCAAGGGAGCTGGCGTACAGCTTCCAGGTCATGTGGCTAAGCATGACTAAGCCACTTCTGGCGAACCAGAGCAGCGCACAGAAACGCCGTTTACCTTCCCGCCGGAGTAGTACCTATTTATCTACTTGCACTTTGACGTGCTTTCGAACCACTAGGTTGGCAGGAGCAGGGACCGAGCAACGGGAGCTCACCCCGTCGCAGGGATTCAAACCGCTGACCTTCTGATCGGCAAGCCCTAGGCTCAGTGGTTTAACCCACAGTGCCACCCGCGTCCCAGCAGGCCTAGCACCAGCTAATTGAAATTATGCACATTGGGTTTTTTTAGCAAATTTATATACACCCCACCCCTGCTCAGCTGTGAGAGAGAACTTCTCAAGATTATTCTGTCTCTAATGCCAGTGGGAGAGGAATGTGATGCATGGGAGGTAACTATTAATATTAGGAACTTGCTGCCCACTGGGATGGAGGCAGAAGGAGAAGAGGGAGAGCCATATTTTTACCTCACTGGGCTCAACAACTGCCACATTGCCAGCTCCAACTTTTCGCTTCATCCGTGCACTCATGGAGACCCCGCCGGTGCCTCCTCCTAGGACAAGCACCTCGTAGTAATCCTTCGAAGCAGACCTGGCTGTGGTGTGGAACTGGGACGATCTCATTTTCTGAACCCCCTGCCTCAGCAAAGGCACCATGGGACGCACACCGGCACACGAAGACACCAATCCAACTGTTGTCATCTTGGGACAGCGTCAAATCTGCGAAGCGATAAGGAGAGATGTGAGCGGTGAAAAGGAACGTTGGTTTACGTTACTGTTTGGGTACTGTCAGGGATCGTGCTGAGGATGGCTGCATTCCTCTTGATCCTGAATCTTCCCAGGAGCAGGAAGACAGTACAGTGGTACCTGGGTTAAGTATTTAATTCGTTCCGGAGGTCCGTTCTTAACCTGAAACTGTTCTTAACCTGAAGCACCACTTTCAACACCAGTCTTGAAAGACCTACACTGGCTCCCAGTACGTTTCCGAGCACAATTCAAAGTGTTGGTGCTGACCTTTAAAGCCCTAAATGGCCTTGGTCCAGTATACCTGAAGGAGCATCTCCACCCCCATCGTTCAGCCCGGACACTGAGGTCCAGCGCCAATGGCCTTCTGGCGGTTCCCTCTCCGCGAGAAGCCAAGTTACAGGGAACCAGGCAGAGGGCCTTCTCGGTAGTGGCACCCGCCCTGTGGAACACCCTCCCACCAGATGTCAAAGAGAAAAACAACTACCAGACTTTTAGAAGACATCTGAAGGCAGCCCTGTTTAGGGAAGCTTTTAATGTTTAACAGACCATTGTATTTTAATATTTTGTTGGAAGCCACCCAAAGTGGCTGGGGAAACCCAGCCAGATGGGCGGGGTATAAATAAATTATAAATTATTATTATTATTATTATTATTATTATTATTATTTAGCAAAGGGCTTATTACCTTCACATCTCAAGGGAGGGTGTTCCACAGGGTGGGCGCCACTCTCGAGAAGGCCCTCTGTCTGGTTCCCTGTAACCTCACTTCTCGCAGGGAGGGAACCGCCAGAAGGCCCTGGGAGCTGGACCTCAGTGTCCGGGCTGAACGATGGGGATGGAGACGCTTCTTCATGTATACTGGACCAAGGCCATTTAGGGCTTTAAAGGTCAGCACCAACACTTTGAATTGTGCTCGGAAACGTACTGGGAGCCAATGCAGATCTCTCAGGACCGGTGTTATGTGGTCCCGGTGGCTGCTCCCAGTCACCAGTCTAGCTGCCGCATTCTGGATTAACTGCAGTTTCCGGGTCACCTTCAAAGGTAGCTCCACGTAGAGCGCGTTGCAGGGAAGCCAATTCCCTGAAGCCTGACAGGTACCGCTCCTATCACAGGTTCTGTGGGTAGAGCCATGAGTGCGAGCTGCCCGAAGGCGCTATACAAACAGATGTTGATAACCTGGAATACTCAGGTGCCATGTCAAAGGTCACATCCACAGTGTTCCTTTAAAGCAGTGGTTCTCAACCTGTGGGTCCCCAGATGTTGTTGGACTACAACTCCCATCATCCCTGAGCTCTGGTCTTGCTAGTTAGGGGTGATGGGAGTTGTAGTTCAACAACATCTGGGGACCCACAGGTTGAGAAAGGCTGCTTTAAAGAATCCTTGTACCACTTTAAGAGTCACGGCTTCCCCCCACAGAATCCTGGGAAGTGTAGTTTGTTAAGCTGATTGGGCATTCTAACCCTATGAAGGGTGAACTACATTTCCCAGGATTCTTTCAGAGTAAGCACTACACATTTATTTATTTTTGAAATAATTTTTATTTGATTTTACAAGTGTAGAGTTATAGCAACACCAAATACATATCCATATTTAGAGATTTCCCTGAAGCTCCAGACTTCCTGCCTTCCCCTCCATGGGTCCCATTGTCAACATTTTCAACTGCGTATTATTTTATAATCTATATTTTGTATGTGTCCATATTATTTGTTACATTACAAGTGTTATTAAAATCCTGCTAATGTTTTCCTCTGCTTACAGTGGTCTCCTAAATAAATTATATATTTCCCCCCATTCTTTCTTGAAGTTTTTGTCTTCTTGGCTCCTGAGCCTTCCGGTCAGTTTTGCCATTTCAGCGTAGTCCAACAGCTTAGTTTGTCATTCTTCTCTGGTACAAGAAAGCACCACACATTTAAAGCAGCATCATACCACTTTCAGCAGTTCCTTCACCATCACCCAAATCCTGGTGAATTCTACAAATTCTCCTCAAAATCATTTCTCCTGCATCTTCCCCGTCTTACCTTAATGGCGCATGTTAATTTATCGTTAATAGCTATATCCCACACCTCTTTATACCATTCTTCCATTTTGTATTCTGCTTGCCCCTTCCACTTCCTAGCTGTAATAATTCGTGCAGCTGCCAATAGATTTGTGAGCAGGTTCTTCCTAGCCTGTGAACCTTCCACCCCATCGAAAATTGATTACAATGGTACCTCAGGTTACATACGCTTCAGGTTACAGACTCCGCTAACCCAGAAATTGTGCTTCAGGTTAAGAACTTTGCTTCAGGATGAGAACAGAAATTGTGCTCTGGCGGCGCGGCGGCAGCAGGAGGCCCCATTAGCTAAAGTGGTGCTTCAGGTTAAGAACAGTTTCAGGTTAAGTACAGACCTCCAGAACGAATTAAGTACTTAACCTGAGGTACCACTGTATAATGCTACTTCTGGACTTTTGGTCAGCTTTAACCCAGTGATTTCTGTTATCTCCTTAAACATCCTTTGCCCCCCCCCAAATGTACATATTTCCATCCCCACCACATGTGAACATAGTTTTATATACTTCTGTCGCATTCCCCCTCCTTTACTCATCTTTTTCTAAACTAAAAAGTCCCGAATGTTGCAACTTTTCCTCCCAGGGAGTTGCTCCCTATTATTCTGTTTTCCCTCGCCCTGCAGACTTCTCCTGACAGGAGGAAGTTGGGGAAAGTGGATGACGTTCAGTGAAATTTCGCAAGGCTGCTATATTTGATATACACAGAGCGCTCATGTTGTACTCAGGACAAATGACTCAGCTCTTTCGACCGTTTCCTTCTCCTTTCCAGACCCAGGCTTTGCAAAGCAGACTGAGAGAACTTTTGCCACCTTGCATCCACCCCCCTGAATTTAATCCCTTAAAAGTTGGGGGCAAAGAGACTATCTGGTGACTAAAACCAGAGTCTTGTGGCACCTTAAAGGCTACCCCAAATTTATTATGCCTAAAGCTTTTGTGGACTGCAGTCGGCTTCATTAGTCATATTGGATGAAGGAAGTAGATTGTGTTGTTTTTGCTGGAAAAACCCAGCACGATGTTTAAGAGGCCATTAGTTCGGATCAATTCTGGATAAGCCGCAAAATAAACAACTTTAGCAGCACTAAGGAGCCAAACTTAATGGAATGGCAGCAAATCTATGCATTTAAACCAGGGTTGGGGCTGGGCGAGGGATCCAATTTTCAGATTGGGAAAGGTTATGGAAAACTGACTTACATTTTTCGGCATGCATGAAAGAAATGAAAATGATGTACAGATGGTATTTGACTCCTAGTAAACTAGCAAAAATGTATAAGACAGGTACAAATATCTGCTGGAAATGTAAAGAAAAGAAGGCACCTTTTACCATATGTGGTGGAAGTGTAAGGTTAAAAAAAGCATTCTGGGAAATGATATATAATGAGTTGAAAAAAATGTTTAAACTAACTTTTATTTTAAAAAACAACAACCAGAGGCTTTTCTATTAGGAATTGTAGGTGCTGATATTCCAAAGGAGCAGAAAAGACTTTTTATGTACGTGACGACAGCCGCACGGATGCTACTAGCACAGAGATGGAAAGAAGATAAAGTCCCTACCAGAGAAGAATGGCAAATTAAACTGTTGGACTACGCCGAAATGGCGAAACTGACTGGAGAGCTCAGGAACCATGAAGACCAAAACTTCAAAAAGAATGGGAAAAATTTATAATTTCTCTTGGATGAAAACATTAGCAGGATTGCAATAGCACTTGTAATGTAGCCAATACTATGAACAAAATGGAACGACTTAAAATATGGACTGTTGGAAAATATACAGTAGAAAAGGTTAATAATAGGACCAATGGAAGGAAAGGTGGGACGTCTAGAGATTCGAAGGAATCTTTAAATGTGGATGTGGATGTTTGTAGTGTTATAATTTTATACTTGTGAAATCAAATAATTATTTTTTTTTTTTAATCCCGCATTGCAGGGGGCTGGACTAGATGATGCTCAAAGTCCTTTCCAACTCTACAATTCTATGGTTCTATGAGGCTGAAGCCATTTTGACCAGATTACTGAACAGAGGGGAAATGTCCTTTGGCTGGGTGCTGATTTGCCAACATAGATGCTGTTCGCTGATGGAAAATATATATATATATTTTACTTTTCTTCACCCATCTCATTAGAACAGCAAGGCCATGGTTATGGGAAACCAAATGTTTTGTATGTGCTTTGATTTGCAGAATGCACACACATTTATTATTATTATTATTATTATTAGGTGGTTTGCTGAGACTTCCCAGTGATTTTAAAGTGGTTCCCCCCCAAAAGGGAGACCACTGTGTTAGAGGGTATAAAACTATGGCTGGACTCGCTGTTCGAAGGTCAAAAATTAAAGTTAACTTTTGCACTAGTTTTATAGTTAGACAGCAATAAAAGCACAATCCTTTTTCCCCTTTTGGCAGTGGAAGCATAAACGTATAACCCAACAGCATATGCTCCATATCTGCATCATTGCCCTGTAAATAAAGCTCTTGCTATCAAACTCGTGCTCAGTGAAAAGGGGATGACTGCAAGTTTCCTTCTTCACCAGGCTCTGTGGCTTAATGATTAAACAGCAGCTTCCTTCAGACTGTAAAAAAGTGGTGCAAAGCACGCAATATAATCCCCACAGTCCTCTGTGTGCAACAGTTCAGTAGACCTAAGAGCAGCTGTCCCAAGAGCGATTGCAACAGAGAAAACATTTGGTGCCCACCTGGATTTTATAGAGCGCAAAATGCTGTCCACTGCCAGCAGCATCTTGTGGACTTTAATAATAATAATAAATTTTATTTATACCCCGTCCTCCCCAGGGCGGCTAACACCAAATATAAAAACAATCGATTGAAATACAGCTTAAAAAACAAGATTAAAATACAACATTAAAACATTAAAATGCAGCCTCATTTCAGTGGAAACTCAATCAGAAACTTTTTTTGGGATAAAAACGTCATGTCTTCACCAAGGCTAACTATCCAGACTGGTCCTACATGGGTCAGAAAAAAGCCAGGGAAGTCCTCAAATAGGACTTCCAACACAGAAGGAGAAAGGAAAAAAAGGAATAGAAACTTGAATGGACTTATTTTACTTGGCTGCTTTTTTTGTAATAATTTTTATTAGTTTTCAATTACAATAATCCAATAATAGCCTCATTATATCAATGTTAAATTATAAGACAAGTTACAGGTAGGTAGTCATGTTGGTCTGCCCTAGTCGAAACAAAATTAAAAAAAAATTCCTTCCAGTAGCACCTTAGAGACCGACTTGGTCTCTAAAGTGCTACTGGAAGGATTTTTTTTTTAAATTATAATACAGTTCCTAATATCAATCATTCAAACACCAAATTATATAATTTAGGTGCCCCCCCACAGTGTGCTACAATTTATGGTTTGACGATTTACTTTATTTCTGTGTTCCAAAATCTTATTGATCTCAATTACATTCCAGTCATCATAGTAACCCCTTATACAACAGCAGCAATATTTATAACTTCTTTTCGTGGTGACACATAAAATGGTTTATGTCTACAAGTGAAGATCTCATACTGTATCCTTGTTCTTCCTGTGTGTGACATTTATTCTGTCCAGATTGTTTCTTCCTGTCCTTGTAAAATATTACGTCTATCTTTTACCAGTTGTTGCTGCTATACGTCATGCCTTGCGCGGAGCTCATGTCCCGAAGTTATGCCAAAATTACGTGGCTGCTTTTTGACAAAAATCCAGCAGGTGGATATGGAACAACTGATTGGTTCAAAATTAGGAAAGGAGTACGACAAGGCTGTATATTGTCTCCCTGCTTATTTAACTTATATGCAGAATTCATCATGCAAAAGGCTGGGCTGGATAAATCCCTAGCCGGAATTAAGATTGCCGGAAGAAATATCAACAACCTCAGATATGCAGATGATACAACCTTGATGGCAGAAAGTGAGGAGGAATTAAAGAACCTTTTAATGTGGGTGAAAGAGGGGAGTGCAAAATATGGTCAGAAGCTTAACATCAAAAAAACAAAGATCATGGCCACTGGGCCCATCACCTCCTGGCAAATAGAAGGGGAATGGAGGCAGTGAGAGATTTTACTTTCTTGGGCTCCATGATCACTGCAGATGGTGACAGCAGTCACGAAATTAAAAGACACCTGCTTCTTGGGAGAAAAACAATGACAAACCTAGACAGCATCTTAAAAAGCAGAGACATCACCTTGCCGACAAAGGTCCATATAGTTAAAGCTATGGTTTTCCCAGTAGTGATGTATGGAAGTGAGAGCTGGACCATAAAGAAGGCTGATCGCTGAAGAATTGATGCTTTTGAATTATGGTGCTGGAGGAGACTCTTGAGAGTCCCATGGACTGCAAGAAAATCAAACCTCTCCATTCTTAAGGAAATCAGCCCTGAGTGCTCACTGAAAGGACAGATCCTGAAGCTGAGGCTCTAATACTTTGGCCACCTCATGAGAAGAGAAGACTCCCTGGAAAAGACCCTGATGTTGGGAAAGATGGAAGGCACAAGGAGAAGGGGACGACAGAGGATGAGATGGTTGGACAGTGTTCTTGAAGCTACAAACATGAGTCTGACCAAACTGCGGGAGGCAGTGGAAGACAGGAGTGCCTGGCGTGCTCTGGTCCATGGGGTCACGAAGAGTAGGACACGACTAAACGACTAAACAACAACACCTTTTGTCAGCGTGAAACTGGAGTGAGGGAGAACCTATGCTCTGCACTACGGCACAACATGCGATAGCAAGACAGATGGTGGAAATCAGGAAAACTTGGCCTTCTATTTCATCCCACCCCTACAGACCATAACGGTGATATGTTTAGTTTGGAAGAATTATGGCTGCAGAGACAGCAGCCAGAGGTCAGGTAAACACACATATAAAAGCGTCTTCTGGATGGTGAGAATGCTTGATGTAAAGCAGAGACGTTGTCCTCCAAGGTCTTGTTTATGCTACATACAGCCCAGCTCAATGCCATGTAAGCAAAAGGCTGCAATTTACTACTGAGCAATACAGAGCTGAAGTTGACTCCTGTTAGGGGCTGGAGCTATTTAACAGGGATTGGGGACCATCTCGGCTGCCTCTTAGTGCAGACCCAGGCCATTAAGCCTGAACTTACATCTACTTCTTTGGCGATCACTCGTAGCCGAGTAAGATTGTCTTCCATAAACACAGTTTTAACTGTGAGTCTGTAAGTGACCGTGGAGGCCAATTCTGGATCCACACATCCTTCGACAGTGGGGACGTAGGTTTCGGGCGGGAGTTGATCACGGTCAGGGCCGGATTTAGGTTTGATGAGGCCCTAAGCTACTGAAGGTAATGCAGCCCCTTTATATGTCCAGCTGTCCTTTGTCAACAACAAATTGTCGCTGTTTTTTGTGTTGAATATATGCTCTGTGGTATTTTATGGACATAGGTAAAGGTAAAGGTATCCCTGACCATTAGGTCCAGTCGTGGCCGACTCTGGGGTTGCGGCGCTCATCTCGCTTTACTGGCCAAGGGAGCCAGTATACAGCTTCCGAGTCATGTGGCCAGCATGACTAAGCCGCTTCTGGCGAACCAGAGCAGCGTACGGAAGCGCCGTTTACCTTCCCGCCGGAGCGGTACCTATTTATCTACTTGCACTTTGACATGCTTTCGAACTGCTAGGTTGGCAGGAGCAGGGACCAAGCAATGGGAGCTCACCCCATCGCAGGGATTCGAACTGCCAACCTTCTGATCGGCAAGTCCTAGGCTCTGTGGCTTAACCCACAGCGCCACCTGCGTCCCTAGTTTATGGACCTAGGAGGTATCTAAAGCCATTTGCACATAACAAAATATGCAGGGGCGTCTTACCCATAGAGGCTAGTGGTGCGGGGCGCTGAGGTTCCCCCACCCCTTTCCTAAAAGCTGCCTACCTGCCCTTTTCTTGCACAAGAAAAGCTTTTCCTGCCGCAGGGAAGGGCAGAACAGAAGTTGATGTAAGCTTATATTTGATTATCCAAGGCGAATGGTCCTAAGTTTGTTTATTTAGCATCCATGCCACACCCTGGGGTTTCAATAAACCATTCAGCTGCAGTCCTGTACACATTTCCTTACAGAGGAAGTGCCTTGCACCAGGCTCCATCAAGCCCAGCAGTGCCTACTCGGACTGGCAGCAACAATCCTATCACCTGCCACTTTATCCTTTTCACGAGAGATGCCAGGAATTGAACCCAGAACCTTCCGTATACAAAGCACATGCTCTGCCACTAAGCTACAGCTCTTTCGAAAGGTGTGCAATGCAATTTGACTGTAAAGGTCAATAGACACTGACTTCTAGGGTTATCACCACTTTCTGAAAGGAATGCTATATTATTATTATTATTTTTTAAAAGGGTAGTAAAGGCAGCAATTCAAGCAGCACAGCCTTCCCCATTACAGTGGTACCTCAGGTTACATACGCTTCAGGTTACATACGCTTCAGGTTACAGACTCCACTAACCCAGAAATATTACCTCAGGTTAAGAACTTTGCTTCTGTAAATATTTCTGTATTTATTCGTACAGTGGTACCTTTGGTTGCACGCGTGATCCGTTCCGGAGCTCCAGTCAGATCCCGAGGAATTCGCAACCGGAGGTGCCTGTTCTGCGCATGTGCATGGCGCAGTAGAGCGCTTCTGCGCATGCGCACGGGGCAAAAGCCGGGAAAATACTTCCGGGTTTGCCGTGTTCACATTCTGAAGGATATGCAACCAGAGGTGTGCATATCCAGAGGTACCACTGTATACCGCTTGAGGCCAGTAAGCACTTTGCAAATCTAAAAACCAATCTTGTTGGCATCCGTCGGTCTCGAAAGACAACAGAGCGCTGCTCCAGGGGCAAAGTCAAACTGCTGTGTAGATGTAGGGAGCCCCAAACTGACCTCCCCGGGGCGCAAGCCTGGGCAGTGTGTGGAGATCCTGGGCTGCCCAGACAACAAGACCCCCCTCTCAGCCTCACTGATGTGGTTCAAAGGAAAACAGAGCAATATGTTTGGTACCAGCTTGGCTGAAGGAGTTGCCAGAGGAGGAAGAAGAAGAAGAGGAAGAGGAAGAAGAAGAAGAAGAAGAGTTTGGATTTGATATCCTGCTTTATCACTAAAGGAGCTAACATTCTCCTTTCCCTTCCTCCCCCACAACAAACACTCTGTGAGGTGAGTGAGGCTGAGAGACTTCAGAGAAATGTGACTAGCCCAAGGTCACCCAGCAGCTGCATGCGGAGGAGCGGGGAATCGAACCCGGTTCACCAGATTACGAGTCCATCGCTCTTAACCACTACACCACACTGGCGTACAAGGCAGCATCCACCTGTCTTAGGGACTCCACTCTGGATTTGCGTAGGGTTGACTCTGCAGCCTTTTTCTTTTCCCAAATACAGTGGTACCTCGGGTTACAGATGCTCCAGGTTACATACGCTTCAGGTTACAGATTCCGCTAACCCAGAAATAGTACCTTGGGTTGAGAACTTTGCTTCAGGATTAGAACAGAAATCGTGTTCTGGTGGCGCGGCGGCAGCGGGAGGCCCCATTAGCGAAAGTGGTGCTTCAGGTTAAGAACAGTTTCAGGTTAAGAACGGACCTTTGGAAGGAATTAAGTTCTTAACCCGAGGTACCACTGTACTAAATACCAATACCAATACTAATAATAGATATCAAATGATGTGAAACTGCAGGTAAAATGTGGCCTCTTAGAAGTCACAACCCTTTCCAGTCACCCAGGAAAGAAAGCTTCTCCTAACATGGAGCCTCGCTGTGTCAAATACACACATTCCCAAAATAAAACAAAAATAAAAGGACCCCCCGCCCAATACATGAGAAGTATTGCTCTCATTAACTATTAACCAACAAAATCACATAAAATTGAACATGATTATTATTATTTTTGCTCTGTCAACACCGCCTAGTAGCTTACTGGGCTGAAGCCAAATCTACACATGCTCAGAAACACTCTCTTCTGTTCCATTTCCACCTGGCGCAGCTGTTAAAACGCAGAGGGGGGAAAAGGAACGCTGCAAGAAGAAAGAAAGAAAGAAAGAAAGAAAGGAAGGAAGGAAGGAAGGAAGGAAGGAAGGAAGGAAGGAAGGAATAGGCAACTTCAATCCTGATCCCCCCAGGAAAGGAAACTCACCGGCCAGAGAGAGAGAAACCGACCTCCCAGTTCTGCTCTCCTTAATTTCAGAGCTGATGGCCGATGGCTGCGCAGCCTCCGCCCGCCTGTTGCGCAAGAGCTGCTCTTTCGCCTATCAGAGGGAAGAGCCCGGAGGGGCCGGGCGGAGGCCGGGGCTGAAGGCAAACAAACGCCGCTCCCTCTCCGGATCAACCTTGCGCCCCGGCATGGTGTTTCCCTGCGCAATAAATTCTGGGCGCTCCAGAAACGCCGGTGCGCTTAGGTGATTTTAGACTCTGGACTGCATGGAGTTATCTGTAAACACACGCACCCTCTTTTATTGGCTGGCAATGGGTTGAACCCAACTCAGTTTTACTCAAGAGTAGGCCCATTGGAATTAACACAGTTCGCGTAGAATCGTGGAGTTGGAAGGGACCCCGTGCGGTCATCTGGCCCAACCTGGTGCAAGGCAGGAATCACATACATATATATATATGAATGGAAATGGTTTGTTGAATGTTTACAGATAAATTCTAAGCAGATGAAAACATTGGCAGGATTATTGTAATGACCTGCAGTTTTATAAGAGTATATATTTACAGAAGATGAATAAATGAGCAAACTAAGTTAATTTGGATATGCAGAAGATACTAAAAATAATTTTAAGGAACCGCAGGAAGAGGGGGAAGGAAGTCAAGTTTTGAAATGTCAAAATGATGGTAAAATCAGTGAAATGTGTAGAATTAGTGGAATGTATAAAATTGAAAAGTATAAAATAAATAGATAAATAAATAAATAAATAAGAGTATTTTGTAATGATTTACTTGATTTAGGAGGGACGCAGGTGGCGCTGTGGGTTAAACCACAGAGCCTAGGACTTGCTGATCAGAAGGTCGGCAGTTTGAATCCCTGCTACGGGGTGAGTTCCCGTTGCTCGGTCCCTGCTCCTGCCAACCTAGCAGTTCGAAAGCACGTCAAAGTGCAAGTAGATAAATAGGTACTCCTCTGGCAGGAAGATAAACGGTGTTTCCGTGCGCTGCTCTGGTTCGCCAGAAGCGGCTTAGTCTTGCTGGCCACATGACCCGGAAGCTGTACGCCGGCTCCCTCGGCCAATAAAGTGAGATGAGCGCCGCAACCCCAGAGTCGGCCACGACTGGACCTAATGGTCAGGGCTCCCTTTACCTTACTTCATTTGGGGGGCAGCTGCTCCCCTATGCCCATGGGAGGCAGCCGTTAGGAGTTAGAAATTACCAGTCTCTGCAGCCACAGCAGGCACTGTGATTCTCCAGTGGTTTGACTTCACCCCTGGAGGTGCACTCCATTGTCTTTCTGAGTCAAGCTAGTGGCTTTTGCCCAGAAGGGAATGCAGCCCTGCACCCCGAGCAGGACTTTTGAGCTCTCCAATTTCAGCGGCAAAGGTAAAAATAAAAAAAAAAGGTAAAAGGACCCCTGGATGGTTAAGTCCAGTCAAAGGCGACTATGGGATTGTGGGCCTCATCTCGCTTTCAGGCCGAGGGAGCCAGCATTTGTCCACAGACAGCTTTCCGGGTCATGTGGCCAGCAGGACTAAACCGCTTCTGGTGCAATGGGACATCGTGACGGAAACCAGAGCGCATGGAAATGCCGTTTACCTTCCCGCCGCAGTGGTACCTATTTATCTACTTGCACCAGCGTGCTTTTGAACGGCTAGGTTGGCAGGAGCTGGGACAGAGCAACAGGAGCTCACCACCATTGAGCGGATTCGAACCACCGAAATTCCGATCGACAAGCCCTTGGCGATTTAGACCACCCTGTGCGAAGCTAAAATCTGAATCCCCCCCACCTCTCATGCTCTGCTCTGCAGCATTGTTTTGGCGCCCCCTGCAGTGTGGCACCCAGTGCGCTGCCCTAAAACTGTCTCTAGTGGCATTGACACAGCAGAGAGAATCGCTCTCAAATGCAGGATTCGTGATCTTCCCCACTTCCGTAGGTGCCTTGCAGTGCAAAAGCTTGTTGTCATTATTTGCATGCTCAGGGCTTGTTGACCTTCTAAGCGCAGGGGTACTAGGGCTAAATTAATCCATAAACTCAACATGTTTGTCTGGCCAACCTGCTCAAGGCTCACATCGTGTTAGGCAGTGATAACATATCAGTCTTGCTACAGCAGCATCTCCCTGGGCATCTATGTACCAAGAAAATTCCCATGCCTGCAACTCCTGCCATTTGCAGGTGGAGGGGGGATGTTCTTTCTGAAACCTTGGCAGGCTGCTCCAGTCAGTGTGGACAGTACTGAGATAGGTCTAAACCACTGAGCCTGTGATTACTCTAGCACAAGTTCCTGCAAGTTTCCTTTCAGAATGTTTGAAAATGCATCATTTCACAAGTCTGATGAAAGTTCGCTTGTTCGCTCTTATAGAAAAAAAAGATGGAACACACTCTCATAATAATAAACATTTTTTTTTAAAAAAGTTAAAGACAAAGAAATTTGATATACTGGAGTTGGTTGAATTGTTTCTTTATTTTGTTCATATTGTGTCTTTATTTTTCCCCCATTTTATTGGAATTAATTAAGCTACATATATATATAGATCTGCAATCTAATTTCATTTACATTTGATTACAAATAAGGTGTTTTAACAGGAGATACTCTGTCCCAAAACAAAAACAATAAAACCCTCCTGGACTTTAGACTTTTATATATATATATATATATATATATATATATATATATATATATCTTTTAGAAATAAGTGGAAACCACAGCATCTATCAGGTATTTTCCCCCACTGAGAAGTACGCAATTAAATTAATTATTAAAGTATGCTTTTTATTATCTGCAACCAAGTCGGGTAACCCACTTTGGCCCCGAAGATTGTTTGAAATCCAATCGGCCTTAGTTACAGCAGAGTCATTTTTGGCTCTTTCCATAATTTGAGTAGTTGAGGGCATATAAACATGGACATAAAAATATATATATGTGAAACTGAAGTGATGCAATAAGGACTCAACACAGGGAGTTTTCCACTAGCTTTCTAGCGGTTCAGATGTCATCCTATTCTTTTGCCATATCTAGAAGATTTCATTGCAATGCATATTGAACCACAGTTCTAAATCCACATGCTATGGAGCACCACTAGGAAAGCTGGAACCAATGGTTATAATCTGCAAGAACTTTCAAGGGGCTCCATAGATACATCTCTAATCCTTTCTAACCCTCTAGCCCTTTCCCTGAACCCCACCCCTAACCCTCCAACCATCACCCAGGCATCCCCAACCTGCAGCCCTCCAGATGTTTTGGCCTACAACTCCCATGATGCCTGCCCTAACCCTCTAAACATGGGAGCTTAACTATGGAAGGGATGGGGAACCTTTGGCCCTCAAGATGCTGCTAGACTAGAACTCCCATCATCCCTGACTGTTGTGTTGTGTTGTGCTGATTAGGGCTTATGGGAATTGTAGCATTACCACATCTGGAGGGCCCTGTATCCTCCACATTTTGCGATTTCAGCAGGAACCTGCAGCGTATGCAGAGCCAAGAGTTTTGCCACGTAAACTTCACTACTGCCACCACTGAAATCAGTGTTATGCAAGAGCACTCATTTGCTGTGGGTTTTTACAGACACACTTTAATTCTGACATGATCGGAAGACGACATAATTGAATCTAAAAGCCTCACTTTGCCAGCAGTGCCTTATGTTCTCAGAGTTGAAATAAAACGGACAAGGTTGTCATGCGGGCTTCTCATTCCTAGTCGGTCTACAGCCGCCATGCTTATTTTGTACACGGCAACAGGAAAGGGAGAATCAACAAGCCAAGAATTGTAAACCAGACTTAAAGATTAAGCCTATAGTTAATGAGGTAGGGGTCAGCTATCAACAAAATATTCGTACATGGGACAAGGATGCACCAACCTAAGACCATCTAAGATGTAGTTAAAGAATGTAATATTCTATTTGTGGGAAGTAAGAAAAAGGCTGACGCAGCAACGTTAAGCTGTATAGCGTTAATCGAAAAGGCATCTTGAGCTGCTGGTAAGCTCCCTGTTCCTGCTTTCCTGGTTAGGAAATAGCAACCTGGAAACGCTAATACTGAACTAATAAGACTTCTTGGCAAGGAAGAACATCAGGTTCATGAGGTGCGTACGTGGGCCTCCCCACCAAGTCCAGAGAATAGTGTAATTAGTTCGACAAGCCAATACATGTTCGGCTTTCATGTTCTTTTAGCAGGTTTGGCAGTTAACTGTTTCTCTCTTTCGAGCTCTTTTTCCCGTTGCTGCTCTCGTTCCAGTTCTTCTTTCTGCCTCTTTTGCTGGAGTTTGAGAGCTCTTCTCTGAAACGAAAAGCCAGAAAAAGAATGTGACTTTCCTGAAGCTGTAGAATTAGATTTGACAGGACAGCGGCAATGATATCCCGTCGTTATTTCTCCTGAGGTTTTTCAGAGAACTCCACCCACCCAAAAAAACCACCAAGTGGGATTTGCAACATAATGTCACAGTGGATCCGACCTAAGAGAACTGCTCCTGTTCAGGATTTTAGCCAGCCATTCCCTCTAAGCATAGTATCCTGTTCTCTGCCCCACTCACACATTTTTCCCACTTGCTTTTCCACTTGACACTCAGTACTGGATTCCATGGCTATTCAGTATGCCCAGACAACATCAGGCTTTTTTTAGGGGTGTGTGGAATGCTTCCTAAGTTGATACTTAGTCCTTCCGCAACCTCACAGGTCCCTCCCACAGAGGCTGATGACAATACAGTCGTACCTTGGAAGTAGAACAGAATCTGTTCCGGAAGTCTGTTTGACTTCCAAAATGTTCAGAAACCAAAGCATGGCTTCTGATTGGCTGCAGGAAGCTCCTGCAGCCAATCGGAAGCCGCGCCGGACGTTCAGCTTCCAAAAATCGTTTGAAAACCGGAACACTCACTTCCGGGTTTTGATTGTTTGGGAGCCGATTTGTTCAGGAGCCAAGGCGTTCATTTGAGATCCAAGGTACGACTGTACCTTCTTTTAATTTTCCAGCAGCCTTGCTTTTATTCTTTTTCTACCAGTCCTCACCACCTGAGTTTGCTATTACAGGGAATGCTGTTGGTCTATCTAAGGAAAAATTACGTGCAACACACACAAAAAATTCAAATAATTCTATAAAAAACCTGTTAATAGATTCTGTATTTATATTTACATACACTCCTACCCGTACAGCAATTGAAACAACACTTATGAGTAGCCAATATATAGACTGAATATTTAGCTTATGTATGAATAAAAAATAAATTCATCATTAGGTAGCATCTATAGATAATTTTAATACAGCCCATGTATGCTTACTTGTAGGGAAGTTCTGTTTTGTTAAGTGGTGCTTGCTTGCTGGTTAAGCAAGCATAGGACTGTCACCTTCATTCATTAGAGACCTAAATCTGAGATGTACAACTGGATATCATGTATATTAACAAAGAAGTAAGTGTCACTAAGTATAGATGATTGCAGCCCAAACATACTAACAAGATTGCAATATCATAATATTATGGTAATTACTCTTCGGTAGCCTGATGAATTCTCCTCATGGTAGCATTAATGGTACTAGGGATTCTGCTGTACACAAACCTTTCATCAGAAAGATAACTACTTCAAAAACTGGAAAATTAAGAAAATGCTAGTTCCCAATAGAAATATAAAGCAAAAGCAGAGGATGAAGATCAAACTTGATCTACAAGACCTCAAAGAACAAAGAAATAAGCAGTACTCTTTAACATTTGTTAGTCAAAGTGAAACAAGACTCACTTTCAACTTTGATGTTTTCTCATGCAACAGCAGCATCTCTTTCCTAATGTTTACCAGCTTGTTGTGATAGTACTTTGCTTCTGAAAACTTGAGAGAGCGACAACAAAAAAGCAAAAATTCAGTAGAACATCTAACTTCAACATCAGCAACTCACTGCCTGAAGTTACTGAAATAAGTGAAAAGTTGTGATACAATGCATACGTACTTGGAAATTAAATTCCATTGTCTCAGTGAGAGTTACTTTCAAGTAAACCTGCATGATTGGGATGTATAATGCTAGAATGTACTAAAAATGGGAGCTAGTATTTTTCCATCTATTTTAAAAGGTCGTACCACATCAAGAGCTACTCCTGAAGCCCATGCAATGTTCACTTAGACCACTGTTTTAAGTATATTGAAATATCTTACTGCAACCCAGCTGCCAACCTCAAAAACCTTTCCAAGTCACTCTTATCATGACCCAAGCACCTCATTCCCTGGATTCTATGCAGAGTTGATTTCAGTAGTCTTAGGTATGACTAATTCTGCATAAGATCAAGCAAACAAGACTGACCTGCACTCTCATTTATGTATGTTTGCTCAAAAGTAAGTCTCACAGTGTGTGATGGGGAGTACAGTGGTACCTCAGTTCCCAACCGCTGAAAACCCGTAAGTAAGTGTTCAGGTTCTTGAACGTTTTTCGGAAGCCGAACATCCGATGCGGCTGTCGGCTATTGTTTCCGGGCGCCTGCACCAATCATAAGCTGTGCATTGGTTTTCCAACATTTTGGAAGTCAAACAGACTTCTGGAACGGGCTAAGTTTGGCACTTTTGTTTTTGCTATTTATTTTGCATTTTTGAGGCTTTTTTGGTTCATTTGTTTTTGTGACTGTGAGGAAACTGTGTGTGAATTATTCAGCTACTGAATGACTGTGTGACTGCGGAAATGGATAAAAGCCCCTCATCCAAACAATGACACTCATCAGTGCAGGTAAGAAAAAAAAATAATTTTTATTTTTATCATCTACAGTGCTGACTTATTTATTTTATAGTACAGCACACTGATTATTGCTTTTATTTTATATCCCGTGTTTAGGTTTCTCCACGTAGCATAGATTTTCTCAAAATATAAGATTCCATTTGTAGTGTTTTTGTACAAACACGACCTTTAAAACGGAGGAAAAAGCAAACAGTTATCTGACAGAACACACTTACCAGCACATTGATATCAAGAACAGAGTTGCATTCTTTAAACTTTGAGATTTCTTGCTGCAGAGTTTCTAGTAGTACTTCTTGGTTCTGTCTGAAAGAAGAACACAATAGTTTACATATATTTCACAACAAAACCACGTATTCAATTACAGAATTTAGTGAAGAGCAAATGCTGCGTGCCAGAAGAGTCAAATATAAAAGGAAACTTATTCTTTTCTTACAAACAATCTACAGTATTTAGCATCTGAAAGAAAGAAAAAGAAACATGTGCATTTTGATTGTTTACATACGTTAGCTCTTTCAAGGATAGTTTTGATCGTTGTAGATCAGGTAAATAATGTGAAATCAGCCCTTCTGTTAGCTGTTCCACAGCTTTCTTGTCTATAACAGTGAAGTCTTCTATTAATCCTTCATCGGGAGAATTATCGTTAGAATCTGTAACAGATGACATACATTTTTGTCAAATGTGTATACGTGTGCACACAAATGTTAACTATGTAAATGCAAAATTAAAAACCCCAATGAATAAGCATACAAAATACAACCACATAACAAGCAGTTAAAAACCCTAAACACTAAAGAGCAGAGTAATGCAAGATCCCTGCTAAAATTATTTTATGCTGTGGTGATCATTACTGGGTGATCTGAACAACATGCATAAATAAAGGCCGCCTTATTTTCCACATTTATCCAAGGTGAGAAAGCTCACCTTTCAATCTTCAGCCTGCAAATTCACCCACCCATCTCTTCAATTTTTGGCAGTTTTCCCGTGAAGCCGCACTGTACTCTTTTTGCCGCTTGCTAGAGTACGGTTGTGACTTTTATTTTATTGTTTCACCTTTTATAAACTGCTTTTGAGTCTTAAAAACAAACAAACCAAACCAATCAAGAGGCGCATACACTTTTACCAAACAAACAAAGGTAAGCAGAACCTTTTAAAGCATGCTTTTTATTATCTGCAACCAAGTTGGGTAACCCATTTTGGTCCTCAAGCGTGTCCACCCCCATCATTCAGCCCAGACACTGAAGTCCAGCTCTGAGGGCCTTTTGGCGGTTCCCTCCCTGTGATAAGTGAGGTTACAGGGAACCAGGCAGAGGGGCCTTCTTGGTGGTGGCACCCGCCCTGTGGAATGCCCTCACATCAGATGTCAAGGAAATAAACCACTATCTGACTTTCAGAAGGCATCCCTGTTTAGGGAAGTTTTTAATGTTTGATATTTTGTCGTGTTTTTAATATTCTGTTGGGAGCCGCCCAGAGTAGCTGGGGAAACCCAGCCAGGTGGGCGAGGTATAAGCAATAAAATTATTATCATCATCATTATTATTAAATGCAATTGGCCTTGGTTACAGCAGAGTCATTTTTTTGCTCTTTCCCTAATTTGAGTAGTTGAGTACATGGAAACATGGACATAAAAAACCTCCATGTTACATTGAAATGAAGCAATAAGGACTCGACACATGGAGTTTTCCACTAGCTTTCTAGCAGTTCGGATGTTATCTTACTCTTTTGCCATATCTAGAAGATGTCATTGCAATGCAACAAACAAACAAACTAAAACACATCCTTTGGAACAAAACCCAAAAACCCTGTGGCATCTTTCAAGAACTGAGGGGCTGCATCCCAACAAACGGTTATACTGAAGCACAGTCCTGTCGAGATTAATGGGACCCGAGTTAGCCAATAATAAAATACAATTATTGATGATGATGATGATATTTATACCCGCTAATATGTCTAATAATAATAATAATAATATCATTATTTATACTCCGTCCTTCTGGCTGGATTTCCCCAGCCATGTCCCACAGTTTTCAACAGGTCTACTCCGAGTAGGGCTAACGCCGGATGCAACCCCGTGATATTTTACTACGGGCTTAATATATATTTCACGGCGTCTGAAGGAAGAGAGCCGTTTTTTGCTGCGGTCCTGGAAGGCTTCAGCCGCACGATCCGCAGCTCTGTGATCTGTGAGCGGGCTAGATGTCTTCCCAAACGGACCAAGAGCGAGCGAGCGGATCAAATCCGTTCAGACTTTGAGGGCCCCGCGAGGGGACCCCCGGCGGTCATCTAGCCCAACCCCCCCGCAACGGCAGCCCCGGCCGCCGAAGCCAACATACCCAAAGCAGGGTCGTTTCGGGCCTGCAGAGCCGCCTCCACGTCCAGCGGGTCCGCCACACTCATCGCTTCCTCCCTCGCGAAACAGACAGACAAGATATTTATTTTCGAGGGGAAGCCAAGGCAACGCCAGGCCCCGCCAAAGCCGGAAGTTGAAGTAGGCCTTCCGGTCAAAAAAGGCAGCCAACCTCGACGTAGGAAGGAAGACGGGCGCCTGAGAACCATAGAGATAAGAAAATAAAAGTTTAGAGGCGAACAGCAATGTTGTTGTTTTTTTTTAAAAAAAATCTTTATTGAAAGTTCAGAAAGTACATAATTTTAATGTATTTTTAATTTTTGCTGGAAGCCGCCCAGAGTGGGAGACCCAGCCAGATGGGCGGGGTACAAATAAATAGTAGTAGTAATAATAATAATAATAATAATTAGTGCGCTAAACATGGTGAGACGTAAATGAAAGAGAGAAAAAGATAAAACAGAAACAGCACCATAGTATTCCACAAGTAGAGAAGAAGGCAACAAAACAAAACCAGGCGACCAGAGTATATAGCTGGGATGTGTGTGTGGAAATAGCCACAGATCAATTTTATGGGGCAAACTAGGAGCCACCTCGCAATAAAAGCAGAAGTTGCCAATTAAAAAGATAACTATTCATGGTAACTCTAAAGGGGACCATGAGCAGTTGACTTTTGCTCCAAGTTTAATCTTTACTGGTTTTTCAAAATACATCACGGTTATCCTTTTCCATCCAGAATATACACAAAAGCAATCCTAAAGTGTTGGAAATGAAGTATAGTTGTATAATGAAGTAATGAAACTTCCCTCCACCCCAACATGGGTCCTCTACATATCTGTATCAACTGCATATTGAATACTATCTAGTTTATAATTATCCGTTATTTCCATGTTATGTCACATGCTGAGCAGTTGACTTTTGATCACATTGCCTCAAAACTGCCATCCAGTTTTTTTCAGAGCAATCCTAAATGATGTCAGGGAGAAAGTGCAACATGGCAGCTCTACTGCTTTGTGCCAGCCAAGACAGTAGGTATGGGGAATGTTGCTTTGCAGTTTTTCACTATGCCAATTTTAGGGTCCCTTAGGGGATTTGCGGAGTCCAAAGCTTTTGGGTGACAAACCTTGAAACCCTTTGGGGGCTTTCTGCTTGCTGTTACTAGTGGCAGAATCACCTTCCTGGGCACAGCTGCAGGATAAATTGGTTTATCCTGAATTTTAATTGATTTATCTGTTATAAGGGGTTGCCAGCCATCAGTTTAAACCATAATCCAAAGAGCAGCTTGATATGCACAAACCAGCAAGGCAAGTTATTCAAAGTATAAACATTATCCCCTGACTGTGCATTAGTTGACTCCAATAGGCTTCAATGATTACTCCAAAAGCTGGTAATCCCATATTTATTCAGAAAGAGTTAGTAGCCTGACAAAAACAGAAGTGCCCATATCCCTTGCTGTAGGATTGAAAACGTTTAATGAAGAGCAAGCTTTAAATAATGTAAATAATAAGAATGATGATGATATATTGAAACAAAGCCCCACCCTCTCCTGACATTGAATGGTTTTGGATTGGAATCAGTTACACTAATCTGCATATTAATCTGTTTACCACACTTCTGTATATTGTGAAAAGGGAATTAGTTGTCAAATATTTTCTTGCCTTGCCCCCGTGGAATGCAGAAATTGAGTAAGTTAATAAGTGAAACGTGCAACCTTTCAAACAGCTAAAAACAGACCGTTTCACAACCTTCAGAGATTTAATAATGTATTGTCCAGAGTGTGGAGGAGGTCAGAGTGTTCATTGAGCAAAAATAGAAATCAAAATGAAGTAAACCAGGAATGTTAAACCTTAATTAAAACAAATTAAACATTTCCAAAACATTTTTTTTCTTTTGCTGCTCTTAAATTTACAAGGTTAGCATCCAAATCCTGTGCATATTTACTTGGAAATTGGTTCCACTTAGTTCAGTAGGACTTACTTCCCAGTTGCTTTGCTCTACTTGAGAGTAATGCTCATTGGATTGGATGGGATTACTCAACTAAACATGTATAAGACTGGGCTATATATTGGGCATAGGACCGCAGCCTTGCTAGGAAGGAATGTGAACTTAATAGAAGCTAAGCACAATAGTGCTACTTTTGATCTGGGACAGAATTAAATTTGATTATTAGTACCTATTAGTGGCTATAAAAAAGGAAAAAGAACATTTCACATCTTTCTCTTTTAGGTTTCAACATGGTTTTGTTTTGGAGTATTTGGAGGGTGGAACAAAGCTCAGAGGTGGAACACATACATTCCGTGCAGAAGATTCCTGGCTCAATCCCTGGTATTATCAGTTAAAAGGATAAGATAACAGGTTGCATGAAAGATCTCTGATCGACATTGTGCCGAGCCACTTCCACAGTTAGAGATGGGCTAGATTTGGGGTCACCAGCCTTTTTGCACCAATGGGCACATTGGGAACTTCAATAAAGTGCTCTGGGCGCCATTCACAAAATGGCTGCTGCAGGGGTGTGGCATAAAAAGGGGTGTGGCATAACACAGACTGGACATCACATCACAAAGAGCAGAGAGAGAGAGAGAGAGAGAGAGAGATACAACCACAAAATGGTGTCCAGGAGGAAAATGGCACCTACATCAGACACGACCACACTCACTCAAAGAGAGAATATCTTTGCACCTCTGCTCTGCTCATGCAGTCCTGGTGTCCAATGCCCCTGTGGGGTGGGAATCTTCAACTAGGGTTGCCATACGTCTGGAATTTCCTGGACATAGCCGGAATACAGCAGTCGATAGCACTGTCTGGGAAAATCCGGATGTATGGCAACCCATGTCACAAGAATTTCCTTAACGCAGATTTTTTTTTAAAAAGCTCTATAACTTTGCAAAAAACAACAACTTTGCCACAACTTTTTGAAATTTGGCAACCCTATGTCCAGCGTCCATGGGATGCGGGTGGCGCTGTGGCTTAAACCACAGATCCTAGGACTTGCCGATCAGAAGGTCGGCGGATCGAATCCCCGCAATGGGGTGAGCTCCCGTTGCTTGGTCCCTGCTCCTGCCAACCTAGCAGTTTGAAAGCACCTCAAAGTGCAAGTAGATAAATAGGTACCGCTCTGGCGGGAAGGTAAACGACGTTTCCGTGCGCTGCTCTGGTTCTCCAGAAGTGGCTTAGTCATTCTAGCCACATGACGGAAGCTGTACGCCGGCTGCCTTGGCCAATAAAGCGAGATGAGCGCCGCAAACCTAGAGTCAGCCACAACTGGACCTAATGGTCAGGGGTCCCTTTACGCCCAGCGTACGAGAGGCTGAGCACGTGCAAAGAGGAACTGAGCAGAACAACAGTCATTTTTTCATGTACTGTGGGATACTTTCGGAGACATTCTGTGGGTACCATGGTAGGTATTAATTGGTGAGCAGATTGGGGCAAATGGACAAAAAGTCTGATGTGATTTAAGGCAGCTCTATGTTCCAATACACCTAGTGACGTTAGTTTTGTATTCTTTGGCGATCACTCGTAGCCAAGTAAGATTGTCTTCCATGAACATGGTTTTAAAAGTCAGTCCGTAAGTGACTCTGGAGGCCAATTTTGGACCCACAGGTCCTTCTATACAGAGGGGACATTGGTTCCCGGGGAGGAGTTGATCATGGTGTGGATTTGCCAAGCGTGCCTTCCTCTTAGCACGTTTCTCCCTTGCGTTCTGAGTTTGAGTGTCTTATATGCCATGTTCCAAAGTTCAATTGTCTTTTACGACTGCCAAGTGGTTGCCCCACTGGGCGCGGTAATTCAGTCAGGGAAAAAGGGAGGCAGACTATGTTTAGGGCACCTTTTCTAGCCCCTCCCACTTTTCGCAGTGAGCAGAGTGGATCCTAAAAATGGCTGCTACAGCTGCCGAGCTGCTCAGCTGCCTCGTTCCTTGAGTCAGAACGACTGAATCTGTATCCACCACTCATGTGCCGGTTCACGACTAGGGGCTTCCAGATTTCACGGTCCTGCCCCCATTACCATTTGCCGATTGCCATGGGACTTTTGGGGTTTGGGCTGGGTTTTTGGAAGACGCCTGTGTGTGAATTTGTTTTATGTGTGTAGATCAGTGCACGCTGATCAACGCACAGTCTTCATAGTAGGGCTCTGTTCCGATGGCATGAGTAGTCACGACGAACCGGTAGAATCTATCTGCTGCAGCCTTCATCCACCTTCACAGCCGTTGTAACATACCGCTTGTTATCATCTGCCTGTTCTGCCGTTGAGGACTTCTTGGATCATTCTTTGTCTAGCTCCTTCCCTTTGACCTTACCGCCTTGGGTAAGGTTGTTATATGGCTTCGGTGGCCGCTCCCAGTCACCAGTCTGGCTGCCGCATTCTGGATTAGTTGTAGTTTCCGGGTCACCTTCAAAGCTAGCCCCACGTAGAGAGCATTGCAGTAGTCCAAGCGGGAGATTTAACTAGAGCATGCACCACTCTGGCAAGACAGTCTGCGGGCAGGTAGGGTCTCAGCCTGCATACCAGATGGATCTGGTAGACAGCTGCCCTGGACACAGAATTGACCTGTGCTTCCATGGACAGCTGTGAGTCCAAAATGACTCCCAGGCTGCGCACCTGGTCCTTCAGGGGCACAGTTACCCCATTCAGGACCAGGGATTTTCCCACACTTGCTCGCCCAGTCCCCCCAAAACAGTACTTCTGTCTTGTCAGGATTCAACCTCAATCTGTTAGCTGCCATCCATCCTCTAACCACCTCCTGACACTCACACATAAGTCTTTATGAATTAAAACCAGAACCTCTTGAATTGTGCTCAGAAAAGTATAGGCTGTCAGAGCAGTTGGGCCAGAACAGGTGTGCTATAAGGTGATGCTCTGACCCTAGCTATTAATCTGGCTCTTAGATTTTACACTAGCTGCAGCTGCAGCTTTTCTCCGCCTACCTAAATCTGTTAATAATCTTCTGCACAACTTTAAAAGACACAGGAGCCCCTTTTTCCCTTTAGCATAAGGATGGGCTGAAAAAGGGAAGGGAAGCAACAAACTTGTTTGAATATAAGCAGATTTGCCCAGTGCCAAGATGGGAGAGCTTGTTTACTGTTTTGAGTTCTGCAGGAAAGGCAAGATATAAACAGGCATCACCTGTTGATTTTCTGCCTAACATATAGCTCTTGACGGTGCAGAATGTCTGCCCATAAGAAGGTGGTAACACTTTGCTAAGCCCAGGAAGCCACAGCGTTTAGCAAAGCAAAGAATCCCGATGCAAGCCAGAATGACTGCTGTTAATCACACTGTGAGCAATTTAAAAGGTATCTACGGTGAGGATTTTGTACTGTTACGTCAGCACTTTTTCATTGCAGAGTATTGCTTTTCCAATCTTCTTAAAAGCATTGTAAAATTTGCACTTCTGCTAATGACCAAATGACCACTGCAAGCATTTTGCTATTCTAGTTTTTGTGGTTAAAAGATAAAGCTGTTGGTTATGTACAATGTGACTTTTTTGTGCTCTACAAAGAACAGCACATTTTCCGTTTGCGTAGGGTAGTGTCCTTGCTTCTCATGAGAAATGATTAACAGTTTTGTTAAACATTTGGTGAGAAGCAGCATGGAGCACAACCGTGGTTTCTTGGTGATGATCTAGCAAGTTGTACTGTCGGTGCAGAATGCCAATTGACGCATCTTGTAAGAACTATAATTAATATAAGGCAAGATCTACTTCCAAACCCCATTGATTTCAGTGAGAGTAAAGTATATAGATGTTTAAAAGCACATTTCCAAAAAAATCCAGAGTCCTTCTGGTTGGGGATAATTCAGAGGGAAATTCCCAGTTGTCAAAAAAGACTTCAGTGGTACCTCAGGTTAAGTACTTAATTCGGAGGTCCGTACTTAACCTGAAACTGTTCTTAACCTGAAGCACCACTTTAGCTCCTCCTGCTGCGCCGCCGGAGCACGTTTTCTGTTGTCATCGTGAAGCAAAGTTCTTAACCTGAAGCACTATTTCTGGGTTAGCGGAGTCTGTAACCTGAAGCGTATGTAACCTGAAGTGTATGTAACCTGAGGTACCACTGTATTTATGTATGCTACAGGGGTCCCTTTACCTTTACTTTACTACTGTGGCCCATATCTTGTTAGTCCCCAAATGGAAAACTGAAATTGATGGAATACACACATTTTGCAGTTTTAACGTACAGAACAGTTGATCACGGGGGCGTCCCAGGTTGATCGTGGTATGAAGTACACACACACACACACACACACACACACACGAAGGTCAACAACTTTGGTCAACCCTCCCCTAAAAAAAGCTCAACCAGTCCTGGCAATGACAATGGGTAGATCATAGCTGGTTTTTTAATACTGTGAGTAGATCGCAGTCTCTTGGGAGTTGGACGTGCCTGATATAGAATAAGAGAACAAGAACATATGTTTAGAGAAGACTAGAAAATGTTTACTGAATATATGTGTGAAAATTGTATGCATTTAAAAACGCTGGTAGCATTAGGATAATTTCAAGTGTAAGTAAGTTTTGATGGATATAACAATAGATTACTGAATGGTTTAGCTCACGTAAAATATGCAGGGATGTATCACTAGTCTCTCAGCTTAACCTATTATTGTGAGGATGAAAAATTGGGGGAGATGAGCTTGTACAACTCTGGTAGGCTTACAGTAAACAAACAAACAAACAACCAACAGAATGCAGACAGGAAAACAACAAAGCAACCTGCATGCGTGCATTTGCTTTAAGGCTTATTTATTGCGCAGGAGGGCATGCAACAACTCCCCTTCTATAACTGCCTACAATTCCCAGCCTGCCCCGCGCTCCGACTCCATGTGCACGCTTAACCCTTTCGAATCCTCGGCGCCGTTGCTGCAGCGGTTGAGATTCGGGGCTCAGATGGGTGTCAAGAGAATCCAGGCACGTGAAACGGCAGCTGGCTTTTCTTCGTCTCGGAAAGGCGGTGCGTTTGCGTGTGTGTGTGTATGTGCATTGCAACCCCCGCTTTCCCCCCTTTTTTTCCTTGCTGTAACTCCGTGATCCCCGGACCCGCATCGTGAGAACGCGTCTCGCCTTTCTGTAACCGATCAGCCAGCCTCCCAAAGAAAACAGCAAATAAAAAATGGTCGGGGACGAATTGCTGGGGGGCAAGGGGGGCACCTGGGCGCAGCACCCGGGACCCGGACGCTGGGACAGCGGCTTTCACATCCGCCATCGGGAAATCTAAAGCAAAAATTTGATTTTACAAAGGCCTCTCGGAAGCTGTGCGCCTCTGGACTGGCTGGTTTTTGGGTCCCCCCCCCCCCGCTTTGAGAGGTGAATGGGGGGGATGGCGCGATCGGCGGAGAAACCTTCCCTTTCCAGGGGGAGGCGAAGCTGGTCGGATGAATATTCAGGCATGCATATTCTTCCCCAGAAGCCCACACCCTCTTTTTTTGCTAATCCCCTTGCAAGCTGGCTCTGCTCAGTTGGCTGCCGGTGGGGGAGAAGAGCGCAGGAATCTATTCTCTCCGACTCGAGGGACGTATCCTGAAGCGCTGGATCGCGCGCAAAGCGCAGGGCGTCTTCTCCGCGGGGGCAGGTAGACCGCGGGTCCCTACGCGCTGCTGTTAGGGACCCTGTTCCTGTGCAGACGTGCCGCGATGTCCCCGCTCCGCATCGGGATAGCGGCTGCGGTTTTCCCTGGCGGTAGGAAACATGCCGTTGTCCCCGAGGCACGCCAGCTGTGCCACTGCGCGCTATTGTTTTTGTTCCGCGCAGGGAGGCATAGGAATTGGGCTTCCCTCTGTCAGTTGCAGGGTCACCACTCTCTGCTTTTGTATTCAAGCTATGGGGGACCCCGGGGTGGGTGAGGGAGGGGGGAATAATCTTGTTGATTATGTTGCTTTGACTGTATACTTTATATTTGACTTTCTTCAGAAATGTTTCGTTCTGGATTGTTTCATGGATATTTTAATAGGCTGTAATAGGCTTTGAGATTTTTCTTTAAAATACAAAATGGTATAGAAATGAAATTAATACAGTGTTACCTCGGGTTACATATGCTTCAGGTTGCATACGCTTCAGGTTACAGACTCCGCTAACCCAGAAATATTACCTCAGGTTAAGAACTTTGCTTCAGGATGAGAACAGAAATTGTGCTCCGGCGGCAGCAGGAGGCCCCATTAGCTAAAGTGGTGCTTCAGGTTAAGAACAGTTTCAGGTTAAGTACGGACCTCCGGAACGAATTAAGTACTTAACCCGAGGTACCACTGTAATAATAATAATAATAAATAGGTCACCAGTGCTCCTCGAACCCTTTCCCCAGCTGCTTCTTACAAATATTTCCTTCCCTATAACATCCTGATCTGATGAGTCACAAGGTGCCACCAACACCCATGGCACTTTTTTTTTGCATAATTGTTAAAGGAAGCAGTTCCCTGCCTCAAGGCGCTTACAGTTAAAGGGATTAGACAAGTGGGAGAGGCATGGGATGAGTATGACGAAACTGGGCTACACCTCCTTAGACTTTGTAACCCGTCAGGCCGGGCAGCTTATTGCAATCCTGGCACAATATCAACGGGCAGAAGTTTACCTCAGTTCCTAACCCGCCCTCTTCTTTTTCCATGCTGCAGTTTTGATCTCTTGGTGAACTCGGCGCATCTGGCTCCTCCCAGGTGAGAGATGACCCGGGTGAATAGCAAAATGAAGCCCTCTGGCCTGCGAGGGGAAGTTGCCTGAGGAGGAAAGGGCCGATTGGGCTGGCCTTTGGCTGCGGTGCCGGCTGGCAACCTTACTATGGCTCATTCCAGCATCTGGAACAGCCTCAAGTCTGTGCTGAGGAAGAACAATGACCCCTTGTTCCTGAACGACTGCAGTGCCTTTGACTTCTCGGACGAAGTTGGCGAGGAGGACTTCCCCAGGTTCAACAAGCTGCGGGTGGTGGTTTCGGAGGATGCGGCGGACGCTTCGGCCAACGGGGCCCACCTGGGCCCCCACTCTGACGACGAGTCCTTGCTGGACAGAGACATTGCTCTGCGGAACGCACAGACCGGACCCGGCGCAGAACCTTGTAACAATTGCAACAAGCAAAGGGAACTCTCGAAGCAGAAGAAGGTGAAGAGGCGGCTGGTTCTAGCAGCCGTCCTCTATCTCCTCTTTATGACAGGGGAGCTGATAGGTAAGAATGCCTTGATCTCTACTGAGAAGGAGATCTTTCAATTGCCTCGCTGTGCCTTCGGGGACAGTCTTTTAATTATTTACTCTTTGGGACCGTCGGGTGGCATATCTCATTATGAAGAGGAGGCAAGCTCAGAGGGCATCTTGAGTAAGTCAAATCAATGTGCAGGGGAAACAGGGTGGCATTGCCACCTTTGCAAATTACTGTAACATTCATCGATTCTCCGGAATAGTATGTCTCCGTTTGCAAAGTGGAGATTTCGTCTTCCTGTTGGTGATGCTTTTCTGAAATGGATAAAGGAAGTTTAGTGGTACAGTGGCACCTCGGGTTACAGACGCTTCAGGTTACAGACTCCGCTAACCCAGAAATAGTGCCTCGGGTTAAGAACTTTGCTTCAGGATGAGAACAGAAATTGCGCAGCGGCAACAGCGGGAGGCCCCATTAGCTAAAGTGGTACCTCAGGTTAAGAACATTTTCAGGTTAAGAATGGACTCCAGAATGAATTAAGTTCTTAACCCGAGGTACCACTGTAGTAGTCGTAATAATAATAATAATAATAAAACCCTCTTTCTTTCTCTCTCTTTTTAACCTCCTCGAGAGGTTCAGAGGGTGGCAACGCGAGAATGGGGCCTTCTCTGCAGTGGCTCCCTGTCTGTGGAATGCTCTCCCCAGCGAAGTTCGCCTGGCGCCTTCAGTATACACCTTTAGGTGCCAGGCAAAAACCTTCCTCTTTAACCAGGCCTTGGTTACATCCGATTTACATCCTATGCCCTTTTAAAATGTGGGGTTTTGGGGGGCGGGGAGTAATTAGGTTGCTGTTTTTATTTATATTAGGTATTTTGTGGTTTTATATCTTGATTTTATTCTGTGACCCTTGGGTATATGGCGGTATATAAATTCAATAAACAACAACAACAATACCTACGTAGCTCGGTTGGTAGTACGTGAGACTTCGAATTCCAGGGTCATGAAAGTTTCCTGCATTGCAAGGGTTAGACTGGATGATTCTTGGGGTCCCTTCCAATTGTACACTTCTATGATTCTGTGATCTGTTAGCTGTATGTCACATGCCCAGAAGTAACAGCCTTGAGGCTTTCTCTTGAACTGTGTGGAATTTACACTGAAACTGTCCCTCTGATGGAGACATTTCCGAAAAAGTTAGTTGCAGTTAAATTCTGTGAAAATCAATGGGCCTCAGCTTAGTCCCATTCCATTGTTTTAACTGGGATGATCATAATGTAACCGTTGTATTTGTTACATGCATAGTTCAAGCTCTTTATCTGACATTCATCCTGTATTCATGGGGTTATTCTGGACCATGTGCTTTTGTTTTTGTTTCAAAAGCACAATGTTTCCCCCACTAGCTACTTCTTATGTTGAACGTTCAACTCACCACAGTTGGATTTATGCCAACTGTGAACATTATAAGTGTTTGTTTGTGTAATGCTTGCATAAATACATGTCAAGATTTAAAGCCCAGAATAAAATCACATGGTTAGGTTTTTTCATTTTGAAAAAACAAAGTCATCAAATCATCAAATTACCAGCCATAATCTAGCATACATAGGCATTCTTAAACCCCATTCATATCGACATCATTCAAAGTATGCACAACCATGAACTTTCGCAGGTACAGATATTACAAAAGCCTTAAAGGTAAAGGTAAAGGGACCCCTGACCGTTTGGTCCACTCGCAAATGACTCTGGGGTTGCGGCGCTCATCTCGCTTTACTGGCCGAGGGAGCTGGCGTTCAGCTTCCATGTCATGTGGTCAGCATGACTAAGCCGCTTCTGGCGAACCAGAGCAGCACACGGAAACACCATTTACCTTCCCGCCGGAGTGGTACCTATTTATCTACTTGCACTCTGACGTGCTTTCGAACTGCTAGGTTGGCAGGAGCAGGGACTGAGCAACGGGAGCTCACCCCGTCGTGGGGATTTGAACCACCGACCTTCTGATCGGCAAGTCCTAGGCTCTGTGGTTTAAGCCACAGCGCCACCCGCGTCCCACAAAAGCCTTAAGTAGCTGCAAATTATAATCCATAGAATTTGTTTGTAGAATTGTAGAGTTGGAAGGGACCGCAAGAGTCATCTAGTCCAACCCCTTGCAATGCAGGAATCTTTTTGCCCAACGTGGGATTCGAACCCATGACCCGTGAGATTAAGAGTCTCATGCTGTACCAACTGAGCAATCCCTTAAATCGGTGTGATTACTTGGACGTATTCTTCCTGCTATAATTTGTATTCCTGGAGTTAAGATTAATATCTCTTGGGTTAATTATTCTGATATTCTGAGTTCCCGCAGCTAGCAGCACCCTTTTTAGGTATCGGTAACTAAGCAATGAAACTTTTCAGATAAATTACCAAAAAACAAGAGGACTTACGGTATTTAAGCAGTGTTTGGATTTTTTTTAAAAAAACCTTTGCCCTGCAGTCCAGCAACTGGATCTATTCTACTTTTCTCCACATGTTTCTAAAAGTCATGTGAAAAGTTTTGTTGCATAAAGTTCCCCGTATAAAGTTGCCATTTGGTCAATGACAGCAAATGAGGGTCGTTTCCAGTCAACCCAAACTTTGTTGATGTGGTTTTGAATATGGTTTCAAAGGCCTGTGTTGTGCTTTCAGCATGGGAAGTGTTTCCTGTTTAGATGTTCAGTGTCATAATAACTTGGCATATACTTGGTGTGGGCAAGTATGGTTAATAAAACTCTTGGGCTGGACGCTTGCAGCTTTCTTGGACTTACTGGAAATGCAGTTTTCCTGAGACGTAGCTCTTGCTCTTGAGGTGGTTTGTGGGACAGGAGTCTTTGTAAACTGCACCGTGGCAGAAATTAAGAGAGACTCCGCAGTCTGGAAACCCTCAGAGAGTCACGTTAACCAAAGCAAATGCAGTTGTTGTTTTTTTAAAAATAGTTTTTATTAAGTTTTTCTAATTTATATTTCAAGATATTCCTTTAGACAACCTTAAATCAATGACTCCCCTTCTTCTCTTTCCGTGGTTCATTTTGCATACAATACATCCCTGCATATTTTACACGAACTAAACCATTCAGTAATCCATTGTTAGTAAAGGTAAAGGGACGTCTGACCGTTAGGTCCAGTCGCAGATGACTCTGGGGTTGCAGCACTCATCTCGCTTTACTGACTGAGGGAGCCGGCGTACAGCTTCCGGGTCATGTGTCCAGCATGACTAAGCCGCTTCTGGCGAACCAGAGCAGCGCACGGAAACGCCGTTTACCTTCCCGCTAGAGCGGTACCTATTTATCTACTTGCACTTTGACGTGCTTTCGAACTGCTAGGTTGGCAGGAGCAGGGACCAAGCAACAGGAGCTCACCCCGTCGCGGGGATTTGAACCGCCGACCTTCTGATTGGCAAGCCCAAGAGGCTCTGTGGTTTAACTTCTTTACACTGCTGAATTTATCTTAATGCTACCAGCGTTTTTAAATGAACACAATTTCCCCCCAAATAATTAGTAAACATATATTCTTCTTGTTCTCTTATTCTGTATGTTAAATTTGCAAGCTGTGCATATTCCATCAGTTTAAGTTGCCATTCTTCTTTGGCTGGGACCTCACTCATTTTCCATTTTTGGGCTAGCAAAACACAGGCCGCAGTAGTAGCATGCATAAATAATATTTTGGGATACCTGGGTGCAGTGCCTGACTTCTCCATCTCCACAGGAAAAATGCCACCTGGCCTATTATTTCCCCCCACGCCGCACCAGTTTTCAGCTCTGAACCTCCTAAGCTGCTTGCACAAAGATATGTGATCAGCCAGCCATGAGATGGGCCTTTGTCCTTCATGGCTCATTGAAGCCGGCAATGAGACAGACATCAGGCTCATTATTGACCGGGATCTTAACATGGCCTTTTTGAAATCTCTTCTACAGAGGAGGCAATAAGGAGACTTCTTTTTTCTTACTCTCCTATGGTGATCGGGTTGCTGCGGACACACCTCACCCTGCTGCTTCCATCGGCAGAGAAGTGCCTCTGCCGCTGGCACTGTTTTTGGGCAACATTGTGCCCATTGGGGGCAAGATCTCACCCAAAATTGGCACTGATGGTGGCGGGGTGCACAGTAGTGGCAAAGCGGGCAGCGGCAGGAGCAGGGAGGTAGTGGTGGCAGCAGTGGCAGGGCGCTTCCTGGTGGAGGAAGGGAGGACAAGAAGAATAGTTTGTGAGCCAAGCACTTATTTAAAGATAAAGGTAAAGGGACCCCTGACCATTAGGTCCAGTCGTGGCCGACTCTGGGGTTGCGGCGCTTATCTCGCTTTATTGGCCAAGGGAGCCGGTGTACAGCTTCCAGGTCATGTGGCCAGCATGACTAAGCCGCTTCTGGCAAACCAGAGCAGTGCACGGAAACACCGTTTACCTTCCCGCCAGAACGGTACGTATTTATCTACTTGTACTTTGACGTGCTTTCAAACTGCTAGGTTGGCAGGAGCAGGGACCGAGCAACGGGAGCTCACCCCGTCGCGGGGATTCGAACCGCTGACCTTCTGATCGGCAAGCCCTAGGTTCTGTGGTTTAACCCACAGCGCCACGCACATCCCAAGCACTTATTTAGAGCAGGGCTAAAGACCTAGAGGAGGAGGAACTTTATTTTAGGATCTGTACCTCATTTTCATGGTACTATGCATATGCCCACATTCTTCCTCCACGCCCAGGTTCCGCCATCTAATCACAGGGGCAGGAGAGGCACATTAATCCCACACAATAGATTGGTACATGTGATTATTGTTGCTCCTGGAAAAAAGCCATGGAAAAGGTTTGTCTGTTTTTCAGTGTAGTTCCAAGGCTACTATGGTTGCGTCCCACCACTGCAAGTAGTGCTTCTTTTTTTGAAATAGTTTTTATTTGTTTTTAGAAGTATAACATCATAACAACACATCCATACACATCCACATTTACATATTTCTCCTTCTTGTTAAACCTTTTCTACTGCATCTTTTCCAGTAATCTGAGTTTTATATAACTCCACTGTCTCCATAGTACTTTCTCCATTACAAGTGTTGCTGCAATCCTGCTAATGTTTTCACCTGCTTACAGTGGTCTCCAAGTTAAATTATGAATTTTCTCCATTCTTTGTTAAATATTCGATTCCGGAAGACCGTTCGACTTCTGAAAACCAAGGATCAATGGGCAGTCGGCAAAATCCATTGAAAAATGGAAAAACATGCAGTGGAAGCCGTTCGATTTCCAAAAACGCGTCCGAAAACGGAAGCAATTACTTCCGGGTTTTCAGTGTTCGGGTTCCAAATTGTTCGGCTTCCTAGATGCTTGAAAACCAAGGTTCCACTCTATTAACTTGTATGTGCTTGTTGCTACAGGTCCTATAAAACACACCCTAGCATATATACACCAGGGCTATAAACCATGTTTCATATACAGTGGTACCTCAGGTTAAGTACTTAATTCGTTCCGGAGGTCCGTACTTAACCTGAAACTGTTCTTCACCTGAAGCACCACTTTAGCTAAGGGGGCCTCCCGCTGGTGCTGCGCCTCCGGAGCACAATTTCTGTTCTCATCCTGAAGCAAAGTGCTTAACCTGAAGCAATATTTCTGGCTTAGCGGAGTCTGTAACCTGAAGCGTATGTAACCTGAATCGTATGTAACCCGAGGTACCACTGTATGTGCATTGTACGAGATGTTTTTTTCTGCTAAGGGCTTAATATGCTGTAATGGCCTGGAATTATTACGACCCCAGCGCAGCTGCATTTATTCATTTGTTGATATACATTTTAAATTGTAATGTGTGGATATGGCAAATGATGTGCTTGCGTGTGCTTGGCGGCTGCTCCCTTTTGAGGGTACACTTGGTTTTACTTCTTTCTAGCACAGACCCCTCAGTATTATAGACCTAACACAGATTTTCCTTTTAAATTTGCACGTCAAGGTGGATACGTTGCCAACAGTCTAGCGATCATGACGGATGCGCTTCATATGTTAACTGACCTCAGTGGCATTATTTTGACCTTGCTTGCTTTGTGGCTATCTGCAAAATCACCGACCAAAAAATTCACCTTCGGATTTCACCGCTTAGGTACGTAATCTTTTTTTAAATTTTTTTTTATTGTAGTCATTCTAATAGAGCTGTATGTACTAATATATCTAAGAGCTGTATCCCTAAACTGTGCGAGCTCATCTGGGGCTAATAGCCTTTGAGAGCTACAGTTAAACCTTGGTTCCCGAATGACTTAGTTGCCGAACAAATCAGCTCCCAAATGCTGCAAAACCGGAAGTAAGTGTTCCCATTTGCGAACATTTTTTTTTGGAAGCCAAATGTCCAACGCAGCTTCCATATGAGTGCAGGAAGCTTCTGCAGCCAATCGGAAGCCGCGCCTTTGTTTTGGAACGGTTTTGGGAGTCAAATGGACTCCTGGAACAGATTAAGTTTGAGAACCAAGGTACCACTGTATTTTTAAAAGTTGATTTATGAACTTAAAGTAGGCGGTATTGGTGGGGAGGAGGAATAGTAAAGCCCACTTTTACCTGTTCCTTTATGCAGGAGACACTTTTGGGTGTTCATGCATTCCGCCCTTCTTCTTTTTGCTTTCTTGTATATGTTCTAAACATACAGTGGTACGTCGCAAGACAAATGCCTCTCAAGACGAAAAACTCGCAAGACGAAAGAGTTTTTCGTTTTTTGAGTTGCTTCGCGAGACGAATTTCCCTATGGGCTTGCTTCGCAAGACGGAAACGTCTTGCAAGTTTGTTTCCTTTGTCTTAAAATCGTTACAGTAATACAGGGTGCATTGCTTGAAGAGGTGCAGTTGCGACTTGACTTCGGGTAGCAACTCATAGCACGCGGTGTGGTAGCCTTTTTTGAGGTTTTTGAAGATTTTTTTGAAAAAATTGAAACCGTGCTTCGCAAGACGAAAAAACTCGCAAGACGAAAAAACTCGCAGAACGAATTAATTTCGTCTTGCGAGGCACCACTGTATTGGGTGTTCATCTAGAAACGTTGTTTGCATCAGGACCCTGACAGGCTTATTGTAGTGTGAGGTTCCATAGGCAGAAGCTCCTTCATCATGTGCACAAAAAGGAGGGCAAGGTCAAGGCCTGTAGCTCAGTGGTTAGAGAATTTGCTTTGCATGCAGAAGGTCCCAGGTTCAGTCCTCAGCATCTTGAGGTAGGGGACGCGGGTAGCGCTATGGTTTAAATAACTGAGCCTCTTGGGCTTGCTGATCAGAAAGCCAGCGGTTCGAATCCCCGCAATGGAGTGAGCGCCCGTTGCTCTGGCCCCAGCTCCTGCCAACCTAGCAGTTTGAAAGCACACCAGTGCAAGTAGATAAACAGGTACCACTGCGGTAGGAAGGTAAATGGCACTTCCATGCACTCTGGTTTCCATCACGGTGTCCCATTGTGCCAATCGGTTTAGTCCTGCTGGCCACATGACCCGGAAAGCTGTCTGTAGACAAACGCCGGCTCCCTCGGCCTGAAAGTGGGATGAGCGCCACAACCTCATAGTCTCCTTTGACTGGATTCAGCCGTCTAGGGGTCCTTTACTTTTTACCTTTTTTACTAGGTAGGGCTGGGAGAGAACCCTGTCTGATATCCTGGAAAGCTGTTGCCAGTCAGTGTTGAAAATTCTGCACTCAGTGGATGAAGGGTCTGACTGATGTGGTTTAGGGCAGCTTCCCATGTTCTGAAGATATAAGGCAGCAATCCCATACTCGCTTCCCTGTAAGCACAGGTCTAAGGCATACCTTCTAAGACAGCTGCTGTGCTGCAGTGGTTAGAGCAGGGCTGGGGAACCTGTGGTCCATCAGCTGTTACTAGACTACAAGTCCCATCTTCCTTGACCTTCGGCCATGCTGACTCCCACATCATCTGGAGGGCCACAGGTTTTCCCCATTGCCAGGTCAGAGTGTCAGTCTTAGAACTGGATCGCATCCCCACCCAGCCATCAAGCCCACTGGGGGATCTTGGGCCAGTCTCACACAGCTCCTCCTTCTCCCCTCCCCCCCATATATATAATTTTATTAGTTTTTTTTAACATATCATTTTCAACAGTAATTAAACATACTTTTACATCTTATGCAAATTTTTGACTTCCATCAATCCTGTCTGTAAATTTTCCAATCTAATCTCTCAGTATGCATTTCTTATCTTCCCTATTACATTTCAAATTCATAACCAATATCTCTATCTTTTTCTACTTTGTAACACTTCGTATATTTCTCCTTACAAAACTTCTTGCATAATTTGTTAATTACAGTTGCTCTTCAAATAATTCATATACCTCTTCCAATCTTCTGTAAATCTCTGGTCCCGCAGGTTTCGAATCCTTCCTGTCATTTTGTCCAATTCTGCATAGTCCATTAATTTCGTCTGCCATTCTTCTTTCGTCAGAATTTCTTCTTGTTTCCATTTCTGGGCTAACAATATTATTGCCGCGCACAGCTCCTCCTTCTGACTTGCAACCTAAGAACATAACAGCCCCGCCGTCAGAGACCAAAGGTCTGCCCAGTTTAGCGTTCTGTTTCAGTGGCGTAGCATGGGTTGCCAGAACCTGGGGCCGTATGGAGGGTGGTGGGAGGGACATGAACAGAGTATGCATGTGTGTTCAATTGCCTAATGGTGTCTGCGTCACCCAGCAGATCACAGCCACAAACATAAGAAAAGTAGAGCTGTTCCGTTGCATGGAGAGGTCACTTCCTGGTTTGCATGGAGAAGCCATTTTCAGATTTCCACCCGCTAACAAATCTGCGCATGGGGCCTCCTCATGCTACAACACTGTTCTGTTCACCCAGCGACCAATCAGATACCTGTGGGAAGCCCATAAGCATGTGTAGCTTTGTGCTTCTTGGTTAGGATGTCAGATTAGGACTTGAGAGACGAGGATTCAAATCCCCGCTTGGCCGTGTAGCAAACCTTGGACCAGTCACTGCCTCTTAGTCTAGCCTACCAACAAGAGGGTTGTTGTTGAGATTAGATGAGGAGGGGGAGAATCGTGTCTGCCACCACTTGGAAGAAAAAAAGTGGGATATAAATGTAACAAATGAACAAGCAAATGATATAACATTCTTAATAATAAATGCTGAATTAGGCCCATTGATTTCAGAGGAGCTGTGTATTGGATTGTGGTTAAGTTGATGGACGTGTCTTTAGAAACTATTACAGTTTATCTCCTAAAGCCAGGGCAGCACCCACCAAAAGTTTCCAAGAACATTTATCAACTCTTAGAAAGCAAAGTTGCGAAACAAAAAAGTGTGTTGCAATTAAAAAATGCACTGACTCAGCTCTGCTTCATGCCTGTGTTAGGTTAGTCTCTGATCAGATTATTTAATTCACTGTTCATGTGACTTCTACTTCTTCTTTAAAGCTATAATTAGATTTTTTTTTCAGTCGTGCTTTTTGTTTTTAGTTCCAAATTGTAATGGGGGCCCCATGGGAGATGCACATAAAAACCCTAAGCACTGGGGTGTATTTAAATGCCTTTGAAAACTACTCCTGGCCCCGGTGGGTTATATTTCAGTCATAAGGATACTCATGCCACAAAATTAAAAACTCTTGAAAGAAAAGGTTCGTTGCTGCCAAACTCCTTATCGCTTGAGACGGAGGAAGACTTGCTACCGTACAGTATAGTACAGTATGGCTTTATAATGAATTGATGGGCTGATACTGTAAGCCCAGTGTGCAGGAAAATGTCTCTATCTAGGAATAAAAGCTTGGCAGGCTCAGTTATGAAATTTAACCCTCCTCCTAGATGGAGTAAAAGGAGACTTTGGAAATATTTTTTTCCTCACAGGGCCTGTTAATAGTTTCACTCTTCAATTTTTATGCTGCTTTTATGTTCTGTTTGCCTGTATTACATAGTTTTATTTCTTTCTTTTTTCTATTTTTTTTGTTGTTGTTTAGGCATTACAACAACTTTAGAAAAATAATTAAAACCAAATTGAAGACAAATTGCTTTGAGAACACTCAGGCATTATTATATGACAGCATCAGTTACTTTTATCCTAATAAATGTTTCTTTTCTTTTGTATTACATGGTTTTAACACACTGTCCTATGTATGATTACTCGGAAGTAACTCCCAGGTATTCAATAGGGCTTTTTCCTAGAAAAGCTACTTGGATTACGTACTGCCTTAATATTTGTTCATTTTTATTTATTTAAAAGAATTTCTAAACCTCTAAGTATTGAAAATGTATTTAAGTGGTGTACAGAAATGCAAACAGCAAAACACTATAACGAAATTAGAAATCAATAAAATACAGTATTGTTGTATTTTTGATGTATGCATGTCCTCTAAGTCACCCTGGTTGGTTTTTTTTAAGATAGTAGGAAAAATAGCTTATATTGGGCTCATAAGACTGGGAAGGGGACACGGGTGGCGCTGTGGGTTAAACCACAGAGCCTAGGACTTGCCGATAAGAAGGTCAGCGGTTTGAATCCCCGTGACGGGGTGAGCTCCTGTTGCTCGGTCCCTGCTCCTGCCAACCTAGCAGTTCGAAAGCACGTCAAAGTGCAAGTAGATAAATAGGTACCGCTCCGGCGGGAAGGTAAACGGCGTTTCCGTGCGCTGCTCTGGTTCGCCAGAAGCGGCTTAGTCATGCTGGCCACATGACCCGGAAGCTGTACGCTGGCTCTCTCAACCAATAAAGCGAGATGAGCGCCGCAACCCCAGAGTCGGTCACAACTGGACCTAATGGTCAGGGGTCCCTTTACCTTAAGACTGGGAAGCAGCTGAAGGATTTTGAGTTCAGTTTCTCCTAATAAGATCACCTATTATTATTATTATTATTTAAAGAACCTGTGACAGCTTTGCAGAGTAGCTGTCTTGCAGCCAGCTAATCCATGGTGCAGTTTTTGCTAATTAAAGGAGCTTGTGATGTTGTACGGCATGGACGTTCCAAACTGAGGGTTCCAGGGAATCTTTCGATTCTTCAAAAGCTTAAATGGGATTTTTCCATAGCTTATCTGTTGGTTTCCCCCAGGCATATGGTCACAGCCATTGTAAGAAGATGCTGGAATAGTTGGAGTATCGGCCTGATCCAGCAGCCTCTTCTCACATTATTATTTTCTTTTGAAATAATTTTTATCTGATTTATCAAGTATAAAATTATAATAATACAACCATAGGTAAAGGTAAAGGGACCCCTGACCATTAGGTCCAGTCGTGGAGGACTCTGGGGTTAAAAAAACATTGGAAATGTTTAAACTTACATTATTAACATTTACTTAACCCAGCCTGGATTCAGTGTAATTAAAAGTACCGTAGAAATGCTAAACGTTGCATGATGTTTGTGCGCAGATGCTCTTGTAACAGTGCTGCTGTTTTTCTTTCTCTTTCCCAGAGGTGTTGTCTGCCATGTTCAGCGTCTTGCTGATTTACATCCTCATGGTTTTCCTCTTGTACGAAGCTGTTCAAAGGACCATCCACATGGACTACGAAATCAATGGGGATATTATGCTGATTACAGCAGCCATTGGGGTAGCAGTCAACCTTATGTAAGTGTTCCTTTTCCTTCTGTTGAAAGTTAGCCGCCTTCTTAGCAAGGGACTCCTGTGAAGAAAGTCCCAGAACTGCTCCACCGTTTCTGTTTTTTATTATTTAAATTTTTATTTATACTTTTCAAGTTTAAGCATTTCACTAGTTTTACAATCGCTTTATCATTTCAAAATTTGACTTCCTTCCCCCTCTTTCTGCGGCTCCTTAATTTTTTTGCTTTTTAAAATATCTTCTGCATATCCAAATTCATTTAATTTGCTCCTTTGCCCACTGTTTCTTTATGCCAGTCTGTCACGTATCTCCTGTCAATCCTCTTCAATTGCCAAAAAGGGTACCAACTGGATCTCATTTGGCAGAAAGAGCCAGAAGTAAGGTTACCAGATTTTTTTCAGTGAATCCAACTTCAGTAGGAATGATAGGATTTTGTATGGGGACTGATTTGTAAATCCGGGGACTGTCCCCGGGAAACGAGGACGTCTGGTAACCTTAGCCAGAAGTCACTCCTTTCAGAAGAGAGGTTCAAAAAACCTCCGCTGCCCTCAATGTTCCCCTGCCACCATCAGGGTTTCAGAATGGACTTTCTATGAAGCTGACTCGCCTCACGACTATGGCGTAGTCAATAGGCTAGAATTAGTCCAGTTTGAGAATTTTAGGTGCCGAAATACCAAGGGAACAGAAAGGTTTATCTATGTATGCAACCACGGCTACGCGATTGCTATTAGCTCAGAGATGGAAAGAATAAAATGTCTCTACCAGAGAAGAATGGCAGATCAAGTTGATGGACTATGTCGAAATGGCAACAGTGACCAGAAGAATCAGAAATCAGGAAGACCAAAATTTTAATAAGGAATGGGGAAAATTTATAATCTTTCTTAAAAACCATTGTAAACAGTTAAAATTGTAAATGGGATTGGAATAACATGGTGAACTTTGGACATAATGGAGATGTAAAAGGGCAGGAGGGAAGTCCAGGAGATTCTGTGGAATCTTCTTAGTCCTGTTTGGGAGCCGCGGTGCTCTGGTTTATTTTGTATTCTGGCTCTTGCCTGCTTTCCCTCTACCTTTTGTTTTTAGCGAAGTCTCCTAATTTGACCACTGCAGTGGATGCGATTGCCAGCTTTGAGGTTCTAGCATCCCCATGTACCTGGACACTTAGAATTCCTGGTGCTGGAAGTTTAGGATCAGTGCAAAAGCAGGAAGAGGACAAGCCTTTCTCTTGGTGGGATGATTTGATCTGCCGGCCAATGAGGCAGCGCGAGTGCGACCACCGTTGCTCTCCTGGCTTCTCAACCTGGTAGCTTGCTGGCTTTTATCAAGAGGCAAGTGTGTCACACCTCTCCCTTCTTGGTGACCACTCGCAACCAGCTTTGTTGGGAAGCCAGGAGAACAACGGTTCCCTTTCTGTGCTACCTTACTGACTGCGGGTGGTGCTGTGGTCTAAACCACTGAGCCTCTTGGGCTTGCCAATCAGAAGGCCAACGGTTCGAATCCCCGCGATGGGGTGCCTATGAATGCTTCCGTTTTCAAACACGCCTCGGAAGTCAATTGACTTCTGAGGCGCGTTTCTCCATTTTTTCAATGGATTTTGCCAACCAGCAATTGCACCTCGGTTGTCGAACATTTCAGAAGTCAAACGGTCTTCTGGAACAGATTGCATTCGACAACTGAGGTTCCACTGTATATTGTTTTCGGTCTATTAGAGTTTAATCACTTTTCAATATATGTTATGTGTGTTCTTTCTCTCTGTTTACGGTGGCCTAGCAGTAAAAAGCATGGTAGACTATCACCAGCTGTACATTTAATTGTAGCTACATGGGGGGGATGCAGGTGGCGCTGTGGTCTAAACCACTGAGCCTCTTGGGCAGGCAAAGGCAAACTCAGCCCTCCAGATGTTTTGGGACTACAACTCCCATCGTTCATGACCACTGCTTCTGTTAGCTAGGGATGATGGGAGTTGTAGTCCCAAAACATCTGGAGGGCTGTGTTTGCCTATGCCTGCTCTTGGGCTTGCCGATTGGAAGGTCGGCGATTCGAATCCCTGTGATGGGATGAGCCCCCGTTGCTGTGTCCCAGCTTCTGCCAACCTAGCAGTTCAAAAGCACGCCAGTGCAAGTAGATAAATAGGTACCGCTGTGGCGGGAAGATAAATGGCATTTCCATGCACTCTGGTTTCCATCACGGTGTTCCATTGCGCCAGAAGCGGTTTAGTCCTGTCGGCCACATGACCCGGAAAGCTGTCTGTGGACAAACGCCGGCTCCCTCGGCCTGAAAGTGAGATGAGCGCCTCGCGTCCATAGTCGCCTTTGACTGGACTTAACCGTCCAGGGGTCGTCTACCTTTTTTACCTTTACCTGTAGTTATAATCATGGATATATCTACAGTAATAGCTAGCGATGGAACACCTTGTTCATTCTGACGCAGCCGTAACATTTAAGACAAAAATGAATTTTCAGAAAGGTTTTAATATATGTGTCCAGGGGTCCTTTACCTTACAGTAGTACCTCTAGTTAAGAACTTAATTTGTTCTGGAGGTCCGTTCTTAACCTGAAACCGTTCTTAACCTGAGGTACCACTTTAGCTGATGGGGCCTCCCGCGGCCGCCGCACGATTTCTGTTCTCATCCTGAGGTAAAGTTCTTAACCCGAGGTACTACTTCTGGGTTAGCGGAGTCTGTAACCTGAAGCGTTTGTAACCCGAAGCGTTAACCCGAGGTACCACTGTCCTAGCAGCTTGCTTTTGTGGTTTGCCCTCTTCATGCTTACAAAAAGAATGAAACGTGCCAACATCTGGGGTTGGGTTTTTTGGGGTCTTCCTCCTTATCTCTGTTTTGTTCTGAACTTCTTTCCTTCTACTTTCCCTTTCAGCATGGGCTTTCTGCTGAACCAGTCTGGCCACCTGCACTCCCATTCGCATTCCCCTGCCCCTGCTCCTCCCTCCAGTTCCTCTTCTGCCGCAACTCCTGGGCACAGTCACGGTCATGGCAGCCTGGCAGTGAGAGCCGCCTTTGTGCATGCCTTGGGAGACCTGGTACAAAGCATAGGCGTTCTTGTAGCTGCATACATCATTCGTTTCAAGGTAGGGCTTTTCATTAGACTTGCAAACAAAGGCATTTCTCACCTTGGGCTGGTCAGAGCTTGAACTCCCCAGGAACCTGTATGTGCTCTTAACTTTTTTTCCCAGCGTGCAGGGATTTGCATGCAGAACTATAGTTCTGCTTAGCTCAGTGGGGAAATTATTGTGGAGCTTCAAGCCCTCCCAGGAACTGCAGGGTTGGACAAATTAGGATCTGGGGGCTAGGAGCTGGGGATATTTACTTTTTAAATATTTAATTTTTAGCAGTGGGGAGTGTGAGTGTGTCAATAATAAATATATATATATATATATATATATATATATATATATATATATATACCCCACCCATCTGGCTGGGTTTCCCCATCCACTCTGGGTGTCTCCCAACAGAATACTAAAAACACGACAAAACATCAAACATTCCCGAAACAGGGCTGCCTTCAGATGTCTTCTAAAAGTCAGATAGTTGTTTATTTCCTTGGCATCTGATGGGAGGGTGTTCCACAGGGCGGGTGCCACCACCGAGAAGGCCCTCTGCCTCGTTCCCTGTAACTACGGGATATGGCGAATTTGGACAGCTTGCCTTGCTTAAATCAGCCTAGCGGCACACGAAATATCAGATTCTCTGTTCTGTATATAGAATCATAGAATTGTAGAGTTGGAAGGGACCCCACGGATCATCTAATCCAACCCTCCAATGGAATCGAACCTGCAACCTTGGCGTTGCCAGCACCACGCTCTAACCAACTGAGCTAAGCGCCCACTCCCCCGCTACATATTCTTGGCTTAGCATGATGTATGTCCTCTGAGTGCAATGCTCTGATGGGAGTTTGCCTAGCTTAAAAATGCTTTGTCCCATACCTGCTTACTGAAATAGGCAAGGAAAGCTCTCCTTTTTGTTTGGGAACCGCAGGGAATGTCATCTGCAGGGATGAGGGGCAGGGCCTTTTTTCCTTTTGGGCCAGTTCAGTGGAGCTTCTTCCAAGAGAAGCCCGTGAATACTCAAACAATTGATGTGTAGACTCATTGTCAACCTACCTTTCTATACATTGTAGTACTCGATACATATTTATATTTTAAAACCAGCGTAGATTTTTAAAATGTTATTTAGAAACAGTTATAAGCCACTTAATAAAAAAGATTCTCTCTCTTTCGCTATATGGAGAATTTTTATATATATTGTATTATTAAATTATATATATATACACACACACACACACGCACACATATATATATATATATATGTTCATTATTTTATTTTTAAATATTATATATATATATATATACACACACACACACACACACACACACACACACCGTATTTTTCGCTCCATAGGGTGCACTGGACCATAGGGCGCACCTAGTTTTTAGAGGGGGAAATCAAGGGGAAAAAATCTTATCCCCCCCGCCAGCCCCAAAGAGCAGCGTACAGGCTGCGTCAACCTCTCCCTGCCGGAGGGGTTGTGCACGGCTATGGCACAAGCCAAGACAGTGGGCGGAGAAGAGGAGACCCTTCTGTTCCTCCTCCGGCTTCCAGGCAGGCGCGTGGCTGAAGGGGCACTGCACAGTTCTCCCTCTCTGCGCGTCGTGTCTCCTGCGAAGGAGAGGCGCTGTGCAGAGAGGGAGAACTGCACAGCGCCCCTTCAGGCGAAGCTGGAGGAGGAACAGAAGGAGACCCTTCTGTTCCTCCTCCGGCTTCCAGGCAGGTGCATGGCTGAAGCCTTTGGAGCGCAGCGGGACCTCGCGCTGCGCTCCGAAGGCTTCGGGTTCCTTTGGCTGAAGCCAGGAGAGTCTTGCTCTCCCGGCTTCAGCTAAAGGAACCCGAAGCCTTCAGAGCGCAGCGCAAGGAGCCCGCATTCGCTCCATAGGACGCACACACACATTTCCCCTCAAGTTTTGGAGGGGGAAAAGTGCTTCCTATAGAGCGAAAAATACGGTATTTATTTTGTATTTTTATGTTGTGAACTGCCCTGAGATCTGTGGATGAAGGGCAGTATACAGATTTATTTATTTATTTGATAAATAAATAAATAAATAAATAAATAAATAAATAAATAATAGGTTAAACCATCTTAATCTGCTCCCTGCTGCAAGGCCCATTTCCACCTGGCCTGGGGAATGGGGCCCCCACTCATCCTGAACAGCTAAAAGGCTCCTGGGAGGGCACTGGGACACTGCTGGAACAACGCTTGGGTTGCGGCAACTGGCTAAAATGTCTTAAACGGTTCTAATTTTGGTTCCTCCGTTTCATTTTTGTTGGGTTGGTGTTGGTTAGATGTTTAGTTGGGGTTGACGATTATTTTAGTTTGGGTATAACTATAAACTGTTGTTTGTTGTTTATTGATTTATTGGTTTGTTTGTTGCTTGTATCAGATATTTGTTTTTTAATGTTTGATGTTTTGTTGTGTTTTATATGTTGTAAGCCGCTCAGAGTGGCTGGGGAAACCCAGCCAGATGGGTGGGATATAAATTAAAAATTATTATATTATAATTATTTATGCAGATGTAGTCTTACCAGGCTTTAACCTCTTTTGTTTCAGCCAGAATACAAGATTGCGGACCCTATATGCACATATGTATTCTCAGTCCTGGTGGCTTTCACAACATTTCGGATCATCCGGGACACCGGAATAATTGTACTTGAAGGTAATGAAAGATCGAACTCCTATATTCGAGGTGCCCTTTCAAGAGCAGATAGAAGCAATGAGCAAGTGGAAGCAGCAATGGCTGTACTACTTACCGTATTTTTCGCTCTATAGGACGCACTTCCCCCCTCTAAAAATTAAGGTGAAATTTGTGTGCGTCCTATGGAGTGAATGCAGGCTCCTTGGCTTCAGCGATAGCAACTCGAAACCTCCGAACCGCAGAGGGAGCGCTCCCTCCGCTCTCCGGAGGCTTCGTGTTGCTTTCGCTGAAGCCTGGAGAGCGAGAGGGGTCAGTGCGCAACGACCCCTCTCGCTCTCCAGGCTTCAGGGATAGCCGCCTGAAGCCTCCGGAGCGCAGCGGGAGGTTCCTGCTGCACTTCGCAGGCTTTGGGTTCCTTTTGCTGAAGCCGGGAGAGCAAGACTCTCCTGGCTTCAGCAGAGAGGGAGAGCTGCGCAGCGCCCCTTCAGCCAAGCGGGAGGAGAAAGGAAGGGGCTCCATTTCTCCTGCTGCTTCGCTGAAGGGGCGCTGAGCAGAGAGGGGGATAATTTTTTTTTCTTGTTCTCCCCCTCTAAAACAAGTGCCTCCTATGGTCAGGTGCGTCCTATAGAGCGACAAATACAGTACTTTGATTTTCTAAATAACTTTCAAAATCTTGATCAATAGTTTTGAAAGATTTATGCATTTCACTGTATGTGGTTGTCTTACAAGGTGATTTGGCACTGAATCTCAGCCGGGCATCTGAGATTTACTCAAAATCTTCGTTGATCATTTCAGTTGTGCTCAGGGCTCCCCTCCCCCAGCCAGAACTCAGTGAAACTAAGTTCTGGCACCTCTCAGGTGGGTGCCATTGCCATGCTAAGAGAATGAGGGAGGTGTGGAAAGAAGAAAGACTGCCTACCTATCACACCCGTTCCGTTTTACCGTATGTCTGTTTCAGCAGCGACATCGTAAAAGGCAGTTTTTGTAAGGTCGCAAATTTAAGCTGCACTTTTAACTTTTCACAGTCGGATTTTGGAAAATAAAATAAAATGAGGCTTATATTCAGGCCAATGCGGTACGGTATGTTAACTTTCCATTCTTCTTTAGTTGGGACAGCTTCCAGGGCTTGTTGAGAAAAGCCCGCTTTATAACATTGTAGAATCATAGAATCATAGAGTTGGAAGAGACCACAAGGGCCATCGAGTCCAACCCCCTGCCAAGCAGGAAACACCATCAGAGCACTCCTGACATATGGTTGTCAAGCCTCTGCTTAAAGACCTCCAAAGAAGGAGACTCCACCACACTCCTTGGCAGCAAATTCCACTGTCGAACAGCTCTTACTGTCAGGAAGTTCTTCCTAATGTTTAGGTGGAATCCTCTTTCTTGTAGTTTGGATCCATTGCTCCGTGTCCGCTTCTCTGGAGCAGCAGAAAACAACCTTTCTCCCTCCTCTATGTGACATCCTTTTATATATTTGAACATGGCTGTCATATCACCCCTTAACCTCCTCTTCTCCAGGCTAAACATGCCCAGCTCCCTTAGCCGTTCCTCATAAGGCATCGTTTCCAGGCCTTTGACCATTTTGGTTGCCCTCCTCTGGACACGTTCCAGTTTGTCAGTGTCCTTCTTGAACTGTGGTGCCCAGAACTGGACACAGTACTCCAGGTGAGGTCTGACCAGAGCAGAATACATTAAAGAAGGAGCCTTGCTTCAACAAACTTTAGTTAAGATTAGCCACAGTTTAGTTTTTGAACATGATGTTAAAATGTTGTGACTATGCCACTGGATGGGAGGGGCAACTGTGGCTTCTTCAGTGCTAAGTGAAAACTGGGCCAATTTGTCAATGGTTCCCCAAAATTGTTAAGAACCAGTGCACTACTATTTCCGAATAAATGTTATCACTTCAAAGTGACTGATAACATTTCAGTTCCTAGAAATGCAGAAGATGAAAATGTTTACACGAGTGTTTTCCCTTGAGGCACTATCACAATGTGACTAAATGGCTGCTTCTTATCCTTTTTTAAATACTCTGCTTAAGTTTAATATAATGGTATCACATAATAATCAATAATAATTCTAAACATCTAAAACTCATGTCCTCCTTGTAGGAGTTCCAAGGCATTTGAATGTGGATCGCATTAAAGAGGAGCTAATGAAAATTGAAGATGTGTTTTCAGTGGAAAGCCTGAATATTTGGTCGTTGACTGCAGGAAAAACCATTGCCATAGTCCACTTGCAATTAGGTAAAACTGGGAAGCAGGCAGAGCTAACGGTTGTGTTAATGAAGCAGAATCATGTGATTAAATTCAATCAATAAATTATTTTTTTGGGTTTTTTTCATATTTGTGGTTTGTTAACCATAAATTAAGGGATGCGGGTGGTGCTGTGGGTTAAACCGCAGAGCCTAGGACTTGCCAATCAGAAGGTTGGCGGTTCGAATCCCTGCAACGGTGTGAGCTCCCGTTGTTCAGTCCCTGCTCCTGCCAACCTAGCAGTTCGAAAGCACGTCAAAGTGCAAGTAGATAAATAGGTACCACTCTGGTGGGAAGGTAAACGGCGTTTCTGCGTGCTGCTCTGATTGGCCAGTAGCGGCTTAGTCATGCTGCCCATATGACCCGGAAGCTGTACGTCGGCTCCCTCGGCCAATAAAGCGAGATGAGCATCACAACCCCAGAGTTGTCCGCGACTGGACCTAATGGTCAGGGGTCCCTTTACCTTTACCTTTAACCATAAATTAATTTATTTTTTCCTGTGTTCTGTTTCTAGATCAGGGATGGGAATCTGGGGTCATTTAAATGTTGCTGCAGTTCAGTTGCCATCATCCTTGACAATTGACCATTATTCCCCTGGCAGAGCTACAATTTCCCTCTCAGCACATTATAGCTCCCATAATTATTTGGGGGAAGCCGTCACTCTTGAAAGTGGCATCCCAGTGCTTTAGATGTGTGGTTTGAAAGTAGCCTCTCTTCCCACAGCCCCCTGCCCAGAAGTGTTTTGGAGATATCTGCCATTTTCCTCCCTGCCCCCAACCCACCAATACAATCGCTCTGCCCATGTTTTGGTGGTACTTACTGTGTCTTCCTTGCTTTCCAGTTCCTGGCACTTCATCAAAGTGGGAGGAAATCCAGTCGAAGGCCCGGCGGTTGTTGCTGAGCACATTCGGAGTCTATCAATGTTCAATCCAGCTTCAGAGTTACAGGCGAGAAGAGAACAAACCGTGCGCAAGCTGCCAGAATTCCAGTGCCTAATTTTTCCACGCTATTTTTCTTTTTGGGAGGGCTTGCTGCCTTATTCTTCTTAACCTTTGCAGCCAAAAGACCACGAAGCAATAAATGCAAGATTTGCAAATGGAACGGAATCCCTTAGGGCTGGACTAGTATTGGCAATCCTCTTGCAACCAGAAGGGTTTGGAACGGGGTCAGAATTCCCCTTTCCGGGAAAACGAGTTGTAACTTTCTCTCTCGCCGTTCCTTTCGGCCAGGGTTTTCATGCCAATATATATACATATCCAACAAATTGTTTACAGATCACGTTGCGGTTGGCGGATACCTCGTAGAGCACACTTCCTCGTTGCCATTTGTTAACTTCCAACAGTGCTTGCCTGCTTTCCTAAAGGGCGCCAAGAATTAACTACTTGAGTTTAAAAAGAGTTGCCAAGGTTGATCATGTCTGTGATCAAAAAGGTTAATGATCCCTGAACTGGTTACACCATATTTTATCTCTCCAACAGCTATGGTTTTTTTACTACCTTGCCTAAAACAAAAACAATGCTGCAGGTATAGCAGAACATTTTTTTATAAGTTGTCTCTCTTCATTCAAACTTGAATACATATTGAGAAGTATAGCTTTTGCAGTAACCAGTCCTGGAAATTTTAGCTTTAACCTACGATCCAAACCAGAAAAGGTCTTTTCCTGGGACAAGCTATCGGTTGTTTATCTGAAGACTTTGGGGCTGGACCCACTACGTTTGTAAGGAATAGTTGTCTCTCGTATCTTTCGGCGTAGGACTTTTACCATAGAAAAAGCATATTTAAATTTCTTTTCAAATATATATAATTTACTTTGAGACGATTCTTATCGATCATCTTGGATATCTAACACTTTAACCTGCTTCAAGAGGCTGTTTGGTTAAGCATGAACGTTAATTCTAGTGAATAAATATATCGTAGGGGACTTTTTGTGATTGATTTGCCTCTTGCAAGAGAGGGGGGGGCCTTATAGAAACTACATTTAAAGCAGAGATCCAATCAGTAGATGTACTGTAGAATAGCCTGCACCAACTCTGTGCCCTGCAGATGTTGTACAGCTGTCATCATCCCCAGCCAGCACAGAATTGTGGTCCATCTGGAGGGCACTGTGTTGGTGAAAGTTGTAGACATTCAGGAAATAAAGAGAACAAAGGCTTCAGATACACTGCAGCCCCCGAAACTTACAATTGTGAGCATATGGTTTCCATTTCACCTTGACATTTCCTCCTGATAAATATCGATTTTGCATGGTAATGTATGCTAACGTGTGCCAGTGAAATGTTAGTGATTTGGTGAACTGTACTGCCTTTTAGTCAAACAGAAGGACACCCACTGTCCATTATTTTTTGGTTGTCGTTCTTCTCCTAGCAGTCTAAAAGTAAAATGTTCCATTTTTGGCCCGTGTTGAATTGCAGGCCTTCAGAACTGTTTTCCAGGCACCAAATTATTGCTGGATTCCCCTAAAACTTTTGAGTATAGAGAAGGTGAAATCAGGAGAAGGAACTGAAAAGACAAGAGATGTTTCTACTGGAGCACAGCTAATCCAAAGCCAGATACCATGAGAATTAGTGGTGTAGAAATTTATATTTTAAAAATGCCAGAGATTTGACCTCCGACTCTTTACATCTAAACAGAACTATCGGTGTGAATAAGATTGCGGTGTAACAAATACATGGTATAATCTCTTGGAAAGGTTTAATCTTCAACTCTGAAATCCGGAGCAATCAATATTTTAAAACTTAGCTTGCCACATTTTATTTTCCTCCATAGTTTTTGTATCGCCTGTAAATAGGGCTAAAGAAGCCAAAAAAAGAAAATAAGCCCACTTAATCCCAACAAACAACAGAAATAAGTATCAACGTTAACAATTGCCAGCATGTTTTGACTAATTGGATAACTATTTTGCTGTTTGGAGCATAATAGTTTGAAATCTGTTCTTTTTCCTTCACAGAAGGGATACTTGTTATTGTTTTTAAGGACCAATATCTTCTCTTGAAGGGTGACTTTTAAAATTAACACTTCATGAAAGCAATATGCATAGTTATTTAACTTTAAATTATTATTCAAATGCTTCATGCAAAGGAAGGATGACTTTGATTTTATTGGACTCTAGTGCCCATTGACAATTGGCTAAAACTGATGGAATCTGGAGTTCAACAAGGTCTAGAGAGCAAGCGATTCCTTGAAAAGCAAACTCTCTCCAAGTATCTTAGGAGATGGTACACTGATGGATAAAAATATGCCCATTTGCTGGATTTTATGTCGCTTGGGTCTAGCCAACTTTCCCCCCTTCTGCTCAACCCCAAGACAAAATTTCAGTATTAGAATGAGCAAGCTGCACTAAATGATATTGAAATGAAGAACTGGCATATTTGGGACCCTGTTGTTTTGATACACGACAATAGAAACACAAAGCCATATCTCAGTTTGTGAAACTTTTTGTGTATCCCTTCTTTATGACCTTTTCGGAAGTCAGGTATTTTTGCACACAAATGGATATTCATAATGGATATTTCATTAAACTGGGGTTTACAGTACACCTAATTAGAAACTGGGGGTTTGGTAGATCTGTACTGTACTTGGAGTTTTTTTAAATTGTAATTATATACTATATATTTGTTTAATGAAACAAATGTGTTGCTTTACTGTGGATTTATTAAATTGATTATTATACTGCCCACTTATGAGTTATTCTTATTACTCTTTTGTGAACTCTGACCTCATTTTGGATTGCAGATGAGTAGATAAGTGATGATTTTTATTTTATTTTTTTGCTTGCCTAGCCAAGAGGAGACTTTAAAGTGCCTGGGCAAATAGAGTTAAGTTTTGACCTGGCTCCGAAACAGTTGTAGAGTCAGTGCCAGACATAGCTCCATACGGAGGGCATTCCAAAGGTATCGTACCATCACTTGGAAGTACGAGCCCTATTTCTTCATCTCAGTGGTATGTGTGCATGTGTGCAATGAGAGTTAACTGCTGTTTTCAATCTACGTACAGTGGTACCTCGGGTTAAGTACTTAATTTATTCTGGAGGTCCGTTCTTAACCTGAAACTGTTCTTAACCTGAAGCACCACTTTAGCTAATGGGGCCTCCTGCTGCCCCCACGCCACTGGAGCCCGATTTCTGTTCTTATCCTGAAGCAAAGTTCTTAACCTGAAGCACTTTTTCTGGGTTAGTGGAGTCTGTAACCTGAAGCGTATGTAACCTGAAGTGTATGTAACCCGAGGTACCACTGTACAGTATTTCTATATTTTATTCAAAGGACAGGTGAGGCCCTGTGCTTAATCATAGATTGCAGTGTGTGTACGTACACTAGTGGTCACAATTGTGTTGGAAACTTTTGAGGAAAGTGTATTTCTGAGACTTGATGGCTCATAACACCACTTTTTTTTTTGGAGTACAGTGGTACCTCAGGTTACATACGCTTCAGGTTACATACGCTTCAGGTTACAGACTCCGCTAACCCATAAATAGTCCTTCAGGTTAAAAACTTTGCTTCAGGATGAGAACAGAAATTGTGCTCCAGCGGTGTGGCAGCAGCAGGAGGCCCCATTAGCTAAAGTGGTGCTTCAGGTTAAGAACAGTTTCAGGTTAAGTACGGACCTCCGGAACGAAGTAAGTACTTAACCCAAGGTACCACTGTAATACCACAATATTATATATCAGTGGAAAGATAATTTAATGAAGAATGGAATGCAACAACATTTGTTCAATTATCTGTATTCTATCAAAAGTTATAGCCAAATAACCAGAAAAAGGAAGCACAACTTGCTTAGGTTGATTTGCGCTAAGCTTTCCTTCATTTGAACGTAGCCAATGAGCATGAGTGTTTGGAGAGCCAGTCTTGTGTTACGAGCCATCAAACCTCGGAAATACACTTTCCCCAAAAGGTTTCCACAATTTTGGCCACTAGTGCATAGAAGTTTGGTTTCCTCCACAGCAAGGCCAGTAATGACAGCGCCAAACTTAATCTGTTCCGGAAGTCTGTTTGATTTCCAAAATGTTCGAAAACCAAGGCTCAGCTTCCAATTGGTGCAGGCGCCCCAGAAACAATAGCTGACAGCCGCATCGGACGTTTCGCTTCCGAAAAACATTCGCAAACCGGAACACCTCCGGGTTTTCAGCATTTGGGAACCAAGGTATTTGAGAACCGTGGTACCCCTGTATTGTCTATACTGACTGGCAACGACTCCCAGATTTCAGTCCGTGGCCATGTTGTTAATAGTCTCTCCCAGCCCTACCTAGAGATGCTGGGAATTTGAACCTCAGATATTCTGCCCCCAAGACTGATAAAGTGGTACCCTGGGTTACATACGCTTCAGGTTACAGACACTTCAGGTTACAGACTCCGCTAACCCAGAAATAGTACCTCGGGTTAAGAACTTTGCTTCAGGTTGAGAACAGAAATCGTGCTCCGGTGGCGCGGCAGCAGCAGGAGGCCCCATTAGCTAAAGTGGTGCTTCAGGTTAAGAACAGTTTCAGGTTCAGAACAGGCCTCCGGAACGAATTAAGTTCTTAACCTGAGGTACCACTGTACTCTTATCATGGAGCCAAGGTCAACAGATTATTGCAATTTACATTGCAGAGAAAGCTTCCTCCTTCCTGTTCCATTGTTTACGGCAGAAAAAGCCAGTACAATGGCAAGCTCAACATGCCAAAACCACCCCACAAAGAACAAGAAGAACAGTCCTTCTTGATAAGGTCATAGGAGGCCTGTCAAGATGACCTGTAAGCAACAGCACTCTCTCCACTTGCAATTGCCAACTACTAGTTATATCCTCTTCTTTGGCAATCCCTCGTAGCTGAGTCAGATTGTCTTCCATGAACACGGTTTTAACAGTGAGTCCGTAAGTGACTGTGGAGGCCAGTTCTGGATCCACACGTCCTTCCACAGTGGGGACATAGGGTTCCGGGCGGGAGTTGATCACGGTGAGGGTTTGCCAAGCGTGCCTTCCTCTTAGCACATTTCTCCCTTGCGTTCTGAGTTTGAGCGTCTTCAAAGCCCATGACACCTTTGGTAATGGCTGTTCTCCAACTGGAACTCTCATCGGCCAGTGTTTCCCAGTTGTTGGTGTTTATACTACATTTTTAAAGATTTGCCTTGAGAGAGTCTTTAAAGCTCTTTTGTTGACTACCAGTATTACGCTTTCCATTTTTAAGTTCGGAATAGAGTAGTTGCTTTGGAAGACGATAATCAGACATCCGCACAGCATAACCAGTCCAAAAAAGTTGATGTTGAAAAATCACTGCTTTGACACTGGTGATCTTTGCTTCTTCCAGTACACTGGCATTAGTTCCCCTGTCTTCCCAAGTGATCTGTAAAATTCTATACAGGCATACTGCCTCTGACGACAATGTGTGATGCTATTCTAATGTGTGATTGTCACTTAATGGTGGCAAAAGTATTCCTCTTTGCCTCTTTGTGCGTTTGGTGCCACCCAGAGGAAATCCTCTGCTGTTCCTCAAAAAAGATAATCCACACCGTCCAAAATGGTGACTTGGCTTTCTTTCTGTTAGGAGAGCTAAAAGGCAAAGCCTTGAGGAAGTTAATGATTTCTCAAGGAATTGCTGATCGCAGGAAAACAGGACTGAACTTGTTTTGCAAGTGAATTGTTTCAAAAACAACATTACAAGACGTTCTTCACACTGCGTTGAGGGCTCATTTTTTGACCTGCCTGGAAACACAGCGTTTGTATCACCAAACGTTGCAGGGGGCAATTTGCAGGTGTTTGGCATAGTTTTAGAGTGAATGGGAGGATGTCAGAATTTTGGCAAAAACCGTGACTACTGTGGGGACAGCCTAAATGCTGCTGAGGGTGCCTGGCCAGCTGACCAAGGGAAGGAGGGGGGCAGAACAAGCACCCCTGCCATGCTGCCCACGTCACCACTAGCTGCTGCTCGCTGCTCCTGCCTGGGCACAGGACGGCCTGACCCCTGGCACGGAAGGAGGGGGTCAAGGGGCTGGGGCTAGACAGACCTGCTCCCCCACTCCAGCCCAGCCCTGTTTCACTCAGGTTGGCACCACAACCTCCTGGCACATGTGGGGAATGGATTCCCCGTGGAATTAACATACCACAACTTCTCTGATGCCATTCTTAAATGCCCTTCTTTCATTTGCTTGTGAAGCCACAATAGCCTCTGAGGCCTACCTGTCTTAGGAGCTAGGAGACAGAAAGGAAAATAAAAACAGAGGAAGACATTACAGATGGGAAATGTCCAGGAATCCAAAAGTCTAAACTCAAAGACCCTGGCTTAGTCTTCCAGGAGGAGTCAGGATCCACCCTGGACCTCAACCTTCACAGTTGCCTCCCTGTGTCAAATTAAAGATTGTAAGCCCCTTGGGGCAGGAACCCCTTCTCAAGGGTCACACACAGGCTTGTTTTTAAACTTCTCAGGTTGCTGCCTGATTCTTTCTGAATTGGGTAGGAAGAGGGAATGTGCAACATTAACGTTTAATGCTGTATTGTGTTTTTAATATTTGGTTGGGAGCCACCCAGTGGCTGGGAAAACCCAGCCAGATGGGCGGGGTATAAATAAATAAATTATTATTATTATTATTATTATTATTATTATTTATTAACAATAACAACAACACAACGGCACTCTCTCTCCATGGCGCCGCTGCACCATCCCGCTGTTTCTCTTTCCCTCAGGTGAAATCTCCCAATGGAGAATGAATCACGAGCCGCAGTGGGTTTTTCCTTTGTGAAAACAGATTGCAAGCAAACTTTATTATAACAGATGTAAAGAAGGAGTTTTTGTTTTCTTCTTCTTCCACAGAAATGTAACAAGCAGTGCTGTTGCTTATTATTAACGTATACTGTCTCAAGATATATGCTGCATGCTGTTCAGGCTTAAGGTTACTTTCTTTTACACAACTTTCATAGATCAGACTTCTCCACACACATTTCAGGAACTTAGGATTTCAACTGGACTGTTTCCTTACAGACCCCCAAATCCTCCTTGGCCTCGGAATCACTACTGCCCTTTCCTGTCAGAGTATTCCTTCTGAGGACCCTTTTTCCTGTAAAATACCGTGTGGGACTGTGTCTTGTCTATTTTAACAGTGTTCTGTGATTCAGAACTTTAGAGCATATACTGAGAGTCATCGGCTCTGCTCAGCTCTACCACCTGTCCGACTAGAGATGGGAAGGCCTGGAAAAAACCCAGAAAAATTGGGGGGGAAGCAGTCGTTCCCCCATTTCCCCAGTTTTTTTCCAGGCCTTCCCATCTCTAGTCAGAACGAACTCTCCTGACAGAATCCCCCTCACAGACCAAATCATAGCTGTCAACTTTTCCCTTATTCCCTTATTCTGAATAGGATTCCTCGCAAGAAAAGGGAAAAGTTGATAGCTATGGACCAAATGAATCTCTCAGTTTCTCACTCCACTCCAACTGCCTCCCTTGGAACTCTGGCCAATCAGAAGCTGTTGCTAGGTAACTGTTTGCTAGCAGGGGAAAAAACACACTTGGTGACTCAACAAACCTTTCCATCACAGAAGGCAGCTGACTTCATAGCTGGACTTGCTCAAAACAAGGTTTCGCAGCCTAATCCCTAGGCTTTTAGTTTTGCTGTCAAGGAGGGGTTTTTAAAACCCTGTTCAGCTCACAATTGTGGGAATCTGGAGGGATACATTTCAATTAACGTATACTCTCCTTCCCGTTCAAACCCATCCCAC